TCGTTGTAACGGTTTTCTTAATGAATACTTGAATTTTACAAAAATACATAGAGGAAATAATCCGATATTTGGACCCAATGTTCAACTATTACACAATTTATATTGCACCGAACTGTTTCTGGCTTTATTTACGTTACTTTAGGACTGTCATACCGCTACCAAAACTATAGTATTGTTGTTTCGAAACTCAAAATGGATTAATGACATAGAGAAATGGGGATCGTGATAAGAATAATAATTATAACTGCAAGGAGATACTAACTAATGTCAATTGATATCGATTGGAGAAAGATATCAGATGAATCTGTAATAGCAGAGTCACTTGGGGTATTTCTTGATGATCATATGAAAACAATATCATCCCCATCGTTCATAGACAACTTATCAGTAACCAGAGTATCATTAGGGTCAATACATCCTCAGATCACCATACGACATACTGGAGACCCTTTCAACGACTTCTATGAAGCAGATGAATCAAGCGAGCATAATGGCGAACACTCTGACGAAGTCAAGAACTCCAAAGAACCATCCTTCTTTAACCCACTAAATTAAGTAAGTCCAATTGCTCTTGATAGATAAACGATGCTGAAAAACATCAATATCTACTTAGAGTAGATTAAACTGTAAATATTTATAGGACAATTCTCACATTGCTCCTTTGAAAGTCGTCAATAGAGTTCAAACATTTTTTATTTGTTTGGAAGATTTGCAGCATTTGCTGCCAACAATTTTAAATTCTATTCATATTTCTTGATGCTATTAATTAGATCTCAACTAGTGTGATTATAACTGTTTTCGTCTACGTCTATTTAACTTTCAAATACGAATAATGTTTTGTTCGGCGCAATATTACTGCGGGCTCTACGACTCAAATCTGACAGCACATAGCTCGAAACACTGCTGCTTTACTGGCTATTGACGTCGAGTTTGTAGACCATTCACTCTATCCTTTTGCTTCGCACTAAGTTATTCAAAGGGTCCACTGTATCTGACGTAGACACTTGTCCCAACGTTCCTAGTAGTTGTAAATTATCTTCTTCATGTATTCCGTAGCCTATCAGGAGAGTTATACCTTTACCAAATACTCCAATACAGGATTGTACTATGCAACTCACAAATGTTCGGTTAAACCTCAGGTTGTCGACTATAATCTTCAAAAACCCATTTTCGGTAACTCCTACCAAAAGTTCACCCGGCATTCCTCTGTAAAAGAAGCACCTTAGCAAATTAATCGCATCAACAGCTACAGAACCATTAGGCCTTAGTAGGCCTAATTCATCAGAAGTCCGCAACACATAACCGTCCGTATTATTGACGTCGAGTTTGCAGACCATTGACTCTATCGTTTTGCTTCGCACTAAGTTATTCAAAGGGTCCACTGTGTCTGACGTAGACACTTGTCCCAACGTTCCTAGTAGTTGTAAATTATCTTCTTCATGTATTCTGTAGTCTATCAGGAGAGTTATACCTTTACCAAATACTCCAATACAGGATTGTACTATGCAATCCACAAATGTTCGGTTAAACCTCAGGTTGTCGACTATAATCATCAAATCCCCATGTTCGGTAACTCCTACCAAAAGTTCACACGGCATTCCTCTGTAAAAGAAGCACCTTAGCAAATTAATCGCATCAACAGCTACAGAACCATTAGGCCTTAGTAGGCCTAATTCATCATAAGTCCGCAACACATAACCGTCCGTATTATTGTCCCTAGCACCACATATTTGGCACCACCAACACATAATTGTTAGAAATAATGCAGGGTTCATCATAGCCGTTTGTCTCACAAAGTGTTTGTTTAATGCTAAACTACTTATCTTTTGCCAAGCAGAACTAAATGGGTATTCTTTGGAAGAGATGGCATAGATTTCTGGTAATAATACCTTTTGAATAATATTAGTTTTATATGTTTACCGCCTGCAATAGTATTATTTATTGTACGCGGTGCCTGTTCATTTTTCGAGGTTTATCTGCCTCTATTTATACCCCCTTTCTTTCGCACTAATATTCGTTACCCCATTCTTACTCACAATTTCCAACTCACTCTTTCCGTACTACTTCATGCGCGCTGCATTAAAAGCTTACGAAAATATGACTCATATAGGTAAATGACGTCATGTTAAATAAAGGTCTAACATGCTATTCTATGTGTTTGAAGGAGTAAACTCCCTAAAGCTGTCTACCAATTAACATCAGTTTAGTATTAGTGAATTCAAGTGCTAACGAACGTAAGAGTACCCGTCATTTCTAACGTTTTAATCTTGATTTCTTTGAAAAATAATACATTTGATACGAAAACATTACTCCAGATTGACAATCCGTTTTAATTCAGTGAAATGTTGCAAAATTGTAAATATTACAAGTAGTTGTCATTGGAGGTCAAATCTAAACTATTTTTCATGTACTGCTGACCAATTAGATCTTTGTTGCCATAGAACAAGTTCATCTACCAGTTTAAAATATATCAATTAAAGCCAACCTTTGCATTAAAGACAAACTAGACACTTTGCACCATCTTCAAATAATTTAGCATATTGTTTTTCTACTGGAATATTAGGAGCTTTTCTCTTCACTGCTTCTGCTGGAGTAAACCATATAGTATTTGAAGCAATGATTACAGAGAACTAACACAAAGATGACCATCTATTTAGATCCACCAATACCACCTGTGAAAGCCAAACTCCATGTTCTAGACATACCGTTATCAATCAAATTATCTTGCCAATCAGAACGCGCAAACCATTGATATGACCTTTTGGGATCATACAAGGCTAAGTTAAGCATAAGAATCCCCTTCCAGCCATCAGGTATGCTATCGATAATTGGCTGCAAATGTCTTTCCCATTCTTCTTGAACAAATCTAGGACTTCTTATATAAGAAGATATTGGTGTAATAGGCAACATATGAATCCCATGAATCCATTCGTTAGCAATACTTCCTCGACCAAAATAAGTTGAAAAGTCAATCTTATTTTCAAAAGATATACCAGCTACTTTATTACCGATAAAATTAGCAGGCTGATCATTGTTATCGTCCAGGAATAACATATACTTGTTCATAGCTCGCCTCATTACCGAAAGCATCAAATTAGCACGAGCTTCCATGTTACGATCACCAATTACTTTGGCAAATAATTTCATTCCATAAGCGAAGTGGTAATCTTCTGATGAAGATTCCTCATCTTTCCCATCACCAGAAGCAAAGATTCCATGAGCAAATGAATGGCCATGAAACCAATCAAATGACCGAGATTCTGGAAACAACTTATCGTTCGAATTAGGTGTTGCTACATCACGCAACAATGTAATTGCATAATCTCTCACAAGACAGTTATTCTCTGTAAGTATTGAAGGATCGACATGTGCAACTAGAGCAATTGCATGGATATGATAACCATAATGGAAATGATGATCGTTATAATTTGAATTTCCAAAGTCAGCTCCTGGATCAGCAGACGAAATAAGACCTTTCCAAGTAGAGTCGTAAACCAACGGGAACTTTTGCTTGTTTGAAGCAAATATGTTTATTGCTTCTTTGATTCGAGGAAGCAAATTTCCAGTGAGTTCATTATCCTGAAGGATATCATTGCAAACATACAATATGTAAGCAAATTTGTCCAAGATTTTTCCTGAGGTGTACATTGAATCAATGTTGGCCATTGCAACAATATCTTGTTGAGATTCTGCCCTTGCAGCGTTGCGAATCATTTCCTTTTCAGAGTCAGAATAACATGGCTCAGATTTGGAAGAGACCGACCAAGGTAGCCAATTAATATCAACAGGTAATTCTGATTCAATCATCGTTAAACTATTTGTTTGGAAAGCTTTCATCACCCCTTTAGTAGGAGAATCTAAAACAAGATCAGTTTTGCATTGGTTTGATTGTTGATCAAGAACTTCATGCTGATGTGGTAAACACCAAACCATACCTTTACCTGATTGTGAGTTTCCTTGTGTTTCATAAGCAAAGGAATATGTACCCTTTTGTCCATCAACCTGACCAATCAATTTTACTGATGTTTGGTACATCCCAGCACTCGAATCATAATAAGGCGAATCTCCTTTACATACCTGAATGGTACAAGACTGATTGGAGTCACCAACAATTGTGTTAGGGTCTTGTAAAACAAGTTGAGTGCTATCACCAATTACATAAACACTCCAAACAACATCGTTAAATAACCGAGCAATGTATTTTTTGGTGCTATTATTCAATTCAATACATTTACTAAATTCCTTAATCCCAACCTGAGATGAAATAATAGGTTTCAAATTAGTATAAATGGCAGTCACATACCCCATACCTTGTACTAAAGGAAATACAATAGAACCCGAACCAACAGCCATTTTACCGGTGACAGACATTTTCTGATGATTAGATAATTCTAAAACTGTATCTTCACATATACCTTCACCTGAGAGGACAAGAGATTTTATTCTTGGAGGATTGAAGTAGAATTGAACGGGGTTACAACCGGGATCTGGACCAAACACTCTTTGACCAGCATCAGTATGGTTTAGTGCAAACCCATTGACTTGACCAGGTTCCTTAGATAACCACATAGAATAGGGGAGGGGCCAAATGGGGAAACTCTGGTCTTCTAACGTTAAGTTGTTATAGAAGTTATTTGTTTGGATAGGTTTGTCGGATGGGCCATATGAACAACCCTTGGGCTTAACATCATGTTGCTTTTTGGGGTAAAGCAGAGGTATATCTCCTTCAGCAATGGCACCTGAAAAGATATTTACTCCATTATCAATTGGTTGTGCTAACACTTTCTGTGGTTTTGTTGGAGGTATTTGGGCCGGCGGTCTATTGTAAGTTGAATCGGAACCACTTGGTGTATCAATTGGTTTTTGAAGAGAATGTTCTTGTTGCTTAGGATCCACTCCAAGCCTTTCCAACCTACTTGCTAATCTCTTTACCAAACCCATGGCTTTTATTAACTCTTACAAATGTATGTTGACGTTTTCGGAATTTACTGTGGAACTTAATTTTCTCCACAGAATTTCACCTGGGCAAGAACCAGATCGTTTGACTCCACACGAACAATATCCAAACAGCAGTAGTCATAATCGACTACTATAGTCCCATATTTTTGCTCATGCTATAATATCTTTATCATCGGAGAATTTCTCCAACGGACTATTCGTAGTTTGTAGTTGTAGTTGTTGCAGTGGTGGTGAGTTTGGTAAATTGGTCTTTAGCGCACATTGACCCTTTTGGGAGAAGATGTTCCGCATTCAATGTCAATTCCGCACCCGCTAAAGAATAATGGTTATCTAATCGTATAAGAACCACCTCCAATGCTCCCTCTATAAATGTAAACTCCTCACAGCAAGATCAGTAGAAATGAAGGTGATACCATTGTTGAGTTTGGCAAGTGCTGTTATAGCCATCTCTGAATACGAGGATGACATTTATGGTTTCAAACATATGCAAAATGCATCACTTGAAGATATGTGGGATGGGTTATGGCCATTTCAAGGCATCAACACGTTTGCCCATTTAGATTCACATAAATGCTTGGTTGATCGTGAATCGAAATACGACGTGGCGTTAATAGGTGTTCCATTTGATACAGCTGTTAGTTATAGACCCGGTACAAGATTTGGACCAAGAGCCATAAGACAAGCATCTCAAAGACAAAATGCGTTAAGAGGCTTCAACCATAGAGCTATGTTTAACCCCTATCAAGATTGGGCCAAAGTAATTGATTGTGGAGATATCCCTGTTACTCCTATGGATAATAGTATTGCCTTTAAGCAAATGACCCTTGCCTTTGAAGAGCTTTTATTACTGAGAAACTCCTCTCATGTACCCAATAAACCTCCTAAATATGTGGCTCTAGGTGGTGATCATAGTGTCCTTTTACCTCACATCAGAGCTTTGAATAAAGCCCACGGACCATTGAATATCATTCATTTTGATGCCCATTTGGACACCTGGTCTCCTGATAAATATCCATCGTTTTGGCAGTCAGCTACCAATGATCTTAATCATGGGTCGATGCTTTGGAAAGCTCATCAAGAAGGTTTAACCACTAAACACAATGTTCATGTCGGTGTTAGAACTCGGTTGTCCAGTCTTGCTGATTACGAAGATGATGATACTCAAGACTTTCTTCGTATTGAAGCAGATGATATTTGGATCTATGGGGTTCACCATGTGATACGTAGTATTCTTAAACGAGTACCCAAAAATACTCCAACTTATATATCTGTTGATATTGATTGTTTGGACCCCGGGTTTGCTCCAGGTACAGGGACTCAAGAACCCGGTGGATTATTACCTCGGGAATTAATCTACATACTAAGAGGTATTGATGGATTGAACTTGGTTGGGGCTGATATTGTTGAAGTTAGTCCTGCTTTTGACTCCTCAGAAATTACTGCGACAAATGGTGCCCAAGTAGCTTTTGAGTTGATAACTAGTATGGTCAAACAGGGCAAGACGGATCTTGCTATTACTGAAGTAGAGGAGGATAAAAATCAATAATGTTTATACAAAAGTATATACGAAGCGAATAGAGAAAGCGAAGTAAACCGTAGTGAAATAAAATGAAAGGGGGTATTCAACTCATTCGCTCAAAGAATTAAAGCAATACCAGCAGCAGCAATACCGGCAGCACCAAGTCCATAAGGAGTGAAGGAACCAGCACCACCAGTTGCAGAGGTGGTAGTGGAGTTAGAACCATTTTTAGTGTCCCTTGCATCGACCTTACTCTTTTCAGCAGCTTCAGTTTCAGCAACATAAACCGTAGTAGTGGTTGGGTTCTTGGTTCTATCGAATTTACCCCATTTATGAGTACCAGTTGGAGTAGGTTCCTTGGAACGAGGAGTATTGTTGAATCTACCCCAAGTGTGAGTACCAGTGGGCTTTTCTTCCTTTGAACGAGGGGTGTTGTTAAATCTACCCCAGGTGTGAGTACCAGTTGGAGTAGGTTCCTTGGAACGAGGAGTATTGTTGAATCTACCCCAAGTGTGAGTACCAGTGGGCTTTTCTTCCTTTGAACGAGGGGTGTTGTTAAATCTACCCCAGGTGTGAGTACCAGTTGGAGTAGGTTCCTTGGAACGAGGAGTATTGTTGAATCTACCCCATCTATGGGTGTTGGTACTACCATAGAAAGTTTCAGTTACGGTTGTTGGTGCATGTTTTTCCTTAGCAGAAACAACAGTAGCAGCTCCAAGAGCAGTAACAGCAACAGTAGAGAACTTCATGTTTCGATGAGCCAATCACAAAAGTAAACGTTAAAAGTTAAAGCAATTGCCTAAAGAAAGAGAGTGAGAAGAGTTTCTGTTTTAGTTAAAGTTTGACAGTTTTTTATTATCAACTTAGCAATTTTTCCATTGGGTCCGTCGTCTCTCACCAGCTCCACCCGGAGTGCAGGACTGCGATAAAAGAAATTCTGTTTATAAAATAAACCAAACTAGCAGTCGTGCACAAATTACCGATGTGCAAATTCCCTCATTCTGGCCAATAAGGATTGAGCCACAGGCAGTTGAGGACTTTATAGACTTTAACGTATATGCGTATGTGTACATTCAGTAGCACATCTCTACTTATAAATATGCATGTACATAAATACGTACATAGTATATAAGTGAAAACTACTTATGCATCGCATGTAAATGTATGCGTGCAAGCATGCGAAGACATTTACTGAGGAAATTAAGTTCGTAAATATGATGTCGGTTGGTATATGAACTACCGACATTGACATCGGGCCGAACCGACCCCGTACAATTTGAGGTATATATTACTATTGTAGTATTAGTATTAATTATCCACTATTTCCTTCTATAACGACCAAATAAAAGAAATAGTATTAGAGTTGAACTATATGAGAGCCTCTAAACAATGTCTTAATGACAATGTAACTAGAGGTATGTGTGTAAGAAACTATATGTAAGTGGCTGATGCATGAAGAAGAGTAAATGGAAACTTGACTAAATAGAAATAGAGATAAAACAGACATTATAAAAACGTAAAACCGTTAAAATAAGAACATCATCATCAGTCAAAAAAAGTCGTTCGTATATTTTCTTTAAAAGTTGAAAGATTGTTGAGGTTGATCTGCACCAAATTGAAATTGATTACTATAAGCTTGTGGAGCAATTTGATTATCATCAAAAACATCTTCTTCTTCTTGGAAGTAACATTCAATGATTTTATAAGCCTTTTCATAAACTTTATCATTGGCACTGCTTTGACATGAGAAAATGTTTTCTACCCCACCAGCTTCCTCAATATATGAAGCATATTGATTAGTTGGAGAACCATTAGCTTCCTTTTCCATTTCACCCATTTTCAAAATATTCTCTAAAGAATCCAAAGTAACTTCTAAAATCTTGGGTTCACCAATAAGCAATAATTCACATAATGGTTTAATACATCCTTGATTAACCAAATATTTAATTTGATCAGGTTTTGCTAACCCACCAGATGAAGCATTTGAAATTGCCCAACATGCTTCCTTTTTAGTTTTATAATCTCCACTACTTAATAAACGAATAATTTGTGGTATCAAATTAGCATCAATAACTGCTTGGATTTGATCGGTATTACCAGCAGTTATATTGGAAATAGTCCAACAAGCTTCCTTCCTTATAGTTTCTTTACTTGAAACCAAAAGTGGTCCTAAAGCAGGTAAAACACCAGAATTAATTACTGTTTGAGTTTGTAAATCATTGCCAGTGACAATATTACCAATACCTCTTAAAGCTGGAGTTTGAACCAAAGTAGATTCATGACCCAATAATTCAACCAATCTTTTAGGAATACGAGCATCGACAACTGCTTGAATGGCTTCAGTTGGCCCATCACTTAAATAAGATACAGCCCAACATGCATCAATCAAAGTCTCTAAATCCAAAGAATAAATTAACTTTGATAAAACTGGAATGGCTTCCTTTACGATATCCCAATTTGGTGGAGGATTCTTTCCTCTACATAAATTGGATAAAGTCCAAGTAGCAGTTCTGGTCAAGGTAACTCTACTGGTATCAAATAATTTCAAAACAGGTTCCATTGCATTACATTGTAATACGAAATCTCTGTAATCAGCATTATCACCAGCAACATTACCCAAGGCCCAAATAGCTTGTTCTTTAACTTCTGGAGATTCAGAATGTAACAATTCCACAAACAATGGAATGGCTCCTGATTCAACAACAGTTCTGGTTTGATCAAAACTACCAGAAGCAATGTTCGTTAAAGCCCAAGCTGATTCCAATTGTAAGATATCTGGATGATTTGGTCTCATGAAATCAACCAAAGTTGGAATAACCCCTGATCCAATTACCAAATTGATTGGAGGATTATGTTCTCTGGATAAAATTTGACGGAATTTAACCGTGGCTTGTAATTGACTATCGAAATTAGATGAATGGATCATTTCAACCAACCGAGGTAAATCTTGAGTCAACTTGGCAAAAAATTGCGATTCATCATGTTGTTCACTATTGGCTCCTCCTCCTCTGCTTCCATCTAACATGCCATCTTCAATATCTTCCTCACCTTCCGAATCATTAGCATCTGCAGTGTTATTATAGTTTCTTCTTTTAGCTAAAACCTCATCTCTCTTTTGCTTTCTTAAATCAACTTGGTGTGTTTCTCTTCTTCTTCTCAACTCGTCAGTTTGGAACCGGTTTTTGTTCTTGAAGTTGGTTCTTCTGTATTCGGGGATAAACTTATTGGTTGTGTCGTCCAGCATAGTAACTGATGATGGCTAAACGGGTATTTCAGGGGGAAAATGGATGAATGGGGTCCACTCAAATATTCAAATCAAAGCCACACACTAAAGTAAGTAACTGTTGAGGTAAATCTGGGTGACGTCGATGTATCGTGTTACGGCAATGTAATGTGATCTATCAGATGTCGTTGCAAATAGAAGAAGATCTGGTAGCATGATGGGAACAGGGCATTTGCTGTATTTTTTTTTTCACACCAAATTTTTGATACAAAAATGTCGCGAGACATAAATTAGAAAGACGTGAACAAACTATTACTACTACTACAACTACTACTATTGTTACTCCTATTAGCAATAATATTATTCACCAGCATGATACGATTGAACACAAGCTTAAACAGAAACTTGTTTTTGAACGGAAGCTTGTCCCTCAACCGGTTCAAGTCCAAGACCAGTTTCCGTAATGAGGAAACAAATGTCAATAGCGATGATGTATGGACCGAGAATAATCCGTGGTCACCGTCATTATATACTGACGTTGTTAAGGTGGTTAAACCTGGCACATTGATGACCAAACAAACACTCCCAGTCCAATATCGATTACTGTATCAACCGTTATATGAGGCCCCCTCTGCCAAATACGTGGCCATGTTAAAACGGTTAACTCTTTCCTTTACTGTATTGGGAATGTACGGAGCTAAGATTATCTGGGATACTCCAATGTTTGACGACGTATATGCTGGAGCTATTTTGATAACTACCAGTATACCTGCTATGTTTGTGCAATACAAGACTAGAGATTACGTTACCAGAATATGGAGATTGTACAATAAGAATAAGCCTCAACTGTTGGAGAATCTTATAGGAGATGAAAAGTTGATCATGGAGAAGTTAAACTTTACTGGAGGAAGTACGTACAATGAGTTGCTTCCCATAACTAATAACAAATCCTTGCAATTGGCACCAAAATCAAAGTACCCTTCATTAACGTCGTACACATCGTGGGAATCGGTAGACGAAGAATCCAAGTTCAAATCGTATTTTTATATTGTTGATGATATTGGCGGTATGAAGATGGATAGATTGTGGGGGATAGTAGAACATAATTCTGGTGTTGATAATGGAAGGTATATGGAACAAAGCAGTCAACAGTGACCACTTTACATTGAATGTGTATATAGTATAAAGACGTCTTGTATAGTCAATCAAACTTGTGATAACTATATCTAGCACACCACAGCACTGTGCATCGCACTGCATTGCCCTACACTGACATTCCATTGCATTACATTACACAGTGGTGTTAAATTACGTTCTATATGTACATGCGTGTTGTGTGTTCATGAGTGTTATGTGTGCTATGTGCTCATGTACGTTGTTAATGCTGGTCATCACTACTGCTGCTTGTGCTTGCCCTTTCCCGCAGTACGTAATTTTTCCGAACGATGCAAAAGCCGTACGGGCTAATAACAATGGGAAAACTCGTTGTATTTCATAAATTCCTTCACGACATTGACTATAGCCATCACTATAGCTGTTCATACCATGAAGTTCTTCCATAGGAAAGCCAAGTCTGATTCCACGACCACGGAAACTACTACCACAGATGACAAGAAGACAGATGTAAAGTCTCAGAAAGTGACGACATCGGGGTCAACTTCAGAACACACTATTTCCACGACATCCACTGAAGAAGAACTTCCTTCCGCTACATCCACAGACCATTCTACTTCTATTGATGTTAAGGCTCTGGTGGCCGCAGAAAAGTCAAAGCTACAGAAACACAAGAACCAAACCAAGTACTTGATTCGATCACTAGAAGACGAAGATGAGGAAACGAAAAAGAACACGGAGATAAACTCCTTGTTGTATGGTACGAGCAGTGATACAGTCGACATGTACAAGCTTCAAAATAGTTCGTCAGATCTTCTTGGAAGACTTTATTACGATGATTACGATTCAGACTTGACTCCAACAGTTTCACTTACCCCCGTTACCAGTGGAGAAACCAGCGGTGGCACAATCCCTTCCAATGAGTATATTCTAGAACGGATAAAGTATAGTGGCAACAAATCAACGGCTTCCTCAACATCAGATATGTTTGGCGGTGGTACTGATACAACTATTCTGTCTCCTAATCCTCGTCATCCCGGTCATCATAAATTGAAACGGGGAATCACGTTTGATGCTTCCACAAACAACCATCACAGCACCATTACGTTGAAGCTGAAACACGAGCACTTCAAGTTCAGAAGAAACAACAAGAATTACTTGGTGGGGTTTGCTGGGGATCTGACATCGTACAAGGCCATCGAATGGCTCTTTGACGAGATGATAGTCAACGGAGACACGTTGATTGTGTTGCATGTATTGGATGATAAGTCTCATCTGACCATTGACCGTGAAAAGGCACAATTGATTATGAACCAAATCCAACTGTTAAACATTCGTGATAGAAAGATCGCCATAGTATTGGAATTGGCACTAGGCAAACCCATGGTCTTACTACGGGAGGCGGTCGAGGAATATGATCCTCAAATAATGGTCATTGGGTCAAAACATTATAATGAAGCTTCTTCAGCTGAAACAGGAGGAGGTGCTCATCATAGAAGAGGATTCATGTCCAAACAATCAATGTCCAAACACTTTTTGGAATGTGCATTGGTCCCGGTGATCATCATCAAATCCACTTATGTTCATGAAGACGAATTAGTGAACCCCATTGAATCAGAAACCTATTTCCAAGATTGGCTTAAGCAAATTGATTTAACGGGCACCTATATGAAAGAGAAGAAACTGTTAAGTAGATTTCTTAGTCCTTCATCTTCCAAAACAGATTTAACGTCCTTACGGCCCACCCATTCTGCTAAGGATAACTATCTTCGTCCGTCTCTTTCCAGAGACAACCTGTTACTATTGGAACAAGAACTTAGAGGTAGAGATTTATTGTCCCCTACTAATTCAAGACTGTCTAGTCGTTCCAGATCACAGCAGAGATCTAAAGCCACCTTTAGCTTATTCCATCACTAGTTCGAACCGCGCGTGGAACAAAAGTACCCGACTAGCAACGGCGACGCCATGTGCACGACCACAACAACGTGCAGTACTTAATTACTTAAGATTTAATCCGTGGTGTTGGTAACGTTGCTTCTTATCAACGGCTTTACTATTCATTCTAACTTCCATCGACATGTCACGAAGAGTGGTGGGTAACCCCGTTATCGGAACCATCACCGCAATCTCTTTAATTATTGGTGGTTGGGGTCTTTTACAAATCACCGGCTTTGAATTGCCGGAAAACTTGGCCGGTGCCGGATGTTGGCAGTTTTTAACTAACCTTTCCTTACTTTATACGTTGCTTGTATTTGCTATTGGTACCTTGGCTCATATGTTCCAATCACCCGTATTATATTCATTAAAGAACTACTTACATCCAATTGCGTTGGCTTTAGAATCAGTGGTGGCTCTGGTTTATTGGCCCTTAAGATTATTTAAACCACAATTGATTCTTACAAGAGACTTTTTCCTTCCCATGGATGTTGACTTGGCTATTCATCTTTTACCAGTGGTTTCTCTCTCCATTGATTACTTCCTTTTTATGCCTAAATGGCTGTTGTCTCATACATCTGCTTTCCTGTTTGTCACGTCGTTAGCTATGGGGTATTACTTGCTCTTGAAACAGTTGGTGGATGTGGAAAATGGAGCCATTTATCCTTATCAGTTTTTGAACGTTGATACCGAGTTGGAAAGAATCGTCATTTTCTTCATTGTGGGGTTAACAGGATTTCTTCAATACTTATTCCTTCAAAAACTTTATGATGTCATAGTTGACGGAGAATATAACAAGCTTACCGACAATGAGAAGATCAAGAAGACTACTTGATAAAGAAAACTATTTGATTTGGTTCCCCTTGCGTAGACTGGCAACTGCAACATGTGCTATATGTCGAAATCTAGCAGATCCAAGTTTAATTCCTCCATACCATCGTGTAACTATCACCAAAACATTATATAGATGATTCTTTCGTATCACTTGTTCAAGTAGTACTTCTCCTCCACCCTTTTCTCCATTATCTTTGAATCCTTGTTGGACATTACAATAAGAATCTACTAGAACAGTTGTTTTACCCTTCTTTTCACTTTTCACTACTCGGTCTCCTGTTCTCCAGGCTATTATGTGTGGATGGCTGGCATTCTTTGCAATTCTTTTGTTCTCCTTGAGTAGTTGGTTTAAAATCTCAGGTATATCTTTAGGATCCTCAAGAGGTACATGTCTGCCTTCAAATACAGATTTTCTATTACTAACTTCAGCCACGTGCCAGCAAGTTACCTGAGATATGTTTCGTGTACGGGTTATAGATCGTAACATGTTGAAGAAAGAAATGAATTAGTACAAGCACATACAATTTTCCGTTATATCAAATCCAATCACGTGCACAAACACGTGATGCTCAATCTCACTACTTTGAAGTGAAAAATTTGGTCATTGATCAAAGCTATCAAGATAGGCAACTCACTTCTATTAAACAATATTAATGATCTACTTAAAGACTTTGCTTAACGTCATCGACAACTCAGGCGCCCAAGTCGCCGAGTGTATTCGTGTCATTCGTCATGGAAGAAAAAACTGTGCTCAAATAGGAGACCAAATCTCAGTTGTCATTAAACAAGCCAGACCAGTCACTAGTGATATCACCGGGAATGCAGCATCCAGAGTTAAAAGAAGGGACATTTGCCGTGCGGTGGTAGTCAGAACCAAAGCACCTTTCAGAAGACCCGATGGTTCAGTGGTCCGTTTTGATGATAATGCATGTGTGCTAATCAATAAGAATGGAGAACCATTAGGAACCAGAATTTCACTGGTGGTAGCTAAAGAATTAAGACAGTTGGAATATAATAAGATAGTTGCTTTGGCTCCTAAAACTATCTGATTGGATCCATCGGCGACAGACCCTTCTTTATATATATCATCCCTTATATATACACAACACTTGTACATATTATGTTAATGTGAGAACTCATGCATCGTAACCCTCATCAGTAGAGCCAAATCTTGTAGTTCTGGTTGAGATGTGGGAGGTACATTGTCAGCAAGACCAGCAAGACTTTCCAATATATTCCCGAAACTTTGAGCAATCTTTGGAGGATATCCATTTAGTCTATCATGGTATTCTCCATTAAGATTATCCAATACTATGCTCATATGATTTCCTGATCTAGTAAGAGCTTCATAGGTATCATTTATAGTTCTATCCCGTTCAAACGAATCATCTATCCCTCCAGTACTCGTAGCTCCATGAAAGTTCCAACTACCATTGGAGTCATTAGTATTGCAAAATGAACCAGAATCCAAGTACTCTTGTGATAAAGGAGTGATGTTATCATCTTGGTCATTATTATTATGATGCTGGTTCTGATCCAAACGAGCTATTCTCTCTTGGCACACCTTTAATATCAGCGTTAATTGTGATTTGATTTCCTTGAACTGAGGATTAGAGTTAGCTTTAGATTGAACTTTGGTGATGGAAGCGTCATTCCTTTGGCTGCCAATATTATGGCGTTGGCTATCAATCAATGCCTCCAATTCATCTCGTTGTGATAGGATATCATCTAAGGTGGATGGTGATAACATAACTAGTCAATGTCTGATGTCTAAGCAGTATAGTTAATGTCTGATATAGTCAATGTCTGATATAGTCAACGTCTGATATAGTCAAAGTAAGATCTGTTAAGGTCTTGGCCCACTATGGTAGTGTCTTGACACTACGAGATATATATGCGTAAAATTCAGAACAGAGTGTAATTCTCAGCACCAATTATCAATTTTTCACCTTCTCGTGTCAATTGAGTCATCTGGCATTCTAAACAGAATAACCGCAAATTTTTTTGCAGTTGGTTTTCTCCCACAACAACAACAATACTTCATGTCTGTCGAGAAGAAAGTCGAGGAGTTGTCATTGAAGGACGCTCCAGTGGACAAGGCTCCTGCAGTTGCTACTAAGGCTGCTCCCAAAAAGGAGAAGAAGCAAAAGGCTGCTGCTCAAACTGGTGACGATAAGAGACCTTTATATGCCACCCCACAACCCGAATTCATTGACTTTAGAGTCAAGATGTTCGATGAGTTGAGAGAGAAGTATGATGCTGAGTTGAAGACCAAAGAACACGTTCCTATCAACATTACTTTGAAGGATGGTGCAGTTAGAACAGGTACTGCCTTTGAAACCAGTCCTATGGATATTGCCAAACAAATCTCTTCGTCATTTGCTGATAAACAAGTCATTGCTAAGATCAATGGTCAAGATTTATGGGATTTGGAAAGACCTTTGGAATTTGATGTTGCCTTGGAATTTTTGGATTTCGAACATCCTGAAGGTAAAGCTGTCTTCTGGCATTCATCTGCCCATATTTTGGGTGAAGCTTCTGAATGTCATTATGGTTGTCATTTGTCACATGGTCCTCCAACTGATGATGGGTTTTTCTATGATATGTCCATTGATAATGGTGAAGGTGCTGTTACTCAAGCTGATTTTGGTAATTTGGAAACCATTGCTACTAAGGCCATTAAGGAAAAGCAAAAGTTTGTTAGATTGGAAATGACCAAGGAACAATTATTGGAAATGTTTGCTTATAATAAATATAAGGTACAATTCATTCAAGATAAGATTCCTGATGGAACCTCTACTACTGTTTATAGATGTGGTCCATTGATTGATTTATGTGTTGGACCTCATATTCCTCATACTGGTAGATTGAAGGCATTTAAGGTATTGAAGAACTCATCCTCTTATTTCCTTGGTGATGCTGCCAATGACTCTTTACAAAGAGTCTATGGTATTTCTTTCCCCGATAAGAAGTTAATGACTGAACATTTGAAGTTCTTGAAGGAAGCTGCCGAAAGAGATCACAGAAAAATTGGTAAGGAACAAGAGTTGTTTTATTTCAATGAATTATCTCCCGGGTCTGCCTTCTGGTTACCTCATGGTACTAGAATTTATAATACTTTAGTTGATTTCTTAAGACAAGAATATATCCAAAGAGGTTATCAAGAAGTCATTACTCCCAACATGTACAACTCTAAATTATGGGAAACTTCTGGTCATTGGGCCAATTATAAGGAGAATATGTTCACCATTGATGTTGAAAAGGAAAGTTTTGGTTTGAAACCAATGAACTGTCCTGGTCATTGTTTAATGTTCAAATCAAGAGAAAGATCTTATAGAGAATTACCATGGCGTGTTGCTGACTTTGGTGTTATCCATAGAAATGAATTCTCCGGTGCATTATCTGGTTTAACCAGAGTTCGTCGTTTCCAACAAGATGATGCCCATATTTTCTGTACTCAAGAGCAAATTGAAACTGAAATTGCTGGAGTATTTGATTTCTTGAGAAAAGTTTATGGAATCTTTGGTTTTGAATTTAAGATGGAATTATCCACTAGACCTGAAAACTATGTTGGTGATTTGAAAACTTGGGATAATGCCGAGGCCAAATTAACTTCTGCATTAAACAAATTTTTGGGTGAAGGTAAATGGGAATTGAATCCTGGCGATGGGGCATTCTATGGTCCAAAAATTGATATCATGATCAGTGATGCTTTAAGAAGATGGTTCCAATGTGCAACTATTCAATTAGATTTCCAATTACCTGATCGTTTTGAATTACTGTTCAAGGCTGATACCAATGATAAGGAGAATGCCACTGGTAGACCAGTTATGATCCATAGAGCCATTTTGGGTTCTGTTGAAAGAATGACTGCTATCTTGACTGAACATTATAAGGGTAAATGGCCATTCTGGTTATCTCCAAGACAAATTTTGGTTGTTCCCGTTGGAGTCAAATATAATGATTATGCTTCTAAGATTCAAGATGAATTGGTTAAAAAGTACGGTTTCCATGCAGACGTTGATGTGTCTGGTAATACTCTTGCCAAGAAGATTAGAAGTGGTCAATTGTTGAAGTATAACTTTATCTTCACTGTTGGTGAACAAGAAGAAACCGAACAGTCTGTTAACATTAGAAACAGAGACATTCAAGCCGATCAAGGTAAGAATGATACCGTTAAGTTCACTCAAGTCATCGAGCAATTGATCCAATTGAGATCCGATAAGAGACAAGACAACAAATTAGTTTAGAATAATAAGTAAAATTATTAATAAACCAATTAAATGAGTCCATCTATATCCCGGATAAACATATACCCGAGAACCCTCCTCTCCCCACCATAAATGGATATTTGTTTATCCGGAAGAACTGGATGATAAGTTTAGAAAATTCAACAGGGAGCTCTTCACTTTGCAACGTGAATTTTGTTTCAATTGCTCTCCACTTTTCTTTATCGTAAAGATGGCTGGTGAACGGAAGCCTTCAGCGTTTGACAGATTCTATGATATGGAGGATGATAATCCTCTTGTTCGGTTTTATGATGCCGAACAAAAATTAACCACTAAAGATCGAACTGAACTTGGAGAAAGTCTTAAAAGAATAAGTTTCTATTCCAGTTACGCAGCCTATGGTTCAGCAACCGTTGCTTATTTTCTTCCCACCATTGTTTACAACTATAAGAATCCGGGGAAGGCACCTCCTATTACTATCAATGGCAAACAGGTTAAACCTATGTTTGTATTCCGGAGACCATTCTTCTCTGTCTTTCTTTCCTTTGGGACACTTTTAGTGACCAAACTGATCTTATCTACGTATTTGTTGAGCAAAGCAGGTAATGAAACCACCAGTAGTCAACAGAGGCAAATTTGGGAACAACTCCGTAAATTCCCAACTATGGGACTTGGAATCTATGGAGAATACTTTACCAAATCAGCTACAGATGATCTGATAAGAATGAGAAATCCTCGAGAGATGGCTAAGGAGTTAAGAGATAATCCTAACGCCGTTAGATTTTTCCCTTCATTGGATAACCTGCTGCGTATGCCAGTAGATCCTAAGGACCCATCCAATGGCGAAGCTTGGCAACATTTAAGAGAGGAAAATGGGTTCCCAGCAAGAGGCAAAAAGAGTCAAAAACATGAACAGATTCATGATGGAGAAGCTTCTCATAATGAAGACACTAACATTGAACCGGATTCTACCCTTGTACAGGATACTGACGGTGAACATGATACGAACGAAAGTAGCATGTCATCTTGGGAAAGACTTCGTAAATCAGGTTCAACTAAATGATTATTTATGATATGTATTAATGTATGTATATAGAGGCTTGCCCAGTAGTTGTTTGCACGTGACACTGCACGTGATCATCATGGTAGCGCGTGAATTTACGTGTTTGAAATGTTGAACACATAATTACCTTAGAGCCACCTTTATAGTCATTACTACTTTCCAATACATTAACCAACATGGATCCCTTTAGTGACGCTGGCGAGTTGTATACAATACGCAATCAGTTTTTCACTAACCAGCACCACAAAGTTGTGAGCTACTCATTAGAGCAATTTTCGCCTGAGAACCAACTTAAAGTGTTAGAATATCAAGTAAGATCTCAAATAGCTTTAGGAGAAGATGCATCCAAGCTTATTGATTTGGGAAGACAAAAGTTCCCTGAATCCGAGGAGTTTGTTCAATTGTTAATGGCATACAATGATTTGAAGCTGTTTGGAGTTGATGAGTCTCCGTATTTCCAAGGAGTAGCTGAGCCTAAATTTGAGTTACAAGCAGTGTTAACTGCTTTATATAAAGTGAAGTTTGAAAACGATATAGACGGGGCCATCTCATTGTTATCAGGATATATCGATACTCATAGTTATGGAGAACTAGAACCATTTTTATCCTTAGTGCAATTATATTTGGTCAAGGGTAATTTTCAAGCAGCTAATCAAATCTTCAATAGTTTCAAGAATTTCCCCAGCTCCGCAAGAGATAATATTGTCTATCATGTTTTGGAATCTTGGATCTTGTCGATTAAGGGCGAATCAGATAACATCAGCAATGCTTACTATTTCTATGATGAATTATTATCTGCGGATTTTGATGATGATGAACAAGGCAAGTTCCGACTTTTAAGTGTATTATTTGTGTTAACGGTTCAATTGAAACATTACCCCGAAGCTCAAGAATTATTGAACCAATTGAAGGAATTAAATATCGAGTCATCAGATGGAGATTTCATTGCTAATCAAATCACGTTTGATTATTTAACCAATGATGGTGCAAATGTTACTCAATTATATGAACAATTGAAAGCCATTGATCCTCATCATCAAATGGTGATTGATTATGAAGAAAAGCAAAGTCTTTTCGATAAAATCGTGGCTAAGTACGAAGTTGAAGCTTAATATAAAAGTATTTAAATCTTATTAATCTCATTTTGCTCTTGCTCTTGCTCTTGTTCAGCATTCAATTCCAAACCTTCTTCCATTAACCGTTTCTCGATCTCTTTCAATTCATATTCTCTCTCTAATAATTCCTTCCGTTTATTTATCAAATCTTGATGAACTCTTTCTTCAAACTTTTTCAATCTTTCTTCTTCCAATTTGATTTGTTCTTCCTTCATCAAGTAATTGGATTCATCACCACCACCACTATTATTGTTGTTGTTATTATGACTGTTACTGCTACCTGCTGTCATCACTTCGTGCCCATCATTGACATCAGAATTGGCTGGTCCATCAGATGAACCATTCTTTTCACCAGAAATGTATTGGAATTGCTTACCAGATAAAGCTTCTGTTCTATAGTTCTCATAGATAGATTCATGAGTAATATCTTTGAATTCATTCAAATGAGTAATCAAAAGCACATTCTTCAACACGGTAAAATCATTATAATCAGGATGTTCCACATTTATAGGTTTACTATGAATTGGATTTAAAACTCTTAATTTTAATAAGTCATCTTCATCATTAGGGTTTTCTTGAAATTTATTAGCACCTATAATTGAGAATGGAGCTAAAGAATTCAAATATTTATTATATTCAATGATTTCTTCATCCATATAATCATCTTCATACTCATATTCATTAAACTTGTAGAAATTGATGTTATAATTGTTTAAATCCTCTAAAATCAATTTTTTGTTTAAAGTTAACTCTTGAGGTGTCAACAGATCAGCTTTAGCAATCACAGGAATAAGATTGACCAATTTATTAACGTGAAGCATGAATTTAACATCAATTTGACTTAATCCATGTCCAGTAGGATTAATCATGTAGATTAAAACATGTATTCTACCATCTTTAAATCTGGGGTTCCGTCTGACTCTCAGCTCTTCCAATAAAACTTCATCAAATTGATGTCTAATGAAATCAACAATCACTCGGAAATCTTCATCACAATTAATCAGGTTCCCAAAGTTGGGAGTATCAATGATGTTCAAACTGATTTTATGACCCTCATTGTCTTCCAATTCAACATTCTCGTGTCTCAACGTGAGCTTCTTTTCATACGGGTCTTGATTGACCGTAGATGATGTAGGAACTATGGTGTTCCCTCCACATAAAGTATTGATCAAAGTTGACCTACCCATCCCTGATTCGGCCACCACCATGATGCTGAAGTTGATGGACTTCTTCAAAGTCTTCCGCTTCCGCAACGAGCTCGACGCGTGCTCCTGTGAATAGTTATAATTGGACATGCTTACTGTGGAAGAATAAGGTGTGGCTTTTGGTGGTTGTTTAGTTGTTAGTTATCAACAGTTTTTTTTTAACATTGTTTGGGCTTTTCTCGCGTAATTTGTCACGTGCATAATATCACGTGTTCATATCAAGACGTGTTTCAGATACGTATGTATATAAATATATATCTTTGGTAACGTTACTTCTTAGGGTCTGTAGTACCTGTAAGACAATGGGTGAAGGCAATACCCAACCAGGCTGGGAAATAACCCCAAATAAGTAACGGCCATGTCCAACATTGAAGCTTTGTGTATGACGTAAGAAGTCCATAAGCAATGCCACCATCTGGAACAATGTATTTATCAATCGTAAACACCACTGTAAATGGATTAGCAAGGAAAATCAAAAGATACCCCTTGAACGTATTATTATCAGCCACCGGACTAAGGAATGCCAATGGTAAGGCTATCAAGGCAATAAAAAGGGCCAAGGCAAAATGAACAATCAACAACGCAATAATTAACATGGAGATATGGAAAAGGAATATAGCATGTAAGAACTCAGCATAAGGAGCTTGGAACGTACGTAACTTGGAAGGCATTGCAATTTGAACCAATAAAAAGAATATCATACCGTATATGGGAACTACTTCCGCAGACACTAGATCAGACAACACTGCTTTAGGTAATAATTCCCCCACCATAAACGAATATGCTACCACACAAGTATATAATATGATTGCATTGGAAATGTTGTTGCTAATGTTTTCCACAGTTTTGGGATCACGTATAAGTCGATTCAATGAACTAAGGGCAAACACCAATGCCATAAGCACAGCAGACGGAAGATAAGTACCGATGGAAACAAAATTCTTTGGGCTTAACATCAAATAAAAGAAGAAAGATTGATGGAACTTTTCAAGTAAATTATTAACTGATCGGAAAGTAGAATCAATTAATCGACCAAATTGAGTTACATCAGCTGGACCTTTTGTACCTTTAGCTCGAATAGTTATGGCCTGGATTTGCCAACCTGAAAATGCTTCACATCCACCAGATTTACGTTTTAAGCCAGTCAATACAAGGTTGGCTAACCCATAGAATAAGGTCCTGATTCTTGTACCATAAGTATTTTTAACCAATTCTTCACCTGAAGTACCTTGAATCGATGTATGAATCCCTTCATTATAAGCAATGTTGGTTAAGGTGTTTATCAAGTCCAAATTGGGTAATTGTCCATTTAAACCTTCATAATCAACTTCAATGTATTCAAAGTTATCACCATTCTTACCGTACTCAATAACAATAGCAGCATCAATAGACCCTGCTGTATCTTTCAATGTTGTATGATATGCCTCGACCCAATCACGCAGTGCCTGAGCATCCTTGGGGAACGTAAAGATTATATTCTTCGACCATATAGACATTCTTTTGAAATATCTTGCCATAGAAACAGCAATCGCAATGGCACCCTCATTAAACTCATCATCATCACTTTTAGAAATGGTCCATGGTACAGTTAAAACCATGGCTTCAGTATCATCACCTCGAGGAGCATGGAGAATTGCATACAACGTATCATCATAATATGAGGTAACGTACCCTAACTTCTTAAACCAACCTTCTACAACAGCGCAACGCACTAAAAGATCTTCATCTTCAAGCTTACTTACTTCTTCTCGATATCCCCTAACTATGTTCCACTCACTTTCACGGAAATAAGACATCACTTGTGACGGCATCAATGCGTTCTCAGAAATATATACGTTACGGTATTGACCATCCACACCCAAGTACATCAAACTACCAATGGAAGCTATCACCATAGCTGCAGCCATCAACGGTAACAGCCGCACAATCTTGGGCACAAGTCCCAACTTGTGTACTTTCCGTAGAACTGCTTCTGCCAAAGCCATTGTTAAGATGTACTAATGATATTAATAATGTATAGTTCATTGTGGTTAGTATATGGCATTAAATGTTGTACGCCAAAGATTACATAAACACTTACGTAATTCTACAGAGATATTTAGATCACTGCTTAATGTCCCCATACATATCAAGAGAGTGATTAAATACGACGGGACTCCCAGATAGCCTGAATTTAACAGTTTTTGCAGTATCTTAGAAGTTAAACATATCTAAATAAGGGACCTACTTAGTATCATTAGCCTTCGACTTACCTAAAGTCAGTCACGTGATAAAGTCTGTGCAAAGCACTAGTGTTGTTGCAGTCCGTCAATAATTACTGGCATTTTTGATTACAGTATTAGTTTATCAATGTTCCGTGTATTCTTATGTCATCCAATATATGTATATTAATCTTGGTATGTCTGTCATTCTTATTATTATAATATATTATAGGTTCTGTGTTATCACGTGTCCATTCAACCATTAGTCACGTGACACTGATTTAAATGTACATCCTAGTGCTTACAGAGATGAGGATAGTCATTCATCTCCAATAAATGCCATGAAGATACTACATACTTACCGAGGACTCCTAAGAAGTGTTCGTCGATTACCCTTAGATGTTATAACACTTGAGCGGGCAAAATCAGAGCTTAAGAATCGGTTCAAGGATAGCCATGGTCCTCAAAGTTCATTGGTAACCAAGTGGCAGGCCACTTTCGATGCCATATTACTTCGTCATGATTATAGTCGAATTAATGACGTCTTTGATGATTTATTTAAAAAGAGAACCCGAAACAGCATGTCCAAATGGTTGTATCAACTTCGAGAAACCGACTATTTGAAGTTGAAACCGTACTGGCCCCAGGTGGAATTGATCCAAGAAATCATAGACAATGAGAGTAACGTTGTGACCAAATATGACCAGAAGTTAGCTCGACAACGAACAAATGATATTTGTGTGTATGATTTCTTGAAATTGGACAAGCAAAGGAATAATAGTGTTGAGATGTATGATCTTTCACCTATTAAAAGGCAATTGGAAGTACCCACTGATTCATACAAATGCATAGTGGAAAGAGCTAAAGAATTGTTTGATTTCTTAATGAAAAATCACTCTCGACTTGATATTTCCAACAAAGTTGCAAACTTTGAAATGATATATGAACCGACAACCACTGGACTTCCATGGTCAGCTGATTATCGTGATCTGAGATTAAGGAAACATATTAGTAACATCAAATTGTTATTTGAGTCTAACCTTCCAATGAAACAAGATGATTTGGCACAACTTTCGTCTATAATGTTGGATCCTAACTTTACCATTAATCCAATATTCTACAAGGTAATGATTCGTGAGAGAGAAAAGGCTTTAGAAACCCCCCCAAACCCTTTAGTTTCCAAACATCTTCAATTGAAACAATTGGTACCTTCCAAGCGTAACATTATTCATTTTTATCGCCTTTATCTTTTGCGTCAATATTATATTGATCAACTGGGGAATTATCACTTGAGTTGGTTCAATAATTACTATGAATCAGACCCTGAATTGTTGATCCCTTACAAACACATAAGTCTGTCTGTCTCCATCAAGAATCCCGCAAAGACCTGATTTCACAGCTATCATTTCAGGTTTGGAGATCATTTGAACTTGGCCAATACTGGTTCGTGGAAATTTGTCCTCCTCAGAACAACTTATAGCCTTATTAATATCTACCACATCCATCTTGTATATACCATCAATTTCATAGAGCATATAGGTGAATTTTGAATCCAACTTATATTCAATTAGATTAAAATTTATGGGTAATGATTTCTGTTTGATCTCAATGGACCCAAACAAAGGGAATTGCACCATAGTTAAGTAACTACCATTCATAACGATCACATAACCAAACTCATTGTGCCAAGTCGATGTCAATACAAAATCAGGATCTAGAACTTCACCAATATCTAGAGAAATTGGTGAAGTAATCTGTAGTTTATCAGTGAATGCTTTACTTATATTTGCAAGCAATTTGGCTTTCAAATCCACAAGAAATGCTTCAGAATATGAAAGTATGTCGATTGCTAATTCATTTTTTTTCATTGCTTCAAGGTCATCAACTTTAAAATATTTGGAAATTGTTGGATTGTACAAGCCATCATTAAAATACTCTACTAAACTCAAATAATCGAAGCTCTTACCTTCATTCTCGTCGATAATAACTGTTTTAACCCAATTCAAGAAAGAAATAAACATTTCTTGTTCCTTATTACATTGATGTAACAATTGATAAAGGTATTTGATCATGTTCTGAGTGTATTCTGTAAGATCAATAATATTTTCAAGACCATAATCGATTTCATCTCTATGACAAAGATATAAGCCTTTCATCCGTGACATGATTATCACCATACGATCAAGTATGGTGGTCAAATAAAACAGTTTATTTCTAATTGTTTCATAAGCTGTTTCTCCTTGCTTTCTAAGTCTTTTCAACCCTCCTTCACCTAAAACGTTGAACCAATAATCATGAGATTCCAATGGAACTCGGTTAGTAAGCAAAATATGATACAATTGAACAGGGTTCTCCATATTACTCAAATATCGATCAAATAATACAAGAAATGCTTTGATTTCATGATACATAAGTTCAAGTTGTTCATGTACCATTCGATGCAAGCTTACCAACAGACAAGACCATCCAATCACCTTTTTCAAAGTATACACCATATTATCGTCGTTGTCTTGAAGATTTATATCTACCACTTGTCCTTTAGAGGTAAGGAATAGATTATTGGTGATGGATACAGATCCAATGTGTTTGATCAATCCAACATCATCATTTGGGATGCCATACGCTATAGTAAACACGTTATTGAAGTTGAAATAAACTCTTTGGGAATCCAAGACTACCAAAGTATTCAAATCTGACACGTCAGATTCTTCATGTAACTTTGGCATCTGACTCATCACATCAATATGAAACGGGGTAAGTGGCACGCTGATCTCACCACCAACGGAAACCCAATTCATGCATGAGATACCACGAAAATCAACATCAACCCCTCCGATAATCCCAATGGACTTACCTGTATTTGAATCATATACCTTAATGACATTATCAGTCCCATTAACTGCAAACATGGTACCATTATGTAGGAACGTTAGGGACACTATGGGAGCTCTGTTATTGATGGAATATATCCGTTCACCGTTGATTCGAAACACCCATATGGACATACGATTCATAGACACAAACAAAAGGGAAAGCTCCACACACCACTCAAACACAACACCATCAGGACGACCAACCAACTTCCCGTTACTTATAAGCTCAAATGTCATGATGAGAAACAATAATAACACAGGTCATAAATATGAAGTCGCGATTTGTATGGAAAATACACTTCTGTTATATACTACTCTTTATATGCATTAATATGTACAAGATATCACTACTGGTTAGTTTCTGATGTTGATAACCACAGATGGACCCAAAGTAGAAGACAAATGGCATTGGCCAATAACTACAGGTTTCTTTGTTCCGGGTGGTTGTAAGTCATAGATGGCTTTAGTAGCAGCCTTAATGTTATCGATGATTTCTTTATCACTGAAATCACATCTACCAATTGGAAGGGCCAATTTATTTTCCTTCTGCTTAAACTTATGGGCACCCAAATTACTTCTCATTAACCCCACAACATCTGCATCAACAGTTTTTTGCTTGACAGAGGGGAAAAGACCCTTAGGTCCTAATCTTTTGGCTACTCTTGCTAATTGAGGAACAATATCTGGCGTAGCATAGCAAGTACTAATTTGATCCAAATCAACTTCTTTGGCATCAATTTGATCAATAAGTTCTGCTCCTCCAGTAATGGTGGCTCCAGCATCTTTGGCTTGTTGTAAAATACTTTCATCTAATGACAAAATCATCGCACTGGATTCCTTAACTGGGCGAGGGAAAAATACACTGCCATTCAATGGTTTAGATCCTCTTTCAGATACTAATCCAAATTGCATGGAAATTGTGGTTTTCTTAGAAGGTTGTCCAACTTCAGCGGCTCTTAAATATCTCAATGCGGTTGGCACTTCCATATATAACGGATGTAATTCCGGTGCCTGTCTCATTTTTTGCTTCTTTTTCTGGAGTTGTCTAGCTCTAACTTTAGCATTAATGGCTTCATCTTGTTTCTTCTGCTTCTTGGCTGCTTCAGTAGCCGCATCGCGCACCACGGCTGTGGTTGAAAAGGCCCGACTGCTGTTAGTGAGTAATGTCGCAACTCGAGTAGAACGTATCATTAGGGCTTGTGTATATACTTCTTTTACGGCTACTACACATTGATTCCATTCAAGTCAACTGAAAAATTTTAGTACCATTGATTATTGGACAAGACACGACTTTCGTGATAATTGTAGCAATAACAAAGTATCAAAGTCAACCCCATAGCTAACACCACTACTCATCCTTCATTTTCTTAATGTATACCTCAAGATCGACTATGTCTGCACATAGACCAGTCCTAACATTAATAAATATGATTATTAACATCAACAAATATTTTCCCACATTTTTTCAAAATTGAATGGATTGTTCTGGAAATCACTACAAAATCTTCGCTATTCTAGAGTACACTGTACATGATTTACTCTGTTCTAACCGTATCGTGTCATTCATTTACCTGATAAAAAACGTATGTAAATACCTTATAACCTAACAATAAAGTAATCCAATAAAGCCCATAAAAAATAACATCGTATCATACATTGAAATCCTGGGTATTTCTACAGTTTCTCCTGTATCTGCCACTGAACCAGCAGAGCTATAACCGAACCGGAATCAGAAATAGGAGATCTATTCCTACCGAAAAAAAGAGAACCTTCTTGATGTTCTATCCACTGTGGTCGTAGACTTGCAATGGAATTCGGTTGAGCTTGTACTTGAACCTCTGCGACTTCCATTCGCTGATGGGATTGTTTCTAAACACGGTTGTGCTTTATAATTAGATGTAGGAGATGTAGGAGTAAGTGGTAAGGAGGGAAGTGATTGGACTCTAACTCCTACTGGTGAACTGATAGATAGTCTATGTTTTGTTTTGTTATTACTCTTTTCAAAAAAGCTGATCCGGCGTTTGGGAGGAACCAAAGAAGGAAGAGGAGGAGGTGCATCTTTTTGGATATCTGAAAGATGATGATACGAAGCTGAAGCCGAAATTGAAGCTGGAGTTGGGACTGTTGCAGGAGATGATGCCACAATTGAAGTCAAGTTGTCATATGCTGGTTTATCGATACTATCTGAAGATTTGAAGAGTCTAATCAAGGATTTCCGTCTAAGTTTAGAATAGTTGTTCAAGGTTGTTTGAGAGAGCTTTTCCATAGAATTATTATTGTGGAAGGACCCAATTTGAACCACATCATAGAATTCATCTTCACTAGAACATGAAGATTCTTCAATCTCATCTAACGAAGGTTTATAATGATAATACTGGGATATCACCTGAGGAGCATTCACAATCAAAGACTCCAATAACCTCGTGGCGTTAGTCATTGTTTCTGTTGTTTCACAATTAAAAAAGAGTGGTTGGAATACTATAGCATAATTATGGGCCGTCATTTTGGTGATCGAGATACTATTTTGTACCAATAGATGCAATTGAAACACCAAGTATAAAAACATTTGGCTATGATGAACATTGCTTGGAGTATGCAATTGAGCTATTACGTATTGGAAACTATTACTTCTGTTCTGGGACGTCAACCTGCGGGTTACTCGTGGAGTCAACAATTCGGGATAACAAGCATAAAGTAAACGTTTCAAGCATCCACAATAATCATGGATAGTGTATGAATTATCCCATTCAGTACATTCAGGGTCTTCAACCATCACCAACAGATCTCTTGAATTGTGAGGAAGATCACCTAAAAGCTCAAACAAACACGATATTCTTTTGGACGACCCATTGATACGGAATATTCCCAACGCTGGGTGCGATTGAATATGTTGGAAAAGAGTAGCCAATGGTTTGGGGACTTCTATAGGAGGAGGTCGTGGATCACAGGAGTTCCATGAATCGTTGGTTAAGTCCACCGGGACTCTATCAAAGGTGTCAATGTCTACCATTTGAACTCAACTCCAATAGTATCCACTATTAGTTGGAGTAAAAGAAGCTTGACGCTAATAGTTAACTATTTTGATAAATATATCTATAAACTACTCAATGACCAAATCAGGATGTTAAGCCACTTATGGGGATACGGTTTTTATTCTGGTGGGCCGACTCCTTTTACTTGTGTCAACGTATTGTGTCAGGAGCGTGTTTTAGGTGTGCCAAAACAAACAAACAAAAGTAACAATAATTTGCACTCCGGTTGAACGAAATATGGAGTCAATATAAGTGAGGAAAGAAAAGAAAAGAAAATACAGAATGAAAGAAGGAATGTACTGCTGTTCGTTCCCTTACGTTTACATGTACATCTACAGTAACACTCCTAATAATAGACGAAGCGACATACCCGTACAGATTTTCTTTTAATGCATCTTGAGGTATCTTGAGGCCGACCAAAAGGGAAGCAGCAGCAAAGGGATCGTGTGAATAGCAGAAAAAAACGGGGCAGCCATGAACCTTTACGGTTGTTTGGAATTCATGAGCTTAATCCGTTTGTTTATTATTTTTGTTGGAGTGCGTTTAGGATACGTAAGAGTTAATTGCCAGACCTGGTTCAGTTGTTCTTAGCCACTTGAATGTAACTTTACGTTATAGAATGTATTGTTATGGCCTCTTGCAAATGATACGATGCTTGAAGTCTATTGTTACTGCCATGCGAAGCCTGACTACCATCGGCTTATAGACAGGAGACGAGGTTGTATAGTAAAATTTTCTTTATGATCTCACGTAGTGTATCGCGTTTACCCCAACGCGCTTGGTTTCCAAACAAGCAATGGTGCAGCTTCAGATTTCATTTCATCTGGTTAATTAGTCCCCTTTGGGTATACTTTACCAGTTATAGCAGGTATAGTATAGTATAATATCGTATCTTATGGGTTACGGTTATACCAAGTGCTTTGCGACGTAAGCTTGTTACTAAAGCTTTTCCCACATTTCCACATAGGAATGTACTCGATGAAACTTGTACTAAATATTCTTTACCTTATACTATACTTTTTTAACACAGTCGTGCGTTCCATTGTGGAACTTATCAGCGTCCCGTAATCAAGTAAATACCTTTTCCGGATGGAAGAGAACTTCAAGCAAAGTTACAGAAATTTAGCCGCACTGCAGTATCACCCATTTGATACCATTTTAATGTCGGAATCACCCTATTTTGTCTGTCAGTATTTCCATTTAAATGTTATCTTAATACCATTTCAATACCATTTCAATGCTCTTGCCCTTTTAGCCTCTCTTTTTTGCTATGTCTGTAAGCTTTGGCATTTGCTCCGACTAGATTAATAAGTCTCATACCTATACAAAACGTGCCTGTGCACCTACCGCTACCACTACCAAGAATCTTCAGACACTTAACCCTTCACCATGATTTAAGATCATCGAGTGCTATCTTTATCCATTAGTCAGGATGTAGACGGTATTGTCATAAATTATACTCTTATCGCACGGCACATGACAACACCGCACCGCTTGTGAGTGGAAAATGTATGGAAAATCTGTCACAGAAATAGAACCTGAATATAAAACCTTCACTTGCCTGCTGTCAAAAAGGAGGTTGACTGTAAAGGTGTGATCGATGTAGACATAAAGATACCAATTACTATCTGGCTACAAAAAACGGCGATACAGCAATCATTAAATCAAATACCAATACTTGATCATATTGCGAGCCCGAAGAGTGGAGTTCTTTCAGACAGTCATAAAACGAAGTCAACATGGTATAGAATGGGTAATATTGAAGCGGAGTCAAGAGCTGACAAATCCTGACAATTACGACTTTAGTATGGCTTTTTGGAGTAGACTGTAGTAAAATTTGTATATACTACTACTTGCTACGGAATGCAGGAGCAAGAATTCAGAAACATTTTTTATAGCGGTGATTGTCGATTAAAATCGGAGTTCATGGTAGAATCTTTTCCAGACATTCATTATAAGGGGTCCACGACAGTATGGAGTACGGATGTATGTTCGGCGCAGCCATTATAGTTTAATGATGATAAAACAATTCAATAAATCATGTTTCAACCAAAGTCAGGGAGAAAAACGATCTATGGTGTGGAGAAGCAGACACAGCCGACAACCTGACTGACAAGTACGAACGAAGGAACGAAAAAGAAAAAGAGCATACCGGCAACAGTTGCCATCCGTACGTACGGCATGGAAGCACCCACTTGCATTATGTAAAGAACCTAGTCAATAATAGCGAGTTAATGGTCATTGAGAACTAAGTGATACCACATGTGCGAAGAAAAAGAAAAAAAGACAATGTAGATAAGACTGACTTAGACTGACTACATAACACTAGATTACAACACATTACATTAGACTAGACTGACTTGACAACTAGTGATTCTTTGACATTACCAATATCACTAATAATTAGATAGCAGCAGATTCTCACCCGGGCTTCAGACTAAGGTAGCATACTATTGTTTTAGCTTATTATCCGACACCCGTCCTATTGTGTTGTAATAATCTATCTAATTGAGGTGCTAATTACGTCATCAATGGGTTTTTGATATTCTCACTTTTTTTGTCTGCGAAAAAGAAGCAACACCACAAAGATAACCACGACCTATAAACCAGTCACTTATATTCTATCACACCATTTTTATACTAGTCCGAACCACCATATACAACGATAAGCGGTTCGATTAAACCTGTCTATACACATAAAATTAAGTAAACTAAGTGCAACCTGACGTGGGCAACTGATATAAGTTCGTTCAAAGCGTGGCCGGAAAAAAAAAACATTCAACGAGTGAAATAATACTACTACAAATCTGAAGCGGTATTGGATGCCGCTAAATAAGCCCATGGATGGCATGAAAAAACTCTTTCAACCTGCCACTCCATCGCCATTGGCGTTGGTTCCCACAGCGCCCACGGTAGCTCCGTCAACGGACAGCGATAAGCATGAAGGTAGTTTTGGTAGTGGTGGAGGAGGAGGTGATGGAACAAGTAAAAGACGGTTCAAGTCAAAGTCTGCACCGGCACCACACGGAGACACGCTGCGGAAATCGCCGTTGACCGAAGTCTCGGTCGAGATGTCAGACCACCTTCAGTCTGACGGCACAGAGAAGAATGCCATCGAGTCCAGTAATGTCGAACTGGTCAACGACAAACATCAAGAGGAAAGCAACAGCGAGGTAAACAAAAGGGGCAATGAAGATATTGCCAATGTAAACGAACATAACCAAGAACAGACACCGTCCATAACGGAGTCGTCTGCCGACGATTCCGACTACGACTATGATGAGCACGATTATGACGACGATGACGGAGATAACAGTTCAGATGATACGTACGGACAATCTATACCGCTGGAGTTTCTCGACCGACTTCGAACGTTCAACTTGTTCAACAAGGCACCCAAATCGTTCCACACCAAAGTAGCCTCTAAATTGTCATTGATGAGATTCCACCCGCAAGATTGCATCATCAGCAAGAACGACCCTGCCAAAGCCATGTACTGGATTTTGAGAGGCTCTGTGTCCGTCACCAGTCCTGATGGAGAAACCATCTACGCCGAGCTAGCCCGAGGCCAGTTCTTTGGAGAAATCGGGATCCTTTTCAATCGTCCAAGAACAGCAACGGTAATAGCCCGAACCAAAGTTTTGGTTGGAGTATTGGCCCGAGATGCCTTGAACCAGGTGCTAAAGTCTTACCCTTCTATTGAACGTCGTATTCGTGACGAAGCACAAGAAAGATTAGCAATGCAAGAGAAGAAAATCAAGTTGGAGATCCCAACGTTAATAGCAAAACATTCAAACTATATGTACCAACCGCATAAAGATGGAATCAATGCTCTGAAAATGGCTACTGCTGCTGGTCATGCTATGCCTGTTCCTTCAATAGCCCCATTAAATGGTGATTTCAGATCCATATTGTCTCCTTCACCTCCTCCTACTTGCATTTCCCCTGCATCAGTTGCTGCTACCGTTGGTACTTCGGCTTCCCCAGCCCGACAACCACCGGCAGCATTACCAGCATCAACTTCAACGTCGATTTCAATGTCAGTATCATCACCACCACCACAACTACATTTGCCTCATCCTATACCACTACATCCTCCGTCAGCCGGATCTTTGCTGTCAAAAACGACGACATCTTCCATGCCTACATCGCCTATAAACCCTTTGTTTCTTCAACAACAACGTTCATCGTTCAAAGAATCTACTCGATATTCACTTCCCTTGCCCAAGAACTCAGATAATGTGGATTCCACCATTTCTATCCAAGAATTCCTCAAGAACCTTCCCATATTCCAATCGCTTCCACTGAAACCGTTACATCAACTTGCTTTACTGGTTGATCCTTTGCATTATCGTTCTTTTGAGACCATCTTCAAAAGAGGAGACGTTTCTTCTGATATCTACTTTATTATCCATGGAGAAGTCGAAGTCGTTGTTTCACATGATTCACCCAACCAATCAAATATCTCGCGGATTGATACCATTCTTGGAAGACTTTATGCTGGATCATATTTTGGGGAAATGAGTTTCCTTTCGTTGATTAATGAAGGCCCAAAATCTGAAACTATAAGATCCGCAACTATAAGGTCAGTAACTAACGTTGAATTGATTGTAGTAAAGTCTGAAAGTTTACTAAAATTATGTCTGGAATATCCCGTAATTGCAGACCATTTCCGTCAGACAGCAATGAAGAGACGTTCAGAGAATGCCAATGTTACAACTGCCACTGGTCCTTCTGCTGGTCCTGCTGAATCCAATGAAAGAGATAAGAAGAAATTGTCTATTGATTATTTAATCAATGGAAGAGATACATCACCATCTTCTTTCAAACTCCCTCTGTTCACTTCACCCACTACAGAAGTAGAAGATCCCATTGGTCGACCTGAATCTCCACCGGAACCAAACCAATCTGCATTTTTCAATTCCAATTGGTCGTTTGGAAACGCTCCATCATCATCTTCAACCACAGGAGGGAAATCGATTGAAGTCCCCCTCAGAGCCCATACAGGATCTCCTACATCGTTTGATCCGAAACCAGATTCTCCATTGTCAGTCGAAGGAACGATTTCTCGGTCCATTTCTCCTACTTCAATGCTTCAAAGCGCAGATTCATCATCAGTTACGTCACTAACAAAAGGCTGGTCCTCAGGAGTTTCTATTAGTAGTAATGCCGATGATGAACGTCGGTTTAAACGTCGTAAGAGCAGCACCAGTGCCAGCAACAGCAGCAATATACCAATGATAAGCTTACCTCCGCTCAATCCCGTTCTTCCATCGATAAACAAATTCACCAACTTTCAGAACGATAAAGTACTTCCGTCCTTCCAATATCTTCCCCATAATAAACGTGTGAGATTACAACTGATCCAGGCTCGAAGACGACTGTCTGTTCTTGCTAACCATGGGACAATTCCTGATAGACTTTTGATCAAGGTGTTTGAGTACATGACACTACCAGAGTTGATGAAGCTTCGTTGTGTTTGTAAGAGATGGAGATCTTTACTTTACACTGCGCCCAACTTGTTTCGGAGATTAAACTTGACTCCATGGAATGTTTCTATTGACGATAAAGTCTTGTGTCAAATCACTGACTTTGTTGGCAGCCGTCCCGAATGGATAGACATCTCCAACTGCTTCCATATCACCGACGAAGGCTTTAGTTATATGGTTAATGAGATTGGGATGCATGGTAAGATCAAGTGCATAAAGATGAAATCTGCTTGGGATGTCAGTGCCATGGCGATCATGGATCTTGGGGTTCCTAGTGTTGGCCATTACTTGGAAGAGATTGATTTGTCCAACTGTCGTCGGGTTAGAGATAATGTGTTGGAACGTTTGCTTGGCTGGGACAATGATAACCAGCAAGAAAAACATGAACAGGAGCTGCATCTGGACCCTCAACAACAACAGCAACTTCAATATCGTCTTCCCTGGGGACCACCAGGAGGACGAGGAGGGTTCCCCGATGGTGTCGACGAAGATAAAGACCTTGAAGTTGGATGTAAGAATCTCAGAAGTATCAATGTCGGTTACTGCAAGCATCTCACAGACAACATCATGTTCCACATAGCTAACCATGCCAACAAGAGATTAGAGTCGTTGGACTTGACCAGATGTACGACCATCACCGATGTTGGGTTCCAATACTGGGCGTATCAGTCGTTCCCCAATTTGAAGAAGTTATCGTTGAAAGATTGTACGTTTCTCACCGACAAATCGATCATCGCCATAGCCAATGCAGCCACCAACTTGGAGATTCTAGACTTGAACTTTTGTTGTGCCATCTCTGATGTTTCCATTGAAGTACTTTGTTTAGGGTGTCCTAATCTTCGAGAGTTGGATTTATCGTTCTGTGGTTCTGCTGTTAGTGACTCTTCCTTGGTGACAATATCTTTACATTTGCGTCATTTAGAGCGGTTGATCATCAAGGGGTGTATTCGTGTTACAAGAGCAGGCATAGATGCACTTCTAAGTGGGTGTTCACCAATGAACTACATCAACATTAGTCAATGTAAGAATGCCCATATTTACCCAGGAAGAGTTCCAGCTCAAAGACTTCAAGTCAACCCTCAAACCAAGTCGGCATTCGTTACTGCTGGGCCCTATCACAATATCATCGAGATTGTTATTTGATCTGATTGCATTATGTATTATTGTATTATATTATATTATTATGGGTTATCTCCGCCAACATTTATACTCACTTCTTTCTCTTCTTCTTGGACTTGTCTTCAAACTCTATATGGGATACAGGAACCCCCTTTTCTTTTAGCAAGTCAACGACCAACTTACCATGGGGTCCTTGAACCATGATCTCGGTTTTATTCATAGCATTGGTCCCGATGGTCGCACTGCCACTGCACTTGACCTTTAGCTCATCAGCAAACCTCGAAGCGTGCACTCGGAACGGCTCAAAGTTGTAGAGGCGAGTGACAACCTTACGGCCTATCCGGGTCTCGGTTATAACTTGGACTTTGGGTGGCTCTCCACTGACAATCGGACTACTACGTGAGTCGCCATTGTCGTCATCGTCACGTGAAACGATTTGGTGATAGTGCACCAATGACTTGAGAAGGGCTTCGGTGAGCTTATCACGAGTCAATTTTGACTCTTGAGTCGCGCTCTTGCACAACTTCTTGAGATCATCATTAAGCAACACTTGCTTTTTGTTCTTGGGGTCGGCAAGTTGATGGACACGGATGTATTGCTCCAAGCATTGACGTAGTTCCTTTGCGTCGTAGTAACCAGCTGGGTCCTTAATCTCCGGGAATAGCAGGAGACTGTTGGACTTGCCTCTGTAGAGCTTGATCACCTGTAAAGAATTATTACCTGCTGTTGAAGCAGCGGTAGCAGCAGCAGCCACTGTTGGATGTTTGATCTTGGTGGGTACAAAGTTTTGTATGACAGGCTCACTAGTCGATATAACCTTTACTACAGTCAAATCGTCTCCCTTACCCTTTAGCGTTATGTAGCCCAACTTCTCCATGGCCTTCAAGTATTTCGCAGTCTTCTTCCAGGATGTCTTCTTCATGTTGATCTCTTCCTGTGGAGGTGGCACGTGTTTGAGGATATGATTGGACATCAAAGTAGAGGAGGAGATCGGGGTTTCGATGGAATCAAGCTTGATGCTTTGAAGTAATCCCCTAGTAAAGAAGTTGTCCACATCTTCAAGAGAAAGTGTATCAACAGTTTCACCTAATCGGGACAAGTCATCAGTGCGGTCATCATCACAGTTATTATCTTCCGCTTCTTGTTCACCAGTCTCAACGTTCTCAACTTCTTCAACTGGCTCAACCTCTTCCTTGGTTTGTTCTACCACCAACTCAATCTCTTTCGGTATAACAACTCCTTCATTGTCATTAAGCTGGTACAACAGGTCATTGACCGTGTGGAGGATCCTCACCACCACACCTTCATTCTTCTCTCTATCCTCAGGTAACAGCACAAGACACACCCCTACGGCAAGAATCACATTGGGTCGAAGGTAGTCCACGACTCCTACAATCGTGTCTGGCTTACAACGAGGATCATACGGACCAGAGATCCCTCTCATCATGAGATTGGCTCCCTGGGTCAACCGTTCAATCACGTACTGGTGAGTGACCACTTGAGGAAGAAGTCCAGGGCATTTCCAGCACGTGAAAACAGTCGGAAGCAATTGATTGCCGGCAATGTCAAACCATACGGGAACATTGGAGTCGTCGGAGAAGATTGTGCCTTTTATAGTTTGGGAGTGATGCACCGTGGAGAAGCCTCCTGCCTTGATAGTCTTTGGTAGTAACAATAGCTCATATTCTTTAGCGACATTTTTGAGGTTGTAGTACTCGATAACCTCAGCAAGCACGGCTCTACGTTCCGAGGTCTTGATGTTAGACGCCAGCTTGAACTGTAGCTTCTTAGTGAACATGAGTGCTGGCGATGATGGGCAGTGGGTGAAGGTGTCGGTGGTGATGGTGATAATTTTAACGACATTCAAGTGTGAAATTTTCGGAGCGCGAACTGAAAATTACACCAAGACAACAGACAAACTGTACAAGTGAACACCCAATAAGACTCATACCGTTTACTAAACAGTACACACGTAACAGTACAGTCTTCTTCGTTCGAGTATGGGTACGATTGAACCTAGAGCAGAGAGACGCACACGGTACTCGTTGGCCATTTATGTCGTCGCAGTGCTAGCCGTACTAGGATTACCTCTTTGGTTGTTCACTACTTCGATCATCAGAGCAGAACTTCCCATAAAAGACATTGAACGTCTAAATGAGCAGTTGAACGATGAAATAACCTTCAAGATCCCCATCTACATGGATTTGCCCAACAGCCAACGAGTTTTCGTTGATGCGTGCCAAAACTTGCTTACAAAGGAGTTGGAACAAAGGTACCCTGGAATCACCAACATTTGGAGATTGGATCTTCATAGGATACTGGACCGCAATGTTAGTGTTGTTGATGATTATGTGTTGAGAATCAAAAATGATGATGAAGATGCTCAGTTGGAGCTGTATTACATTTCACCCTACTCCAAAGAGATTACTCTAACGGTAACCAAGAATGCCATTTCCACTAACAATGTGGCTCATTTCGTGGTCGAGACGTTGCTTGATAAGGTGTTTAAACTAGAACTCGAAGCCTTCTATCAAATACATCGGTTTGGAAAGAAGAATCCAATTCATGAAAACCATGTGGTCCTTCTTTATTCTCCCCATTACAACTTGGTTTTTTCCTTGTTTACTCAAGATGGAACACCCATATCTTGGGGTATTGAATCACTGATTAAAACCCTCTATCCGCTATTACAGAAGCTTCAACATTTTGCTAACTTTACTATAAGTACGCAAATCCAGTATTATTCCGAACCTTCTAACCCCATGAGGTACGATAATTCTTCTGATGCGTTTGTGATTAAAGAAAGTGAACTTTCAACATTTATTAACCACGGAGATTGGAACTTGTTTGGTCACGACATTAATCCGACAGTCAACTTTCTTGTTTATTTCCCCAAATCGAATTATGATAATAAAAAAACCTTAATTGAAAGATCGACTACCAATTCGTTTTTGATTAACCAATGGGGTGGTGTCTATGTTTTTAATAAGGACATGCCAATTATTAAGAATGTCCCAGCTAAAATCACTGAAGATGAATTACTTCCAATTATGGAGATTTTTTCATCTCAATTGTTTGAACTACTTGGAGTGCCCCATGAACCTATTTCTCCTTCCATTAGAATCGATTCCTTAACTCGTCTTGCAACTTATGAAAACCTTCGTCAACTGATTGACAATCTACAATCATTAATTAAAGTTAGTGAAGCTTTGGCAGACATTCTGATCCCAGATGAAACTCAATTCCATGCAGTGGAAACCATCACCAACATAAAGGAAGCATTGCAAATCTTACAACAGAATATCACCAGTTGTAAGCAATTTGAAGGCATAACTGTTCTTTCGGCTCAAGCAGTGACGGCTTCCAATAAAGCCTTTTTTGATAAAGAAATGGTTCAACAGGCATATTTTCCTAGTGAACACAAATTAGCGGTTTTCTTACCGTTACTTGGACCTGTTGGTTCTATAGTGACGTTTGGATTAATTGCTACGCTTAAACTGATGAAGAGAGATCGTGATGATGAGAAACGCAAGAGAGCCGAGGAAAAGGCTAAGAAATCGGAATAAATATAGTCGTATATTTACGATACACATTAACACATAATATTTCATAGTATACATATCTTACCATCGGATAAACCTGGGGTATAATAGGGCGCGCGTTTTGTGTCACATACATACAATCATACAAACTGAAACGAAAAAAAATCCGATGAGATGATACTATTCATAAATACCATACGCAATCTTCAATCATGAGTAAAGTATTATATAATTCGCTTGGTGTTAGTGCAGTAGGCATAGCATCGTATTTCTGGGGAAAATCCGGAAGCAATGTTCCTGCCGGTGACACTAATGTCAAAACTCCTACACCACCCACTGGAGTGGCACCAGTTGGATCAGGAACTGGAGCAGTAGGTGGATCCTTTGACCCAGCATTAATTAGACCTCAAGACTTCTACAAATATGGGTTCCCAGGACCTGTACATGATTTGACCACTAGAGGAGAATTTGTTAGTTGCTACGATAGAGCCACCCGAAACCCATATTGGGTAGTGGAACATATTACCCAAGAGCTGATTCGTCGTGGGGAAGGAGTTGATAGATCCAAATCTGTTTTCAAAGAAGATGAAACAATTCCCTTAAAATTTAGAAACCGATTAAGGGACTTTTTCCGTAGTGGATATGATCGGGGGCATAATGCTCCTGCAGCAGATGCCAAATATATTCAACTGGCAATGGATGAAACATTTTATTTAACAAATATTAGTCCTCAAGTCGGAGAAGGGTTTAACCGAGATTATTGGGCTCATTTAGAAGATTTCGGTCGTAGATTAACCAAATCTTACGATGATGTTAGAATCATGACTGGCCCATTATATTTACCTAAGAAATGTGCTGATGGGAAGTATAGAGTGGAATACGAAGTCATTGGGTCGCCACCAAACATTGCAGTGCCTACTCATTTCTTCAAGTTAATTGTTGGAGAGAACAAGAGAGACCAAGGCCAAAAGATCAGTTATGCCGCATTTGTGTTACCCAATGATAAGATTGAGAATCTGACACCGTTGACCAGTTTCCAAGTTCCCTTAGAAGCGTTGGAGAAGAGTAGTGGTTTGGAATTACTTGGTAAGGTTCCTTACTATAATAAGAAGGATTTATGTCAGGAAGTTAAGTGTGAGATAATTGTTCGGGAGTTTTTACCACAAACTCAAAAGGTATTAGCATTACCAGGTAAGTAATATAGTTATGTAAATAGAATCAAGAGCCCTAAGTCCGAGACAGACCCGGAGTAATTATATGTATGCATGCACGTAGTATGTATGTATGTATGTATGTATGTATGTATATATGTTTGTATATATGTATGTATGTATGAATGTACAACGTCTTATAGCAATCGAAGGAAATGTTGGCTATAATTCAGGGGGCATGTATTTCTTATTGCAGCTGACATAAGCAAGCGGTAGGGTTAATTTCTCGGTGTTTAATTTTAGTGGTGGTGTCGTTGGATTGATGCTCAACATTAACGGGTGCACAAAGTTGGACATGGAGACTCAACAAAGATAGTGTCATATTCTTACGTAATCGTGCGACGAGATTAAACAGAAATTAATATTCACAAAATTAAATATAGAGACCGTTTATACGTATACACAGTATAAAAGCATATGTTTGCAGTACATACTGCGAACAGTATATATACATACATATACTAATACAATGTACACGTTCACTGCGTCTATTGCACTGTTTTACACTGGATAGTACTGCTGTCCGTATGTGCAGTATCTATTTAACCGAACTCTACCAAAATTTTTTCCTCCCACATACGCGCTACCACACGACATATCCCAAAAATATTAAATTGTTGGGTGCATCCAAAAAGAACACAAACAGACTTTTGGAGGCCTAATCATCTTACCCACCACCATACACTCCCAAAGGTATATAGTTGCAAATGGTAGGGCATTCAATTGTTGAATGCCAAAATTATTTATATATATATATTTACATTACGGGTGCAGAATTTTTTTTTAAACAAGGAAATTGACTGTTATTCAATCTTGTCCGTTATACTTAATATTAGCATAATAGGTAATACCAATTCTTAAGATCATAAACCGATACCACCCGGTTAGACTTAATAACACCCTATACACTTTGACTATACTATACCACTGGTTCTATATTACACTCTATACTACTACGCATGTCTACTACAACTCACAGACCGTTCTCCTTGCACCACGGTGACATTGAATACACCACCTTAGTTCCCTCGGACTTGTTTTTCATTTGCTCTCAAGTTAGAGAGCAGTTTGTTAGAATATTACCCGACCCAACTGAAGGATACGCTGGTGATGATGAACCTTCGACTCCAGCAGAGTTGTCTGCCAAGTTTCTTGGGTTTCTTTCCACGTTTGTGGACCCGGAAGACAACGACAACCGTTTCAATAGATTTCTTAGTATCATGTTGCAAGATTTCAATAACAGATTTCTTACCGGTAACACGTCAGATATTCATACATTTGCCGCCAATTTATTGGAACAACCAGATTTGGATGCCTTTACTACAACCAAGGCCAGTCAATTGATCCAACACTACTACACTGCTTTAGTCAACTCCAAGACTCCAATCCCCGAAATCACTCCTGATTTGTTGACCAAGGAGAACGCCGCTAAGATTTACGCTATTTTCGGGGGTCAGGGGAACACCGACGATTACTTTGAAGAATTGAGAGATTTGTACCAAACTTATCATTCTTTAATCAACGACTTTGTGGGTCCAATTGCCGCCAAATTACAACAATTGGTGAAATCAACTGAAAATGTCGATAAAATTTACACCCAAGGTTTCGATATTTTGACTTGGTTATCTTCTGTCGAAAGAACCCCTGATCAAGACTATTTGTTATCTGTCCCTGTCAGTTGTCCATTGATTTGTGTGATCCAATTGTGTCATTATGCCATCACTTGTAAAGTCTTGGGTATCACTCCTGGTCAATTCAGATCTCATTTGGCTGGGTCTACAGGCCATTCCCAAGGTTTGGTCACAGCAGTGGCTATTTCATCTTCTACTTCTTGGGAGTCGTTTTTGGAAAACTCCATTAAAGCTGTTTCCCTCTTGTTCTTCATTGGTGCTAGATCTTTAATGGTTTATCCAAGAACTACTTTACCCCCCACCATGTTACAAGATTCTTTGGAAAATGGTGAAGGTAGACCTTCTCCAATGGTCTCTATCAGAGATTTAACCTTGGAATCCGTTGAAAAGTTTATTAATGAAACAAACAAACATTTACCAAAGGAGAAACACGTGGCTATCTCTTTGATTAATGGTGGTAGAAATTTGGTTGTTTCCGGTCCTCCAGAATCATTATACGGTTTAAACTTAAGTATGAGAAATAAAAAGGCTCCCTCTGGTTTGGATCAAGCAAGAATTCCTTATTCCGAACGGAAATTGAAGTTTTCCAATAGATTCTTGCCAATTTTTGCTCCCTTCCATTCCCATTTATTGGAACCTGCTACTAATTTGATCATTAATGATATTGCCAATGCTGGTCTTAAATTCTCCGCTAAGGATTTAGGAATCCCAGTTTTTGATACTTTTGATGGTTCAAACTTGCAAGATTACACTGGACCTGATTCAATTGCTGTTAGAATTACTAAATGTATCACTCAATTTTCAGTCCATTGGGAATTGGCCACTAAATTCCAAGGTTCCCATATTTTGGATTTCGGCCCTGGTGGTGTTTCCGGTTTAGGAGTCTTGACCCATCGAAACAAAGAAGGTACCGGTGTTAGAATCATTTTGGCCGGTACTTTGGATGTTCATGGTGCTCAATCTGATGATGAATATGGTTTCAAGCAAGAAATCTTTAACCAAGCTCCTGGTTCCATTAAAAGAGCTCTGAATTGGTTGGAAGAATTCAAACCAACTTTAATCAAGAACTCTGAAGGTAAAGCTTTTGTTAATACCAAGTTTTCTCGTTTGTTAGGTAAGGCTCCATTGATGGTACCTGGTATGACACCAACCACTGTTAATCCTTCATTTGTTCTGGCCGCCATTAGAGCTGGTTACCATATTGAATTGGCTGGTGGTGGTTATTTCCATGCTCCAGGTATGGAAGCTGCTTTGAAGTCAATCTACAATGATAACCCTCATTTCCCTAAGGTTACCCCTGGTGCCGGTGTTGCCATTAATTTGATTTACGTTAACCCAAGAATGTTACAATGGGGTATCCCATTGATTAAAGAATTGAGAGCTAAGGGGTTCCCAATTCAATCCATGTCTATTGGTGCTGGTGTTCCATCTTTAGAAGTTGCTTCTGAATATATTGAAGAATTGGGTTTGACTCATTTGGGTTTGAAACCTGGTTCTATCGATGCTATTTCCCAATGTATCACCATTGCTAAAGCCCATCCTGACTTCCCAATTGTCTTACAATGGACTGGTGGTAGAGGTGGTGGTCATCACTCTTTTGAAGATTTCCATCAACCAATTCTTCAAATGTACTCCAAGATTAGAAGATGTTCCAACATCATTTTGGTTGCTGGTTCTGGGTTTGGTTCTGACGAAGACACTTATCCATATTTAACTGGTTCATGGTCTGCCAAGTTCAACTATCCACCAATGCCATTTGACGGTTTCCTTTTGGGTTCCAGAGTCATGGTTGCCAAAGAAGCCTGTACCTCTTTGGAAGCCAAGAAGGCCATTGCCAAATGTTCTGGTGTTGCTGACGACAAATGGGAACAAACCTACAAGAAGCCTACTGGTGGTATCATCACTGTAAGATCTGAAATGGGTGAACCCATTCACAAGATTGCTACCAGAGGTGTGATGTTTTGGAAGGAAATGGATGATACCATTTTTAACTTACCCAAGAACAAGTTATTGGAAGCCTTGAACAAGAAGAGAGATTACATCATTGAAAGATTGAACAAGGATTTCCAAAAGCCTTGGTTTGGTATGAACTCCAATGGTGTCTGTGATTTGGAAGACATGACTTACCAAGAAGTTGCCAACAGATTAATTGAGTTGATGTACGTTAAGAAGTCTGAAAGATGGATTGATGTTTCCTTGAGAAACTTTTTTGGTGACTACTTGAGAAGAGTTGAAGAAAGATTCACCTCTAATGATGGTCAGATCTCTTTGATTCAATCCTATAATCAATTGCAAGACAAGCCACAACAATTCACCGACAAGTTTTTTGAAACTTATGGTGAAGCCAAGAACCAATTGATTTCTGAAGAAGATTGTGATTTCTTTTTGATGTGCTGTAGTAGACCAACCCAAAAGCCAGCTCCTTTCGTTCCTGTATTGGATGAAAGATTTGAAGTCTTCTTCAAGAAGGATTCCTTATGGCAATCTGAAGATTTGGAAGCCGTGATTGACGAAGACGTTGAAAGAACTTGTATCTTACACGGTCCTGTGGCTGCCCAATTCACTTCCAAGGTCAACGAACCAGTCAAGGATATCTTGGACAACATCCACAATGGTCACATTGCCAAGTTAATTGACGATGTCTATGGTGGAGACGAATCTAAGATTCCTGTTGTTGAGATCTTTGGTATCAAGCAAGGTGTTGCCGTTAGTAAGATGCCAACTGGTGTCACCAAGTCTACTACAGGCACTTCCACTGTGTTCTCCATTGGTAGTGGTGCCGTTCCAACTGCTTCCGAATGGATCAACTTGTTGGCCGGTACCAAGAACAGCTGGTTGAATTCATTGTTGTCCGCTGACAGAATTGTTCAAGGCTACAACTTTGTTGATAACTCCATCCTTGATATCTTGGCTCCAAGTCAAAACATTAAGGTTGAAATTGAAAACTACAATGCTTCTTCCAGTTCCAAGACCAAGTTGACTCTCTACGAGAAGTTGAGAGGTGACTACAAGACTGCTGTGGAGATCCAATTGAAGTCCAAGGATATCATTCAAGTCAACTTGATTGAACACAGAACTGCCGACGGTAAGCCATGTGCTTTGGAATTCCTCTACAGATATAACTCTTCCGATGGGTTTGCTCCTATCTTGGAAGTAATGGAAGGTAGAAACGATAGAATTAAAGAGTTTTACTGGAAGTTATGGTTTGGTTCTAACGAAACCGTTGATTTATCTATTGACGTTCAAAAGCCATTGGATGGTGATGAAGTTGTCATTACCGGTCAAGACATTGCCGAGTTCACTCATGCTATTGGTAACAAGTGTGAGGCCTTTGTTGACAAGCCAGGTAAAAAGGTTTTGGCTCCAATGGATTTTGCTATTGTTGTTGGATGGAAGGCCATCATGAAGGCCATTTTCCCCAAATCTGTGGATGGTGATTTGTTGAAGTTGGTTCACTTGTCCAACGGATACAGAATGATTCCTGGTGCCGAGCCATTGAAGAAGGGAGACGTTGTCACCACCAATGCCGAAGTCAAGTCTGTATTGAACCAACCAAGTGGTAAGATGGTTGAAGTTGTGGGTACCATTTACAGAGAAGGTAATGCCGTTATGGAAGTCACTTCCCAATTCCTTTACCGTGGTGAATACAATGATTTCGAAAACACTTTCCAAAAGGTTACCGAAACTCCTGTTGAACTTGCCATTACCTCTTCTAAGGATTTGGCTGTGTTGAAGTCTAAGGAATGGTTCCATTTGGATGAAGACGTTGAATTGTTGAACAAGACTTTAACTTTCAGATGTGAATCTGTTTACACCTTCAAGACTGCTGAAGTCTATTCATCTATTGTCACTACCGGTAAGGTTTTCATTGAATTGGATACCAAGGAAGTGATCCAAATCGGTACTGTTGATTATGAAGCCGGTAAATCTTATGGTAATCCAGTTACTAACTACTTGACTAGAAATGGTCATACCATTGAACAAGCCGTAAAGTTTGAAAATGCTATTCCATTATCATCTGGTGAAGAATTATCCTCCAAGGCACCATCTACCAACGAACCATATGCCAGAGTTTCTGGTGATTACAACCCTATCCATGTTAACCGTGTTTTCGCTGCTTATGCCAAGTTACCCGGTACCATTACCCATGGTATGTTTTCATCTGCTGCTATCAGATCGTTGGTTGAGCAATGGGCTGCCAACAGTGTTGCTCAAAGAGTTAGAGCCTTCAAGGCCAACTTTGTGGGGATGGTTTTACCTAACGATATCTTACAAACCACCATGGAACATGTGGGTATGGTTAACGGTAGAAAGATCGTCAAGGTTGAAACCAAGAATGTTGAAACCGAAGTCACTGTTTTATCTGGTGAAGCGGAAATTGAACAGCCTATCACCACCTATGTGTTCACTGGTCAAGGTTCTCAAGAACAAGGTATGGGTATGGACTTGTACAATTCTTCTGAAGTTGCCAGACAAGTTTGGGACAAGGCAGACAAGCATTTCATTGAAAACTACGGGTTCTCTATCTTGGACATTGTTCAAAACAACCAAAATGAATTAACCATTCACTTTGGTGGTGCAAAGGGTAGAAAGATTAGAGAAAACTATATTTCTATGATGTTTGAAACTATTGGTGAAGATGGAGAAATTAATTCTGAAAAGATTTTCAAGGATATTGACCATACAACCACCTCTTATACCTTTGTTTCCCCCACCGGGTTACTTTCTGCCACTCAATTCACCCAACCCGCTTTAACTTTGATGGAAAAGGCTGCTTACGAAGATATCAAGTCCAAGGGGTTGGTTCCCTCCGACATTATGTTTGCTGGTCACTCTTTGGGTGAATATTCAGCATTGGCTTCATTGGCAAATGTCATGCCCATTGAATCATTAGTGGATGTGGTCTTCTACAGAGGTATGACCATGCAAGTTGCTGTTCCTCGTGATGAGTTGGGTAGATCCAACTATGGGATGATTGCCATTAATCCCTCTAGAATCTCCCCTACTTTTGATGATGCTGCCTTGAGATTTGTGGTGGAAGAAGTGTCTTCCAAGACCCAATGGTTATTGGAAATCGTCAACTATAACGTGGAAAACCAACAATATGTTGCTGCCGGTGACTTGAGAGCCTTGGATACCGTCACCAACGTGTTGAACGTGATCAAGTTGAACAAGATTGATATTGTCAAGTTGCAAGCCTCTATGTCCTTAGAAAAAGTCCAAGAACATTTGAAGGAGATTATCGATGAGGTTTCTGTTCAATCCACCTCCAAACCTCAACCCATTGACTTACAAAGAGGGTTTGCTTGTATCCCATTGAAGGGTATTTCCGTGCCCTTCCATTCATCTTATTTGATGTCTGGTGTCAAGCCATTCCAAAGATTCTTGAACAAGAAGATCAAGAAGTCATCCATTAAGCCCCAAGACTTGATTGGCAAGTACGTCCCCAACGTCACTGCTAAGCCATTCCAAATCACAAAGGAATACTTTGAAGAAGTTTACCAATTGACCAAATCAGAAAAGATCAAGAAGATTATCGACAACTGGGAAACTTATGAATCTGCTTAAACCAAAAGATTGACCTTATAACTTTTGAGCTGGTGGTACAACCAAGAGTTTGTTAGGAGTCTTTTTATTTAATATGTTTCTTGTTTATATTTAATACAACTATTCGATCAAACTATAGTAGAGTATATTATGTTATATTATATGCCCTGTTGTAACGGACTGGAGATGTTGACTGCGGTGAACTTCTTTGGCAACGAGACCCGGGTAAACTTTGATCTAAGCTTTTGAATAACCAAATCAATATCCATGTGTCTTGTTAAGTTAATTCGAGGGATGTTACCAATGTAATGGTCATTATCAATTTGAACATCTAATGGATCTTGTGTATGGCATCCCGGAGATAACGATAACCTAATTGAGTGTTTCTTTCCGGTGGGGCTCGTGGGGTCGTACGCCTCGTATAACTCAAACACAATTTGCGACAAGTAGTCCAATTCGGGTAATGCATTCCGTGCAACCTTCATAGGCAACTGGGACTCGTAAATGATATTCAAAAGGGTATAGATGTGAGATTCCTTGGTGAAATAAAGTACCATGGATCCAGTATCATTTCTTCTCATATCTTGAATATCAGACAATATCAGCTTGGCCAATGGTAGCGACGTCAACAAGCCAATATCAAGCTTCTCTTCATCCTTTATCCCATATTCTTGAGGACAAATGAAATCAAAGAGTACCTTGGATAATCGATATAATTCTCTTAATCTGGCATACATTGGTTGATCAAAAACATTATGATTATCTTTATCAGCGGGTGAGTTCGTTCCTTGTAACAGCCAGCCTAATGAGCCAGCAGATGACGAAGAAATTGGGTTCTTGCCAGGGATTTTGAATGTATTCATGGCTAAGACATTGATAGGATATTCAAACGTTAACCCTTCAGAATTGACCGTATCACCACAAGTAGCATTCAACTTCATCAAAAGCTCTTCATTTTTTGGGTCAAACGCAAAGATCTTCTCCAAAAACTGTCTGTTATGTAAAGCATCATACTTCATCGTGTCATATAATTCGGAAATCTTGGAAGGATGCGTTTTATCTGCTACAGTGAACTCAATGAACAACTTATCCCATCTTTCTCTGAAAAGGAATGGATCTTCTCCGCAACACCAAGTATCTTGAAACTTATCAACGTCTTGAGTTTCAAAGTTATATTCCATAATGTGATGGTAAAACCTCATCAATTCACAGACCCGTTTCATAACTGCAAATGGTTCAGGCATTTTAGGAGGCCAAGTGAATTGGGGTGGGGCCTCAGCTCCTTGTCTAATTAATGGCTTTAGCTTCTTCTTAACCTTATCCATTAAATCCTTAGCTGCATTGGAATCATCCAATAAATCCTTTCTAATAATAAGAAAATCTTCCGGTAAAACATCATGGTCCTTATCTAAACCCAATATTGGTAATGATGACAATTTGGCACTAGCAATAACTCTTCTTTCAGATGATGTATATACCTTAACATTATCCAACGCTTGAGGATTCAATAATAAAATATTCTGTCTTACTTGTTCACCAAAATCACTTGCTTGAAATTGAGCAGAATGAGTAGGTTCTCCACCCCATTTAAGTATAAATTGTACTTTATCAACTACTTCTGGATTTTCTTTATTTAATGAAGGCTTCAATTGAATTTTAGTACCAGGGAATTTAAGTTTCTTCTCCAATGCTCCACGTAATTGTTTCAATTTAGTTAAATCTTCCAACCCCTTTTCTTCGGCAATCTTGACCGTTTCTAACACAACTTGTAAATCTGGAACAGCTCTTATAATGACTTCTTCCTTATGGCCCTTCAATAAAGAAATAAATAATGGTGATCTGAAGGAATATTTGAACTTCTGTTTGGGAGTACGATCTGCATGTCTAATAACTGAAACCATACCCTTTAATACCCATTTTTGTTCCTTCTCTTCATATTGATGCATGTTTAACATTTTGGTATGATCAGGAAGTTGAGTCTTTAAATAATCTCTTGATTTTTTGGCTTCAATAAACAAATTCCTTAAGATAGAGGCACAAGTATCATAATACTCATTGTTATCTTTAACAAACGAAAATCCATTCACATCAATCACATAAGATTCATTATTAACTCTCAATAAATCAAATCCACAAATGGTTTGTTGGAAAATTTTACTGATTCTTGAAGCCATTTCCTTCTCCCTTTCAGATAATTTGGTAACATACCTTATTTCCTTCCCATGAGTATTTCTTCGGACTATCCCGTCAACCACCGGAGATTTCCGGGTCTCAGCATGACAAAACCCTTGGCCCACAGTGTATGCCTTAACATCCTCAAAATTATCGGTATCCATAAACTTTTCATATATGAATGAACCGTCTGTTCTGGGGGATGTTAACTCCGGGTCAAATTCAGAAGACTTATTACCAATTTTCCGGAATAACCTTCTACCACCACCTCCAGTGGATTTAGGATAATATATATAGACATTATGGTCTTCCCCATCCACTGGTTTTTCAACAAATGGTTTCTTCATAATCTTATCACCAACACGCAAAGTATCATCATCAACCATGTCCCATTCCGGTTCTACTTGAGAAGTCAATGAAGTCAATTCTGTGTCAGTGAACTCGATTTCCTTCATTTTAAGTAATAAATCCGGATCCAAATGTGGACCTCCATCTCTACTAATTTCAAGTCTTTCAGGCGTAGCCACTTGAGCCTTGTTCAAAATGGCCAACACCAATCTTCTATCCCACAAAGTCTTTTGTAGCCTTAAATCATTGATGATATACGGCTTTCTATAATCAGCATAAGCAATGGCTTTATCTAATGGGAACCCAGCAGAAAAGAAACAAATCAAGAAATCACAAGTGGGCCAGTTTTCAATAGCTTCATCCAATATAACTTTATCTCCGAATATAATGGTTTCAAATTCCCCATTTTCAATTAATCTACTTAAAATCCGACGACACGGTTTAGACATAGCCTTAGCATCCATGGCACAAACCCCAATCTTCCCCACAAACGGCAATCTGGTAGATAGGTCTCTGGGGGTGGAAAACGATCTCCTAGAGGCACTGGAACTGTTGGAAATGGTCTTTCTGATCTTACTTAAATCGTCAAGCGTCACTTCAACAGGTGGCACAGCAATATCAGACCCACTACCATTAGGACTACCACCATTAACACCACCATTATTACCATTAATACTGCTGCTGCCACCATTACCTGATTGGGCAGTATGTAAATCTCTTAATCTATCAGTGATGTATTGAGCCTCCTCCTTGGACGTCTTGGGCTTGAAACTCTCCAACATCGGAGCAATAGAAGCCATAGCCCGCTCTGTAAGCGGCGTGGTACCGGACAGCTGAGAATCGGAAAGCGATAACGGAGACATGGGAAGACTGATTTTCTTGTCAACGTTTTCAGCCATGGAGCTGGGTTGACGTTGATCATGATCTTCCCCGATACTGTGGTGGGGGTCTCCACTCATTGTAAACAAGCAGTTAAAATAGACAAGATAAAGATCTTTGATGGGTCGGGACGATTATCCATATACGGTAATTATCTCCACGCTTATATAGATCTATCTTTATATTGAAAGAAAGGTATGGTTAGTATGAATTCAAAGGTTGAAGGTTCAAATTGTAATCAATACAATTTTCGTATATACAGGATATGATCTTTGGGTCGTGTTCCTACCGATAAATGTGGTTCAATGGCTAAGATTATAATCGTAGTACAATCTTGCAGCGAACCAAATGCACTTGTCCCGGGTCAAAAAAAGAGCAAAAGATTACATCCCGAGTCAAATCAATTTCAAAAAAGGTGGAGGGACTACGTTACTGTTCTACATTACGTTATGTCACCACAATAATACTACCATTATCTTCATAGCAAGCAATAGTAAGTATCAATGGAATGTAGGCTTTAAACTACACTTGGAATTTCATTATGCCAACGCTCCGTTAGTCCAAAATCTCTAGGAAATCGTGAACTAAATCACTGAGATATGTCCTGCAATCCGAATGATTGCATCGTTGGGTTAAGCAATGTCCAAGGGTATCAATAATGATATTCATTCACAAATAAATTATTAGTATGTGGCAGCAGCAACTTCATTCATTCAACAGCAGCCAAGGAGTCAAACAAAACGGAAATGGATTCACCAAAATGGTCTCTTCTAATACATTCAGCAAAAATTGGAGAAACATCAATGACAACCAATTTAGTGTATTTTGATAAGCTTTCTTCTCCGATAGGATAAGTATTGGTAACCACGATTTTATCAATGCAATCACAGGAGTTTAAAATCTCCAAACAATTATCATTGAATAATCCATGCGTACCAACGACATAGACCGATTTGGCACCACAATTCATTCTTAAGTGTTCTGCAGCAGCAATGAAAGAACTGGGTTTATCAATCATATCATCCAAAATGATAGCAGCTTTGTTATTAACATCACCAACCAAGGTAATTAGTTTTTCTTCATTGACAGATGCAAGATCATCTTCATCGTCTGAATTATTGGCATCATAAGACCCACCTAACCCTTCAGAAATTGGAGTCGACACTGGGGGAATAAAATTCTTATTATTTTCTGTTTCAGATTTAAAAGTTTTACCATTAGGAGTCGAAGGATAATCATCTCCCACAACATGGCCTTGAACTATTCGGGCTGTTTGCATTTCACGAACAATATTGTCTTCTTCATCTTCATCTTCATCATCATCTTCTTCTCCCTCACCTTTTTGTCTTTTAGTATGTTTCAAACTCTTTTTCATGGCCGAATAATTATCTTGAGTTCTTCTTCTATCGGTATGGATCATTGCAAAGTTAATCTTTAACGAATCTGCCAAGGTAGTCACTCTTTTAGTCCCTCCCGGGTTTTTCGATACCACGACAGCGTTCTCCCAATCAGGGATGTTATGACGAATCCATCTAGCTAAAGTGGGGGCTCCATATAAATTATCCACTGGTTTAGTGAAGAACCCTTGCATTTGAGATGCATGTAAATCCATTGAAACCACATGGTCCGCACCGGCCATAATGATTAAATTGGCCAACATTCTAGCGGTAATAGCCCCTCTATGCTTCTTCATTTTGGATTGTTTGGAATAAGGAAATTGTGGGATAACAGCAGTGATTTTAGAAGCTGAACCTCCACGACAGGCAGAAATCAAAATCAAAAGTTCCATAATATGATCATTAACATACGGAGAACCTGATTGGATGATATAAACATCTTCATCTCTAATAGAAACTCCAATTTGAACAGAAGTTTCACCATTTGAAAACTTCTTTAATGAACAGGGAGCCGGTTCAACTCCTAGTCTTTCACAAACCAAACGGCCCAATTCAGGGTGTGATGACCCAACAAACACCTTACACTTACGCATGGGTGCTTCTAGCTTTCTAATAGACGTAAGAACCTTGCTTTCGTCTAGTACGGACTCAATAGTCAACGTGATCAATATGGAGACCTGATATATACCAATTTATATACCCAAATTATATACACACAAGTGAATATGTATATATGCGTATATGGGGAGTAGCACGTGCTTATGTATGACCTCGAAAGAAGAAGAACAAGTGTATAATTATTTTCCTCCATCTCTTCGTGTGAAATTGTATGGGGTAACCTCTGGAAAATTTTTGGGATGGGCATTGAGACATTACCCCCGGGTCACGGGGTCTCCGACGGAAGAACATCAGAGATAAGATATAAGCTATGGAGGCCATCGGATACACTACACCGTTATCTAACGAAAATACTCGTATAGTGTAATCTATAATCTCTTACAGATGCACTATACAGTTATACCCCACAGTGCTGTGAGTTACGCTCTGTGCTCCCACTCATGCTCTGTGCTCCCACTCATGCTCTGTGGTCTCACTTACGCTCTACCCTTACACTCTACACTCAAGCACTGCATTATGTCTGCAATCAGTCCCCATATATACACTCTGTTATCGTAAATTCATCTCTTTATCACATCTACTCTATACTCAATAACTCCCCGTTAACTCTACTCTTGTTTGCATTCTGAGACCGTGCGTCCTGTATATAGCCCGACTCCATCTCCAGATCAACTCCATCGCTAACTGCTACGAACACCTTACTCCAAACTGCTCTACAACACCACTATAATGGTTGTTCCGGTCTGTGATAGTGTTTCTGAATCCCTTCTACATAAACTAGAGTTGTTCCGAAAAACTCTCCGCTCCTCAGAACTACTACAACAAACCGTACAGCTAATAACGTTAGATTGTACCCCTGCCATTAACTATATAAGGTGTTTGGCATTAGGCTCTCCGTCGGAGTCAACTGCAGCACTCTACCAATTGGCATATGTACTCGAACTATCCGAGTCTCTAAACATACCGACTGAAAACATTAGTCACTATGATCCCGTGTTTACAAGGGAGGACACTCTCTTGTTGGAGTCCCTTGGGTCCGTAGTGGAACAAGTGTATCAAGACAAGCACCAGCTGTCTACCACCACGCTTTACTTTCTTCCCCATGCTGGTTTGGACTTGACAAACACCTTAATAGAAACCCACAGACCAACGTATCTATTGGCCAATAACTTGATCACCCATACCGATAGAATAAGCAAACAGAAATTGCATCAGCAATACGTTCAATTATCGTTACTAGCGAACTTGGTACAGCCGGCAACAGTATCACCTGTAGCAGTTCTGGATGGCTTTACTGTTGCTAGGAAACTGAGAAGAAAACGAAATGCCTACCAGCCGCCTAAAATAGACTACGACTATTCAAACGTTTATTTCAGTGGTATAGACTTGAAGCCTTTGGATAACTTGCAAGGACCATGGGTTAATGCATTCACAGACTTAACATTACACACAATACAACTGAAAGAACAAGACCTTACAACCTAAAGGTACATCTAATAATACAATATAGTAATAATAAGAATACAATATAACAATAATAACAGTATACCCATTAGATCCGTTGCTTCTTAAGCAAAGGCTCATCTGAATACACAATATTCTGATTAGGAGCTGATTGTTGTTGAGACATTGACATGCCTGGCGGTGTAGGATCCACAATGGAAACCACATCGACTCCTACTGGTGGTAACGATTCTGGAGGTTGCTGTGATTCTTTGACTTGAGCTGGAGGTTGTTGTTGTTGTTGTTGTTGTGAAGATGAGGATGTTGAAGCTGATGGGAGCAAATGCTTGGTCAACATATTATATAAATCATCTTTTGTGAAAGGTTTGGCTAAGATATCAGACATCCCATTCTGTAAATATGTAACCAAATCACTATCATCTAAGTTGCCTGTCATCGCAATGATTGGAGTCTTGGTGTCAAAGGATCTAATGACACTTGTAGCTGTTGCTCCGTCCAAATTAGGCATGACAATGTCCATTAAAACCAAATCATATTTCTTCTTCTCCACCGTCGCAATGGCTATTAGTCCATCGGTAACAACGGTGACTTCACAGCCATATTTCAATAAGAACTTTCGACATAATTGAATACACACATTATCATCTTCCACTAGTAAAACATGAAACTCCGGTTTTATACTACTGTTTGGAGTGAAATGTTGGAGATTTTGAAGCGGTGCTCCAACTCCGACTCCAACTCCAGCTCCAACACCTAATGGTAAGCTAACAGGAGACGGTTGTTGTTGAGCAGTTGGTTCTTGGGGTCCTAGCATTTGAGGATTCATTCGTATGGGTTGTTGTTGTTGTTGTTGTTGTTGTGACTGAGGAGGTATCGGATGGTACCCTGAGCCACCACCACCACCTAATGGTAAAACAGAAGTTTGCTGCAGTTGTTGCTGCTCCAGGGGTAAATCTATGGGAGAGGGGTTAACCAGAGTACTCTTAATGGTAGTATCAACAACTGGTGGTCTTGGAGGTTGAGTCATGGTAATTAGATTTGGATTGGCAAAGTCAAGTGGGGGGAGCTTTATGCCTGCTTGAACCAAGCAATTTACAAGCACATTTAACGAATGATGATATCTTTCGGTAAAGGACTTTAACCCCACGATATTCTCCACCAAGGCATTATATTTGTTTGACAGAACATTCAATTCCTTTCTGATTTCTATATTTTCCGACTTGAGTGACTCCAATTGATCTTTCAAGAGACTTAATTGAGCCGTGTACTGATTGGATACCATTGTAGCGTCTATTGCAGAGTTTGGGTTTGATTTCTTTACCGAGGGCCCTTTACGTTTGATGTTATCCAAGGACTCCAAGTCATCCCTCCGGAAATCAGGATGTTTGAATTCCCAAGCATCATCACCGTACTCCAAGTTCCGTTCGTCCAGGGGTTTCTTAACCTTATGGAAATCATATTTGTTCAATTGTCTGACAAACGATGCAAAGTTGGAGTGTTTGAAATGACGGGGTAATAATGTCTTGGTGAACTCATTTGTATCCATAACAACAAAGCTATCGCCACCCACAGTCCATCTCACGACATTTTGGTACTCGTCTATCTGTAGCATTTGATAAAGTTTCTTGACAAAGTCATTGGATGAGTTCCCACCAGAACTGCCACCCGTGGATTCAGTCATGACATAGACAGACACACGATACCACGCTTAAACTCAGACAGTCTTCAGCCACAGTTATATAAGCATAGGCTCGCTGTAAGAAAGATAATCAAAAAATCTACTGTAAAACAAACAAACAGAGTGCACCTGAAAGAGAAGATTTACAATAAACAAGACCGTTGTTTGGTGTTAATAATTGCCTTATACGGACACGACACAAGCATGTCAATATGGTCTATTATCGTCCATATACACTACAATTCTGTTGGTGATAGTAATGTCGCGTAATTACAGCTACGGGCCAGGTACAGTACACTACAGCATATTTCATTTCATCACATAAGAATGGCTTATAACGTATAGAATATAAGAAAGGTGTAAAGTATGAAAGTAATACCGTTAGTACCGAAGCTGTATGTATGTTCCAGATGTTCCTGTGTATGTACGTATGAAACAGTTGCTGGTTTCATCAGATGGTATGGTAGGGCCGGGAGCTTAAGTAGTTGTACGTATGTTGTTTGAGATGTCTCATTTGGGAACTCCATCAAGAATGGATGAAGTGTCTTTGAGGCGTGCACTAGCGGAGTGTCACAAGTTAGAACAACTTAAACTGGTTATCTGGTTGACTGGGACATGTGATTGTATTGGGTAAAGGGTCACACGTATACATAACAAAAATGTCGTTCTTGAAAGAAAAACGACAATCTTTACGTATGGTGTCACTCATTACCACTTCCAGATATGATCTGCCCCTATACTGGCAAGCGAAGCCGTAGTAGTGGTTAAGCGAGATGCTTCTTGATATATGCAACCTAAGGTACATCAATTAAACTTCTAGAACAATAATCAAATGTTTCATAAGGCAATTTTTACCCTTTTAGGGCCTATTTCTTTAGAGTTCATCATGTAAAGAACTTGATTCCACATATTCATATTCAATGGTCCAATTCTGTGACATCGGTGTGTTTGGCATCTTAATGACAAGATGATTATTGTGGACGATTTCAAACTCCACAACCTGCTGCTTATTAACAACCACTTGTTTAAGTGGTTTAGCGTCATATTGTTTAGTAAAGTTTAAAACAATCACCTTCTCCACATGATTGGTTACTTTGAATTCTTCTCCTTCTCCTCTTATTAAGGTCGATGAGATTCCCTTATCACTGGCTTCAAATTCAATCATTGCAGATTTGCCATTTTGGTAATCATAAGTTTCATAATCATCAATGTATAATTGTCCTGAAGCTTTACCTTGGTCATGGTTTGGGGCAATAATAAGCGTATAGGGATCATTTATCATGAGCTTAGATGACCTTCTATATCTTTGTTTCTCTGTAATGATAGACCCACCTTCAAGAAACATGGGGATATCTTCGAGAGTAACTTGCTTAATGATTTGAGACTTGCCATAATATGATTCCAGTGACATTTTTCCATTGGTATAATCATAGTAAATCTCTTTAACGTTAGGTAACACTATGATTATCTCCTTAACTCCTTCTTCTAATACTGGGGCTATCAAAAGTCCACTATTACCAAGGTAAAATTCATTTTCAATCTCATAAGTATCCAAATTACCAGGATAACTGTAAAATAATGGCCTCATAAATGGTACACCTTCAACACTGGTTCGTTGCATAGTAGTATAAATCGTGGGCAATAATCTGTATCTTAACCTAATAGCATTTCGAATTATACTAGTATATGGTTCTCCAGCAATCCATGGTTCTCTCCTTCGACTATCAATATGAGCATGAGCTCTGAAAAAAGCATACCAAATCCCCGTTTGATACCATCTAGTTAATAATTCTTTAGAAGGATTACCGAAAAACCCCCCCACATCACTACCGGAAAATGGCATCCCCGCAATCCCCTGGTTCATATTCATTGGAATGGATGCCTTCAAGTATTCCCATTTAGACATATTATCTCCAGTCCACATGGCTGCTGTACGTTGAGAACCAGCAAAGAATGATCTTGTTAACACAAATGGTCTATTTCTTGAACTCTGTGCCAATCTATTGGTTAAGGCATGGAACGTGGCATTATGGTATGACATCCCATACATATTATGAATAGACCGATGTTCCCAACGCCCATAATGAATCGTATCTTTAAAAAAAGTCGTTTCAGGACCATCGAAAACAGATGGTTCATTCATATCATTCCATAAATGAACATTGGTGATGTCATCTCCTCCCATAAACGTATTCTTAGATGACATTTGATACTTGGATGTCAAATACTCGGTGGCCTTAGGGTTAAGGGAATCAATGTAAACGGATTCTCCAGGCCAACAATGAGCTTTCAATATCTTATTCTCGTTATCTTTAACACACAAGTCTTGCTTCATCAACTCATTACTGACAAAGTATCCTGTTTTAAAATGGGGGTCAACTATAATGACAAGGTTCCGACCCGTTCTATCTAATTCTAACATCATTTTCCTTGGATCAGGAAACGTTTTCTTGTTCCAAGTGAAATACTTTTTGGAATCAGCATATTCAATATCCAACCAAATGGTATCGTATGGGATTTGATACTTATCCATGTTCTCATGGACTTGAAGTACATCTTCTTGATCATTGTAGTTCCAACGACATTGATGGTATCCAAGAGCAAAGAGTTGTGGTAACGGTGTAAACCCTGATAATTCTCCATAAGCTTTATTTATGGCTTCAGGACTCTCTTTAACCAATATAATGAAATCAATAATCCCATTCTCCGACATCCAATGAGTTGATACTCCCTTCAGGTGAGTTTTGTCAATATCTACAAATGTATCACCACTATTAAGCCAGAATAACCCACTGGCTACCTTGGTGGGTTTCACGGCTAAAAGGAATGGTATAGCTCCATACATTGGCATAGTTGAACCAACCTCATACTCAAATAGATCAATATTGAACAATCGATAAGGTTCACTGTTAGTAGTATCACGAAGACTTAGACTATCAGCATGTTCAGGAATACCATAAACATGTTGATACCCGTTAAACGTAAAATCTAGTCCGATGGACTCGGGTCCAAAGGGTATGGTGTCCTTACTGGAGTCTTTAAATGAATCTTTAAACATATCAAAGTCCAGCTCAAATGGAAGCATATTCATATCGTTATCTTCCATAGTTCTATAGTGTTCAAGGTTGAAAAATTTTTTATCGTTGACAGTCATTTGTAATTGGTTCTTATAGTAGACCTTCAATGTAAGTGGATAGTAAGTCAATTCTGCTGAATGGTACTTACCGTATTTCAATCCAAGTTTCTCCTTCAGTGAAGCATCAATTGATTTGAACTTGCCTTCAGTAACACTATCCACAAGAACCCAATTACCCGTTCCATTAAACCGATGTGTAGTCAATGACCCAACACCTTTTAAATCATTGCTGCGTCTTTCATTGACTTGAACTCTCAAGTTATCATCATTGAGTAAACTCAATTGTAGATCCAAAACAATCTCCTTATCGTGACTGATGGTTTTAAGTATCTCCAACCAAATGTGACTCGTCTCAGCCGACGTTTTCAAACTTGTACTGTTTATTCTGTATGGCCAATCATGGGCTTCCAGTATGTGACTACCATAGTGACGGTTCCGGTGGCAAAACCCATTTTCATGACACTTTTTAAAGAGCTCCTCCTTTACGCCAAGAGCAATGGTAACGTAGAGTGCCAAAAACGCAACTACAACCTTCATAGTATAAAGAAGAGTATGGAGTAAGCATGTTTATATTGAGTCAGAAATGCGTACATATTCTCCGTGGTACGACGACGCTAATTTCCCATTTAGGGAACTACTGTCATCTTTTCTCAATACGCGATAACATCAGCACGACTTTAAAACTTAAAGTCAAAAGTAGAAGTTACAACAAAAAATTTTCCGTGCAAGCAAACCAACTACTCAACCAGAACTAGTGGATTAAGCAACCCAAGTTCCATTCATCTAGCGGAAGGCCCTTCGGTAACACTTACTGGATTAGGGTTAATGAACTCCAGAAGGTAACTGTTTGCAGACTGTTGAGTACTATTCGCATTATTGAAGGTTGGAGTGTTAGTGTTAAAGTCCTGTTCATAAGATGGAAGTGGAATATGAGTCCCGGAAACGGGAGGTATCGGAAATTGAAGATGACGATGGTCTCCCTGAAGATTTACAGGTTAAAAAGGCAAAGAAGCCCCTTGACCGAGAAATAGAAAAGGGGACCCCCTTGACTCAGAAAGAGGTTGTATATTTCCAGAAAGAAGCCATTTGGAGACAAATGCAGTTTTATAAACGTAAATATCGTCTTGTGGTAGGTGATTTGGATAAATACGAACGCAAATATGAACGAGTCATGTCTCAAATAGTTGTGTTGAGTACATGGTATGAACAATTGATGACATTATTTCGAGGACAGAACGAAGAAAGTTCTCCTTCTCCTCTGTTTGTTGAAGAAATATTAATTACCAATGAGGATTTAGATACCAAATTAAAGGATAAAAGAGACCAGCTTCTACAAGTTATTGGTCCTGTATTACAAAGACAGCAGAATTTCACTGATGGAGATATTATTGAAAAGCTTTCCAGATTGAACAATGAGTTATCTAGTGTTAAGACTCAATTTGCATCTTTGAAGGCGAAGAAGAATTCTTTAAGTGAAAAAGTGGAGCTGTTGAATAGTGAAATGGATAGAATTCTTAAGTCTCAGGATCGACACTCTTCTATCACATTAACAAAAGTAGATGAATCAATGGACAATCCCTCAATACTGTCATTGAAATCTGAAGCTCCCAATGGGGTCCAAAAGAACAGCATCGATAACAACGACAGTGACAAGAATAATTTTTCAAATGGTAATGGAAGTGTAAAGATTGAGAATTCTAATGATAATGAATTGAGTCATGCTGTTGATAAGGAGAAGTATGAATCACTTTTAATCGAGTTAAAGGAATTACAAGCTGCTAATGAAAAATTAGAAGAACAATTCAAAGCAGTAACCACACAATCAAATAACCAATCCAAAGAGTTACATCTTCTTCAAGAGAAGTTAGCTCATTTAACACCTTCAGATTTGGAGAAATATAGCAATTATCAAATCTTGAAGAGTACCAACGAACACCTTGTACATAAAATTGAAGAATTGAATCGGATGAATGACCTTTCTCTGCATAAGTTAAGTGAAATGGAGTTGAATTTACAAGAAGTGAAGAATTTTTTAGATAAGGAACTTCTAAATGAAAATGATACCTTGAAGAAACTGGTTCAGAAAGGAGAATTAGACTTAGTTCGGATTAGAACTGCTCGAGATGAGTTATTGGGCAAGTATACTGTTTTGGAACAACAAATCAATGCTCAAAAGGGATACAATGAATTAGTCAAGTTGAATGAGAATTTACTATTACGAATCAAAGCTTTGGAAACAGAAACAGTTACTAATGACATTGAAAACGATGAAAAACTTTTAAATGAAACCAATGAATCTTTAGTTAAAAGAATCAAGATTTTACAGAATGAATTGAAGGAAATTGAAAGTATTTTCCATAGTGTTCTGGAAACTGCCAATGCCAAATTAAAGAATGCTAGTGAACTGGAGAATTTGATTAAAAAACTTACCATAGAAAAGAATAAAGCTGACCAGAAATATTTTGCCAGTATGAGATTAAAAGATCTGCTACTGCTGGAGAATAAGATTCTTAAGGTTCAAATTGGTAAGACTCAAGAATTACTGACCAAATTTAATGAATTGGAAAAGGCATATGTTGCCAAAATTGATATTTTGACTCGATCCGTTAATGATTACAAGCTAATTAAAGAGAATAGTATTCAGGAAATGTCCAAATTACAAGAACAAGTTAAAGTGCTTACCATGAAGAAACATCTGTTAACCAAAGAATTGAAAAGGTTACTGTCTAAATGTGAAATGCTAAATGATGAATTGACTATTTCAACCAATAAGCTCAATGAACGCGATTTGAGGCTCTCCAAGCTCGACTCCAAACTTAAACAAACTGATAGCTTGCTAAAAAAATATAAAGCCAATAACACCAATTCATTACTTCAAGAAGATGAAAAACAATTGGAAGCTTTAAGAGCTATAGCCAAATGTTCTGTTTGTGCAAAGAATTGGAAAGATACAGCCATAACTGTTTGTGGCCATGTCTTTTGTAATCTGTGCACTCAAGAACGTTTAGCAGCAAGATTACGTCGGTGTCCTTCATGCAACAAGTCATTTAGTGCTAATGATTTGTTATCTATTCATTTATGAATTAGTATACTAAACCTTGTCCTTGTAGTGCGCTACCACATTTTAGTCGGTACCTGCCATGTTATTATTATTATTAGTATTATATATATGTTTGTTTAATAGATGAGAAACGAATTAACCAGCTTGCCAGCCATTTTTCATTACAATACCCTTTTAGGATAAATTATGTGGGTAGTACACGACCTTGGTCATTTTACGTGTTTTGTGGGAACTCTCCGCCAGCCAATAGTATCGTCGAACAGATTGCTAGTAGATAAAGGTTTAGGGGGTGTTGGTTGGGACACTACACCGTGGCAAAAAATCATTTATCACGGAAGCAACTTTCAAAGGCTATGTCTATTCTTCTGGGCAACAGTTAGCTTGGATATGATGATAACGCTGTAGCATTCGAGAAGCCACATTAGAGGAAAACATCAGTTAAATTGGATGATGTAAAGAAGAAGACGTAAGTTATAAGGAATCACCAATAGATATTAACTGTTCCATTGAATTGTGATGGATCATATGTGATGGATCATATCGTCTATGATATTGATAATATGCTTATATCCCTACGGCAGTGATTTCCTTTTGGAGCAATTAATGTCTCTCTATTGTTACCAGCCATTGAACATCGCCCGACAGGAAAAATGACACGTAATGCTTGCTTTCCTGTTGTGTGTAGGAAATGTCGCGCACCCAGAAAGAATTTTCTTTCGCGGTCTTTGACATTATGTTGTCGTGTGCATTCCAATTACATGATTCATCTGAAAAAAAAAAAAATTATCTATCATAAAAAATAACCCAGCGGCGTCAAGTGTGAGTATAAAAGGAGATTCTATTTCCTCTCAAAATTTTTTTTCGGGGATTTTTCAAAACCCACGTTTTGTGTCCTGTTTTCATTATTGTTACTGGAGTTAATTCTTTTTAAAGGTTTTCACGTGATTTGTCGTTTTTGTACCACACCTTTTCTTATCCATCTCCTCATAGAATTGATAAATAAATCTACATGTTGAACCCATAATGACTGACGTGTCGTCCTCTATTGTTCCTCCAGAGACAACCACGCCGGTCCAAACTCCGTCTCTGGATCAACACTTTTTTGATAAGGAGTCATCGTCATCTACTACAAATGTTATTGTTGGTGGTGATGATGGAGATAATAATGTATCTGATGTTTCAGAGTCTGAATCTCAACCCCCTTTAAATGAGTCCTCTTCTCACAATAATAATAATAATAATGATAGTAATAATGATAATAACGAAAATGATGACGACAGCACGAATACAATTAATAATGAAAAGAAAACCCCTTCCAATAAAGCATCTACATCCACTGACATTCCATTGTCACCTCCGAATCCTTCACCATCACCTGAAAAGCATCGTTTGGATGACGAACCTACTGGTGTTACACCACCTGAAAAGAAACAGAAGGTTGAAGAAGAAGTAGAAGAAGTATCAGATGGTGCTGCTCAAACTCATCCTCCTCAATTTTCGGAGCCAGCCCCTAAGCCAGCTCCAGAGCCTGATATGAATAATCTTCCTGAAAACCCTATTCCAAAACACCAACAAAAATTTGCAATGACTACTATAAAAGCCATAAAACGATTAAGAGATGCAGGTCCCTTTGTTCATCCTGTTGATATTATTAAACTTAATATACCTTACTATTACAACTATATCACTCGTCCTATGGACTTGTCAACTATAGAACGGAAGTTGGCTGCAAATGCATATGATGACCCTCAACAGATTGTTGATGATTTTAATTTAATGGTTAGTAATTGTCTTAAATTCAATGGTGAAACATCGGGTATTTCGAAAATGGCGAAAACTATCCAAGCACATTTTGAGAAACATATGCTTCACATGCCTCCTAAAGTTATAGCTGAAAAGAAAACTGTACCAGTATCTACACAAGCATCAAGAAGAAATAATAATGTTTCAAAGTCAGAAACCCCAACTGGGCTTGCTGATGATTCACGGTCACCTCGTGGAATGTCACCTTCAGATAAATCTGGCCTTTTGGTTGATGAAAGTTCTGTTGCTACTCACAGACCCAAGAGAACCATTCACCCACCTAAATCAAAAGAATTACCATATGATGTCAGACCACGTAAGAAGAAGTATGCTCAAGAATTACGTTTCTGTAATCAAACCATAAAGGAGTTGACTTCTAAAAAGCATATTGGATTCAATTTTCCCTTTTTAGCACCTGTGGATACAGTTGCTCTTAATATTCCCAATTATTCTGATATTGTTAAGGAACCCATGGACTTGGGAACTATCCAAACAAAATTGGCTAATAATCAGTATGAAAATGGTGATGAGTTTGAGCATGATGTAAGATTAGTCTTTAAGAACTGCTATTTGTTTAATCCTGAAGGTACAGATGTTAACATGATGGGACACAGATTGGAGGCTATTTTTGATAAAAGATGGGCCAATCGTCCTATTGCTCCGCCATCTAGAGACCAATCCGAAGTGGAAACAAGTGATGAGAGTGAGGAAGATGAACCTGAAGTTACTGAAGAAATGCTTTCCAATATTCCAGCCATACAAGTGATGGAGAATCAATTGATTCGAATGAAACAAGAATTGGATAAAATGAAGCAAGATTACTTGGAGAAGTTGAGACAGCAACAACGAGAAAATAAGAAAAAACGGAGAAGTAAGAAGAAGCTGTCATCCAATAAGCATCATTCATCACTTAATAGTTTGCCCAATAGATCAGCAGCTGCATTATTTGAAAATCAAGTTGTTACCTTTGAAATGAAGAAGCAAGTGAGTGAAGCAGTCCCCACACTTCCAGATAAGAAGTTACAAACTGTGATCAAGATCATTAAAGATGATGTTTCTATTGATGACGAAGACTCGGTTGAATTGGATATGGATCAACTTCAAGACAAAACCATTTTGAAGTTGTACAATTATTTGTTTGGGAAGAAATCCAATGCGTTAAATGGTAGTAATAATAATAGTGCTACCCTCAAGAAAAAGAAGAAGGCATATTTGCCTGGATCCATAGATGAATTGGAACATTTGAAATCACAATTGGCATTATTTGAAGATGCAGATGGTTCTACAAAGGGTCTTATGAATGTAACGTCACAAGGTCAAGATTCATCTGATGATGATGATGTATCTTCAGAGAGCTCAGAAGAAGAATGAATGAGGTTTGATTTTAGTGGGAGATAATTCTTGTACAAATACTATTCCTTTATACCAAATATGGTTATATTTGGTCGTCACCACTTTAGATCTCATTTGTACTTCATGTATATTACTATATATTATTATAATTATAATAACGGGGAAGGAATTAATATATATTAATTATGTAGTGCGTATATGTTTGCGTCAATACTTTCCTAGTTGGGCGTGCGCGTGTGTTCACCGTTTTGGGCAATGATATCCCGTATCTCATCGGAACATATAACCACAAAAAAATTGCTGATAACATATATATACCTAGTGAATCATCCATACATTACACTCTCGTTTAGACCAAGTTAGCCATCATGAGTATTCCAGAATTCAATCTGCTTTCACTTGGGGATCACAGAAACCCACTCTATAATCCACTTCATATACTTCAGACAACATGGGAAACCAAAGGAAGACCAGCATATATTATAGGCCCAATGGTTAGATACTCCAAGTTACCGTTTCGAGAACTATGTCGACATTTCAATGCAGATATAGTTTATACCCCCATGATATTGGCCCGAGAATTTGTCCGGAACGAAGTGGCCAGGTACAGTGACTTTACCACCAATGAACTGGACCGTTGTGTTGTGGTTCAAGTCGGAGTGAACAATGTGGAAGATCTCTTAAAGTTTGTGGAAATGATTTATCCCTATGTTGATGGTATAGGACTCAACTGTGGGTGTCCTATTAAGGAGCAAGTCCGAGAGGGGATTGGAGCAGCGTTAATGCTGGAACCGGAGTTAGTGGCGGAGATGGTGGCAGCCGTTAAACGCAAGTACGGAGATAAGGTTACGTTGGAAACCAAAATTAGAATCCATAAAGATATCAATGAAACCATAGCCTTTGCAAAGAAGGTGGAGGCAGCTGGAGTGGATTATATTACTGTTCATGGTAGAACAAAGACCACCAGATCATCACAACCGGCTAATTGGGATGCCATCAAAACCATTAAACAAAACGTTAGTTGTCCAGTTGTAGCCAATGGAGACTGTTTCACTGTTGAAGATGCTCAAGCTATTGCTGACCTCACAGGCGTTGATGGTATAATGGCTGCTAGAGGAGCCTTAGCCAACCCAGCGATGTTTGCTGGTTATGATAAGACTCCATGGATGGCCATCGAACGGTTCTGGGACTTGGCCACCAGTTATGGGTTACCGTTCCGAATCATTCAACATCATTTATCTCAAATGCTTGATGGAGTGGTGTCCCGGAAGTTGGTAAAGGAAATGAACGAAACCTCTAGTTTGGTGGAGATGATCGACTGGTTCGATAATCACTTTATATTGAAAAGAAATGGTGATCAAGGGTTTGCAACATTGGTAGAACCTCCATTTCGTATAGTAAGAGAAACAGCAGCTAGAATATAATAATATAATACTAATGATAATACTATTATTATATTAGTTAACTTTATTGACAGTGTTATCCCATGATCTCTTGGTTTTTAAGAGAAATACTCTTGGTCATGTTGTTGACTTTATAAATACCCACCAATTGCTTTGCTAACTCAAACATATTGTTTCTTAAACTAATAACCACAAATTGGGCATTCTTGGTTCTCTCTTTAATGTAGTTGGCCACAATAGAGACATTTCTAAAGTCTAAAGCTGCATCGATTTCATCCATAACATATAATGGTGTAGGTTTGTAACGATGTAAGGCAAACACAAGTGCTAAAGATGACAAAGTCTTTTCTCCACCAGATAAGTTACTGATATTCTTCCATGACTTCTTGGGAGGCATGACACTGAATAATATCCCTTCTGAGAAAGGGTCTAAACTATCAACTAATTCCAATTCAGCATTACCTCCCATAGTAATCATTTGATACATTTCCTTTAATGACATGGAGATGATATTGAACCCTTCCATGAATTCATCCAATCTCTTTCTCTTCAAATCTTCACAGAAGTTTTTAACTTCATCACGTTCTTCCACTGCCAAGTTCAAGTCTTTCTTTCTCGACTCAAACTCATTCAACTTCTGGCCATACTCCAAGAGAACTTCAACGTCAACTTTAATGCTACTCATGTATTGTTCTAATTGTTCAATATCCTTATCAACTTGGTCAATGTTCACTTGATCCAATTCTTCTTCAGTTAATTGTGTGATCTCAGCGGAATTGTACTTCTCTTGTTCCTCTTCGCTCATCCATTGGATCAACGGGATAACTTCACGTACACTTAGTTCCCGTAAATGTTCTTCGTTGGACTCGATTTGAATCTGGGCCTTCTTCAACACACTGGTGTACTTCTCAAGTCTATTTTCCAATTCTATCTGGGTTGATTTCAAGTGGTTAATTTCCCGTTGTTGTTCGTTAAGATTGTCACGTATACTCTCCAATTCCTCTTCCATTTCTAACTTGGAACTTTCTAGGGTAGTCACTCGCAGTTCAATCTCCTTGAGCTCCTTGGTCTTGTCAACTTGTGACTTCACCAACAATTCAAGATCACTTTTTGCAGCCTCCAATTCGGATTCTGAACTTGAAAGTAGCTTGGTATATCTTTTAATATCATTTTCAAGCTTCTTGGCAGATATACGGCCATCTGAGCTTTTCGAATTCAAAATCTCCATTTGCTGTTTAACTGAATCAACTTTGGAACTTTGTAAGCGCAATTCAATGCCTCCAGCTTCTAGTATCTTATTCTCCAACATTTGAACACGATCCTCCATATCTTTCATCTCCGATTTCACCTGGCTTCGTTCTGCTTCAAGCTGTTTCACTTCAACCTCCTTCTCTTCTATTTCCTTAGTGAACTTCTCGTTTAAGTTGTTAGTTTGGAACTCATGAACAAGTCGCTTATAAGTTGCACTAGAATTCTTCTTCTCTTGGATTAATGTTTCAATATCTAACCTCAAACTAGAGATTTTGAATTCCGTAGTTGGCTTAAGTTCATTCAACTTCCGAAGAGCATTCTGCAGTTCCTGGAATTGAGCTTCTAACTGTTCAAATTCAACATCCAACTTCTGTAATTCTGCTTTCATCTCCTGGACTTCTTCAGGTGTAGTATCTACACCAAGGGTATTATCTGAAGTAGAACCTTTAAGTCTCATTGACCCTCGAGCTTTATAGTTACCACCTCCAGACATCGTACCAGAAGTATCAACAACTTCACCAGATAACGTCACAACCTTCCAACGTCTGGCTCCATGAGCAACCTGTCGTGCCTCAGAAAGTGTTGAAACTACCAAAGTATTGTACACCTTACTATAGAATGCTGGCGCAAATCGAGGATCTTGCGGTTCAATAAGGTCAAATAATCTTTTGACCGTTCTTGGGTTACCAGGGGTATGAATAGGGTTCAAATTGAATTGCCTTAATTTATCCAAGCAGATAAATTGTGCATACCCTAAATGATTCTTCCTCAAGTAGTCAATACATATTTGTGCCGTTTCAACGGTATCAACCACCAAAGAGTCCAAACCTGGACACACTGTAGAAATAGCCACATCATACATCTCATCAATTACTCCTAAGTCGCCTAATCTACCATGGAATCCACTAATACGACCCGATTTCAGTAAGCGAAACAAATTCGATAGCACCTTATTCTTATTCTGGAAATTGCCTAAAGAATTAGCGGCGTCATCTGTTTTCTGTCTTGCTTTTTGAAGAAATTGTTTCTTACGTTCAACTTCTTTCTGCTGTTGAGCACATTGTTGTTCACCTAATTGTATTTGCTCACAAATTGTGGTCAAACTGTCTTCAGCTTCTAATAATGCCGTTTCTTTCAGTTTCCCTTCCACTTTGATAGAATGCAGTCTTTGTTTAGCATCTTCAATCTGTTTTATGCTATTTTCCTTTTCTCCTTTTATGATTTCAATCTTTTGTCGTATAAGTTGAAGAGCATTTTCCTTCTGTTTTAATCTGTCCGTCCATGGAGTTAACTGGGTCTTGATTTCTTGTATTTCTTTTGAAAATGGGGCCGTTTTAGTTGTAAGTTTGCTCCGAAGTTCGTTCAATTTTGCCTTTTCAACTTCTAATTCATTTTCAAGTGCTTTCAAATCAGCTTCAAATTTCAGTCTTTCATCTTTACTCTGATCAAATTCTTGTTGAGTCATTCGAAGCTTATGTTCCAGTTGTTCTTTACTTTTGGTTATCTTTTTTATTTTATTCTCGAGATGCTTCTGCTTCTCGTCAAAGGAAACTTCAGAGGCTGTAAGTTGTTTCTGTCTGGTGGTAAAAGATGAAAGTTCTTTAATGACTTTAGCCAATCCTGTGTTTAAAGTCACGTCTTGAGCTTTGATTTCTTCAATACTCTTGTCTAAATCTTTGGTCTTTAACTTTTCATCTTGTAATTTTTCCTTTATTTCATTGGCTACCAATTCATTTTCGTTATAAGTTTTCCTTAATGACATCAAAGTCGATTGAAATTGAAGAGACTTTTTATTAATTAATTCCTTCTCTTTCAATAAGAATTCCAAGGCTTCGTCTTTCTTTGATTCCAAATCATCTTTATCTTTCTCTACCAATTCATATCTATTCTCCTTCTCAAGACAAACATCATTTAGCCCTTCGATTTTAACCAAGTTCTCTTCAATTAAACTCTTATAACTTGCAGTTCCAATAATATCCTCCAAATACTCCAATAACCCATCATCGTTTTCCTTCTCTGCCTTGGGCTTCATTTGAGCTATAGACTCAACTTCACCTTGTAAGATCAAGAATCTCTTGTGGTCCAAATCAATACCTTTATCCCGAAGTAAAGTCGTAACTTCCGTGTAACTACTGGATCGGCCATTGATGTAGTACTGTGAACCGTTGTTTCTAAAAGCCTTACGACTAATAGTTAATTCAGAATCGGGTAATACGGTGGCACTTCCTGGTTCATCTTCCGAATCAAGAACATTATGGAAATGAATATCCACTTGACAGTAATCCAATTTCTGGCCATCAGACGAATGGATCAACTCTGAAAGTTTCCCCTGTCTCATCTTAGAGGCTCGGAATCCAAATACAAAAAGCATTGAATCTATGACGTTGGACTTACCACTACCATTTGGACCAATGACAGCAGAGAACGAATGGTTGAACGGTCCAATCACCTGTTTTCCAGCATACGACTTGAAATTGTCAAGTACCATTTCCGAAATCACGAGTCTGGGTTCGTTGGGCTTCCGTGGGAACGGGTCCACAGTCTCACGTCTTTTACTGGGAGACGTGAATCTATACTCAGAACGCATGGGACTCGACATGGACGTGCTGCTTTTCCCTGGAGGTGACAAGCTGATATTAAACGCCAGACGCGTCTTATCGGACATTATTGCTGTTGTTGGTGGCGTCTGATGTGTCTGTGTCTGTGTCTTCAGATCATCGTGACCATCTTCGATCTTGGTGCCATTTCCTGGTGTTGTAGCTGCTTTAGGGCTCAGTTCTGCTTGTGGTGTCTGCAAACGTTCCGAGATATTCGGAGTATCCTCAGCTTCTTCTTCAGACTCCTGAGCACCTTCAACCTCTTCAGTACCAGCAGGTTCCTTCAGGCTGTCTGGTGCTTGATCTCTGTGCTCGGCATAATCGCTGTTGTTGATGAAGGTGACATCGTCGTCATTGTAGCCGTCACTGTCCACAATGGCGCGTCTCGGTCTTTTCCGAGCCATGTCGGTGATGCTGTGGTTCTTTAGTAGTAGTACTAGTAGTGGTACTAGTATTATTTGTTGTATAAACAAATCAGATCTTTAAATGGCGTTTTCGGTAGGTACACGCAAAACTTGGGGATTATGTTGGTGTTAGGGTGTCGAATATATAGTGATATTTATTTAATTATTCTATGGTACAAATAAGTTATGCTGAATTATTTAAGAGGACTTATGTTTCTTTTCTTTCTTTTCCTTTTTATCTTTCTTTTCTTTCTTTTCCTTCTTCTCCTTCTTATCTTTCTTTTCCTTCTTTGTTTTCTTTGAGTCTGCTTCAGCTTCAGCTTCTTGTGCCGGTTTTTCAACTGCTTCTGCTTCTTCTTCTTCTTCTTCTTCTTCTTCTACTACTACTTCCTGTTCCTCGACTTCTGCCTCCTCCTCCTCTTCATCAAATTTAATCTTCTTGTTAGGCTTCTCTTCCTCGTCCTCATCAAATTTAGTTCTCTTATTCTGCCCAGTACTCTCTATAGGACTCTCTGCTGCCATGGGAGGTAAACCCCTCAAGTCTCTTTGTATTCTTCTCAATTGAGCCAACACGGCATTGCTCCCCGTAGAGTTACTCAACCCGGTCTTATAGAAAGTGATCTCTTCGCTAGACCCAGGTAACGTGGAGGAAATGGCTTCGCTAGCAAGTATGAACTCATTCAAGATCTGCTCACTCTCGTCTTTGCTAATGCTCTCACTCTTGTTAATGTGCACGGTGATTGGTGTGTTGGTTGCAGAGGGGATGAACCGTTTGGGACGAGTAACAGACGACATCTTAATAAGGAGCTGACTTCTAGAATGACGACGTAAGCTAGACCTAACTTGACTTGAATCCAACCTCATCTCTTTTACAGATGGGAAAAGTCGCATCGGTAAGCGCACGACTTCTGGTGATAATTCATACTCGAAAAATTTTATAATGAACTCCACAGTAGAGAGCATTCCTTTACAAAGATATATTCCACTATATCTGCATTGTATTACTATGTTTGGTGTTGGGATAAGAAGGGGCGTTAGTCCTGTGATGTCTCAGATTGTGGCACGTCAGTTTTCCAGTTTGGTGAAGCCAATCTCCACTTTCAGACCTCAAACATTGATACAACAACCAGAAGGTCCATGGTCTTCATTGTTGGGACTCATTCAAAGAAGATTCAAGTCTAGAGGGAACACGTACCAGCCATCTACATTAAAGAGAAAGAGAACGTTCGGGTTCTTGGCCCGGTTAAGAACCAAGAATGGGAAGAAGATCCTCCAGAAGAGAAGACAAAAGGGTAGATGGTATTTGAGTCATTAGACACAGTGGCTGTCTTCCAGTCAGACAGACAGACAGGCAGAGAGTCACATTGCCTCTGTCTGTAATATATATGTTCACTTCCTTGTATATAACCATTATAATTTATGCTTTCCCTAATACTTTAGAATATTGTACTTCGACTTCATGAAGTAGTTTTTGAAGACCCACTATGGCTATTTGGTGAGTAGCAATGGGGAACTTGTTTCTGTGAACACCAAACCATTCCATTGGAGGAGTGGCGTTTCCTAGTTCTTTGATTTGTGGAGTCTCGATTATAGGAGGTACAAGTGGTTCGTAAGTGTACTCCAAATGCTCTGTGACCTTATCGATGGTTTCTTCAATAGCTTGATCAATTTCTTCATTGGTATACTCTTTGAAGTCTCCGTCTGTTCTTTGGTTGTTCGTGTTCTGATTCTCCAACATGTCTATGGAAAATGCTATGGCATTCTTGTTCTGAAAGTCCTTACGCGCAGCAAGTGCTCGGGTGCAGATGCTGATCATTTCTCTGATGAAATTGATCAGGCCCAAGTTCCATCTGATGTTGACGGTGCCTCCAAACGACGACAGGTAAAGAAACTCAATCAACTTGGTGTTGTATTTCTGGAACGTTCTCATGGAGATCTTGAGCGACGGGAAAATCACTATGACTCCACCTTTGGCCTTGGTGGCATGAACTGTGAACTGTTCAACGTTACATTGGTTAATGAAATCAGCCAGAGCTTGTTGCTTGATACTCGATAAGGAGATGGTCCAATCATTAAGCATCAATTCCAAGTCGTTCGAAACCCCCTTGGCATATTCATTTTGCTTGAACGTAGCATGCAGTTGGTCCAGCTTGATCACAAGAACTTTGGAGTCTTCAAACGATGAAGGATATACTTGTAAATATAACCGACCAATCACACATTCGAACCTGGCTTCAAGTTTCTTGACAGTCTGTAAAATATCAAGAGAAGCCTTAAGAAAATTGTCTGTTGTCTTAACTGCTCCTCTATCCTTTGACGAGTCTCGTAAGATCTCTCGATATGAACTCCGGTTCTCTTGGGCCATCCGCGTAACGGCGTTGGTGATGTCAACCACTGTAGCAGGCATTAAAGACGTGATGTACACTTGGGCATTCTCACACTTACTTATGGCAGACAAAAGGTCCTTGCTGGTGATCTCACCTTTACTATTGAACAAATCAATAGAGAGCCTTTGTATGTTGGCAATAGCAAAAGTATTGTAGTCGAAAAGTGTCTTCAAGGTTAAAGAGTCAACGGCTCCAGAGATTAAAATCAAAGGAACATCAAGAGTCTTCCCCTTCAATCTCCAACTGATAGCTGTATGTAATTGGATCTCATTCACAGCAATATCACCACTCAACCTTCCTTCTCCGTGTAGCATTGAAGATCTTAAACCCACTTTCAAGTCTTGGGCCCAATCCGTGGTTTTCCGAGACACTCCCCATAGATGGTCCATGGAAAGTACAAACACCCCTAGCGATGTTCCAAAGTTCACCCGTATGGAAATCTCTTTGAAGAGTAATGTGACCATCCATGGCACAGCATAAGTCTCCGAGACTTCTTTGAATCGTGAAGCAATGTTTTTGTTAGAGGCCAATTCTGATTTAGTGGAACCTGTAGTGGTTCCAGAGGTAGCGGTTCCGGCAGTAGCGGTACCAGGGGTACCAGTAGTACCAGCACCAGCACCAGCACCAGAATCTGCGCTAATAACACTATGCTGTAACGATTGCTGCTTGCCATTGGATCGTATCCAAACATCTTTAAAGAGATTCAAGTCTTGGAGTTGCTTAACATTCACATATCCATTAACCTTGGAGAATGAAGTGGCAGACATGATATCAGAGATGTTCTTCAAATGGATTGTGGTCAACGACACTATATTGTTAATGGAAATGGTCCCACTAACTTCACGAGAATACACATGTTGTAATGTTGCATAGATATCACCAATTTGAAGTGCTGTTGCAATTTTGTAATCCAAATCTTCAGTTGTGTTGGCTTGGAATAGGATCCCGTCTATACCAACCACAGTCTCTACTCTTGCTGTTGGCTCACAACTTAAAGACAACTTCTGGCCTTCCACCTTCCATCCCACATGTATATCGATATTCTTTAACATAGCAGCAAGTCCTTGACTCTGGCTCTGACTCTGGCTCTGGCTCTGGCTCTGGCTCTGGCTCTGGCTCTGACTCTGGCTCTGGCTCTGACTCTGACTCTGGCTCTGACTCTGGCGCTGACTCTGAGCCTCTACAGCCTTCTTATGTCTATCTTCAGACCCTTTCATCGCCCTCTTTATACCCGAGGCCATGTCTCCTAGCACAGGAACACACGCAGCATACAAAGTATTATCCGAAGAAGCAGTGAAGACATCCACTTTAATACTGTGTTTCCTCCGGAGATCCTTCATATGAACGTAGTTGGCTGTTACCTTGACCGCTGGGAACATGAGAGACAACTCCGGAGCTGATTCCTTAGAGGTGCTTTCATTCAACCGGTAGAACAAGACCTTGGATGATCCCAATGATGCCAGAACATCTATAGAATGGAAATTCGTACCCAATGCAGCCAAAGGGTCTTCTTCTTTATCTCCGCCGTCCTTCTCTCCACCTTCACTATGAATAATCGGTTTCAGCTTATAAGAGTCTCTCTTGTCAAAAAAGTCCTTTAAATTGGATATAGAGTTGGCTGCAATCTCAAGTATAATTGAAGAATCGGAAAGGAACTTGATATCAAGTCCATCACCTGAAACGTATAGCCTTAACTTCCTTAATCCAGTGTCTTCTTGTCTGGTCGTATAAGTGACTTGGGTTCTGGCTAAAAAGGCTCTGTTGGCACTGTCAAATTGTGACAGTGTGCTATAAAAGTCAGAAGAACGTGAACCATTGGCAACAGATAAGTATCCATCAACAACAGTATATTTCCCCAATCCACTATCCATAGTAGCAAAAAACCTCTCGGCACCAAGCATCACTCCAGGACAACTTCTGTTATTCCCATCAAAGATCCAACCCACGCAAAAGTTATAACAGAGGATGTTAATGGACGAGAACTTGGAGAATATGCTGTGGTTACCAGCGTCCCTCTCTGTGGTGGATGTAACTGTTTTTCTTGTCACCTTTTGTTCAGGCTTCTTATAGTCCGAAAACACTTTGGACACGGAGTCAACCAAATGAACCATCTTGATGATTGGAGCATAACTAATACAGACTCTGGAATGAGATGATTTGAATAGTAAGCTCCGGTGATTAGAATTGTCCGCTTCGTTGTATATCTTGGCTTCAATAGCAAAATCAACTACTGTAGTAAGGTACACCGAAACTAACCGATCAATTACCGAAAGCCGTGCCCCTCCAATGTCTATTTCCCCAACAAAGGGCATTAAAATCGACTTTGGAACATCGCTTTCAGATCCAGTACCACCAATATCAACGTTTGTCACGTTCAAATAAGCATTATCAACTTCAAAGGCGTACCTGGTTCTATCAAGTAAAGTGGAGATCCCAAAGTAATTATTGTTAAAGGAAATTTTAATTCCAAGTTTGTCAAAAGGACAAGGAGGATCTGAATGTGATAACGGTGCCTTGATCGTCTTTGGTAGCTGCGTCTCCTTCTCGGAAGACTCAAAGCCAGCCTTGATAGTTTGTACAAGATTGTCCAACTCTTTAGCCCTCGCTATCAACGCTTCTAATGCAGGTAACCCTAGATTCAAGGCAGTAACGATCCGTGGAGAGTGTAATTTTGTATAGTTCACCCGAATATTAGTCACAAGCATCAACATCCCTTGTAACTCCGCCAACTTCATGGAAGTTACGATGTATGAGTTTTCAAACTCAAGAACACTGGCACTTTCAACTCTCACGTTCACATGAAACTTTTGAATGTACACCAGACATATCCCAATGCCCGAGGCCAAGTCAAACGACAATCTAGTATCGTAGAATAAGCCTGAGGCCTTGATGGGCGCCAAATCCAAGTCCCAACTACCTTCTTGGGTTCTAAAGCTCAACGTGACTAAACCAAACTGCTTTAATCCAAAAGCCAATGGATTTGTTAAAGCCAAATCGGACAGTGGTTTTTTGGTGTTAGTGGCAGTACTAAAATCTCCAAAGAACTCCATAAGATCCTTGATAAAAGGTAAATCCTTCTTTCTAAAGCTGATCAACGACTTGAGTAATGGCTTCTCTCTCATGGATAGATTAAACTTGCCTGTCTTCAAATCAACCACCTTACAACCATCTTTTATGTTCCCCGTCAATGCCAAAAGACTCTTCATATCTGTGAATTCCATACTCAAGATTTGACTACTTGAATCACCGCCAAAAATCCCAGTGCTAACCTTATCAAAGTTCAACCCAAATGATGTGGCCGAGTTCTCTTCAGTACCAATGGTATCAAAATTAGTAATAAAGTTTTCTCCATGGAAATGAACTCCAGCAGTGACTGCTTGAAGTACTTGGTTATATCGACCAATATTAATAAGAACAGAAATATTGCGTTGATGTTTGATGTCAGAGGCTGGTGCCAGGGAGTCATCCTCTTTGTCATCAACGTCGTTTGACCACGGACTGACTTTTAAATCCTTTAACTTTTTTAAACTGGTGATAATCACTCCAATGGTTAAATCGGTGATCTTACTATCATATTTCATCAAATGGACAACATTCTCCATCTTTGAAAATATCAGAACCGTTTGAAACTCTTCTAACAATGAAATAGTTGTGGTAAACCCAGACAAATTGATGAAATCTGCTTGATGAGGACCTAAAATCCGTATAGAACCCTTTGAAAGTTGGATTTGAACGTCTGCTTGATTGGAATCTGGTTTCTTCTCTTGTTCTCCAAACACGGCATCAAGAAAGAAGTTTCTCAAGTGGTTCTTCGTCTCCCAGCTTCTCCAATTAAGAAACTTATTGGCAACATAAGCTCGAGCGTCTGGTGGACAAAGCCATTGCTTATTTCTGAAACGACATTTGTTTTCTTCAAGCCAGGTGGCATCTGCACGCATCAACAGATCTCTAAGCTTCATAACCATTTTCCAGCAATCATAAAACCGTATATGATCTTTATTGAACCGCAAGATATATGGAGGTTTGGTCAATATATCTGGATCTTGATTTCTTTCTTGTTCAAACGCAAACTTGGTCAAACGATAAACAAGTTCTCTCTCTGCCTTTTCCTTTGCCTTGCCATTGAACTTCAACTCTTCAATAGCTGGCTCTAATAGTTCGTAGTATCTTACAAATAAATCAATAATTAACCCAATGTTGGCCAGATCAACTTCCAAATCAAAATCAAGCAAATGGACAGAGTTGGTGATCCTATGGGCTTCTTCCATCATCCAAAGCTCGATATCTCTAAAACTCAATTTCAAAGGCATGGTGAACCTTAAGGGGTTGCTTATGGCGCAAAGAACTTCCTTACAATGGAATGCCATTGAAGTTCGTTGTTCAATGGGTTCATCTTTCATCTTCAGTAATTTGGAAAGGGCAAGCGAAGGTTCAAAAACATTGATCTTTAGGTAAGGTATCTTGAGTGCATGGTTGAAAATGTCATTGACAGCATCTTGGTCATTAGAAACCTCAAATTCGCCCACTTTAATGTCAACTTCTTGGGTCACAAACCGAACATTATCCACCATGTTTCTCTTATTCATTATTGATTCAAGTTTGGACACAACCTTACTTTGTAGCCCGTCCATAACTGTTTCCAATTCGAATTCGTCTAGTGACTTGATAATTTTGGCTATGACAACCAAACTCTTGGGGTTTATAAATGATTTCACATCCCCCAAGTCAAACACAAGACTATCATATTTGGTGTTCGGGTCCACTTTATAGGAAGGTGTAAATTCTTCTTCATGGTATTGAGTCAAAGGATCAAACTTCCCTTCCAGATCATCAATTCTGAAGCCACTCCATTGGTCTTCGTAGTCTTCATACTGTTTGTCATAATCGTATTCTACTTCTTCTTCTTCGTCGTCGTCATCGTCGGGAATGTCAGCAAAATACCGGTTGGGTGTCCCATAGACACAAAAGTACTCTTCAGCATAGTCACTGTTCAAAGGCACTTGAACCCGAGGTAATGAAAGTGGAGTAATAAAGCTTCCCTTTGCTTTCAAATAATCAACATCTCTGTTCTCCATAAATAAAAGAAACGGAGCTCTGTGGAACGGTCCATCACTGATCCGAATATGATTCTGTTGAAGGTTCCGACGGTCAACCATCTTCACCTTTTGGGCTATGCTATCCAAATGAAGCGAAGTCTCCAAGTAAGCCACCATCTTTTTGTTATTGATAACCTTAACAATAATCTCAGGTATCAACACGGTCAACTTGTTAGTGTACCGTTTCTGAGGCAAGTCATTCAAGTTAAGAAGGAACGAGTTCAAGGTCACACTAATACAGTTGGTATCATCATTCTTAGCATCTTCAGGATGTAACTTAATGAAAATTTGTTCACATCTGAAGCTGAAATTGGCTGCATCCCATATAATTGGTTCTGGAGCATTCAATCCACTTTCAACATTGGTATAACCTAGTGCAAAATGTTTTATGGATGAAACAAGAACAGTAATGAATAAAGCATTACTATCTATGGAGATATTTCCGGCCTCAAACTCCCAATTACAATAGAAAGTAGTGTTATCTGGAGGTAAACCAAACATTCTATGGGTATGAATAGTTAACCCGTCAATGGTGATGTCTGGATTCACCCCCACAAGATATCGTCTCTCATAATCTGGAACATTAAATATAACTTCTCCACCATCGTTCATTCCACAATTGGGATTATTGACTAAAACACCGTGAATAGGACTGAAGTCAACCTGCATGTCCATATAATAGTCTGTAAATCTTATATCCAAGTCCAATGAGTCAAACGCTAGTCCTATATGGGACTTACAACTGTACATATGGAATGGAAGCACAATTAAACCCTTTTTAACTTGGAATTCAAAGAATACATCAACATCATTATCAGTCTTGATAATCTTCCATGCATCGATCTTATCGTCATTGTCTTCGTCTGCCTCTTCTTCTTCCGCTTCTTCTTCTTCATGTTGTTCCACTACGTTTTCATAACTTTCCTCATTAACTTTGTTAGCAAATTCCTCAAAAGTTTGAAACTTGATATGGTCTCCAAAGTAGTTACTCTTCAACACAAAAAGATAGCATATCACTATCCCATAAAACTTTAATGAAACATAATCTCCAATACATTTGATGACTATGTGATCAGCAGTGTTCACATCAACGTTAAACCTTCGAACATAAGAACCCACAACTTCAAACTCTTTACTTCTCCCCACAACGTTACCTTCCTCCAAGAACCCGTGGAATGTGTGCCATGGAGGAGTTTCAAGGACCAAATCAAATCTTGAAGTTCTAATCTTGAAGTTTTGAACTCCAGAAGCTGTCAATTTACCCAATGCTGTTGTCTGGACCTCAATATGCAAATCATCACCTTGAAACGATAAGTACTTGTTGTTTGAGAAATCCAAAGGGTTATCAATAACGTTGGATTCGTTCACATTGAAGTAGAGCTTATAATTGTTCATTTCCCAATTGAAAATGTACTCAAAGGGACGAAAGTTCTCATATAAGGTTGGATCTCCACTAACAAAATCAGAAAATAAATCAGTGAAAAGGAAAGTATGTTCCCTTAAAAAGAAGAGTTTGGCATTTTCACTGACGTTGCAGAATGACCATGAACATGGAGCATTCCATTTAAGTGGGAATCCGACTTTGCATTCAATAGTATGACTATCTGCCAAAAATAATACATTATGATTGACAGAAGTACTAAGTTCTGGATTGGCAAAATAACAATACACACTATGAGGCCAACCATCTGCTTCTGTACCCACAAATGAAGTGAAACAATTGATTTCCGAGCCGTCATCTAATTTGAGTTCTAACCATCCAAATGGTCTGGCTATTTTCCCGGAAGACACCTTATGTTGCTTATAAACTTCCTTGTCTTTACTGAGTTCTCTAATGGGGACTCTGAAGATGACTTCTTCTTTAACTCGAATTAAAATCTTGAAACCAGCAATTTGTCGAAGTTCTCCGACTTTAGGTAATGGAGTGGGCTCAGCATCTCGGGATAAAGAAGGGAAGAACATCTCTTGAATAGGACCTCTCTGCTTTTCAGCCCATGGTCCATAATAAATTGTACCTTTATCAATTTCAATATCTACTCCATGTTCCGGAGCATTTGTAGCAGCTGTAGCTGTATCTTCGACGGTACCACAAGTATCCCAATAATAATTGAAACTGGTGATTTCAGAATCCAAAATTAAACTATACTTTGCATATTCTTCATCTCTTCCTGCCACGTCCAACACAGCATTAGGCACATCATTATCAATGTACCGTCTTAACCCCTTCCATTGTTCAAACATATGTTCATCTTGTTCATCGCCCTTTGGCTGCTTATGATGACGATGGAAGGGGAATCGAGGTAGAGCTCGTCGTATTCTTTCAATGGGTACGTGGAGATTAATTAATCCGGTGAAGTTAGATTTCGTACGGGTCCTCCCTTGTTCGTGATCCTTAGCTTTAGACGTATTAAGATCATTATTGTTCCAGAATTCGGTATTGGTATTCAAATAACGATGTCTTTCATAGTTAATATTAGGCTTTAACCAAACCTGGAAGTTCTTGAATGTGAAGGAGTTTAAATACCGAGAAATGTCTTGTGAAGAAGGAGGTTCGGTGATATCCATAATTCCTGAACCAGCAGTATACGATATCACCAATATGGAAGGTGTAGTGACATTCCCCATGACTAAAGACCCTTTCTTGATTCTAACATGCACTGGTAGAAACACAAGAATGGACGATAAATCCGGTTTGGGCTTCGAGGAAGAAGTCTGGTCAACATTACCCTTTTCAAGGTCCTTCGGAGATGACGAGGAAGATCTTAACGATGTCAAAGAACTCGATGGAGTCTTTCTAAACCTCATTGTGGATTCCGAATCAGACAGATTATCATCACTTAGTGGTAGTTTTGAAGAAACACCTGCACCACACTTGGGATTCTTATCTGAACTCAAAGATTTAATAATATTATCATAAGCAAATCCTCTATTATAATAAAACACTTCTAGACCCTCTATTTCAACTATTATCCGTGATCTCAAGGACTCATTGGATTCCCTTGTGGTCTTCATCTTTTGATCTCCTGTATCAAAATAGTATTGAGATACTCGGGTGATTCCAAGATACCAGTACCGCCAAGTCAACGTGGCATTAAGCATAGACACCGTCATATCTGTATTCATGTACGTCACATTTTTAAGGAAGATCCGACCTCCTAATGGGGCAAGCTTTACGGATTCGATATTGATTCTGATTCCAAAACTATGCCATAAACTCCATCGGAGCAAGAGTGAGATCAAGAACCCCACTAGTCTCGGGAAGTAAAATATAAACGAGATCCCGAGGATTAGGGCAAGAATCCAGTCCACCAAGTAGATAAGACTGGAATTCAGAACAGAGTAGTTGGAAGTGGCTGTTCCAAAGAGGAACAGCAGACCAACCGACATGACCCGTTGTATGTATTGTATATACTGTATATACGAGTATAGTTATACAGTAATACTATTTGGTCCGTATGCAATGTAGTACTATTACTACATGGACTATGTCTTCTTTACGATTAATAAGTACAGGATTTTTAATTGGTTCTCGCACGACTTTGGTGATAGTGCGGAAAAACAAATACAAAATAAACATCAGTAAAAACATACAGTAAACAAACCACAGGGTACTTACTAACCCTTCCTTAATTATTCGGAGTTTGCTAACATCAATTAGTTGGTTCAAGTTTATCCAGTTGATTCATACAAAGAAGTAAATACATCAATAGGAACGTCTTTTATATCCGACGATGTCGCAAAGCTCCAAGTACTTGGACCAAGAAAACATTCTAGACGCTAATGTTAAACAATGGATCAATCGTGAGGGCGGTAAACCCCTTGGGACATTGAAACGGAGTGCCACCACTGGGCCCTATGACAATGTTCCCAAGAGAAAACTGAAGAAGGTTCTTGGTGGTAAAGATATCAATACTCATATTCCTATGTTACGAAAGTCTCATTCAACGATAGATGCTCGTAGTGGTGCTGTTTCTGGTGCTGGTGCTGTTACTGGTGCTGGTGCAGTTACTGGAGGCAGCTCACTGGTTCAACCAAGACCTATTTCAAGATCTGCTTCTGCCGTGGAGTCGTGCTATAGAACACTGGTTCCTGTGTTGCAACCTAACCATGATCTTGTATTGAATTTCAAGAACTTGGAAGAGACTTTGTCGGTGTCTCCCCTGCCTGCTATACCATACACTGATTCCCTAGTGAAGCTGGAATTCACTAATGCATCATTACCTCAAATACCATCCCTCAAGTCCATGCCTGTACCTGATTTACAGGCTCCTATAGCAACTCCACGGTTAAATGCCACGAATATGGATCCTAAGAAATCTGTGTCGAGGCGGCTACCATCTGAAGTCGACAAATATATGAATGATAAATTGAATAAGAGAATCATAGGGAAAGTGCCTTCACATTTGATTGATGACCCTAATAGCATAGAAACAATTCCTGAACGATTGGAAGACGTTGCATCACCATTTGGAGAAAATGCGCTTGATTTCTTACGTCTGAATAATGTTACAAAGATGACAAAAGATAACTACTTTGAGTATCCAGAAATAAGGAAGAATGAACATGATCTCAGGTTTGAAGAAATCGTCTTGGATGATAAGGAAGATTTTAGTGGTGGTGAACAAGATATGAGTTTGGATGACGTTGGGTTAACTATTGACGAACTTGATGAGTTATTGAACTGATGATTATTCGGTTTACATATATACAAAGTTCTATACCATTATGAATTCATTGCTGAGGACATTCAGGTTGACCATTGGAGCCTTGCCCTCTATGACCATGGCCATGGCCATTTTCATGATGTTCTTTCTCCTGAGGTAACAGCTGTTTGTTGGTGATAATTATATCTGAAATATCTTCAACATTGGCATCCTCCAAGCAATCACTAGGGATTTCCTGCTTTTCAATATCCAGTTTATTCTGCAACTTTGTGGGTAAGATATTCAGCAAAGATACCAAATCATTCTTTTCAAGATACCAATTATCCTGAGGGAATTCTATCTCCAACTCAATATATAAATCACCTCTTTTCTGAGAAGATGAAGAAGAAAACCAAGAGGCTGATTTCTTCTTTGATGGCATACCTTCATTTTTAAGTTTAATAAAATCACCCGGTCTTAAGACTTTGCCCTTTGGGGTGGTAATCTTTAAAGCTCTACCATCCAAATGCTTAGCCACGATTTTGGAAAATCCACTCAACAGTTCCACTAATGTAATCTTGTATTTCATATACAAGTCATCACCTTTCCTTTGGAAACTATCATGTGGCTTACAATTATAAGTAAGTCTTATATCACCAGATTGTTTCCCTGGAGCTTGATCACTTGCACCCTCAAGAACTATGGATTCCCCAGAATGAGCTCCCTTTTTGATTTCAAATTCATATATTTTGGTTTCTTCTTGAACTCTGGACCCTAAGCATTTCTTACATTTATCTTTAGATCGATAGATTTTACCTCTACCTTCACATTTGGTACAATTAACTGATTCTTGTCTTATGATTCCGGGTCCGTATCGCTTTATCTTAATTTCCACTCCCTTCCCGTCACAATCTGGACATTGTTTATTTATGGCATTCTTCTTGTATCCCACCCCATCACAGAGCGTACACAATATATCTCTAGTGATAGTGGTTTTGATCACCTTACCCTTGAACAAATCTTCTAGCGTCACGTCGACTTCTATTGTGGCATCGTCGGTACGAGGAACAGCAGGCTTAGGTGGGGAGGAGGAAGCATACCCATACTCATCACCACCCATTCCATTAAAGAATCGATAGAAATCTTCCGGTCCAAACCCATTGGCCCCTCCACCTCCATAAAAATCGTCGTATCCACCATATCCACCACCATTATCACCATTGGGACCTTCAGCATTACCATACAAATCATAATTGTGTCTCTTTGTCTCGTCAATAAGCACTTCATAGGCATTGGTCAATTCTTTGAATTTTGCCTCTGCCTCATCTCGTCCTTCTTCGTTTACTTTATCCGGATGATACCTTAATGCCAACTTTCTATATGACTTTTTGATCTCTGCCGTTGTTGCCGAGGTCTCGACCTCTAGAATCTCGTAGTAGTCCATCCTGGCTCACGATCTCCGTGGTATGGCTAATGATTATTGTTGTAGAAACCTTGCAATGGTATGGGTTGTTTTTTCGGTAGTGTGTTTTTCCCCAGCATTAACGAGCGACTGTCAAATCGGGGTACGAGTGAAAGTAGTTGTGCCAGTGGACGTCGTGGTGGCAGTGGACGTAGTACCAGTAGTAGCTGGAATGGAACTAGTGGTTGACTCCCATTCAAACCCATGGTTGTCGTAAACTTTTTGACCGATCTGGCGGCCGTACTTTCAGCTTTAGTGTATAGCCCGTTAATTCTGGTTGTCTTAGTCTTGTAATTGTGAACATTCCTCGAATTGGTCGTAGTGGTGGAGTGGTTAACACGCTGGGTGCAGGTCCCAGTGGGCTTTGCCCGCGCAGGTTCGAATCCTGTCTACGACGGTTCAAGTACAACTCTTTTTTTGGACTATGGATAACCAATTCTTTTTTTGCTTACAAGGGTTATAGCATCAGGAAGTAATGACCATAAACTAACCTTATAGTATGGAGTATGTCTTGCTTGTATGTGTTTGTAGACTACAAATCCGTATTTTGTTTCCCCTTCAACATTCCAGTCATTGTCACGTGACTTTGGACAGAGAAAAATTAGGAGGCACAAGTGAACCGACGTTCAACAAAACCAATTCATAATCGACGTGTTCTGTTCAAGCATAAAGAAACAGTTGCGTCTAATTGTTACTCTATTATTATCTCTAAATCCTATACACTAAGAAATGGTATGTGACGTGTCGATTGACGTGGAACAGTACGGAGATTGTGTCGGAATTGATATTGGGCTCAGACCGGTGTGGATCGTTCGGGAAACCCGTCACGGTATAACGGATTAGATCAATTACTAACGTATGCTTCTTTAGTCAAGATCAGGGTATGTAAGGAAGATTAGGGCCCATTGACCACTATTAATAACCCTATATTACTATACTGTACTGTACAGTCTATACTGACTATAGCATAGTAATAGTATACTATACTGTATTGTACAGTGTATTGTACTGTCTATTGATAAATACTAATTCGTTTTTAGTGTTGCTGTTGCAGATGCATCTTTAGGTGCTTTCAACGACTTGAAGTTGGGTAAGAAGTACAAGTTTATCATCTTCAAATTGAACGACTCCAAGACCGAAATTGTGGTGGAAGAAACAAGTACTGAACAAGATTATGATGCTTTCTTGGAAAAGTTACCTGAAAATGATTGTAAGTATGCCATTTATGATTTCGAATATGAAATCGGTAATGGTGAAGGTAAGAGATCCAAGATTGTTTTCTTTACCTGGTCTCCAGACACTGCCCCAATCAGAGCTAAGATGGTTTATGCTTCATCAAAGGATGCTTTGAGAAAGGCTTTAAATGGTATCTCTACTGATATTCAAGGTACTGACTTTTCTGAAGTTGCCTATGAATCTGTCTTAGAAACTGTTAGCAGAGGTGCTGGTTCTCATTAAGGGGCTTCTATACTAAAGAGATATTATATATATATATATATATATATTTGTGTGTGTGTATGTATATGTATAAGCTCTTATTTATCTTGAATTACAATACTTTTAGTAGCTAGTTAATCCGTAGAGTACATGTATGCTAATAGATAAGACCGGATTGAGGTAGGGAGTTTTTCCGGGGCAACTTGAAGTGGTAGCGCCGAAAGTCTCCTAGTTCCCTTTAATGATAATTTAAATAACATACACCTAATATAAGTACGTAATATACAGACGTTGTATTAGTAGTAGTTCTCCCATAAGTGGTGATAAATGTATATACGAAGACGCACTTTAAAGTCTGAAGTATACTGGTAATACTATTATGGTACGATGACCGATAACGAACAAACAGGTGCAGAAAACGATGTTGCCAAAGATAAAGTGCCTAGAGCTACATTAGAACAAAAGCTACAAATAATCGATGAATTCCATACTTTGAAACGACCTCAACTGGATATAGTGAACAAGTATCGGAAGACGGTTTCCATCCTGACATCAAGCTTTAGTGAATGGTTAAAGCATGAACAAGACTTAAGAGAACGGTTCAACCGAGCAGGGTACCCATCTCAACGGCGTAGTAGACGAAGGGCCAAGTTTAAGTATGAGAAGATCAACCATGCAATGGATATGATGGTTCAACAACGTATAGATCGCAATGAACCTATTAGTGAGCCTATACTTCGAGGGTATTGGTCGATATTTGCTCATCAGTATGGAGTGGAGGATCCTAAACGATTGGTAGGGTTTAGTCATGGTTGGTTAGCTCAATTTAAACAAAGACATGGATTACATAAGAAAAGAATGAGTGATCTTATGCTAACACCAGGTGAACAAGGAGAAGAAGATGATAATAAAGAGGATGATAATGCTCAAGGAAATAAGTCTAAAGATGGTCATGATGATGTTAAACCTATGAGTGCTCCCAAGTTATCAAGAATGAATTCTTCTTCATCGTCTTCTTCTTCTTCTAATGTCGATGTGAATAATAATAATAATAATAATAATAATAATAATGTTTTCCGATCTTCTCGAGCTTCATCACGAGATAGATCTCGAGATAGGGTCAGATCACCTCATAGAGAACCCATAGCTGAGCAATTAAAGCGGAAGAATAATTTTGAATTACTTCAACCTCAAGCAACCGAAGTAATGAAGCCTGAAATTGCAATTTCAAGCTCACTACTGCCAGAGAGTTCAGCTTATAGTGAGTCTGAAAGAGGTAATTTCACTCGTTTGTTGCATGATAGTGTGCAAGAGTTTCCTTCTAGATCCAGTGATCCTTCCCTTCTTCTTCCCCAAAGACCACTTTCAACACAATCTGTAACACGAAACCAATTCAAACCTCAGCTGGGCTTGAGTTTCAACTCATCTTCATCCAACTTCCATCACAGCAAGTCATTGACTTCTCTTCAACGATTGGGCACTCCCAAGCAATTACTTGCCCAGCGTCAAAGCCATCACAATAATAGTACCACTATCAATAATATGAAGATTAATAATAATGGTCGTCCAAGACATCACCCTGAGCATAATTCCTCCATATCTTCTACCAATGAATTTGCTTTACAAGATTATAGACAGCAAGCTTTTTCTCGGAGTTTAATTCCAGATTCAAATTCTGATAGTCATCTTAATAAACTCCCAGCTGAATCACTACCTCTGCTTGAAGCAAGAACTTCTAGTACAACAATTGATAACACTTCAACGAGTTCTATTGCGTTTTTATTGGGTGATTCTTCTGAAACAGCTCCTACCACTAGTTCTCTTGAAAAAAGCGGATCTACCGTCAATGAAAATGGGTTCAGATTCACTAACAATAATACTAGTCAAAAAGATCGACTGGTTGTGTCTAATGATAATAAGAAGAACGATGGAAGTCTGTCTGTGGTAAGTGCTAGCGAAGTGGAACGGTTTATCTTTGTATTTGCTGATCGATTCTTCCTGGATTATCAATATGACTATCCCCAAACCATGAAACTCTTTCAAGAGTTTAAGAATTCGTTTTTAAATGAAAGAATTATATTGGAAAGAGCTCAAAGAGATTCCAATAATAATAATAATAATAATAATAATAATAACCAGGAGAATGATAAAAGATATTATGAAGCGTTACCTCAAGTGAAACGGGTTAAAGGGTCTCATGGTTATACACAACTGAAAGTGGATATGAACATCATACAACATCAATATCCCAATAATAATGACAAACAAGAAAGATATACCAATGATAATGGGAATACCGAATCAATCGCTAGAAGGTTACCCGATTTTCAACATCGTCAAAGTAATAATAATGTTGTTAATTCTGGTCAATTGGAAGACTATATCTTACCTGGATCTCCCACAGGATCTATTATTGGCTTGAATAAGAATAAACTGTTTTCAACAGCTGAACCCGGGTCAAACAATTCAGGTTTAGTAAGTGGTGGTGGTAATGGTGGTGGGTCTCAATCGCCATCATCAACTCCCAGTATCACTAATCTTACTACTACTCCATCATTTCTAAGATTTTTTGACGCTGGAACAACTCCAAGTGCTCTGTCAACCCCCACGGTTAGTTCATTGAATCCTGTATTAAGCCCTGTGACAACCACACCAACTATGACAGAGGGAAAATTCATCGGGTTAGGTGGTGGAGCTATTCGATCACCAACAACCTCTCAATTACCTCCTCCAATTCGTTCCTTCAACACAGCAACCAATTATAATAAGTGTACCAATGATAATAATGGTATAATGAGATTACAGGATTCGTCCTTCAAAAGGTAATAAGTATGGCTCTGATCTAGACGAATGACATTTCGCTAGTCATTAACAAAGGAATGGGAGAAGACTCTATGATTTCTTTGATGATGGTTTTGGGTAAATTAATATAAGCATATACCAATTCTGTGCATTTGCTTATATCGAATTTGATATTCTTAAGACACCATACAAATAATACTTTGATATGGCTTGGTAATTCTGGCAGAAATGGTAAGTATCCACACATTAATTGAAGTTGGATAATTCTTAACCATTTACAATGACTTAAAGATCCCAAAGGTTTTTCAAAAGTAACACCACGATCAAGTTCAAGATATAGTTGGCATAATTTAGGGAAATGACCCAAATTTAAATTTGAAGTATTTTTAATGGTGATGTTTAATTCTTGAATCAGTTCTGCTTCCCATAATAAAGATTTTGATTTAGTATTGATCAATTGTAAATCTTTACCAAAGAATTCAAAATATGTTAGATGAGGGGTAGATCCAAAGTCCCAAGTTAATTGGTTAACTTTTACTATCAATTTGGTCAAATTACTGCAACTTGAAACTGAAACTTTATCAGCAAATGATACAGATGAATCTTCACGACTAGCAGCCACTTCCAAACTGGAAACGTTAGTGGGAAGCTTTACCTTATGAGTTCTCTGATCAAATTGGTCCAAGACAATGGAAGTAGCAGTAGTTACTGGTTCATATTCATATTGAACATCGTTATGGACGACGTCTGGATCTTGAGGATTGAAGATTTCACCATTACCACCCCCAAAATCATCATTAATATCATCATCAAGTATTGCAATGTCCATATACGTTGGGATAGGAGTTTGGGAGATGGCCACGCGATAAAGATCGGAATATTCCGGTAATACAAGTTTCAATTGACCCATTGATTTATAAGGAATCTCGAGTACTATGTTATTCAAGAGAAATGGTTGTTGTTGATGCATTAGGATCATATCGGAGATTTGCACGAATCTTAATCTCTTGACTATGGGACCATATTGTCTATAGAACTGTAGATATTGCCAGGTTGTCATTCTACGAAGTATATGTTCTCCATGGTGCTTGATGAATGTTTTATATGTTTCAGGTAATGCATCATCACCATCATTGATATGGAATACGCTTAAGGGGTTGATGCCCTGGGATTCAGACTTGAAGGGATCAATGGTTACCTCTCTATAGAACGCACTAAATGCTACCAGTTCATATTGTCGGAATACATGTGAGAATACTATCAAGTCTATTAAGGATAGATCACACTCAAGTATATTGGCTATGATCTCATTAGGAAGGTCAGTTAGTGCCATGACAAGAATATATGAATGTGATCGACCGTATCAAATTCGTCTGACTAATTGTGTCTGGGTATACTGTGAATAGTTGTGTCTGGTTGTATATCTGGTTGATTGTAGGTGTATTTAGGGGTGGTAACGGATTTGTATACTTGTTGTTCTCCGATGTCCGGGTAACGTTTTTGAGATTTGGTTTAAGGGTGCCAGTTTCTATTCGCAACCATTCTTGTTACTCGTTCATCTTCTCTTCATCATATGACTGGTAATGTATTTATTTCACTTAATTATCATCATTTATACTGCTCTACGCTTCCAATGGAATGTGCCGTACTGATACGGAGATTAGGCCCCAATTTTACGTGTCACATGTATTACACGTCTATTCCATTCAGAAAAGGTAATTTTTAACTAAAAGTATCTCACCGACGACCATAATCTGATCAATATGACCTGTCAGATTACTGAAACTTGTGACCAGTCAATTCATAATCAGTCAGATTATCACCAGTTAACATAATCACTTAACTGTGTTTCTCAAGCATATATATCGCTTACTTCCTCATTGAGCACAACGGCCCTGTACCGGCACCCATTCCTGTATATTGTGGAAGCCGCTATAGGGTTCACCAAGTCATAAATGGAGAAGTTACCCCAAAAAAGTCAACCACTTCTGATAAAATTCAGCAACAGAATGACTAAAGTCTTGAGTATTGGTCTTGGTGGTGTTGGTGTAATAGCCGCTTACACTCTAGTTCGTAATGATCCTACAATTGAATTGACTGCTGTCATTAGATCTGATTATGATATTGTAACCACCAAAGGATACTCTATTTCTTCAGTCGATTATGGCGGACGTTCGTTAGATGCTGGAGATAATGATGAATCCAAAATGATCCATGGATTCAAACCTACGCACGTGGAAAAGACCCTTGAGTCAGCTTCCCAACACGGCCCCTTTGATTACATTGTCATTTGTACTAAATGTGTTCCTTATCCTAAGGACAATGTTTGGGATCAAGTATCTCAGAACATAGATGCTTTGACTCATCCCGGTAGAAAGACTCATGTGGTGTTAATTCAAAATGGTATTGATATAGACCATTATTGGAACTCCTTGGAGGACCGTGTTCGGTTAATTTCAGGTGTCAGTTATATTCTGTCCGTGAACTATAAGGGTAAAATTGTTCAATATGGTCCAGATGAAGTTTTATTTGGATATTTCGATAAAGATGATGATGAAAATGGCTTACAGAAATGGATTTCCATGTATCTGAATGATATTAATCAAGTTGGTAAAGATACCAATCCTCGATTTACCAGATGGAAGAAATTACTTTATAATGGATCATTTAATACTATCTGTGCATTAACCCAAGCCAACGTTGGTCAATTGTATCGTACTAATGATGAAAATAGTGTTGTGGAACATACTGTGATACCAATTATGAAGCAAATCCAACAAGTTGCCAATTATGATCTTGAAAAATTGGGAATGGAAGAACGTATTTCCGATGAACAAATTAGAAATATGGATAAATATACCAAAGAGAGTGATGCCCCCACCAATTATCAACCACTGATGCTTGTTGACGTTATAAACAATAGGGCCATGGAATTAGAGGTTATTTTGGGCAATGTGCTTTCCATTCACCGGTCTCATGGCAGTCCATTTCAATTGAAAGAACTTGAATTTCTCTACTACTTGTTAAGCTTAGTTCAATATCGAATTACACGTGAGTAAAGAAGATAACATTCATTCAGCCGATTATTTTTTTTTTAACCCGAAATTAATAGAGAAGAAGAAAAGAAGAAGTAGAAGAAGATAAAAGTAATAACCATAATAAACCAATTAACCGCTAACGACGACGCCGATGATGATGATGATGCTAATATATATGAGTGAAATCTATTTCATCTAATTTCATTTCTTTAAAGTGATTTTGAATCGAAGTTGTACCTGCAACTTCTTCTTGATATATGATTGGAATCGTAGCCAAATTTGATTCTAGTTCTTCATCCTTCCGTGTCACGTGACTCTTTTTGTGGTCACAAGAGGGACAGTTACGACATGTAGATGGAGTACAATGTGGTTCTTCATGAGTGTTTGAATCAGCCAATGGGTGCACAGATGATAATATAGTAGTTTTTTTGGATGTGATTTCTTGTAATTGTTGTTGTTGGATGGATTTACGACCTTTTGGAGATTTGGATCTATGAACCACTCTAAATGTTTTAGGTTTATGCTCAATCGGAGTACGAGGTTGTTCTCCAGTGGTATTTATTTTGTTAACAATGTCTCTGTCTATATGTTTTGCATACATGTAATCTCTGAGGGCCATCTTGTTAGTCTGTTGTTAGGATTAATTCTATGAGATTATTTATATTACACTATTAGGCCTACATATCGATATATATAGTTTTAAACCCTACTTGTTAAAACACCAATGCCTTCCCTACAACTCGAACCACTTTTTGCAACCTCGGTGCACGCACGCACGGAAACCGTCTGATTCGATTGTTTGATTAGCGGATAAAGAGGTGTCTATGCATAATTTATGCAACACAAAATGCACAAGATGAACTGATTTAAATAAGTGTCGTTTAAACCTTGGAGCGTTCATGATTAATAATATACTTTATAATAGTAGCCATACAGCCTTACTATTTTTAGTGTTTCTACTATTAATTTCTCTAAGTTTGATAAACGGTATATACAAACAATAAAAGAGTCGTACTGCTGCAGACTCCCCGATAAGAGCATGCATGTCTTAATGCATTTATCCGATGATGGTGCGCTTGCTGATTGGAACCACTCATGTACGGGTCATATTTTTTAGTTTTCTCCACCTTGGGTATGCATTCATCCCATCTACAGGAAATTCTATTGTTCCTCTATTTTTAAATATAATAGTAAGCTCTATACCTCTTTATTTATCTCGGGGTGCAGAAACCTAACCCCAATGATGATAATCCCAATGGCTATGCTTAAAAACTTATAAGTCAATTGATCATCCACTAATTTGGGTTCAACCTTCTTGCGATGCCGTTTATGATAATGTTCTCCAAATATAAGCCATTTGACTTGCTTCAATAATGTAATTGTTTCTTCTTCTTCACTTTCATCCGAAGTTGTAAATTCATCTCCAACTTCTTCACTATCACTTGAGATCTCAATCCCACTATAATCACTGTTAATCACTCTGTTGAATGTTTGTGACTTATATTTCCGAACTGCAGACTTTGAACCACCTTCGTTTGTAGTTGGTTGTTCACTTCCTTCATCAGCTTGTAAGTATACATGCAATCCATTCAGAAATATCCGCTTCCCAAATGTATCTCGATGGGTTAGAAATCCATAATGATCTTCACCTTTAGCAGGATTTATGATTGACATAATGGGATTTATAGATATTGATCGAAGAACTCGCTTCTTATATATCAATTCTTCTTTACTTTGTTCAATTAATTTGGCATCAGAATATTCATATCTTTTTCGGGAATCGGAATTTGACATGGTAGTTGGTTTACTACTCCGTGAAGGTGAAGAGATCCCTCCTGACAGTGATCTTGATTTAGAATGATTATTTTGATTCACTCGTAATCCATTTTGACTTTTCAATTTCCTAATATTCTTCTTCTGTTTCTGTAATTCGAATCCAATATAACTTAAAAGCTTTTCATTATGTAATTTAAGACTTTGTAATTCAAATTTCAATTTCATGATTTCTTGTTTTGTCATATCCTGATCCATATAAACACTGCTAGCACGACTGCTAAGTGAGTTTCTATTAGACGTCAGTTTCAAACCAGATGATACATTGATCAGACTTCTATCTGCTGCTTGATTCAATTTAATAAAAGTTTCCATATGGAATTGATCTTCTTCATTGATTTTGGCAAATGACGACCCTTGTTCGGGATAAGACATGATACGATGGTCAGGAGATTCTTGTATGGATTCTTGTTCAAACTCAACTTTAATTGGAATTATATCATGCGAATTATACCGTGCATGTCTAGGAAAGGAACGACTAAACCTTCTTGTGGTGGTACCCGTTGATGCTGTAGCTTTGTTGGTAGACAATTTTTTGAAATCTGAATTTCCATGATTATCACTTCCAGAAACTGCTATTCCAGATGCGCCTGCGCCTCCTGCCGTCAGCTCAAACATCTGAGAGTGTAGCTTAAATGGTGATAGAATAAATTTTGATGAAGAACTTGACCCATCTGTATCATCATCATCAGTATCAGGAACAGTTTCCATACTTAATCTATTGTTGGCACAGAAAGCAGGAACAGAATTCCGCTTATTGGTAACGTTATTATTAATATTTTCTTGTTGTTGCAGACCTTGAATCAACGAGTTCCGGAAAGGAGTCAGTGTGAAAGCAAACGAGCATCTATTGGCATTATAATTATGACTGGAGCTTAATGGGAACTTAAAGTTTTCAGAAACTTCAATTGATTGATGAGATGTATTCCGAATTGGTACTCGTGAAGAATTAAGTTTCAATTCTTGATCGAGATAAGACAACAAGTTAGACAGATCATCATCATCATCATCAATCTCATCCTCTTCTTCATCGTCCTCAAAATCCACATTCTGTATTTCAACATCTTCTTCTCCTTGAAAATCACCCTCTTCATCATCTGTCAGAGTGTGAATCATAGAGAGTCGTATAACTGAATGAGATGACTCTTGTTCTTCTTCAATGATTTGATTTTCAGATGTATTTGATGATTGTTGATTCTGCAACGAATACCTATTGGTTTCGCAGCCGTGAGAATGAAGATTCCATTGGTTAACTTTCAGGGATAAATTTTCAACTTGCTCAAGTAAAACGGACTTTGAGTTTTGTTCAAGTTCATAATTGGCTTGAAGAATCTTAAAATCTTTCATCATTCGTTCATAATTATCTCGTAATTCAAAGTTTTCTTCACCTTTAGTTAATAACTCATTTGATAAATGGTTAACTTTCAGCTGTAAATTCGATATAAGATTTTGATAATAATCTAATTCCTTCTCAAACAATACCTTATTGTGTGATAAATTAGAATTCATTTGCTTAAGCGTGGCTTCGTAATCCTTTATTTTATAATCTTGACTGGAAATCATATCTTCTTGATGTTTAAAACTGGTCTCTAATTCTTCAAATTCATGGCGTAGACTTGTGTTGGACAATACAAGATCAGCTTTTTGTCGTTCTATTGATTTTAACGTACCCGGATCCGTGCTATCAATAATTAATGACATATTATGGGTTGGTTTTCTGGTTGGGGAAGCCAGATTGTGTTTGGCAGAAGTCGAAGTCATGTTGCGACAATTATTTGGAGTCAATATACTGTCGTTGATCGTATTGTTCATTACTGTGGATTCTGTAGGGGGGTTACTTATGATTTGACATCCATCTGTCGTGTAATAAGACATTATTAGGAGAAGAAAAAGAAGAAGGATATCCTTGCAAGATGAAATGAACGACTAAGGAATAAATTTAAGCAATAATGATAATATAATGAGTGGCAGTCTCCACTGTTGTTATTTGTTTATAGTGTTATATAAATATTTCTGCTTGTTGATGAACGAACGATGTTGGGCCACAAGACCTTCCTTTTTCCTTCCACAAATTTCCGACAAATGTCAGTCACTAGAATCGAAATAACGGTGAGTAGATGACTTCTAGTCTGGAGAAAGAACGACAGTGCAGAGCATTTCAATGTTTGAATTTGGGAAGCTAAGATCAAAAAATGCAAACAATGACACAAAAACATAGTGGGACAAAAACGGCATGTGCACTTTTACTTGAAAGGTCTACTTGCGATGAATAGTATAATGGTTGACGATACTAGTTACAAATATTGGCCCACGTTACATTACGGTAAATAAAAATAAAACTCCTCAAATATATACTAATAATAAAACGTTGTGGGCATATTTTGTTGTCGTAATAGACGAGTCCCGTCCAAGCCACAACCACCCACGATATAACATAGTCAAGATTCGGTTGTGTCTCTGTGGAATGAAAACCATTGGGCTTAAAATCTATTGGGTCGCCTCAACAATTTGCCCGTTTTACTATTACTATATAAGCTACAGTATTATGATTATGGCCTGTTTGAGAAATAACATACACACTTAATCCAGTATATGGTGTCGCAAAAGTTCACAATAGATGCAGGTTGTCTTAAACACTAGTTAAGAGAAGAGGTAGATACTACGTAGTTCATCTTGTGGTACATCGTTTTAACAGTTTCTGTTGACGGGCATATCTTTTAAATAATTGTTAGTAGTAAATTTTCATACCCAAGGTTGTGTGTACAATATCAATAGTTCACGAGGTTTAAAAGGTTAGCGTTATTGGTAGTTAGCTCTATGATTGACGGCTGAGGGTGTATTTTGTTTAAATTATCAACTACTTTTAGGAAGAAGTAAAATAATAACCACTAAATGAAATACGATAGAATTAATACGAAAGGTTGATATAACTATTGAACACTTTAAGTTAGGTTTCTCTCTACCAGTATTGAGTAGGTGACTATACTTCGCCTATTATTATATGCGACTTTATGTACAACAAGAATCTCCACTTGAGATCTGCCATCAGCCTAAATGATCTAGTGCTCTTAAAATAATATTCTTCAGTATTGTTGATTTAATCAGGAAGTATAAACTACCTATACTTCCTTGAATGAAATATCTGCGAGTTCTTCGACATTTTTGTTCTGTTAATACAGAAAATGTAAATGATATTGATATATACCATTTCATAAGCGAAAACTTTCTCCCCTTGATAGCTTAACTGGTAAGAGATTTCAATTTCTGTCATTTTGTAAATTGGTACAAATAGCGGAATATCCACTGAAGCAATCTATAAAAGAGGCAACACTGCCAGAAGCAAAGGAAAGAAACTTATAGTAACAACCTTGACCATATTATGTTGGGGTGCTCTATTTAATGGTATCAGCATTAGAATATAGCCAATGGAGTATCTAATGGGCATGCAATGCTTTTGTGATTGCACCTTGCATTCTGTCAGTTTGTGCATTGGCTGCAATAGGCTGTGAGCCCCAAGTAGCTTTCTACATAAAGTCAAACCAATAGTTATCATGTTTACTTGAGAATTCGTTATACGGTATCTCTATGAGTTGGAATCTCTACAAATGCTGGCAATACCTTAAATCGTTCTTGGCACCGTCATAGGAGGCATTTTTTAACAGTGTGTTATTCTGGTTGCAAGTGATCTTTATTCTATTTTGTTTATTGTCTACAATAGACTTGAGGCCCAGGGCGCTCTCTGTATGGAGCCATATCCAGGGCTATCATATTGGATGTCATTTAATGGCTCTGGAGTTTGCTATCTCTTTTTGTTCAAGGCATTCGTTCTTGCGTCTGTGAAGGTGCCACCTGTGGGTGTACAAATTTGTGTTTTAGGTAGTCTTCTGTCAGGTTGTGCGTTGGTCGCAATACTCTTTAAAAATTGAAGATATTTCTATAACTTAAGACGCCGACAGCTTTGAAGGGGTTTATTATTTGGTGTCATTATGAGTTGTGCTTTCTATATTGGCCCGAATTTCATCTGCAGCCCGTTCTTGGAAGTTAAGTTTGCCCAAAAAATAAAATAGATAACGTACAGAAAGGTTATCACACATGCAGCATGTCAGTGGTGATAATGGGCTTTCTCTAGTTTGTAAGTAAAATAGTAGGGAGGGGGCTCTAGTTCTGCTAATAAAAATACTGAATGAAAAATGAAGGTGCTATTGATTCAGCGTTCGCTACTACACCACCAAATTAGGTATTACATAATGTTTAATTGTGGATGGTTGCAAAAAAGTAACCACGTACATAGAAAAGAAAGTTTAACCTTGGCAAATGTGCCAATATCGAAACGATATTTAGGTAGAAATTATCATATAAATGTAATCAAGGCACATTGTTTTTGTGTAGGGGATTAATATCAGAAACTTGATATTATTTCTTCTGTAATATTAACTCTAATTCTGTATCATTCTTTGAAATGTACCATTCATTTCGACGCACTTTTAGCCCGTAATTACCTACTCTAATGTCATCTTTTGGGTATCTATTCCACACTTTTCCATTTACGTGCCCTTAACTCCAGATTTGTTGGAAGTATCACTTGAATGCCGATTTCCAATGAGAATCTCTATCGATCCAATCATATTCCACAGTTGCACGTTACCCGCCTTTCGGGTCTCACCGAAACTCTGCAAACCTTTATATACCGTCAGATAAGAAAGCCACTGGACTCTTCACAGAGTGATCTCCAACCCTGTATCATCAGGATTTTTAAAGTATCACATATGAATTGAAAATACCGTATTTATATATATAAGAGCCAATAGACAACGATTTCTTTTTTATATTGAATAACCTTCACCTTATTACTATTATTACTATTCAGATCGTTTCATCATGGCTACTAAATCTGTTTCCCTCGAAGAATTTAAAAAAGAAATTGTCCTTTCATATACTGATGTCATTGGAGAAAAGCTTGGAGGTAAAGTACTCAAGTTTTCTGATGAATGGTTTGCTGCGGCTGAAAACTTGATCAAACCAAAGGACCCTATAAGAGAGGCTAATCGTTTCACTCATGCAGGTGCTTGGTATGATGGATGGGAAACTAGGAGACATAACACCGAACCAGCAGATTATGTTATTTTCAGATTGGGTGTTAGTTCTGCTAAATTGATAGCTGCTGAAATTGATACTGCTTTCTTTAATGGTAATCATGCTCCTGATATTTCTGTTGAAGCAGCTCTTTTGAAGGATGATTCTGAAATAGACACTACTGAATGGACTACTATCATTGATAAAGTAGAATGTGGACCTTCTCAGAGACATTTCTTCATCAGAAAAGATGGCCTTACTACAGATAACTTTACCCATGTTCGTTTACAGATGTACCCTGATGGTGGTATTGCTCGATTCAGATTGTATGGTCAAGTGATCCCCATTTTACCTCTGGATTTAAGCACTTTAGTCGATACTGCTAGTGCTAACCAAGGTGGTGTAGCAGTTGCTGTTAGTGACCAACATTTTGGTTCTGCTGACAACTTAATTTTGCCAGGTCGTGGTGTTGACATGGGAGATGGCTGGGAAACCAAGAGATCAAGAGAACCGGGACACACTGATTGGGCTATAATAAAATTAGGTGCTCCAACTATCGCGAAGAAGATAATCATAGATACTGCTCATTTCCGTGGTAACTTCCCTCAACTGGTGGTTGTCAAGGGTATTTTCAGTTCTGAAAAGACTCCAGCACATGATGACTCTAAATGGGTGGAATTGGTTCCCCAGTCCAAAACCGGTCCTGATAAAGAACATACTTATGAGGTTACCAACTCTGATAAGATAACTCATGTGCAATTAATCATTATCCCTGATGGAGGAGTCAAGAGAGTTAGGGTTTTAGGCAACATCTCTCCATAGATATATTTATATACATGTATACTAAATCCCTTATGCATATCGTATGAATATTGGTAGCACGGAGAATTGACATTTATAAATGGCCATAACAACAATCATTAATCACTGGAGTTCTATATGCCATCATAATATAGAAAGAAATGAAGATTGTAAATAGGTGTATCTTCTCCCAGATATGGAACTGGGGATTGTTTATTTATCTTATGTACCGTGGCCTTGTTGAGTTACCTCAGAATACTGCAACTCCTGCTTGGAAGAGAGGTGCTCTATTCTTAGGATCTGTGGTCTTATATGAACATGGATCAATACGATGGGTATACAACCGGAGAAGACTTGATTGGAATATATACATCATATATGTACGATTTGCACTTGAACTATTAGCATTAGGTACATGTATGGGGTTGTACCAAGTGGACTTGCCAGTGAGTTGAGAAGGACAGAATATTTTTCGACAGACATTGATAGATTGACAATTCAAACACTTACAGACAAGGAGTTCATACATAAAGCCATGAAACAACTTAGTATTGAAAGATTATCACGGTATTTGTCTCAAAGAGCACCAATCCGGGAACTTTTCACTGAATATTCCTTTCCCACCTCTTACGAAGAGCAACTCCAACTAGTACCTCATCTCGAAACAATTGCAAATCATAATGGATACTATTTGCGTATGTTTTTGAAAAAATACCTTGAACAGGTAGAATTACATGCTGGAGGTGACATCGATGATTCGCTTTATGATATAATGGCTAGTGTTATAGCGGCAAAGGAATTAGACCCAACAGAATATGATTATCTCACTTATCCAATAGTATCTAATGAGATGATCAGGATGCGAGAGAATCCAAGAATTATCAGTGGAGCCAATACTACGGGGTTCCGTACATGGGAAGCGGCCATTTGCTTATCTTTAATACTTAAGTCAGATTCTGTATGGAATACTTACTCTGATTCGTCTGTCACTGTGGTTGAATTGGGAAGTGGAACAGGCTTAGTTAGTCTTCTGTTACTTCAACGCCATAAAAAGTCTCCATTTCTTAAAGATATTTATATAACAGATGGTTCTGTTGAGCTTGTGGAGAATTTCAAGTCAACGCTAACTCTTAATGGATTTGATCCCCATGACAAAAATTTACATTTGCAGCAATTATTATGGGGTGATAATATCGAAAATTCTACTGCAACATACAGAAATACAGATGTATTGGTTGGAGCAGATATTACCTATGATTCTTCAGTTTTGCCTTGTTTAATTGAGGAATTGAAATATTTCTTCACCAATTCAATACAACAATATCCTCAAGCCATTATAGGTGCTACAGTAAGAAATGAAGAAACCATAGTAGCTTGGGAATGTCATTTAAATGAGAACTTTGCGGGAAAATGGTCCGTTAGCCGGCCAGACTTAAATGACGATGAATTTCTTGGTGATATATATATTAAGAATAAGACTTGGCCCATTAATATATACTTTATTGGTTAAGGTATGCAGTGCATAATAAGTCTTTTGGATATACCGGTAGCGCAGAACAGTACATGTAATATTAATGTCGCACACCATGGATGTCGTATTTCTTGAGGTTCGCGACGCCCATTGGTCCAAAGAGATTCGTGCGACATTCTAAAAATTTTTCGAGAACCACAACTGGTGCTAGGTCGAACCCAAAAGAGGTAGTACAGATTGAAAGTATTGTATTTCCTCCTGAGGACCCTAGTTCTTGAAATTAAATACAAGTACACATAATGGCTTTACCTAAGTTCCCTACTCCTGTGTTAAAGGTATACTGGCCTTTTGCTGCTGGTGGTATGTAAAACAAGATGTGGTTTCCCGGATCATTTAAAAGGACCATTGAGGACAAAGAAAGAAACATGACAGCTAGTGAGATCAGAACTCAATTACCAGTCATTACGCTCGTCATATATTTTCCATTCTTAGTTGACTACAGCTATATTTAATTGGATTGCGTTGAAGCGGAGGTTTTGTTTGTTGAAGCTACATGATTCTATCTTCTTGCGCAGGTATCAGACCTCAATGAAATCCGATATGTGAACACAATGTATACTAACCATATTTATTCTAGCCGCTGTTTCCTATTTCTTGGTTTGGAAGGGTGGTAACGCTTTGCAAGATACTGATGAATACATCAACGATCCAAGACATCCAAGATTTCAAAAGGGTGGTAAGTTCATTGATTTGGCCAACAAGGATTAAGTTATTGTGATTAACAATTAAACGACAACCAACCAAAAGTCAAGTCACTAAAAATTTCTTATTTATATTTTCCAAAGTTATATATTATCTTTATTCTACATATTCATAGGGTACCGATATCTCGGACAAATGTATATTCAATAGAACTTGAAGTTATTCAAAGCAATTCAAATCTCATGGTTAGTTTTTGAAGACTGCGATATATAAAGTCGTCTTTCAAGCCATGGACTTTGAAGTTACGAACTGTAATAATGACAAAAAGCTGCTACCCCTTTATTGAACACGACCCTATTGTGGAATATATCTCTCAATCCCATTGTCCTAGTTTTTGAAAAATCTTTAGGAGTAAGAGAAAGATGGACCATATACTATTCGTGAACTTGGTATGTGGAACCCACACGTTTCTCATTATATACCCGTCAGTTATTGTATGCGATTGAGTTGCACCAGTTACGAACCATGTAAAAAAATTAATTAAAGGAACTGGATTGCAAGGATAATAAAGTAAGAATTAAGCAAGTATGTCTGTGAATGTATTGAGGTCAGTAATTGCTCTCTATTAGGACAGTAGGTACTAAGCAGTCAGATGATCTACCGGTACAAGCAAATGATTAACGGTTTTAGCTATTTATCCGATAGGCTCCTTTCTAAAATGATTCTTAGATTATTGCTTCAAGAATGCACATAATTAACAAGCATACAGATTGAAAAACGAATCAATATCATCAGTTGTTGTATACCTGAAGTCTTAGCTGAAATAATAATTTGAGATGGAGATTAGATTATTTAAAATACATGGATTAACGTGTACTTATCCATTCGCTCTTAGCTACCGCCTCCCCTGGTTTTAATTTATAATCGGGCAATCGGAATTCTACGCCACATTAAGGAGCATAAAGAAGTAAACTTCGATGTCAACTATTGAAGGTTGAAGTTTGTCGCGCAACAATAGTCAAAGTCAAATATCCACATATTCAGACAATCAAATCTAAATTATACCGTAGATATGTTCCGGGTTTATTGAATGATAGCATATGATACGCGGATTAAACTGGCATTATTACATGACCATGCATTGCCGCAATTAGCGTCAATTGAATAAGATGCTTTTCAAAAAAGGAAGACATTATCTTTGTAGAATGGAATATGTCAAGAGATCCCCACTAACCTTTATTTGCAGTTAACATGCAGAGGTGGTTGAAAAAATAATAGCTTAAAATTCTGCCTATGTGCAGTTTATTGCATTCGCTCAATGGTAATCAAAATAACAATACAAAGGATAGGACCAAAGCAAGCTTTAGAATATGTTACGGGATAATCCGGTTTACATATTTGTGAAGGGATTCTCCTTCGTACCACGGATTTTTGGATGAGGATTTTAAAGTCTTACTTTAATTTCAATAGGAAGATTCCTATCTTCAGTGCAAATATCACCGTGATCCAAAACCTAGTAACAACAATCCTCTTATCTATCAACAAGTTGAGATTTCACCGAAGTCTAAATAATCTTGAAGAATTAGTAACTAAATTTTTTATAAAATTCCATTGTATTACAGATTGATCTCTCATGACCTGCTTTGAGGAGGGAATTGAACAATAAACACAGCACAATTTTATGACGGCATTAGAATACATGCAAAAAAATGCAACTGAGGAATGAATACGAACAACTTCATATTGATTTTAAAGTTCTTGAACAAAGGTCAAATTTTTTTCCTTTACCACATTCCCTCATATAACTTATTAATGATGTGCAATTGTTAGTTTCACCAGAATCAAGAGAAATTAATAGTGGCTTAAGAATGTTTGCATTTCAAGTAGAATAATGCAACAGTAACACTTTCAACTCTTGGTCAACATTTTCACACTTCACTATACGAATTGCCGTTCAACGTGATTCCTAACAATAATAACTCTATGGCAGTATGCTATCTTGTACCAGACTTAAGCTTCAGGGATTGAACGTATGTGCATGTAAGAACAATTTCTTTACACATTTAACCTTTCTGATAGACTGGATTTGGGGGAATGGAATGTTAAACAATTGCTCTCGTATCTCTCTGCTTAGTCACCGTCGTAACTATTCATGGACCCCAAATAAAATATATAATGACTACTCTTCCCTCTTGTAAATCGGAAAGATCAGCCCTTTTCTTGCCCAGTAACGATTCATCACTGATAAATCAAAAATGAAGTTAACTTCTCTTTTCGTTTGCGTTTTAGCACTTGGTGCTGAGATTGTGTCTGCTGCTGCTTTCCCATCTCATCCAAAGCCAACTGAGCCAACCTCAAAGGATTTTTCAGTTTATAGAGGATGTCCTGCCAACTTCTTCAACGCATTGAACAAACCCAAACCTACCTTTAAAGTCACTGAAGTTAAAAGTGTTACACCAAACACTTACAACTACACCATTGACTTCTCTATTGATTCCGGGTTAACCATTAAAGAATTGACTTCCTTAAGTTTAATTGCTGACGGTAAAACGTATACTTTGTTCAACTCTAAGTCTAATATCAAACAAATTTCTGATCCAAATCAATGGGTATTTTCATACGTATCAGGTGCCTCCAATAAATCACCTTGGGACTTTTGGGTGCCAAACATGCTTGTCAAATATGAATGGGAAAATTGTCACAAAAAAGATTTTGGCTTACCCTTCTTTGATGAACATAAGAGAGATGCTCATTGGGAATCAAAACATAAATTCCATCATCATCCAGGTTACAAGAACTCAACCAAATCCTGTACCACCAAGTCCAAGTATCCTAGTATTTATACTTATGCTATTGGTTGCACAGGATTTTCAGATATTCCTGGATTCTTATTCAAGCTGTTATGAATAACTCTGTGAGTGTTATTCTTAAATCAGCTCCATTCTGGTCTCGTTTCTGATGCTTCTGCACTATTTTTGTATTCTTATTCTTCTCCACATATAGAAAGTTGAACTTGCTATAGATGCCACTTCATTTCTAGATTTGCATACTACTGTAATTCATATGACCAAATAATCAAATGAGAGATACTGTAAAACTTACTGTAGGTACAACCAAGTCAAGAAAGGAACAATAATTACTTCGATGATTGTGTATAAAGTACCAACATCGTCTTAACAAGCTTGTTAATAAGGTCAAGAATCAGTTACTTTGCTTTGAAATGAGTTTAAGTTCATTCCAGACCGTCGCAATTTAACAATGCCCTTATCAATTTGCACTCCTTGATGCTACCTACAAGAAGAAATAATCACAGTGATATAAATCATACCAAACTATAACAGAAGTATTGTAAAAGTTCGATCCATTCTTATCAAATGAAAGATGACCGAATGTTCTCTCTTATATTTGGCATTAGATACTATGCTAAGTTTCAAAGAATAATGACTTCGTATTCACCAAGAAACAAGTGACTTCTAAATGGTAGGGTTTCTCTGACAATTGTTAATGATAAAGTACTGTGTTTTACCAGGTGCTATGTTCAAGTAAGTATACGGATGTAATCCAATAACCAACCACACTTATCACACAAATACAAACCAGGGGCTGAATATTGCACATAATGGACTATGTTTAGCTCCGATAGTGTGAAGTAATCACACAATCAAGAGCTTTAGAATGCACATGTCAAAAGCTGGTTAAAAGTCAGTTGGTCTCAAATTGCTGATAAAGGCATAGTCAATAAAATACAAAACACCAACTAATTTCATCTTCTGGTACACAAATTCATGGAGTGAAGGTACTTATGTATTGATTTAGTTGTGAGGCGAAGTAACAGATACCGCAAGGCTGTGGGATTATTATTTGTTAATTAGCAACAATATCGGTTACAATTGCATTGGTTAAAATGGTGTTATCAGGCTAGAAAATGCTTCAAAAAGTAACCCTCGTCAAAGTTGTAGTCACGGGCAACAACCTTTGTGCAGTTCCTTGGTATTGTTCCCTGGCCCTTTTCAACTTATCAGAATGTGTTCAGCGCTTACAATTCAATTAAGCCTGCAAATTGGCTTAATGTGTGTTGAGCTCGAAAAGGAGATTTACATTATTAAAGGTGAAGTAATTTTCACTATATATCATCTTTATCTTAAAACAAATCTTCAAATGTTGAAAGATAAACATTTTTTAGTCGTTCTCCGTAAGTGATTACGGTTTTGGTTACTACAACATTTATTATCATTATTGTACTGTACTTTGGCCTGCATCTCCATTCTTTATTCTTTATCACAGCTTTATCCTTTCAAATTTGGTGAGGTCATCTCACGACGCCTCTTTTCCAACAATAGCAACCAAATCACAAGTTGAAATCATTATAAAATACTCAAATAGAGTGGTTCAAACATTAATCTTATTTGATACACTGATCTAAAAGCAACTCAATAGCTCCACCAGAAATTAAATCAACCTTGTTGGATACATTTCCATGTCATATCTCTAAGTTCTGGTAACCACACAACTTTCCACTATCCACGATTCCTATATATACAGAACTGTCATTGATTTGCTACTTTGTCATGAATCCTAAGAAGCCAGAAACATTAGATATAACTTCCAACCCCAATAGCCTAGAGTCCAGAATATCTCCAGGAGAGGAAGAAATTCAAACCACTCGCGAAAGATTTGGCTGGTTCCGCATGAAGAAAGCCAGAAATTACTCTACGGGATATGAAAATGAAGTGCACGATATAGAACAGGGTCAAGTGATCAGACATGACGGTAGCAATTTGTCCCCGTCTTCATCAATGAGATCAGTGGCTAATACTGGGAATATCAGCGCAGACATGTCTGCGTCTTCATCACGAATAAGTTCGTACTCATCAACAGGCTCAGAGTACACATATGAAAGAACTCCAAAGGCATATTTCCACCGATTTATTGATTCCTTTAAACCTTTTGATTATTCTCAATTCCCCATGTATGCGGTAGCAACCTCCAATTCGATGATTTCACATGACATAACTACTGATCAAGATCCTCGACTGAACCCAGGTGACCCTTCCAATACCCAAAAAGAATCTCCAGAATCTGCATCTAAAAATGAACTAGCACCAGCAGAATTCGATTATGCTAGATTATCAGAGTTAGAGAAAGCAGCCATTGTTACTTCCACTGCTCCACTTTCTAAAGATCTTAATGCCAGGCATTTAGGCTTAATATCTTTAGGCGGTGCAATTGGTACAGGATTATTCATTGGTACTGGCGAATGCTTAGCAGCTGCAGGTCCTTTTGGAATGCTTATAGTGTGGTGTTTTGTATTTGCAGCCGTTATGCCTACAATGGCTTCATTGGCAGAATTAGCTACTGCTTTCCCAGTTCTGGGTGCATTTGTGACTTTTAACACATTGTTTGTTGATTCATCTTTTGGATTTGCTATTGCTTGGAATTATGCTTTACAATGGCTCATCACTTTCCCATTAGAATTGGTAGCAGCATCTATCACCATCGAATACTGGGAAACAGATATCCACCCAGCTATATTTGTCACTGTGTTTTACATAGTGATTGTCGTTGTTAACTTGTTCGGAGTTAAAGGTTACGGTGAAGTAGAATCTGCCCTTTCTATTATGAAAATTATCGCAGTAGTGGGGTTTATTATACTTTCCATCATAATGGTATGTGGAGCTGCAGGCAGAAACCGTACCTTTATTGGTGGATCAAACTGGCATCAACCACAAGGTGGTATGTTCAATGAGGTAAATCCCTTTAAAAATATGTGTTATAGTATTTCTCCTACGGCATTTGCCTTTGCAGGTATTGAATTGTTTGGTTTGGCAGCTTGTGAAACATCTAATCCAAGAAAATCAATCCCCAAAGCCATGAAACAAGTGTTTTGGAGATTGTTTTTGTTTTACATAATCAGTATAGTGATGATTGGTTTGTTGGTTAGTTACAAGGATCCAGCATTAATTAAATTGGGCTCAGATTCTAAGCTTACTAATTCTGGAGTTGATATTAAAGTGTCACCTTTTGTTATAGCCATAAAGAACGCTGAGATCCAAGTATTGCCTTCAATCTTTAATGTTGTTATCATTATCACAGTGCTTGCAGTGGGGAATGCCTCAGTTTATGGTGCCTCGAGAACACTCGCTGCTTTAGGAGCTTTAAAACAAGGACCTTCAATTTTGGCTTATGTTGATAGAGCCGGAAGACCGATAGTTGCACTTCTTGTTCAATTTATTATGGGATTGTTATGTTATTTGGTGGCATTACCAGGTCCACTGCAGACCAAAAATGTTTTCAATTGGATGCTTTCTTTATCTGGTGTTTCTGCATTATTCACATACATTTCCATTTGTATTTGTCATATCAGATTTAGAGCTGCTTTGAATTTCCAAGCCAGAGTTGCTAGCGAAGAGTTGGCATATGCTGCTCCATTAGGATGCTCATGGTATGGGTTAATTTCCATTTCAGTGATTTTGGTACTTCAGTTTTGGGCAGCCTTATTCCCACCAGGTAATGGAGGTAAAGCAGACGCAGTTGGATTCTTACAAATCTACTTAGGTTTAATTGTGTTGATTGCTTCGTATATTGGTCATAAGATTTATATCAAGATTCGGTTTGGATACCCATTGACAAAGTTATGGTTGAAGGCCAGTGAGATTGATGTTAATAATGGTCGTCGGAACATCGATTTGGACGTTATCAAACAAGAAATGGCAGAAGCGGAATACGAAAGGACAAAGAAGAATATATTTATAAGGATGTATAATATTCTTTGCTAGTTCATACAAATAGTTGTTGACTAATTTAATTTGATTTAGGATCTTTACTACGTGGAGCATATTAAAAAAGAATATTACCAGTTTACTTGTAATTCACTGTTAAGTACCGTTAAGGACCATTAACCTGTGGTATGCGATTTTAGGTGGAAAAGTAATTGGAAGCCATATCCACAACTCAAATTTTGCAGCTTTTCAAACGAATATTTCGTAACGACTAAATACCTAGATCAAGTCTTGTTCATCAATGGTGTACTTGATGTCGATGACGAAGTACCAGCAGATGCTTTAATTGCTTTGGCCTTAGCATCAGCTTCTTCTACATATGCTTTTGAATATGAATAGTAATAAGTAGATGATTAAAGACTATAAATATATGAAACCAAATTAACAAGCGGAGTAAACCCTTTGCTGTAACAAAAAAACCAAAACCGACATCCCAAACCCTGAACTACAAAAATTAGCCAGCTAATGCTTGTAGAAATATTATATAACTGTTAGTTAGTTGACTGAGAGATTGAGCCACTTTTGATAGTTGGTCTGAATCAATTCGTTATTGCGACTAAGTATACTTTCATTCAAGTAGGTGGAAGTAAGTTGCTGTTGTTGTTGGTGAATTGCCTTACACGGAGTGGACAGAAGATGCTTTTCGTTGCACCAGACACAATCATATAGAATTCCTGTAAAGGTGGAGTCATCAAGATATTCGTGTTCTGTTTCTAAGGTAGTCACCAGTTCTGAGCCAAGTAATGAGGAAACATCCACGTTTGACCGAGTATAGTTATAGTTGCACCCAGTTTCGTCTTCGTTATATTCAAATATATCTACGAGTTCCATTGATTCTTCAGGGGTAGCTCCGTCCTGAGCTTGTAAGTGTTCTTGAACTTGACATTCAAAGGAGCAAAAGGAAGTACCTTTAACAGTAGGTAAATTGTGCGCAAAGCATAAATCTTGATACATTGTAACGTGGATATAATATATGAGTATATTTATGAGCAAGTTTGAAAACGAGTAACTCTCTAAGTTACAGTGTAGATAAATATCCAAATAAATAGATGCTTAATATAATAATTCAGTTCGAGAAAATAGTTGCAGTTGGCAGCTGTTATATACATGTGTATGATTTGTACATAGAGAAGCCTCCACGTTTAATAAAAGATTAAAACTGTGGTTGCTTTAGTTCCCATTAACATAACAATACCACAAGTAGAAGTAGTTACTGAATAAGTGTACGCATTAACAATAGCTTATGTTGCTTTTGCATTTTGTGGATCTCGGTTATGGTCTCCATAACTACTATGATTTTGTTGGATTGAATAGGCTTACCTTAATGTTAAGTAATAGTGGTTATGATGACTTTCATTTTTTTCACTTCATGTCAGTAACACACTATAGTAGTTACGTTTCCACGGTAGCAGAGATGGGTTAACCAATAGTAATAACTCGTAGTAGTAGTAGTATGGTCTAGCTGAGGGGCATGACGAAGATCACTCACTACCAAAAGAAATCATCTAATGAATTCAAACAGTATGACCCAGTAGCACGTGACCCAGCAACACCACGTAGTTGTTTACTCTGGCCAACAGCCACAACTAGTCAGGGTACATCTGAGGCACATTTCTGATGCATTGCCGTTGACACCACCACCACCACCACCACACCACCGTTTCAGCCCCACATTTTTGTACTCTCCTCTGTTTATGTGTTTGTTCAATTGGGAATTGATTCAGTGGTCTTTGTGATCTGAGATCCCTCACTGCATTTTTCAGACTTCACTGGCAGCAACAAAATCTTACTGTTGTGAGGAGCATTTTCCTGGACACGTGAGTGGACGAATAAACAAGTAATAGAGTCATACATACATTCGTACATCTAGCCATACGGTGAAATATACGTATTCAAGTTATCATGATTTACTCCTTTTCTATATTCGACAGACATTGTAACTGTATTTACAATCGAAGGTATATTCATGATGGTCCACTTTTGACACAATCAAAGCCATCATCTGTCAATTTGAAGAACTCAATTGGTGATCCTCTCGGAGTTTCAATCACCAGTCTTCCGCCAGACAACGGTTCTGGTGATAACTTTTCCCCACTAGGGATTACCACTAAGTCTAAGGAGAGTGGCTCATCAAGTGCCATCAATGGTCCCATCCCCGGCTACATTAATAAGTACAATGATTCCAATGCGAGTAAATTACTTTTCGGGATCATGTACTCGTTGAAGAACATTACTGCCAAGTTAGGAGATCTGGCTAGTCTTTTTAATACTTTGAAATCATTCTCGACAGAGAACTTTAGGGTACATTTTATGGAATCAGCAACAGGTCTCAAGTTTGTGTTGGCAACGGACAACGAGGTGGATAATTTACAGCATATTTTGAAAGAACTTTACACTAATTACTACTTAAACCATGTCGTTTATAACGCACTCAGTCCAGTCGAATTTGGCACGGATGCCAATGAACATGGAAAGATTAGTAATAGCGATTTTATTAATGCCACAGATTCATTTTTAACTTCACTTTCAGTGTTTAAATGAGTGCCATTGATTTTATAATGCTCTCATCATTCATGCGACCAGAACCCCAATACAAACATAAAAGGCTCAAGAATACGAGTGTAGTCGCTACAACAATAAACTATACTAATTACCAGGGTTATAATTATTTTTCATTAAGCCCAATCTCACGGATACCTATGACTAATATCCCTATGGAGATTACCAATTACAGATGCCTGGAACTGTATGGTATAACGAATCAGTTGTTTTGCGCACGACCTAAGATTGAATTTATCTACTAAGTGGAGATGGAGCCAATCGGTTTTCTAGATCAGAAAGCCGTGAGTGATGCCATGGCTTCTTTATCTATTTCTCCTTATAAGGTAGGTAAATTCTTTATTAGAGACTGATAGAAATAGGTACTCAAGCATAATAACATAAAGTGGGAGTGAAGAAGAGATAGAGGTGGGTTATATATTCTGAAGTTACTACTACACACATATATATTAGCAACAGAAATGATCCTGTTGAATTTGGACGAACGTCCTGAAGTCTTTAAGACATCATTTGCTGAGTTTGTGTTTGTTGTTTTGATTATGATGGCTCAGTTCCTTGTACAGGCAACCACAGCAATGGCATTGAGTACATTAGATATCATATCTGCATCCTTTGAGCATCAAACTGGTCAAGTTCTTACTTATTCTCAACAAATATGGTTCCCATCTTCAGTGGCTCTTACATGTGGGACTTTTATACTTGTTAGTGGTAGACTTGGTGACTTGTTTGGATTAAAGCATATGGTGATGGCCGGTTGGATATGGATGAGTATATGGACTCTTATCAATGGTCTACTGTACTATTCTGCATCTGTTCCCTTTTTTATTGTGTGTAGAGCTTTCTCGGGTATTGGATTTGCTTTAAGCGTCCCTTCAGGAATGGGAATTTTAGGTAGAGTGTATCCAAATGGACCTAGGAAACACCTTGTTTTTGGATTATTAGGTGCTTGTGGTCCCACAGGTGCTACTGGGGGTGTTTTACTTGGAGCCATTTGTGCCAAATACATTTGGTGGCCATGGTATTTCTGGATTGTTAGTATCACTGCATTGATCTTTTGCATTCTTTCATACTATTTCCTTCCAGACGTTAACAACTGCAAGACCTGGGAAGATTTTAAGTTCGCTTGTTCACAATTTGATTTCTTAGGTTCAGCTGTGGGTGTTATAGCATTGATTCTTTTGATATTTTCATTAGCTCAAGCTCCAGCTGCTGGTTGGGATTCCGCATATATTATAGTATGTCTTGTGATATCCATAGCATTGATCGCGCTTTTCTTTTGGCTAGAAGTGAAGTATGTTGCTCATCCTTTTATTCCCAGGAATATTTATAATATGAAATTACTACTTGTTTTATTGATTATGACTTTTGGTTGGGGATCTTTTGGTGTTTGGCAATATATTTACTGGAGGTTGGTCATACACCTTCGAGGTTATAATCCCGTGCTTGCGGCTCTTGGATATGGACCATTTATTTTCTTTGGGATAATTGCAGCATTATCGACATCAGTTATATTCAAGTATGTTAAGCCATCGTTGTTGATATCTATTGCTGCAACATGCTTCATGGTTGGATGTATAATGCTAGCTGTTACTCCCGTGCACCAATCTTACTTCCAGATGACAATGGGAGTCCAGTTTGTACTTGCTTGGGCCATGGATATTTCATTCCCTGCTGCATCTATTTTAATTTCTGATTTCCTTCCACTTGAACATCAAGGTATGGGAGGATCATTAATTAATACTTCTGTTAATTATTCCAATGCTTTCTTCTTAGCATTATCGCTGTCGGTAGAGAAGCTGATCTTCGATAGCACACAATCAACCATTCAAAGTTATCGAGCTGCTATGTATTTTGCAATTGGTGTGGCTGCTCTTGGAGTTTTCTGTTCAATCGTTTTCATTTACGTACAGAGAAACGATAAGGTTGGAGATATTATGGAAGTAGAAGAATTTGAAGATGAATCGGAGGAAAAACTGGAGATAAACAAATTCCCCACCAGTGATATTCTAGAAGGCCATAAAGAGCAAGTTGAGTTTCATCGCCGATTATCTCAGAGTTCGGCTCTGGCAAATAGGATGATGTAACTAATATTTATTTATTTATTTATTTAATGATGATAATTATATCGAATGCACATTACTGCAAAGGTGTCATTTACGAGTAAACAGATATCATGATTAATACAATCTACTTTCTACAGACCAAGTACTTTATCAAGAGGTTTGGATAACCATCAATTACGAAATTCTCGTTTACTCTTAGAATTCATTCATTGTACCCATCAAAGTTAATAAGAGCAATATAGATTTCTTTTTAAGGTATTATGAGCTATTGAAGACTTCAATTTTCCATATTGGAGTAATTGGTTCTACTCCCCATACCCTTATTAATTCTTCCTGTCAAAGCCACAACTCGCCATGCGAAAGCTTGTATATGAATCGAATCTGGATTGCTTTAGGTAATTAGTTCTGATGATGATTCTACAGAATTAAGTTGCAACTAGAATAAAACTATACAACATGAGAGAGTACCCTACTTTTCACGATTTATCTACCCATATTTGTAGAATGAATACTCAAAGATAGTACGAAAAGAAATGTGACTAGTTCTCTGATCCGCATCTTGCGTCTTTCCCCAGCTCGTGGAGTGAAGTAAAGTTCGTTTTCTTATTCTTAAGTGCCCAATTTCTAACCCAAGGCTCTATGGCGATGACATTGAGTACCTTAGATATAATCTCAGACTCATTCACAAACCACACAGGGAAGCAGATTACATCTGCTCAGAAGATTTGGTTTCCAACTTCAGTATCATTAACACGTGGTTTCTTTGTCTTCAATTAGTGGTAGATTGGGAGATTTATTTGGTCTTAAACATGCCCTTGTACTCGGGTGGATCTGGATAGCCGTATGGAGTTTGATTAACGGATTCCTGTAATATACTAAATCGGTGAATTTTTTCATATTATGTAGAGCATTTACAGGTATTGGGGTTGCACTTAGTGTTCTATGTAGGATGGGTATATTAGGAAGAAATGTGTTTGGTGGCCTTGGTGTTTCTGGGCATTCGCCTGCTTTTTTTTGGAGTTTGTTCTTTCTTGTACGTACCAGATGTCAATAATATCAAATCATGGGCTGAATTCAAATTGGTCTGGCCCCTATTCGAATGGATGGTTTCAATGGTTGGTGTTATAGGGTTAATTCTATTGAATTTCTCAGTAGCCCGAGCTCCAGCAGAAGGTTGGAGTTCTGCCTACATTATAGTTTATCTTATGCACTCATTGATTTTTATTGCATCATTCTTTGCAATTGAAATGAAATTTGCACCCAATCCACTTCTTCCTAAGGAAATTTATAACGTGAGATTGCTTTTAGTGTTTTTACTTATGACATTTGGTTGGGGATCATTCCGATATGGCATTATATTTTTTTGGAGATTAATGCTTGGATTAAGAGGATATGATCCCGTTGTCGCATCTATGGCCGTTGGTCCTCTTGTAGATTTAGGAATATGTTCAGCTGTCTGGATATCATTTCTTATCAAGCATACCAAGGCGCTGCACTCAATATCTATATCAGCCATGTGCTTCACTGCTGGATCTGTAATGTTAGCTGTTACTCCAATACGGCAAACATACTGGAGATTGACATTTGGGGTACAGTCTATCTTAGCATGTGTGTTGGATTTTTCATTCCCTGCCGCATCTATTTTAGTGTCTAATTTCCTCCCTATGGAGCATCAAGGTACGAGTGGATCTTTGATTAACACAGATGTTAGTTATTCAAAGGCTTTCCACTGTCTTAGCATTTGTTCTGACAGTGGAAAAGAGTATATATGATGAGACGGCCTCATTAATCAAGAGCTACAGGGCTGCGATGTACTTTGGAATTGGGGTGGCATTTTTGAGTATCGTATCATCTCTATTATTTGTGATATCAGAGCAAGTGGAACAACTGCCATCTGAAAACTACACTGGATTCAGATTCTAATACACAAATCCAAAGAAGAACAAAGTCAGAATTATTAATGCTTAATGGCACAAGCACATTTAATAGCTATATTAATAACATTATTCTATTACTCTGCCAAACAGATGCTAACTCCAAAAAACGCTCTATTCAATGTATATTCGCTCTATAGTCGTGTACTTACCACAAACTGTAATTGTATTTCAACCATGGAAAAAAGTATATACAGAAAACACACTAGCAAAGAAACCTAGTCCCTGTAAATCGTTTTTTGCAATCGCTCAAACGGAACCCATCCATCAAGAATCATAATCTGATCTATCAGAAAGTGGTTACCATATACCTAATAGAACCAGCATACTGAAGGTTCTGGCGACTTTGTGTGGCTTGCTGTTAAATTGTATTTCAAAGCATTCTGCTTATTACTATTTAATTGTTAGGTAGCTGTTATCAGTTTGATTTCAGTTAAAGAGTATACCGTGCTAGTGTGCATTTTCATACTTGCTGCCATAAATGACAACTACCATGACCACAGCTCCTTCTCATGTACATGAAACTAGTCAGGGTTCAACTCCAAGCACCAATAATGGTAGTCCTTTAATACCATCAAACACACCTTCAAAAGCAGCTGTGATACACAAGCTGGGTCGGAATCTGGAATTCCACCAGTTGATTAAAGAATTTCAGAGTAAATTGGGTCCTAAATGGGATAGATATTCTGAGATATTGAGTGCTTATTTGATAGGGAAATTAAGCCGTACTGAACTTTTACATAGTTTAAAGCCCATTTTGAATAGTCAACAGACTTACAGATTGCATAATAAATTACTTTTATTGAATTTGGCCAATTCCATAAATGGTAATAGTCCTGCTAACAATTCATCAAATGAAATTACCCCTGAATTTTCAATCTTTTGGAATAGGCGACAACAGAATAAATTAAAGAATGTTAGATCTTCACAATATGAAAAGTTTAAACAGAATATCATGGGACTTTCAATTAGAGAAAGAAGAAGAATAAAAAATATTATACGAGATGGTGGGAAGAAGGGGAAATTAAATGCATTTATTACTCTTACAAGACATTCGTTACTTCCTAAAATCCCCATGATTCAAGACAAGGATCAACAACTGCTTCAAATCAGTAATATAGTTCAATGGCAACAGGATGTTGTTAATGGTATTAATGCACCTATAGCTACTGACAACTATGAACTACCTGACTACGACTTACTTCTGAGACGAATTCTCATGACAATGCGTGAACATGGTCTTACTGGTGGATTGAACCCTCAAGTGTTAGAGATGGTGATGTTAGGGCTCGAATCACATTTGAAAAACGTGATGGAGTCCGCCATAGATACAATACGATACAGGGAAACCATGTATGCCAAGAATGATATTCTTCCTACAACCAATAATGATTTAGAAAAGAATGGAAATTCAGAAGATAGAAATTCAGCAGGAATTGATTTGGACGTTCCAAAATCTTCAAAGAAACCAAGAATAGCCTTATGCATTGAAGATATGTATGATACTTTTGAGATGTTTCCATATTTGATTGAGCCACTGGGCCCAAAGTTAAGATTAAGTAGCGTTATGCTTGCTAATGAAGACCAGAAGGATTTGGATGAAATAGATTATACCCTCCCTCCTAAACCTGCATCATTACTTCTTGAAAATGGAACCACTAGTGGGATAAAGCTGGAAGATAAAAAGCCTGGTGACACCAATGGGATCGCAAGGCCAAATGAACATATTGGAACTACAGATGAGTTAAAGTGGGTTTTACATGACTTGGTATCTACTATGTAAAATTTCATTTATTTTTGGTTAATTCTTGGCTAATGTTTTAACATCGACTGTTTTCATTGACCAACTGTGTATCCTGATACATGACTATTTATTTGGAACAATACATCACTCAATGTGTTTTCAGATTTTTCACTTGTAAAGTCTCCCATGAGAAGACATATGCTATTGTCAAAGAGTGAGTTTAATGTAGACGCAACACAAGTCGAAGGAAAGTCCAATGATTCTTTCAAGTATCCAAGTTGTGAATGTATATCACCACCTAGCTGGATCAATGTTATTTTCCCCTTTCCAACAAGCATTTGAATGGCTATGGGGACTTTAAACTTTTCTTCACCTTGAGCTTGACATGCTTTTATAAACAGATCTGCGGTGCTCACTTCCACAAGTCGAGCCTCTCCTATAGAATCAATGACTGTGTGATTATCAAGAAGGTCGTGATAAAATCGGTCTCCAACTGCAGCAATTCTAGAGGATATGGAAATACCTTGAGAAGATGCATTCTCCAAGGCATACTCTACTGCGTCCCAAAAGATGCTCTGCAGAGGATTATCCCCTACAAAAATTTGGGAAACAAAGCTGCCATCAACAACCAAAGGAACTTGTGAGGAGATCTCAAAGAGCACTTCTTGATTAGATGCAGTTGATGGGAATTGTCCATCAAAATGTCCCGAAGTTGACGAAGAAGAACGAATAAACACTCGTACCTTGCTCTCTATCTTAAATATTGAATTATTCAAGAACAGAATTTGCTTTTTTAAATCTTGTAATTTGGCATACGCATCATTGTAACAACGCTGTGCATCTTCTACAACAGGTTGGATAGAAGTCTTGACTTTTTTGAGTTCTTCATATTCAGTTTCATACTGTTGAATTTGAGAATTCAAGTATCTTTCACGTTGTAGAATATCTCTTAATTCTGTATCTTTATCATTAATGGCCTTCTTGATCGCAGTGGGATCACCAGATTCAACTGCTGATTTTATATCGGCAATTTCAGTAGAAACTTGGTCCACTTGATCCTGTCTTTCCTGGAGTTTCCTTTCTAACACAACTACTTCATCAATTCTATATTTCTGAGACTCTATCCAATGAACATCAAATTTTGCTTCTTCTTCAGCCATGCTTTTCATTCTAGATACATTGGCAGCATCTAGTTGTTCTCTATACTTCATAATCATTTCTTTATACTCAGTTATGGCATCAAGAGCATCGTTATCATGATGTTCCTTTGCCTGTTTAATTTCTTCTTCAAATGTGATCATTAATTGCTTTCTTGCCTCTTGTTGATCTTTTCTTAATGCTGCTAATTCCAGTTGTGTTTTATCCCTTGAGCTTTGTATTTCCATATCAAACTTATGTTTCCGATTGTCATAGTCCCGTACCACTTGATCCCTTTCATCACGCCAAATTCTTGATTGACGAATGCAATGAAGTTCAATTTCATGCTCTTCTTGAAGTCTTCTTTTCAATTTTTGGTTGACCTTAAGTTGTTGTTCGATCTCCACTTCGACTTGATCTAACTTAGCTTTCTCCTCCAACTCGTTATCTCTCATTACATCTAAGAATGTACGTGTCAGAATGGGGCTTGTAGAAGGACGCTTCATGGAGTTCTGCAGTATTCTAAGTGCATTTCGAATTCTATTAACTTTTACCAAAGGTATAGTCACACTTGTATCGTCATCTTCTTCAGTAACAGGTGCACATTCAACTCTTGACGACAGACTATGTCTAGGGGGAGGTAGTTTTGATCTGGGGCTCAATCTTAAAGCCGTAGACCCTCGATCTCGATCTGGATGAGGAATGCATGTCTTTTTGCCATCCATGCTACGTTGTTCCTTCTGAAGCTTTGGTTTAGGTATTCTACCAAGCTCAAAGGTTATCGAATTTGTGCAATGCCTCTTAGTACACGGGGACTTTCGGTATCCGTCCTTGGGGTTCACTGCTAAGTCATTAGTGATCTCATGTAATGGTGACATTGTGGTGATACAAAGATTTCCTACCAATAACTTGCTGGTGGTGGCAGCTTCAACATTGTTTCGCAAGAGTTGCAACAGCATAGGGTTACTTAAGTTTGTTTGTTTACAGATTGTATTTCGCACGACTGTGATGATCATAAACAAAGTTACAGAGAGAATAAACCTAGGCTGAGAAGCACATCTATACCTGAATACTGTACGGCTTATTCCTTTATATATGGTACGATCTTATAGAAATAGTTTGAACGAGACATGAAGTTATAAAGTGGTTCATATAATTGGTTGGAATTTTCAATATTGCCGCCTGTATGTGAACAAATACCTACCATTCTATTAGTTACGGGACCTTCTGAATAACTTTAGTTTGTGACTGTCGGGCAGCAGCTCTGTACTCGACAGTTTGTTTAACAACGACCTGGTGAGCTTTGCGGAAATTTTTATGGCTTCGTGCAACCTTTTGATCGATTTCTTCCGAGAACTTTTAGGAAAAAGGTGGTGATGATTATCATTGAGAGCTAGGGCCCTTTCGGGTGACGGAAGTGTACCTTGTGTTGATTCATTTGAAGAAGCACGTATAATTTGTATGTCTGCCTCTTTAATCTTGATTGTACTTGGAGTTTCTTCCTGATCCGCTTTGATATTCTTTGTCTTCGCCTTTACTGGCTGCGAGTTAGCAGTTATGATTCTGTGCTTGGGCTCAAAAACAAGAGTTATTTCTCCACTTTGACAACTCTCAACGTTGCTGTTTGTAGTTGAGAACTTGTGAAGTTTGTTTTCGGCCTTCAATTCTTCACTCTGAACACTAATGTGTGCCTTCTCATTAAAAAACATCAAGTGGATACTTTCATAGTCATCAACTAATGGTTCTTCAAATGGCTCTTCTAATTGTTCATCATCACCAATATCCACCCCACTGGTATCTTTATTGGCGTAGATTAGTAGTTGCTGGTTGAATATGTGCTTAGGGAATAAGCTTTGTAACCAATATAAGACAGACATCTGGATCACTGGAATGGGTACTCCTAAATTGTTACCCAGTAACATTGCGTGCAGGCAGGTTTGATATACGAGCATGATAACAACGTCAAAAAGATTACAACATTTTACGGGAACGGTAATAAGAACTATATGGATTATACTACCCCATATATATCGGTTGCAAATGTCTGGCATTAAAGTGGGCTTATATTAAGGAATCGTGCTACAATCACAGAACCAATTAGATACACCGACTACGAAAGTCGTAAGACTGCAGAAGTGGGTGAGACACAATAACTAATACAATAAGTACCGGATCGGAATTTAGACAAAGTTTTCCAAAGGATGAATTCCTTGTAACTTAGAAGTAACAAGGATGTATTAAATCTTAGCTTACGATAATAGATGGTGATATTATTAAACTCTATTGGAACATTGCTGGTACCAAGCAATCTAGATCCATGGTGTATTGGTTAACAATACTAGGCATTTTGAGGTTGAACTTTTTTTCGTTCAGTAGGCTTCGCATGGGCTAATATCTCTCTTTAACTCCGCTTGCTCAAGTTCATTGAGTGGTGGCACATTTCTGTACGTTGAATCTCTCATGTTTGACACTATGCTGAAAATAATAATGTGTTATACAATATTCAATGTTTTTTCTGTACTGTGGCGTGCTTAAACTAACATCAGTATATTTCGTTTCATTCATATATACATGCAGCTCAAAACACTTCTATTTACACTGTCTTCCTTTGGAACATATGGTTCCAATAACCCCCGTACCAGCTTGTAAACATCTGATGCTATCACGTGACATGGCAAATGGTGTTGTTCAACTATGCTAACTTATTGGAAATCACCCTTTTGCAAGTTACGGGTCATAGCAGGTAAAGCCACTCTTATGCCATCCAATTCTTTGGTCATCTTGACTTGACAACCAAGTCTTGAAGTTTCAGTCAAACCAAAAGCCAAATCCAACATATCATTCTCATCATCATCGGGTTCAGGTATTTCATCATAGAACTCGGGATCAACGATGACATGGCATGTCAGACATGCACAAGAACCACCACAGGCACCTTCCATATCTAAGTTATAATTTTGAGCAATATCTAAGATATTGTCTCCCTCTGCCACCTCAAATGTGTGTTGTTCGCCGTCTTTGGTGATAAACGTGATATGTAATTCTTCACCAGGTTTAGGTTTGTGGAGGTGTCCATGATTTAAAGCAACTGACAGATGCAAACTCCGCATAGGCTGGAAACTGAATACCCTACTTGGATGAGTTAAGTTGACTTTTACATTGGAACGTGCCCAGTTTCTCAAGATCTGCCTCGAAATCATTATGAACTATTTTGTGGATACGATTGAACTAATTTTCTTCGTATGGGAAGATCACTTCAATGACTGTGCAAGCGTTGTTTAGTAAGAATATTTTGACATGTTTGGTGATTTTTCTCGTTTTTTTCGAGTACATATTGATTGGGAGTCATCGGCCTACTTTTTGTGTAACAATGGTAGCACCGAATCATTTTAGTCATTGATAGGAACTGAATTACAAATTGATATACGCTAAGTAAAGAAATATAAGTACTAAACACAAACATATCAGGTTTAACAAACTTGTAATTGAGGTTACTACATCATACGCGAGCGATCACAAGTTCATAAAACAATAAGTACACTATGGAAATTAAGTTGTTCCAATAAGTGTAGTGACTTTAAAGCTAGACCACATGGCCAGATAGGATCCAGTAGAGGTAAACGCCAAAACAATCTACCAAAATTTACTTGCCAACACCAAAAGAATCAATAAAATCAATATCCCAATGATTGCATAGCTGATAAGTTTGTTGGCAGTTATTCTTCTACTCATTGATTTGAGTGTTTTAATTGAACGATCAACATATCCATCAGCAACCATTAAAGTATCTCTTGCCCCTATAATCTGTTCTCTTTGACTTCTTAAATCATTCAATATATTACCACCAATAGACTCTGTTTCCAAAGCAATTCTCTGAGAATCTCGCAATCTTTCTGACGATCTTTCTAATGATCCATGGTTACTCAACAATTGCTTCCGTTGATTGTCTCCTTCAAAACCTATCTCTGCTTCTTCATCCTGATAACGATTACCAAATAAGGCTCTTTTATCTTGTGACTCAGCCAACTTATTCAAGTTTTGCTTCTGGATATCTATTTCATTTCTATATTGTCGTACCTTGGTGTTGTATGCAGCTCGTTGACTACTGGGCATATTCTGCACTTCTATGATCATTTGATCATATATTTCAAGTGATTCTTCAATGTTGGCTTCAATTGAGTTAAGAAGTTGTTTCCGTGTAACATCGTCTGCTGTTGCAGCCCTTGACAAATTGGTCTTGGATTCTTGGATGGCTAATTTAATATCCGACTCATACGAGCCAAATGGTTCTAGCATGACGGATGTATGGGAGTTGCTTGATCAATATTAGTATAAACCTATTCAAGAATGGAAAGGGGATATAGTGTCATTTAATTCTTTTGTCTCACTGAGCCAAAAATGTATTTCCAGCCAACACACGAACTTTTGGTTCTTAGTAATGCATGTATCACGTGCCGCATTCCATATACCCATTGAAAATAGACTTAATTAACCAACGAGAAGGATGAAAGGTACGAATATATAATCTTAAATCAGAATTGTACTAAAGAATATCCCAATTTCAATAGTTGTAAATATCGATTGTGTATAGCAAAAATAGATTTTCTTCAAGGACACAATTCGGAAAGTCTACCGGAGTTTCCTCTATATAATCGATAAAAGATACCGCCCCTCTTGGATGCGATGTTCCCTACTACAATTATCTCATCGGTGCCAACCAATCTTATGATCCCCAATAGAGTCATCTAACATGGTAAGCTCGTATTTATATAAATATATCGAACTCAAACTAAATGCATAAAGTTACTAGGAGCTATTATATTGAAGTATTGTAGTGAACTAAATTTCGACAAAGTTCTTAAGCCATTATTCTCCTCGCACTTCGACATGCGAGAGAAGGTTTGTGTGCGTTTCAATTATGGAGGAAGAAGGACATCTAGTGTCCGAGGCGGACACAATAATAAAACTAGTACTCTTACAACACTGACTAAGTAATAAGACCTTTACTGTGTGAACACCAATGAGATGCGTAATGGTTATTAACATATCAGTCTTACTCCCCACATTACTAACTTTTCTTGATGTTGTATACTCCTTTACTTACTATGGCATAGATGTCGTAAGAAACAACTACCGTCACCTCCGGCACAAAGAACCTATTGTGTTGTATTAGTAAAGAGTCGGGGGCTGGGGAAAGCGGGGCGGTAGGGAATCAAAATGGACGTATTCTGCAGGATTACCCATGCAAAGTCTCCAAAAAAATTGGTACGAGGGACTGTTACAAATTAATTAGGAATGTACAGTGAACACTAAAATATATATATATATATATGTATACATATAAGAATTGATCTTTTATCAGACAAACACTGAGTTGGCGATTACATTTTTAGAGTTTAGAATAGTTTTTATATGGTGATGTCTTACACAGCTGAGGAGTTGCGTTTGCGTCAAGATAAGGAGAGAACCCATTACTGGAAGAAGTTTGGGCCCTATTTGCTGGAAAGAGAATGGGCAACTGTGAGAGAAGATTATTCAAGTAATGGTGATGCTTGGCTGGATTTCCCCTTTGAGCATTCAAGATCAAGAACATATAGATGGGGTGAAGATGGTTTAGCTGGTGTTAGTGATACACATCAATTGATTTGTTTGTCGATGGCACTTTGGAATGGCAATGATAGCATTTTGAAGGAGAAATTGTATGGGTTGACCAATTCACAAGGTAATCATGGCGAAGATGTCAAGGAATTGTATTATTATTTGGATAATACTCCTACCCACTCCTATATGAAGTATTTATATAAATATCCTCATTCTGCTTTCCCCTATAAGGAATTGATTGACGAGAATGCAAAGAGAGGTCGATTAGATAGAGAATTTGAAATCACTGATACCGAAGCTTTCAAAGATAACAATTACTTTGATGTTGTTTTTGAAATGGCTAAAGCTGATGAAGACCCAGAAGAATTATATTTCCGTATCACAGCATACAACAGAGGTGATAAGGCTGCACCTTTACACATTATGCCTCATTTGGTTCTTAGAAATACCTGGGGTTGGGGAACAGATAGCAGACAAAAGCCATCTTTATCTGCAACCGATGAATACTCAATTGAAGTTGATCACGCAAAGTTTGGTAAATATCATTGGGTATTTGCCCCCTCCCCTGGATCTACTGATGAAGATCCTGATGTTGAACCTCAATTGCTTTTCACGGAAAATGAAACTAACTTTAAAAGATTATATAACCAAGAAAACATTTCTCCTTACGTGAAGGATGCATTCCATGACTTTATTATTGAAAATGACGAAAAAGCTATTAATCCAGAAAACAAGGGTACCAAAGCTTGTGCTTGGTATAAGTTTGATAGTGTTCCTGCTGGTGATTATGTTACTTTAAGATATAAATTATCTAAATCTCCAGATTATCTTGATGAATTTGAATTGGATCAAGTCTTTGCCAAAAGACAAGATGAAGCCGATTCATTCTACTGGAAAATTAATCCTCTCCCAATGAAGGACACTTTGCGTCAAGTTCAGAGACAAGCATTTGCTGGACTTCTTTGGACAAAGCAATTTTATCACTTTATTCACGATTACTGGTCCAAAGGTGATCCTAATGCTAAATTAAGACCAATGCAAAATCGTGCTGATGGTAGAAATAAAGATTGGAAACATTTATACATTGAAGATATTCTTTCTATGCCTGATAAATGGGAATATCCTTTCTTTGCAGCATGGGATACTGCTTTCCAATGTATTCCATTTGCTATGGTTGATCCCGTATTTGCTAAGAAACAAATTTCATTATTGACCAGAGAATGGTATATGCACCCAAATGGTCAAATTCCAGCTTATGAATGGAACTTTTCTGATGTAAACCCCCCTGTCCATGCTTGGTCTGCTTATCGTATTTTCAAAATTGAAAGAAAGATGTATGGTGTTGAAGATTTGGAATTTCTTGAAACTGTGTTTCATAAATTATTACTTAACTTCACTTGGTGGGTCAACAGAAAGGATTTCCATGGTGATAACTTATTTGGTGGAGGTTTCTTGGGTTTAGATAATATTGGTGTGTTTAATCGTTCTGAAGATTTACCCACTGGTGGTACTTTGAAGCAGGCGGATTCTACTGGTTGGATGGCATTTTTTTCATTACAAATGTTGAACATTGCTTTGGAATTGGCCAAAACAAAGCCAGTCTATGAAAATATTGCTTCCAAGTTTTTTGAACACTTTATTATGATCAGTGATGCATTGTCGTTCAAGAATGAACTGAAAACATTTTCTCTTTGGAATGATGAAGATAAGTTCTTTTATGATGCCATTGATTATGGTACTCACACTGATTCGTTACCTGTAAGATCCTTGGTTGGTTTGATTCCATTGTATGCTTCCTTAACTTTGGAACCCGATTTATTGGATAGGTTCCCATCTTTCAAAAAGAGATTGGAGTGGTTTGTTAACAACAACAAGGATGTTGCAGAACGTAACATTGCTTCTATGGAAGCAAGAGGTATGGGTGAACGGTTATTACTTTCTTTGGTATCCAAAGATAAGTTGGTCTCAATTTTGCAACGTATGTTGGATGAAGATGAATTCTTGTCTGATTATGGTATTAGATCTCTTTCAAAATACCATAAAGATCATCCATTTTCACTTGATGTTAGTGGACAACATTATAAGGTTGAATACTTACCAGGTGAATCTGATAGTGGCATGTTTGGTGGTAATTCCAACTGGCGTGGTCCAATTTGGTTCCCTACCAATTTTCTTCTTGTTGAAGCTCTTCAACGTTTTTACTTGTATTATGGGCCTGAGTTGAAGGTTGAATGCCCAAAGGGATCTGGCCAAATGCTTAACTTGGCTCAAGTGGCTCAAGAAATTCAGCATAGACTTATGCACTTGTTTGTCCCTGATGAAAATGGACGTAGAGCTTGTATTGGTGATTCCGACTTGTTTAACAGTGATCCTTACTTTGCTGATTATGTTCCATTCTATGAATATTTTGATGGTGACACTGGTCGTGGATTAGGTGCCAGTCATCAATGTGGTTGGACAGCTGTTGTTGCCAAATGGATTCATGATAACGGTACTAGTTGCCGTATACCAAAAACACCCCATACTCCAGCTGAACCCCAAATACCCTCTAATGTGTCTGAATACGATGTTACCAAGTTTGTTCCTAAAACAGGTCCTTTCCCTGGTCGTTTGATTAGAAGAAGACTGGGTAAATCATTGGTGAATTTGACGATTCATTCGTTAGATTTAGGAGATGATGAATCAGAAGCACGTTTGAATCAAAATGCCTTGCGTCGTATGGGCTCTAGGGGAGAGAATGTCACTGCTGATATGGAATCTCTTGCACCACAATTATCACGTGGTTCCATTGATTCTCAAGAAGGTCCCAAATATGATAATGAATTCTTTTCCCAAATTAGGGATGCTTTCAAGAAGTATAAATCCAGAGAAAGTGAAGATCGCCACGAAGAATTCGAAGCTGAAGCTTGATTGGTTCAATTACATTCACAAATCTTAATGCAATGATTCATTATATTGGAATCTTGTTGCACGTATAAAATAAAGAGAATAAAGCACATAACTATAATACTTTTTACAAATACCCTATAGCGTATGCACCAGCAATAATAACAGGTAAATAAGCATGGCCTGAAGCTTGCAAACGTCCGGCATCATTTTTTTTAGTGTAATAACTTGTTTGGTTTGTTCTTCCGTACAAATAGTGCCCATAGCCGTAACCTACGAGTGCACCACCTGCAAAGTAGTAACCATTGTAGTTAGTTCTATACCCACTACGATACGAATTGTATCCATTGTAGTAGGGTCTGGGGTGATAAGGTGCGGCAGCAGGGAAATATCTAACTTGGGTAGGTGGAGGACCCGCTGAACGTCCCGTGGACGCATATGGAGAATACGGTGGTGGTGCTTTTCCTGGAGAGTAAGCTGGTGGAGAACCCTTATACGAACTTGAAGAGGACCCACCCTTTGTACCTGTCGAACCTTTTGTACCTGTTCCTGAGCTTCCTGAAGTAACTCCATTTCCACCTCTGGTACCAGAGCCAGAACCTGAACCAGAGCCATTGCCTGAACCAGAACCGTTACCACCTCTAGTACCAGAGCCAGAGCCAGAACCAGAACCACTGCCTGAACCTGAACCTGAACCACTGCCTGAACCACTACCTGAACCACTGCCTGAACCACTACCTGAACCACTGCCTGATCCTGAACCACTGCCTGATCCTGAACCACTGCCTGATCCTGAACCACTGCCTGATCCTGAACCACTGCCTGATCCTGAACCACTACCTGATCCTGATCCTGATCCTGATCCTGATCCTGATCCTGATCCTGAACCACTGCCTGATCCTGAACCACTGCCTGATCCTGAACCGGAACCGCCACTGGAACCACCACTGGAACCTCCACCTCTCCCACCACTACTAGATCCTCCACCTCTCCCACCACTACTAGATCCTCCACCTCTCCCACCACTACTAGATCCTCCACCTCTTCCACCACGTCTTTTACCTAATCTTCCCGAAACACTTTTAGAAATAAGTTCATTTGCCAAATGCGGTTTTGGAATGCTTAATACAAGAGCATCAACAACAACCAAGTAACATAGTAATATTTTAAATGTACTTATAATCAACATGCTTGAATATAATAAAATTCAATACGTCAACAATCGTATATCAAATAAGGCTACTTTTGTAGAGTTTAAGTACTTAGTTACGATTGAATGTGCTTTGCATAACTAGGCACATGATCACAAAAAAAGTTGGTAATGATAGCAAACTCGACAAGCCTCGTCAGCCAAATTCAGCCAAATTCAGCTACAATTATTCTACAATTGCAGGATATTATTTTCCTGCTTCGATAATGAACGCATGACAGGTGCAATTTACGAGCGAAGTTTTAGACAAATTACTACCACCTAAAAACGACCACATCTCGAAGAGGCAGTGCCAACGTTAAGTATGAATACCATGCAATGATTTGTGTATAAACCTTTTGATTACTTTTAGTGTAATTGTGAGCTTTGTGTAAGATTGCTTAAGTGGTGAACTTAACATTTTACGAGAGCAAGCTGCACGTTCATCAGATGTGTCCTGTTGTTTGAGTCGTAATTTCAAACTAAGCATAACAAAGTTTCCCGAATAATTGTGACATAATTAATGCTGTAACTTCCAATTACGCATTGAAATGATTGACTTCTATCTCACTCGATTTAATAAAGTGACAATCGTTCCTCTGTAGCCTGATTGTATGCAGACAGCAGAGGCCGTAATTTTGTAGAAATCGGTCAATATCTGCAAGCCAGGGCAAGGCTTGAATTACAATCTTTTGACGTTTGCAATTTTCCTTCGCTTGTTTCTTTTACTCCGTGTGTGGTTCCCATTTGAGTCAACGGATCTATCCTCGTAAATTAAAGCTCACAGCCGGGAACCAAAAACTCCCAAAGACAAGTGATGGCAGAGCATACCATTCCGAATGAAAGGTTGGCTATAATTGCTTGCTATCATAAGCTAAGTAAGGTTTTAGTAATCAATTAATGACGCTTCTACAAAATCTCTTCAAGTAATTCGTAATTAATATTATGTATATTTCTCTAGGTAAAAAAATAGATGTCCAAAAAAGACCACCAAGCAAAAGGAACTTAATTAACTATTATATCCAAGAAGTAAAAAAACCGTAAATCCTTCAAAAAGTAGAATGAATTTATAACATTCAAGTATAAATTAAGCCTTTACCGTATAATCTGGAGGAGGATCAGCTGAAGCGACTTTCTCGGGGTACGCTAATAACTGTGACGAGTCGCTATTCTGCCTTGATTGAGGTCTGTTGATAACCCTTGGGGCCTTCTCTGTCGAAGAGGATGAAATGCTCTTTCTCTTGCAACAAAAGATCTTGGTAAAAAACATTGTAATATATGAAAAACTCGGAGTATAATGGCAATAATTATTAATGAAAAAGTACGAATGCATAAATTAAGGTGATTTGGCTTCTCTTTTATATAAGTGTGTGCATCAAGTATAAAACGGTGTTAACCTGTTTAGTTAAGTATACGGGGATTATGCACACTAATGGCTGAGGGTTTCAAATGGTTCCATAAAATTAAGACCACCAATATTGATAGTGCATTCCCCGTATAAGGTTGCTAAGATGCCAAGGAGAGTAATAGTCATGTCGTTTAGACAATAGCAAACTCCGTGTGGTGCGAAGTCGTTGCACTACAGCCGTATCAACACACAAAGCCGTTAAGTGGTTCAAACAAGGCTTGTGTAACGTGGTTTTCGATTGACAAGCCACTTTTACCCTATGACAGTATTCATCGGGTATTATGGGTATTAAAATTTTGTCTCTTGTGTTTTATTAGCACCCTAGCATAAGTTTGTGGGGAGACAACCTTCTCATTTAAACCTGACCCTCAGGTTAAAGGGGGGTTATGATAGTCTCATGAAGATTACTAAGATTAACTATTGCTACCTCCTTTTTTCCTTTTTCTATCAATAGGTAGTGGTACTATTTCTGATGTTCAACTCTTAATAATAGTAGTGATAAAAATGGCAAACAGCATTACAAATATAACTCCGGAGGTGTTGGTACCAATAAATTTATAAACTATTACTACATTTGTTACTAAATATTAACTAATAGTTTGTACCTTAGATCTGAAGGTGCACTCGTGAACATTTATCATAACTGTATGGTTGTATACCTGTCCATTTAATAATACCCTTAAACCTTCAAAACTGGCGTATGAGCAGAACCATGAAAAATTACATAAGCAATTCCCAACAATACCAAACTTAGTACTTTATGTCTCAGCTCCTCCTTTCCATGTATAGTTCAATAATTGCATAGACAGCATGTATTGTTGTTCCTATTCCTATCAAAGTTCAGGGACAAGATAGGAGGGTTATAACCTAAAGTTCAGTTGTAGAATGAACAAATAATGGAATTGAACTTCTTTGCACATGTCCCTTAAGTCTTTATAAATCCAAATACGGCTAAAGTGCGATTTCATGAATAGACTGCATTTCCTTATTGACTCAATGCTAAAGATCTTAAGTTATCATAGCATTGGATATATTATCATCAAAGTTAATGATTTCCAAGATTTATTTTTTTTGACTAATTGTCCAGTGAATAGACAATTCGATCTGAAGGGCACGTCGTAAGTTTTTCAAGAAGTAGCCTACTTTTGATGGAAAATTAAGGCAGAACATACTCTACCACCAGAGACATTGGTTATATCCCCTTCGCTACATATGCTTACAATGGTGAAACAAAGTCGGTTCAAATAATAAGGGTATATGATAAAAATAACTTCTTTTGTTCAATAATGAATGGCAGAAACAATATGGTTGTGAAACGTTTGATGATCAAGATTAAATCCGTTCCCGTTTTCGCTGATACGGAAAAGAAGATTTGTGAAATATGATTATGTCCTTACATAGCCGACATTCAACTTCGACATTATATGTGGGAAGTGATAATAAAGGAATATACGAGGTAAGGAAATTCCTTTGGCTGCGAAGAAAGGATAATAAGTAAATATTTGTGTCATTTTCACGCACTGCCATGTCCTTTATCAACTACATGAAAGTATCTCATCATGTAGGCTATTGGCCAGCCCCTATATTGAGTACCATTGAAGTCCGCTTTAATTCGATATAGTCTAAGTTGCTTTGGTAGGTTACTGCGCAATCAAGCACCCAGCACCTATTTGACTTCCGCTAAACATATATTATTATTCCATTGTCACTCACTGTTTGAGTGCGAGAAACTATACAAATGGCATGAAAAGCGCTTTCCCAGTTGCTAAATTTGAATAGTATTCAGATTTCTTGTCTCTTCTATCATAAATACATTCTAGCCACTAGTACTAATGACTTATGTTTATATTATTGCACTCTTAGTAGCTGTCAGGTTTTCTCATCAACAGACTACGTTCAATTGGTCTTCCATCGGCTCTCCCATACTGAGATTGTCCGGAAATACTGAAAGTCAATGGTGATTCCTGGAAGTAATCGTTGCACTTGGCTTATGCATTGCTTTCTCGAAGTGTTGCTTTTAATGTTGCTAAAGCATTGCTTTTTTATTAAAATGTCCCTTCTGAAAATTCAACCTGGGGCTCGTATATTCTTGTTTTGAAACAATAATTATACTGATGAAGATGTTAGCACTATGAACTTTGACTTTAGTGGATTATCAATTGAAGTAGGCTGGTTAGCTGCTCCGTATTTGGAGAAATCAGTTTCTTGAGTTTAATTCATAATGATTGACATTTCGCTCTTCATGCCCCAACTAATGAAGAATGCTTATGTTGCATTTGATCTTGACAACTATGAAGGTTCATGGAGTTAACTGATAGAAATACAAAACAAGATGCTGTCGGGATTGTCAGCTCAATTTTTGGAGCAGCCAATCTCACTGGTTTCGGTACTCCTGAGGTTACTTCAAAGATACTTACTGAACAAGAAGTGAATGCTTCATTAATTGTTCAAAGGCTTCCATTGAGTACAACAATTAAAGGTTCTTCTCCTTTAAGCTCAGCACCCAGTTATTTAACCTCCACTTTCTTGTCTGGGTTTTTATCTATGAAGTCTCTCTCAAAGGATGTTGGGGCTAGTACTGGCTTAGTGACATTATTGAGTTCCAACTTACTTATTTTGTACTAATAGAAAGGTAATTTTTCAAGTAAAACAAAAAAAACTAAATAACTTTAGATTGAGTAGCAAATTATTGATCTTCATAAGACTTTAATGATCACACAACAAATTAGCTTTATACTTACTCTCTATGTAAAGTTGTTGTTATAACTATCATGTCCATCCTACTTAATTCCAGCTAATTAGAGCAGCTTATCCCAAAATCTCTTGGCAGATGTCGTAAACTATTTGTTCTTGGGCTCAAAGCTCTTTCAATGACCAAACCTCAATTTACAGAATTTAATGGCGAGGTAGTCAGTTTGTGATGACTAGGTGATTTCTGAGATGAATAAACCAGATTTTTATTCGAATATTTTACTTCATGCTGTTTTTTTTTGCATGCCTCAGTATAAATTTCTGTGAGACCCTAATCTCCACTACTGTTGATGCTATGAAAATCAAATCAATTAGATCTATGTATAATCAAACACACTGCCGTCAATTTGTCACACAGTAATAATAATATGTCGGTACCAGCATTGATTGCACATTATCTCCGTACTCATAAGTACTCCGACACTCTCAAAGCGTTTGAGCTGGAGTATGGTAAACCCATTACATCTAGTCTCCCAAATAATGAGACATTGGAAGAGATTATCTATGACCGTTTTGAGTTCCTCAAGCTTGAATCAGAACTAGCAGAATTGAACCACAATGAGTCGGTGTTTAGACCGTGGTCGGTTCCATTCCCGAATTCTCCCTGTAAACTTCCGATATCTGCTTTAGTATTAGGTACTTGTGGGATCGGGTGTAATTTGTGGCTCACAACTACAGACAAGCGAATTATCCTTTACGACATAGACCAAGAAAAGACCATAAAAGTATATCAGCAACGAGAAATCTATAAAATGGTTGCTGCTGGTAAACCGGGAGAAGTGATCTTAGTTAGTATGAGTGGAGTTATAACAAGATGTAACAGTGAAACATTGGACCCTATAGCCACCATAAAAGCTCACGGACGATTGATTCACGAGTTACGAATTCTGAGTGATAAAGAATATATTGTGACTCAAAGCTCTGTTGAAAGGTCAATCAAAGTATATGCTTATGAGACTCTCGAATTGGTAAGTCTGTTGCAGATTCATCCTTCCAGTGGTGGTCAACCTAGTTGTATTGAAATAGTTCCTACTTCTTCTGGAACTTTATTAGTGGTTGGACAAGAAGAGAATACTTTATTAAGCATTTACAACATTACATCGATGACATTGCTCTATAAGGTTCTGTTGAACGATGCTGAGTTTAGTAGCACACTTTTCACTCCTCGCATAATTCGGTATAAATTAATTGCCAGTAAGCACTATCTTGCAGTGGGAACATCTCATGAACCATTTATGCGCTTGATTGTGGTTGAGATTCCAGATATTACACCACCTAAACCTGTCCTCACAGCGGAACACGAAACTTTGCCTCCTGCTTTGAAACCTTGCACCATTCTTCGTAATGCTATAGCTTCTAACATCAACACTCTTTCGCCGCAAGATAAGTTTCTGCAACCTCAATTATTTTGGCGCAAGCATGGCATGGGTATACTAATTCCTGGTGATGATGGTTGTATACGAGGTATCGATTTACAGCGGCAAGAAGTGGTAGTCACAGTTAAGGTTAATGATGGGGCTTTTAAATCACTGGCTCTTATGAATTTAAATTCTGAAGCATTGGTCACATGTGGGATCGATAAGCAGGTTTATCTTTTAATAGAGAAATATTAACGATGGTTTTGATAAAGAAAGTGCTATATATAGGTTGGAAATTCACATAGAATGTAAACTTTTTTCATAGAATATCAAGTGTAACGACGAAGAGGAACTAGAATTAATATCAACTCAAAACTTGCTATGTGTGGATCCCTTTAGCTGAACTTTTTAAACATGTTTAATATAGTATAAGAGATAATAATCTTGTGTTTTATGAATCGGCTGCAACAGAGTATTTAACTTGTTATCAATCGAGTAGCAACCAACAACAATTATAGAATTTGTAAATCGCGTAGGATCTCGGCATGCTACCAAGTATCGAAAACTTAAACATACTAATAAACCAAATCAAATCGTCAAGGTTATGATTAGTCAATGTATTAGGATGAGGAAATCTGTTTTTATAATCAAACAGCTTCACGTGATAGTTATATATAATCAGATCGGCATTAACTTTTTACTCTATTAGTTAGGTGTTCCTACCAGTCTTAAAGGAGTTCCTCGGAACGGCAGAAACGTCTTTCTTCCCCTCTAGAATCTGGTAGCACCACATTTCCTAAAATCAACACCAAAAGTTTCCCCCCATGTTTTAGAGCCGAGGAGGAAAATCATCCCCAAATGTCTGGGGTAACAAACAAAGTGATGGGAATATAAAACCCAAACAGCATCCGGGGAATCGGTAAGTTTCGGGTCGGTAGTATATTTATTGACAGGTTATTGATATATAAATACCTTGATCCATTTCCACTACTTATTTGTTTTCACCTCACTACAGATTAGACTTAGAGCTGACACGAAAAGACATTCTATATTACTATCATGCATTTAACACCATTGGAAGAAGCCGCATCTGGTGCTTTGGCTTCAGCCATTGCGAACTCCTTGGTATATCCTTTAGATTTGTCCAAAACCCTTATTCAAACTCAAGTTGTGAAACAAGTAACTCACACAGAAGACCTTCCTCCAACACCTTCTAGTGAAAGTGATAATGAAACAGCAGGGGTATCATCAACTAAATCACAATTAACCATAAAGCATAAGTTGAAGTATAAGAATACTATAGATGTGCTTCAACAAATTTACAAGAAGAAGGGCATTTTGGGCTGGTACCATGGGCTTTTCAGTCTGATTTTTGGTTCCGCCGTAATGAATTTCTCATATTTCTATTGGTATTCACTTATTAAAAAGATTTATCATATTCTTTATAAGAATGCCAAACCAAATACTGCTACTCAATTAGCGTTAGGTGCTCTTGCAGCCGCTGTTTCACAATTATTCACCATGCCAGTTGGTGTTATAACTACTCAACACCAAACAGATAAACACCATAGAGGAATTCCTGCTTTAATTAAGGAAGTCTTGGAACACGAAGGTGTCACAGGTTTATGGAAAGGATTAAGAGTGTCTCTTGTTCTTTGCATTAACCCATCAATTACATACGGTTCTTATGAACGGTTGAAGCAAGTAATCTTCCCTGGTAAAGAATTCTTGGGACCATTGGAAGCATTCGCATTAGGTGTTATGGCTAAACTGTTGGCTACATTGGCTACACAACCATTGATTGTGTCTAAAGCTATGCTTCAAAAGAAGACCAATCCTAAACCTCTGCCCATGACACCTTCTTCATCAGTAGATGATCCTAAAGAGTTGAACAAGTTACCTATACGTAATGATGATCTTGAACACGACGATGTCAAATTCGATCACTTTACTGAATGCTTAGCCTATTTATGGCGCACAGAGAAAGTAAGAGGATTATACAAGGGTGTTGTACCACAGTTAATCAAGGGTGTTTTTGTCCAAGGTTTGTTGTTTATGTTTAAGGACCAATTAGATGTATTCTTCCTCTTCCTATTGAAATTGATTAGGTCAAAGTCCCATTAGTTGATTGTATGACTCAATTGGTACAATTTAACACATTATACATTTTTTTATTCTATACTGTTAACATGTAGGTTGGCACTTATATATTCTAGGGTTTATTTATTTGAAATGGATACATTATATTTGAATCGAAACCGCTACTATTGTAAGGAGACTTTATCGGCGTTGGTCGGCATGTAGGAAGTGGGGGATTCAAGCCGAGATCATAATAAGCCGATCCAAGCCATGTGATTTGAAACGTCAAGGTTCAGAACAATTCGTAAATGCTAACTTAACCACATACACTTAGGGCTACGCGCCCTACACAGTCACACGCCTATAATTTTTTTCCATGTATAGGATTTCAATCAGGTGACCAGCTGCGACGTGTTATTTGGCCAGAATAGAATGCGACATATGATGTCGCTTTACTCTTTGGATGCAGGTAAAGTAAGATATAAATCTGGAAGCGCCGGAGTTTTGTAAGCGGAGACAAAGTGTACACCCATCTCGGTCTTGTGTGAGGGATTGGTAGTAGTGTGGGAAAATTTTTCAGCACTACAATTTTTTCATTGAGGAATTATTTTAGTGGTTTGTTTTCTACTTTCCTTCTTCTTTCTTAGTTCTTCAGCAACAATAGTTATCAATCATGGGTAAGGGTAAACCAAGAGGACTTAACTCCGCCAGAAAGTTGAGAGTTCACAGAAGAAATAACAGATGGGCCGATCAATCTTACAAGGCTAGATTATTAGGTACTGCCTTCAAGTCTTCTCCATTTGGTGGTTCTTCCCACGCTAAGGGTATTGTGTTGGAAAAGATTGGTATTGAATCCAAGCAACCTAACTCCGCTATCAGAAAGTGTGTCAGAGTTCAATTGATCAAGAACGGTAAGAAGGTTACTGCTTTCGTCCCTAACGATGGTTGTTTGACTTTTATCGATGAAAACGATGAAGTTTTGTTAGCTGGTTTCGGTAGAAGAGGTAAGGCTAAGGGTGATATTCCCGGTGTCAGATTCAAGGTTGTCAAGGTTTCCGGTGTCTCCTTGTTGGCCTTGTGGAAGGAAAAGAAGGAAAAGCCAAGATCTTAAATGGATCGAACACTAATAGAGAACAAATTATCACAACGTATAATCCTTGTTTTAACTGCATTTATGTCAGTTTTTACATTTCACAAGGGGGTTCCTTGAACTAGATTCAACTTTGTTACTGGTCTAATGTTCGCTTTTCTTATTTGAAGTTCCATTTATTTTGTAAGTTTTGGAAAAAAATTTACGACTGTATATTTGCCTTAATGCATAAAAAATTATGATATCCGTTGAGTTAAAAGACATTTCATGTCTCACTAACTAAAGTGTACTTGTTTAATCGTCTTTTAAGTGCCTCGTAAAAGTATTGTAAATCTTTTACTTTTTCCGTAACTTCAGATATCCTTTCAAATTATTTATTTCACTTATACTGTTAGTTATATACCTGCAAGGTTTCTACCTTCTATAGAAGGTCCAGATTTCTTTGCGGACTTTTTGACCTTTAACATAGTCATCTTCTGATTAATCTTCTTGAATCTCTCATCCATACCTGTTGATCTTTGCTTAGCAAGCATATCAATATTAACTTTAGGAGCAATTCTATATGCTGTGGTTCTGGCAGCAGGAATAGCAGCCCTATTTCTTCTTTCTGCACTTTCTTCATACAAGGTTTTGGATTCCTTGAGCTTATTACGTTTCCGTTGTGACAGTAATTGGTTAGCATATTTGTTCTTATTGTAATCATGGAATCGTATGGTTCTGTCCTTGTAACTGTCAGATTTATTCAAAATTGGTCTTGTCCAATCACTAATCAATCTGTCAACTATTCTCTTCAAATTGGGTTCTGTTCTTTTTGATCTTTGATAAAAAACCAATACTTTACCAATACCGCTGGCAACCAAGTGATCAGTTTTGATAGGTAATGCAGTTAAACTTTGAACAAGCTCCATTTGAATTTGATAAGCAGGCATCAGGGCATCGGGTAAAGGCTCCAACCATAACCGTACAGCTTCCAAAAGATTGTTATCCAAAATGGATATAGCTAAATCAGCTTTACTTAAAACATTCATTACTTCTTTTAACATTTTCAATTTCTCAGTAGCAATTTGGCCCTGACTATTCTTCTCAACATCAACATTAGCAGCCCTAATCATCTTATCCTTCAAGCTATCAATCCTATCATCTTGCATTCTTTCTAAGTCGTCTTCATCTGCCTTACGACGTCTTGTGGTCTTTGATTTCATTGCTTGATCCATTTTCTCTTCTAAAAGTCTCCGTTTGCGGGATTCTGGGTCTTCGTTGGCGTATTGGTCTTCTTCCATTTCATCATTGCCTTCATCAAAGTACCCGGAATGTCTTGTAGTATCAACTTCATTGGACCTGCTGCTGTCACCAAATTCATCATTTCTTTGTGTTTTTCTTACAATGTTCTTTTTGGTGCCTCTTCTATCATCAAAAGTATCTGTAGCCTGTGCATATATGTTGTTTACATCATCAGCTTGTTCTTCTGGTTGGAGATTCTTCACATCATCTTCATCATCAAAAATGTCTGCAAGATGGTTCTCTTCACTATCAGACATTTTCGATATATATTTATTTTATTATACAGCTGAAGAATACGAGTCCGTTGTAAACTTCTAAACGGTATATGGCCACAAGTTATTAATTGAACCATTTCAGTCAATTGAAGTTGCATTTCATAGCATGAATTTAAATTTTTCCCGACAATGTCACGTGACCATCTTGGTTTCAGCACACGCACTTTTTTTTATGGTGAAGGCCATATTTCAACGGTGACACGCCAATGTTGGCCATCTAAGCGGGAGGTACTTTGGTGTGAACAAAACTCAATACTTTCCTGCTGCTGTGTACTTTTCATTTCTCAAGGGGAAATCAATTTACTGCGTCATAAGCTTTGGGTCGATCAATTTTAAAGGCAACTTGAAAGATGTCTCAGTACATTGGTAAGACAATTTCTTTGATTTCTAACAAGGGACTCAGATACGTTGGTTTATTGGACAATATAAATGGAGATGATGCAACCGTGGCATTGAAGTCTGTTAGACCTTTTGGATCTGAAGGTAGAATGGCCTTAGCTGGAAATCCACATTTGGAAATACCTCCTTCAAAGGATATTCATGATTATGTTGTTTTCAGAGGCAGTGATGTTAAGGACTTGAGTGTTTTAGATATTCCAATTGACCAAGTTAAACCAGAACCTTATATTCCCCAATATCAACAAATTGTTCCTCAAACAACGGCCTCTCCAACTCAGGCTGCTCCTCAACAATATGAACAGTCTACAATGGCCTCGGCTAATGAACCAACTACTACTTCAACTGGTTCTACTACTGAAAGAAGTGCTCCAACTGTGACTCGCACTGCTGAAAGTGATTCCCAAGTAACTTCTGCGGTTCCTGGTCAATATGCCCCTCTGGTCCCTACTCCTACTTCCTCCCATGATCCTCGCCAACACCAAGCTGCTCCTACTCCTTCTACTTCAGCAACAAGTACCGAGAAGGAATCTCAAACTGCCACAAGCTCTCAGTATCCTCCACAATCCCAACCTGGATCTTTACCCCAACCTGGTGCTACTCAAAAACCAAGATCTAACAGACCGGTTAATGCTCAACCACGTCCAACTCCAACAGCTTTTACTTCTGAAGGACTGTTTACATCTGACTTCGATTTTGAAGGAGCCAATGCCCGTTTCTCAAAGGAAATCCAAGAAGAAAAGGAAAAACAACATCAGGCAGCTTACAACAAGAGTTCATCATTCTTCGACTCTTTATCTTCCGGTACAAATAATTCACGCGCTCCAAAATGGAACGATGATGATAATTCAAGAAATAGAGGCGGATATCGTGGTCGCGGTGGTCGTGGTGGCAGAGGTGGAAGAGGCGGTCGCGGTGGACGTGGTGGTTATAGAAACGAATACAACAACAAGCCAGAATGGGCATAAAGTTAATTCGATCTTAAAATGTTACGAACATGACATATATATATACAAGTTTTAAAGAAAGAAAATGTATTATATGAACTTAAATACGTAGAAATCTATTTTTGTTTGTTTCAAATTTTGACCACGGTACCTAAGTACAACTTTCTTTCTGCATCTTCTGAGTTGTCTTTAAACTTAACATTGGAGTCATAATTTTGGAGGAACATCAGATGAAGAGGTGAGAATACCAAATTAATGCTTGTCTTCCTGAGACCATGGATCATTCTTCTGAAGAAGCCAAACCGTCCTTCTTCAGATTCCATATCACGACTCAAGATCTTATTGTTCTCAAATATGTGCAACGTGTTCCAATCTTCAACAGGGATACCTTCAATGGGTGGGAGCTCATCAGAAATCGCAGCAATTATTGATGAATCAATGACAATATTATCACTATAACCGAATCTCAAAACGCATTTATAGTGGTCAGGTATGTCTTTCACCGATCCAAGTAAAATTCTATCTTCAGGAGGAACATTTGGAATACTTAAAACCCGAATATAACAAAAGATGAAAACCCTGGGAAGCGATGCAAATGAACGAACCAATTGGGCATAAATGTTCGGAACAGTATTTGGAGATCGCATAACATAGTAAGGCGAATCATTGTACATGAATGCTACTCCGTCGTATTTGTTCAAGGTCAATTTACCAAACTTAGATGCAACCTTCAAGTTTTCAGAGAACATTTCCTTCATGTCGACTTCTTCGTCTTCTTGAGGAACCACTCTTGCAGAGTTATTTCTCAAGTCAACTGTAACTGTTGCTGGTCTGGGTTTCAATTGAGGATATAGATCACTAATTCTCACATTAGACTTCAAGTCATACCTCAGCTTCAAGTGTCTTGCCCATCTCCAGAAGTCCAAAAATGAAAAGAATATAACACACATCATAATAGTAAACCAGGCTCCATGTGGTACTTTCTTCAAATTCGCAATTACCAATGTTACCTCAAGTGATAAGAAGACCAACGTATATGCCAAGGGAATTAAAAAGTTCACCTCATACACATAAACCATTAATATCACAAGTAAAATCGATGTAACTGCGAAATCAAGAGAAATACCAAGCCCATAGGAAGCAGTAACATTGCTTGAAGTTTTAAAACCAGCTGTAGTCAAAAGTACACCTACCATCAACAACCAATTGACACCAGGAATGTAAACCTTACCTATGTGATCTTTGGAAACATGAACAACCTTAAACTTGGGGAAACAATCTAAATTAATTAACTGAGTCACAATAGAAAAAACCCCTAAAATCAATGCCTGACTAGCAATAATAGTTGCTAAGGTAGCAAGAATAAACATAATCCAATAGGGGCCAGAGTTGGTTCCTCCTGGAATAGAATAGTAGAAAGGATTGGATATTTTATCCAAATTGTGTAAAAGATATGCACCCTGACCAAGATATGCAATCATTAAACATGGGTAGACAAAGCAACCCAAAGTAAGCTGAATGGGCAACCTACCAAAATGGCCAATGTCAGCAAACAATGCCTCAGTACCTGTGATAGCAAGCATGGCACCAGACATAACATCAATACCTGTCCTTTGTAACAACTTAACGGCGTAGTATGGCGACAAACTTTTGAAGATATCAGGACCCCAATGCACAATATTGTACACACCACAAACCAATAAACCAATCATCCAAATGAAAACAATTGGTGCAAAAGAAAATGAAATCTTATGTGACCCAAATTGTTGAACCACAAATAAAAGGAATAAGATTACTTCTGACACTGCCAAAACATTGTTATTGGAGAAACTTGGTTTGGCAATTTGAATACCACCAATAGCAGATAATACAGAAGTGGTTGGAGTTAACATACCATCTGAAAACAAAAGCCCACAACCAAGAAAGCAAAGGACCAAAATCAATTTTGATATAAACTTGAGAGTTGAAGGCTTGTTCTTAAGTTCAGAGAATCTTTCACTTACCCTAGTAAACCTAGAGCTATCTGATCTAGTTGATTTCCAAGACGAAGAAGTTTCTTGCCTAGTCAACAATTCCAAATCAGATTTTTCAGGGGAACCGGGGATGTGGATACCCTTCAGTCCAACTTTAAGATACCGACATATCTTTGCGTAGATTGCAACTTGACCACCGTCCCCATTATTGGGACCAATGACAAGGACAATAAAAACATATTTGAAAATAACAATGAAAGTAAACAAGTAAAAGATTATTGAAATCCCACCCATAACATCCTCCTTGGTCATATTATTAGGATCTGGGTACTTGATTGAGTTCAACACGTAAAGTGGTGAAGTTCCGATATCACCATAAATGGCACCCAAAGTGCTGAACCCTAAAGTTAACACTTGACGAAGGGGCATCTTCTTTTGATGAACATCTTGGCTCTCAATGGTTCCGATCTCAATATCCTGGGATTCCTCATCACGTTCTGGATCCTTGACATTAAGCGTTCTTATCCTTCTTAATTGCTGCTCACTTTCATCGTCCCCTGTTGCCTCAACTTTGCCAGAATTGAATTCGGCAATGTCAGAATTTGCATCCAAATTCTCTAACCCCCGAGTTGTATCCTCTTGGGAATTGATCGAAGCCGCGTCATGGTTATTGACCATTTAATGGGATCGTGATTGAAATAATTCCAAAGAAGTTACAAAGAGAAGTAGTTTTTTGCAGCTAAAGCTTACTGAAACATTTTCAGAATTAGGGATTGATTTCCCATATAGAAACCACATCCAATTTATAGATGGTAAAATTTTTATCCATAGTCTGTCACGTTAAGCGCTAGATGCCTACTGTCTATGTTAATTTAGTTTAGTGGTGTAATGACTTTAGACAAATGAGAAGAAGGAATCACATTTGAAAATGCCTCAACTTTAAAACAATATGAAACGTGCAAACACACAAATATTCACCCAATGGGTCTCATATAACCCCACCTGCTCTCTCCTAACTTACGCTTATAGGGAAGCGGGCCAGAAAATTTTTTTTTAACGAGGATTGTTTACTTAACTAGACCTTTGCGACTGCGCCACTTGAAGGGAGATTTTCCATATGTGCTAAGCCAATTTCTTAGCTGCTTCACCAAAGCTTGCAAATCAAAACAACGCACCTTTAGTCTAAGAAGTCACTGAATTTATGTTCAGGTACATAACTAAAAGAATGCTAACCATTTTCTATCGCCTTTTATTCTCATTAGTAGTAATATTATCGACCATAATAAGTCGTTTCGTATTTTTCATGCGGAGAAGCTGTCAAATTTTATTTGAAAGGTTGGCATACGTCACCTCGAAATCTGATGCGCGCCACTTCATAGAAGATTGGAGATGTTGCTGCAGTTAACTTGAATTCCACATTGAGTGATTTTTATCGCAAGACCATTCAGTTAGTAGCAGTCAGACTAGCCAGGCACGACTACTGTTCGTTTGAGCTTATATGAGAAACTTGCTTGGTGAGGGATTTATTTCACTTGAGGAGAGGCTCTTGGGACCATCGAAAAAAAGTGAGGAAATGAATGGTACTGTGTTGCTACCAAATTTCACATTTTGCAACCAAACGACTTGACGTCATAGAGATGCTGAAAATTTACGTTTTTGTCCAAAAAAACTAGAACCAATCAAATAAATACCTCTTACGTAAATACGCTGAGTAAGTTAAAAAGTTTAAATACCTATTGTCTTTGACGTGGCAACAGTGATCCTCCTGCTCCTCCTCCTCATCTAAATCACATGCATTTTCGATATAACCTGGTAAAGACTAGTTTTGTTTAGATGTTGAAAAGTTTTTTTACTCGGAGAATCACGTGCCATCTTGAGATACAAAGTGCGTCAAACTTGGTGTCTTCTACAAGAAAATGCGTAATCTGTAAAAGAGAACTGCTTATAGCGCATAATCAATATTGATACCCACGCATTAAAAATATGATTGGCTAAATTTTTTGATTTTATGCATTCCATCTCTTGGTTCCTATTCACGTCATCAGCCGTGCTGCAAGACATTGAGAATGGTATGCAACCTTGATTGATGATTTAGTTACAAGAGGCGGCGTATAGAAGGTATTGCATACTTGGTAATTTGATATTAGCTCTACTTAAAGAAATCTCCTAATAAGAAGTACTGTTGAATAAACGTCATATACAGGTTAGGTCGGGGATATCCATTACCCTCGGGTTGATCTAGGACAACTTTAGAAGTAGTAGCAATGTTTAAGTCAACTACAATCTTACCCCAACTGACTAGACTTACTAAGATAGTGGAGAGAAGGAAAATTGATTACTAGATTCTGCAATAAAAGGAGGAGGATGTATTAATCAGAGAGTTCTAGTGGCTATACTTAAGGAGGTTGAAGTTGAGGAGGGTTTTAAATTATGAAGAAAGAGTGAGCCCAATTGGAATATAAATTGAGAAGTATTCCACCCATATTTAGAAATGTATAGTCTTAGATTTAAAGTATGTTTGGAAACATAATCTAAATATACGGTGTATACGAACCAAGTCGCACTTAGAAGGGAGTTGGTACATCTCAATCGGACTAAAACTATCACCAAGGTTTACTCAATCACCATCAATTATTGAATATAGCACTACCTAGGTACACACAGAGTCAACAAGTACTTGTCCTTTAGCTTCAGTTCGCATTTGAAGTGGCTTAAGGCGCAAAAATTCTTATGGAATTTGATCTAACTGAGCTACCAAAATCATCAGTGTTTTTGTGCAGACCAGTATTGGCTCATTCCATATCAGAGCCTCGTTATTATACAGCCCCCCTTCTTAATAAGGCGTCCAAACACTGCCCCAACTTACAGAATATTAACTCGCAAGTGTATACTTCATAGTGAAAAGCGTATACTCTACTGTACGCAAAGCTCCATGGTAAAACTATAGGTACATAAGTTATTGTTGGGAATGACAATAAATAGGGGAATTGAAACATTGTCATCAAAAGAGAAACATTCTACTCAAAAACCCTTGCATTGGGATCTAAGTTTTTGCAAGCAGACCTCGATTTGCTTTACGGGGATTGTAGCTCGGCTTTGATTAGGGGTGTGTAAAAATGAATTGTAAACCCTAGCACTTTAGGTATGCACTCCCTAATTGGTATATATCACCCCTTTTCGTGCCATCTGCGACCTCCCGAGCACAAGTGGCACAATCTGGAGTTCATAAAGCTTATGCAAGCTAAAAGAAAACGCAGTACTCATAAGACGGAAATATTGAACGGACACATTCTATAAAAGGCCACGACCTTACCCCTTCATCAGTCCTCAGCGTCAGTAATGATTTTCAGCAAATTTGTACATGTACAGTTGAACATCAATTGTTACCACATTTCAGTTATTTTGTTACATCTCGGGTTGCTTCAATGATTATTATGCGTACGAAACATCAAGGAATTATGTAACTAGGGTATCTACGATATCTCGCAATTTTATAGTTCCCATTATCCCTAATTTCATGTTTAAGCATTTCGTTGTTCAAGCTTTCCTAAAACAGCTCAATAAAATTGGAAACGTTGACTTGGTTTGCAATGTAGACTGTTGAAATTTGCGTTTTCTGTTTTCCCGACTTTTATTTTTGGACCCCGATAAACTAATCTTTCTAAACAGACATTTAAACTAAATCCAAACACTGTTTGACAATAAGGTGGTGTCATTTCCGTCATTTCTTTCTTGCTGATTCAGGCTGTTGTTTCTTTAGACGAAAGGCACGTTCTCTTTTGGGTAAAAACGTATGCTTCCCTGCATACATACGCAATTGTTGCATTTCAAATTGGGTCTTCTCACTTGTAAAGGAAGACTAAACAGTAAATATGTTCACCCTATAATGGTCCGAGCATTTTACTCGAACATGAATACCAACAAACTAAGGCCAAAGAATGCGTGACCTTCATTCCTTTAATCATTTTCTCCTACTATGCATAAATTATTTAGTAAGGGGTTGACCAGAATCCGTGACTCTTATATATAAGCTTCGAACTAAATCCTCATTTAATAAAATGACATAACGAGTTAACCGATGAAATATGAGTCCTTTCCTTAACAGATAGCCTTTTTTGCGTCACTGATTTTACTTATTACCTAATGAAGGGACTTGATGAAAAAGGATACTTCTCCTTCTTCTACAGAATTGAAATATTCTTTATTTCAATAGGAATTCGAATCCCGAAAAGAAATATGACCCAATTAAGTCTTCGTAATCACTCCCCGCCACTAGTCCTATGCGCCTGTTAACCTCCTCATTTTTGAATCCGTAGTAATAAACCTTGTTCTCTCTTCAGCATTATTCCCTTATCTAAACCACAATACTTTTAGGTGATCTTGTTAATTTTGCAGTTTATCCACATTCAATGATCTTGGTGGGTGTGTTTGTGGGTGCAAGAGAAGTTGTAATAATGTGCTGAATTTGTGTTCTAATGACCCTCAATGTTTTTTTTGTTCAAGGGAATGCAGATGCACAAATAAAACTCTTTTTTAAAGGTCAATACTTAATAAGTATGTAGTATTGTTTTTCCCAGTCAGACATATTTTCTTTAGAACTGATTTTACGGCAATATTGACAATTAAACATTAAAGATTGAATTGGTTTATACTTTACACTGTGAAGTTCAGTCACCTACATAACTTAAACCAAAGGATGAAAAGGGTGGTTAGCATTAGTGAGCGATTATATACAACCAATTCCGTCTATTTTAAGTGGCTTAGAAAGTTAAGGTAAATCAGGATTACTTGTCCACTTTATCACTAAAATGTCTGTGATTGTTACTATTGCTACAATACCATCTGCGAACCTATAATGTCAGGTATTTCATCCTTATTGGAAATATCAACAATAATAAACTCAAGAAGACACGGAAGTGTAGGAACATCTTTTGGTAGAGCCTTTGAACAAAAGCCAACCTTGTTATTAGTAAATAGGTGCGCTCGTCTTCAGCCAGTTTACCATAAAACGTCCAAATATGCATTAAGTGCTTAACTTGGTTAATAAAACTATGATTACTTGAATGGTATCATCTAGATCGAATTAGTATATAAAAGTTTTGTTGAATCAAGAAAAAGCCTTACTAATCGCTCTCAACCATGACATACGTAAAGGTTGAGTGTTGCTTGCAAGGTATTTGGAAAAAAAATAACAATAGCTAATATTCAAGCAAGCTACGGACCAATCTTCATTCTTGCGCCATTTTTGAACGATAATCAGTAGTGGGATGTGAAAATCTGGTTTTGAGTCCATGTTAATCTGTGCTTCCCAACGCAACTTTAACGCTAGGCTTGCAATAAGATCATTACACAAGTACGAAAGCGGCTGTGCAAGTTGGATCATAAACCGTCACACTGTACACTTTAAAGGATATTGTTTTTGCAACATTCTTACAGAAAATTCATGATTTTCTTTCATGAGTAAATCGTGATTTCAGTATTTAAAGACTAGCAATATCTAGTGCACCAAAACGGGTTACCATCAACTTTAACTTTCATTTGAGAGGTTCCATCAAACCTTTGGCCGACAATCAGAGTACTGCTTACTTTTTACCTCTGATCCTCTGATAAATTTTGTATTTAGGCTACCTCTAACTGTTTCAAGTCAAAAGCGACGACTAGCTATACCTTCAGCGGCATTGTGAACTCACAATATATTGAGTGCTATAGGTAGAACTTCAATTTCTACAAAAAAAACTCCATTGAGTTTTCAAAGAGTTCTGTTAGAACTTCCGATGTGCATATGCTGACTAGTTTGGAGTGTCGGACAAACTCTTATCATTATAATAGTTTTCCGAGGTGCAGGTGAAGAAAGTTCGTTGCACTAAGCTGCTTCTTTTCAGCTACGAAATATTCCTGTACCTAATAATCACCGATAGTTTCGCTAACATAGTTGCCACGAGAAAAGCCTAAAGCATGTTAAGCAAAAGATTCCACAGGCTGTTTTATGTGTTCGTGCATAAACTTTCTTCTCTCCCCTTACCCCCCTATTATAATCATACCTTCTCTGTAAAGCAGCAAAACTTTATCGTTCGCGCAGGTCCGATAGGATACTTATTAAGGCTAATTGAATCTGTACTTAGGTTGGTAGATTTAATTAACCACGTCCCAAGTCCAGACAATTGATGAAGAAAAAAATGCAATAATCTAGCCTTCTCGGGGAAATGTTCATCGACGTTTAAGTGGCTTTTCAGCTTCATTTCTTCGCCGCCCTCGCGCCCCCACAGATAATACCATGCAGGTGACATATGTGTTATTTTCATGCATAGAGAGTTCAATGGTAGCTCAAAAAAATGGCACTAATTTCCTTGTTAGGTTCCCTTGAGACACCGGCTGGCTTAAAATAGGTAGCACTTACATAACCACCATGTCTAGGACAAATCATTAAATTTACTTTTGGCCGGGAAGAGCCCCCCCGAAGCAAAACTGCAGTAAGAATTATCCTGTAGAAATAAAAGACAAGTTAAGCTTCTTTAGTAACAAGTTACGAAGTGGTTGTTTGTAAACACGAATTAGTTTCTAAGCGATGGATTGATCCAAAATGGATGGATTGTACATAGATGAATTAGTAAACTCATATCTGGTGTTCGTAAACCAAGGATAAGTAAAGCAATAATTATCCCTAATGTAAACTAACACCATATAATATAAACTAACACCATATAGCATATTCCGGTCAAAATTGACTCCGGTCTTGTATTATTTCTTTTAGCCTCAGGTGCTTCAACACAAAATCAAGTTATTGTAATACACCTAGTTTTCATTATCCGTTTACGTTGATCCGTGGGGCCTTTTGTTCAGAAATGGTGTAATATTAACACCGAAGGTCGCATTACAAGAGGAACGAATTTGTTTTATTGCGTTCTGCGGTATGTATTTTGGTTCTTTGGTCAACTCAGAAGTGAATAGCATCAACTTTGCTTCCCATTAGTAGCCCTAGCTCCGGTAGTTGCAAGCCCTCCGTTTTGTTTTGTGTTCAGATGAAGCGTCAGTATTCTTTGTTTTCAAGCATTACATTGTGATTGCCGAGCTTAAATATTAAGCCATAATCGTTAAATCATTTTGTTAAGAGGTACACACAAACGAACACTTTATGTAACATGGAAAAGCTCGTACGCCATCTACAATCTCATTCAGTTTAGTTAATTTTAAAACTTCTCATAAATAATTAATAAACGACATTGCAACACAATCTGACAGGAGAGAAAGTTGCAATCCACAAGCCAATCACTTTGATATGTATTCTTCATCGATCCAGGCAAAGCATTGATCTGAATTTGTTGAAAATGAACTGGAATGTCCCCCCTGTACAGCAGCCCAAAATCAACTTGAAGGGGTTTAGATATCAGTATTAATGAATCAGTAAAAGGTATTTAGCTTGTATTTATTGACCCCTTTTGAATCAAAATCTTCCGTAGTTACAACTCTTTCTTTTTATGTATAGAAAATTGGCCCCAAAGCCTAAAAATACTCTCCAAAAAAATAATGTTATATATATACTTTTTCAGAATTAAAATTATTAACAGCATTTAAAGACTTAGAAAGATATAAAATTTTATAACTTTCCATTAAATATAACTGAGCTAAACAACAAGCAGCATAAGTTTTTCCAGTACCAAGTTCATTATTGATAGCTTTTTTTCTTGCGTTATTAACATGTGAAAGATGCTACTTTCGTTTGAAACTAATAGTTTTCTTTTTATTTTGTAGATGCATTAGCAATACGCATTCATCAGTTCTTGGTTAGGAATCTTTAAAATTTGAATTCTTATTCAGCTTCACTTATATTTGACATAGCAACTAACCAAGTGCTTTCTTAACACTCTTCACCCAGATCGAAATCCACTTAAGTTAGAGTGATTCGGGTTCGGATTTAGGATCATCTTTTGGAAATTTCTTGCCTTTATTTTAATTCAAACAGATATCTCGATGGTTAATAAGACTTTTTGATCAATTGTTCAGCCATTGGTATCAAAAAGGCTTTAGTCTTTGCTAAACTTTTCAAACTTCGACAATTTCAGGCCTCGTGAATCAAAGTAGACCGAGTGCTGGAAATTCTACCAGCCATTCGTAACCCCTATGAGTAAATTTTATGACTTATTTTTATCACTGAAAGCAGATGACCAATCAAAATCGCCTAACTGATAAAATAACAACGGAACGAAAACTGCTCCTTCTAATGATATTTGCTATTACTCCGTGAAAATTCGTTGTATCTTTGTATCATGCCCGAATTATGTGAAATGGATAATGAATGATCGTCTACTAGATTGATTTCTTCTGTTCAATGTTAATAAGGAGAATACCCGAAAAATGATAGTTATACTCAACATTCGTGTTTACAAACATTCGTATTTAATCTCTCTGGAATTTGGTGGAGCAACAGATTTTAAAATCCCCTTTATGACACTATTCGTACGTCTCCAGAAGGCCATTATGGTGATCTCATATCTAGTATATGCTGTTCATGTCGAACTCGAAAATGACACCGCAGAATAACTGAGTGTATTCGATTTATTTGAAGTTCGAAGTCTTTTTTCCTTTACAATTGTTCCCTTTCAGGTTAATGGTTCAGTTATAGTAAGCCATCGTTCTTTAAGGAAAAAATTTCTAGGGAAACCTCTCTGTATTAAATTAAAAAAAAAACTCTTTACAAGTAACTTCAATGAATGCTTGAATGTCTTTGCACTTTATTGAAACCTCCAAATCATTTTCTTTTAGGTAGCCAGTGGTTGTGTATACAGAATTATGTTTATCCTTACTGGATCACTAGATCCATATTCCTGACAAGACTTTGTGGCTTTTTTGAGTCTACAGTCAGTTTCTCCAAAACCTTATTTGTTTGCAGATATGTTTTTGTCGGTGCATATTTTTGTCTGTACGTTTTGTTGTGTACCTGCATGGCCCACATTTTGTCTGCCTACTATTTCATCCAGCGTCAACCTTTCTCAACACCAGGATACGACCTTTGCACACATGGTTGCCATTCGATATATATAGATTCTACTTTCTTTCAGTTTTCTACGCTCACCAAAATTTTGTTTTTGGATTTTCCGTTTCTTCATCTTTGCCTTTACCTCCGCTCATCAACACATCTGTCGGTTTTACGGCAAGAGACTTTCTGGCTATTTGTGCGTTTTATTTCTTCATACGTACTTCAATTGCCGAACTACTTTTTTCTTTTTCTCTCATACAGTCCCCTACTCGGTTTTTGAGACAACTACAAAAATCAGTAGTCTGGCTGCTTTTTGCGGTGGGTGCAATCCTTTATTGATACTTCGTTTTTGTTAGATATATATCGGGAACGATCGTGAATTTTGCTTCGCAACTTTAAAGCAACCTTGCCAATTATCGACCTGGGTTTGCTATAGTTGTTGATCACGACAAATTAATAGTATATATGGCACTCCTAAGTATATATACTTTGATTGGTTATTCATTCAACCAGACCTAAGAGTCTTGAGCATCCCTCCAGTTGCACCCTTAACTTAATCAGCGGGAACCACTTTTCTATTTCAGCAGTTAGAGAGCAAATATCCATATTGCATAGGGTACAGTTCATTTGAGGTATTAAGTCGGCATTTGACCCTATTCCACTCCTCATTACATACCAGACGTCATTTTGATAATTTGTTTCTAATTGGAAAATTGCACTTTTTAAGAACCACCCATCTCACACTTTCCTTGTTGTGAGTACTTTCATTTCTATATAACATCAAGCAACCCCCCATTGATTATTTATATTATTGTATGGGCCACTGTTTTTACTTCATTAATTTCATTCATATATTTGCTCCCCCAATTACCGTTTCTTTTAGGTAATTTTCTAGCATCCTGCAACTTCATAAATTTAGCCTCCACTACATGACAGGGTCACAATGTCGCAATATCAATACTCGAATCAAATAAAGCCCACTACACATTCGGCTCATGCTGATCCTAGTATTAATTCAAGGGGATACACTGGTGACTCCTCTTGCAGAACATTAAACACTGCTCCAGAAAATCTGTCAGTAAATGGATCTATTTTATTTCAGAGTGGAGTGATTTCAAATCAAACAGCAAATACACCAACTATTCCTTCTGTTCCTACGTTGGGCGTTCCTGTGCCATCAATAACACCGTCTCAACCGGGTCTCAATACAAAACATTCTACAATAGGATTACTGACAGGCGATAATCCAAACCTTGCCTCCTTTCCTAGTGCTTCAGGTTCTTCAATGACTTCTTTGCAGCCTACCTACCCAGCACTGCCCTTTATTTATAGAAATAGTGGGAATGCACTTGATCCAAAACCTACGCCCAGCGCAAATGTGAGTTCGTCTGAAATAACCCTCTCCATTCCAGATCAACTGCAGCAACAACTGCAAACCTATGGATATCCTCAAAATGGACCATATAGTATACAACAAAAACATCAACATATCAAACAACCGTCATATCAAGATCATCAAACTCGGCAGCAATCTCCTACCCAACAAATAATGTCAACCATCCCACCTCAAATACCAGACAATGTTCTGAGAAAGCCAAATATACCTGGAACAGAGCAACCAGATGTCGATTGGAATAATCCTGAAAATTATAATTCTCAGCCTAATACTGATTCTAAACGGCCAGGGGGACTGGTTCTCCCTAATAGGCATTATTCTCTTCCACAGAGCAATGTTGGTACAGCATATATTAATAGTGGTCAAGTTCCTGGCTCTACACTTTCATCAACATCATATCCTTCGAGTGCAAGGGGCTATCCTGTTGGAAGTGCATCAACGGGATTTGGTTATGATATTAACAAACCATCATATTATTACGACTCGAACTCGGTTCATCAACAACAAGCACAGACACAGCAACAGTATTATAGTTATCATGCCCCTCCTGCTGATTCAGATAGTTATCTGGTTCCCCAACCAATCGTCAATGGTCTTCCACAGCAACAACAACAAGTTGTTCAGGAACAAAACACCACGCAACACAATGTAAACCAATCACCTAAAACTTTTCAAGGGTATAATGATTACAAGTATAACATTTATCAAGGTTCCAATGGTGGAAATGCATATGGGGCATATTATCCAGATATGCCAGATCGTACAAGGGTGGCCAATTCCTTGCTGTACAACTTAACAGGTGAAGCTAATTCTGCTCATTATGCTCAACCAGCGGAATATGAGGCCGCACCACCGAACAATTCGGTTATGTTTAATACTCATTATGCAATATCCATGCAATACCCCAATCAAGAATACCTGCATCATCTTCCTCATCAAAAAGAACCGCAATCGCCTAAAAGGTTTAGACCAAGGAAAAGTATAGAAGGAAAGCAAATGCCTATGTCTCGAGCATCAAACTCTGTGAGTTTGTTGGTGCAAGAATGGTTTGTGATTGAACCTACTATTGAACAACGAGAAAAGATGTTCAGTAATAAGTGGCGATTGGGAACAACGGAAACTTCATATTTCAATAAAAGAAAGAGAGCCATTGGAGTTATTCATAATGTTGAAAAGCAGTTTCCTAATCTAAATAAATTTCAAATTGCAAAGTACATTGATGACTATTTAAAGGTGAAAAAGTTCAAATATCCACAGTTTATTTCCCATATTCAAACAGTGGTTCAACGTCAACAATGTGAAAGAGAGATTCTTGAATATATCAGAAATGAGTTAGACAAAGCTTAGGAAACAGAATATTTTATTCGTTCGTTTTGTATTAGTATTAGTATAGCACTTTTAGAGGAGATAAGAACCAGGCTGAATCTGATTTTCTGTTCAATAATTCATGATAATTCTCGAGAAGCAAAACCTCCAAGGCTAATAACAACTTCCTTGCAGTTATGTAAATAATAAATGTATTGTATTATCTTTTTTTCAGGCGTAAAGTTCTTGAACAAACCACAATGTTTTTGGAAGATGGCTTAAAGGTTAAGCCATTTTATTTTGCCGAATACTGCTAACTGGTTCAAAATCTTAACTAAAGAGGTCCTCTTTTATTATCACCGAATTATCCTTTAAAACTTTACGTTCTTGCTCTATTAATCCTTGTTAAATATAAAGAGCCCTAATGGTTTGACACTATTGAATCGTAATAGTATAATGTCAATGGTTAGGAGACTTTCAAATACATGATGCTTCGTGGCGTTGCTAACGCATGTACATTATTAGCAATAATGCCCTAGTCTATTGAGAGCACTGGAGGGTCCCCTTAAAATTTCCTTCTTGAACAGAAGCTTTAAGTGTCAACCATTGTCAGTAATATATCCCTGTAACAATATAGAGCCAAAAGTAGATCACGAATTGGATGAATGCAAACAGAAGAAGCCTAACCAACTCAAAGTTAATTATCAAGACTGAAATCAATCTATGACAAGTGTATTGAATGCTTGCTAATTTGAAGCACCTAAAATCAGTTGCTTATTCAGGCTCTTAGTCTGGAGGAGCTATTTTGGATACTTTTGGATCTTCCATGTAGAATTGTTCCGTTTTCAATGTGCATTTATAATAACGATGACATTCTGAAGAATTAACTTTTGGCTGCAGGTATTCAGTACAACAGATAATAAAGCTAAGCGTACCAGACATGAATTTAGCAATGCATGGATAGAATATAGTGGGAATATCATCTACACCCCCACGAGGGCTCCTAATCAATTAAAATTTAATCATTATAAACCCGTTAAACAACCAATATTCACCGGCCATTAAGGTCAAAGCTACTATGCTCCCATCTGTTTCAAAAATCTATGGTTGTTAGAAAATGATGTTGCAGCAAAGAGAGCCCAGTGATTTCCAAATGTTAACTCAAAGTTCTAGAACAGAGTGCAAAGTAAAAAAAAGCTGGCTAATAGTTTGGGCCTTGAGTACGGAATATAATTGATGTATTCAAGTAATCCAACATCAATGTCTTAAATGCTGCAACTTTTACCAAAAAAATTAGAATAGGTTGTTGTGACATTTTTTATTAGTGACTGTAGCTTGGTGTACCTTTCAACCGAGTAATTACTATTTTAAAGTGTCACTGACCGCATTAATAATGAACAACTTCATCCACTCGAGAAAGAAGGCATCGTGGGTAGTACCAGGATAGTAGACAATTCTTGCACTGTCGATCATTAGTTGGGAGTCAGGTTGGATGGGCTTGCAAGGCCATTGAATTTCAAATAGTCCCAGTTTAGTTTAAAACCACATCTGAACCTATTTCATTAACCTATGATGTGTGTCAGACTTTGAAATTCTAAGGAAGTTGCATGAAACAAAGGCATAACACTTTTATGTACTTAAGAAGCTCCTCGTGTCTTCATTCTCATATCAGGTGTTAACCTTTGCTTAATTTTACTTTAGACCACTTTGTTAGATCTTCTGCCTAAACACCGGAACACCCTTACCATCGAACTTGGTTTTCAAGCCACTTGAAGAAGAATAGTACCAATATTCCAATCAACGTAAAATTATTAAAGAATAAAGCATTCTATGTCGCTGAAGAGTATGTTGATTATGGCTAAGGTTATAGATAGAATCCTTTGTCTTTTCAAAAAAACTACTGAATTAACTTGGCCCCAGCTTACAGAGCTTGTTTAGACTAGGAAATAATTGACCGCCTCTTGGCATATGTAGCCCCCTTTTCTTGTTGTGACGATATAATAATATCTCTTTTGTTGAGCGGTAGAGAAAAACAATTTAATGATGAAAATAAATATACTAGTTTTACATTAATGACCAAAATTCAAGAACTGGAAGGGCTCAGAGCACTTTAAAACGATTTTTGGATTCACCTGCCATTAAATTTATGGTTTAACATTATCTTATAGGACTCTCTACCATTGAGAATCAGTGATTTTTTGCTGGATATGATGAGATGTGGTGACTGTTGCAACTCAGGATTCTTCTGGGCTTTTTTTTGAAGCATTCCATTCGTAACGCAGAAATTATGATGCGTTTACAGTGGTAGCAGCAAATGCTTCTAATCACTTCAATAGTCAATACTACTTTTTGTTTTGTGTTTGTTGTAAGTTACCTTATACCATTCTGAACTATACATGTTGAATCTTTAACGCTATTTGTTGATTATCGTAGCTTGTGAGTAGTAGTTGGTGTGGTCCAACGTCACTTCTAATTGGTGGTACTTGAATTACACATTTGCTGTCTTGAATATGACCTTATATATATAGCCTATCAAGTTTGTAAATAGGTTATTGGTCATTAGATTTACCTTTGGAAGTGAAGCTACTGATTTATAGTTTTGTTTTTGTTCTTCAAAAGTTTTCATTCAACTTAATGTTGAGAGCTTTGATTAAGTCTCATGATTCAAAAAGTGGCTCTTGAACTTCTAATGTTGTTGGCAAGGATTCTATCACAAATATTTGAGGGACAAGTAACTACATATTACAACCTAAGCTTAAAATGGAGGTTGAAAAAGTCGAAAGTGCATCAATGATTGTACAATAAGAAGCAAATCTAAAATGTGCTCTGACAAATACTACAAGGTATTGTCAGAAAAAGATAGAAGATATTGGAAAACATTTTCTTTTTGATTTTATTTGCAAGCTCTGTAAAGCCTATACAGATTACTGACAATCCTAAGACTTTGATTCTAAAATCCCTGAAGATAAATTTGCAATTTTGCAGCTTGAATGCTTGAAAGTAAATAAAATTGTAACAGCAATAATGACCAAAATTGTCTATCCTGGGTCGCTCAATGAAACAAATGAAGGCACAAGGCCTAATGAAAAGGAGAAATAAGGTAAAGAAACTTTTGCTACCAGTATTATTTGATTATTACTAAACTCGCCCACATGGTTTCTTCAACATAAGCATTAGATCTCGGTTTTGATGGATACCACCCCTTAAGTCCTTCTCAAAGATACATTATCAACTCGATACCCTATGAATTCGATACAATAAGCCTTCAAGGGAAGCCAGACATTAATGACTTTTATATAAAAAATACTAGCAAACGTTAAGAAGCTCCGGTTGATAGCCCTTGTCCAAGATTGACGTCAAATTATGGTTATAATACAATTCAGAATCTTCCCAATATCCTAACCGTCCACATCATTGAAAATATTCATCCTAGCAGCAGAATAGTATTTCTTATGGTTTTATTGGACTTGGGATGCAATGACGGATATTGTATCAATATAAACATTTTTGACATACACAATTACTAATGCTAACTTTCCTTTATATTTACACGACAATAATCAATTGCAGTTGCTAACTACCACAGTAGGAATGCCAACAAAAGCCAACAATACAAGAGGCAGCACAGAACAGCTGTGGTACCCTTGTATCTGTAATAAATTAAGAACTTTCAAATCAACTGCAAGAACAGAAATGTCCATGTACTTCACTTATAATTCGCGTTGGAGCCTACACGCAAACTGTTGCCCATTATTGTCTAGTAACCTAGACAGGGCTTTTGTTACATGGAGCTAAATCTTACTAGCTACTAAAAGACCCATTTGTGATCCCTGGTCAGTTGATTATTGAACAGGCTGCATTTTCGTAAGCTACCTTAGAAGACCCTTTATGGACGACAGTAACCATAAGGTATATTACATAATAATTCATCATACAATTCCACATCTTGTTCTAGTTAACTTTAATATGTTTTTCTATCCTTCCTCGCATTATAGCTGTCAGTTGTCATGCACTCCGTGCTAATTCAGTTGCCAAAATGCCGATGAACAAACATAAGTTTTGTGGGCTTTGCAAGTTGGAACTAGTATGGGCAAAATGGAGGCCTTGAATTTTCAACTGTCTGATCCGACACTAATTGCAAGACAATGCAGTCAGGCATTCGATATTTTTTCTTATGAGAGCATTCTCATTATCCGACATGCGTTATTGTTACCATGTACTCTGTTTGTGTCAGAAATGTACTGGTTACCGTAACGGCAGACACATGCTAGTACAATTTAAGGTTATGGTGCTAATGAGCTGCACCCTTGACCAAGCTGAGCTGAGTCATGGAATAATCAATATAACACACTCATGATTCCAAAATTGAAACGCGGCTTAGATACCTCGGTGAATAGTGGTGTCTACGTAAACGTCAACCAAATCGGGAATGAATGCCAAAGCTCCGAGGCTCTTCGCTTCCACTACAAGGTAGCAGTCAAACTAATGGGTGTGGTTTGAAGTCTAAGACATTTGCCAAAACTCAAAGGCACCATTCAACAAGATATCTAATTGTTTGATAAGCGCAAATGTTGTAATTAGGGGGTGCATACGGTGCAAAATGAAATTGTTTTTGGTGAAAGATATTACGAAGCGTCACTTAGAATCTGACCTACTTATGTTAGTTGTCATTGAAAATAATAACAGGTAATTCCGTAGGTGCATAGAAACAAGGCATCTTTGCGTTTTAAAGCGACGGAAACACCATTTAGGTGATTGGGGGGCGGCTAGCTAGTCCCCCACAACAGGTATCAATATCGCTAGTTTTATAATAGGCGATTGCAATAAAAATTTCTGAACCTTTCGAGAAGGAAGTAAGTTATAGTTATTAGACACCTTTTGCAAGTCTTAATGTTAGAAGTTTACAATAAAGCTATACATTGGTAATTACTATTGTTATCTATGAAGCAGGATTGACTTTTAGTAGTTAATTTTCATTTTATTTAGTCAAGTTAATACGGTTCTTGAAATGTATCTGTAAATACTAAATTAACACGGTTACGGTTATTGAATTATTTGGATTAACGTATTTATTGACTTAGCTTTGACTGTAAGAGGCTTAAATAAACTTCAATTCCCTGTGTATTTGACGGAAGCATAGTGATATATATCAAGCATTACTTTTGCATGCTTCAGCCATCAGACTAAAAGTGACAATAGTTGTGATTTTATCAACTCTCTCAAAACTCCATAGGTAAAATTATTCATTCATTAAAGAAATGGATCATCTACAAGCTGTAAGCTGTAAATGGCTGCAATTTGTTGTTGATAGTAAAAGTTTACTTGCAGTATTACGACTTTTCCGATACTTATAGCTCTTTCCGGTCGGAAACTTGGCTTTTGGAGATTTCTGCCTACTTTTAATGCTAAAAACAGATGCAGTCTATCTCATTTTAAAAACTCATTCAAACCACATCAGAAGTTATCAATACACCGGAGACCTCCCTATGAGATCGTGACCAAGCTTCCAAACGAAGAATCAAGGTGCTTCAAATCAGTCGACTTTTTTTATAAATTACCTTTCATCTTATAGCATACTTGTTAAGGGTCATTTAATATCGGAATTGTCGTCAATCAAGCTCATTGATATCATTCACATTCGTTCAATGATAATAAAAAAGAGCGGGGGCTGAAGATTTGGAGAACAGACAAGAGGCTGAGAATTCTATATTCGTTGTTGATAAATGGAGAGAATTTCATTATGAAAACCCAAACTCCACTGAATTGATTAAAATCATTATGCCTTTGAAAAGAAGAGAATAATCACTTGTCTGGTTTCAAAAGACGCACCGTAACGTAGTTTGCTAGTTGAATGTTATTAGTGAATTTGGTTGCCCACGGGTTGTTTGAACATCGCTCGCGTAGCGTTGGCAATGAATAGGTCCTTAGTATTATGCCTCCTGAGATGAAGCGGCCATCATTATCTATTTATGCCATCATTTCATTCGCTTGGTTTGGGTAAATCCTGCGTTAGCAAACGGAGCCTTCCACAATTTATAACTATTTTGGATATCACACTTAACAGGCAATGGAAATAGAACCACTAAGCAGTACCTGACTGTTTGGAAACGAAACTAATAATTTATCCTTCAGAATCTTCAACAAGAAAGTATGCTATAAACATTTGAAATGATAATCCAGTTAGAACTGGACGGTAGCGAACTATCTTCAGCAAACGTATAAGCATTAATTTTGTAAAATATGAAGTAGCCAATTCTGTATTTCTTTTTCCTGTTGGTTAGACTAAGGCATTCAATTGAATTCCTATCTATTGTAATTTGCTGTAATTAACACCTTTACGAATCAAAGGTCACACGTAATTTTCTTTATTCAGGCATTACCAGACAAAAACAGAAACTGTTTTCACCTAGGAATATCTCGTAAGCATAAATTCTAATCATACTAATTTGTATTAAGCTATCTATTGCTTCAAATCGAATGTTAAAGCTGGAACCGAAAGGAACGTTGTTAATCCAATAGAACTTCAACGGTAAAAGGGCAAAATTGCAACAGTTTCATTGTGTGCAGGAGCCTATAGTGTGACATTTTCTGTATATTTATCATACAAACATTCTTACACCCCCTTCAAAATCCAAAAGAACAGAAAACTCGATTGCGGTATTGGATATATATGGAGTATAATTGAAGCTATCACCTTTGACTAGTAATCAAGTTTACTGCTATGCGACTTTGTTACTTGAATAATATCAATAATAGTTTGTGATGAATGATTGATCTCTCGAATGTTTGAATTAAGCCCGAACAACCTAAAGAATAGGGGTTGCGCTGCTAGAGATTTGTTCTCAGGTGTTTCCAATGATTAACTTATTATATTATTCTCTTCATTCAGAAGACGCAACTCTGGGGCAAGATATAATCAAGTTGGGGCTATCATCTCGTCCGGCAAATGGAAGACCAATTAAATTTTGCAAGAAGGCGAAAGAATATTGCAGTCAATAAGGGTCCATATCAGACACAAATGTCAAAATGTTTGTTGTTGAAGTTGAAGGATTGTTGTGGTGATGTGTGTTAAAGTATGTCACTCGTATTGCGTCATGTAAGGGGCGTATCAAGTTACGAATTATGATGGAAAACTTTTGGGGGTTATTGATGCACCTCACATTTAATGCAACACATAGTCCTGGGATAGTATAGCCAGCAGATTGGGCTAAATTGACTTTTAATATGAAAGTTTATTGTTATTAAGGAAATGCAATGGGCCACAATCCCAGCAAAAAGTAGCAACACTCGTTCTAGTTCTGCGGTTGATCACTACTAAAGCAACTGTTATTTTGCTGCGAGGATCATCTCCATGGGTCGACAGTTTAATTTGACAGTCATCATTAGATCCACTAAAGTAGAGGTTCTAAATATGTGTTTGTGCGAGTTAAGCATGACCAGATGTACTTTGCAGATTTTGCGACATTGATATAACCCGTTGTGCATGATTAACTTCACTATTTTTTCTTCGATTGACAGATATAATGACAAATAACAAGCACTTTGCAGCATCCTAGTATTTTTATCCGGTAGTGTATGTTTTATAAGCCCTTGGATTTTAGCATTCAATGCTTCACGACATTTTATTGGTCCAGTATGTGACGTTATGCTTTGCATTGTTTATGGTTGCAGTATCGAGCACGAATTATGGACAGCACGTATGAAATGAAGATTATTCATTACGACCCCTGTCAGACGTATATAAAAATCTTAGAGATTGATGTGGACAAAGGTTATTGCACCCTTTGAAAGCCTACACATTAAACGAAATAGGTGCGGGAATCAAATTCAGAAAACTTCAAGTAAAGTCAAACATTCAAGTTTAATTTGTTCAAATTAAATGCATCAAGACTTCCTATAGGTAAAAATGAGTTAGGGAGGGACGTTCGGTGTTGATTGAGCTTAAAAAGTGATTCCCATTGTTATTGACCCATAGAGAGACAGAAAGAGATTTACATCAACGGTATTCCAAAGTGTTGCGATTTGTTCATATTAGTTTGCCCTTGCAAAATAAATTATCTAAATGGAATGAGCACTTGTATATTATGGTGTTGTTTGGGTGTTAAAGAAAAGCTTTAATCTTCAAGATGTCTTTGGACTGGTTCGCAGGGTAGAGGAATCTCATTTTGAGTAGTCATGTTAACCCCGCTTGCATTTTATAGCTTGGGTTTTCATTGTCTCATACGCTATTGAAGGCTAAATTACTTTCTATTCACCATGTAAAGCGTTATGAATTGCGTTTACTGTGAAGAAAGTAAATCAGAGAAACAACCCCCAAAAAAAATATAGTTAGGCCATCCAATGATAAAACCAAAGTCCGCCGACAAATCATTTGGGATCTCTGACCGCTAGAGTATTATTTTTTTTATTGAGCTGATTTCAACAATCTCATTGACATGGATACTTATTGTGTCAGACATAGTTATAATAACGTTTGTGTTCTTGTGTTACTACGTTATTTGCAAGACCACCATAAAACTCCCGTCAAGTCGCCTTCTTATTAAAAGTGATGGGTAGGAATCATTGTCCCTAAAGAAAGCCTCCAAAGTAAATCAATAACGCCATCCAAGTGTCAGGTATGCGATAACCTTCAATTTCGGGAATAGCAAGCACCTGTTGGACCAGCCTGTAGCAAACAAGCGGCACAAGTTGAAAAAACCGTATCTAAATAACAATCAGAACGGCTGACTTGGCTAGAACTACACCAGCTACAATGTGGATATATTTAATAGGATATCTTGATGCAGTATGCTGATACAAAAGGTTGCTCACTTTTCCCAATAATTCAGTCCCTGTTTTATCTTGTTCACTCCAACACATAAATAACGTCGATGTGCTTAATCAAGATCACAATTTTAAAGAAACACCTTCCGACCTTCGGAAGCAAATATTTCGATCATGGTAGTCCAGCATACTACTTGATTACTACACTTTGTGAAGCAAGAAGTATTCGAATACGACATTGTTCAATTAAACTCTTATTTTATACTGTGTGTAGTCATCAGTGGCTGTTTCTTTGTGTTTGTCTGAGTTGCATGGCTTCATTATGCTAAGAACCTACATCAAAGAAACAACATAAACCCTAAATCAAATCTCCTGTATATAGCTAAGTTACAAGATCACGTGTATAGTCACGTTACATCGGTTAAAAGTGTTTATATAATGTTCAATAAATCATGATATTTGAATATATACATACAATGAAATATCTATACCCTCACAACACGTCAATCTAAAGACACGAAACAAAGAGATGCATACATATAACGAATAATAATAAAATAACTGGACTAATGAGGATTTAAATCCAAATTGATCAAGTAAAAGCAATGTAATTCATGTTCAGCCAACAATATTTCTCAGCAGCTTACTTAGAACCCATCTTGTTCAAAGCAGAACCGTACTTGAACCATTCAATTTGTTCGTTGTTGAAAGTATGAGTTAATTCAATGTCGAAAGCTTCGGCACCAGAAGCTGGGTGAACTCTCAAGGTCAAGTTCTTACCTGGAGCCAAAGTAGTCAAACCGAGCAAGTCAACTTCATCTTGTGGGTCAATCTTGTCATAGTCAGCAGCGTTCTTAAAGTTCAATGGCAACATACCTTGCTTCTTCAAGTTAGTTTCGTGAATACGAGCAAATGACTTGGTAATGACAGCAAAACCACCGAGGAATCTTGGTTCCAAAGCAGCGTGTTCTCTAGAAGAACCTTCACCAAAGTTTTCGTCACCAATAACAACCCATTTCTTACCAGAGTCTCTGTAAGCAGCAGCAGTTTCTGGAACACCATCGTAAACACCAGTGTAGTGGTTCTTAACCTTGTTGGCTTCACCATTTTCAGCGTTGATAGCACCAATCATATAGTTGTTAGAAATGTTTTCCAAGTGACCTCTGTACTTCAACCAAGGACCAGCCATAGAAATGTGATCAGTGGTGGTCTTACCCTTGGCCTTAATCAAAATTGGCAATCTTTCAGCATCCTTACCATCCCATGGCTTGAAAGGAGTCAACTTTTGTAATCTGTCGGAGGTTGGTTCAATGACAACACTGACAGAAGCACGGTCAGCAGGAGGAGCTTGGTAAGTGTTTTCACCTGCATCGTAACCCTTTGGTGGTAAACCAAGACCAACAGGTTCAGCCAACTTGAATTCGTTTCCATTAGCATCCTTCAAGGAGTCAGTGATAGGGTTGAAACCCAAGTCACCAGTGATGGCGTAAACAGTGGTCATTTCAGGAGATGCAACGAATGCATGAGTAGCTGGGTTACCATCGTTTCTGGAAGTGAAGTTTCTGTTGAAGGAAGTAACAATGGTATTCTTGTCACCCTTCTTGATGTCTTGTCTGTCCCATTGACCAATACATGGACCACAAGCGTTAGCCATGACAACACCACCGAAATCTTCAAAAGTCTTCAATTGACCATCTCTTTCAATAGTAGCTCTAACTTGTTCGGAACCTGGAGAGATGGTGTAAATAGCCTTGGACTTCAAACCATGAGCACCGGCATCTTCAATGATAGAAGCAGCTCTGGTCATATCTTCGTAAGAAGAGTTGGTACAAGAACCAATCAAACCAACCTTAACTTCCAATGGCCAGCCGTTGGCAATAGCGGTTTCTCTCATCTTGGAGATAGGAGTAGCTAAATCTGGAGTGAATGGACCGTTAACGTGAGGTTCCAAAGTGTTCAAATCAATTTCAATAACGTCATCGTATTCACAGCCTTCATCAGCCTTCAAGAAGTCCTTGGAGTACAATTGAGCAAATTGAGCAATTTCAGATCTACCAGTAGCGTTCAAGTAGTCAGTCATTGAAGCGTTGAATGGGAAAACTGAGGTAGTGGCACCAATTTCAGCACCCATATTACAGATAGTACCCATACCAGTACAGGAGAAGGTCTCAACACCATCACCAAAGTATTCGACAATGTAACCGGTACCACCCTTGACAGTAGTAATACCAGCAAGCTTCAAGATAATATCCTTAGGAGAAGTCCAACCAGACATCTTACCGGTCAACTTAACACCCAAAATCTTAGGAGCCTTCAATTCCCATGGCAAACCAGCCATGACATCGACAGCATCGGCACCACCGACACCAATAGCCAATTGACCCAAACCACCAGCGTTAGGAGTGTGGGAATCGGTACCAATCAAAAGAGCACCTGGGAAAGCATAGTTTTCCAAGACAATTTGATGGATAATACCGGAACCTGGTTTCCAGAAACCCAAGTTGTATTTAGCACAAGCAGAAGACAAAAAGTCGTAAACTTCCTTGTTTAAGTCAATGGCTCTTGCCAAATCCTTTTTACCACCAACTTGAGCTTGAATCAAATGATCACAGTGGACAGTAGATGGAGTAGCAACTTCAGGCATGTTAGCAGACATAAATTGCAAAATAGCCATTTGAGCGGTAGCATCTTGACAAGCAACTCTATCGGGTCTCAACTTCAAATAAGAAACACCTCTTTCAATTTCTTGTCCATGAGGATCATCCAAATGACCGTACAACAACTTTTCAGCATAAGTCAAAGGTCTGTTCAATCTGTTCTTAACGATTTCAACATTTTCCAAGTTCTTCTTGTAGTTGATGAAGGAGTGAGCTTCCAACAAATTTTGGTTAACCTTGGAATCTCTGGTTAAAGCGGCAGTAGCCAATCCACGCGCAGAACGAACGTTCGTTCTAGCAATTCTGGAAGCAGACAACATCACGTTTCTTCGTATAGTCGACTGGTGTTACAGAATACAAACAAGAGAAAGAGAAATTGAAACTTTTTCCTCCTGGACCAGAAGTGCGACAATTGCTTTGGTATTTATATTGATTTCGTCCAACCACAAAAAAATTCTCCCCACGATTGAGTCGGTTATCAACATCAATTGGCAAGTTGCGCCCATTAGGGCAACACTTTAATGTATATACACTTGGCGTGGGTGAACTGGAGGAGGCTACTGCGTAATACTAAACTACAATACAGATACTGGTTGGTTTACTTTAGTTAGAACTAGTATATTCCACTACTATATGTTATCTAAGTAAGGCAGTATGGGGGAAAATTATAGAGGTGGTGTGTTCCTGTATGTAGACACAAGCCAATAGTATCGCGTATGATTCTAATGTTCAAACCATGAGTATGCTTCGCAAAGGGACTCTTTGCAATTGTGACCGAATGGAGTTAGTGCGGAGTATAACACCAGTACAACAAGTTACAGATGACTATTGGGGTTAGATGGTCATAAGTTCTCTTGCATCTGGAAAGTTAATGGTTAATGGTGGTGGAATTTTCGTAGTTGTCTACGGAGTTGACATCGGCATTCCTGTATGTAGCTTATGAGTATGAGCAGGTGGCCCTTGAGTATCTAAGAATACACAATTGATCGTTGTAAACTTTTATCTGCTGTCATGGTATACCGGTAATACAATTGGATCACGCGTGTCATGCGAAGGTTATAGACAGGCTTTGCTCAAACATAATTATTGATTTGTATTGGGTATAGTGTTGTATTGGCATGGAATCATGGGCTCATCGGTTCAATGGCTATTGTGACCCACGGAAAGTGGGGTTTTTGTGTACTTTTCGGACTTTTTTTGCTCCCGGTGTGATCCGTGGCAATAATTGGCTAGATCTGCGATGGCTCTCGGAGCCGAGAATCGGTCCTGTGGAACGAAGACCAACAACATTCTGTGGTTATGTCAGCGACATTTTTCTTTGACGAAGTTTATAAGTGCGACACTAGTGCGACACAAATTGAGGCAATTGACATTTACTTATGTAAACTGTATCTTTGGCACTTTCTTACGTACACATAACCTCAGTCTAGTTGTACTAGCTTACGTAAACATAGGGCTAACCTCAAAAATATATACCTACGTCGTAATGACAATAGTCATGATCCATTAATTGTTTAAACTTGAATATTTTGAACCATTTCAACTCCAGGTAAGGTTGAATGGCCCCCCTCTGAAACGATATTAACACGAACTACACGCTTGAAAATATACTTGAAACTCTTATCTATTGTGGTGATCATTCATTTGTTTACTGCGGCATTGGTTTTGGTTTTCGCCTTCCACACGAAACAGTTTAAGCAGTGTGTAGTGGCATTGTTAACGTTATAGATTTGCCGTCAGGGCTTTGTGCATGGAAGACTCATCACCGAACCCTTGCTCTCTCAATGAACGGAGCGTTAAGTTCATGTTGAATAAGTACCCCTTGATTTTTGCTTCTAGTTCGTTCGTTATGGGCACAGCTGTTATACCAAATGTCGTTCAAGTATGTTAATGTCGGTGCTGATGCAGCCACAGGAACTGGCCCCACTCGTACTATTGCTGGTACTATTGCTGGTACCGGTTCGGTTACTGGTGATATTTGTTCTAATATAAAGTCTATATTAAGAAATCCTATACTCCCATCTAAAGAGGATAATGCTTTCAACCCCTGTTTCCTTTACTTGTTTTATGTGCTTTTCAGCATCATATGGTTAGTTGTGGGGTATGTCACCCTTTATCGCAAAATATCATCAACATTAATACCGTCCAATCAAAGACCATTCAATATCTCGTTTAGCATAAGGCGAATGGGCCTCATCTACTATGTGAAACTATGTTTGGTATGTGCTTATGTAGCCATATTCCTTTCCTGGACATCATCATCTGCAGCATCGTTATTGTTGGCTTCAATGACTGATCTGCTCCAAAAGTTGGTGATAACTTCGGTGGTTCTTCCGTTGCATATAGTAGAACCTTTCACCAATCCCATTGCTTCTAGCTTCCTATTGGCATTTTGGCCAATGCAATTATTCCTTTCAATGCTAGGTCTATACCAGAATAACTTCACTTCCTATCCAATTTTCACTGCTCGTCTTGCAGATACCATTGTCTCCTTATTCTTGATAGCGAGTATCTTCTTGTTAGAAGCTCTTGCTTATTCACCAAACAAAAACTTGACTAATTACTACTCCCAGTCGCCTTCGTTGGCTAAGGAGCTTCATCAACCTAATTTGATTTCCTGCTTACTGTTTAGTTGGATGAATGATATGATTATTTCAGCATATGTTAACAAAACTATAACGTCCGTGGATTTGCCCAATGCTCCAACAGAATTATCCACTATGAATTCATACCATAAATTGTGTCAATATTACAATCCCCAAAAGGCCAACTTAACAACAGCATTGGCTAGAGGTTTTTTGAATCCATTCATTTCTCTGTTCTTGTATGAATATGCTTACATTTGTCTTGAATTTGTGCAACCTCAGTTGTTAAAATGGTTGATTAAATATTGTAACAATTATGACAAGGAACCCACTTTAAAGGGCTACACAATTTCATTTCTTATGTTCCTAATCACCGTTGTTCAAACCACAATCAACAACCAATACGAAATGAAATCAATAGAATTGAGTTTAGCGTGCAAGTCATCGTTATGTGCATTTATTTATCGTAAATCACTTCAATTATCTCAACACTCAAGACAAATGAAAACTTCTGGTGATATTATAAACTTAATGTCGGTGGACGTTAATAAAGTTCAACAATTGGCACTTTGGTTACTGAATCTTATTACGGCACCAACAGAATTAATCCTCTGTGTTGTTTCTCTTTGGTCATTGGTTGGGAAATCAACTTTTGCTGGTATCATCACCATGATTATCATCATGCCTTTCAATTATATTCTTATACAACGTCTGAAGAAATTAACCAAAATTCAGATGACTTTAAAAGATTCAAGAACAAGAATTGTTAATGAAATTTGTACTACCATCAAGTCAATTAAATTATATGCTTGGGAGAAACCAATGCTTGCCAAATTAATGGAAGCAAGAAATGTCAAGGAACTTGGTAATTTGAAATGGATTAGATTGGTTTATCAAGCCAGTTTCCTTATTTGGACCACCATTCCTTTCTTAATGACATTTGCAACTTTTGCTGCGTTTGTTGTCCTTAATAAAGATAAACCATTGACCTCAGAAGTGGTATTCCCAGCTTTGAGTTTGTTATCACTTTTGTCCAACCCTTTGACTCAATTACCTGAATCAATTAATGTGATCATCGATGCATCTGTTTCCTTACTGAGAATTAACGAATTCCTTTGTCTTCCATCATTACCTGAATTGCCGCTACTTCCCTGTGCAAAATCATCGGGAGATGTTAGTGTCAGTATTCAAAATGGTTCCTTTTATCGAAGCGAATCAAATTCTGCCAGATCAACTCCATGTTCCACTCCCACACCAGTCGATGAAGGCTCACTTTTAGTTACTCCTAAAATGGTAACTACCAAATCAAACCATTTGACTCCTTTGACTGCAACTCCCGTGACCTCGTATTCAACCTTAGATGACTCAAGATGTGCTTTAGAGAATATTAGCTTTGTTGCTCACAAGGGTGATTTCATTTGCGTAATAGGAAAAGTTGGAAGCGGAAAGTCCACCTTATTATCGGCCATTCTTGGTCAATTGCAATCCAATAACAGCAACAGCAATGCTCAAGTTTTTGGAACCATTGCTTATTGCTCACAGTCTCCATGGATCATCAATGCGTCAGTTAAGGATAATATTCTATTTGGTCACCGGTATGACCAGCAATATTATGATTTAACTATCGCTGTTGCCCAGTTAGATCCAGATTTGGATATCCTTCCAGATGGTGATCTAACACAAGTTGGAGAAAAGGGTATTACACTTTCTGGTGGCCAAAAGGCTCGCCTTTCACTCGCAAGAGCCATTTATTCCAGAGCTGATGTTTACCTTCTAGATGATATCTTGAGTGCTGTTGATTCCCATGTTTGTAATCGGATCATTGAACAAGTTCTTTCGAAATCCACTGGTGTTCTTGCTTCGAAGACAGTCATACTTCTGACGAACACTGTCAATGTATTAAAGTACCTGGACGACATTTATTTACTTGAACGGGGGAAAATCGTTGAGCATTCCCAATATTCGGGCATAAATGATAAAGATCATCCTAAGATGTTTGATATCTTGACCCACAATACGGGGTCGAGTTCAAAGGAGGAAAGTTTGACTTCATCTATGGTCGTACAGAATGTAGTAGAAGAAGCGGAAGAAGGAGAAGAAGTTGGTGATGATGATGAACCAATTGAAAACAGTGATGTTGCAAGTCTTGCAACATTTGTATTTGATCCTTTACCCAAAGCTCCAAAGAATGCAAAGACAGTACAAGAGGTGGAGGTCTCCCAAAAGGGAAAGGTTAAATGGACAGTTTACGCTCAATATATTCAAGCATGTTCATATTTGGGAGTTATTGTTTGGTTTGCATTCTTAGTGTGTTCACAGCTATCTGGGATATTGGCTAATTACTGGTTGAAACATTGGACTCAAGAACATGGTGATTTTGGTGATAATAGTGATGCAGGAAGATTTCTTCTTGTTTATGGTTTACTTGGAATTCTATCCAGTGCCTTTCAATTTGGTCGAGCAGGTGTCCTTTGGGTTTGGGTGGCCATTAGAGCTTCCAAGGAGATCCATGATAAAATGGCCAAGAGGTTAATGCGTGCTCCCATGTCATATTTTGAAAGTACACCCGTTGGTAGAATACTTAATCGATTTACTAATGATATCAACAAGATAGACTCTGAGATACCTAGAGTTTTAAGCGGGTTCGTAACAAATATTGTTAAAACGTTATTTACTTTGGCTATTGTTGGTATAGCGATGCCCAAATTTCTTTTCATTGTTGGTGGTCTTCTGTTCATCTACTTGTATTATCTCAAGTATTATGTTTCTATTTCGAGAGAATTGAAACGGTTGGTTTCAGTTTCCAGTTCCCCTATTTATGCTCATTTACAAGAATCATTGAATGGAATGGAAACCATTAGTGCATTCCGACAATTCCCCCGGTTTGATTTCATTAATAGATCCAAAGTTGATTTTAATTTGAAATGTTTATTCATGCAACGGTCTACCAATAGATGGCTTTCTGTACGGCTACAATTGATTGGGTCCATAGTGATATTTCTGGCTGCAGTGTTAACCATTCGATCCTTGAAGACTTCCAACCCCTTAAGTGGTGCAATGGCTGGGTTTGTGATGTCGTACGCCTTGCGTGTTACTTCGTCGTTGAGATCAGTTGTTCGGTTATCAGCCACTGTTGAATCGTCAATTGTTGCAGTGGAAAGGTGTGCTGAGTATTTCCTGTTGCCAGAGGAAGAACCCAGTGAAGAAGAAGTAGAAGAAACTGGTATGAAGTTTATTAAACCTCCCATTCAATGGCCAATGACTGGAACAATTGAGTTTGATCTGTACTGTGCCAGATACAGAGCCAATTTAGATTTGGTATTGAAGAACATTTCTCTTAGTATCAAATCAGGAGAGAAAATTGGCATTGTGGGACGTACTGGATCAGGGAAATCGACCTTAGCATTGGCTATATTCCGAATAATTGAAGCAGTTGATGGTCATATTAATATTGATGGGTTAAATACGTCTTTGATGAAGTTATTTGATTTACGTCACACCCTTGGAATTATACCTCAAGATTGTCAACTCTTTGAAGGAACCATTCGTCAGAATTTGGATCCATTTAGTTACTATACTGATGAAGAGATCTGGAGAGCCATAGAAACGGCTCATTTGAAGCCACATATTGAGAATCTAAGAGGTGAACAAAACGAAGAACATGAAGAGCAAGAACAAGAAAATAAAGAAATCTTTGATAAGCTCTCAATAAAGGTATCGGAAGGTGGAAACAATTTTTCTGTGGGACAACGTCAATTAATGGCACTTGCCCGAGTTCTTTTGAAGATGCAACGGGCCAAGATTCTTGTATTGGACGAAGCAACAGCGGCGGTGGACATTCAAACGGATCGAATCGTTCAAGAAACTCTTCGGAAAGAATTTAAAGATAAAACCATCATCACAATAGCTCACAGGTTGGAGACTATTATGGATAGTGATAAGATTCTTGCGCTACATCAAGGTGAAGTGGTTGAATTTAGTACACCAAGTGATTTGTTAAAACGTGAAGATTCGGCGTTTTATGCTTTGTGTAGGGAAGCAGGATTGGTTTAAAGAAAGGATTTAGAGCACTAATGTTAATACTGTAGTATAATAATCTGTTTCAAATGAACGTAGACACCATACTGTATCATCGATGTCACGTGATTATCGTTTACAGAAACCACATTTATCGAGGATTAAATGAGTTTTTGTAAAATAGTCTTGGACAATAAGACAAAAAGGCATCAACCTAATTAGGCAATTTTCTTTACGGTTTATGCATGGATTACTTTTTTCAGTTCGTTTGCCCTTATGTCCATTAAGAGTCAGTTCATGTTATAAATGTATAGCATTACATTTAGATTCATTACATAATCTCCTACATACAAACTTTCTGGTCCCCACAAAAGTCGTGCACGGCACACAAAACTCCAGGAGCAACGAAGTCCGTAAAGAAAACGGAATGAAGTACCAGGAACTCACACTATACATTAACTTGCACAATTGAAGCATATTAAATATATAAAAGAACTACGTTTAACAAGATGGCCGCTTCAGCACAACATGCATCTAAGTTCAATCGGTTTTTAAACTCCGAAACCGGGCCGAAAACCGTACATTTCTGGGCTCCAGTGTTGAAATGGGCCCTTGTGGTAGCTGGTATTAATGATTTACAAAGACCAGTAGAGAAGATCTCTGGTACCCAACAAATAGCATTGTTTTGCACCGGTGTGATCTGGACCCGTTGGGCCGGGTTCGTTATCAAACCCCGGAACATGTTATTGGCCAGTGTCAACTTCTTCTTGGGTGGTGTGGCCGGTTACCAGTTGGTTCGTATCGTCAACTATAGAAAGGCTGAGGGGGACTCTCCAGCCCAAGTATTCCGTTATATCTTCAATGGTTCAGAAGAGAAGGCTATTCAAAACCAACAAGCAAAGACCGAGTAGAATGTATAGTAATAATATGAGTAACAATATGATCAATCGTGTATTAGTCTAGGACCATGTCGTCGTCGTCGTCGTCATTCAATGGTAATGGTTCGATTTTCACTTCCTCCGGTTCTACGGATTCAGCTCTTGATCCACCGGCATCTAATTCAGAGTCTTCGGTCACACTGCCACTTTGTACATCTTCGTCACCGTTGCCATCTGCATCACTTTGGACATTATCATCATCAGCCTCATCATGTTGTAACTCTATGTCGTCAATATTGTCGTCTGCCTTGGGTTCTTCTGTGTCGTCTTCAGGTTCTACGTCGTCCACTTCAGGGTCATCAACTTCATCCACCTCAGCTACATCCTCAATGTCGTCTTCAATGTCGTCTTCTTCAACTTCTTCTTCCATATTCTCCTCATAATCAAACTCGTGTAAATCGCTACTCTCACTTGTCTTGATGGACTCCACTTCTCGTGCCATCTCCTTCAACCGACGCATAAACACTGCCAACGAGCGTTCACGTCCCATCCACTTCTTGTTGTTATTCTCAATCCTCGAGATCATCAGTGAAAGAAGCTCGAGCTTAATCCGCTTGCGGAGTCGAGACCGATACTCCAACTCGACCAATTCTTGAAACGCTCCGTAATCTATCCGTTGATGTCCAGTGGCTGTTTTCTCTATACTAAAAAGTTTGGCAATGTCAACACCAACACTATGGCCACCAATTGGTATATCAACATCTTTACTTAACTTGCTAATAATCTCATTACCCCTACCACCACTAACGGTTTCCAGCGACAATAAAAACAGCGGTATACTCACCGATGCCTTTAAAGTTTCATATTCTTCCTTACGCATTTCTAATTGTTGATTGGACCTAGCGGCTTTACCAAGAGTCTTGTTGTACGACCCTATTTCCGTGCTTATAGTCTGTTCGGTAACGTCTCTTTGATGTTTCAGCACTTTCTTATGCCATCGAGTTACAGCCAAAGTGTCTAAAATGTACTTCTTTCGAGCAAGTCTTTGCGTGGGGCCATCGCTTGGTTTCCCGTCGAATATAGCAGCTTTTACTGCTTGTAACATTTCTCTTGCACTTTCCACCGTGATCAAGACGGACTTCAGTTCAGCCACAAGGTTATCTGAATCTTTCACCATGATGTCAACGAACTCAAGCGATGTATATGCAATGGTGGTGGTAATATTTTGTTTGGTATCGATTTAGAATTCGCGATTTAATTTCTTATCGACCGAAAATGCTTTGCGATCGACTGATGTTTTAACGTTGATCTTTATTGAACCACAAAGAATGCCAGAAACAGAGGCCACAGAACTAAGGAGATCGCTACACGAAGCATGTAACACTCTTGCGTTCCTCAATCTCCATCAAGCCGCCAAATGGTGTGCGGAAGCATTGAACGGGTTGTCTCCACTACCAAATGGGATCATTGCACAAACGTCGACAACCAAAACAACCAAACCTCCCACAGAAGACGAAGTTGCAGACGAACCAATGGTGATGCTTGCACGAGCGTACTTCAACTGTCGTGAGTTTGATCGAGCAGCTTATATTCTTCGCGGCTGTCGTAGTGGGAATGGTCGTTTCTTACGGTTGTACGCGATGTTAATCGCGGTAGATAAAAGAGCTACTGAAGAAACTGATGGTACTTTAAACGTGGCCTCCAACGTGTCAAATAATGTTACAGTTGCCAATGGAGGTAATTCCAATTCTCAATCGTCACATAATTCAAGCAGCGGAACTGAAGAGAACAACGATACTGTGAACGTTTTAAATGGTGTGCTTTCTAAAATACTACAAGAAGCTGACTCGTACCATCAGTCCCCAAATAATGAACCAAATGCATTTCTCCACTATCTCTGTGGTGTGGTGTACAATCGTAAGCGAAAACAAGCATTTGCTCAGACACATCTTTGCAATTCTGTTGTATTGTTCCCGTATAATTGGTTATGCTGGCAAGAGTTGGTGGCTACTTTAAGTACATATGACGAGGCTGTCACATTAATGGCCAAACTTCGTCATCATCGAAGTGGTGTGGCTAATACCGTGATGTTTCGATTCTTTGAAGTAGTGGTATGGCAAGAATTCGACCACCAAGCGAAGGAATTGAGCGAAAAACTCGACCTTCTCGCGGTAGAATTTCCTAATTTTACATTTGTTAAGGTGCAACAGTTTTTAATTGCGTACCACCAACTTGATTATTTTCGTGCGGAGGCACTTTTCGACCAAATACTTAAAGCGGATCCACTTCGATTAGATGATTTGGATACATATTCCAATATGCTCTATGTGATGGAGAAAAGAGCTAAGTTGGCGTACTTAGCCCAACTTGCTGCACACATAGATAAGTTCCGCCCAGAAACATGTTGCGTCATTGCCAACTATCATTCCATAAAGGGTGAGCATGAGAAAGCTATAATGTACTACAAACGAGCGCTCGTCTTAAATAAAAATTGTCAAAGTGCATGGACGCTCATGGGCCACGAATTTGTCGAATTAAAAAATTCGCACGCCGCGATCGAATCGTACCGTAGAGCGGTCGATTCCAACGCTCGAGATTTCCGCGCGTGGTACGGGTTGGGCCAAGCGTACGAAGTACTCGACATGCACCTTTATGCTCTATACTATTACCAACGAGCGGCCACTTTGCAGCCGACTGATAAGAGAATGTGGCATGCATTAGGAAATTGCTACGATAAAATTGGTAAATGGCATGAAGCCATTGGAGCGTTCGAAAAGGCGTTGAGTATAGATAGTGCGGATCAAGCCAATGGTCAAGTACCCGAACCACATGTTTGTTTCAAGCTTGCAACAATTTGGGATAAAGTGGGGAGTGCCCTGGAAACCTATAAATACTATCAATTATGTTATGCTCAAGAAGAAGTATGGGGGGTAACAGATGAAACATCCAAAGCCAGATTATGGTTGGCCAGGAATGCTTTACAAGAGAAGCGACACGAAGAAGCGTACGAGTTAACCAAAGATTTGAATCTAAGTAACGCTCACGATATCGAAGAGGCCCGGTCGATTGCCAGGGATGCCAGAAATAGAATGTTGAAATAGAATAAAAAAGAGGCATTAAATTAAATTAAAATGGTGGTAGTAATAATAAATAGCTAATAGTTAGTTGTAGAATTAAGTTAGTAGTCTAAAAGCTCCCGTTCCAAGTTCAGTACATCAATATTGTTATGTAAGTTGGCAAACACTTTTTTGCTTGAAGAAGCCAAAGCATGGGCCAAATCCTCCACTTGCTGTTTAGTGGTAGTTCTCTTGATGTTTATAAGTAAATGAGGACCTAAAACTGGCAAGCTTTCATGTTCTAAAATCAACTTTGACCTTGTAATTAAAATATTTGAGTTTTTTAACGTTAAATCAATGATCTTCTGTAAGATAAATGATTCCCAATTGTAGTATTTATCAAATTCATTCAAATATCTTGAAGGTTTCCCTGTGGTTAAAAATTGGGCACTGCCATAGTAATTGGGGAACCCCAACAGTTCTCTATATTTCTGAGCCAATCCAACGTGAATCAGAGGATTGTTTGAATCGGAATAGATAGTAAGTTCAGACGATAAATGTTTTTCCATCAATTGGTAGGAGAATTTGGTGATATCACGTAATTGACTAATGATAGAAGAAGATGATCGACCATCGTCCGTAGATTCCAAGATTTGATGAATAACTTCAGAAGCTACTTTGGCACAATATGGTGGTAAAGAAGCAGAGAAAACATAAGCAAGTGACAGGATTCTTTGATGATGAATCATTGGTACAACCCCAACACAAAAGCCACCAGATGATGCAAATGAATTAGATAATGCACCAATAGTAATATTAATATCTGATCGAGGAATATTATAATGCTCAGCAACACCTTTACCATTCTGACCTAAAACACCGATAGATCTGGATTCATCAAGAAACAATCGATATTTAAATCGATCTTTTAATTCCACAATTTTAGGTAACGAACAAATTTCACCCGAGGTTTCAAAAATCCCCTCAGTCACAATGAATCTTCTTCTTATCTTTTGCTTGTCTAAAACTGGTTTCAATTCGTTTAAAATTTGTTCCAAATGTTCAGGATCATTATGATCAAACCATTCGATGTCACATCGCGACACAATCAAAGCCTTTTGAATGGCTAAATTGATCCCGGAATCAACTACACATAAATCACCTCTTTTTAAGAAAGATGGTAATACAGAACCAGCAGTAACAAAATCTTGACCATATAAAATGGCACGTTCTGCTCCCAAATATGTAGCCAAATCTTCTTCCAATCGAACATGAACATCCGCAGAACCATAGAAATTGGGTGGTCCACATGCCCCAACTCCAGATGAACTAATAACCAGTTTAGTCACCTCTCTAACTCGTTCCAGTTCACTCATGTTCAAATAATCACACGAAGCAAAATTAACTACGGGTCCATCAACTCCCTTGATGAAAGCCTTGGACCCATTAGCACCAATGATTTGTGGAATGGATTTCATCAACCATTTCTCTCTGGGGGTTACTTCGTCCACCAATGGTTCAGGCTCCCATTCAGCCACCAACTCATTAATCTCCTTGTCTGAGAATCGAATGGTGTCTGCCTTGTTCTCCTTACGTTTGGACGACAAAAAGTAATGGACGGCAAATATAAACAACGCCAACTCAAACAACGACCTAATAGGATCATTTTTATACGACAGCTTAATGTACTTTAATATGATGCTTCCTCCAGGTAACTTCCCCAAAAAGTTCAAGTAATAAACAAATGTTTGCGCAAACGAGTCGCCTAAAGCTTCAAGTGAAGGAGGAGCCATAGCCGCCAACGCCGTGGTGGTCACGGTCTTTGTCACCATTGGCACGCTCATCGTTGGTGGAATAATTTAACGGTAGATAAATTTATGGATTAAAATTTTTTGATACTTTGACCTTATGTTATTTGTGAGATAAATGTACTGCATATACCATCACGCGTATTTAGGGGTAATCACGTGCTCTGTCACGTGATCTATGACATATATGGAGCATAATAATGTATTTTATAAGTAACAGCAGCCATACAAAATAGTACTAGATATTTGGACCATTCTGAGTAGATTACATTATGTAAGATTTATATCCATGTATTTAGGGAATATAAATCTTTGTCACTCCTTCAACATCTCTCCGACAACATACACAACCTTCAATGCCTTTGGCAACAAGCGAAAGACGACATGATTCACATATAGCAAAACACTTACAGGGCCACGTGATAATCTCCCGGTAATTAACCTGGCAAATAGCGCATACAAGTCGGTCTTCTAGCTTTTCATTATGTGAAAGTAATTTGTCTTTATCGTTTTCAGAGACTCTTTTGGATAATAGTAGCTCTAAAAGCTTAGCACCTTCGTCTCTTTGTTTATCTTCTTCCGTTTGGAGCTTCAAAAATTTGGATCGGGTTAATCTTCCTGAACCTTTATATTGTAGATGGAACTGTAAGATTCCAATATCTGGTGAGTTTATAAGCTCATTAAACTCTTGAACGTTCATAAACTCGTCATTAACGGACTTCAAAATCTTACCTCCGGTTTCTTCGATATTCTGTAAATCAATTGTTTCATAACCGTCGTCAGAATCTTCGTCGTCGTCATCCTCGTCGTCTTCTTCATTAATTTCATTATCATAGTCAGGTGAACAATCAATGTCGGGGATCTCTATCCCTTGCAACATATTGATATAGTCGTCATCTGAAGTATATACAATCTCTTTCACTTCTTCTTCTTCTTCTTCTTCTTCTTCTTCTGCTTCTGCTTCATCTTGAGAACGGATACGCATGTACTTACGCAAATATGCTGGAACAGCAAGCTTCCTGGCCTCAAACTCTTCCACAGTCTCATCCATAGACGACTGTAGTTGTTGTTCAGGTCTACTTCTTCTTCTAAATAATGAAGGCACAAAAGTCAAACAAAACCGGGTAACAACCAATCCATAGATCAATTGACCAAACCGAGTCAAGGCAGCTGAAAGATATTGATATCTTGTCCAATACACTGAGTTACCTGAACCTTCATCCATTTCATTATCATCTTTTCCAGTTATCATTCTTAGCGAAGGCTGTTGAACAATGTTTGAATATCCTGTAACATGATTCTTTTTGAGGTATTGAACAACATTCTTGGTAGGAGAACCACTTTTAGTTAACGATTCCCATATCCCTCGTTCTAGCCAAGTCTCTTTATCAACGGCAACAAAGCTTAGTTCGGTGATATAACTGGATTTCCCAGCTAAAGTGATAACAAACATCCCTACACTCCAAAGACATTTGTAAAAATCATCTGAAAGTGAAATGTTAAGTCTATTGTTAGGTTCGTCTTCAAGATCGTTGTCATAAACAAATAGACTAGCACAATTCAAGTTACCCATCTGAAACCCATTGGCAATGAATGCCATACCAAATATAAGCCCACTAATGGCTATGATAAATACCAACAAGACTTGGGGAAGAAACGTGGTAACGAAAATAGAAGAAAACTTAAACACAGTCAAATCATAAGTGCATTTAAGAACATAAATCAAGAAACTTATCCCAGTAATTGACAGAGGAATCAACTTGTATTTATTATCATTCAAAATCCCTCCAATTTGTATGTTTAAATGGTTTGCAATCAGAAATAAACTAGCAAACAATACTTGCTCCGAGGGAGTACGCATATGACCATCAAACCCTCTTGAGCCAGCTTCTTGGAACGCTATAGAGTGCTCAAATATCGTGATACCAGATTCAGTAGATGGCTTCTTCCCCTGGATGACCGAACTGAAAGTCTCCACAAACGCCAGAAAACAATATGTAAGAAATATCGGCCAATACATATCGGCATTAGGTCCAATCATCACTTGGGTCTTCAGGGTAGCCATATATTTGGTAGTATTGAACCAATCAGGGTCGTAATCAAAGAAAGAACTCTGAAGAAACTTCATATACCAAGGACCAACACCAGCACCTGTACCACTAGTACCTATTTGTCCAACCAACTTCAAGGCCACTAGCACATTATATCCATTATACAATAAGAACCCAATGACTAGTAATCTTAGTATAATCGTAAAAAACTTCTTCAAATAAACCGCCAGTTTAGGAACGCCCAAAGACCGACCTCGGTTCCGGTCTATATCAAGTTGCTGCTGCAGTAAGTCATTGGCCGACGCAATGGTCATAGTGCGATCCAATATAAGTGCGAGCATTAGACATGAGAATCCATACAATGAACAACAATAGTAGACCAATGCTAAACTCCGATCTAAAAACTCCAGACTGCCTCTGGCACTCAGCTTATGCTCCTTTTGATCCGATAACGCGTTCGTAAACCCTTGAAGAAGCCGAAGCCCAACCCATGTACCATTAGTATCACTATTAATACCTGGATTCAAGCCGGCGGTGGGTGTCGTTATGTTACTTACTATTATGGAGTGGTTCTGGTTCACAACGGCCTCGGATACGTTTTGGCTTATTTCATAGCCCACCATTGACTTTAGCAAGTCCCAACCAGCGGCTAATCCTCGAATTGGTTCCGCCATAAAGAAATATTATACGTCTATATAAAGTATAAGTATATGGGTAAACGCAATAATAATAGGAGAGGCTCATTCGCTTGAGGGTAAGGAGATCAAAAAGATCTCAGTGCTACCGTTGTCCAATGATTACATAATAAACTACAAAACACTACCAACTAGCCCGTACACGACCATATATCGATGAGATTTGAATCTCAGTACAAAATAAGATCCTTCTAGTGCAAAATGCATACCCTGTACTTTTTATATATAGCCAATTGTAAATATACATTGGTATTTTCAGAATGCCTCCTCCTCCTCCTCCACCTCCTCCACCACCTTCTTTTCCCCAGCCTGGATCTGATCGGATAAATGGAGCTTCTATAACCAAAGAGCCAAAGTCTCGCAATGGTGCAAGCACAAATACAAGACATAAACCACCTGCACCAGCACCAGTACCAACAAGAAGCTTCCCTTCAATATCAGCGGTTCCTTTGCCTCCAAGTTCATCATCAACAAAACCTCCACCACCGCCTCGAGCTAATGGGGTCCCACGGCCTCCACCACCACCACCTCCTCCACCATTAAGTGGTGCTTCTAAACGCAGTGGCCCACCGCCTGGTCCTCCTCCAAGATTGGCTAAATCTGGTGTATCTATGCCTCTGCCATTACCCGAAGTGGACACACTAGAGAGTAGAAAGCGAAAATGGCTTCAAACTCAGAAACGTAGGTACCAATATAAAAAGGCTAAGAATAGCGGAATAATACAACCTACAAAGGCAGAGATGCCTCCTGAGCATCTTCGGAAGATCATGATAGATCATGGCGATCTTTCCTCTAAGAAAGTGGCCTCGGATAAACGTTCCCATTTAGGAGCATTAAAGTACATGCCCCATGCCATACTTAAACTTCTTGAGAATATGCCAATGCCATGGGAACAACAAAAGGATGTTAAGGTCTTGTATCATACAACAGGTGCCATTACCTTTGTCAATGAAGTTCCCCGAGTCATCGAACCAGTCTTCACGGCTCAATGGGCAAGCACATGGACAGCCATGAGACGAGAGAAGAGAGATCGTCGACATTTCAAGAGGGTAACCTTCCCAGCATTTGATGACGAAGAACCTCCCTTAGATTGGCTTGAGAACCTTGAAGACATCGAACCTCTAGATGGCATTCAACTAGAATTGGATAATAACAATAATAGTAAAGTTGGTGATCTCAATGAATGGTTATATGAAAATAAGCCATTCATTGATGACCCTGAAATTGTTAATGGAGATTCCTATAAGACATGGAATCTTGACATTGAAAGAATGTCAACCTTATATAAAATCAGCAAGCCATTAACAGCAGAAGCTGGACATAACTCCAATAATCATTATTTATATGAAAAGAATGCATTTTTGACGTCCAAGAGTTTGAACTCTGCTCTTCCAGGAGGCCCCAAGTTTGAACCTTTATTCAAGGATAAATTGAATAATAAAGAATTGGAAGATTTCACAGAATTCAATTCCATTGATAGAATCATTTTTAGAAACCCCATCCGTACAGAATACCGGGTTGCATTCCCTTATTTGTACAATTCTTTTGTGAAGAAGGTTCACCTTTCCTTATACCACGAACCACTTGACTGTACTCATGATATGGACTCAGAATTATGTGCATTTAGTGGAGGTAACATGAACTTAATCAAAAAACATCCACGTCATTCAAAAACCAACCAGATAAAAGATCGAAAGATGCCTTCAACTTTTAGTTCCTTCTTATCAGAAAAGACATACAATTCTGCTAAAGACGACAATGAAGAAATGGAACAGTTCCAACCATTAAGTCTTGAACCAAAAGGAACCAAAGATGCTCTTTTACTTTGGCATGCACCTTTCCCCTTCAACCGTAGAAGTGGAAGAACAGTTAGAGCCGAGGACGTTGCCTTAGTCAAACCTTGGTACAAGGAAAGACCACAACGAAACTCACCACTAAAGGTCCGAGTATCCTATCAAAAGTTATTAAAGAATTCTGTCTTAAATGAACTTCATAATCCACCTGGAAGACCAAAGAAGACGAAGACCAAGAAGAAAGTCAAACTTCTCAAGTCCTTAAAGGCAACGCCCTACTTTCAAGAAACAACTGTTGATTGGGTGGAAGCTGCTATCCAAGTGTGCAGACAAGGTCACAACATGTTAAACTTGTTAATTCATAAGAAAGGTTTGACATACCTACATTTGGACTATAACTTCAATTTGAAACCAACCAAAACTTTAACCACCAAGGAAAGAAAGAAATCTAGGTTTGGGAATGCCTTCCATTTGATTAGAGAGATCCTTAGAGTCATCAAACTAACTGTGGATTGTCATGTTCAATATAGATTGGGAAACATTGATTCGTTTCAATTGGCTGATGGAATTTATTATGCTCTTAATCATTTGGGTCAGTTGACAGGTATTTACAGGTACAAGTATAAGGTAATGCATCAGATCAGACAGTGTAAAGACTTGAAGCATTTGGTATACTCACGATTCAACCAAAACATTGGGAAGGGACCTGGATGTGGGTTCTGGCAACCAGCATGGAGAGTTTGGATATTCTTCCTAAGGGGGGTTAATCCTCTATTGGAAAGATGGCTAGGAAATCTTATATCTCGTCAATTTGAAGGTAGAAGAGCCAATGATGTGGCCAAATCCATCACCAAACAACGTGTGGATTCGTACTATGATTTGGAGTTAAGAGCACAAGTGATGCACGATATCTTGGATATGATACCCGATGGCTTAAAGCAGAATAAGTCTCGAACCATTCTTCAACATCTAAGTGAAGCATGGAGATGCTGGAAAGCCAATATCCCCTGGAAGGTCCCCGGATTACCAGAACCTATTGAGAAGCTTATTGAACGGTATATTCAAGCCAAAGCTGACGGGTGGATTCAAGTTGCTCATTACAACCGAGATAGGTTAATGAAGGGTTCAACCGTTGAAAAGACTGTTGCTAAGAAGAACTTGGGACGTCTTAGTAGACTTTGGCTTAAGAATGAACAACAACGACAAATTGATTTTGTTAAAGACGGTCCTTATATTACAACTGATGAAGCAGTGATAATGTTCAAAACAATGGTCCATTGGCTTGAAGGAAGAAAGTTTAGTCCTATCCCATTCCCTCCAATCTCTTATAAACATGATACCAAATTGCTTGTGTTAGCGTTGGAGAAATTAAAGGAGAATTATTCTGCCAGTGCCAGGTTAAACAGTTCAGAAAGAGAAGAGTTAGCATTGATTGAACAAGCCTATGATAGTCCTCATGAGTTCCTTGCCAGGATCAAGAAGTTCCTTTTAACTCAACGAATCTTTAAAGAATCCAAATTTGAAATGATGGACCATTATAGTCATACGGTTCCAACATATGAAATAGATCCTTTGGAAAAGATAACCGATGCATATTTGGATCAATATTTATGGTATGAGGCTGATAAAAGAAACCTTTTCCCCAATTGGATCAAACCCAGTGATGATGAAATCCCTCCATTGCTTGTTTATAAATGGTGTCAAGGTATTAATAACTTGGAAGATGTATGGGAAACTTCTAAAGGTCAACGGAACGTGATGCTTGAAACTTCATTACAAAAGTTTGCTGAAAACATTGATCTTACTTTGCTTAACAGATTATTAAGATTAATTGTCGATCCTAATATTGCTGATTACATCACAGCAAAGAATAACATTGATATCACTTATAAAGATATGAATCATGTTAATAGATTGGGGTTAATTCGAGGTCTTCAATTTTCTTCGTTTGTTTATCAATATTATGGCTTAATGGTAGATTTATTGGTCTTAGGTTTGGATAGAGCCAATGAATTGGCTGGGTCTCCTCAGATGCCCAATTCTTTCCTCCAATTCAAAGATTCCCAAACGGAAGTTGGCAACCCTATCAGATTATATTCAAGAAACGTTGATAAGATCCACATTTTCTTCCGGTTCACAGCTGAAGAATCAGAAGAATTGGTTCAAGATTATCTTTCTGAAAACCCTGATCCTAATTTTGAAAGCGTGGTTGGATACAACAATAAAAGATGTTGGCCTCGAGATTGTCGAATGAAGTTGATGAGACAAGATGTTTATTTGGGGAAAGCAGTGTTTTGGGAGATAGCTGGAAGAATCCCTACCAGTGTGACATCACTAAGCTTTGAAGAGTCATTTGCATCGGTTTATTCAGTGGAAAACCCCAATGTTTTATTCACCATGTGTGGGTTTGAAATTAGAATTCTTCCCAAATGCAGAACAATAGCTGATGCTTCTTCTTCATCGGAAGGAGTTTGGGACTTAACAAACCTAGAAACAAAGGAACGAACGGCTAAGGCATATCTTCAAGTCAGTGCAGAAGAAGTGGAGAAATTCAACAACAGAATAAGGCAAATCTTGATGTCTTCTGGGTCAGCAACATTCACCAAAGTTGCAGCCAAATGGAACACTGCATTGATCGGGTTATTTGCTTACTTTAGAGAAGCCATTATTGCAACAGAACCTTTATTGGATATTTTGGTGAAATGTGAAACCAAAATACAAAACAGAGTTAAGATGGGATTAAATTCTAAAATGCCCACCCGGTTCCCTCCAGCGGTATTTTATACTCCAAAGGAATTGGGAGGTTTAGGAATGCTTAGTGCTTCCCATATTTTAATCCCTGCTTCAGATATGAGATGGTCTCAACAAACAGAAACTGGAATCACTCATTTCAGAGCTGGTATGAATCATAAGGAAGAAAAGATGATTCCAACGATTTTCAGATACATTCAAACTTGGGAAAATGAGTTTCTTGACTCTCAAAGAGTTTGGGCTGAATATGCCATCAAACGTCAAGAGGCTTCAGAGCAAAATCGTCGTTTAACCTTTGAAGATATGGAAGCCAGTTGGGATAGAGGGTTACCTCGGATTAGTACTTTATTCCAAAAGGATCGTCAAACTTTGGCTTATGATAAGGGACACAGAATAAGAAGGTATTTCAAACAATATACCATGCCTCGTCATAACCCTTTCTGGTGGACAAGCAATCATCATGATGGTAGACTTTGGAATCTTACATCTTATCGTACAGATGTCATTCAAGCATTAGGGGGAATAGAGACAATTCTTGAACATACATTATTCAAAGGTACCGGGTTCGATTCCTGGGAGGGGCTCTTCTGGGAAAAGGCTTCAGGATTTGAAGACTCGTTGAAGTTCAAAAAGTTAACCAATGCTCAAAGATCTGGGTTATCTCAAATTCCAAACCGTAGATTCACTTTATGGTGGTCACCAACCATCAATAGAGCCAATGTCTATGTGGGGTTCTTAGTTCAATTGGATTTAACTGGGATCTTTTTACATGGGAAGATCCCCACGTTGAAGATATCATTGATTCAAATCTTTAGAGCTCATTTATGGCAAAAGATCCATGAGAGTATTGTTCATGATTTGTGTCAAGTGTTTGATAAGCAATTAGAATTACTTCAAATTGATTCGGTTGATAAGCAAGCCATTCATCCTAGAAAATCGTACAAGATGAATTCGTCTTGTGCCGACATTGTGCTCAGCAGTACTTATAAATGGAATGTTTCCAAGCCTTCGCTATTGTTTGATAAGAATGATCAATTCAGCATTGCAACTAATAAGCTTTGGGTGGATGTTCAATTAAGATATGGTGATTATGATTCTCACGATATTTCTCGATATACCAGAGCAAAGTATTTGGATTATACCACTGATACTTCAAGTTCTTATCCTTGTCCCACAGGTATAATGGTGGGTATTGATTTGGCTTATAACATGTATGATGTTTATGGGAATTGGTTCAGTGGATCCAAACCATTAATGCAAAATGCCATGAAGGAAATCATGAAAGCCAATCCCGCTCTTTATGTGCTACGAGAACGGATCAGAAAGGGGTTGCAACTCTATCAATCCAAGCCACAAGAAGCCTTCTTAAATTCCAATAATTATGTTGAATTGTTCAACAATGAAACCCAATTATTTGTTGATGATACCAATGTCTACAGAGTCACCGTTCACAAGACATTTGAAGGGAATTTGACTACCAAACCAATCAATGGTTCAGTTTTCATGTTGAACCCCAAAACAGGTCAATTGTTTTTGAAGATTATTCATACTTCAGTATGGGCTGGACAGAAAAGATTGGGTCAATTGGCCAAATGGAAGACAGCAGAAGAAGTAGCGGCTTTGGTAAGATCATTACCAAGAGAAGAACAACCAAAGCAGTTAATTGTTACCAGAAAGGGGATGTTGGATCCATTGGAAGTTCATATGTTGGATTTCCCCAACATTTCAATCCGTCAATCTGAATTACACTTACCTTTCGCCTCAGCCATGAAGATCAATAAGTTGGCAGACATAGTATTGAAAGCTAAGGAACCACAAATGGTTCTCTTCAACTTTTATGATGATTGGTTGATGACCATCAGTGCTTATACTGCGTTTTCCAGAATCATATTGTTGTTGCGTGCCTTTGGTATTAATCAAGAAAAGACAGAGTTGATCTTATATTCCGATTCCAATGTTACAACAGAAGATCATCATATCTGGCCCACTTTAACCACAGAACAATGGATAGAAGTTGAATCCCAACTACGTGATCTTATTTTGAATGATTATTCCAAGCGATTCAACGTGAACATTCAATCTTTAACCCAATCAGAAATCAGAGATATCATCTTAGGTCAAGATGTCAGAGCACCTTCTATCAAGAGACAAGAAATCCAAGATATAGAGAATGGTCCATCAAAGGAATCAGGTGAGGCAAATAAGCAATTGACGGCCTTGAAAACAACCACTACCAATATTCATGGAGAAGAGATTGTTACTGTCACAACCACCAATTATGAGCAACTGATGTTCTCCTCTAAAAATGAATGGAGAAACCGTGCCATTGCTGCTAATAATTTGCATCTAAGAAGTAAGAATATTTTTGTTTCTTCTGATGAAATTAAAGATGACGATGATCGGTTCACATATGTCATGCCTCAAAACTTACTTCGGAAGTTTATTCTGATATCCGATATTCGTTGTCAAGTTGGTGGATTCATCTATGGGACATCTCCTAAGGACAATCCTTATGTCAAAGAGATTAAGTTCATTGCTCTTGTTCCTCAATTAGGAAACACTCATGCTATTCAATTCCCTAAACAACTTCCTGATCTTGAAGAAGGTGGCGCTTTAGAAGGAGTTGAATTACTTGGATGGATCCATACTCTGTCACAGGAATCAGACCATTTAACTCCCATTGATTTAACTACCCAAGCAGGTTTTCACATTGAGTATTCCCGGAATTTTATTACCTTAATGGTGGCATATACTCCAGGTTCGGTTACATTAACTGCATTCAATGCCACCTCCGAAGGCTATGATTGGGGTAAAGCCAATAACAAAGACTTCATGAACGAAGATCCACAAGGGTTCTCCAATACCTTTAGTGAAAAAAACCAATTGATATTAACTGAGAACATCATGGGGTCCTTTGTTGTACCTGATGATAATCTTTGGAACTTTACGTTCATGGGTTCAGTTTGGAACGGTAATACACCTTATACCTTGAAGCAAGATATTCCCCTTTCATTCTATGACTCTTTACACAGGCCAATCCATTTTACAGCTTTTGGTGAAACATCTGAAGAAACAGTTGAAGCCGATAGAGAAGATAACTTTAGTTAGTTGTCTACTCACCAATGACGAACAGCAATAATATGATCTTTGATTTCACCCAATAGTTTTTGAAGCATTGAACGAGAAATGTTTTCTTTAAGTAACATCAATTCTAAAGAGTCATTCCCATTCATGTATCGAAGCAATTTGTAGAATATAGTAGTTAGTTCTGAATTTAATGCACATTCATCTTGAACTATTTTGTTGATCCATTTTCTTTCGATAGCTGTAGCTCTAACAGGGTCTACTAATATTGTATCATCATCATCTTCCAACACTATTTTAGGCCCAAGTTGGGTTTTGCGCAAGCTCATTTCGATTTCATTTATTTCAGCACTCTTTTCTTGCAGTTGATGTTTAGATTGAGTGTTTGTAGCATTGGTGGTGGTAGTGACTGCAGAGGTAGCTATGGTTACCTCATCCATTGGTTTGGAAGAGTTATCTACGCCCTTTGATGGTGCAGTTGTCGCTTTCTTGCCAGTCTTTTTCCTTTGGAATGCTTCATTTTCCAAATCTTCTTCAACTTTCAATTTAATCTTTCGAGATATCTTAAGCCAAAGGAATGTTTGTAACTGAGTGACGTAACCGTATCGCATTAGCCATGCAAGGGCTTCCATATAACTTTTCTTATGATCTTTGGTTGGGATAATCATTCCATAAGGTTGTGGTTTTAGAACTTCTAGTTTCTTCTTCTTACTATTCATCATTAAATTGGGATCATAAGGCTTATCGGAGCCAGACAAAAGACGCATAAAGTTAATTAACGAAGGTAAAGAGGGGAACTCTTTTTTAAAAAGTTTAACATCACGATAAAGATTCTGAGATATTGGAGCCATTGGCGACATGATATAAGTGGACCGTGAAGTTAAAGGTAATATGATTCTTGCTCTTCTCCAATATACAAGATGGAAACTGAAGGACTTTATATGGTTATGAGATAAGCTTGAGTTTCTCAAAGATATTCTGAATAAAGATTCAGTTGGTCTGATCATTCTAATGAATTTGGCCAATATACTATTGTCTTCTGTTCGTATATCTCTAATGATATTCTCTGGAGTGTCAAGTAACAAGATAGCAAAATGTAGGATTTGATCTGAAAGAGTCCCCATCTCATCATCATTATTACCATTATATTCTTCATTTTGAAGAGAAGAAGATTCCCCCGGTGTGAAACCTTTTTGTGAGTATCTGCTTGTTTCACCAGCACTTATTAATCCTGAAGTTGCCAATAATTTGGTCATAGACGAGATATTGGAGCCAGGAAGATAAGGAACTGATTCTTCAGGCAACAGATAAAATTCTGATTTGATAGGGATTTGGAATGATCGAAGCTTATTATTAATTGATAAATTTGCAATTCTTGAGTTGGAAATGGCTTCATAACATTCATAAATCAATCGACAAAGTGATGATTTGGCAATTAAAGAAGATTCACATTCAACTTTGGAGCTTAACTGTTCTTTAATGCTAAGGATGAGTCCTACTTGTTGAGAAACATAGCTATATTTCAGTTGCTCATAACGAAGGACCATAGTTAGTCTAGAGATGACATAATGGAACATTTCATCGATTCTATAGTTGAATTCAACAATAGGAGGGTTCATTACAAACACCAAATGAAACATATTCAAGTTAATCTTTTTAATATTACCACTTGTATCATCATCATCGTCATCATAATCTTCATCATCATCTTCATCATCATCTTCATCTTCATTAATCACTTCATCGTTGTCATCGTCGTCATTTTCGGAACCATCACCTTCACCACCATCGCCAATCAAAGACCCTTCAGTTGAAGATTTCTTAAGGCTATTATTCTTCTTATTGGTCCTCTTCTTGCTCTTGCTCTTGCTCTTTCTCCTGCTCTTGCTCTTGCTCCTGCTCCTGCTCTTCCTGTTCTTCTTCTTCATGGACTCTTGTTGTCTCCAGGTGCCATTGTCATGTTTATGGATAGGCAACCCCACAAACACGTGTTCGTCAATCATGATCTCGAACCGAGTGTTACACATCTGTCTTGGAGGTGCCAACATCTCACATAGATAGTCCATCTCTATACCATAGATAGCATTGGGTAAAGGAGTATTATTACCATTATTATTATTATTATTATTATTATTATTATTATTAGTAACAGTGTCTAGGGTCCCATGACTGTCCAGTATAGAGGAAGCAGGATTAGAAGTCTTCTTCGATAATAAGGATATGGTGGTTGCTGATCTATCATCCGGTCTGGGATGATTGAGAAGTCGGTCTTTAACTTCCGTTTGTCGTTGTAACCTTCTACTACGTTCTTGATCATCAAGAAATCCAATGATGTCCTTCTTTGTACCCATGTAGTAGTTCATGTTTGTCAGGTCGATCTCTTCGTTAAGTCCCGACATGGTATCATCGCTATGGCTGTGGTTATCTTCACCATCTGAATCTGACGTGTTGACTTCATCTACGGCCAATTCTTCTTCGTCATGAGGATACTTGAAGATAAGCTGCGGGCCGCTGTGACTCGACACAATAAGAAGAATCCCAAGAAGACTCGGGTTGGGAAGGTTGTAGCTCATGGTTGGTGAAGGAATTGAAGTAGTTGTGGAGGTGGTAAATAGATCTATTGGTATATACATATATTAACGGTAGCGCGGACTAGTATATAAGCAGTGGTAGTCAGGTACGCTAATAGTATGTATATGCACTGGTGGTCTTATGTAATCATATTACTTTAGTATATTCATAGTTTGATACATATATGGCTATTGATGGCAGTACAGTAATACTGTAGCGCAGTCGTCCTGTAATAGTATAGTACAGTTTGTACAATGACTCTGTTCGGTACAGTGTTAGAATAAGTAGTAACGTATTCCACCAACGTATTCGCTAACGTATGTGTATTCCTTATATACTAAAACTTATGCTTCAACTTTTTATCATTCAACATTTGAAACCGTTGTTGAGGAATCCCCTTAACAAATCTATTGAATCCACCAATACCTTCTTCGGTGTTGGCTGCACTAATCAATTTGTTAATATTATCCTTAAGCAACTTCTTATTGGCTATAATTGATGGAACATATAAATGATCAAATTGGTCAATAATTTGCTTGTAGATAGCATCATTGAATTCTTCAGTCGATTTGAATTGGCCATCATAACTTTGATTAATGAACCCCAAACTCTTTAAATCTGGTCCTTTAATTGGCCTGGAAAATAAAAGAGCTTCGGAAGCTTTGGACCATCCTAATCTAAGGAATAACGTAGCCGATGATGCACCTTCTGCAACCAATCCTAAGTTGGAGAATGGAGTTAAGATCCAAAAATCCTTTTCCTCCTTAACGTAAATCAAATCTGCTTGAGCCATTAATGCTGCACTTAATCCAATTGCAGGTCCATTGGCTGCAACAACTATAACCTTACTGTGTTTGGCAAACGTATCAGTTAACCATACATTACGGGCGGTGAAATTTCCTAACCAGACCACATGTTGATCATCATTTTGTTGTTTCTTTGCTTCTTCGCTGTCAATTCCATGGGTATTGGCTCCAGCACTCCAGAAACGACCAGTGGATTGAATTATAGTGACAGCAGTGGATTCTTCAGCATCGGCTTTTTCCATCAACTTTCCAAGTAAAAGATATTGGTCAAAATTTAAGGCATTCAATGCTTTTGGTAAGTTTAAGGTGATGATAGCCACCTTTCCTCTAACCTCGTACAAAATATCCTTTCCTTCGCTCATGATACAGACACACAGATAGTAGACAGTGGACAGACAGTGGACAGACAGTAGACAGACAGATAGACCAACTGTAGACAACAGACAGATAGACCAAACTGTAGACAACAGACAGACAGACAACTACCACAGATCTCAGCTCTACGTTATATATAAGTTCGGAGTTGTGGGGATGGACCTCGGCGTAAATGCGTGCAGGCCGCGAATAGCCGAATACCTGGGGTAGCGAAATACTCAGAGGGGAAGATAACATAACAGTAATATCAATTAATAATCTATAGCTTATGTCTGATTTGACCAGTCACCAATTGAAAAAACCGATCTTGTGGTATACCATTAGTCCATCTATGCAATCCTGTGACTGCTTCCTTGACACTGATGTCATTGATCAACTTATCTCTACAATCTCTGAGTAATTTTTTATTGGCAAGAATGGAAGGTGGATACAAATGATCAAACTGTTCAATCACTTGTTTATAGATTCCCTCATTGAACTCTTCCGTCGAATTGAACTGACCATCAAAACTTTGGTTGATAAATCCTAAAGCCTTTAAATCCGGTCCTCTAATTGGTCTGGAAAATAAAAGAGCTTCGGAAGCTTTAGACCATCCCAATCTCAAGAATAACGTAGCACAAGCTGCACCTTCACCAACCAAACCCAAGTTAGCAAATGGAGCTAACAAATAAACTTTAGAGGTATCCATTGCATATATCAAATCACAATGGGAAAATAGCCCTGTAGATAATCCAATAACTGGACCATTCAATGCACCAACCAAGACTTTAGAATGATTATGAAAAATATCTGTAAGCCAAACATTACGAGCTAAGAAATGACGCATCCAAAAATCTTCACTTTGTCTACTTGGATCAGTTTCACCCAATTCGTTGAAATCATCGTCATTTGTACTTGCTCCAGTACTAAAGTATTTACCAGTAGATTGAAATATGGTTACCACGGTGTTAGGGTCTTTATCGGCTTTCTCCATTAGTTTCCCCAACAAATAGTATTGTTTCATGCTCAAACTATTCCGTTCTTCGGGGGAATTTAATGTGATGATGGCCACTTTACCTCTGACCTCATAAAGAATATCCTTTCCTTCAGACATGATGTATTGTATGATTAGCTGTGGGCGTAGGAGTTGTGTTGTTGTTGTACTACTAACGATAATTACAAACTTATAATTACTCTACTTACACCCATACTTATATACCCCGTTCGTTGAACGCATTAACTTGTGAAATTGTAGGTGCTCCTGCTTTGGGTACACCATGAACTACTTTGGTTACAAAGAACCCTCGGTCTGTATTTGATTGCCCCATTAGGACTACTGCAAAGATGAATCGGTGCACATACAGGAAGGAGTCAAATATACCCTAAGAGGTACTCTTTACAGTATGTTAATAAATGGTATAGAATAGTTCCATGTGACAACCATTGCAGCCAACTCCGAACTCCACCTGTATACTCCTCACTATTGAACTTTGCTTTGTTTGAACCGATGATTATGCCTTGCTCATATTTTCTTTCTCCAATTAGGTAACTGGTTGCGAGTCTTGTGACTGTGGAATTTATCAGATCACCCATCCATCCTATTTGTATAATTAAGTAAAAGGGTTTAATAGACACCTGACTTACTTTAAGCTTCTTGTTGAAGCTTATTAATTCTTTTAATACGGGTGGTGGCGTGTATTGATGTGTTTTAATAATCTGTTTAGTGGATTCCAAGGGTCCCCCCTTTAAAATCGCACTAGTAATCGATAGAGTACCATAACCAATTGATTTGTCCAGTTAACTACAATCCAATAAACAAGTAATATACTAATAATAAAACTAGGGAGAAATATACTAACAATATAGATAGAGAGAAATCAATTGGAGTAGGCCTGCTTTGATGGAGTATTCACTGATAAAAGAGAATACATGGGCATTCCACTGATTAAAGGTTATAGTGTGGATAAACTTCAACTATTTCGGTTTGGAATGGAACCATGAAGGCTATGTAGATATCAAATAAATCAAATCAAATCATACAATATGGAACCCCAGCAAAGATAAGAATTAACACAGCGTGGCTAATTAGATGGCATTCTTCAAATGAGTAGATAACCATTCCAAACCTTCATACAAACCATCACCAGAAGTAGCACATGTTGCTTGGATAAACCATGGCCGTTGTCTAATTGAGTGTAAGCCCAACTTCTCAGTGATTTCAGCAGCATTCATAGCATTTGGTAAATCTTGCTTATTAGCCAACACCAACAAAAGAGCATCTCTTAATTCATCTTCATTCAATATTTGATGCAATTCTTCTCTGGATTCAGCAATACGATCTCTATCGTTAGAATCAACCACAAATATTATCCCTTGAGTATTTTGGTAGTAGTATCTCCATAATGGTCTAATCTTGGCTTGTCCACCAACATCCCATACTGTAAATGAGATATTCTTGTACTCAACAGTCTCAACATTGAATCCAATAGTTGGAATAGTTGTAACAATTTCACCCAACTTCAACTTGTACAAAATGGTGGTCTTACCAGCAGCATCCAATCCAACCATTAAGATTCTCATGTCCTTACGACCAATGAGTCCAGCAAACAACTTGGAGAAAAAGTTACCCATGACTTTATTATTACTTTTGGTGGGGGTTTCTTACGCTTAAAGTTTATATGAGAATTTGCTCTATTAGAGGAAAAGGGGGTACCTTGATATGGAGGACCGAATAACAACAACGAAACAACAAATTTTTTGTCAAAAGATTCGTTCGGGTCGAGAGCTGTAGTGGGTGATGGCGTGCAGGAATGTCGAGAATTGTCGCGCCGGTAGTGGATAGGGGAAAATGTCGCATTTCTCTAAACTACTACAACACTCTTTAAAAGTATCCCTGTAAATACAACAACTACTACTATTGTTGTTGTTATATAGTAACAACATTATGTCGGAGATAAAAGTGATATATCCTTCTATCCGATCAAAGCCATTCAAGAATGGGATAGTCAGAGTCCCACTAGAGTTTACTTCAAATGAACAGCAACAACAATACCAACCACTTCCTATAGACAAGTTAAGGTTCGTAGTGTTTACCAATTCCCAAGGTAAATGGGCCTTGGTCAAAGATATTGCTGCATCACTCAATTACCCTTCATCGTATCAATTAATCAAAAAGTTTCTCAAGAAGGTGCCCGATAAGTCATGGTTAAAGCGTTCCGATCCATCGTTGAATGATTTATTAGTAGCGAAAGGTTTAATTGATGAAGTTGATTCCAGTAAATCGTTCTTTTACGTCTCATTGGACTTTATAGGCTCAATTATTGCGAACACAGAAGTTTTATTGGTTGATAATGATGATCCAATTGATAGTAATGAAGATATTGATATAAAACTTCCAAAGGACCCTTCATCAGAAGATGATAGCAAAGTCTTACTTAGTCAAGTGTTTCCTCAATATGAATCTCGTCATATCCCTTTGGTGCATTCTTCCTTTAATACCTTGAGTAACTTAACCAAGTTGAACTTTTACCGGAGTTTGCCTAATGCGTTCCAGTTTCTTCCCAATGCAAAGCTTAATGTCTTTGAGAGGGAGATTCTTATGAAGGAGAATGAATATATCGAACAAGCTACTTCTAATGGTTCTAATACCGAAAAAGACAACAATAATATTGGTAGTACTAATAGTACTGAAGGTCAAGAAGGTGGAGGTTCTTCAAAGAGTAAACAGATTCGGAAATTGATCAATAGAAATAGAAAGCATAACATTAATGTTGATCCTAATACTTTGGATTTACATGATTCAATTATTCCAGGTCAAGGTTATATTCAAGAATTTTCAGTGAAACATCTTTGCAAAGTTCCCAACTATTTTATTACTTCATCTACTCAGCCAATAGCTTCATCATCAACCACTTCTTTGAATGCTATGAGAAGATTTGGAGGGAACACTTTCACCTCTAATAAACAGCCATATATTGCAAATGAAACAACGGTCAAATTATCTAAGAACCTTCAAAAATTAATCTACAACAATGAGAATGATCATCGGAATACCAAATATTATTATGTTAAATCCTATAGAGGTCCAGGAAGTGGTAACTATAAAGATGCTGCATTAATGAATAAAGTAAACAAAATCCCCTTAACCACTCAACCAATTTATAGGGTTCACAAATCTGCTAAAGAAGTTAGTAGATATGATCATAAAAGACAATTACGATCACTTAAAGGATTACTTTGTGAAAAGATTTCTCAAGATAATTTTGAAAGCATTTTAGATAGACAAAGAGAGTTTGTTGAAGATTTTGATAATATGGAAGTGTTACACAACAATTTACAATTCAATGTACTAGTCAATTCGTATCGTGAGATTAGTGCTAATACTTGGGATCAATACTATAAGTTTAAGACCACAGATCATGACCAATTGGCTTCTGAACAAAGACTTAAGAAGAAGCACAATGATTATCAAGATAAGTTTAAAGAGTATCAAGAAAAGGAACAAGCAAGACAACAGAAATTGGTTGAAGTAAGACAAAAGCAAATGGAAGAATATCATAAACAGCAAAACCCAGCAGCAGCAGTTGCATCTGCAAGCAATTTATTGGATCAAGATGTACCAAACATGAATGACTTCACTAAGAAAAAGGAAAAGAAGATCAGAACTGATGAGACTTCAGACAAAAGTGACAATAGTTCAAGTGATAATGAAAGTGAACTGGAAAGGCAATCCCAGAAACCACTTTTAGAAAGGCTTGCTGATGAAATAAGAGAACTTGAAATCCCAATTCAGCCTCCCACACCTCCATCACCCGATCAAATTGCCAAGTTTGTTCTTCCTAATGAGATAAAGGAAGTTTATGAAAAGATACCTTATGATTTAAGAGAGCCTGGTGTTCAGATCAAGAAACCAATTTATTCTAGTGCCACTTATGCCGACACACTGAATGCACAATTCTTGAACAAGATAGAGATGATCAGAATACCTAACCCCAATTCCATTGGCTGGGATAACTTCAAGAAGTATAACAGTAGAGTATGAGAAAGAAGCACAGGTTGTTGCTAATTATAGTAATATACTTAGTAATACAAAAGTTGAATCTAGAGAGTAGTAGTGACAGAGTAGTGATATGACAGTGTAATCGTCGCAATGAGCCTTAACCAGAGGTCTTCAAAGCTTAACCTCATTAAGGAGTACCTTCTTCATATACTTTAAACTCCATTCGTCTTCGTTTAAAGTCTGGTGTAAACGTGTCAGGTGTATCAAGGTCTGTAGTTGTCTCATCATCATCATCATCATTATTAATATTGTTCTCATTTTCATCATCATTAAGTAGATGACTAAAATCCAACTTCTTAGGCTTTATACTCTTTTCAGACTCACTTAGTTCTCTTACAATTCTAGCCCCAGTCTTGGGGTTAATTAACTCCATATGAGTTGAATAGTCAATTTGTTGACGAGGACAATGCTGCTTCCCGTTGGTAGGATTAAAAGGGTTGGCCATTTGAACTGGTTTTTTATTGAATGGGTTTATAATAGTTATGGTTTTCTTTTCAACAAATGGATTAGGCAATTGTTCACGGTATATTTCCGTTTCTTCTTCATCATCAATTTCTTCTGCTATTTGGGCCAAATGTTCGTTATGCCATTTTTCAACCACTCTATCAGTAATTAGGTTTTTCGTGGGGGTCTTTGGAGGATTATTATAAATATGATCATCATCTTCATCGTCTTCGTTATCAAGAATCAGCGATGGTACATTGTGCACCTCTTGGAGATCAAATATGGAAAAGAGCTTTTGCAGGGGCGTCAGATACCTTCCTGAACCAACTGTTGAAGACTTCTTAGTGAATAATCTCATAGGAGAAAGCTCTATAGATATGTGATCTTTACTGGCACTTTTACTTCGTCTTGGACTCTTCATGGGTGTCTTTTCTGGAGTCATCAACGGTACCGTTAGACCACTGCTACTAATAGTGCTGCTTTGGGCCATCATACCTTTTTGAAGCGCAGTATTGGACTGATACAAGTCTTTCAGACTGGGAGCCACATAAGTAGTAAGATTCTTCTTGTTTTTGGAATGTGATTGGGGTGTTTTGAACTGGGAGAAGTTGGTTGGGGGGGTGTCTGTAGTGGCGAGCCCTTGAGGTTTACTCCGTGGAGGAGTACATGGAGTGAATGGAACGTTTGACATTGGACAACGGAAGAAGGAAGTCGCCTATATGGAAGTTGTGATATCGTTCTTGACTTCCACTTTGAAAATTTCTTTGTAGGTTCCAGAACGGAAGGAGCAAACGAGTTCACCAAGTGATGAATGCCAGAATTAACTTAATCGATACAAATCAACTAATCACTGAAAATTTTGGTGACAATCAAACCCCGATGACGAATAACTATTAACTCAATCCTTGATAGATTTTAATTGAATGTCGTTGCTTGGGAAGTAAAATGTAGACCGCAGGGGGCATCAAGGTGGCTGGCTTTAAGTTAGGCCCAATAGGGAAAGATAATTGTGGCCAGCACAAAACGCGTCAAAATTACCCTTTAGTTTGGTAAAAGCACGACACTCCAATAGGAACAAATGATGGTTAGTATCTTTAGAATAAATCCTTTCTTTGTGTTGTGTACTAATTGAATGCAGACTCTTCTAACATTGGCTAGAAGACGCGTTTGATTGAACCTCAGGTGCTTCGATACGGCTGTCTGACACAGATTTCTGACATAACTGTCTTGTTGCCACAATGCAGTTTCAGACGGATGATTAAGGGGAAGACGGCTCCACACATTGGCCAGTAGTAGGTGTTGATCTTTGATAACAATGACTCAAATGCTGACTAGATGGCTTAAAAAATGGCTCAATCCGTATCTAGATGACTCAATGAATGTCTTCTTCTCTTTATAAGTATTCTAAGTCTTAATCCCTTTGTTTACAATGACCCCTTGGAATCACATATACATCGTAAGGGGAGAAAGGTTGCATTTCTTTGGATCGTTATATTACCGGTAAAGGCACGACCTCGACAAACCCCAAAAATAACTAACCTCAAACAGACACGGAGTCCACTGCAAGGCAATTCACAATTGGTGATTAGCAATTGACCAGTCGCATCTGGAGTAAACTATACAAGTGATCTCATGTCGTTTGCTGATAGCTTTTGGTGTCAAGACTATGAACTGGGATTCCTGGTTCTATTCAACCAATTGGAAGAAGGAATCAAAGAGAATGAAGACTTTGTAGAATTGTTCAGAAGACGCATGGAACTGGAGAATGCTTATGGTAATAAATTGCTGATGATTCAAGGGAATGGAAAATCAAGTAGACAAAAGAATGATGACTTTGTTTCTACCATTAAGAATGCATATGAAAAGATAACTGAAGCATTTAGTGATGAAAGTGAGTTTCACCTTCAAGTTGGGTCCAATATTGATATGAGAGTCATTCAACCATTTTCAAGATGGTGTCTTGAACATAAGCAAAGAGTCGATTATTCAAAGTATATCATATTTGATAAAGTTCGAGAATTCAAAAATGCTAAAGCCAACGTTGAACGCACTCAAAAGAAATATTTTGCTAAATGTAAATTATTAGGAGACTTCAAGTCTCAGTATACTGAAGAGGAAATTAATGATATTCTTGAAGAGTTGGAATTAGCAGAAAATGAAGCAGCAGATGAAACAATTGGTGAAGATGAAGAAGAACAAACGAGAGAAGAAAATGTTTGGGAAATTGGTCCTTTTTTATATACTGAAAAGGAATTGGGTTCATTTCTCTCCAAAATCTTAGATAATATCCCATTAAAAGATCATAAAGTACCAATTTTAGGTGTTTATCAACATGTTTGTTCGGGGAATGATTTGGCTCAATATCTTTTGGAAAATGTTTCTGAATTGAAGATGAATATTAGTAAAGTTGAAGATGTTGGTCAAAGTTTAGTTGATTATGGTTTCTTGAGAATAATTGGATCAATGAACAATAAATTTTTTAATTCTTCTTCATATTATTATCAATGGAAACCACTGGCTTTTGAAAGAGCTGGAAAACCTTTACCGGAGAGGCCAGCTACGGAAAGATCTAGATCTTCAAGTGTTAAAATTACTCCAACAACTACATCTCTTTCAAATTATTTGGAAGATGTCAAAGAAGCCATGGGTGTTACTAAAGTTGATTTCACTGATAAGACTCAATTGGGAAAATTAACTTCAGATGTCAAACGATTGGATGCTAAATATTATGAAGATGTTGTTAAATTGGATCATATGAGATGTTCACTTGAAGAACTGATTATAGACCATTTAACATTTATGCAAAAATGTGAATTGGATAGACTTCGAGCCATTAAAAAGGTCGTGTTTGATTTTATTTCAGTATTTTCTGTTTCCAAAGATAAAAGTGAAAAAATGATTAATGAATTGGCATTACTTGAAGAAACAATTCATCCAGCAAATGATTTAAAACTTTTAATTGAAAACTATGCCACAGGAAAATTCAAACCACAAGTAATCTTATATGAAAACTATGATGAATCGGAAATCAAGCAAACTTTTGGTGTTGATTTGTCATCAAAGGCAAGAATTGATAAGAAAGTAGTCCCATTAATTGTCCAAGCAGTATTATCTCATTTGGATAAAATATATCCTGAAATGGAAAATGATCAACAAAGATTAGATCTTTGGACAAATCCAATTGGAATTGCACAAGTTCATACATTAAGATTTGAAGTTAATGCTGCAACAGATATCAATCAAATTAGAACTTCTTTGGAAAAGTTTCCTCCAATTGTTGTGACTAATTTGCTTAAACTTTATTTGATGGAACTTCCAGATTCAATTATCCCCAGTAAATCATATGATTTGATCAAGTTGCTTTATACCAATCATCCAGCTAATGACCCCTCTCAATCAGAAAAGAGAATGAGAGGTTTACAAAATGTTTTGGTCAATATACCAAAGAGTAATTTAGCAACCTTAGATGCATTACTTACCCATTTAAAAAGATTAATAGGAATTATTGGATCTGCAAATAAGGATTTGGCAACAGAATTACAAACTCAACTTGCTAAAGAATTTGGTAACTTGATTAATCGACCACTGTTAGAATTTGTGTTAAATTCTGATCCAGCAAGCAAATTGTTGAATGAAAAACATCAATTTACATTCGTGAATGAGTTATTTGATGAGAAGGAAACCATTTTCCAAGAATTAAGAAGACTCAACAGTCAAAGAAAGAAAGATATTAGCAGATCCAATAGTAATTCTACTAGAGAAGAACAATTGAAGCTAAATAAAACTTCAACACCTTCTAGAACAACATCTATTGTATCTAAAACAAGGTTGGAATCTAAATTACAAAGTGCTGTGAATAAGTCTTTAAATGTGAAGAAACTGAATTCGTCACCTCCAGTGGAATCAGATAAAGAAGAGAAGGATGATGGTGGGTCCAGAAGTCCTTCAAGAACATCAACCCCACTTCTGTTGAAGAGATCCACTTCTCCAAATAAGAAGAAATTGAACTCCATGTTGTTGGAAGATCAATGAAATTGAAAGAAGAAAGAAAGAAAGACAGTTTTCCCTATATATATACCTTTTAAAAGCTTATAACAACTTTGAATGTTTGATATCATGTCTTAATCTGAAGATAAAGATGGATAAAATCAAGATACTAATGGCAATTGGAAGCAAGATCCATTTGATAATGACTTTAATTAAATCTGGATTATCCCTTGGAGATTCCATTCTATCTTGTTTTTGGTTTTGGTATTGGATTTCCTTATGATGGTTCATTAACAAGTCCACCTTCTTACCTATTTCTTCAATGTTGGATTGTTGTTCTCTAACCTCTCCAATGACCTTCTCATTCAATTGGGAAATCCCTTGCAATAACTCTTTGAACTGACCCGTTAATGTGATTTTGAAGTCTTCAAATGATTCTTGTAATTTTATCATTTGCTCATTAATATTATCATTGTTATTATTGTCCTGGACTGGAGTCGAACCAGGGTGAGGTAAACCATTGATGAGTTTCTGTAAACCATCTAACCGTTGTAATACTGGTTGAAGATCAACCTTTTGTTGGCCCGTCAATTGTTCACGTAATTGTCTGTTCTTTTCCATAATACTTTGTCTTCCTTGAGTAGGCGGATGAGCTTGAACAACCTCTTGTTTCACAGCAGCTTTGATTCTCCCATCAACAAGTATTCCATGATCATCAATGGCATCAGGAGTCAAACTATCCCAAACAGATAACTTCAAAACATCATATAACTCCTTAGAGGGCGAAGTAACAGAACCAGCAAGTCCCAATTTAATCAGATTTAAAGGTATCGTGATCTTATCAGTTTTGAAGCAAACATTGTTATCGATTTGAACTTTAAACCATTTCCTTGACTTGGAATAAGAAACTCTTATGGTAAATGGAACATCAGTGTTGATAAATGAAAACCGACAATTACCAATAGACTCACTAATTTGATTGGCGATCTCTTTAGTCCCATCGTTATTAAAGATCTTCAAACCAGGTTGTTCCTTGTTATTTATAAGAAACTGAAACCCATCAAATTTGCTAGGACCTCCAAAGTTCGCCGTGTTCTTTACATCAAACGAATCAGCATTAACCATGAAGAACAGGAACCCATTCTTATCGCCATATTTCAAGTCTTCTTCATTGGCGGTTGATCTGAAAACATATTCAATGGTCCATTCGTCCGAAGTGGGCTTCAACGTTTGTTTGGACCAAATACCTCCATATCCTTCATTGCTGGAGTCTATAATCAATCTCCCATTGTCCAATCGGATATTACCTGATGTGTACCAGTGTGAGTCTAAGGTCTTCAACTTATCAATCTTAAGTAAAGCTGGTAAAGACAATTCTTCATCTTTCTTCGGGTAAGAGGATCCTTGGACTAGTCCGAAACATACCAACGCGGCCGATACACAACTAAGAAGTTTCATCTTGGCTTGTGCCTGATAATAATAGTATTAAAGACGGTGATGATATTCGTCAGCTTTTGATTTCAATTTGAAACTGGTCTGAACACTGTCAGTTAAAACCGGTCACGTGACACTAGAACCGGCCTATTGTTAAAGATATCCGTATCACCAACTTGGAAGAGTAGACTACATCATACAAGCATCAAATACAATGAAAGTCAGTATCGTTTTGTATCTTGTCTAGAGATCATCATGAAAAAGCTTTGCCATCGTTCAACCTGTAGACACATATGGAATTGCAAGAATTTAGTTGAAAGTCACGTGATCAAATTTTGAAGTATCATATGGGCATAGTTTACAAATGACAACAAATAAATAATACTAGGATTAAATAAGACATATCTGATATAGGTCAAGTTGCAAAAAATTTAAAAAAATCGATATTAAGTAATTAATGTCAAGCTTTGTTCTCCAACAAGATATTAATTATGAGGTTATCACGTGATCCAACCTCGGAATATACCATTTCAGCAGATGAATATAAATTAACTGTAACATCGTTTGCAAAGTGCATCTATTATTTATAAGGAGCTCGTTTAACGCCTTAGCACCTTGAAACTTTAATTGAAGCGTGAACTGTTCGTATTATATTACCGGATGCTCACCAGTTCAAGGGTTCACCATTATTAAAGCATTCAATTCCATTCGCATCCCGTTACTTCAATTGATGGATTTAATTCCCATTATAAAAACTCTACAAAATGACTCAGGTCTTCACTAAGTCTTACCGCATAATTGACCACTGTATATCGATTGGCTTGAGCCTATTGCAAATGTCACTTATTAACACCCCTCTTTATGTTTCTTCTTACTTTCCAAGCCCCACCAACTCTGTTCCGAGCTTCAAAATTAATATATGGAATATTTTCAACCTTTTTAATCTTCTTACGCTTGGATGATACTCGTTTTAAAATCTCTGAGCTAACAAACTCCACAGTTGGAACCTTTCCTTCTCCCTTACAAAGAATAAGCTTGTAACCAGATTTCAAAAAGTGTTCCACGTGGTGATGGTTGGGTATGTACAAGTTAAAGCACATATTAAGCTTATCAATGCTATGAATTATAGCTAGACCAACAAACTGGGTTTGAGAGTCGTTAACTATATCACCAAAGTCTTTATTACTGAGGTAATTCGGTAGCAATATCGAGTCCTTTATAGGTACGATGCTGTTGAACACTTCACCATCAACGACATGTAGACCAACGATTGAACATTCTAGCATATCTTGAAGATCATCAACATGGAAATGAACTCCTATATCATACCCCAAAACACACACACCATTGATACCCATAACGGGGTCCAGGCCACTCTCATACAGAAGCCTTAAGGGACTGTTATCAAGTAAATGACACAGGAAATCAAATTGGAGCCCTGAAGTTCTCTGATGAAAGTACGTGAACTTGTTAAACAATCTTAATTGAGAAGCAGAGTAACGTGAGCTTTGGTAAATGGCATCAAAGAAAGTCACCTCATTGAAGGTCAAGCCCTGCAAGATAATGTCGCCTTCTGAAGGAACCCTTAAACAAAGTAGATGATCTGGCTTTATGAATTGAGTTAATTGAATCAACAATTCCTTACCTAAACCTCGTACCCATCCAGGAGTGTTTATAACTATATGGTACCCTTTAGTTCGGTATTCAGTGTTATAATGAGTTATAAGCTGCTTGATGATGCCAACATATGTTTTAGGAGAGTCCTGGGGAGAAGAATACCCAAAAAATTTGCAATGAACCGAATTATCATTGACTTTAGGAACATTCATTGCTAGTATTGGTTGAGAAATGACTGAAAGTGATAAACAGTAAGGTATGGAAAACTCAGATTGACCGGGATCAAGATCTAAGTAGCACACTTTGGAGTTTATCCCATTATCTTCCTTTAATATAAGTGAATTTATTAAAAGTTTTGATAAAGTTGATTTTCCAGTGTTCTTATTTCCAATTACCATAAGGATTTTAGACTCTTCTTCTTCTGGGGGTCCAGATATTCGTTCTAACAAGGGGTATATATCGTGAATCCAAGGGTTAGTATTCATTCCTATTAACCCGGTCTTTTCTCTCAATATTATTTCAAACGAATATGTACGGAATAACTTTTCATGGTCCAACAGATCTCGTGGTTCTTCTTGGTCTTTGTTAAACAACAAGTTCTTGAACGGGATATAATATGTTCCTATATCTTCCAACCCCGTATACATATTTGTTAGCTTAATTACAGACTTATATTCACTGGTGAACAAATGCATATTTTCTGGAGTCTGTGTGTCATGGATCTCTTCCATGTTCTCTACTTGAGTACTGGATATATGGGGCAATGCTTGGGATGAGCTGGCAAGTAATTGGTACTCTTTTGTGGAATTCGAGCTCAAATAATGAATATCGTTAACAAGAACTGCTCCTCGCTGTATAGTAACTTTGCATTGACCATGTATCATAATAGACTCATGAGACTTCAACCCCACCACCAAGTAGTCTTCACCAATTACAGTATTATCATCATCAGGATAAAACTGAGACTTATATAAGGATCCAGCAATTCGACTAATACCAGGCATTATAGATTGAGGCTGAGGTGTGTTCTGAGTAAACGTTGAGGCTCCTGAACCACCATTAGCAGGAACTTGATCAACATCGTCGTCGTCGTCATCGTCGTCTTCATCTGAAGAGTTCCTTTCGTAGCCTACGATCTCGTCTCCATTGTCGTTGTTCCCTTCGAATAATGACTCTACGGACTCTGTTTCCCGCAATCGTGCATATGCACTCATTTGCCCCACGTCTAGCGAAAGAACCTCTTTGTACAGTGAAGAGATGAGACTCTAATTGTTGATGATAATAATGATAATGAACCAATCTAAACTGTATACAGGAAAAGTTAATACACCTTGCGCCATAGATAACGAGAAACAAAAGTTCACTACTCCTTTTTAGTTAAATAATTACTGTTCTTGCACTATATAGATTCTAAATTAAAAAAAGAAAAGAAAAGAAATTAAAGACCACTGGTCCAGATACCAATTGAAGCATCCCATCCCACAGTAGCAAGTGCTTCGCCATCAGGAGAAACAGAAACATGGCTAAACTTGGAAGTTCGAGCATTTCCAACGGAACCAACGACTTCCCCTTTTAGAACATCCCAGATTAAACATCCTGATTCGGAGTATGTAGAATAAAGTAGTCTGCCACTTTTAGAGAAATCAATTGAAGTAACTCCTGGTAGGTTTGCAGTAGATTGTATGCTTTGTTGCAGTGATAAAATTCTGGATCCTCCACCTCTTAAAGTTGTAGGCAGCAAAGGAGGCAACTGATTAGGGTAGTAATTTGTTTTGTTCTTCTGCGTCTCTAAACAATACTTGCTTACAATACAATCAGCTCGAACATCATAAAGATGAATAGACCCATCATCTACTCCAGAAGCTATAGCATTGCTATCAGGAAATATCGATAAGCAGTTGACATCATATGCCATACTATTGACAGATCTAACACTAAATTTAGTACGAGTATCCCAAATTTTCATAGTACCATCGGAGCTTCCAGTAACAAACAGATATGGATTTGCAGGTAATTGTTGGTAGCTTGTTGCCAAGCAAAGTACATCACTGGTATGATCCGTATATTTGAACAAAGGCGAGGATCTGGTGATATCCCACAAAATGCAAGTAGAATCTCCACTAACTGTGACTATATTATGGTTACTCAAGAACCCACAATCGGGGATGTAGGCCGTATGACCTTTAAGTCTAACTTGCAAGGAAGAAGATGAAGATGAAGAAAATGTAGATGTAGATGAATGTGATTGTGATTGGAAATAATTAGGTGAGTTTGACTTTGTACGTAAACTTGATTTCCCCCCTGGTTCTACCACTTCTATTCGTTGAAAGCCCACTTGCTTATATATGGTACACACATTATCCAAGCCAGCAGATGCCAATACAGATTCTGATGGAGAATAAGCACAAGTTAACACCCAAGGGTTTTCCAATGGTATAGCATGCTTTTTATAACCGGTAACGGCATCCCAAACTATCATAAACCCATCTTGACTGGTAGTTAATAGGGTCTTTGAGTTCTTCCCCCATCTAAGACTTGCAATCTTGAAATGATGGCCGGTGAACGTATTGAAATGATTTAAGTTACATGAATTTCTAGGGATATGATCAACTTGTTGACTTATCGTTGGTAACGAAGCATCTTGAACAGATTTCTTATGCTTTTCTAATTGAAGGTATAAAGTTCGTGCTTTATTTCTAGCTAGTGCTATCTGCTCTTGAGTCGACATCTACTATTAACGACTACAAAAAAGAGATTAAAAGAGAAAGAATAGAGTATAATAGCACGCAACTTTCGTTCATCCAAGTTTCCTTCTCTGATTTCCAACTCGAGGTACAGTGGACGTTTTGCCAGCAGTCTGTGACCCCACAGCTTTAGAGCTTATCGAGACACATGAAGCAGAAAAGCATATTTTAACAATTAGTTCGCAGCTAAAGTGTGTTATGCAAGTGGTGCACAAAGCCCCAAGCTGGGTGCCGCTTTATACTTCAAGGTTTCAGATTTAACAGTAGTGAACAGTGTTCAGAAGTCGTAGGGTACATAAAAGACACTTAATGGTTGGTTCACAAGACACTTAACTGTTGCTATATTGAACTAAATCGATTTACCATTGCGTCTAAGACCCTGTAGTTACCATTGCTGAATGCTCCTTTAAGCCTCAGTATGTTAGTAAGACGATTAAAAGTATATCAGTTGAGTTTAGGGGGGCATGGGGGATTAAACTGAAAACATTACCTCTCCAATCGATAACAATAGAAACCTTGTTTCCAGTGTTAAAACTACCACAGTTCACATGTTTTAAAGATTCAATTAATACCACTTTTCCTCCACGATATAGGTAGATGATATGTAGGAAACGGTATTTGTGAGTCAATTGATCTTCAAGGCAGTTTACATATAGGGTTACAGTTGATGTTTCGATAATGGACTCAAACGTAATAATACCCAGTTATTAAAAGGGTAACTATTGTGACACATTAGATTACCACCCTCACGGGGATCAATTTCATATAACAATAGTACTCTAATCTTAATAGTATGATAACAATATTTTTTAACAATAATGATCATATTGATCGGCACCCAAATTCGCCAAACGATCTGCTTGTTCATTACCTTCTACTCCTTGATGGCCAGGAACATATGTAAATACAACCGGCGATTCCCCTCTTGATAGCAATGTACCGTTGATTACATCAAGACGCTTTCTGGCATCTTCAATTATATCACGATTAAGAACAGAACCTCCGTTAGAACTCTTCCACCCATTTCTAAGCCATTTATCAGACCATTCATTTAAACACAGTTTGGTGTACTTTGAGTCCGTGAGAATTTCGTACTTATGATTCGGCCTATGAGTAGAAGTTACTTCCTTTTCGATGGTTTTCAAAGCGTCATTAGCAGCGTGTAATTCTGCTCTTTGATTAGTGGGCTTATATAGTTTGGCACTCTCAATTCTACTGAGAGGTACTGCTTTGTTTCTAGCATCATTTTCACCAAAATATACACCATATCCTGATCTATGCATTCCGCCAGCTTTACCATTACCTCTACATGCACCATCAACATATACTTGGGTAGTGTTTTTGGGCTGCGTGGAAGACGTTAATGAAAGTGCTACTGCTTTGCCAATACCTTTATATTGCTCATCGTGTTTCCGAGCATAAGAAGTCGATTTAGACATCGAAGATCCAGCGCCATGTCCGGATTTATATATACTGCCTCTATTACCATTAGTATTGGTGCTACTTCTAGCACCACTACCGCTTGAGTTTGCAGAAGTTCCACCTTTAACAAAGTCTTGAGCTGCACTTAAAGTATCAAATTTCTTATACTTTGCTCCAGGAAAGCCCAGAACTTGTGCTTTACAAGTATCCCACGATTGATATATGCCATTGCTACGGCCATTGGCCACAGCATAGTATTTCATCCGCCTTAGAAAAAGCTGTTTGCCCAACACCTTTAACCACGGCATTCCCAGAAGTGATACCTTACACTCTTTACATGCTCGTTATAATAAATTCAAAGCGAAGAGTACACAAAACCGTGTGTAGACTGTGGTTGTACAGTCAACCAAAGTAGGACTCAGATGTGTCGAGCTAAAAGTAAAGCAGGGTTCCATTCACCAAGAAGCAACCAGAATTCAAATATAAGTCTCAATGTAAAGAGACGTTAACAAGAAGGACCTTTGAAAGACTCTACTTAATTTAAGACCCCTTCCATAGAAACGTTTACGGCACAAAATAAAGTTTAAGTAGATAGTAAAAGAGACCAAATGTATGCATTACAATCTGGTATTATTCATACTAATAGAAATAAAGCAAAGCAAGTTGGCATTCTGTATTACTGGCTCCTTTAAGTATTTCTCGGTTTGGTACCATATAGATTCATGAGTTATCAAAGGTTAAGCACCAATTCAAAAGTCATGCAGAACGTAATGGTTAGATCCTCATGCCAATTTTATGTTGAATCATAATATCAACACATTTTGCACATTAAGAGAGAATAAATGCTTATGTATTGGAGTCATTTAAGGGCCGGATGACTATGGAGATATCTGTCCGTGAGAGTATCTTGATAGGAGCATTCTTTGTTCCAGAAAAGACAAACCAAAGCTTTGCTGAGATACAAATGATAATCCAAAATAAAAAATCACAAATAAAGACAAAGATATTATAAAAGGGAAATATTTTGAAGTATCTTGCAAGTCTTTTCTAGGATGAAACGTCAATCAATTATTTTGATAGTTGTTCTTCGTGCTAGTAGATATTTAATAGCATTACTACATCACGTGATGCATGTAGTGTATCACGCCTCGAAACATATCACTATCCAAAATGGTATTGAGATCAGGAGCTCAATTCAAGTTTAGGTTGAAGAAAGAGGAGAGTAAACTACTGATTGACTTTGCCTATGATAATATTCTCTCATTGATTCTTACCGGCATAGAAAGTAGGCTTCAAAAGAAACCCTTGTTTGATCCACACAGGACATTGAAAGTTAAATAGCTTAAGATGAACCAAATTACATGAATAAATAGAGCATCTCAATAGGGAATACGTCGGTCATAGTGGGGACGATGGGTTACGGTGCTGGTTAAATGAACGCAAATTGTTAAACGGCGATGAACTACTCAGGTGTCATGCATCTAGAAACTAAATATTAATCCTACTTCATTTACTCTTTGGCCAAAACCCTTTTTTAGCTACCACGTATTTTGCACCATACACGAGAGAGCGTTTTAGCCTTCAGTGCATAATGTTCATATACGGGCATGAGTCTTGAAGCAAGTCTGATACAATAATAGTATCGTAGACTGAGATCCCAGGATAAGCCAATCTTCACCTCAATGGCAATGTAGACGCTTACGATACTACGTCACTTTGAAGGACATGAACCTTAATGATATTTTGAGATGAACGGACGAAGAGTGAAGCAGCATAGTGAACTAAGGAGCTCATACCAGTGAACTGTGTAGAGGATGCTACATAGAAGCATACACATCAAAGTATCACAAGCAGAAGTGCAGCAATATCAGGTACGTTCTAGCCACACTACCACTTTAAAACCATGAACAATAGAATTTAGGTTGGTGCATATGAGGGGCACTATTTGTACCATATATGATATGTACATTGAACTATTACTTGCCAGCACTGAGCTGAGGACTGAAGTATTCATTTTTTGTATTCGCTAATCAGGTTCAAGTTATACAACGTGTAAGAAGAACTACCATGCACGGAGGAAGTTGAGAAGCGGAAAATGCTTGCATAAAAAGAATGAGATGTGTAAACTGTTACAATTTATGGTTTCCTTTTTGCTATAAGTTTCTTAAGCAATTGAAGATTGTATGAAGCTGAATCGATTCACTCGTGGACAAGAACTCGAAATTTTATACTGTAATGGTGACAGTTTTAAAGGTATTGCATTGGTAGTATAAAACTATTATTTCCTCCTTGTCACGTTTTCTGCTTCCTGGTATCTACTTGAGCTTGTGTTGGCTACGAAACATTGGAAACATCACAACACGATGGTTGGTAATGATTTGTAGACATCAACAAGCTATACAGTCAATGCACAAGATAATGTTTGCGATGTTATATTCTAGCTCTGCTAAATAAGACCCAAAGCACCTTGATTTCCGACTTCAAAGTTATGAACATTGAGAAGGAATAATCGTAGAGTAGTCAAGAAAGTATTTGTAACAGCAAGCATTCCTGAAAGTGGAATTAAGTGGGCTCAATTGCTGCAAGTCTAAAGAGTTCACAACAAAAAATTGAAGAAATTTGATATCAAGAAAAGGATTGTATATTTAAGAGACGTAATGCTTTCTGAACAAACTGAGTTGACTAATGCCATATATTTTGCACCCTTAGAATCTCAAGTTGAATAGAATTCATAATAAGCCATAACTAATCAAAGTACCAAAGTACCTTATCCGTCTTAGTTGGTACAGTGCGAATATATTTATATATCCTCTATTATACAGTTTGTCGCTAAGTTTGGTAACGTAAGTATAATCGTCAATAGGTGTATATAGATGACATGGTCCTGCATTATCGTAAGCCATATGATATCTGGACTAACAAAAAAGGTGAAATTGAGTAAGTATTCTGGCTAGCAAATCCACCAGTCATGCTTTGGTTGGTGAAGGGATTGCTAGCCAATACAGAATGAGGAGATCGAGAGATGACAATTGGTGAAGAACAACGGCAGATTGTAATGCCGAATAACTGACGAAGGTAAAGAGTGGGAAACTCCACGCGCGCCTTGGGCTCAGAATGCTCAAAAAATCCATACATTAACTAACCAGAAAATAAGGTGTCAAGAAACTATAATACAGAGTGGGGTACAGTTTTAACCCCACCATGTTTACGAATCTACGATCTCTGTTTTTAAAGTGGCTATATTAAGTTTGACACTTTTCAACATAGATTAATACACGAGTTAGAAGCACAGTAACTGTATTAGGTCTTCGTTCAAAAGCAGTCATAGCTTTACCAAGTTTAAGGTCCAAATAGACGAATATTTGGTGTACGTTGTGATATGAGACCAACTCCACAAACCACGGTTAAGAAGCTCGAATATACCTAGTGACGAAGGAATAAAGCCACCCCAGATTTCATACCTTTTCCCGGAGAAAGCGAGCTGCAGTTCGCGATATTCAGCCCCCTTAGAGCTACTTGCGTGGTATAAATACCTTACACGAGATTGGACACCTCTTATTAGGATTTCTTCTGGAATTTATTCCAAATACCTTTATCATTTGTGTCCGGATTACTCGTTACTTCAGTTCAGGAGTATCACAGTAGGCGAACAGTAAGAAAGTGAAAATTAATGGAGCTTATTCAATTCACATTACGTAATAGCACCATATTACAATAGTATATGTAATTAAGAGTCAATGATAAAAGGTTTCCACAGCGATGAAGATTTCAAAAAATACTGGGTGTAAATGTGTGGGGGAACAGACACATTCTTTGTCTATCTGATAATATAGTAAAGAGTAGTTTGCCATTCCATATCATCATATGCACTACTAAACGGCATTAGACTTTGATCAGTAAACTTTACTAATACTATATAATAAAGCGGTACTCCTACAATTGCTGCTCAGTGTGTCAAATTGAACTATACTTTTGTGTTTTCCGAGTAGCTGTAGAATGGAATATGTAGGTTCTTTTTGAAAACATGGTGTCTTCTGTGTTTGTTATTAATTGAAACATCGATATTACAAAAGGAATTCTAATTATTAATCCGGTCTTGACGTAACACTACATATGTTCTTTACCTTTCCCGGGTTATATACACTCTTGTGTCACTTTTTACTTTAAGAAGGTTTCGTAAGTGCAAAGACACTAAGCTACAACCACCTGCATATACTGCAGGTGTCAACTCTTCTAGATTTGTAACAAAAGTGCACCAATTACACACGACCATTTTCGGTTTAGTGTTAATGTCGAACAAGTAATCAATGGCAATGACGTAGTATCTTTCGGATAAACTCCCATGTGGAACAGGGTAAAAAATTTGCAATCGGAAATGGCTGCAACCTTCATGCTTGCCTATTAATAATCAACTTCCAAGGAGCTGCCCTTAATGGAAAGTTTATTGGACGATCCTCTAAATAAATGAGTTCTTTCCATTAACGCCCTCTTTTCATCTAACACTCCCTCAGTAATTAAAACTCGTACACCAATATGCACCCTTGTGACCCAAATTTGGTGCCTCATTGGATGTGGGGGTGCAACCCCAATAAGCAGTGATAAAACTCAAATACAGGGAAATTGCAGCCATCACATACAGTACGTTGTAATGACGAATAAGCCGTATGGATATGACGTCTTCCTGCTTACTGAATTATGTATTGTAAACACCACATACCACGGTGATTCTAAAACTTTTCACCAACATATAAGAGCGCCATCCTATCCCCCGTAAAAAAGGGTTAAACCATCATCAACCAAATAAACATTTCTCTCATTAATCTCAAAAGAATCCCTACAATGTCTAAGCTATTTACCAGAACAAATACTTTTGGGTTACTGGGCTTCCGTTTACGAGCTGCAGTAACATTTACCGCTACAATGGGGTTCTCCCTCTTTGGTTACGATCAAGGTTTAATGTCGGGTCTTATTACTGGAACGCAGTTTAATGATGAATTCCCAGCTACAAAGGGAAGCAGTCACCATGCTACCGTGATTCAAGGTGCAGTGACATCTTGTTATGAATTGGGTTGTTTCTTTGGTGCTATATTTGTATTACTTAGAGGTGACAAATTGGGTAGAAAGCCTCTTGTTATTATTGGATCTTTAATTATTATATTGGGAACTGTGATTTCCGTGGCATCTTTTAGAGAACACTGGGGTTTGGGGCAATTTGTTATTGGTAGAGTTATTACCGGTATTGGTAATGGGATGAATACTGCCACTATTCCTGTTTGGCAATCGGAGATGTCCAAGGCTGAAAACAGAGGAAGATTGGTTAATTTGGAAGGGTCTGTTGTTGCAGTTGGAACTTTTGTTGCCTACTGGCTTGATTTTGGTTTATCATATGTTGATTCTTCTGTTCAATGGAGATTCCCTGTTGCCTTTCAAATCTTCTTTGCCATGATTGTGTTTGGTTGTATGACGCAATTACCCGAATCACCCAGATGGTTGATTGCCAACCACAGAAAGGAAGACGCTAAATTGGTTTTAAGTGCCTTGAAGGGTGTTGATGTGAATGATCATGAGATTGAATCCGAAGTTTTGGTTATTTCTGATGCTGTTCATCTGTACCAAAAGCAGCAAGTTAGTGTCAGAGAAATGTTCACTGGAGGTAAGTCTCAACACTTTGGCAGAATGGTTATTGGTGCTTCTACTCAATTTTTTCAACAATTTACTGGTTGTAATGCCGCTATTTATTATTCTACTGTTTTATTTGAAAATACGATTGGTTTGGAAAGACGTCTTGCTTTAATTATGGGAGGTGTGTTTGCTACAGTATATGCACTTTTCACCTTGCCTTCCTTCTTCCTTGTGGATACTTTAGGTAGAAGAAAGCTTTTCTTAATAGGTGCTTTTGGTCAAGCTATCTCATTTACGATTACTTTTGCTTGTTTGGTTCATAAGACTCCAGAAACTGCTAAAGGAGCAGCTGTGGGTATCTTTTTGTTTATTTCTTTCTTTGCCTTCACAATCCTTCCCTTGCCTTGGGTCTACCCTCCTGAAATCAATCCTTTGAGAACAAGAACAGTTGCAACTGGTGTATCTACTTGTACCAACTGGCTTTGTAACTTTGCCGTGGTTATGTTCACACCTATCTTTATTTCGTCATCAGATTGGGGATGTTATCTCTTTTTCGCAGCCATGAACTACATGTGGTTACCGGTGATTTTCTTCTTCTATCCTGAAACTGCTGGTAGAACTTTGGAAGAAGTTGATGTTATCTTTGCCAAGGCTTATGTCGATGGTGTACAACCTTGGAGAGTTGCTAAGAACATGCCCAAATTGTCTAACGATGAAGTTGAAGACTATGCTATCCAATTGGGCTTTTATGATGAAGATGACAATGATAAGGGGAACATGTTGGTTGATGATAAACCAGAAGCTTTAGAAAACAGTAGTTCTAATTCCGGAAGTAAGAAGGAATCCGTTTGATTTAATATATTCTATACACAATTCTATAATTATAATTTGATAAACTAATTATTTAAAACCCCATACATTTGTAATAAACTTGAATAATGACCCAATACACCCAAAATAACACATATATGCCATATATTATGACTTTGAAAAATATAATCAACCCACCATAAAGACATAAAATCCTTGGCATATGGTGTATACATTGGTTTCTCTGGAAAATGCTTCTCGATGATACTATTTAGTTCAGATTCCTCTTCTTGACTGGACAATAAATGATCAGCCTTCTCAATAGCCTTATCAATATCATCTTCAATCATCTGAATTTCATCTTCACCAGATTTCTCAATGTTATCCGTTATTACTTCCATGGCATCATGTAAATGAGAATGAGCCTTAGCATGAGTCATGTCATCTTCAATAATTATATCGTATCTCCATCTTTCAGGATACAACCCACCATAAAATACCACCCCAGTCCAATACCAAATAAAACTCTTGTAGAACAAAGGACCAAAATAAATGCATGATTTAATGAACCCTTCAAATATACAAGAACAGAAAAAGGTAATCATCCCCACAAATGCTAATCCAACAAAAAACCCAATTCTTAAGGATCTGCATTCTGGCTTATCAAAATAAGGAGACCAGTTGAATCCAAACCCTGTCAAACCACACAAGGCTGAAATGATCATGAAGGATTTTTGCCAAATAGGATAATTATACAAGGCCACATATTCAACAGCAGTAATGGAACATGTGATTAAGACGGTTATACCTGAATAATCACAGCATGCACAAAGAGCTCTGGTAGGTAGATGGGCCACACACGAATAGCAATGCCAAATAACAGAATTGAAAAGACATGCCATTCCAGCAAACAAAAACACATAGATTGGAACATTATCAACAAAGGTATTCTTCTGATAAATTTCGGTACTAGGAAATTGAACCAATGTAATATAAATCATCAAAACAAGTCCAAATATATGAGTCCATATATTCCAAGTTTCATTGTGATTGAAATGAAAAAGCGATTTCAAAACTGAACCATGATGCAATGAAAACCTATAGCCATGAACAATGTACTTATTCTCTCTCCAGCCTAAAGGTAATTCATAATAGGACAAATATTCATTTTCAGCCTTCTTCAAAGCCCTATTGAAGTTATGATACCGCAACCGATTATGAAACGATTCATGTAGCACCTCCTTGCTGCTAGGAGAGTTACTTCTGACAAAATCATCTATTTGTAACATTTTTTCATCAAAATATTGAATGGTGGTAATGATCTTTTGTGATAACACTTCTCTACTGATTGTAGACAGAATCCCCCCTCCTGCTCCTCCTCCTTCATGAGACAGCGCGTCATTATTAAATAAATAATTGTACTGTTCATCAAGAGTTTTGTATAAATTCTCCAAGTTAGAAAACGATGTCTTTAACATGGAGTCCTTAATAAGTTTAAGTCTTTGACGTACATTGTCAAGGTTTGAGATAGACATAAATGAGCTTCTTCTGCGAGATCGGGTATGTTTAAGATTACCCTCAATCTCTTCTTGATCAGCATCATCTTCCGCATCAACAACTGCGACTTCATGGTCTTCCTTTTTGGAACGTTCTTGTTCACCTTTAAATTGAAAGAACTTCTCAAAGTTCTCTAGACGAGCTTCAATTGATGAAAGAAACCGATCTAATTTCTCTATCAACTCCTCGGACGATTTGCTACCATTATCGCCCACTTGTGGCTTATCGATAGTTAAACCTGTGCGATGTCTGAGAGTAGTCGTCTCAGGCATGATGTAGTCTCCCAGTTTGACAGAATGAATGAATGAATGAAAATGGAAGTGTCAGAGTCAGATTTCACACTGATTTCACACTCAGAGTCAGAGTCAGAGTCAAAGTCAGAATTAGAGCCAAAATCAGATACACTGCTTCAGTAACTTGAACTGTTTGTTACTTAGCTTTGAATAACGCTTTATATTTGACTAGCAGATTGATACCATCATCTTTATATTTTAATTCAGATGATTTGATGCTTCGCACGACCCACGGTCCGTACGACCCCATACAACTCCTATTTCGTTCTACGCCTGAAACTCCCATGTATCCGAGCAGGCAGCTGCTAGCAACCTGCTAATAATTAAGTAAGTTACAATATGATAGCAAATTAAACTTCTAGAGCTGTAGATGTTGCGCCATACTACTATTGAGTTCTGAGAAGCGATTATCGCAGTGCTTAGTATAAAGCTATCATAACCACCTTAGTAATAGCATATTTAATTAACTGTTTATCCCATGTGCTTCGCTTCCCCGTGTTCTTCACTGTATTTGGTTCAATATTTCATATGCTTTACCCATGGTACGTTTGTGCTTGCCTTGGAAATAAAAAGAAAAATACAGAAAAAAAGAAAATTTTGGACGAGACAGGAATCGAACCAGTGACCTTTTGCTTGCAAGGCAAACGCGCTACCAACTACGCCACACGCCCATTCTCTTATATGTTGAGATCATCTTTATATGTCATTGAATTCTAATAGCTACTTGGTGAAAAGGACCTTGACGTTGGCTACTGCTCATCAATGCTGAGTGAAAGCTGGTGGTAAGCGATGTGCTATCTACAGATGGCGGTTTGGATGCCATCCAAGTGATATTTTCCCGGGTTTCTGCCTAGGTTATTATATAGCTCTAGGTGGTTTTATATGGTGTCTTTCAAAATGAAAATATTGATGATATTTCTACTATTATAATTATACAACAATTTAAATCAATGGAACAGCAGCCCCATCACCTCTTGGATCTGAACCTGCATTGTATACCAATTGACTATTTTGGTAAGTACTTTTAATTATTTGAGCTCTACCAAATGTTTCTCTATCAAATCCACAGAGAACTCTAACCGTATGACCCCAATCCTTCAATTGAAGTACAACGTCTTCAGATATGCCTTCTTCCAACGAGACGATTGTTTTGGTAGTAGAAACGGGGGAATCACTTCCTAATCCAGTATCAACGCTAGAAGGACTTGTTTTATCAGCTTCTAAGCAGAATCTTGGAGAGTCAATTGATTCTTGTGGGTTTAATCCATAAATAGTCATGTTTAAGACATGTAAAACATGACCTAACGGTTGCATATAACCACCCATATTACCAAAAGAAGCATAAAGATCATTAGTTATGTTATTAGTGATCATCCCAGGAATAATAGTATGATATGGACGTTTTCCACCTTCCAAACTATTAATTAAGCCTGGTGACAAGTTAAAAGATGCTCCTCTGTTTTGTAATGCAAAGCCATAGCCTGGAACAACAATTCCACTACCAAACTGTTCATAAACTGAATTAATAAATGAACATGCATCACCATTAGAATCAGTAACTGAAAAATAAACCGTATCACTCTTTAGTCTTGGATCTGGTATACCAATTGAAGCGTCCAATATTTTATTCCATTTAAAAATTTTAGCCTTCTCTTTAAAGAATCCCTTATTAAGAATGTCTTTAATCTCATAGTCCGCGTGTAATGAATCAGTAACATAATTGTTGGCTTCATAGAAGGATATTTTAAATACTTCAATAAGTAAATGGAAAAACCTGGCACTATTATGTTCCAATGAATACAAATCAACAGTACCATTGTTATGTAATTCTTCAATGATTCCAAGAGCCATTAATGCCACTAATCCTTGACCGTTAGGAGGTATTTCCCAAACATTATATTCATTCATAAATGTAACTTTAAGTGGCTTAACTATAGTTGATTCATGATTAGATAAATCCTCTAAAGATAGTTTATGCTCAAGCAATGTTAAATGATTAACAATCTCGTTCGCAATTAAATCTTTATAAAACCCATCTGTCCCCTTCTCTGCTATAATCTTCAAAGTATTAGCAAAGTCCAAATTCTTCATAATCTCACCTTCAATTGGTGATCTCACTGTATCATTTGTTTCATCATAAATTAAGAATGGATTATTCCCCTTCTTCAAATTAGGATTCTGGATTATGAGTTTCTTAACAGCTCTCTTCCACATTTCAGCACATATAGCCAGTACGGGGAACCCATTCTCAGCAAATTCAATAGCATACAGAAATAATACACTCCATTCTATATTACCAGACCCCCATTCCTTATAAGCATCATACCAAGCCCTTATAGAGCCAGGAACAGTTATACAAAATGGTGATAATATAGGAAGTCTATTAATGTCTCCCAAACAGGACTTTATATGTTGAATATTCAACTCCTTGGCACATCTACCTGAACCATTCAAACCATAAACTGATTGGGAGTCCTTCTTATAAACCAATGCAAAGCAATCACCACCAATACCAGTAGACATTGGTTCAAGGACACATAATGCTGCCAGAATCGCTATAGCAGCATCCACACAATTACCACCTTGTTCCAATACTTTAATGCCTACTGCATTGGCCAATGGTTGGCTCAGAGCCACGATTCCCTTGGTAGACGATACCGTTGATCTTCTAGAGGGGAACTTGTTGTAGACAGACATAAGAGCGGAATAATGTCACCAGAGATAATGTTAGCAGAAAGATTGAATGTTGCTTTGTTATAGAAAGATAAACCAAATGTGGGGGCGGAAAGAGCATAGCGGAATTGTGTCATCTTTTAGGAAGTTTGTTCCGCGATAGGAAAATCCGCTAACAACGATGTACAATCAACATGATGATCTTATCCACGCTTTCATGATCATTTCGTAGACGACACGACATGAAACGAAGAAGAGTCGTAGAAGACGATGACGACGGTGACGAAAATGACGGCATTCAGCCTGAGGATACACCAGATACAAGTTTTGTAGATGATAACTATGAAGAAACGGAACTTAACAATAGAGCAGATCAAATAGTCATTGATGCCTTAAGATTTGTTCTAGCACGAGAATCCAGTGATCATTCTATACGAAGATCACATATAGGTAAGTTTAGTGGGCGGAATAGGATTTATACCATAGATGGTTTGATAGAAGCCATTAATCAACAATTGAAACGAATATTTGGTTTACAATTGGTTGAAACTGGGTCCGGGACGGGTCAATATATTGTGCTAAAGCATTTAGATGATGTTAGTAATGAAATCTTAGGGGACCTATGGCAACAAGAGGTAAATCAAAGTCTTGAAAATGAGCTGGTTTTCAAACTTGTGGGGACAGAATCAAAGACAACAACTCCATTAACCAATCCTGAACTTATCAAGACTGGAGTATTTACTTTGGTGATATGTTTATTGGTTGTATCTGAGAATAATCTTCAAGAATCTGAACTTTTAAGTAAACTACAACTGTTTGGTATATCCAATAATTTGAATGATAGAAATCAAGTATTGAATATGAACTATAAAGAGTTGATCATTGATATGATAAGGAAACAGTACCTTTCAAAGCGTGCAAACACAGTTCATGGTACAACTAATACATCGGAAACGTATACTTTAGGATCACGGGCATTAATGGAGATCCCATCGGATAAAATGTTGCTATTGGTTAAGACTATTTACGGAGATAAGTTCCCAGATGTTGAAGAGAAAGTGGTCAAGACAATTGGGAGAGCATATGAATAATTCTTATGTCATTGAAAAAATATATGTATAGAATACTATTAAAATTGTTATTATTATTACTATTATTACTATTAGTCAACAACGGCGATGGAGAGATCAATATTACCTTTTTAGTACTCTTCATGTGCCGTTACAACGTTTAAACGACCCCTCAATGCCTGTGACATTTTGCTTTTAGTACCGAATGGAAGCTACGCATATGCGCGCTACCACGTACAATTTTTTCAGCCAGTCCATTGATTGTACAACCTATACGATAACAAGGACATTACACCTTACAAACTAACGTACGTTAGTCTTAGTTTGTCGCCACATTAGTTAGTATTGTACTGAGCTGTCCTCTCTTCACAACCAAATCCCGGAATTGAAAACTAAAACCACAAATAGGAAAAAGCTTGAAAGCCAATTTCCGTTTACAACTATCTTTTCCGACATAGGTATCTCGCCATTGTCCTGATATTGCCCAAAAAGGCAACGGGATCACCATACGACATTATTGGCAAGAATCCATTCTTATATAGAGTGTCGTTTCTTTCCATTCGTTTAAAACAGTTTATTCGTAGCAGAATACATTCATTCGTAGCAGAACACATCCTTTTTGTTATTCTGGTCGAATTTATTATACTAGTCGAATTCATTGTACTAGTCGAACTAACTAATTGATAGCGGCTATTACTATGGCATTGGATACTTTAGACTTTGCAGTGTTGTTTGCATTGGCCGTGGCCGTCGTGGCGTATTTCGCCAAGGATCAAATTTTTGGGTCGGGGAATGCTAATGAAAAGGGCTTCTTGTCCAATACGGGTTCTTCAGGATCATCGAGAGATTTGGTTGAGGTTTTAAAGAAGAATAACAAGAATACCGTGTTGTTTTATGGGTCCCAAACAGGTACAGCGGAGGATTATGCTTCTAAATTACTGAAGGAATTAGCTTCTAGATTTGGTTTAAAATGTTTGACTGCTGATTTGGCAGATTACGATTATGACACGTTGGATACCATTTCCAATGACGTATTGGTTTTCTTCCTTATGGCTACTTATGGTGAAGGGGAACCAACTGATAATGCTGTTGAATTCTATGATTATTTACAAAATGATGCAGACCAATTGGCTACGTTGAAGTATACCGTATTTGGATTAGGTAATTCCACCTACGAATTTTATAATGCTATTGGGAAGAATGTCTTTGAGAAATTGGAATCCTTGGGTTCAGAATCGTTTGCTCCTTATGGTGAAGGTGATGATGGTAAAGGTACCATGGATGAAGACTTTTTGGCTTGGAAGGAAAAAGTATTTGATGCTTTGAAGAATGATTTGAATTTCGAAGAACATGATTTAACTTATGAACCTGCTATTGAGATCATCCCCATGGATAAAGATGTTAATGACGAAACGGTATCTTATGGTGAACCAAGTGCAAAATACTTGGATCCAACTTATAATGCTTCAAGAGGTCCATTTGATCATTCTCATCCTTATATTGCCCCCATTGCAACAACTACAGAATTATTCCACTCTAAAGATCGGTCTTGTGTTCATGCGGAGTTTGATATCAGTGGGTCCAATTTAAGATATTCCACCGGTGATCATTTGGCTATTTGGCCATCGAATTCGGATGAAAATATCAAATTGTTTGCTAAGGCTTTCAATGTTGAATCCAAATTGAATGATGTATTCAAAATTAAAGCCTTGGATTCAACTTATTCAATTCCATTCCACACTCCTATCACTTATGGAGCTGTTATTAGACATCATTTGGAGATTTCAGGTGCAATTTCAAGACAATTTTTGTCGTCAATTGCCAACTTTTCTCCTTCACCAGAAATTAAAAAGGAAGTAACTAAATTAGCCAACGACAAACTTTTATTTGCTAAAGAAGTTACTAGTCAACAATTGGATGTGGCTGATTTATTATTGAAATTATCTAATGGCCAACCTTGGACTCAAATTCCATTTGAATTTGTCATTGAAACCATTCCTCATTTACAAGCTCGGTACTATTCTATTTCTTCCTCATCATTGACAGAAAAGACTTCAATCCATGTTACTGCAGTTGTTGAAGCCGAAACTCACCATAATAAGAAGGTTGGAGGTGTTGTTACCAATTTACTCAAGAATTTGGAAATTGAACAAAATAATGAAAAATCAGAACCCTTTTTACATTATGATTTAAAAGGTCCAAGAGGTAAATTTTCTAATTTCAAATTACCAGTTCATGTTAGAAGATCAACTTTCAAGTTACCTTCCAATCCTTCAATTCCCATAATTTTAATTGGTCCAGGTACTGGGATTGCACCCATGAGAGGATTTGTTAGAGAAAGAGTCACCTTAAAAAAGAATGATCCAAGTGTTACTATTGGAGAGACATTTGTGTTTTATGGATGTAGAACCAGAGATGAAGATTATCTATACAAGAATGAATGGCCAGAGTATGCCAAGGCATTAGGAGATTCATTCCAAATGGAGGTGGCCTTTTCCAGAGAAGATCCAACCAAGAAAGTTTATGTTCAAGATAAATTATTAGCGCATCAACTGAAATTGAATGAATTATTAGACAAGGGTGCCTACATATATGTTTGTGGAGATGCCTCTAGAATGGCTAGAGATGTTCAAAAAACTTTAGGTTCAATCTTGGCCAAGGGAAGAAATATAACTGAAGAAAAGGCTGCTGAATTAATAAGATCTTTCAAGGTTCAAAATAGATACCAAGAAGATGTATGGTAATTGTTATATTATATCATATTATAATTATATCAGTAAGGGTTCTCTTTGTCCCCACCACCATCAAGTTTGATACAATATCTCCAATTGGGATTACTGGAATAATATATTTGTTGTAAGCTTTGTTCAGTCTTTTTCCAATGAGCAAGCTTATGTCTTGATTTTAGATCCAAATCATAAATGTTACAATTGACGTAATATTCATCACCTTTATAGTTCAACACTTTCAACCCCGTAGTATTGATTGAGGTTTGAGATTTCCATTGGGTGGAAGTTTGTAGCAACGTATTAACCAAATCATTGGACGATGATAACAGCGGTTCCAAATCCGTTTCCGGCCGCTTTTGTTGGGATTTGTCAAACTTTAAAAATAACCCGACATCTCTTAGGGTCATCATAAGCAATAAGTCATCAGGGACATGTTCTGCATCCGACACATTTCTAAGATAAGTTGAAGAGTCTTTAGCAGCTTGGAAATGCTTTAGTTTCTGGAAAATATTGTCTGAATCTTTCAAATATAAAGCAAACAATTGTTTAATGTCGATCTTGGTTTTGTCGTATAATCGGGCCAAGTCTTCCTCGGAGAATATACCAAACATATCATCAACTACTCTATTAATTGTCTGAGGATAAAGTAAATCTAAGGGACAGAAATGACGCTTGGAATTCAACCCCTGACGCAATTGCACCAGCAGACACGAACGACAATAATTGGTATTATAATTGTCGTATAACCATTTAGGTTTGATTTCGGCGATCACCGAAGACTCATTATAGAACAAACAAAAGTTCTTGGTTCCCTTAAGCTTGATAAAATCACTGGGGACATTATTGGGGATTAAGAACCCGTATTTTTCAGACTCTTTAAGTTCGGTACCATTCGTATCTAATTGTCTGAGAAACTCGGGAGTTAACACCACAAGTTGCATATCCGTAATCTCCAGCAGCTCAAACAACTGTTTGCATTTCAATTCAACGAAGTCAAAAAGTGAACATGTCAGGATATATTCCTTTTCATCCTTATTGTTCATTCGAAGTCGTAAGAGTTTATTCTTTAGGAAATCATTGGTGCCTTTGTACTCAAAGAGAATGTTGGCTGCACCTTTAGCAAAATACACCCAGTCTTGAGGAGAAGCGACTTTATGGATTTCCATGATAGTGATGAGTAAATATATATATAAATGAATGAATAAAACGTTATGATCAATGTTTAAATGAAATGGAATTATAAGGGTCTAGACCAAAGCAATTTAGGTGTTCTTTGTGTGTCGTATTTCTTCTTTATATAAGGACCTGCGTTTGTGTGTTATATGCACGTTCGTATATATGCATACACTAATATGCGGTCGAAGACATGTTAAATATTACTTCTTCTTCTCATATGCTCTTAAAATCTCTTGCTTGGAAAAGTACCCATTACTCTTCAGTAGTTGTCCCCCATCAAGCAATACTTTCCCCGGACCAACCATCTTCAAATACATAGGTCGGGCAACAACTCGTACATAGACATTAAGTTTTAACCAGTGGTAAACTGTAGAACTAGTTCTTGACATTTTCTTCCATATATCCGAGGAAGTCACTGGCTGAATAAAAGTCTGCCATGTATCAGACATTGATTTGACTATACCACCCATAATACCCATTCTTGGGACTTTAAATGACGGTAATAATTTGGATAAATACTGTTTAACAGTATTGGTATTGTGATGATACTCCATTGTTATAGTACTAATATCACCATTAGTGGCTACCAATGATCCAGGATTGATAAACATATATTGATCTTTATCTTTTAAATCAACTTCAACCAATTCTTCGTCACCACTAAGCACAATATACCCTTTACCCAGACTCTGATAACTCAACCATTTTGCAAAGATCTTTTTGGGAGATAACTCAATGTCATATCCTGTCCATGCAATGATACTTTGTTGCTTGAAAATAACCCATTGCTCTTGTTTATTTCTGTTCTCTATTAGTGAGTAAGTCCCATTATTCTTCACTACCAATGATACGGCACTACGAGCACTAATCTCTTGGAATCCTTGATTACAAATACTCTCTATATCTTCCAACTCTCCATTGATAGCCAACAACGCTCCATCTCTAATGTTAACTGTTGAACTTTGAGGCATCTTTATCAGGAGTAAATCCGATGGTTGCCCTATAGGTTCGAATCGAGGAAGTTCGATGAACGGTCCATTGCCCGTGATTCGAGGTCTACTATTAATTGCCTCGCTTAGATCATTGACAACTGTTCGCCGCCCAACTGTAAGGGTCCTTATTATTTGTCTGAACATTGGTTAAAGATATACAAAGAGAGTAGTAACAGTTATGGGGCACTAATTTTTATTTACTTAATGTAAAATGTCGCGGGCACCATTAATGTCGCACGTACTAAAATATATCCCCGACACCTAGAAATACCATCTATTCATTAAATAAACTCTTTAACCAACTTGTTGGCTTCATTGACACTTTCTAAGTAATTATCAGATACCAATTTGTTGTCAATATCATTGGCAATAATCATCATCTTGACAAAATCGTTCCATAATGTCAATCCAATTCCAAAATCTTCAAATAAGGTATTCTCTTTAATGGAGTTAATACCATTAACATTGATATTAAAGGAAGTATTATTGACTTGATAAACAAAATTCAAAAGATGGTCTTTGGTGTTCTTAATAATATCTTGCTTTGATTTGGTGGGATCAGCAATGGCTTGTCTAATTGAATATTCAAAGTAAATTTCAACCATAACTCCTAATAAAGTATTTGGAACTTCTTTATAAAATGGTAATTGAGAAATCAATTGGTACCAATCTTGTTTATTCTTCAATGAATTTCTGAGATCATTATTCTCTTCATGAACAATGAAATCAACCAATAAGCATTCGAATAAATGAATCAAATCATTAGAAACATATCCAACAAATGATCTAAAATTAAGTAACCCTCTGGAAATTGGTCCTTGATAATTGATTGGAGAAATATTCAATTTCACCAATGTGAAAACTCTAGCAATCATAGTAATCAATTTAGTCTTTTCAAATGATATGGATTCATCATTTGAAAGCTCTTTGAAAAATTTAGGAACACTTGTGAATTCATTATTAATTTCATCAAATCTAATGGTCTGAGTTTTAATTAATAAAAGTAAAAGCATCAAGTTATTAATATTATTCGATTCAGGATTCTCTTGAACAAATCGTTGAAAGATTTTACCCAAATTGGTCAATTTCAATGTTTTATTATCGACAATCCCATACAAGTAAAGTACTCTTAATAAAATAGTACTAATAATGTCTGAAACGGAAGTTATCTTTTTATTTTTGACAGCAGTAAATGAGCCTCCATTAAGCTGAGTCCAAAATTTAGTTAAATTAAACTCATTGGATGATTCTTCCTCTTGAATAAACAACTTTTCAACCATTTTGGAAACTGGAGTAAACATGCGATTATTTAATTTCTCTTCTTCATCTCGGAACCAAAATTTAACATTGATTTTCCGGAACCCGTAGTATCTTGTTAATAATTGGGTAATCAAATTGAATTGACGATCTAAACTTTCAGTATAGAACTTTGAAGTCACTAACCGTTTATAATTATCATTCAAACTGCTTTCAAGTGGTGGTCTTACATGTAACTGTCCTTGAGTTATAGCTTCTAATAACCCCACTGGTAAAAGGCCTATGGATTGATAAAAATAAAACTCAGGAGGTAATCTCTGAGAAATTATATCATGAACATCATTAGGGACTTTAACAACATTACCAGCTGAAGTTGATTCTTCCGATTCAGGTTCCTTTTCATGTTCTAAGAAATCAATATTATTCTTGATGCCCAATTTGGCCATTTCCACGTTATATAATTCCACATATCCATCTTTATTCATCACCGGGATACATTTCAAAGCTGTGTGACCCTTTTGATACAATTCTAATAATGTTGGATCTTGTAAACCCATAATAAATCCATACAAGTCATTTGAGTTGTTATTATAGGAATACTGATAAATGATATCCAACCCCATTTTGAAATAGCTCAACTGAGGATATGGTTGGGTGAGATTTGGTTTAGGAATAGGAGGGAAAATAGGGAACATAGTCGGTTGTAATTCACAACCTACCAAGATACTTAAATCCATCAATTGACGTTCAGAAAGACTTAGATCATGAAGTACTTTGGCTTTATCAATGAATCGGAAATCTTTGGACTGGAATTCCATCCCCAAGATGAACTTATCCAATTGAGTCAACAATAAATCGGTGGACCCATAAATAATATCTATAATATTATTTTGATATAAATAAGAAAGTTGAAATGAAACATCATAAGGTGCAACCATATAATCCACTCCAATATCAATAAAATAAGTAATTAAATCGTGAATCATGGGTCTAACTGGTAATGATTCACTATACAATCTAAAGGATTCCATATTATTGTAAGAATAAGGAGGTTTATTACTTAATTTCATCCAAGTGGTTTCAATATGTTGTTCTTGTTGGCTCAATTCACCGGTTTTATAGTCATGTTTCTGGATTTGGATCTTCATTCCGGGAATAACAAATATGGGCTTAATATTGAACTCCTTGAACACCTGTAAATCCAGATGAATGTAGTCCTTCAAACTGGAGGGTACACCTCCAATTCCAGGTAAAAATTGTTCCTTCTTAAACGTATAAATTCGATATAAATAGTGATCAACATCAATACCGATGGTGGAATTCTGTAAGATCTCAATGGGGCAGCTGCTGACAAGCTTCCGCTCAAATAAAAACGATTCGAGTGATGTTATAGGCATTGTTTATATTGATGTTGTGGTTGTCAAAGGAAGTAGTTGTTGGTGGTTGATTTATTTTGGTTATAGTTTATATTGTTGGTAGGAGCACGACACTTGGTGTAGCAGGTCATAGTGTGGGATGTTACTGTACTGGTGTCTGACAAATTGGGTCTGGATCCATTTATTCTATACCTATTACTGTCCCCTGTTCGATTCCTCACTGGACCGAACAACATACTAAACCTTATTCTACACCAAACACAATACAACATCCCATTCTCTAACTTTATCCATCCAATCAACAGATTCATCTCCCTCTTCTCTAGCACCCCATACTTCATAAGAGATTTGTCTAGCTCTCCAATAATTACTCTTTTGACTGCGTTTCCAATATTCTATAATCTCCTTCTTCTTATCAGGCAATTCACTGCCAGCAATTAATAATGCCCAAAAAATTGGTTTAACATTGGGATCTTCTATTTCAATCAACTTGGTAAAATATCTGTACAGTTCCCGTACGTTTTCCTTATAAATATACCATTGAGCTCTCTTGACAATCTTAAGATAAAATGCTATCATTGCATTATAAAACAGCATCACGTTATAATGAGTTTTCAATTGTTTAAATGTAGCATTGGACGGTATTGAAGGATGTCCCCAATTGAAGATCTGCCTTTCAAGTTTTCCACACTTGCTATAAAATCCTGGAGGTGGCTTCTGTAGTTTCATATTACTAAGAAATATCTTCCTGTCATTAGCAAGCAGAACAACTTCAACAAACATATCAATTAGAGATTTGGGAATCCCGTACATCAAATAGACAAGTTCTGGGTCGATGTTATCTTTATTGAAATTAGGTTCTTTGGTATACCATTGCGTTTCATTCGAAACATCATCATATGAAATAGTAGACTTTGACTTTGATATTTTAATGGAACTATCTTTAATAGAAACTTCTTCTTCTTCATCATCATCATCATCACTTGGATCGCCTTTATCTTTGTATCTTCCTTCGATTGAATAGTTGTGCACATCAATAGAGTGAGTGCTTTCAAAAAATACTTTGACGATTCTAAAGAGTGTCGATAAGAAGATTCCCAATGGGCTAGAGCCATTAGAAAGCTTCTTATTAACTATATGACTTCCAATAGCAAACAAAAGCTCAAGGTTCTCAAAGATACTGAAATAAGTATCCAATTGGATATTCAATAAAATGGCCAATAAAAAGGTGGTCTCATATTCATAATCATCATCTGGAAACCTGGTAGTATCATATTCATCAAGATGCAAATTAATTAAGGTAATGGCGATCTTCCTTATTTCAATGCTTGTTCTTAAATCTTGTTGGATCTCATTAGTATTGGACTTACGGTGTTCTTTCAAGTACTTATTGAATGATGAGATACCCAAAATCAAATATATAACGATCAATTTGAGTTGAAGCTTCAACTTGGCATCTACTGTCTCAAAACTGGGAGTTTTGATCAACGGAATGTAATTTTCATCATAGATAAGTTCAAAAGTCACTTCCTTAATGAATGGACTGACCAAAAGTTCAAGATAATTATTGGGGTAATAGTTTTTAACAAACGTTAGATGATTACTGATTTCAAATTGGGATATTAAACTCTTAAAGAGCTTGGTCACCTGAATAGTCTCATCACTATGGAAACTGAATAGCTTGTTAATAACAGTCACTTGTTTAAGCCAATCATCATCACTATCCATATTATATATGAATTTAGGATACAAGATATGCATCATGTTTTGAGCGTTGAACTGATAATTGGGTCCCTTTATGCCTATTATGGTCAATTTGGCATAGTTCAAAAGAGAATCTCGCACATACGATTGGTTAAGCAATATCTCATGTTCAAGATTCAGTCTTCGTTTCCGTACTACAGCATTTTGAACATCATCATCATCATCATCATTATCATCATCATCGTCGTCGGCGTCGTCATCATCGTCACTTCCAAGCTCATCCGAATAGGTGACAACATCTGAACTGTTCAGTCTTATCTGTGTCTGTGTCCTTTTCTTCTTTGAAGCTATAGGAAATACACTAAATGGCCCCACACTAACATGGCGTTGAGTATTGTTAAGTCGTCGTAGGACTGCGTTCAATTGATTGAACGTTTGATACTGTTGATGTTTAGGGAACCTTACAAGTTCCACTGCTCCCCTTTGAAACGAGTCCTCTAGTCTATACTCATTTGAATCGAATAGTGTACCCATTCTACCTTGCTTATTTGTTACTAATGGATTACACCATCCTAATTGTACAAGATATCCTTCACAATTGAACCCACCTTTGGTACATCGCTTGCATCGAGGACGCAATTGGTCACATTTGACTCGTCTTCTACGGCACGTCCAACACCCATCGAAGGATCGAGTTCTTGATTCCATAACAGTGGCTCCCACAAGTAAAGTCAGTTGGATGTAATTGGTATGGACAACCGAGCATCCCAAACATATACCGAAAGATGGGGTTCCTGGGGTTGTATGCAGTACCTGGAGCTGGGGGTTGTGGGCTTGAACCAACGGAAACACATTAGTCAGTTAATGACGTTGCCACACAAATTATTGATAATGGAATGTAAGACGACACAATCTTAATAATCAACATTAGTCTACTGCTTAATTGAAGAAGAATAATATCAGATACAATTGCTTTGTAGTACCGCCGGACTGTATACGCCTCGGTATCTGCAGGATGTCCAAGAAAGTAGTAAGATTGTAGTAATGATGGTGTACAAGATTATAAAGTACAAAGTTGTGGTGTATAGACAAACTTGTGTTTATTGTGTCAAGGTACTTAAAGCTGTCACTTGCTCTGAGCAGTGAAATTCTACACTGATAAGCGCAGCATCTAATTAATATTTTTTTTGGGAGTATCATATCATGACCGACCTTCCAATTAGGGTTAAACTCTCTAGAGAATACGATAATGAAGTACCTGAATACTTACCTCATGATAAAATATACCTGATTCAAGTTGGTTATAAACTCTTTAGATTAAGTGGGTTTTCACTCTCGTTTGATGGACCATCATATTTCACCAGATTCTTTGAAGTTCCAGAAAATGCTGATACAGTTTTGTTTATAGACAGAAACCCTAAAGTATTTGAATATATTTACAATCATCTTCAAGGGTATACTTTAAATGTTGAAAATGAATATATGTATATTCATTTATGGTCTGAAAGTTTTTATTTCAGTTTAACAAGGCTACAAGATTTTTTAATTAGAGATTATCTCTATGCCAATATAGGAGGGAAAACGTTTAAAATCTCCAAATGTCTTTTCGATCAGAGTAACTTACCAAATTATTTCACTTTGAATTATGATACCATGTTACAGGAGAAAGCCATTATCGAAAAAGTTAAAAGTCTTCGACCTCCGCCTCATGCTCCTCCAAGTATTGATACTCGATCCAGCAAATTATTTGAAGATATTTTGGAATTGTTAAAGGGGAATTATGGGGTCATAACCAGTGATGAACATCGGGCATTATTAATACGTGAATGTCGGTATTATCGCTTCCTTGGGTTAGAACAACGAATCTTAAAACATTCAATATTATTCAATTCTTTCTTAAATAAACATGAAATTGTTTTATCTTTGCATGATATTCAAGCTAAGGGCTTAGTAAATACTTCATCAGGAAGAAACGAAACATTATTGGAGTATCAACGGCCTTTAATTAACGATCAACAACGGATTTTGATTATGCAAATCAATTCAAATGAAGGTTTAAATGGTAGAATCACTTTGCAATTGAATTTAAGTTTTAATATAATCACCTTGAAATTGCAAGACAAAATCGCCCTTAAATTCTCCCAAGTATTCAAAAATTATTCGGATTCAATTGATAAGGATAAAGAATCAATGTCTTTGAAGGTTGTTTGTAATTTAACAAATACTAAAATGATAATAAATCAATTGGAAATGAATAAAACTTGGATTCATGATGCCTTTGGTGAAGAATTTAATAAAATTGCAAACTCAAAACCAAATCCAGAGAATACAGCTACTCTTGGAAATGAATCCAGTCAAACTTTTAAAAAGAGAAAAATTGAAAATTTAAATGGTGATATGGTTGAATTTAAAATCTCAAAATCTCTTTGGAAATCTTATGTCAGAGGCAATTATCTTATATTAGATGCAATTGCAATAGAAGCATTCTCTGATGAACTTGGTTATCAAAGAAATCTGATAGACTTTTTATAAATCAACTTCATAACTTAATGAGTTTTGTTTCCTAATATCATCTAAAATTGACATTATCAATTGACTTTCATTCCAGGACATAATTGATGATTGTTTCTCTCCGGCTACAATCATTTCTCCACATTCGATAGCTTCGTAAATGTATCCCAGAGTTCCATCTAAATCATCTTCAAAGGATTTTTCGATTTCTTGTCCATTTTTTAACTTGATATGATACTTAATTGGTGCAGGTCCAATGCCTCCACTGTAAATGGAAATAGAACCCAATTCTCCATCAATTTTAGCAATAAGACCATCAGATACATCAGATGAAAAAGAACTAATTCCTGTGGCTTGTTGTTTATGTGTTTGATCACTTATAATGAATGAAGTACAAAAATCAACCTCATCCTCTTGTTTCCCATTAAGACTTTCAAACACCATAGAAGAAACAATCTTCCAATTGGATTTAGGATCACTTTGAGGATCCATAAATATCCGACTATAAGTAATGGGATAAATAGTAATATCAAGTAAAGCACCTCCACCCAATTTCTTATCAGCTACACGATTTGAAGGAACCCAATCATCGCCATGTAAACGTTTCATATCAACAGAAAGATCACTAAAGATTCTCTTGACATCACCAACTTTCTTATCTTCATACAAGATCTTCTGTACTTCCCTGATCAAGGGAAAGTATCTAACCCATACTGCTTCCATAAAGAAAACATTGTTTTCCCTTGCAGCATCAAGAATCAACTCCAATTGCTTACTGTTAACTGTTACTGGTTTTTCACATAATATATGTTTCTTCCCCCTAGTAATAGCTTCTATTACAAAGGAATGGTGTAATGTATGGGGTAGGCCTATATAAAGGATATCGACTTCAGGGTCTATTTGGATATCTTCATAGGAAACAACTTTCGTACCATAAACATCATCATAATACTCATCAATATTTTTTTCAATAAACTCTTGACCCTTGGCTGGACTCCGTGAAGCAACTCTGGTGATTACATGCTTTATCTTGTTGGCACCTCTTGGGTTCTTATTTAAGTATACGAGATCTCTGGCAAACACGCCACTAATGATTCCACACCCAACAATGCCCCATCTTAATTGTGACGACGACATTTTAATAAGAAGAAAGTAAAATATTGAAAATATTCTTTAATAAAAGATGACTGTATCATTTTCTGTACTACAAATCAGATAGGTTTATATAACGTGCACATGGCTCAATATGGCATAGTTTACGTTTTCTTACGTAAGCATTCGCTATATCATATCCTTCGCAAATATGAGCTGCGCTACCAGGTTCAGTTTTAATATAATTCGTTTCCTCTCTTGATCACGTTTACCACTGACATTATTCATTTACTCTCTTTCCACGTTCTGTAGCTTCCAATGTTCCTTCTAAATCATCTTCATCTGGAATTCGAATTTCATTTCCATCTTTAAATTTGATAAGATATTTAATTGGACGTGCCCAATTCCCCATCAATTCGTGCACTGAGACCATCGGAATCATCAGATTTAATAGGTTGTAGTATATCACTAATAGCGAATGCAGTACAAATATCAACCTCCTGTTTTAAAACAGAAATACCTTCGAAATCATCAACCATCTTAGTTACAATTTCCCACTAGAACTCGGGGTTGCGCTGCGGGTTCGTTAATAACTGACTAAGAATAATTTTGACGAATAGAAGGATCCAGCCATACATCTTTTTCGAACCTTGAAATTCGAACATCACGGTGTAAATTTTTCACATAAAAACAAAGGGGCACCAAAGATATGTTTGATATCACCAAATCTCTTATTGTCAATTAACATTCCTCGCTCTTCAAGTGTCTATGGGGATTTATTCAACCCAACCAATATTCACAAAGAAAATACGATGATTTTTTGTATCTTGAAGAATGTGCTCCAATTGTATACTAATAAGCTTTACAGCCCGACCAACTTCTTCCTCATTGTGATTGCTGATATTATGTAAGAGCATGGATGGGGTTCAGTAAGATCTCTCCAACTGAAACAGTTTTGGTACCATAAATATTACCATGAAATTTCTTTGAATGTATTTTTTAAGTTGGCTTAGAACCAGGGTTGGGTCCTGTGAAGCTTCTCTGGTGATTACATGTTTGATCTATTGAGGAACTCTTGGATTCGGATTCTTATTTATGTAGACAACTTAATTGCGATAAACACATTATGGATCCATACCCAGTAATACGCCATCCAAATTCACCGGCGACGACATAACGATACCATAAAAGTTCATAAAGTATTTTTATCATATCAAATCAAAGAAGTTAAATAAATGATTAATTATTATAAAAGCAACTCCTTGATATAATTTTCGTTTTCTTACGTAATCACTAGACATGTGTTCGACATTTTCTATCTGCGCTACCGTGTGTCCGATAAACCACCATATCTTTCATCCAAAAAAAAAGTCGCCTATCAATCAACCCAATATCAATTGAAGCGAGTAGACAAACAAACATTCCACGCCCACTCACTCCCTATGTCTGTTTCTAATGTACTTGTGACCTTGGCCGTCTTGACGGTTGGAGGGTACATGCTTTTCAACGATGCCGGAGAATCATTTAATGTCGGACAATTCTTAGAACAAACATCTCCATACATGTGGGCAACCATAGGAATTGCCAGTTGTATTGGATTATCAGTTGTTGGAGCAGCTTGGGGGATTTTTGTCACTGGATCTTCAATAATTGGGGCCGGTGTCAAAGCACCTCGGATCACTACAAAGAATTTAATCTCCATTATTTTCTGTGAAGTTGTGGCTATCTATGGGTTAATCATGGCCATTGTATTTTCCTCCAAATTAAGTAGTATTCCAGAAGCACAATTGTACACTAAAGAGAATTTATATACTGGATATTCATTGTTCTGGGCAGGTATAACTGTTGGTGTATCTAATTTAATTTGTGGTATTGCGGTTGGTATAACTGGTTCAACTGCTGCTATTAGTGATGCTGCAGATTCTTCATTATTTGTTAAGATCTTGGTCATTGAAATCTTTGGATCTGTTTTAGGTTTATTTGGTTTAATTGTTGGTTTATTAATGGCTGCTAAAGCTCTAGAGTTTGATTAAATTTATTACTACACCTTCAATTACTAACTGAAAATTATATATATAATTATATTTTAACTATCAGTTTCCATGTAATCTGGATTCTTCTTCAAGATTGTAATTCCCTCTAATGAATTACTTAAACTAATCCATTCCTCAGTATTCTCCAATTCAGCTCTCTCGCCATAATTCAACAATACCGGAGTAGATTGTGTCACCCAACCAGTAATGGTCTTGGGTTTACCAGCTTGTCCCACAACATCAACAGCTTGTCCAACACGTACATTGACTTTAATTGGCTCGAGGTTCTCATCAACAGTAACCAACATCCGGGGCTGAATAGCCGGGGTTAAAAAGTATAATAATTGATGAGATACTTCGGTATAAGAATCATTCAAAACGAAATCTTTAGGATCCAATAATGCAACAGCAATGGTTAATAACGATGCCAATGATGCCTTTGATAATATAGACCTTTCAGTATTAAAAGGGTTAAGCGTTAAAGTACCTTTCCCTAAATGTAATATACCTTGAGCAATTCTTACCATGAATAGAGTATCAGCATTCTTAATATAATAAACTGCCAATTGTCTCAATAATTGAGCTAATCTGGCATTATTAGTACCAGCACCAACCAATCCCATAGCATAAATGGCATTTTGAGCAACTTCTAAATCAGGATCATGGGAATAACGTGATAAGGTATCAAATACCTTCATTTGTGGATTGGAAGCAGATACAAGACCCATGGCTAATGGAACTGATCTACGGATTAATGAATTCCCATAATGCATCAAATGAGAAAAGTGCCTTAAAGACATATCTTGTCCAATGTCTTCTCCCATAGCAATTATGGCCAATCCCAATACAGCAAATCCTTGATACAATTCATCTTCTTCCTCTTCGTCTTCATCAACCTTCTCGTTCTCTTCTGTTGAAGACTTATCTTCTACTTTAGGCTTAGATTCTTCTGTGTTGGCCGTGGTGTTGGTGGGGGCAGTAGCAGCAGCGGCATTCGTCAGTTCAGGGGCCTCAGTAGCATCTTCCATAACAACGTCACCATCAGCTTCAATGGTTTCGTTATTTTCTTCACCAGAAGGTTGTTGTTCTTTCTTCATTTGATCTTCTTCACTTTGTTCCAATAATTTTTCTTCTGCTGAAGTATCCTTTGGCTTGGCTGTACACATTTGCAACAATGATTGGATCTGTAAAACGTTACCAGTTCCAGCATATGCACAAATATTCACAAGAACCTTTAAGCTCTTACTGATTGGATATTCAATGGCACTAATGGCTTCCAACACATCTTCTATTTGTTCATGTTTACCCATGTACAACAAACCCAACCCAAGAGCCATGAACTTGACGTATTTACTACTCAAACCAACAATATCACCTTCTAATAATGCTTGTAAAATTGAAGAAGTAATTTCACCATTACAAGTACCCACAAATACATGACCCAAAGATAAGGCAGCAATACATGAGATTTCCAATGAAACATCCAAATCAGAGATTAATGGTAATAATAATGAGCATACATCTTCATTGGATGTCCCGGAAAAGGCAATACCCAAACCCATAATAGAAGATGTTTGTAACGCCTTTTTGGGGTCAAGAACATATTCTTGTAGCAATGCAAATGCTGCATCTGATTCATCATGAACTCTTGAGGAAACAATACCAGTTCCTAATAAAGCACCTGCTTTAACTTCATCTTCTGTTGATTCGGTATATTTATCCAAAACTTGTAAACCTTCATCAGCAGACCATTGATGTATCCAACCCAAAGAAGCTGTAGTGGAAACCATACCTTGACCCTTTGTTTTGTAAATCCAAGACTTATTATCTTCTTCAGTTTGAACTAATTTATCAGACCCAAATCCAAAGTTGAGTAGACCATTGACAAATGCGGCTGCCAAATTTTGTTTCGCAGAATCAATTGCACCTGAAGATCCAAATAAATATTTAGGATATTCTAAATGTGATTTATAAATATCTTCTGGAGTTTTTGGATCCAACAAATTCAATTCTTTAGTTAAATAAGAATAATATTCATGTAATTTTGTATTTGAAATTGCTTCTTGAACTTCAGCATTTTCACCCCCATAATCAAAATTATTATATTGTTGAGATAATACAAATCCCAATTGTTTGTGTATGGATTCATCATCAGTTGAGTTAAAAACTTGTTTGATTAAGTCGACATCATCCAATTTGATAGCCAAAGTTAAAGCTTGAGGCCATTGATTATTTGATAAATAGATTGTGTATGCGGTATTCAAGAATGACAAATCATCAGGAGGAGCCAAAAAGGGAACACAACTTACCATATAAAGACAGACTCTTGCAAATGTATTTTCATCAACAAATTGAGGCAATTTATCGATATTTTCAATTTCTAAAAGTAAATCAACTGCATCAGCTTCAGCATTATGTTTCAAGAAATATGGAACAATTTTCATGGATAATTGAGTTAATTTATGAATCAAAGATTCATCAGTCCCTAAATTTTCTTGATAAGCTTCACCAATTTCCAAAGCCAAATGACGTAAATATTCATGACCCCAATCTACAATTGTATCTTGAGAAGAAAGTAATCTATAATTAAGAGAATCACGTTTCCCATCATCAGAATAAGTCATAGCCAATACCGATAAAATATCTGCCAAGGATACCACTGCATTATTATCAGCACCAAATTTGGTTGACCATTTTTCATAAACTTCAGTTAAAAGGGGGAAATGAGGTCTAAGGAATTTCAATGGTTTTGGAACAGCAGTCATTGAGGTTGTAGAATCACGAATATGTTCTTTTAATTCGGTTAATGATTGAGTATACGCATCGGATTCTGTATGAGGCTCATTCAACTTCTCCACTAACGATTCCAAATCATCATTCAACTTTTGATCTTCTTCAGAAAGTTCTTCTTCCTTCTTGCGATCCTTCTTCACTTCAGGCGAGATTCCCCCTTCAGTAGGTCTTTCGCTTGTCACTGGGGCCATTTTGACAAAGATATTTAAACGTCTAGAGTTCTATGTCTGTCTGTTATCAATTGGATACGTAATGTCTCTTTTCAACAATACAGACAACACCAGACGTTGAATTGATACTGAGATGAATGTCCCGGTTTCGTGTGAGTTAAGTTTCGTTTGGTTTCGTTTTTCGTCGATCAAGAAGGCAAATGTCGTGCGCGGGCGAATCTGGTGAAGGTGAACGGTTACAAACAGATTTGGTTACTACGTTATGTTTGTCACTGGGTGTATAAGAAATATGCTGAAATGTATGTGTTAGTGTCTGTATTCTACGTCTGACTGTACTCTGTCTCTATGTCTGTCTCTATGTCTGCCTCTATGTCTGCCTCTATGTCTGTCTCTATGTCTGCCTCTATGTCTGCCTCTATGTCTGTCTGTTCGTCTGTCTGTTTGTTTGTCTATGTTCTACATTTGTCTCCGTTCGATATACCACACCTAAAACTATTACAGTGCAAATAATACGAGCATTAGTACAAATAACCACAGTATCTATTCAATCACCACCATTATCTCCATCTGTTTATTCCTCCCACTATATTGACTTATCACCAAATGAAGAGCAATTCTGTGTACTGCGATCGCACTAATCGGGTTATTATTTACCTTTCCATATACACCAACCTTTCGTACTAACAGAACCCACTTACACTTGTCTGCCCCTCTTTGCGTGGTAGTCATGGATCGTATTTTCTATAGGTCGCCTCATTACGATGACCCCACAGGCTACCCTCTCTATATCTTTGACACATCGTTTCTCCCTCCTCCGGAAACCGTCAACTATGATGCCTTGGTGCCCCAATTGATGGGCCGGCTTCCTTCAGTTCCCTATACGGTAGTGATGTTTTGTTGTGGTCTTAACAAAATTAGCTGGCTCACAGGTATAAAGTTCATCCAATCATTTGTCACTGCTACTAATTCCAACGGCCAACATCAATTGGATTTGGTGTCAAGAATTATCACCGTTCATGATAGTTGGTTAGTAAGATCCATTACAGAATTCTGGACAGCTTATGCATCTCAGAGAAGAAGAGCCTTATCTTTAACATCCTTGATCTCACAACCTCAATCTTTGTTGGTGGCTCAGAAACCAATCCTACATTTCTCCTGTCTAGCAGATTTAACGTCTATTCTTGACGTGTCTAAATTGAAGCTCTCTTTAAACATTTATCGTCATGATTGTGAAATTGATTTGGATAAAAAGTTACAATTAAAATATTATCCTCCTTTAATATCCGAGAATGAACCTGTCCGGATCGACCTGGAGTTATCACCAATCTTGTACCATCATTTTTATCTGATCTTTGGTGTATTGAATCAACATGGCACGCAAGTACCTCTTGTGTTCTTCAAACCAGGGAATAAAACAAACACGGATATCTTTTATGATGCTATAAACAGAAACCAAGTGCTTTATATCAATGACTTTGATCTTTATTGCATTGCTACTGTCTTTAAACGAATAATATATTCGTTATCGTCTCCACTTATTAATGTCAATTGCATTACTTTACCATTAGGTAACGACTTTGAATACACCCGGACCATTTTCAGCTCAATTATACAAACTTATGAAAACCCGGAAGACCTCCAAATCATACTACAATTGCTTTCCTTATGTCTGAAACTAATACAGAATCTGGAAATTACTTCATTGACTTCCATCACCTTAGCAAAGAGTTTAGTCCATTGTCTAACTCACCAGGTAGTCTCTTCTCAAAATAAAGATCAAGTGGCCATAGCCACCAGGTTTCTTAAAAACCTTATTGAATCATGGCCCCTCTTGATTCAACTTTCTCAGTTTTCACTGACATATATTCCAGTGGAACATGCTCTAAAAGTCGGTGTGCCTTTTTCTTCCTCTGAAGAGGGGAAAGATTTACCTCCAACACCTGTCACTGCTAATGAAACAAAAGGTGATACCATTAGTTTTAGACTTGAGGATATTTCTTATCCCACTTGTCAAGTGGAAAAGTCCCTAACGTCAACGGAAGACGGCCTCGAACCACCTCCAGTATTGGAGAAATCGAAAAGAGAGCTTCCAAGTATTCCAATTGAAGAACAAGATGGTGGTTTATCTTCATTGTTACCACCTCCACCACCTCCAGAATTTGGGACTTCCATATCGTTAGATGTTAAAGAACTTCCTGCTACTCCAAATATAAGTTCACCTTCAGCCTCACCTCCAGGAACACCCAATTCTCGTCGTTTGAAACCAACAAGACTACGTTCCTCATATTCAAGATCCCCCAAGGGTAGTCCTAAAAGAATCCTGATGCAGTTTCCTCCACAGAAGTATAAGTTTCAAAGTCATAAGTCTCATTCAAGTTCTAGTCTGACCGGAGGAGAAGTATTGTTTGACTGTCTGCCTAATAAATCACGGAAAACTGTCATCAGAGGTAGAAGGGTTGGAGAGCTAACTAAACTTTTTGAGGAACGAGCAGAAGCTATGCAAATCATACGAGATCTATAAGAAAGCAAAGGTAAGGGATAAAAAAGTTAAATATTTATTATAAGGTCACATAGATATAAAAGAGATAATTATGTTACAAGGATCATTAACAAGATCACTTCAAATAAAAAAAAAAGTAATATAAAATGGGAAATAATAATGAAAGGTAACAAATTTCATCATTCTCCCACCAATCGAGAATCAATATTGTCCATAGACAAATCTTGGTGACTTCCATTGGCAACGGCAGCGATTGCTGCTGCGGTGTCGTTGTCAGTCAAACCGGGATGTTGTGAATGTTGATAGTATTGTTGTTGTTGTTGTTGTTGATATTGTTCGTCCATACGAGCAGCCTGTAAATGTCGTTGCAATTCTTCTTGACTGTATTGCAAATCGGCTGCTGCGGCAGCAGCCACTGCTGCTGCTGCATGAGACATTTGGTGAGGCAATGCTTGTTGGTGTAATGGATGTTGTTGTAATTGTTGAGATTCATCATCAGATTCAATAACGGTTTGGTATCTACCAGCAGTGTGTCTCTTTTTTCTTGGTCCATCTTCATAATTCCCACTGGTAGATCCAGCAGTACCTACAACTGAAGAAGATGCCTTGATAAACGAACGACTTTGTTTCTTCATTTTCCGCTTGTAACCCCTGATTTCATTATAAATATCTTCTCTCTTAATAAGAACATCAGGGTACTGATCTTTGATTTTGGATTCAATCAAAGATGGTTTTGTACCAACCTTATACAAATCCAAAATCAACAAGTTAAGTTCATCCGAACGTTTACGTAACATTGGATGATTAGCCAAGGGGTCCAATTGAGGATGATTGTGTTCGTTACAAGTGGTTCTCAAAGTCCAAACCCCAGTAGATTTCTTACAAGTAGCAGACATAGCAAATGGACATCTCAACTTCTTAGTTTTTGCGTTAGCATCCAAAAGGTAGCCTCCACCCATATCAATGGTGGCAGAGTCATTACGCTTGTCTACGGGAGACTTAAAAGTACCTGACGGTGGGGGAACATAAAGATCACCAGGAAGGGTACCAGGGGGAGCATGGGGATTTGGAGTAGCTGAACCATGGCTACTAGGTTGACCATTTTCACCAGAACTCAAATTACCACTTGATGACCGATCCTTCTTCTTGTGTCTGTAAGTACCACCCAATTCACAAGTATAATAAATAGCCTTCTTATTGGAGTGAGAAATGACCACCCCGAACCCATTATCTCTAGCAAATTCCAGAATGAATTCATTCAATTGATCACGATTCAGGAATACTTGTTCGGGGAATGGTCTAGTAATTAAGTTACCCTCTGCAGTTATTGTATTCTCACTAACTGGATAAATCTTCAGCTTAGAATCAATCAATGGTTCAGGGAGAATGTTGTACTCGTTACCGGAGTTGTATTGTTGTAAACTTAACTCGTACTGTTGTTGTTGTTGATTTTGATGTTCATGTTGGGATTGTCCGTGAATGGGGGCTTGAGGATGAACGTGACCATGATGAACCGAATCCTGTTGATGAAGATGATGAGCATGTTGTTGTTGTTGCTGCTGTTGTTGTTGTTGTTGTTGTTGTTGCTGCTGCTGTTGTTGCTGCTGCTGTTGTTGTTGTTGTTGCTGTTGTTGCTGTTGTTGTTGTTGTTGTTGTTGTCTTTGATGTTGTTGTCTTTGACGTTGTTGCTCGTCCTCGGCTTGAGCTGCTGCTGCGGCTGCTGCTACTTCAGCCAGACTGGCACCTTCATCGTAAGGAATATGGTACTTTTCTTCATCAACATTCTGGCGAACAGCACTGGCTACGGCTGCAACTTGAGCAGCAGTTGCTTCATCAACCAGACGGGATTTCTTAGTATCAATAATACGTGATTTTCCTCCATCTTCACGTTTGATCTTCTGGGATCCTTTTCCCTGGTGACGTTCTTGCTCCGCCACTACGCGGGTGAGGAGTTGTTCGTCGATGGCATGAGAGTATTCCGAATCAGACATGTTATGGCTGCAAATCGGTCAGTATGGGGAAGTGCTTGCCTCAAGATGTGCAATGTTCAAAAGTAGTGTAGTGAATCAGTCGTTTGTTGTGAAGTGGACTTTTTGAACGGGGGACATTTGATTTGAATTTTGATGAAGTCGTGGCAGCTTCGGTTTAGGGATAAACTGTTACCCGGACGTTGATGTTAGTGTGCAGGAATGGTGATGTTTTTATAACCAATAAGAGTTAGTTCTATTGAGGCTAAGTCATGATAATGTAAACAATAGCATAAAAAGATCACGCAATTGGACTTGGCCAAGTTTCTGCTTAGATTTAATTAATGAAGGTTGTATTAAGTTAGTGTAAACTAGGTTTGCGCGTATAGTTACAAGGAATATTTGAATGAAATAGTGCAATTTTCAATAGAAAACAGGCCAACCATGTAGAGACACAAAGGTCAAGACAATATGAATTACTAAGCGAAGGAACTACATAAAACAAAAGCAATACGTAGACGTTGTTACTCATACATTTACTGATCATTCAATCGTACGTTCTCGTAGAGCTAAGCAGAACATACCGAGCTCTGTAACCAGCCAAACCACCATACATAGGGCCAGATCACGTGACATACAAGATGTATAGACTTCAAGAATTAGGACTGAACAGTAGCTTTATCTATGTTCTTATGATTAAAGCTCAATTTCAGTGGCACACAAGCAATGTAGCCATACAAGATATTAATATTACTACCATTAGTCTAAACTTTCTATTTCTATATACCCAATCGTATCATCAGTATACCACGAACCCCCAAAAACGGTCAGTGGTCGTAGTACCAAAACAGTGCGATGAGATCAACTGAATTCATTTGCAGATAAGACCAAAACTATTAGCTTAAAACATTTTTAGCCCAAGTTGGTAAAACAAATGAAGCTTCATGGATTTCACTGCTATAATATTTGAAAAGTTTCATTTCCGTTTCGGAGTCGAATATTCTTTGAGGACGTTTCAAATCTAACTTTGCATTCTTTGAAGCTATCAATAAACCCAACTGACCACCCGTATAAGAAGGCATGTAACATTGAGAAAACAGAACATTTGGAAAGACCTTCTTAGCAGTAACATTTAATGATTTAATATAAGGTAAATTTAACCATATATTTTCTGAAGATTGCATAATTACAATTCCATCATCTGCTAATGCATTTGATAATAAATTAAAATATCCTTCACGAAAGAATTCAACAGCAGGACCTTCAGGATCAGAGGAATCTGTAATAATAACATCATATTTCTTTGTGGTTTCCTTTAAAAATTTGAAACCATCATCAATAATTAAATCAAATTTAGGATGTTCAACAAATGTAGTCATATTAGGGAAATATTTTTTGGCTAATTCAATAACCAGTGCATCAATTTCAACCATTGTAACAGATTCAAGAGTTTCAATATGTTTACCAACTTCTCTAGCAACTCCACAATCACCGCCACCAATGATCAAAACATTTTTGGGATTAGAATGAGCCATTAAGGGAGTATGAGAAATTAATTCTTGATACGCAAATTCATCTCTTTCGGTACATTGAATGATACCATTAAGTACAAGGACATTACCATAATCAGTAGACTCAAACACTAAAATATCTTGGAAAGGAGACTTTGTATGATGGAGGACTCGAGCAACTTGTAAACCAAATATTTGACCAGGGAATGTTGCTGGATCCTTTTCAAAGAACCATTGTTCACCCAGTTCTAAAGTTTGGATAGAGGGGTGAGTTGATGATGACATGAGTAAAATAAAAAAATACAAGAACTCAACAAATGATTAACATGAAAGGTCTACTTTATTGATAGTGATAAGGAGAAGAGGATCCAGCCACTATAGACTGCAATGATAGATGAGCTAACCATCAATACTTTAGGTAATACATCGCGCGAGTCACATATTCCCTAAACAGGAAAATCATGTCACTCATACACTTCATCAAAGAACTACGGTCAGTTTACTTCAATTAGATTCTAGATGAAACTTGAATACACTGTAAGTCAAAGTATAACATTGAATGCAAATCAGTTTGAAAATGAGCAAGTAATCCAATTTATTACGTCATGACATGGTTACATGGTGGAAAAAAGTAGATCCATTAGTGAAAAAAAGAGTATGTCCCCACATACAGTACACCCACAAACACCATCGTACTGTTGTTAAAGTGAAAAATTGCCTTTAGGTTTGCATTTTCGTTATATTCAGTCCCGAGTTTGATCCGCTATTAAGCATTATAGTGGGGTACCAGGGAAAAGATATGTTTGTGGAGATTGTACAAACGACGGGTGGATCAGACCCCGCAAACATAGTTATAACAAATCCATCAAAAATACTCTAAAAGGAATTCCATACAATTCAACCCACCACCCAGCATTCCTTCTCTCCTTTAAAAGCTTTTACCTTTTTGTATCGGACTTAGTATATACGAACCCCCCATTCATTAGGTGTACATTGTTTTAATCATGGTGATATCTGTTTCTTATTTCTTTTTTGTACGGGCCGAGCCACTCCTTCATATGATCCCACAAGTCGTGTCACACTCATCTTAGTGTCACGACCGAGGCTAGTAGTGTCCAGACCAATATCCCAGATTTTTAGTCAGGAGAGCCAAAATTTGCTGCTTATAAAAATTTGATACCCATTCCTATCAAACTACGCTAGTTACCAGTAATTAAAAAGTCCTTATATAAGTGTATCTTTGGGCGAACCAAGTGATAGCAACCAGCAGAATCATTTTGACTCCATAGAACTAGAGATTTCTGCGATAAATATCCGACTCCCATCCCTTCATATTATTACAAACAGCATCACATCCGTTAAGTGCATTTCGAGTGCCTTCTTTTGACGTAGTACGATTTTTCCCAATAGATCAGCCTAGATTAGAAGAGTCCTGATTCTACACCAAAAGACGCCACGCTCATTATTTCAACATGCCCCTTGTTTCTCGTGTATGGGCTTCAACCCCAATACAAAATGTGATGAACTCGACTATTGTCCGTTTTCTAACTGAAATGTTGATGTTTATGGTGTTTACCATCATCAATATCAAAGCTTCACCTGTCGTTGTTGATGACCACAAGGAAGTCGTATCTAGTACCACGACCGCCACCACTACCAGAACTAAAGTTCATGAAAGTGAATCATGGCCTACTCCTTCACGTACGCCCACTTCTGAATATGATGTATCTGATCATGATGAAGTTGAATCTCATCCATTATTTCCAGTTATCTCCAATGGCAACTTTACCGAGAAAACAGCTGGCTTGAATGCTGCTTCTGCTCCAGTTCAATCTCACCCCCAATTGTGTTCTACTGGATTAACCACCAGATTATTGCCTTTCAAAAACTCCAAGGGAGAAATCGAATGGGCTTTTACTGAGGATGTTCCTGGAAATGAATTGGATGTGTTCAAGTTGAATACCAAAGATCATACTTATAAGGTGGCCAAAGACATTAGACCAAAGAAAGAACCTTCCTCTGATGAAGACTTAAGTGAAGTCGAATCAGACGATTATCAGCATCAAGATAAGAATAATAGTCGTCAAGGTATTGAACTATCCCCAATAACCTCCAACTCTTCAAACAATGAATCCATTGATTCGCCTCAGTTAAATAAGAAGTTAGACACTCAAAATTTCACATCTCCCACTTCAAGTGAACTTGAATCTGCTGATGGAGATGGAGACGTTGACGTTGATGGTGAAGATGGTGAAGATGGTGATAAGATTCACCATTGTCCTCACTGTGAAGCCACGTTTAAGATTAGAGGATATTTAACTAGACATTTGAAGAAGCATGCGGATACAAAAGCTTATACCTGTCCTTTCCACAAGTTTTCCATTTACATTGATGAACATAACAATACTCATAAATGCCATCCTAATGGTGGGTTTTCAAGAAGAGATACTTACAAGACCCATTTGAAGTCTCGCCATTTCAAATACCCTAAGGGTATTAAAACTAAGGATAGACCAAGATCTTCCGGTAACTGTTCTATGTGTGGGGAATTTTTTGAAAATGCTGAAATTTGGTGTGAAATTCATGTTGAAGGTGGAGAATGTAAGTATCTCCCACCCGGATTCAAAGGTAAATCTAGAATTAAAAATCGTTTAAGACGAGAAAGAATTCAAAGAGAAAAGGCCATACAACGGAAAATGAGACAACAAATCCTGCGAGATCAAAAGAATGGAGTCAATCCAAGATCATCGCAACAAGGAGGTATTTATCCATCTCAAGACCAATCCAATTTTACGGGCCTTGATAGCGAATATTCCACACCATTTATGGACACTCCAAAGTCAATAAATACTCCAGTTCACAACACTGAACAATCACCAGGAGCATATTCAGTTCAATCACATCATACTGTGAATTCTAGTGGATCACCAATTTATAATCAAATGCATCAACAGCAACCAATACCTCAGCAACCTAAGCCACAAACATTTAGGGAAGACTTCGGGTTCCCACAACTATTGAATAATAATAGTAATAATGACGACTATACCTACCCAAAGCAACAAGCTACTCAATTTCAGTATGCTACCCAACTTTTCACTCCCCCAGTGTTGAATTCTCTGTATTCTTCACTGTCAACATCCGTTTCACATGAAGATTACGAAGACGATTATTGTCTTGATGTAGACCAATTGACTTATGTGCCAATTGATCAACCCAAAGAAGAACCACAAATTCCACATCGGGAACCTTCGCCTAACATTTGGAATTATTTAAAGGCTCAAGGCTCGTTGAACTATCAAGAGGTGAAAGTTGAACGGTATGTTTGAAGTGATGATTAAAAAGAATTTTATAACTATGGGATATTTTGGTTTGGTGTAAGTTTGGTTTTTTTATTATTATTATTATTTGTAATTATTTATCGTCATATATGTATCTATTATTGTGATTAACCAAAGATATTATCTATAGCTGATTTCTTTTGTTTTTTTTGTTTTTTCGGTTTCAGTTTCTTTGGTTTGGAACCAAAGATATCGTCAATTGAAACTGGTGTAGCTGAATAGTTGATGACATCATCAGCTGTTGAAGCTTTTGCAGTGATTACCGTTTGCTCCATATCTTCACCTATATCTTCACCCAAACATATTTTATCGTCAACTTGTTTGTCTATTATAGGCTCATGTTTTTTGGGAACTCCAGGTAGTAGTAGACTATTAATTCTTGCTAGTAATCCAATTAACACAAGACCTAAAGGAACAAATTGACCCAAAGCTACAATGCCATTAAACTCCCAATAACATTTCTTGATCAATTTGTTTACTATATACTTTATTTCTAAAGATAGGGCTGGGCTACTCTTCTTAACAGAGAGTAACTTTAACACTCGACGGACATGACGATGTAATTCATTGAATGACCGCCACCATCGGGCTACTCTGTGCTGGTTATAATTTCTGTGGTATACCAAATGTAGTAGTTGGTATTCGGTAGTAAGACTTTCTGTATCGATATTCATTTATAGTGTAGTGAACGTTCAGTGTTAAGCTAGTAGCAAGCAAGACCCTTTGACTTAGGTTATAAGGTCGTGCCACGCTCAAACATCTCATCGCGGTATAACCTTATAGAGTATAGTACATAGTTACATTAACAGTTTATAGTTACACTATATATGGATTGAGTGTTGTTGTGAGTTACGTGATGACTGACGAGATTCGTGACGTGATTCCACAAGCAAGGGCTTTGGTTCAAACTCAACAAGCAGACATTGCGCTCTCGTTACTTGAGCCCCTTGTTGATGCCAATAGTGAAAATGTTCCATTTCTTTCAGTGTATGCTGAAGCACTTATGGAAGCAGACCGATTAGAGAATGCTTATGAAGTGCTTCAACGAGCCTGTGAATTAGATCCCGACGCCCTTGAAGGCTCAGATAAGTTTCTTTATTTGGGCCAAATCATTGGGGGCCAGGATGGGATAATATTTCTTGATAAAGGGTTAAATCGATTAGCTAGTGAGAATGAAACAGCCAACGGGAATGATCCGTTGATAATCAGGAAAATGAACCAAGCAATCTTCCATAAGATAGAGATCTGGATGACGGATTTGTGTATGGAACCAGAAGCTGAAACTCAATGTGATTCGCTTATAACATATGCCTTACAATTAGATGGATCAAATGGTGAGGCTCATTCATTGCTTGCATCTATTCGTATTAGTCAACAACGTCCTGAAGAAGCCAAGCAAGCTCTAGAACAAGCATGGCACTTATTTGAGTTAAGAAAGAATCACCTACAATCATTGGCCAATAATAATAACACTAGTGTCAATGATAATGCAAATGATGCGTTTGATTCTTCACTTGAATACATTGAACTTCTTCAGCCATTAACCACCTTAACTCAATATGCGATCGAACTAGAACTTTACGACACAGCCATAACCATAATCTCCACTGCCCAAGACATTGACGAGAACGTTTTGACTTTGTACTATTTGGAAGCTTTAGCCCATCTATTAGCAGCTAAGAAAGCAGCAGCTGCAGCAGTACCATCCACAAAAGACTACCGCGACATCACCATTGACCAGTTAAAAGCATCAACTGATCCTCTGATTATCGGTAGTCTCCAAGACATACGTTCCAGTTTGACCCAAGCATATAGAATCATTAACTCAAGTAATGAAGAAGGAGAATTGGATCCTGAAGTGGTGGACCAAGTGGACCAATGGCTCCAGCAACTTGGAGGTCCAATAATGAGTGAGTTGATGCCTCCAAGAGATAAAGACGACTACGAAGGCTGGGAAGAAGAAATCGTCAGTGACGATGATAATAGTTAGTACATGTAATTTCCTTATATATGCTACATATGCTTTACACCCAAAAGTTAATGACGTTACTGACATCTTTAAAGAAGTCATTGTTATCAAAGAATTCACCCTTTAATGAATCCACAACCTGGTTTCTCTCTTCTTCCCCTTCATGAAGAGAACTGGAATCAATGGTTTGTCTGTCTGTACGGGAATCGACCGAATTGCTTTGACCAAACACTTGTTCCGATGGATGGATTGATTGCTGTGGTGCTGTTTGGAATTGTGGTTGCTGAAGCTGCTGTTGATGCTGTTTATGCTGATGCTGTTGTTGTTGTTGCGAATCGTAGGCTAACATATTGGAGATCGATAGTAGTGAACCCTTTTTGGAAAGTCCAGGACTTCCGTCAACGCCAAACCCCGGCATAGGAGTTCCGTTCTGTGACAATTGCATTAAATTAACCCAGTCACTGCCGGGTTCAATTTGGTTAGTGTAACTCTCAGGAGTGTTCACTTTGGAAACACTAGTCGATGCAAGTCCATTGGAGGGAGGATTTGATCGCACAAACGAAGGTAAACTGGTGCTCGAAGGACGATGAGAGTTCATATAACCTCCATTGACTTGAATAGGATATGGAGGTTGGAAACGAGCTGTTGAAGGAATAGAGTATAATTGTTGTTGTTGAAGTTGTATCTGTGGAGAGTTGAAGTGCGGTGGAACAGGAGACGAGTGTGATGGAATTGATGAATGTGATGGTATGGAGGAATGAGATGTTGGTAGAGGTGGCTGCTGTTGCTGTTGCTGTTGCTGTTGCTGTTGCTGTTGTTGCTGTATTGGTTGAATTTTGGTGGACTTTTTTTGTTTCTTTCTTCTTCTCGTGGCACTCTTAAGCTCTAATTCGGCAACAAAGTTTCTTGTTACTTTGCAAATGTTCTTCACATATAACCAATAAGGAGAAAATTCATCCAATGAAGTAATATAATCTTCATAAACATATCCATACCGAGGTTCTTCGTCTTTACCTTTGAGTAAAAGATTGGCCTTACGCTTTAAAGCACAAGCCATAGCAATACTCATAAAGGTAAACATCAAAGGAATATTCAACATATCTTCTTTACGCATTTGACGATAATACCAAAGAATATTAGAAGCAGCTTGTAAATTTATATCATCGGGAATTTGATTATCGATTTCCGGAGTATCATATTTTTGCTTTTGACAAAGTATAACCATAAAATTATTAATGACTCGAGTAAGAAATTGAAATTGACAATTGGCATAATTACTTTGATCAAAGGGACATACGCCTTTATCTCTATCAAATGACAGGATTTCAAATTCAACTTTTTGGAAATAATCAGCATCGATTCTTTTATATCTGGAGATGTTATTCCCTTGAAGATCATTACCAAAAGGTTGGAACATGGTGAACATAACATTTTCCAATGATCTTGCCAATTGAACCAATTTCATCAAGGAAGTATTATGATAAGGTAATGCCATATTGAAATCTTCCTTTTTAATTAACGTTGCTCTTGAAGCAACGATGCCTGTGACTCTATCCATAAAATAACAACACCAAAACACCGTGGATATATTTTCTGAAGATTTATTTGATGCAGAGACGGCTTTCATATGGAACCCAGTTGAGAAAACATATTCAATGGCTTCTGCAACATCATGAGAATTCCGTTCCTCAGCCATCTTATCATGTCCAAAATGATGGCTAAGCAATATATGAACCACAAGTCTAACATATTTATCATCATCACCCAATTGAATAAGTACCAAAAGCACTTGTCTCATTTTGAAATCGAGGTCTGTAATAAACGTGGTCAACTCTTTAATGAACTCTTCAAAAGTCAAATCAACAATGTTTTGATTTATTTGTTGCTTGCCTCTGATGAACACTTGTCTAAGTATTGGTTCAGCCAACTTATCTCTCAGAACTGCAAGCACAATACCATAAAGTATAATGGTAGGAAGCTTACCCAAACTATGAGCTTTCAAGACTTGTTTCTCATTTAATATGGGAAGCATAGAGTTTAATTTGGTGAAATAAATTTGAAGCAAGCGATCGATTTCACTCTTATTAAACGGGTACTCAGTGGTACTTAAAGTGAAGGCATTGATAGAAAGAAGAAAGTTGAAATACTTATAGTTTTTGATATAGTCTTCTTCTATCTCATCATCGTCATCATTATCATCGTCATTATCATCGTCATCATCATCTTGATGTCCTTGTTCTTTATTAGTATTAATGATATTATTAATATTATTGTCAGCACCATCATCATGTTCTTTATCAACTTTATCCTTACGGTATTCCTTCTTAGTGGTTGGTCTTGACTTAACAAGGACTCCTGATTCATGATACACTTTAGAATCAGACTTGTTATTTGCAGCTCCCTCCATAATCGCATGAGGATGTCCCATATATAAATAGGCAAAAGGGTGACTAAATTCTTTAGTGGTGATATTAAACCCAAAATGTTCCTTTAAATACTTCTCGTTATATTTACGCATATCATTTGTTGCCGTGGCAAAGTGGTTGACTATTGGCTGGGCACTTGACCTTCTACGTTTAGCTTTCAACGCAGCACTTGTTTCTGAAGGTGGAGAATTAGAATATCTCTGTCTCTTTTTGGAAGATGCCAGAACCATAGGGATTGGTGGAGGGGTAGAGCTAGATTCCTCTGCTATTGGATGGAATGTTGGAGTAATTTGATCGGCTTGAGGTAAGGGTAAGTTTTGATTAAATAATTCCACCTTTAATGGGTCCAAAACCTCTATAGAATGAGATTTAGAGGACAAAGTAGTAGTCTTAGGAGATTTATTCACATTAATAGACTCTTGTTTCTTAGTGATAAAGTCACACAGCCAATTATTCTTTTGACAATTAACACAACCAACAGCTTCATAATCAACTGAAGTAACTATACATTTGATTCTTTTCCGACGACAGTTGGAACAACATTTGAAAGTTCTCTTTCTGGTTTTGAAGTTGGAATCAAAAGCAGGGAACACAAACATCCCATCAACTAAATCAACAACGTTGATGATTTTATTTTAATCAAACCAGAAAAGAATCTGATGATCAGCTAAACCAATTAATTACTTTAATTTTGGTGGATCAAATGGTTGTGGGTTTTCCACGTCAAGTGGAGATGCTAAAAGAACAATGGGGAAACGGAAACGGACACAACACCAATGGCCTACCGATACGGACGATATAATCGTACATTCTATCTTAGTATTGTATTGTTATTACGGTGCTAGATTGTATTGTGCTGTGCGTGTTATTGTTGTATGAAACTGATAATATGTGCTACATTTAATGTGGAGTAATGTGGAGTAATAATGACTATTTTTGTTAGTCACATTTTAGTACATTATAGAACTTGAATTTGTAAGCACTAAAGATGCTTTTACAAAATAACATAAATTGCAATACTATACAACTGGCACTCATTGCTTATACTTAAGCATTACTGTTAAAGATGCTTTCTAATAGTTACTTGATTGAATCCTAAAATTCAAAGACCTAAAACCATAATGAGTAATCTTGTTGCTGCTCATTGTGATACAAATAACAATTTCACTCGTTAAGATCTTCCAGTGTTCATGAATTATAAACTTTCCTAGTATATTTTCTGAAAGGATTTTAATCTCCGTAATATAACCCCTCGTCTTCATTAGAGGTAATTGCACTTTTTTGTTGGCATTAACGGGGCTATACGTCCTATCGATAAAGTTCCTCCAATGATCTTATTGAGTTGCTGTTGTTCAACACGTTATTTTTATAAAATGAGGGGCCATGAGGGGTACTGTCAATTCAACAGAATCCATGAACGTATTATTGAATCTTTATAAGGTTGTAGAATCTGGGTTCAATCTACATTATACCCGTTTCCCAATGGGGAAGTACTCCCGTAACACAATTTTTACCTGATTTGGAACTGTTTCCATGGGTTTCAGAAGATGATTACCAAATTGGATCACAATTTATCACGTGATTAGACACGTGCATGTGTTCTATACTGGAGATGACTTCAAACACATTGTGGTAACATTAGTACAACAATGTTCAATCAATCAGCATACAATGACTACAAACCATAGACCAACGTTAGAAAGTAAACGTGGGAAGATAATCTCGGTTACCGATTCCATTGTTCATGCTCGTGAAATAGGACAGAACCAAACGTTGAAACTTAGAAGTGATGTCAACCCTATAGTGGCCAAAAGAGCTTGGAATGAGCTTAAAGAAGAACAAGCTCAAAATAAGAAACTAAAGCAGGAGGAGCCAATTTCAAAGGACGACAAGCTGCCAGTAATTGCTAGTGGTAAAGTAAGGGCTAAAGGAGAACCTCATGAAAATGAAGATGAAGTAGGTGATAAAGAAGTTGAAGAAGAAGGCGGCGATGATGATGATGATGATGATGATGACGATGACAAGGAAGAGGCTGAACTTTTTGCACAATTACAACAATTACGAAATTCGATGAAACCATCAGATCAGCAAGATTTAGAACACCCTGACGGTTCTGGCTCTGACTCTGACTCGGGTTCTGACTCCGACGAAGAACAACAACTTTTGGCAGAACTAAATGCAATCAAACAAGAACGAAAGGCTAAAGAAACCATTAAAGCCTCCAGTCTTTTAATGGAGACATCCACAACCCCTGGCCAAAACAAAAGTTGGCGTTCGTCAACTAGTTTTAGAAAGAAAGCAGCACAAACTTCTTCTCAATTTACAAATAATACAATAAACTCAAAGGCTCACAAAGACTTTTTATCGAAATATGTTCGATAACGCTGGACAAAGGATATGTATGCTAAAGGTTAAAGAGTCTTTAAATTGGAATGGATATAGGTTTAATATGAACGAGATGGTAATGGTTAGTGTTGTGGCATCTATGGTGACCAACCCTTGCACACTACGACTGTGCAATTAAATGTAGATATGAGGTGATGGTACAACAGTTGAGAATGTAGTTATAATGTGGAGTCAAAGCCCCTTTATTATTATTATTAGGCTATAGTGAGAGCTGAAGATGTATAACTTCTCGTAAAACGTTTTGCATATGTAATAATGCAACTGTTTCTTGGTTTCGATGAGTGTTTGCTTGAGCTGTGTAATTCGCTAACATGTGAATAAGAGTGTTTAATCATCTACCGAGTTGAGTTTCTGATCTACCAAGTAACCATCAGATGCCGTTTAGTCTTCTTTTTTTCTTAGTTCAACATCGTGAATCATACAGCTAACATAGTTATCCAATAATTTTTGTAATTCTTCATCCTAATCTTGCTTTATAAATCCAACAGCTAAGACAGAGTTATACCAAGTTTGGGGGAGGGCAAGGTTTCAGATATTCATCGACTTTCCGAGAAAGAGGTGGAACCATTCGTTTACGGATTCGTTGTAAAAAATAATTTACTTGTGTTCCAAAGTCGTCCTCTCTTGTTTCATGATGTAAAGTACTGAAATCAAAATTGTCTGATGTAGATCATATGAACTTCTTTGGTGAGTTTCTTTCAACTCCTTAAAAGGTCCTTCATAATCAACTTTACTATATCGGTGAATGCCAAATTGGTAGTGAGTGAGTCAATAGCAGCTTTCATTTCTTCTCTTAAGTATTCAGCGATATCTGCTTTAAAACAGTATATAAGTACATTTTGTTGTTTGCCCTGTAATAACAAACAACGCAATTGCAATTGTTGGGCTTTGGATGAGGCGCAATATCTTCTTCTTTGTTTGACATAATAGCAACTGGTATATTAGTTCCCGTTGGGGTAGTGGACGGAGATTCAATGCCAAATTCTGCTTTATCATATTGCCTCGGCTCATTCGATCACTTTTAGAATTGTTCGCTCGGAGCATATCCATAATGGTGGCAAGCATCTTTCTTGGGGTAGCATACTAACTGATGCTTCAGTACCGGTTGTCTTATAATTTTCCTTCGTTCTTTTGTAGAGTTGTAGACAAGGTTGGCTTCTTTCGTTTCTTAGTATTCCAGGCCATGCCAAAAGATGGGTGGCTGCAAATATCTGAAGTAGTGCGCAACTCACCATTGTAGTAAAGGCCATACTGGTTGTTAACATTTACTTATCAATACTAGATTGTGAACGGAAGATTCCAATAGCACTTCTCCATTTATGGCAAAGCACTCCAAGTTGTAGTAGAATTCACAATGTGAAATCTTGAGCCCTCATTCTATCATGTGCTGCATTTTTCTGTAACATTATTAGGAACTCCATTCACTGCCGTTATACGATGTATTAAGAAACTTACTAGTCCTTGGTCAATTCCTTGATAGTCAAGACGTAATGTAGCAATGACTATAAATGGCAGTTTATCGGAAACGCCTTAATTAAAAGTTATGTACTGTTCAGAGAGGCCGTTTGTATGTTACCAATTTAAAAAAACCAGGGTTTATCACTGTTAAGCCTGCTATGCTCACGAGAGATAGGGTTTAGGGGCCAAGACGAATCAGCAGGAACCCCTTAGATGATAATTTGGGGCAATAATGATAAATTGGAAGTATTCCAGTGAATAACGGGGGACAACCCAATAGGACTTGCAACCTGTTTGTTCTCAACTACGGCTACTCGCATGCAGTTACTTTCATCCTCCATTCTTTCAATAGGACTGTCTTATAACTTACTTGTGGCAAAATTTATGATCATATAGAAATATTTTAATCAAAAGCAGGATAAATCAAAAGGTCTCATATAACAATTTTTTTAAGACGATATTCTTCATTGGCTTCTTCAATATATTGTAACCGGTAATGGCCGTGCTTGTAGTGTATAATTTCCATATCTTCTTTGCAGCCGTATCAATTCTTAAATCACGAAGTTGGTATTACTTCTGGTTGATATTCGATCTGTAGGAGACATATTTTGTATTCCTATAGCTAAAGAATGTAGCTGTAACTGCTTGAGGCTCCAACGCATTCGAAGTTCTTTGGAAATCACTTCTATATTGTTAAAATTATGAGACACTTCGGTCTTGAAAATTTGGTTTACTTTCTTCTTTCTCCATTCATTCTACAACTTCTTCAACCTCAGGAGTAACCACAACAGATCCTAAACAAAATCTCTTCATTTAATTCATTAGTTGCTGTATTAGATTCATAATCTACAGGTTTAGTTAAACTCGCATTAATTAGTAAGAATATAGATTAATTTATGTTTGTAAATCACATTTCCCATTCTTCACCAACACTAGTGCTCAACTTAGCATTCAATTGGTCAATTTCTTCTTTCAAACTTGCTTCTTCAACAGACTTGACTAACTCCTTTGTACATTTGGCAATGTCAAAGGAAATACCCGCTAATCTTTGCTTGAAGTTCTTATCAGCAAAGTCATCATCATTGCTTTGAGAGTGAGCATGCGTCAACGCATTCATTCTTTGACAACAATCTTCTAAAGATTTGACGACCCAATTGCCATGTTCCTTCAATTGGTAGTTTCTGGTTTGATTCATAGAAGTATTGGTAGCTTCAGTCATTTGGGTTATTACAATAGTAATAGCTTCAGCATTAGTACTCAATTCACCACGGGTGACTCCTTGCTTCTTGATTGCACTTAAAAGCGATTGAATAGTTGAAATAACCTTCACGGTTTGATGCTCTAAATAAAGCAACACTTGAGTAACAGTATTATCAGGGTCATTTATATCAAACAACTTTATGTTGAATGTTGCAGCTGCCATAGACTTACGGTACTCTTGTCGTTGTCTTGCCTCTGCTTCACCTCCTCTAGTGGATGATGAATCTCCATTTATAGTTCCATAATCCTCTTGAGACTGTTCAGTATCATATTCTGAATCATAATCTTGTGAAGGGGTAACTATTGCTGGTTCTTCAAGTATATTCACCTTCTTTCCATTGCTCTTGGAGCCGTTGCGATTCAAATTCGAATTAAGAGCTGAATTGGTATGACTTACGGAAAGAAGTCCCAGGGATGAATCTTCAAAGTTATCTGCTCGTGAAGTCAATGATGACAGTGTAGTTCTGGAGGAGCTAATCTCAGGAGAATTCGAGAAGGAAACCAGATTCGGATGGAAAGAATCTGGTTGCCCAAACGTAGCTTCAGACACTGCTACGGAGTCTACCTCAAGCAGTTTATTCAAATACTTTTGCTCAGGTACATGCAGTATTTGGGTAATCTTATCAGGTGATTCATCTGTGTCATCAGTAGTATTCTCCTTCACTATGGATGAATTAAGAGAAGACTTTTCAACACTCACATCAGATGAATCATCTTCAGTAGTAGTATTTGCATTCTTCTCTACCACGTCCTCGGATGCTGGTTTAGCTGGTGTCTCGCCAGTAAGCCTATCTCTCAATTTACCTAAGAAACTCTTTTCTCTAGTCACCGGAAATTCATTCTTTTCCTCAACATCAGTTATAGATGGTTTTATTTTACGCTCGTTGGTGGGTGATTCGAACTGAACACTTTTAGCCAGTGATTCCTGCGATGAAGAACCATGAGAAGTACCCTTTGGTTTAGTAGGTGTGACTTCAAACCTCTTCACTCGATCCAAAAATGACTCTGAATCTTTCCGAGCATTGCCATTACTTGGGCTTTTTTCTGGCAAATCATCACTCTTGCCACTAAGTTTAGAAGTTAGCTTTGCTATAGCAGGACTAACCTTTGCAGAAGGCAGGCCATTGGCACTCTTAAGTGGAGATTTTTCTTCTGATGCACGAGAAGTTTCAAATCTGTTTGCAAGATCACTGATTTTTGATGTCTGCTGATCCTTACGTGGTGTTTCAACAGCTGACTTAATTTCATCATTTGAATCCTTGAATTTCTCCAACTTCTGTGTCAACGTCGATTTCTTCATCCCAGGAGAACTCTTTGAAAGAATAGGGTCTCTTTTAAAAGAATCAATTTCTTTTGAGTCTTCTTCAATCTTCCCTGAAGAGTTATTTAAGCTATCTCTGACATGTACATTATATAATTCTCTTGAATTTTCAAGATGATCCTTTGACTTGATGGAATCACGGAAGGGTGTCTCCTCTTCCACAGGCATTTCTTGATCATTTCCTCTCATCGGCGATGAAGTCATAGTGGCGTTTGGGGTATTAATTATAGCTTCTTCTTTGAAAGGACTGAAATCACCCACTCCATTATGAATTTTGGCAATCACAGGCGATCTGTGTCCTATAAGAATATCAGCATCATAGTCAGATCCACTTTCAAAAGTGGAAACCGTTTCTCTTCGATCATCATGACAATCATGATCATCATTGAGAGGTTTATTAGTATTCGATATTATAGGAACCTGACCGAGACGAATCTGTTTAGGATCGGCCTTGTATGCATTTAATTGTTGAGAAACAATGGGAGCATTATCATCCTGTTCAATCGTGCCAGCTGTGATGCCCGACGCAGATGCATGTTCATCCGCTGTTGTAAACAAAGTTGAGGCGGTATTACCACGCAATTTATTAGCCATTCTTAAAGGACGAACTCCAAACTCTTCGTCAATTGTATTTCTTGCAGGGTTGTGTCTTTTGAGACTGACCTCTCTAGATAATGCTGAATGCTCATTCAACTTGCTTGCAGACGCTAAGTCGCATAATGCAAACCCTATTTCACAGACAGCACGTTCAACAATAATTTTAGGAAGGAATGATTGGTGACTAGCAAGGTATCTAGTAGCCGTAAGAGCATAGCTGGCAGCATCCCTTAACAATACTGAATACTCATTACTATTGGGCTTGTAGTTGTCACCTTGAATCGCAACTTCATTGGCCAATATGGAAAGCTTTGAGATCTTATCAAACAAAATCTCTGGTTCGTACGCTTCTTCAGAAATATATAACAAATAGCTCTCAATCAAAGACTGCAATTCTGAAACCATCTTAACAGATATAAGACCGGAAGGAGAAACCAAAGATGTAATGGCTTTTTGATCCAACATTTTGTCTTTAATGAAGGTAGCAATTTTGTTCGCACGAAGATGCTCATACTTCTGTTGCCAGTTAATAACTTGCTTTTGAAGTTGGCGTTGAGATGCTGGTTTGTCTTTAGAAACAACTTTATTTGGAACCTCAATGTTCTCCAACTTCTCAAGAAAGACATCCCAACCACCTTTGTTCCCCAGTGAATTCGATACTATGGCAGGTGGCTCCAATGGTTTTTGATTACTAGAATCTTGTGTGTCTAATAAATTATCTTTCTCAGCTCTGGCTTCCAACTGTTTGTGCTTGGTTTTCAAAGCTTGAAGTTCTAGATTCAAAGCAGCATTGCTCAACTTTAATTGATCAAAATTTTGACTCAATTCCTTGAACTCAACAGATTCAGTAGGGATTATTGTCTTGGCACTTTCTTCTTGGTGTAAACTTAATGCTTTACGCAATTGGCCGACTTCATGAGATAAATTCTCATTATCGATCTTGTAGTTGTCGTACTCGGCCTGAGCAGCTTTATGCTTCTCCTGAAGATCATTGTAATCCTTTTCTAATGCGCTAAGCTTGGAACGAAGTTCTAAATTCTCACCATCATTCTCGATGCTCTTATTCAGAGCAGTTGGTGCTGGAAGGGTAACGGGAACTGGAATGGGAGCGGGTGCACCTGTGGTGTGAGTAGCAGAAGCTGGACTAGCTATTGGCACATTGAATAATCCTCTTTGAACTGGTACCTCTTCTTCTTCTTCTTCTTCTTCATCATCATCATCATCGTGATGCATTTTATGAGCATTGTACAGTGAGCCTTCTAAACTGACATTCCTGGGATTAATTTCATGTTCCAGTTCTCTCTTTTGAATGCCTTTATAAGCAAAGTCATCGCTAGTTTCTGTATTGAGATCTTCAAACTCATTCTTCAAAACACTATAGTCTATTCCTTGAGATTCCTCTTGTTTCTCGGGTAACAGGTCAGACCTTACTGGATAATCCTTTTCTTGTTCTTCTTCCTCTTCGTCACTAGACCACGCCAAATTTGCCTTTACGGGTACTACTGTTTTCGACAACACATTTATGCTGCTTTTGCCGATTGCTGAGCTTTCGGATAAAGGTGAAGTTATATCATTGGCAGTTGTAGAGTGAGAAATATCAGCCAGATCATTAAGGCCGATTGGTGCTTCTGAACCAGAAGCTCCATGATAGAGATCAGTGGGTGAAGAAGTATGATGAGTATCAGTTGGAGAATGAACAAAATTATCATGGGGTAAATTCACAACAGGAAGAGGCGAAGCATTTATTTTGTGGGTTGTCGGAGAGCCTGCGTTCGATTGTTGATGGGAACCAGCATAAGATTGTGAATGTGCTTGATTTGAAGCCGAGTCACCCACTGTGAGTTTCCGTAATGTTGATGATTCTGAAGGGATTCTACCATGGGAAGAGGTTGTTGAAGTATTCAAATTCCGGCGTTCTATTTCATAAGCAATGTCACAAACCAAATCCTTAAACCGAGCTTGAGGTAAAGCGCTCAACTTTTGACGTGCCTGGTTCCTTTTAGGATGAAAGGAAAGTTTTGGTAAAAGAAAATCAGGTTCACTTCGAGATTCATCTATACGTCTTCTAAGTTCATCGTAAACATCTGTACTTAATTCTTTAAACTGAGCCTCTGAAAGTTTTAGTAACTTCTCACGAGCTCTTTGAGCACGTGTGGAAAGCGGTTTGGCTCGAGAGTTTTGGTCCTCAGAAATATCCAAGAACTGCTTGAGCACACGGTAGTGATGATCCAAGCCGTTATCCTTCATAGCACTTTAGAGTAAAGTAGAAGAGGATACATCGTCCCTTCAGTGGATCAGATTTGTTTTTTATTTCAACGCGTATGCGGTATGTGCACGACACTCCTGGGGGTTCACGTATAATATCACATATTTGAATGTTTATCTATCCACTGGTAGCGAAAGGAAATAGAATGTGTATTTATGTTTAGTATATACTCCTTGTTACTGTACTGTTAATTAGATTACTGATTAACACTCTATTGACAACACACTCTGTTAATGGCAACTCACCCTTACTTTTGCTCCTTGTATGGTTTCCATAATATTTGCGTTTACCACTTACTATTATTATTATAGTGCAATTCTGTGATCTCTAGGAATTAATTCAACCGCTTGTATATAAGATCGCTATACCTTTGCTTTAATCAGTAGCTCTGAAGCATCTTCTAATCGTCTACATAGAACTCCATATTAACTCAACGTATGCTCGTCAATTACTAGTATTTACATCGCTATGTACAGAATGGAAAGACCTTAGATCTTTTGTTAAATCATGCATGCATACTCCAACTTTCAAAGTTAGTCTATTGTCTAATGTGCTTCTTGCACGATCTTAACAGTGATATCTTCTAACTCGCCAGTGGATAAGAGTTTTTCCCGAATAAACTCTTCTGCTGTTTGCTTTCCATGAACTAAATTAACTGCACCTACCAATGCTAAAAGCATTTGTGCACTTACCTTCATTTCTCCACTAGAAGCAAAGTTAACTTTATTATTATATGATTTCCAAAACATTACCGAATTTAATCCATTCTGTTTGGCAAAAATCCCTAATGCCATTCTTGAACCTAACTCCTTGGCAATGGGAGTTCCTATCACATCAAAGTTCTTGCCATTAATAGCTGATTCATTATTGGTATTTGGAGTGTCAATTACATATTTGGCAAAGTATAGTTGAACTAATTTAGATCCCAATGCGTATAATTTTTCATTATGTGGTTTTATCCCATTCCCAAATGATTTATGAGTCAAACATTGTAATGTTAATTCATCACTAACAGCATATTTGTCACTTAAAAACTGTTTGATATTCTTGATGTTTTCCGAATCAGTCCCATATTTATAGCCTTGGTTTGTAACAAACACTTGTTCAGGATCTCTCTTCAATCCTGCTACTCTTGGTCCCTTGTGCAAATAAATACTTCTGGTGCATTCCACATTACGAGCAACGTTGGTTAACGCAATTCTCGCTCTCATGATGGAACTTATGGTCATTGTAGGATGAATGATTAATGCAGATCTTTGGCTTGGAATCTTCTCGAAATTGTGTCCTTGGTTCTAAAATATTAATCGAACACCTTTCCAAGATAATTCTTTGTGGATTCCCCCTCTGCACAATCGATGTAAAGTATTATAACGATGGTTAGAATGGATTACTAGTTGATCTTGAACTATTGTGGTTGCACTTACAAGATGAAAATTTTTTTACATAACAAAAACCTCAAGTGCGACTTCCCAGCAAATGGACACATGATTCCTAATGAGGAAATCTGTTACTTTTGCGGCCAAATCTAGTATTGATCATCTCATCGGAAATACAAGTATTGTTACCATAGAGAGTTAACTGAGAGGCATATTCTTCTAGCTGTAGTTAGGTTGATTTGATCAGCATGGATATCTTTAGAATTCTTTCAAGAGGTGCAGCTTTGAAGAAGAGTAAGGATGTGACCACAGATTATGCTCTTCCTTCAGAGAGAAAAGTGAAACCTCAGACTAAAGCACATAGAGAAGAAACTCTTAGACAACAAGTCGATAAAGAAATTGATTTCTTTCATACTAAGAAGAAAAACAGTAGTAATGTTCCTGCTGTTGAAGAAGCATCAAGCACAAATACAGTCCTGGACAACACTGAGTCCACTAATGAACCCATAGAAGAAATCCCGTTGAAAATAGGTAATAAGGAAGATGCAGAAAAATGGAGAAAAGCCAACATGTCAAAAGTCAGTGGTGATGATATTCCTCATCCTATTGGATCATTTGAAGATATGATAAGTCGATTTAATTTTGATAAGAAGATTTTATCGAATTTAATCGATAATGAATTTGTGGATCCTACTCCAATTCAATGTGAAAGTATTCCAATTACATTGAATGATAATGATTTAATTGCATGTGCCCCTACTGGTTCAGGTAAGACTTTGGCGTTTTTAATTCCCATGGTACATCAATTGTTAACTTCTAGACCCAAGGGAAAGAATTACGGCATTAGAGGGTTGATTATTTCGCCAACCAATGAATTGGCTCTGCAAATTTCTCAACAATTAGAAACCATTACTAGAGGTAAAAAGTTGAACACTACCATACTATCCAAACTGATTGCCAGTAAGCTTAAGAATGACATAATAAAGGGAGATAAGTATGAGATATTAGTGACTACACCATTGAGATTAATTGATGTTGTTAAGTTGGGGAAATTGGATCTTTCAAAAGTTGAACATTTAGTTATTGATGAAGCAGATAAGCTTTTTGATCAAGGATTTGTGGAGCAAACTGATGACATTTTATCCAACTGTTCTAACAAACTGTTAAGGAAATCAATGTTTTCTGCCACTATCCCATCAGGTGTTGAAGCTATGGGTAATTCAATTATGAGAGATCCTATTAGAGTGATTATTGGGCATAAAGAAGCAGCCAGTAGTACTATTGATCAGAAACTTGTATTTACAGGTAATGAAGAAGGGAAATTATTAGCCATTAGACAAATGCTTCAACAAGGAGAATTCAAGCCTCCAGTGATTATATTCTTACAATCTATCCATAGAGCCAAAGCACTATTCCATGAATTGTTATATGATCGATTGAACGTCGATGTTATCCATGCAGAAAGAACTCCCAAACAAAGAGATGAAGTGATCAAGAAATTTAAAAATGGTGATATTTGGGTCCTAGTAACCACAGATGTTATTTCCAGAGGTGTTGATTTCAAAGGAGTTAATTTGGTTATCAATTATGATGTTCCTCTGAATGCTCAAGCATATGTTCACAGAATAGGTAGAACTGGTAGAGGAGGGAAAACTGGGAGAGCGGTTACCTTTTATACTAAAGAAGATTCTCAAGCCATTATTCCAATTAGAAACGTCATGAAACAATCAGGATGTTCTCAAGGTTATAGTGAATGGATGGAAGGTATTTCCAAGTTGTCCAAGAATGAAAAAAAGTATATAAGAACTCATGAAAAACGAAGAGGTGAAATATCAACAGTTCCTCAAGTATTTAAAGATAAACGAAACAAGAGGAAACTTATGATTGAAGAATCTAAAAGAAAGAAACAACAAACAGAACAGATTGCTACATCAAAATAGTGTGCACTATGGACATATGGATATTTAAAAAATGTATAAATATATATACATATATATGAGAGTAATCAAATAAAAATAGTGAAATGTTTATAACGTCAAAAGTCTTTGCTTTGTCACATTTAAGCTAGTGTACATCTATTCAGGTATATAAACAATGGTCATCCTCCCCGAACCCTTTAATAAATCATATCACTATAATCTAGTGGTGTTCTTGGTGGCCACCAACAGATGGGTAACCCACAATATGTCTTCTACCAATGATTTCACCCAATGAGAAGAAAGCTAACAATTGAGTACCATAAATGGCAGCCTTAGCAGCACAAGCCTTGCTGAATTGGAAGGAACCGGCCTGTTCCAAAAATTGCTTTTGTTGAGCAGGAGACTTGACAAACTTAATCCAACTTTGGTAAACTTGTTGGAATTGTTGACTGGATGGAGGAGCCAATGCTTCCTTCTTGTACACAATCTTACCCACTTCAACGGCAACCTTCGACCAGTAAACAGTGGCGTTAGACAACTTGGTGAGCGATGAGGTCAATTTTCCGACAGCAGACATCTTTTGTATATTGAAGTTAATGAATAAATATGACTTGATTCTCACCCGATACAGTTTATGGTTCTAGTCTTTAAAAAAAATTTCGATTGTGAAAAATTCATTAGCGATTGTTTGTCTCGAACCAGCCAATGAGGGTCTACCTTGTAGACTTCCCAAATAGGCAGTAAGTGTAAAGCCCACAAATAATACTTGCTTATTTCTGTCTTAGTTTATTCCATATATATATAAATATACCATTACTCATACTCTAATTTACAACAGTAGCCCAAACCGTTCTGGCCATATCATAGGAGCAACTAAACTCCAAGCGTATAGCAAGTAGCACACCCAACTACTGACAATCTTGAGCCAAGCAGAGAAATAAGTACGGCCAACAGGAACAAAATCACCTAGATCATCTTGTTTCACATTTATAGTCAACAAAGTAGCCACGTATTGAGTTGCCAAAAAGAAGATTATATGGAAAAGGGCATAATTATATTTGACTCTTGTTCTTTCCTCTTCTTCATAATCTTCATCTTCATCACCATATAAATTGGCTTGAGATAAGGCACTTTCGGGTAACAGTCCTTCATTTACAGCTTGTAATAATGCTTGGTATCTCATTTCATTTCTAGCACTCACTTCTGATGTTGAATTATTGTCAATAGATTCCATTGGGGCTCCTCCACTAATAGCATTATTGGCAGCAGCTCTTGTGGTGGTATATGCTACAGCAATAAACGTGAAAAATGCCCCTAAAACAACTGAAGCAGTTCTTGTTCCACGAGATCTAACCAATGGGTTGCAATATTTATCATCTGGCTCGCTGGCTACAGCACTCATTATCAAATAAGTACAATACACCACAACCATGGATGCTTGAGCAATTCCTGCTTGAGGGTTCGATTCTTGGATTTGTTGGTTAATAGACATGAATGTAATTGCTAAGGAAAATAACAAATTCAATGTAACTGCTGTTTTATTCATATTGCATCCGTCTCCAGCGAAAAACCAATACATGACGACTGTCATAACAATACTGGCCAAGTACATAGAAAGTGTACCACCGATAAGAAACCTCTTCCAAAGAGAAGCATCTCCTTCACCTGTTAATTCTTCCATTTCAATCTTTTCAAGACATGTTTCAGCCCAGGCATGAGCAAAATCGACCAACAAAATCAATCCAATCCCTAAGAATATGGTGGAGAAAATAATGGCAATATGATTCCCATAAAAGACAAAGAATCCATCGGGAATAAGAAGGAAATTAACTGCTATTAATGCAAGCCATCCAAATACCTTTACTTTCCAAAGGCCATTCTGAATAATAGCTCTAGGATCTTTTGTAGATTTAACACCAACAAGAAGTCCTGCTAATACTAAATGGAAAAGTCCCAATGAGAAATTAATCCGATGAACAGACGTGAAACTTATGCATTGACTACCATCTGGTCCACACTTTTTATTGATGAAGCCAAAAGTTGCCTTCTCCAATTTGTTGATTATAAATGGCGATAATGCTATCCACGATAAAAGGGAGTTAACTAAAAGCATAAAAGCATATGTCAATCTTGTCATAATGGAGGACGTAAAAGTCCCCCCAATCGAACTGCACAACGCAGTACATGCAGCAGCTCCGCAACAAGATGCAACAGTAGACATCGCAGCAGTACCAGCTGCTATCGGCAACGACACTACAGCTCCCATTTCAATACTATTAAGTAAAGTAAATTGTATTAGGACGAAATGGTAGTAAATAGTGGCTGTAAGTCATGTCATATAATTCGTGTGAATTACTGCCTTCTCCTCGGAATTCGCTCTCACAGTTGGTCGGAAGAACCCTCGGACAAATGGACGCTATCATGCTTTAGTCACAACTTCAAGTATTACAATCAGCCAGGTCTATATCAAAATGCAGCAATTAGATTATACTATACAATTTTTTAAAGGACATTACAACAACCTCTTACAAAATGGTACCCATGTTGACATGAACAGCCTTGGCTTGAGTGTACATGGTCAAACCGTATTCACCCAATTCTCTTCCAAAACCAGACATCTTAACACCACCGAAAGGAACGTGAAGATCAGAGTCATTGGAAGAGTTAATCCAAACCATACCAGCCTCCAAATCAGCAGCAAATTGATGAGCTCTAACAATGTCCTTGGTAAAGATAGAAGCACCTAAGCCATAGTCAGTCTGGTTGGCCCATTCCAATACTTCTTCGTCAGTCTTAAACTTAGAAACGGCAACAACGGGACCAAAGATTTCTTCATTAATAATTCTCATGTCTGGTTTGCAGTCAGAGAAGATGGTTGGCTTGATGAAGTACCCATTCTTCAAATCACCTTCTTCATTCTTTTCACCACCAATAACAACCTTGGCACCCTCCTTCTTACCAATGTCAATGTAGGACATAATCTTGTCGTGATGAACCTTGGAAATTTGAGGACCAACAACGCTATCTTGACCGAAAACATTACCTTGTTTATATTCAGCAAGGACATGATCAGCAAACTTCTTAACAAAGTCATCGTAAATATCTTCGTGGGCGTAAATTCTGGAGGTAGAAGTACAGACTTGACCTTGGTTAGTCATGATACCAATGGCAGCCCACTTAACCGCTTGTTCAATATCAGCATCAGGCATAACAATCAAAGGAGACTTACCACCACATTCCAAGGTAACAGCCTTTAAGTTTGAAGAAGCAGCCTTTTGAATCAATCTACCAGTGGCAGTAGAACCAGTGAAGGCAATCTTATCAACATCAAGATGAGAAGCCAAAGCATTACCAGCAACAGCACCGTAACCAGTAACTATGTTTAAAACACCAGCAGGGAAACCAGCTTCAACCCATAACTTACCAAGGTGTAAAAGAGACAAAGGAGTAATTTCAGAAGTCTTCAACACAAGAGTGTTACCAGCAGCAACAGCTGGAGCAATTTTCCACACAGCCATCAAGATAGGGTAATTCCATGGAATGATTTGACCACAAACACCAATTGGTTCATGGATGGTATAAGCAAGTTTTTTAGGATCATTTTGAATGAGCTTACCTTGAATCTTATCAGCCCAACCAGCATAATATCTGAAGACTCTAATAGCTTCTTCAACATCAAAGATAGCATTTGTATACTTGGCCTTACCAGAATCCCAAGCTTCCAAAGCAGCAAGTAAATCTTTATTCTTCTCTAATAAATCAGCAAACTTAAACAATAAGTTACCTCTGTCAACACCAGTTGACTTCTTCCAGGACTTGAAAGACTTACGAGCAGCTGCAACAGCAATATCGATATCTTCTTCTTCAGCAGCATAAACAGCAGAATTAACTTCACCAGTGGAAGGATTAATTGAATCTAAAGTAGCACCAGATTTAGATTTAACAAATTCATTGTTAATGAACAAACCTGTTGGTTGTTGAACTTTAGTTCCATCAGGTAATGTGACGTCGACTTCTAATGGTAAAGACATTTGTGCGTATATTTGCGGATATATTGGAGTGATAAGAATGTAATTGGTCAACCAAACGAGGTAAGGAAAAGGAGAAGAAAAAACCTTTATGAAATTTTTAATCAGATATATCACTGAAATTATATATATACCAAAATCAAAGATGGCCGTTATCGTAGCCATATCAGGATCAAAAAGTTAATTGTTGTGGACCCCAGATTTGGCTGTTACCGCTAAGAGACTACCTAAAAGGGAAAGTATTTCCACCGCACTATGTGCAGAATAATGCTTATTATAACTGGATCATCGCGGTTGAATTACTGTATCAACGATTTAAAAAACTTGTCTTAGGAGGGGAACAAACGGCGGTTGAACTTTAGTTGCAAGGTGGAAATCAAGGCACTTTAGACATCATCTAAAATTTACAAAAAGACTGTGTCTAGGACTGATTACTAAGTGAAGTTTGATATTGAGCTCTAATCTACTTTGAAGGGCGGCTATAAATGTTTTATTAAGATAATGCAAGTAATTTCTCAGCTTAGACTGTACGATAAGTGTGTTATTATTAGCTTCCTTTCGTAGGTGTATTATGGATACTAACATTGTACGACTTTAGTGTGCGATCTCAAGTGGGAGCGCGACCAGGACCAAGCCTATCGCATGTTATCGTAAGCTGTCACGGATGTATCATTAACAAGCCGTAGATAGTAGATGGTTCGAATATTCTTAATCTGAGTAGATCCTAATCGATCACATTCTTTGCAAACTTAAGAGATTTATTATTGTTATCTTTAGCTTACACTAGATAGTTGCAATGAATGAGTGAGAAGCTGCTGTATCTCCTTTCGGCTGCAAAATAGATGGTGACGAACTTTGTTGCAATCATTTTAAAATGAAGGCTTTTTTTGAAGCAGAGTGTTTAGTCCTAGCCGCCGCAAGTAATACTTATCTTGAATGCAGCTACCATTAAAATTTACCTTTCTAGCCACCTTGGCGATAAGTGCTATTGTATCTCTGGTGGAAGATACAAAGCCTGAGGTACGGGGTTGTCGTCTTGAAAAGAGAGTAGTAAAACAAGAGTTAATTGATGAGGCTGTTTCCTTGATGAATTATGTTTCCAAAAGCTATAACGGATCTGATACTTCGATAACAAGATCCATTAGAACCCCTGGCTTTGATGCAACTTACCACTATGTTGCTCAAGAATTGAATAAACTAAGCGAGTTCTACGATGTGTTCACACAGTTGTTTATGGTTCCAAAATGGCAAGCGAATAGCCATCTGATTACCATCAATAATATGGATTTTTTAAACTCAACTGTAATTGAAGGTAGTCCTGGTGGTGAAACGCATGGCAACGTAAATGTTGCCTTGAATTATGGTTGCTTCCCTAAAGACTATTTCCTCTTTGGTAAGATTTTCATTGTTAAGAAAGGTCAATGTTCCTACCTTGATAAAATACAAGCAGCTTCTGAAGCTTCTGTAAGTGGATTATTAATATACGATGATTCTTCAGACACAAATCCACATATTCAATTAAAGGGTCGCTTTGGTACTCAAGTTCATGTTACAATTCCAGCATTTGGAATTTCAGCAAATGATGCTAGAAATCTTATTGAAAAATCAAAAAAGAAGAAGAATCCATATATCAGAACTCAATTAAATTCTACAACGTCTTACTTAAAATTTGGCAATATCATTGCAACCTCCAAAAGTGGTAATCAAAGTAATATTGTTATGGCAGGTGCGACCATGGACTCATCAAATGGAAGTAAAGGAGTTAACGATAATGGTTCAGGAGTGATATCTTTACTTAATATTGCCAAGTATTTGACTTCTTTTGAACTTCATAATGCCGTTAAATTGTCTTGGTGGGGTGGAGGTAATCATAGAGCTTTTGGTTCAGTTAATTATGAGTGGGCTGGAGGCAATGATATTGACAAAGTTCAAGTTTATCTTGATTTGAATACACTCGCTTCACCAAATTATGGGTACCTTATACCCAACTATTCCCCTCTCACAAAGGATTTCAGTAAATACTTTTCTGCAAAGGGTATCCCGTATAAGGAAGTTGATTTTGGGTTTGACTCTAAAATTTTCATTAATGACCTGTGGGTTTTCAGTGATTTAGGAATTCCTTCTGGAAGTGCAAATGCGGGTAAACTACATTTAAAGGATGGGGATGCAGTTCAGAAGTTTGGAGGAGTTGTGAATACTCCTTACGATCTGTGTAATGGGTTATCATGTGATGATATATCAAACTTGAATCTTGATGTGTGGTTCAACATGACTAAGGCATATGCGTATCTTATTGGAGCTTATTCCAACTCAATTGAAAATGTACCCAAAATTCCAATTAAATCGGGTAAAATTTTAAATTAAACAACCAACTTAGAAGATCATCTAGGGTTACCTAGGTAAATCAAATGAATTGCTAATTTGTTATAAATATATCACACACGTGTAGTTTTCGATTTGTTTAATGCTTAACTTTTTATATATTCTTCGTATCTTAAGCACATTTTAGTAAAATGCTACAAATTGACTGTTGCCACCTGGACAAACCTGCGATATTTGATACTTAACTTCTTACTATTATTAGTCCAAAGGTCATTTTACTGTTCTTTAACCATATTATTTATTGACATGGCTATCTAATTGACATGGCTCTCGTATTAATCTTGTACCCCATATTATATCCAGGTTCTGGATCGAAAATTAGTCATGCCCCCCACCTTATCCTGAATCGCGCCATAGATCCATATATCAACGACTTTTCGTCACTTTTCTTTCTTCAATTGACCTAAGTACCAAATCATGTCTGTTGATTTATCTGTGTTTGGAGGAGTTAGTCCTGCTCACAATGATTTCCGTAGTGATACATTGACCACTCCCACCTTGGAAACGGTTCAAGCCATTTCCAATTCCACTCTTGGTGACGCAGTCTATGAAGAAGATGACAAAACCCATGAGTTAGAACAATATGTTGCTATACTTTTAAATAAACCCAAGGGTCTCTTTTGCGTTTCTGGTACAATGTCTAATCAAATTGCCGTTCGTACCCACTTGAAACAACCTCCTCATTCTGTATTATGTGATTATCGTGGTCATATTTTTGTTAACGAAGCTGGTGGATTAGCTACTCTTTCCCAAGCAATGGTGCAACCAATTCACCCAAAGAATGGTAAGTACATGACATTGGTAGATGATATTGAACCTAACTTCATACCAGATGATGGCGAAATTCATGGTGCTCCTACTAAAGTGATTGCACTTGAAAATACCTTACACGGAATGGTGTATCCAATCGAAGAAATCAAGAGAATCTCCGTCTTTTGTAAGGAGAATGATGTCAAATTGCATCTAGATGGTGCCAGATTATGGGATGCTCTGGTCCATGATGAACTCCCATTACTGGAATATGGTCAATATTTCGATTCTATCTCAATTTGTCTTTCTAAGGGAATTGGTGCTCCAATTGGCTCTATTCTTGTTGGTGACGAGAAATACATTACTAAAGCAAATCATTTCCGCAAGCAGCAAGGTGGTGGTGTCAGACAGTCAGGTATTTTGGCTGCAATGGCTTTGGCTGCTATTAAAGGTAATTTCCCCAAGTTTGCTCAAGTTCACCAATACACCAAAGAAGTTGCAGACGTATGTGATTTGCTAGACATCCCTTTGGAGCATCCTCCACAGACCAATTTTATCTTTATTGATCCCTCTAAGAACATCGCCAAACTTGTTGAGATTCTGACTGCTGCTGGACTAAAGGTTAACTCAGGGAGATTAGCATTTCACCACCAAATTACTCGTGAAAGTGTAGATAAGATCATTCAAGTGCTTAAGGAATGGTGGCTGAAGCATAATAAGGAATCTGGGTCTGGAACTTACTACAAATAGATTGCCACAAATACAGTAACTAGACATCTAAATATCTAAAAGAAAACACTTGTAAAGACACGTAATTGTTGTAGATGAAATGTCAATTTTATGTTGCATCATCATAGGCATACACACTCTAAATTTTGTACGAAGAAAATCAGAGATCCAATCCGAAGCACTTGAACGAATTGGTCTTCTGCTGTGTGCCCCCATGCACTCAGAAAAAACTCTATAAATGTCATCTTCGTCTTCAGTTTATCTCACAGCACTCACACCACAACTACAAATGTTTTGGAATGATGAGTTCAACTTCGAATTGTGTGTACGAATTCTCACTTTGAAACAACAAATTCAAGTGCATCTGGCACAAGATCGTCTCCTCAGGTACAAGAAACTTCTTAACTACTTGCTTATTAGATATGTGTTCAATCAGCTTATTCAGAAGCAGAGCTTAGAAAGCCCAGTGAATTTCACCTACACGAAAATGGGGAAACCTCAATTTCCAGGTATAGAGTTTAATATTTCCAGTAGTAACTTGGTTTTGGGTCTCGGAGTTAGTCAAAACCAGCGTCCTATTGGAATAGATTTGAGCCACGAACAACAGCGTATAGACCCACACAGTATTGTAGACCAGTTCCGCTCAATCATGAGTGACGATGAAGTTGACCAATTGGAATCAATGTCCGATGTTGGTCAACGATATCTCAAGTTCAATCATTTGTGGACATTGAAAGAGGCTTACAGCAAGTATTTAGCACTTGGACTTAACATGGACTTGGCTTCTTGTTCGTTTGAAATGGGGAAACTCGACGATACAGAGAACAAGTTCCCTCCAGAATCAGAGACTGAAGTATTACCACTACATGTTAATTGGACACAACTGTTTCTACAGACACAGACTCAAAAATGCCATTCATGTGTGGTTAAACCACCTATAAATCCTGATCGACTCCCGGTAATACTTTCTGTTGTGCATGACGAATCCCATCCAGCTAAGGTATACTATATTGACATGTTTATTGTGGTTCTGAACATCCTCACGTCTCTTAAGTCATCGGGTTCGGCATAGAACTTAAGGAAAATCATCGAAACTTGGGGAAACATTGTAAGTGTTCAGTGTTCACATTGCTTTTTAACTCATTTACAGTGAAGACATTGTCGACATCGTCCATACCCATTGATATTCTATCACTACTGATAAAGATCTATACTTATAGATGACTTATACTACAATGATCTCACCTTTGAGAGCGATGAGCAGATCGCGCGTTTTCCACAGATGCTTATCGCAATACCTGAACCAACTATATGTGCATTCTATACCTGAAGGAGGATATAAGTTTTCAGTTTCAAACGATCCAAAAGTGTTGGCTCTTGGTTATAGTAAATGGCCCAAGGCAGACCATCCTGATGATTTCCGATCGGAACCTAAATTCGTAAGCGCATTGCAACTGTTGATCAGTGACAAGGTTCAAGATGACTTTTCGTTTATTATTGAAGCTGGAACCAATGCCCTGACATTCATGCCTATTTATGATTTCCGTGAAATACCTTCTTACTGTCGTGTTCCTAATATTGAAAGTGTTTTCGGATATATTCAAGTAGATGATTTAGGAAAAATGATTCCGGGTACTTATCAATCCAATGTTATGTACAGAATGTGCAATTGGAATGGATTGCCCAAGTTTAGTGATTTTATGTATGAACAGATCAAACAAAAGTTGGAATTAGAGGTGGATTAAATGCAGTAGCAGGTTGTCGTTATGTATATACAAATTCAATCAATCACCATATAAATATACAGTAGAATACCTAATTTTGGAATTAGTAATGAATGAGTGCCCATCAAAGCTCCTCATAACTAATATAAACAAAAACTTAGATATTGTAGTTCGCGACAACTATGATATTGCTATGAAGTTAACCCTGAAATATGGGATTGCCTTCAGTCATTCATCTTATGGGAATTACACGAGCCAAGAACACGATTTCACTGTGTATGGCACAAACAATGCATAAACCTTCTATTGCCTCAATAGTACCAAGAATCATTCATGATTTCCTAGATTGAAACTTTCGCTTCTACAATAACAATATGAGAGCTCATAGCAATTGACCACACCAACCCTTTGTGAGTGGGGTGAAACCAACTATGACATAACAATAGATGTTTCAATTTATTAAGCCACATAATAATTTATACGACGATTATTACATAGAATATTTCGTGAAGAGTGTTTCCTACATACTATCCACTTCTACAACAATATTCATAACTTAGTGTTATTGTGCTTTATAATTTCTTGTCTAATTAATATGGCCGTGAACAATCAAGAAAACAACTAAGAGAGCAATATCCCTAATTCTTCAGTTGGTTTAAAAAATCGTCTATGATACCCAGTTAGCTACCTCTTGGTTCCGCTCTTCCTGATCTCTGAAATATTCGCTTCGTCAAACTGTTCCTGAACTCAATGTTTATTCAATCGTATACCAGTGAAAATTCAATACTAAAGCCTCACGTACGGTTGCACCACTTAAAGGTGTTTGTGTAACAATTTTACGGGAATGCACCACCGCTTCAGGGGAATTATTGGATGAATGCCTTTTATCGCGTAACTAGTATAGAATACAAGATAATTTTAACCTTATCACCTGCAGAAGCTTTGGCTAACTTAAAACATGTGACAAGGACAGGCTATGCAATCATCAAGATATTAAAATAGCTTTAGTGTGGTTACAGTCACACCCAAGATACAAGAAGGATTGTTCCTCTCCTCAAGGCTGATGTAGGACTGCATATTCCATTTTTGGATGCATCCTCGTAAAGATGCATGCACCATTACCAGCCGCTCAATGGTTTCATCATCTGTTCTAATAAAAATACACCAATAAAATTTATAACATTAATGTGATAGTTGTTAACGAAAACTAGGAATAAGCCACAATAAGGACAATGATTAGCTTACGGTGTATGACAGTAGTAAAAAAGTTAAATTAAAATTCCATTCCATTCTTCCCCCATCAAATGATTGAAACTTAACATGACTGGTCATCCTTGGGCTGTTTTATTGTACTGCGTGTAAAAAAAGTGTTGTTTATCGTTCTTTGAAAAAATTAGCGTTGCAGAACTTGCCTCCCGGTTTGCAGCAAATGATTGCTCCCCAAGAATTGGGATATAAATAAAGAATTTTCTCTTGTTAATAAATAGCAATGATATAGAAAAACAGTCTTAAATATTCATTAAACTTTCTGATACATTGAAAGAACCATGAAACTTTTGAAAGGAGTTAATAACATTGTCTCATTGGCAATAAGATTGTCGCAGCTAGTTTTCGGTATTATCGTTTTCGCTTTAGGAGTTTTCGTTGCTGATAAATTTGACAGTGGAAGAGCAGGCTTCAATGCTGCCGTTGGTATATTAACGATTCTTTATGTCGTGTTTTTATTGGTGTTTTATAAATTTGCTTTCACAATCTTAGTGTTAGCGATTGACCTGCTCTTTTTTTTGTTGTGGTTGATTGCATTTGCACTTTCAGCAAATGATATTGGAAGTGCCAGTTGCGACTTCTTTTTTGCTTCTAGCAGTTACAAATCGGCTTGCCAATCTTACAAGGCAATAATTGCTTTTGGTGTACTCAGTTGGCTCCTCTTTATTGCTTCCCTTGTTTTGATTATTTTGTTCCAGGTTGTTCCTTTAGCAAGAAATAAGGCTCCAACAAAGTCTTGGACCGCTTTAAGCACCTTGTGCATGGGTGGTATCTACCCTCAAAATACGCTTGTTCGCCATGCTGATGCTGAAAATAACACTGGAGTGACAAATGAAAATGATCCAGTGGCTGGCGAACATAAGTATACAACTGATAATCTGACCACTGGTGAGCACAAGTATGATGGACATGGGCTGAGTTTAGGTGAGGCTCATTATGACTCTAACGTTCACAACGGTGGTGAAGCCATGTATGACTCAAATGCTCACCATATAAGTGAACCCAGATTTGATTCCAATGCTCAGACCATGGCTGCTCCAGGTGAACAGCCAATTGGCTACGGAGCCAAATGAGGTGTCTAACGCCAGCTGAACTTTAATTCTTTTATAATACCTGCCATTTACATTTTTCAAAAGTGTAGTTTAAATTTGGCTGTTCAATAGTTGAATCGTATTATATTGTATCTTTTTCGCAACAAGTAGAATCAGCACTTGTTATCATACTGAAGCAAGTGAGTGTCTTTAAAACTACCAGATCTTGGTTAGAAAGATGGTGGTATTGAGTCAGTAATGCAGCTCATCTATAAATACTTTCAAATGTTACTGTGGCAGGATAGTAATACAACTTTAGTAAAAATACGGTCACAACATAGAAAGTACATTCTCTCACTTGGATTAACTTTTCCGCTACTAGCTTTTCTAAATTTGCATGGGATACTAGACTCTTAATGAATCAGATTTCAAGTATTTGGTTTTCGGTCATACTAGGTTAAAGTTACGTTAAATATTACAAACGTCATCTATGTAAAAATAGTTAACACCTCACACCTTGTTTGCGTCTTGAGTTCTATTTAGTATAATGTGAATCGTCAGTTAATTCTTATTTCTTGCACTCTTTCAATGCTTCGTTATCTCTTTCCATTCTTTGCTATCTCTTCGCTCTTGGGACCAAAATTTGATCTAGTTAAATCCATGTCAGCACCTATTAGTCTGTGTTACACCCAGATTGAGTACTGCATAATTTATTCATCGTAATAAAATAAGCAAGATTTGCAGCCGCTAAAGATTCCCATCATCTTCAGCAATTGCATGATAACTCCTCGTAGCTAAACCCGGCAATGCTTAATGATTTCATCCAGTCACAGAAGGTTAGCCAAGAATACGATATGACCTGAGAATTCTTTCCACTAAGTTTCCAAAAAGTTAGATATTTTCAAATTTACAACTACTAAAATTTTATGTAATCTGTAAAAGCCATGAACAAATTTTCCGTTCTTACATTACTAACAAGAGTATTATAAATACTTTACTCCTTTTTTGTTGTCATAGGTATTGATGTTCCAATTATATTTGAAGCATACGGTGGTAGAAGTGCTGCTAATGCTGGAGTTGGCATATTTGAAATCACTAATGTCCTTTTAGTTTTTTTTTGTATAAGCTTCTTGTACGCTGTTTGTGTCCATTATTATAATCATTCTTACTGTGGCATGGTCATCTGCATTTGCACTCACAGCTAGTGATGGGGACGCTTGATTACACTGCATTAGTGTCAAATGTTGATAGGTGGGGAGATGCCTACATTAACTCTAATTTCAAATCTTCTTGCCAGATATACAAACCATTAATTGCTGAATTTGATTCTTTTTATAGTTTGCTTGCCATGGTTGTTGTGTACTAAGTTGTTCCCTTATCAAGGAGTAGCACACCAACATCGAGCTGGGCTTCTAGAAGTTGATTTATGCTCGATGCTTCACACAAAACACTAGTGAGATACACTAGTGATATTTAACGCAACGGAGACCAGCTTTCACAGATAAATCCCATACCTAGGCAACCCAACTACACTACAGATAATATGTACACTAGTGAGCCCTAATATGGCTGCTCCAAATTAAAACTAGTTGGCTAGAGGTAAGAGGCTACAGACCTACTTATTGATATAAGTAGACTACATTATTTGTCTATGAGCATGGGTAGTAGAACGTCCTTGAGCTCATAACTTTATTATGAAAAGCACGAGCTCACTAAATTTACATACACAAATTGGTTCTAAGCTTGTTTTAACAACAATCTAGCAATCATATTGCTTGTATGCGAAACCGTAAAGTGCTAACAGTTTGCCAAAAACCTGTGACAGTGGTTAGTAACAAAGAGAACTAATTAAGATCGGAATGGGGTTAGAATACGAATCCGTTAAATAAGTGTTACAGCCTTGCTGTTGTGCGGCCGTCCTCAATACGGAGGTTCTAATCACGGTAAACAAGTTTGTGTTGCTTTTCATTCGATGGAGATTGCTCTCGATCAGGCTTTCAAAGTTATATAAAAACTGAAACTACTAAGTATCAATGTGGCTGTTTCCAATGTAGAAAAGCCATAAACACCAAATATTTTATTAAATATCGTTGGGTGTCCAGCCTTTTGGATACCATTTTACTTTATCTGGGCATTCATATTTGGGTGGCTTGTAGATAATAGCATCCGTACGTTCAAATTCACCATCTCTTACACTGCCCTTAACGATGTGAAAGTAGTACACTTCCTTGATTGCACCATGCCTGTTACAACTGATATGTGGTTTCTTGCCATAACCCTTTGTTAAGGCTTCTTCAACCTCTGATAATTTGTATTTATTCTTTGCGTCAGGGTAAATACCCGCTTCAACCATCCACTGGTAAGTGGGGAGTTGGTAAAATAATTCAAGAGTCTTAGTAAAATATTCATATAAGTTTCGACCCTTCATGTCATTTTTATCATAGCATTTTGGTCTCATTGTACGAACACAAGTACCATGTTTATTCCATTCATTTACCCATAAATCTGGACCATTATTCTTAAGGTTCAACCAGTTTCGTTTCATAAACTGGTATGAATCATAATCGTCGAACTTTGTAAATAAGCTTTCAAAATCATAGTCTTTTGTTATATTAAGGTCGTTACAACAACTAACTTCGTAGTTTCCATTACAAAAGTCCGGCCAAAGTCCATGTACTGTAAATAAGTTGTCATCACCCACAGCAGGATAATAATCCCAAAACTGTGTTTGCACTAAAAGACCACCTGGACTTTCAAAGCAGCATGTATTGCCAATGGGTGTGGAGTTTGTGCAACTAAAAGGAAGATCCAATGGACATGAACTATCTGTATTTAAAGGAATTTGTTTGGCGACGGCCAATGCTATGAAATATGTAAGTGATAATTTCATTGTGCTGTAAAACTGAGACTTGGTATTTTGCACCCGAATGAGTTTTCCAAGCCAAAAATAAATTGTGCTTTCGATTCATTCTTATACCCGAGGCCAAGGAATCATTTCATACCACTACTAGAATTACTGAACTATGATAATAAGTAGTACGGACACCTTCAATAGTCCGCGGCGTTTTGAGTTTACTTACGTTCATGTATTAAGGGAACGGGGTAGCAATGCAATGGTATCATTAGTGTGGGAGAAAAGCAATTCTGCTAAGTAAAATGTTCCAATTTAGTCTAACAATAGAATGTGTACTATTAGAGATTAATGATTTCACTGAATCACTAACCTTCGATCCTAAACTTCGATCCAATTGGTCATAAAATAGGCCCATGTGTTGCATAAAGTTTGCTAGATGGTGAGAATGCATATATTTGCTTATTTTCTAGATCTTCTCGGTAGGTCTAACCGAATGCGGAAGTCAATAATGTACGGGGTACAGCGATTTAAGTGTAAATGAAATGTAATGTGGGGTTTAGCAATAGTTATTTTTAACATTCAGTTCTATAATTTCTTATGTATCTACCAAGACCTATTTTTTCAACCAATTATAACAACTTCAAACTTGAAGTGGTGATAGGTGAAGCAACTCAGTTTTTGCCTGATAAAGGAATGCGTTTACGTATATGCATAAATTAGCTCGAATTGCCTGTGAAGTGGAGTGATGATTATGCCCACAATCAATTACGGATGAAAGATAACTTCGTATCTTAAGTCATATATAACTCAAAAGCATTAAATCTGAAATACAATCTTTACTTGGCTTCAAACCTACCTACCAGTCATCTTAGGAGTATCCCCACATCGCAGGGGTCCCAAGCTTACTGCATGCTATTGTAATGCAAAGGCGTGGTAATTTTTATGTGTATATGTGATAATTACTAGTATGAGAGTGCTCTCCGGCAAAAATACATGAACAAGAGAAGATGCATTAGCTCCTATACCAAATGTGTATTACAATTAAGAGAGTACCGTAGACTGTTACGAAATTAAGCTATTAGTTTCATACTAAAATAGATTTGAGTCTACACGCGAAGAACAAGATAATAAGAATTGATGCATGAAATCTGAATCCTTTAATTCTTCTATCACAGGTCAAGAGCCAGTATGTATATTATGCTAGATGTTTAAGAAAGTGGATGATGTTAAGACATCAAAGCTGAATATCAGACAACAATTGCTCTAAATTGAATAGAGTAAAACTATTTAAGTCTATATTATCTTTATGTTAAGACAAGTTATAAATTAATATGGAATGGGCTTCTATATCTTTTATCCAAACTATGCTTTTTTTGGCAGCAAGGCAGTCCTCAGGTTACCACGACAGGTAGTACATCGAGAAGCCCTAGAGTAAGGTGCTAATTGATTAGATCTTTTACATTTAAGATGTTCAGTAGGAATAAATATTTTATCTAATAGGGAAATACTTGATCTAAAAAGCACCTTTATATAAATTACCAACTGTGCCGAATAGGATGCATGTACGATTTCGTTTTCCTACCTCGTACATAATGGAAATTATATAGGGAGCTTCATATTCCACTTGCATTTTTTACATCAGCTATTTTAATTTCATTTTGTGGATGTATGATGTTGTTTTATAGAACTCTAAAAAAAGAATGCCTGCTGAAACTACCACACTAAGAAGATAATAGATCCAATAAATGTTGATTTATAAGACTTTTGTACTTTTCAAATGTCTATTGCAAGATCAACTTGAAACTATCTGCACAGTCTCCACCAACTTCAACTGGAACTTGCACAAACTTTCCACTACCGTGGGATAAATCATATCTTAAACAGAAATTTTCAATTCCTCCATATGAAATAGCCTTTGACAGTTTGTTTAATTGGAATTGATTTCTTGACGGAGAAATGTTAGCATTACATTGCAAAATCCCATCAATAACACCACAATATCCCTTAGAAGACTTTACATTATAGCCTCCAAATTCCAGCTTCAAAAGAGTGTAAGTGGCACAGGTTCCATATTGGTACCAATTACCATTGCTGATCAAACATCCGTTGTGGTTAGTCAATTTAATATGGCCTCTTAAACCTGGAACTCCAGAAGGTTTACCTGGCGAGCCAGGCCCTGTGTGTGTTGGGTGTAATGGATTCCCTGGTGTCCAGCCCTTAGGATACCATTTAATGCCCTGTGATGGGCAATTAGAGGATATCATTGAATCAATTGGAAGGAAGCCTCCATCTCTAACGCTTCCTTTTACGTGATGAAAGTACCATACTTCTTGCAAAGCACCATAACGATTACATTTGAAAAATGCAGAATGGCCTTCGAAGTTGGAAGATATAGCCTTAGCTATTTCATCCTTGGTATAAGTTTTTTCAGCATCAGGGTAGATTCCATTGCTAGTTAAAAACTCATAAGTGGGAACCTTATGATATAAATCGACTGCTTTTCTAAAGTAATCGTAGACATTTTGATTCTCTTTGTACAGAGATCCGTAACACTTTGGATTGAGAGTATTAATGCATGTCCCGTGTTTGTTATATTCATGAATCCATAAACTTTTAGCATCACCATTAAAATTAAGCCAATACTTCTGCATCGTATCCCAAGTTTCTGAGTCCCCAAACTTATTGAACAATGATTCAAAGTCAAATCTTCCATCCAACTCTAAGGCGTTATTGCAAAATTGTTCATAAGAACCATCACAGTTATCAGGCCACAACCCATGAAGAGTCCAGCTTTCATTATCACCAACAGCAGGATAATAATCCCAGAATTGGGTCAGAAGAAGAACACCACCAGGGCTTTCAAAGCAACATGTATCGTATATCGGGGTGGAGTTGGAACAACTTGGAGAGATATCAATTGGACATGAAGGAGAGTCCAATTGGTGGAGTTGAGAGCTCAATGGTAATGGCAATTGCGGTATAGAGAAAGCAATGGCCTCAGCAAATAAATAAAGTGATAGCAAAACAGCTCTCATAGTCACTACTGCTTGGGGGAAAGTTCAACAACACGTTACAACCGTTGTAGGATAGGTAATCAAGTTTCCATGGATTTTACTCACGTTGCCTCCTCCCTCAATTTCAGCCTGCACGTTGTCAGAAAGACTTACCCGGCACTAGCATTCAATTTAAAAGGTTACCCGGCACTGGAACTGCTTAACTTTTGTCCAGATTGGCACCCTCCTCCGCGCAACGGCTATGGCTGCCCGAACGGGTAACCAGTTCCAAATAGAAGAGCGTTAGGACTACTCCGATGGTGGTGCATATAAAACATCACTAAAGGCCATAAAGTAGCTAACACAAAAGGTCAAAAGTGAAAGGTTTCTCCTTCTTTCCTTACCTAACTTGATGGATCGTTCTATTGATAGGTTTATTGTTTTGGAGTGATTGTTGAATAGAAAAGAAATCATCAGATTGCGATTCTTTTATTTATATGTTTTAGTTTCTGCTGTTTTATGTTATTGAAGCTTTCTTTATTGTAACACAATATACTTGTATACTCAAAAGGTTATAAGCTGATTGTGATATCAAAAAAAGTGGATGAATATTTATCTCTAGACGGAACGAAACAATTTGAATCTTGACACTAGTGAAATATAGCGCTCCAATATTGACTTTCTATTCAAGTTAGACCTTAACTTCAGTACTATTGTCTTGTTCCCGTGCGAACACTAAGACCCCACAATTCAATAATATCAACAACGATAAAACCATTTTGCTGTATCTTGTTTTCTTTCTTTTTATCTCGTCCCTGATACTTTGTTCAATACACATGCTCCATTCTACAAATGCCTGGATCCCAGAAATTTAGTCTGATAAGAAAGGAACTTAACCGGTCCAAAACAGGGTGCTTTTGCTGTCGAAAGAGAAAGAAAAAGTGTGATGAAGTTCGTCCCGTATGTACGGGATGTCAACGGAACAATATCCGATGTATTTACCCTTCTACTCCTAAACAGGCCATGCCTAAAGGCTTTGAGTTAGTCGCTGAACAGTACGATAAGAACGTGGTAGTTAAGAAGCTTATTATGGTATCAATGACCAACGATACACCGGATAACAGGGGTAGGCTCTCTATTGTGAAAGAACATAATTTTGATGGTCAAAAGAATCGAATATCAAATCCACATCCACAATCTCCTATAAAAGTAAAGACAGAAGATATACAACAACAATTTACTCCTACAAATTGTTTTCTGTCTCCTTTGAATACAGCATCGACTACAAGTTTTGAGGATGCTTTAACTTACCAGCATAATGAACCCTTACCAGCTGAAAGTCACTTAAACCAACAAAATTCTTTGGGACATCACGATGGCATACTTAGTCCTCTGATGTTCATAGATTTGGCCGATATCAGAGTTCCAGATGGCGTAAATAATACCGAACCTCAAAGCTCTCAACCATCAAATGATGAAAAAGATGATCACGAGACTGAAATGCTTTTAGACGAGGAATTAAGCAATACTGCTTCAATCGATGGGGAAATTTATACGAAAAGATTTGAAAACTTATCCATGCCATCGAATGGTAACACGTTTTCGAATTCTGCAGTTCAACCCTATGCTTCTCCTCATGATAAATCATCCCCATTAAGTGCCTTTTTATTGGATGCTCCATTGATTAATTTCTCCAAGTATGTACCAAACGTTACGCTTTCTCCAGAGAATTCGAAGCTTTATTATCACTTTCTTAATGACTTTATGCCCTCTATTTCACCCTCCCATCCCCCCCCCAAATTGACTGTTTGTGCCCAATGGTCTGGAATAGTTGACAATCCATTTTTACTTGAGATCTTTTTAAGTTGTGGGGCATCGTATATGAGTTTCAAGAACCCGAACTTCTCGTCCATGGCAGAAAATCGATATCGTCGAGCTTTGAGGATGTTAAGTGAAGTCCTTGAAAAGGGACAAGATGAAGATGAAAATACTGAAACCTCTGGCCAACTCACTCAAAGCTATGGTAGCAAATCTTCTTTAAGTGATCAAGATTGGGTTTTCCCAGCTATTCTTACTTTATTGCTTAGAGATAGGGCTATTGGTGCATCAGGGTCACAATTAGCTAAGCATTTGATATTTTTGAATACGTTGTTGATGAAAAGACTACACAAGAAGAGTGCAGAAAAGGATTTCACTATAACTCCATTGGAGAAAACTATCTTTGATTCTTCACTTTTCAATTATACAAATGTCATTATGTGTTGTTCTGAACAAGATTTAGTTCAATTACCTGATCCAAGCTCATTTTATGGGACCATCAATAAATTTGTTTCTGTCAACATGTATAATGATAGTGATTTTAAGTGGGTCTTGAATCCAGTTACTGGTAGTGCTATTGAAGAATTTCAGATTATGGGTAAATTGATTTGGTTATTACGTTTACATCACTGTATTAGTAATAAATCACTGCCCAATTATATCAAGAATGAAGATTTCTGGAACATGGTGATGCCACTCAAAGAACAAATTGAATTGGCAAAAACCAAATTGAAGAAACTAATTGGTGAATGGGAAAATACACCTGGTGGTGATAAAAGTTTGAGGGTTAACCTTTCAGTTTCGAATATTATTCTTTCTGGCTGTATCATTTTACTAGAGAAGATTATAAACCCTTCATTACCTGCATATCTTGATTTATTTCAAGATAGAGTCAAGGGAGTATTTCATGATCTTTTGAATTATGTCACTAGTGATCTGCATTCATCTTGTCTTATTCATTTGAGTTTATTTATTGTAGGATGTGCTTCAGTTGGTGATGAGCAAAGAGCATTTCTTCGGAATTATCTTCTTCAAGATTCCAAGACTCTAAACTCGGTCGCAACAACAAATATCTTACAAGTTTTACAAGACTCTTGGGATCGAGAAAACTTTGAGAAGAATCTCAATTTACACGATGAAAATTATCAATCTTTTGATCTACTATTTGATAGAAGTGCCATTGAACTTCTTTGCTTCTAGCTTCTCTTTTTTGGGACGGTTTTTTTCTTCTTCATTTCTTTTAACATGTTATTTGTGAGTTTACTAGTTCCCCTTGTATTATACTAATTAATTTTCAACCTAAAATAATATCGAAGTTTTCTGTACAATATTTGGATTCCTTTTTGATTTGTATGCCGTATTTTTACACTAAACGTCCTTTAGTGACCCCTGAATAAAACAGATGATCTTCAAAATATCGTAGGTCGAACATTGAAAAACGTTCAACGGTCACACTTCTCGTTCTTTCTATTAAGGTTATTTAATGCATGACAGGCTCAACAAATTTGTGTTGATTTTTCATGCAATAGAAGCCCAATCTTGCTACATATGGGGCATAGCCTTACCCCTCGTAAAATTTGGCATATTACGGGATAATAAAGTATAATTATACCACCTTTTTTTCACTCTTTTGCCCTTGAAACTAATCAAAGCCTATCCTCATGTGGGTTGATCGACTAGACTCAATTGTGAATGCTATATCATTTACCTTCTGCTTCCTTGTGCCCGCATGTCTCACAGCAAAACTGATATCCAACTTTACGCTTTCTCGTAGTTATAAAGGTAACGATATAACCCTTCTCAATCTTCAATACTTTATCAATTATTGGCTCTGGTATGTTATATTGGAACAAATACAACACCTAGAAAACTTTCGGAAATGGTCTAGTGGGTTCTACGGGGTAATAATATTGAAGCCTGGCATTGTTGCTTTTACGCTCTGGCTCTTTTATTATCAAGGATGTATGTACATTAACTATTGCTACCTTAAGCTGTTAGCAGTGAATCTGTTCAGAAGAGAATTGGCCGGATTCCAAGATATTGATGTTTATATCATTAATCCAATTGTTTCGTTAGTGTTTAGACCTCGGAACTCCTTGCTTCCAATGATCTTAAAGGTTTGGGTGACTTTATTTAATCAGTATGATCATCATTCGATACCTAACCGAATATTAAAATTCATTCATACTATACCTAGAGGAACAACAGTGATGGACCATGCTTTAGATACTCTCTTCTACGTTAATGACTTTATAAAGTTACAAGAAGAATACAACGCTTTAGTACATGGATTCTGGGGTGCAATACCTGACCAAAGAAGACATCAGCCTAGATTGTATAGTGGCAGAAGGAGACCACCAATAGAAAATAGAGAAGTGATTAATAAAAATAATAATACACCTACAAGACACAACAATAACAACAATCAAAATTCGCAGGTTCCACGATCAGATCCATTGGCTCAAGAAAGCCAACCTCAACGTATTGTTAGTTTTGACGAAGTCATTCTTTCTACACCTATTTCAGATATTCTTAATAGTGATAAAGAGGATGTAATTGAGGCTGATGAGATTCCATTAAACCTTTCTGATCCCCCTAACGTGGTCGAACAAATTGATAAAGTACTCGCACCTGCTAAGACGTATGCGGGTACTTCAGGTCGAAACATAGATGGCCTTTCGATTGAAAGATCCAACACCTGGGGCGGTAACAAGATTAAATCACAAGTTCAAGGCGAACCAAGCGATCGAGCTAAATCACCAATACCTTCAAGATCCATTTCACCTAGCATCAATATTATTCCACCTAGAGGAAGATCTCCTAGACCTCAACTCCAAAAACAACAACTTCAAAATTTAGAAGCTGCAGTGAAGGAAGTAATTTCGGGAACATTCCCACATACTGCGCATAGAAGATCAAGTCTGCTTCAGCCGCCCACGGTTCTCAGACCAACTAATGAGCAATCTCTGCCTGAGCAAAGCAATTTAGTCCAACCTGGAAGACTGGGACCAGGGACTTTTTCACCACCAAATGGTAGGGTACGTCATTTGCTGGATTCACATCCAGGTATCCCAGTGCTGATAGCTGCCCTTCGTTCTAATGCTACTCATACTACATCTCCTCCGCCAGGAAATGCTTCGCAATATCGAGTGAATCCTTCGTCGCTTGGCAAATTGTTTCCCAGAGGTTCTTCTTCATTTAAGGTCAACTCTACTAATATTGGAAAAAGCTCAAGTATGGACCATAATCACAGTAGTGGATCTGCGATCATGGATGATTACTCCCACTCAGACACAGAGTTGCCGTATCCATCTCATGAATATTTGAGATAATAATCATATATTTATATATATATATAGCTTAACATTATACACATAGCTACTAAACATTAGGATCTGGGGCAGCATCAATTATAACAGAACCCAACTTCCAAGTGGTAATGTTTTCAACTTTAAGCTTGCGTAGTTCTTGATCAATGAAAGCTGCATAATGTGGAGGACCCACAATCAAGCAATCCCATTCACTCGTTAAGTATTCCATATCTAAGTTTCTTATTGGATGATCGTCCAATTCTCCAACACCATTTGAAAGTGAATCAGTTGAAAAGTCTGTAGGTTTAACAGTAAAGTATTCTCTGATTTTAAAGTTCCAGTGATAAACTCTCTTCAAATCCTTTAACCAATCAAAGAATGGTCTGTGGTGATAACTGTGAGAACTATAAAATAGTGTAACATGCTTTTTCTCTTTCAAAGCTGTTTCAATTAAGGGCACACAAGGGAAAATACCCAACCCTCCAGCGAATAGGGCCAACTTCTCACTACGGGCAGCAGCTTTAAATTTATCGTCATAAACATCAATACCAGTAGGAGCTGCAATGTCCAAGATATCACCAACTTTTAAGCTTCCGTGAATATATGAAGACACCTTCCCATTGTAGTTCCGGACAGAGATTCTCCATTTGTTATCCAAAGTATTGGCACTTAAATTGTAGTCCCGAACAAGATCTTCACCTTCAAGATTTACCTTTAACAGAATATGCTGACCGGGTTTAACTTCAGGTAATTTGAACTTGGTTTTAACAGGCGTAAAGTACACCGATTTTATGGATTTACATTCTTGGACGATACCTGTTACCTGGAACCTTTCAAACCCTTTCCAAGGCAAGGTTGAACACAATTGTTCCTCCTTCTCTTTGAGTAAACTAGTGAGTTTTGTAAATACGGTATGAAAAATATGTTCATCCACAGTGGTGTGGTGAGCACTTGCTAAGGCTCCATAAGCATATGGCTCTATAAGTTCATAGTATTCCGATGGGAAACCGACACTAACATGCTTTATCACAAGTTCATCAAATAGTCGACTTTCAAGGGCATGGTTCTGCCATTGAGGAAACTTGGAAAGTACATCTAATATTAATAGGGTCCAGAATTTAGGCAGCGATGTGGTGAATAATCCCAGATTAACAAAATATGATTTGATCTCGGGGTTAGCTGCAAACAATCGATTATAAACATCGCTAACAATTCGAGTTCCTCGGGTTTCGTAAAGAGGAATAAATGATTGGATATAATCGTATTCGACAGTAGTTAATTGAGTCATTGGGTTAAACTTTGTATGAATTGGATAACCAAATATTAACTAACATCACCTACCAGTTACTTCTGTTCAACATTTATAACCCGTGAATACGATCATCGATTTTGCTACCCCGGATTTTACCTTGTGTGTAGACGGGGGCTTTCAACTTATCCATTGTTGTTTAAAATTGGTAAGGTCATTACGATAGAAACACGTGATCTTATGGTTCCATTCTGATATATGGTATTGAGTATCATCGTACCCTAGCTTTTGTGTGGTATGATGGATAGAAACTTTTTCTTTTACACTACTCCTTAACTAAGGTAGACCTACTCATGATCTATAACATGATAACAATACAACTGTTAAAACTATATTTTGTTTAACGTGTTGGCTTATTTGAAGACGCACAGTTTTGCACTTGTATATTCACAAAGTTGACCCACCTATTAGTGAACTGACACATGGCCACTGTCGTGTGATAGTGGACTTTGATCTTCTCATGATTTTATGAAGGATGCGTCGCACCTTGCCTATTACGGGGCAACTTGAGACTCTCACCTATCGGGTAGATGGATTACGATCGGGAATTAACGGATACAAAATCAAAAAAAGGAGTGAATTGCGCGCTACCAGAGAGACTTGACTGAAAAGGGAAACCTTATGTATCTCCGGGACAGTGCATACTTTTAACTTGATCTAAATCTAATACTCCTAAAAGGGAGCCCCTATATTGACATGGAAAAAGAAACCGAGATAAGGTCACGTGATCCTACATACGAATTAATTCTGATGGAAGAGAGTAAACCGTATAATGTAAAATGGGAGAAGCTATAAGAAGGAGGTACGGAAATCAAGAGAAAAAACAGGGCAGTGGACAACTTGGGACAAAGTCATGATTATTATTATTATAATTTGTAGATCATTTAAACCAAAGGTGAGCTTACCATTTTCTCAGTAATCAACTTTTCTTATCAGGAGGTCTACCTTTTATGCCTGTGACAGCCCTACGGCTCTATAAATATCAATTTTTAACACCAACTTGTTCCAGTGGATATGAAATTCACGTAGGAGGGGTGCATGTAGTAGATTATGGTTTCTGATAACAAATTGTATAGGGGTAATGAACCGTGGAACAGCAAGAAAACGGAAAACTCGGCGGAGGCTTTTGTACAGTATTATATAAACTAATGAATATCATCGGCGATAATAAAACAGAGATGAGTTTCACGTTGGTTTACTTTGTTCTGCTTCGTGAAGTTAAACTTTTTAAAACTACTCTTCAAGCCAGCTAAAAAGTAAGCAATAAGTAGTAGTTTTGTCTAAAGAGATTTTGTTCAAGAGTAGGTTCCAAAAATAAATATCTCATCTTATTGCTGATAAGACTAGTATTAGGCAGTGTGCAATATTCAAGAGGATCACAACAACAGCACCAACGTTATAGGGAAACCCATTCTACATAAAGATCCTTTGATATAATATTTAATCTTTATATCGTGTCGGATTTAACGGCTAGATTTTTGGTCATAGTTTTATCTTTATAAATCCACGGCTACAAGTTCGGTATACGGCTTGCTCGATCCGATATTTATCTCATCGGATTAAGGTTGATCCAAATATATATACCGATTTTTATTAGCGAAAGATATCACCAACATAGATACAGCATTAGTCAGTTTATGCATTAATATGACGATGCTTAATAGAGAAGTATCTCTGGATTCTGGATCTTCGGTGTTTAGTAATGGTAATATCAATGCATCTCCTTCAAGAACTCCCTCACCTTCTCCAGAACACAATTATTACCCTCAAACAGCACCTGATTCCGTGCTTCATCTTTTAGAACCTTCTCCAGTTCACCCTCCTGATTATTCCCTGCTTCCTCCTGGAGGATGTCCTCGATTCCCCATTCATGATGATCATCCAGTTCTAGATCATGTCCCCCCAGAATACTCTCCTTCCGTCTACAAGTTTGATTTGGTCAATCGCAAACAAGAATGGCTATCTCCTTATGATCCTTCCCCCTCGAGATCTTGGAAAACAGTGATAGTGGAGTTGAACTCTACACAACTAAATATTTATCATGTTCCTTCATCATTGGAGAGTTATCTTGTTCAATTCAAGTTGAACGCCATTAATACCCGTTCTGGTTCCTTCCGTTATCTTCCATCGCCGATTCCCTCGCGTAACACCAGCTCAATTTTCAACAAATCTTCATCAACGGCATCATCATCAACTTCCACATCAGCATCAGCATCAGCATCAACATTCAATTCCTACAAAGAATCATTTAAAAAGACGTATGAGAGTTGTTTAACTTCAAACTTTGATCGTCGGTTCCATGAATTTGTTCATTCTTTGATTCGGCCCGGTTCAAGTTTCCGTGATACCTTCAAATTGGTCAGAACTTATTCCCTTCAACATTGCAAGATCGGGTTGGCTTCCGATTATAGTAAGAGACGTCATGTGCTCAGACTACGGATAGAAAACGAGCAGATATTACTTCAATGGTATGATGTTCCAGATTTGGTTGATTGGAACTGTGCTTTAAATGTGGGTAAAGATTTATCACTTGATTTGAGTTCAAGAGAAATCCCCAAATACAGAACAGTCCCCAGAAGAAGAGTTGATCAACGACGCAACACAACTAGCGAATCGACTCACCATAGTTCTACCATCAACTCTCGTCTTGGTCGTCCTCGTAGAGCCACTGAATCAGATGCCGTGTGGTATACTGACCATGAAGATGAAGAAAATATATCATCGTATTATGAAGGAAGACCAAGTTCAAGAAACCAAATTCTGGCTGATGAATATGATTATGACTCTGCTGCAAATGATAACGAATTAGACATAATGGCTAATCATAAGTCAAATAAGTCAGCATCATCCATTTCTCGTTCAGTGAGTAAGTTGAAGATCTGGAAACGTCGTACAAGCTCTCAGACTAGTCTTGTTGGATCTACATCTTCATTGGACTCTTTGGCAGTTCCAAGAGTGAGTTCTTCATCTTCTTTAAACAATTACAATTCCGCTCTTAGTACTCGGTTGGCCATGACTACGCTTGCATCCAGTCCATCTAGTTCGTCACCAGCACCTGGTCGGCCATCATCGCCCTCAAGAAATAGAGTCTCCCAGAGACCAGTTGTTATCACAGTATCTCCAGCAAGTGCTCCAACTGCTCCAACAACTGCCGCTTTAATTCCCTCTACCCATACTATAGTGCAATCAAGTAGAATAATTGGAGTGCAGGATAGTATTGTTGAAAGTGATGATGAATATGATGAATATGACGAAGATGATGAAGATGATGAAGATGATGAAGATGACGATGCTGTTATTGAAGTTGGCGATGATGAAGAATTAATTTGTCAACGTGAATCTACAGATGTTAAAGTATCTGAGAATGAGGAAGATGACGAAGAAGATCAAATTATTAGTGTTAATCCACCACCAATTTTGAAACAGTTTCTTGGTGCACCCATCACTGCTACTGGTACATTCACCAAGTGGTCACCTGACATTTATCCAGTATCAGAAGATAAGCATTTCAAAAAGTGTCTTCGGTGTATTAAACCACTTTTATTTGATGACTCATGGTTAAACAAACCATTATTAAAGCCCACGTCAATTTCCACGTGTTCATACAGTTATATACGGTGGAAGCATGAGGCTGGTATTGAAGATCCTCTGGTTAAAGATAAAGAGGGCCGTCGGAAAATCATTTCGCAGATGATCATTGGTGATAGTAGTACATTATGTAAGGTACCAAATCATCATTTGAAGGAATATATTGTTGGGAGTCATGGATTGATTCCTAGGGGGGTTACCATGTTTTCATGAGATTTTTTTGTTTAGGTTACTTTGGGTTGTAATATAAATTGATATACTATGTACAAGATAAGATAACTATCGATACGTAACTCCATACGTAACTCCATACGTAACTCTATACGTAACTCTACTCTATACGCAACTCTATATGCTACTATATACTCAACTCTATTAATTCTATATGATACTCTTATACACAACTCTATTAGATGATGTCTAGTTAACTTTTGTTAGTTGAAGTGCTCTTTGTTCAAATGCTTTAATCATAATAGAACTAACTTTATCACCAAACACTTTAGACACTTGATTGTATATAGGATTGTGAAACTTAAACTGTAGTTGTAACGTCACTTGACAATTGGCATTATTCTTCTTACCTCCAAACTTTGGAGTGTCTTTGAATATCCATTCCGTATATAATGTCTCAAATAAATGGTTACTTTGTTGAGTTACTTTAGACACAACCTTTTCATCTTTTTCACATTCTATAACACAATCAAACTTTTCATTGTACAGCTCAAATCCTACTTGAAGACCTGCCAGGATTGGCATACCATTTTCATCTCGTGCTGAGACCCATGACTTTTCACAATATGGAACAAAGTTATGATATTGGTCAATCTGTGATACCACAGAGTACATCGTGTGTCGAGTGACAGGAACTGTTCGTGTGATGTTATGCACTTGAGTAGTCGATGTGAAGAGTGTTCGTCTACATAGTCTGGTTTGAATTGCAAGCATGACAATAGAATATTACTATATACAGCCAGTGGAAGCAATCCCAGCTATTTGTCTTTTATGTCTAAACTTACTACCAAGACACAACCTATTAAATCTCGTATGAGTATTTGCACGGGGAACACAATCACATATTTGTCACGTGACTAAACTTGTAGACTAAAGGCTTTAAGATTCCCCTAGGCTGATTATAGTCTACACCATTTTCATAGTTCGGTTAAATTACATTATATATACCCTATAAGCACCAGTACATTTATTCGGCACGAGTGTAAATAGCTTGCTTGGAGTGCTTGGAGATAGGGGTGATGATACCTTCCTTTTCCAAGTGCTTCAAGGCAACTCTGGCAACGGAACCACCAATCTTCAATCTGTCAACCAAAACAGAGACTGAAACGTACTTGTAGGTTGGGACCTCCTTCAAAATTCTGTCGTACTTGTCTTGGTCCAAGATGACAACGTGTTGGGCCTTATCCTTAACCTTACCCTTGTTCCACTTCTTCTTACCCTTCTTACCACCGGCCAAAGCAGCAGCGGCCTTGGCGGCCTTAGTTTGTTGAATCTTTGGAGCCATGCTATAATTGTTAGTAACTGTTGTTAATGTTTGATATAGAATGAAGGAAAATAGAGCACAAGTTCTAAGATATCAAGGATGAGGAAATAGATATGAATGATGGAAGTTTGTTAATTGGAGTTATATTGGACTGACTTTCTAGTCATATTTGGTGTAATAATATATTATTCAGGATGAAGCGATTGGATTTAATTCATTCAAACGTCCTTCAATTAATCAATAATTTAATGTTCATCGATTCATTTAGTTTGATTAATGAGGACTATGCATCGTTAAAATCTTATACCCGTACTGCTATAACTTCTTTTATGGTGTTAGAGTTAACATACTTGCTTAATGATTCTTAAAACTTACTAAGAAAAGAACACACTGAAAAGATTCTCTATGTTTTAAAAGTGGGAACCACCAGAATCTCCCAGGCCATTGAGTATCGTCTGAAAAATTTTCCTATTGACGACATTTTTACTTAAAGGAGGCGCTCCCAGTATATGTCGCTTAGTTAGACAAAGCACCTACTTCAATGAAATAGAACATATGTGTCACGTGAGAATCATTATCTATGTGCGGGTAATATAGGAAAAAAACCGTGACGTTTTACAAAGTAATAATCTGTCTGTCACGTTTTTTTCTAGGTCATGTTACCCTATTTCTCAAAGTTGTTTTGAAGTTGAGACTAACTCCAACATAACAAGCAAACAAACACACCGTCATCCATCCATCAATTACCGAACTTTCACTGGCGCTCCAATACCTACTATGGCCAAGAGACAAGCTGAATCACAAATCACAAAGGATCGTGGTGACGATTCTGATGAAGATTACGAGAATGGTCAGCTGTTTCAAAAGGCATCGGCCAATATAATGGCTAAAAGAAGAATTGCCAAACCAGGTAAATCTAGACACGCACCTTCAGCTCCTTCTACATTCGTATCTTCATTGGGGTCCAATTCCGGTGTCGGATCAGTGGCGGGACCTTCTAGTGTTGATATCAATTCAAAGATTACAGCATTGAATAAACGATTTCTTGAATCGGTACTCCAATATCAAACATCTGTTGATTCAAACCAATTGATCAATTTAGTTCCAGTATGTCAGAAGTATATTGATTATTACAATAGCATAAAGCCTTCTACAAATGGGAACATCACTACTAATGGTGGTGCACCCAAGCTGTTATTCACTTCTATAACTATTCCCGAGTCTCAAACAGGATCCAACTCCATGGGTAGTATTAATACTACTACTGCTGCTACTGCTGCTGTACCAACTTCTGTGAGTCTGTTACCAGCCGCACCTAAACTTAATGCCTTTACTGGTATTTCTACTGGTACAACTGCCCCATCCTTTACCTTTGCATCTTCTGAGTCTAAACCCAATCCATTCTCAGGAATCTCGACTGGATTTGCACCTCAATCAGCTCCTAAGCCTGCTAACAGTCCTAGTTTATTTTCTTTTGGCAAACCTCTGAGCCAGCCCGAAGCTTCAACTCCATCCACTTCAGCTTCAACTCCTGCTACAGCTACTGTTTCGGCTCCTGCTTCTGTCTCCGCACCAGAAACCAAGCCCGATGTGGTTGAAGTTTCTTCCAGTGATGAATCTCTGGATGATGAAATCAAAATCCAAGGGCCTCAATTCGTACTCAACTCTAAACCTACCATAAAGAATTCACCATTTTCTTTTGGTCCTAAACCCGAAAAGAAGAAGGACGATTCAGACTCAGATCTGGAATCAGAAGTGGAAATTAAAGGTCCCACATTTACATTTAATAAGACTATCAAAGACAGTGTTTTCAAACTTAAGCCTACTGATACTAAGAAAACAGAAGAGCAAGCTAAACCTACCTTTTCATTTGGCCAGGGTGCCACTTCTACTGTGAACTCAGAAACAAAGCAAACATCTTCCTTTGGCCAAAAGAATGATGATAAGCCTGTTACTAATGAAAAGCCAGCATTTTCTTTTGGTCAAAAGGAAAATAAGCCTGCTGATAAGCCTGCATTCTCCTTTGGATCATCATCAACAACTGGTGGGTTCGGTTCAACTTCTGATAAACCAGCCTTTAATTTCAGTGCACTGGATAAGCCAAAGGTTCTGGATGCTTCAGAAGCAGTACCAAAGACTTTTAATTCTACACCAAATAATGATAAGCCGACATTTTCCTTTGGAGGTAGCAAGCCTAATGATGCCAAACCTGCATTCTCGTTTACCAGTAACACTACCACCACAACCACCACCACCAATAATAATAATAATAATAATAATAATAATAATAATAATGCCACTCCAGAAGAACCTAAGCCTGCATTTTCATTTGGTGGGGCTAAACCATTTGCATTCAATTCATCCTCGACTGAAAATACCCAGCCAACTTTCCAATTCAATTCCAAGCCTGCCACTGAAGAAGCTAAACCAGCATTCCTGTTTGGAACCCCATCAACTTCGGAGTTTGGATCCGGATCTGGATTTGGAGCTCCCAAGTTCAACTTTGGAGGGTCCAATGGTACACAGGGTTCATTATTTGGTGGAGAAAATAAGTCTGGATTTGGGTTTTCTTTTGGAAGTGGATCATCATCAGCAACCACTGGTGCAACTGATTCTAAGAAAGATACCGAAGCAGTAGTTGAAGAAGCTGAATCCACTGCCAAGTTTGAACCTGTGGTGAAGTTAACGGATGAGGTTGCTGCCACAACTGGTGAAGAAAATGAAACTGTTAAATATACCAAGAGATCTAAGTTGATGCTCTTTCAAAAGGATAATTCAGAAGAACCTTATAAGACGATTGGATTAGGAGATTTGAAAGTCTTGAAACATAATGAATCCGGTAAATCTAGAGTATTGATTAGAACTGATGGAGGCCAACGAATTCTTTTGAATACATTTGTGGATAAGAAGATGAAGTACGATACCGTTGGTAATGGCTCAATGGTTAAAGTACCTGTTATCAATCCTCAAACTAAAGAGTTGGAAACATATGTTATTAGGGTTAAAACACCTGCTGATGGGAAGGAGTTTTTAGATTCATTACAACAAGAATAGAAAGAAAGAAAGTTTATATATATTTATATAATATTGTTACAAGATGTGCTTTATTTGATTTTTGTTCTGTAATCTTAACTTTGTCGACTGACATAGTTATCTCTAAGTGATTCTATGAATTCAAAGTCATAACCAACTTCGCATTCTCTAGATAAGGCATTAATTATTTCTTGACTTGAACCAAAGAATTTCGCACCGTTAAGCTTGAAAACCGTCAATAATGCAAACATCAATAGAGTATCACCTTCATAGATATATAAATCCATAATTTGAACCAGCAAATTCATTGGAAACATATGTTGCATGAACCCCAACATTGTGGATAAAAGTATATCATTAATATAATTAATATTAACATGGACAAAATGATGATAAAGTTGATTATTGTATTTGGATTCCAATAATTTGACCAACTTGTTCACCATATATTCATTTAAGGAATTCTCAATAAATAATTTCATACTCTCATCTTTTGTAATGGAATATTGAATAAGTAGACTGGGCAATTGACGTTGGTAGAGATTACATAAGCTGATGAACACTTTATGACAATCCTCTTTGTAGAAATGTAAAAATGTCGCAGTCAAATGAACCAATCCATTATAATAAAATTCAATCACTGGTTTATCACTGGGGACTCCTAGTTTCCTCAAATAATCAAGAAAACTTACAACCACTTTTAATAAATTATCACGAGAAATTGATTGTAATTGAACAGGACATTTCCTTAATTCTGATTCAATCAATTCATTGGTTTGATCTTGACATCCTTCAACTATACTATCAAAAACTCCAAAGAAAAGATCATCAATTATCTGGTTATTTAGATTGAGTTCATTGCCAATCTGCGTATACCAAATGTTCTCTCTAAACTTATTCTGTATTGGTATACCACCATGCCATAAAATATTATGTTTTCTAACGTATTCTTGGGAATTTTTATTCTTTTTAGATAACTCAAGTGCATAATCCCATCTTCTTGCTTCTGTCTTTTGAAGTTTAGCTAACTTGTTGATCTTAGCCAATCGCTTTCGTTCCAACTCCCTATCCTTATAAATAGCCAGTGCAATCAATGCATCTGCATCTGCTTGATGTTTGTGTTTGTCATTAAGTGGTTTGGGAGGAAGCCATGTTGGTCTTGTATAGGATAAATACTTCAGCCACCTTTCAGAATTAATTCCAGGCATGTCATGTTGTTGTTGATCTTTAGGATTGGAAAGTGATATCAGTCTTTGCTGCCCTACACTATTATCATTATTATTGTTGTTGTTGTTGTTTTGGGCGTATAATCCAACTACTGAATCTGAAACCGATCGAGTGTTATCCTCATGGTTTAAATTGACAGTCTTGGACTTTTTCTTCTTAAATCCGAACGCGTTCGATACATTGGGTATAGTAAAGTTGATCTCCTTAAAACTCAGAAGTAATTTCCGTCGTTGTCTTCCTTCCTCTTCAATTTGGAGATACTCGGAGTTAAGGTGGTCTGGAGTGAACTCGGCAGCATCCAACGTCATTGGCTGTTGGGGAAAGAAACTATCCAATGGTGATACTGGTTTTGTTGATAATTGGTTTGATGACCTCGTCTGTGATGCCTGTATATTTGCGGTCGCCCGATTGGTGATACCAGAACCGGCCACGTCTCCAGAATGGTTTATTTTGGCGTCATTAAGCGTCAAATAGGGTACATTATCTGCACCAAATACAACCTCTGATACATCTTCGTTGTCACTATCTTGGTCTGAGGTATTGTGATAATTTTCAATATGGCCATTAATATTGCGAGGAGTAATACTTAAATTTTCAATATGACGAGTAATATTGTGATCAGTAACATTTAAATTTTCAAGATGGCCAGTATTATCGATCGTCTTGTTATTATTGATATTAAGTGATTGTGTATCTATATCTGTATGTTCTGTTTCAGTAGAAAGATTATTACCATCAATGAGGGATTCAACACCAGTGTCATCAGCATCCTCGTCATCGATAAAATCCCCAAGATCACTAGTATCATAGACATCATCATGTTGGGGCTTCGGCTTCTCTATAGTTGGAATATCAATCACCTTCAATGCATTCCCCGGTAACGGGACTTTAGTAACTGATATCATTGCTGGTGTATGAGATTGGAGCGTCTAAGGTTTCTATCTATATTCTAATGTCATCTATATCTATAATATTAATACTGCTCCTACTTCTATATTTACCTCGTTTTATTGTTTCGCGTTAGTGTAACTTACGCTTCTATTTACAGAACTATAGTACAAGGTCGGAATAGACGGGTTTTAAATCCGGAGATGAGTTTAGCCAAATAAGATCACCTGACTACTGGGGTGTGATCCTTCTTAACGTCATCATTTCTTTTCCTCCTTGTTGAAAAACTTGCCTAAAAGATGACTGATCTTCTTTAATCTTGAAGGATGTAATTCACTTTCGTCAATGGATTGATCGACATTTTCAGAGTCATTCTTTAAAGTAGATTCATCTGTTCTTTTAGCTTCGGTATCATTGTAAGATTCAGCTAATGCTTCCAATAAGGCTGTTTGAATGGGTGTTTCAGGAACAAGGGTCTTAACATTCAATACAATATCCATATCACCTCTATTATTCACATTACGATTGATAGGTACACCTTTATTTGGAACCGTTAAAACTCTACCGTTTTGAACACCAGGTCTTACCTTCAATCTAATCTTTTCACCATCAATAGTGGGGACAATGATTTCTCCTCCAAGAGCAGCAGTGGTCATCAATATTTCATGATTATAAGTAATGTTGTTATTTTGACGTGTAAAGTTTGGATCTTTCTCAACCCTTACGCGAATAATCAAATCACCATTCTTAATACGATTGAATTGATCCTTGGTGACAAACATTGGTGCATCACCTTTCCCTGGTACTCTTAATCTGGTACCTTCACCAATACCTGGTGGTAAATCGATTTCTGCGGTCTTTGTAGTCTCTTCCACACCTTTACCATGACATGATCCACATTCATCACCAGCTTTCACAGTAACCCCTGAACCTCCACATGAATTACAGGTAGAAGCCATATGGAAGCCTCCAACCAGATGTGATTGCATACCAGTACCATGACATGTAGGACAAGTAGATTTCTTCTTCCCAGTCTTTAACCCAGTTCCCTCACAAGTATTACAACTATCAATGGCTTTATAATTGACCTTAACTTTAGTACCGAAAATAGCATCTTTGAATGAAATCGTTTTGAACACTTCAACATCATCACCTACATGTTCCATAAAAGGTGCTCCTCCACGTGAATATGATCCTTGTCTACCTTGTTCACCAGCTCCTCTAAAGGCATCTCTAAATAAATCTTCAAACCCAAACCCTCCAAATGGATTTCCTCCACCAGCTGCACCTCCAAATGGATTTCCTCCAAATGGGTTACCTTGACCAAATGGATTACCACCTGCAAAAGGATTAGTATTTCCATGTTCATCAAATCCGTTGGCTCCAAATTGATCATACTGGGCTCTCTTTTCCTTATCACTCAACAATTCATAACTTTCTTGGATCTTATGGAATTTTTTCTCTGTATCTTTCTCTTTGTTCACATCAGGATGGTACTTCTTTACCAAATCATAATATGCCTTCTTGATATCTTTTTGTGAAGCTCCCTTATCCACTCCCAATGTCAGATATGGATCGAAATTAATTAAAGCTCGTGTTGATACATGAAAGCAACGTCTACTTGGACGTCTAATTGAACTTATTGAATGTCTACTTTTAAATGTGCAACTTCTGGATCCTCTTAAGATCGATTGCTTTGCTGAACTTACCAAGACAACTTTAACCATACTCTTATCTTGAATGTTTTTTTCACTCCTTATTGTCTTACTAATGGCACAGGTTGTTGGAAAATGTTATTCTATGCTTATGAAAAGCTTAAGGCTAACACCCTTTAAAATACCATTTTGGATCATGACTCGTATCTGAAAATTTTATGTTCTAGTATCTTCTAGTCACGTGATATTGTGATTTGCTTATGTAAGTCTTGGACTAATAATGTGGTCAGAACTACCTAGGGAGTCGTCTTATCCAGTATTAGCAATATTCAACTGTACAAAAGTACAATTGTCTTGAATTGCAATTGGGTTTATATAGATCGATATAACTTGAGGAAACTTCCTATATGTTATTTAATATAAGTTCAAAGTGACCCTTTTTTTACATTTCGCAACCATTACCCTGGTTCTCTTAAGTTAAAGCGATTAGAAAGATCAAGAGTGAAAATCTCATGATGAAGCGGTGGAATAACTTTGGTTACCTAGCTGTATTGTTTCCCTTAGGTTTTCGTTCTATTGATTGTTCAGAACAAATATTGAGAGAAATGTTAACAAGGCATTTGCGCACAAATTATACCAATACTGTTTGAATAAGTACGAAACATTTGCAGACTTTAAACTTTATATAATGTCATTACACTCAATAGTCAACTGGTCTGGGTGTATAAGGTTCTTCCAAATACTTTATATCGTCTTCTGATAACTTCACAGTTAGCGAGACTAAAATATCATCAACCCTATCGACAGAACTCAATCCAACGATTGGAGCACACCCTTTGGCAATGGTCCAAGCAGTTGCAATGGAAGCCATACTAACACCATGTTTCTTAGATAACTCTTCGACCCTATTTATAATAACTTCACTATCTTCTTGGACATCTTTCAAGTACTTACTCTTAAACCCAATATCACTTTTTTCTCTGGCAGAAACAGTTCCTAAAGGTCTAGCCAATTTACCTCTAGCAATCGGAGACCAAGGAATAAGTCCTACTTCACCAAAAATATTGTCTTTACAGAATGGAATCATTTCCCTTTCTTCTTCACGGTACAACAAGTTATAGTGGTTTTGCATCGAAATAAACTTGTGCCAGCCATTCTTATCAGCAATTGCTTGCAATTGAGCAAAGTCTACGGCTCTCATAGATGAAGCTCCTATATATCTTGCTAACCCTTGGTTCACCACATCATTCAACGCTCTCATGATCTCCTCCTTGGGGGTTCCCTCATCCAATCTATGGATTTGGTAAACATCAACATAGGTACCCAATCTTTCCACTGATTTGTTGATGGCATCCAAAATATGCTTTCTCGAAAGACCTTCTCTATTCTTGAAGGGCCAGACTACTTTAGCTTGTGCTCTATCAGAAATAGTAGCTTCAACATTGAAGTAGACCTTTGATAAAATCACAATGTTTTCTCTGGGAATGTCGAACTTCTTAATGAACTTACCCAATAAAACTTCGGAATATCCAAAGGAATATACATTGGCCGTATCAAAAGTTCTCAATCCCAGATCGTAGCATTTCTTTAGTATTTCCATAATTTGATCTTCATCTTCCATCACCCAATCAGCCCATGACTTTTTCCCATAACTCATACATCCTACAAGAATTGGAGCAATGTATAATCCCGAATTTCCTAACTTTTTGTACTCCATGTTGCTTGACTAATTAGTTTCTGCGATTTATTCTCATTGCGCTGTTATTACTCCTTATATAGCATTTGTGGCAAACTGCACTTCCCTTACCTTTGGCTCTAACACCGTCCTGGAATGACTGATTACTAATTGCTGGAGAAGTTACAAAATCAATTGAGCTCTGTGGGTGGTTTGATGCTCGCATAGTGGATATATTCTTCAAACTGAAACCACTAACTCCGATCAATTGCATTAGGAAACGAATACTCCGGAAATTAGTGGGGCTTGACTCATCCCATGCGAGCACGCATTTTGGGCAATTGTGGGGGACGGAAATAAGGCTTTCTTTAGACACTGCAAAATCCGCAACATGAACTGACTTAGCCATGATAATATAAGAACTGAATAATCGACATTATTTAGTAATTCTACAAGTATCAATAGGATAACGGCTGGTTCAGAAGGAGTTCTTCTTACTGGATTAGGTATTCAAGATCAGACATTAGTCTGTGATTTGAGATGTAGTTGTAGGATTAACAGCATTAGAAACTTAAACAACATAAGCTTCACTCCAAAACACTACTAACAACAGCTTGCTAGTAACAGTGGACTCTTGCTAACAAAGAAGTTTTATCCAGAAAACACGTTATGGATGCCATATACAAGTCTGTTGAACGTTTAGACGTTAAGGTACTTACATTGATGTTCTTCAAATCCATAGAATGGATCATTCTACTCCAAAGGAAGAGATCATGAGAGCTGTCGAGTTTGCTCAATTGCAAGCAATTGCTGAAGGGAATGGCTGGCACAAGTTTATTTCGATGCAAAACCACTATAACTTGTTGTACCGTGAAGAAGAAAGGGAAGTGATTCCATTCTGTAAAGACAATATTTTTGGTGAAGTAGGACTTATTCCTTGGTCTCCGATTGCTAGACATAAGTTCACCAGTCCATATAATGCAGGTGGATCGGATAGAGAAAATGTTGATTCGTACTTTGACGATCTTGCAGGTATTCAATGAGACCATCATCAACAGAGTTGAGGAATTATCAAAGAACTATGGTGTTAGTATGGCTACAATTGCGACTGCTTGGTCCATTGCCAAACGGTGTGCTCCAGTTGTTGGTTTAAGTTCTGTCAAGAGAGTCGAGGACATTTTTGAGTCCACTACTTTTAAATAGTCTGAGGAAAGCGTCAAGTACTTGGAGCAACCATATGAACCATAGCCAGAGCAATACTTTTAAAACTACGATTTTTATCTAGTTTTTAATGGATCCTTTTTATTAGAGTAAATTCAATATATAAAACTAGTTATAGCCATAATAGGGCTCCTTGCAAGTGAGCCCGGCCAGACGAAAGAAGGTAAGGACAAAAAATTCGGAGTTAAGACCTAAAAAGGCAAAAGATATCAAACCTTTTGCAGCTGGTACCATTTTATTCAAGCAATAGTACAGAAAGTGTAGATGACACCACCACCAAACTTGAAGATGTTGTCCTTGTTTTCATCCTTTTGCTTCTTGGAAGCAGCGGAGACGTTAACATTAGATTGAGCAGCCATTGTAGTAGTAGTAGTGTTAGTCAAGAGTTGATTGTATTGATGAAGGAAAGAAATATAGCTTCAAGCTGAGTGAGAAACTTGCTATATTTATACTCTTTCATTGAAGGTATGTGTTACAGCAATTAGGTTATCTATTTGGTAAACTTCAGTTAAGTGAAACTTAATAAGTTAACACATATGATTGTTCTATTACTTGATGCTGCTTTGGTGCTTATCATTGGCCGAGAAATGTCGTCTTGCAACAAATGAGACACTTTCCTATTTGGGCCAGGTCCATTACTTCGCAGCCAAAATGTTACGATAACTAAATCCATTATGTTACAAGATACTCTAATTTATATACAAGTTGTTTCAGGTATCAGTCAGTTTACCACAGAGTCACATTTGGGACATAAAGTTTCGGGTACGGGGGATACAAACTTCCAACATCTGGGGCATTTGGAGTCATCTGATGGGAAGATTTGAACCTTCAACGAACGTCCACCATCTAAGCAAACTTCTGTTTCATTGAAATACTTTAGTCCTTCTTTAGTAACTGAATCTAAGTTAACATTCACTTTAGACACCAAAAAATGATCATCAAGAAAAGAAGCATGAGGTTGAAGTTCATTCATAATCGTCTCATCTTCAATGACTAAATTTACTTGAGTTTCTAACTTATTCTTGAATGAGCCCTGCAATCTTAAGGACTCCAAGTTTTTGTTGATGACATCCCTAATCTTCCATATCTGATTGAAATCATTTTGAATTGCTTCATTTTCATAGAACTTAGGTAACTTGAATGTCTCTTCCCATTGAGTAACCATGAATGGAGATTCAGGAATCTTTCCAGCGCATATTTCCTCTTTGTAACTGGTCCATACCTCTTGGGTTAAAATAGGTTGTATGGGAGCTAGTATGCCTATGTAAGTCTTTAAAATTGTTTCCAAGACAGTTTGAATACATCTTCTTCTATGAGAATCCTCAAAATCCGTGTATAAGCAATCTTTGGAAATGTCAAAGTATGTAGCACTCAAATCTGTGCTTATATGGGTATTGATGGCTCTAACAACCTTTTGAAAGTTATGGTCCTTGTAGAATTCAATGCAATCTTGTTGAAGCTTGTACAACCTAGCAAGAGACCATTTGTCTAAGGGATTCAACTTGTCATATAACACACCATGTTGAGCGGGATCAAAACCATTCAAGTTACCTAAAAGAAACTTGAAGGTAACTCTTAATTTCTTAACATTTTCAAACACTCTGCTTAAAATTTCTGGTGATACACTGACATCAGAAGTATACAATGAGGACGCAGCCCATAGCCTCAAACCATCTGTTCCCAAAGAAGGTAAAAATGGTTTCCCCCCGCCAGTAATGGCATGGCTAGGAGTAATAGTATTACCCTTAGACTTAGACATCTTTACATTCATCTTGTCCAAGGTAAACCCATGGGTTATAATCTTTTTGAATGGAGCAACAGGTTTGAAACCTTCACCATGTGAGCCTGAAGATATAACCTTGTTTAAAAGTGATGATTGGAACCAACCTCTATGTTGGTCTGAACCTTCAAGGTAAATATCGGCCAATGGCTTTTCAGAGGCTGCTAAGGAGTCCAAATTGTCACCTAGTGTAGTCCAAGATGTCCCTGAATCAAACCAAACGTCCATGGTATCTTTACATTTGATAAAGTCTTCACCATTGTATTCATTTGGCAACCATCTTGAAATATTATCCTCTTGAACAAACCATTCATCTGTTCCATATTCGTCAATCTTCTTTATTATATGGTCCATCACCTCTAATCCTTCTAAGGGTTCACCCGTCTCCTTACTATATACAATTGGCAATGGTACCCCCCAAGTTCTTTGTCTAGAAATACACCATTCGTTTCTATTCCTAACAAACGAAGGAAGTCTATTCTTGCCAGATTCGGGTATGAAGGAAACATTGTTAAGTGCTTCAATTGCTGTCTCTTTTATCTTTTCCACATTCACAAACCATTGCGGTGTAGCTCTCTGTATAACAGGTTTGTTAGATCTCCAATCATAAGGGTACGAATGCATAAATTTCTTATTTATGTGGAAGATCATGTTATTTTCATCAAGTACTTTAATTGTATCCCAGACTGTGGCAGATTCAGTTACTTTCTTCCCTGCCAATGACAGAAATCCAGGAGCCAACTCACCAGCTATAAAGCATCCTCTATGATCCACTGAGCTGGAAATAGGCAATACATGTCTTATTCCAATTAAGAAATCTTCTCCACCATGAGCAGGAGCAGTATGAACTAAACCGGAACCGGCTGAATCGGATACATGATCACCATGTAAGACCGGGAATACTTCAGTATCATTCGTGCCCCTAGCTGGGTTGAAATATGTTAGAGATAACAATTTTTCACCAGGAATTGACACTGGCAAGACAACTAATTGTTCATTGTACTTACAAATGTCGTCCACAAGGTTTTGAGCCACTAAAAGTTGAATATTAGTCTCAGGATTATGGACAAGGGTATATGTCAAGTTGGAATGTACACAAACAGCTTTGTTAGCAGGAATTGTCCAAGGTGTAGATGTCCAGATCAACAAGTGTGGGTTTGTCACTTGAATGTTAGAATTAGAAGCATCGACAATGGATTGTAACTGTTGGTTGCTCAGCTGTGATAAGGGAAATTGAACATGAATAGCCACAGATCTATGTTCATTATTATATTCCAATTCAGCTTCTGCAAGAGCTGTTTGAGTTTCACAACCCCACCATACTGGCTTCAATTGTCGTGAAAGTAACCCATTTTCCACCAATTTTCGGAACACTAACAATTGTTTGATTTCATATTTATGATCCATGGTGACGTAAGGATCAGACATGTCTGACATTATAGCAAACTCTCCAAACTGATGTCGTTGTTTCTCAATCATCAGTGAAGCCCACTCTCTACATTTACTTCGAATTTCAGCTGGCGTAAGCAGACTAACCTTTTTGGGATCTGTGGCCTGTATAACCTTCATCTCAATGGGGAGTCCATGACAATCCCAACCTGTTCGATACAACACTCTTTTATTCTCATGGATCAACTCAAATCTATTGATGATATCTTTAAGGATCTTATTCAACGCATGGCCAAGATGAAGGTCTCCATTGGCATAGGGGGGTCCATCGTGGAGGATAAACTCCGCGCAGTCTTTCTTATGCTCCATCTGCCATTGGTACACCTCTTCACTTGACTTCTTTATGAGTGATTTAGCTTCTTCTCCAGTAGGAATTTTGGGCCCAAATGAGGTCTTTGGAAGATGCAATGTTGACGAGTACAGAATCTTCTTTTGCGCATAAAATGCTCTGCAAGACGTTGCCAACGTCCTTGAAAGTCGAAGCATGACGTCAATAAGAGCAAATGTTAAAATGCTACAGGTCTAATTTAAAGCTTTCAATCAATCTTAAATTTTTCAACTTTACTCGCGAACTGCATAAAACAAGAGCCCCCAACATCAAAGATATACTCTACAGATCATTTCCAAAGATACTTCTGGTAGTAAATAACAAAATAAATATGGATGATAAATAAATAAACACTGTACAGAAAAACGTCATGAATAGCATAAACGCGACATAACGGCATAAATATTTAGATTGCAAGCATCAACCAAAACCTTTCTAGTTCTTGATGCTCTTGACCAATTCAATGTACTTTTCAGTAGAGAAGGACTTTGGTCTTTCAATTGGAGCACCAACACCTCTGTCAATGATCAATTGAGGTAAGACACCGAAAGCTCTGGAAACACCAAACAAGACAGTGTAGAAGGATTCTTCAGTCAAACCATAGTATTGCAACAAAACACCAGAGTGAGAGTCCACATTTGGCCATGGGTTCTTGGTCTTACCGTGCTTTGTTAAGACACCTGGAGCAACTTCATAAATGTTGGAAACCAACTTGAACATGTCGTAATCAGGCATGTGCTTCAAAGCAAATTCTCTTTGAGCAGTGTATCTTGGGTCAGTCTTTCTCAAGACAGCATGACCGTAACCTGGAACAACTCTACCAGCATTCAAAGTGTTCCACAAGTACTTTTCAATGTTGGTGGTAGACAAGTCACCACCCAATTCTTCCTTCATTTGGGTCAACCATTCCAAGACTTCTTGGTTAGCTCTACCGTGCAAAGGACCAGCCAAACCATTCAAACCAGCAGCAAGAGACAAGAATGGAGAGGACAAAGCTGAGCCAACCAAGTGGGTGGTGTGAGCAGAAACATTACCACCTTCGTGGTCAGAGTGGATAGTCAAGTACAATCTCATTAATTCAACAAATTCCTTGTTTTCACCGAAACCTAACAATTGGGCCAAGTTAGCACCGTAATCCAACTTAGGGTCAACAGCACCTAACTTACCATCGTGGAAAATGTTTCTGTAAATTCTAGCAGCAATGTTTGGTAACTTAGCCAACAATTCAATGGAATCTTCATAAGTGTACTTCCAGTAATCGGATTTGTGGGCGCCCTTAGCATAAGCCTTAGCAAATTGGGATTCGGATTCTAAAGCAGTAACAGCAATAGAGAATTGAGCCATTGGATGCAAGTGAGATGGAGATCTGTCAATCAATTCTTCAACGTGCTTTGGTAAAGCAGATCTAGCAGCCAATTCTTCAGAAAGAGCTCTGGTTTGACCTTCTGTTGGGACTTCACCAGTCAACAACAACCAGAATAAAGCTTCAGGAAGAGGTTCTTCTCCACCTGGGGCCTTTGGTAATTCCTTTTGGATGTCAGGGATAGTTCTACCTCTGAAACGGATTCCTTCGATAGGGTCCAAAACAGAACCTTCCCAAACTAAACCCTTGATACCTCTCATACCACCGTAAGCTTGTTCCAACAAAACTTCACCGATGACCTAAATTTAAATGTTAGCAAAACGATCACATGACATGATTGAACTATTGATAATGCTTGAGAATAGTAGTGATGATCTTAAGTATGATGATTTTGTGCTTCCCCACAATTCGCGGAAAAACTTTATCCAATCAAGTAAAATATAGGCGGATGTGAAATCCCGAGGCTCGTTATAGCCTTTGAATTTTTGTCGTGTATAAGGCACAATCAACTAAAAAAGTCGCATGGCAATTAAACTCCGAGGAGTAAAATGCAGTTCAGACACAAAGACATCTCCACAATTGGAGTTCGAAACTGATGTAGTTTAATCTGGCTGTCCATGTAAAATAGCTTCATACTGAAAACGCCAATCATAACATTTGAAATAATAACATCAATTGCTCAATGTTTTTATCTCTGATTTGATTGTCTTATTGTAATATCAAAATATCTAGAAGTTTGATATAAATAAAATGCTCCCCATATTCTACACAAAAATTTTCACATGATATCATCAACATCATCACCATGTCCTCTAAAACAAAAATTATCAATAGTTAGTAAATCTGTTCAGAAATACATACGGTCTTACCATGTTCCTTCTTCAATTGCTTGATTTCTTCAGCCTTTTGAGGCAACAATTCACTCAATCTGTCCTTTAAAGTAGGTTCAGCAGTAGCCATGGTTCTCAAGCCAAAAGCTCTCTTGGCCACTGGGGCAGCACGGTGCAATGATCTCAACATGATATGCGGATTTAACGAATTTGAAATAAATAATAAATAAATAGGTCCACAAGTATAATTAAAGGGGGCCAATAAATAAATTGAAGACTCCTCTTGGACTTTTGGCTACTAAAGCTTTAAATATATATAAGAAACCAAAAAGAAAAGAAGAAGAAGGAAAAAAACAAAACTATGTTCAATTAAAACTTGGGGATTTTGGCTCAATATTTATATCACATTTCGGAATTTTAAATACTTATTCTCATCTTTCTGTCTGTCTGAATATAATCAAATTTCTAAAGAAAAAAATTTGTAAGGACCGGTATATGAAATCCACTACTAATCAGCGAAAATTCTTTTTTTGCTGTCGGTCGTTAAAATCGGCCACGGGATTAATTCACGACACATAAAATTTTATATGGTGGTTGGTTGGTTGGTGATCTAACAAACGATTTTGTGCAACCAAAGTAATTACAGCTCTTTCGATTGTTCTTTTTTGGTTACCCGGCAACGTTTCGTTGATGTCCACTCCGACTAACCAATCATAGTCCGTGTTTCTTAAAATGACACAAACACAATTGCTATCGTGACCCCATATAAATGTCGATCCACCATCCCCAGATTTCGGAGTGAGTATTGAACAACTGACTTTGTGTATCACTGTTTCACACACTCTTCCGTCATGTTCATTTATATTCTGAAATAACACCAAGTCATGGATGTGAATTTTTTGTAGAAAGATCTTTTGAAGTTTAACCATATACCCAAATTTTATACGCCTAGGAATGATATACATATCACAACCATGATAATTTACTTTTATGTCTTTCTCTTATATTCAGCATATATGTGTCTGCTCTGCGAGGTTCTGTCTGGGTGGGATTCCGGCGAAAAGTTGTACAACGGTGTTTAGAAATGGCCGTGGGTCCCGTCAATTTTTTTTTTTTGTGGGGCATATTGTCTGAATGTCGGGAAACGAAACTTAGTAGCTCTATGTATTGGCTTTTTGTGTGTGGTCAGCTCGGTTGTCTGTCGGAAATATTTCTGTGCCATGTCGACAACCTTTTTTTGAAACTCCGAGCCAATGAACATTAGCTCTACAATAAAATTTAGTAGCCTTAGAATTCGTGTCTGGTTCACAAGCAGAAAATGACGCAATCAATCTCCTGAACTACCCGAAGTCCGGCCGCTAACTAAGCCATAATAGGACATTCTCCATGATTACCATGTAACTATTGGACCATCTACCTTCTAAGGGAAACTCTTACTGAGAACCATACTAATCGGTTGTCTTAATCTCCTACTTTGGCTTTGTGAACGCTGTATTTGCTATCTTCCATCTCTCCCGGTACAAAATTTTAACCGTGGTTACGTTTGAAACCAAGACTCATGCTTTCTAGTTCCTGAATTCTCCGTAAACAGATCCAATATATCCACAAAATATTTTGTGCTATCGTTATCATACGGTTTATAGTTATGGCCAACTTCTAACCACTTGTAATAAAGTTGTGATGATAAAACATGTGGAGTCACACTCAAAGCCATGTTCTTAATAATTCACAAACCGTTGAACATTGGTCTTATTTGTAACCATCCGTGAATGCCATTTTTGTCACAGCTCACAAGCAATCATCGGAATTAGAACTCAACCCCACAAATTCCTATTCCTTGTGTGTCAAATTAATGGAATTTGTGATCCGGGGTATCCCCCAACGGTCCTTACTAATAAACGAATCTGGGTCGTATCATGTAAATTGTAGCATAATAAACTTCGAGTTTTCTATAGTATGCACCAATATGATGATTCCCTTCTCTGAGTTTAGCATAACCCAATACTGCAAAAAACAATTGTACTTAACCCATGAACGAAAGTCGAAGCCTTTTTTGTGGGGTCTTTGCATTCAGATGTAGCCTTAGGAATCAGCTAACTTATTGCCATAGTGTTTGCAGTTCATATAAAGCAGTGTTTTAAGACTATCTTGAGTCATGCTGATATCGGAGTTGGACAAAGTCATTGCCTTCATATATGCGATGTCATAAGCTTTTGCCCCTAGTCAAAACCAATACTATTTAGCTTCTTTATTGTAGTATTGTTATAAGCAACCCTTCAACACTATTCTTCCGTCGACCCTTACTTCCGCTTATCCAAATAAACTTGTTTGTATGGGTGTTCCATTATAGTCCACTCTCAGCCGTTGGTCCTATTATTCACCTAGTCTGCCCCACTTCTCTTTGTGGTAGAGCCCGCCCTTAAGGCCGGACAAAATCTCACTACATATTCGCTTTTGGCACGTGTTTTGTCACGTGTTAAATGGGAACTTGGATTAAGAATAGGGAGCGATGAGCTTACAACCTCAAACAGCCTTACCCTTTTTCCCGAGTCACTAGCAATCAATATTTGTGTCAAGTCATATTACATCATCATCCAATGATCCACAGAATACTAGGGAATATCTTTATTTCCGACATAGCACCAATAAATGATGAAAACATAGACCTTCAAAAGGAACAAGGTATAACACACATTCTTTCAGTCCTTTCAGGTCCCATTCCTTCTCACATCATAAACCATGAACCCAAGTTCACACTTTTGCAGATTGCCATCACTGATGAAAATTCAACGAATATAATAGAACACTTTCCTGAAACTAATAAATTTATAGACTCGGCGCTATTTAAACCAGAACAGCTTAAACAGATGTCTTCGAAGGAAAGACCTTCAGTCAAGCACCATGGTAGCATTCTCATCCATTGCGCCCAGGGTTGTTCTAGAAGTGTTGCTGTACTTTGTGCGTATCTTATGTACCGATACCACCTCACTCTCGTTCAGGCTCAGTATGCTATCAACAGGAAACGAGAAGATGTCAACGCAACTATTCCAAATGAAGCTTTCATGCAACAATTGCAATTATACCAGGACATTGCTTTCGATTTAAATGCAGAAGCTTATAAAAAATGGGAAAAGGCAAGATGTATCGAACTAGATTCCACAGGTTCTATGCTCAGAGATGCTTATTTGGAGAAACAAGCAGAAGGCAAATCACATGGGGAATCACCCGATAATAAAGCTTCTGAAGAATTTGACGAGAAGGTTTCTCAATTGCGATGTAAAAAGTGCAGACAACTTTTATGTCTTACATCTCAGTTAGATCAACATCAGCCACCAGAGTCAGATTCCAAACAAGGTATGTTCATAAAGAAGGCCCCCAATTCCAGAAGAATTATCAGCGTTCAGAACGCATCAGCATCATGTTCTCACTATTTCCTTTCAGAACCAGTGAATTGGATGAAAGATGAATTGGTAGGAAAAGGTGACCTTGAAGGGAAATTTCAATGTCCCAAATGTGTTTCGAAAGTTGGAGGTTATTCTTGGCGTGGATCCCGTTGTTCATGTGGTAAGTGGATGATCCCTGCTATCCATTTACAAAGTGCAAAGGTCGATATGATGCCTTATTCAGGGTAAAATTAATAAAAAAAATTCACAGCTTTATTCGTCAATTTCCATATTGGGGTCATCTTCAGTACCTTCATCATCACGATTTAAATCGATAGAGTGTCGGGAATATTCAAAACCTGGACTTGCCCAAGTTGTAGTGGGATTGGATGGAAGAGACCTTGAAGATGCCGAATTCGCCATACTAATAACGCGAGCCAGCAGATCATTGGAATGGTGCGAATGTGTTGTTGAAATCAATATATCACGTCTATCTCCGGTTCCATCTTGGTATTCAACGTCTTCTGCCATAAATCCAGGTATAGCGCTATCTTCATCTTCATTGCCAGCATTGTTGTCATTTGTATCGTTGATTGGATCATTGGCATTAGCGTTTGAATTGTGTAATAATATATTTTCGTAGTTCATATCTTCTCCAGTTGTATCTTGACCAACTCTGTAGTTCTCATAGTCAACATTATATGAATCACCAGTGCTATTCATTGTTGTTTGAGCTTGAATATCCACCTCCGAAGCATTGACTCCTGTTACATTATTCCTGGAATTAGGCACATTTTGTTCGTTTTCGTCATCATTTTCATTATCTTCAAACTCATCGTCACGGATCTCTCGTGAAATATCAGCATCTAGAATCCCAGCATCCAAATCAAAGTTTTCACTAATTCCCAATCCTAATCCACTACTGTTATTATTAGAGGACAAATCATTCTCTGTTCCCGTAGTCATTGTGGATACTCGTAAGTTATCATCTCTTCTTGAGGTATCCAAATCTGCCGTCGGACCAGACTCGGCTCTTGGCCTTGAATTGGCAATTAAAAATTCTTCCAAAGTTTTATCAACTCCTACGGGTCTAATAGTACGATATCCGTGTGTTTTGATTCTTCTCAACCTTTCTAAACGACTCAGCACAAGTGGGGTATGGCTTAATCTGAAACTAACGTTATCTTCTCCAACCACAAGTCTCCGTATGTTGTAGTCCAAATACGACAACTGAGCCCCAGGGAACTCTGCAGAGTAGCCAACAAGCGGAGTCGCATAGAGGTTACTCACTTGTCGTCTTGCATCGGACGAGTTATTACTATCAGTGATTTGTTCCAACGGGCGAGCTCCATTGCCAGATGTACTGTTCTCAAAACTATGGGCAATTTTCCTTTTATGAATAGGGGGTGACTCTTGTTCCTGCTTGTCCCATAGCCAGTAGATATCCTTAGGGAATGAACTAGGTAAATACATTAGGTGGTGATGATAATGACGTAAATGGAGATCTACTTATGTTTTTGTTATGAGTTTTTGCTATGAATGAGTACACAAAATCAACTCCATTCTATACGGTTGCAACCCATGGGTGCAAAAATGTATACCACTACCATCATCAGTAGACAAGCTCTAGCGGAAGGTAAAACATGAATTGATTATGTTACATATAGAAGGTGATGGAATAAAAACGAGGAGGTTTTACTATAGCACTCTATTTTAAAAGAAATCTGATAGTAGCATGGGAAATAGTATTACCATCGAAAGATTTCCCAAGGCACTAAAGATTATGTTGCAGACACGCGTAGTACCTTCACACTTTTAATTCTCAACATAACCAGCAGTAGTCCTACCTTTAGGAACTTCGTCAATATCAGCACTATCTTCATCTTCATTAGAATCATGGTCATAATCATAATTACCTTCATCAAACTCATGTTCTGGTTCCTTATAAAGCGGGTCTTGGTGTGGCTTCAATATAACCACATAATCTGTGAGTTTCCGAGGCTCAACATACGAATCCTGATCCTCAGTAACCATACACTGCTTTCTTTGAGAAATAGTAAAACTAGTAACCTTGCAGTAGGTATCAGAAACCAAATTTTCAACAGACTTCACTTCAGCATGGAAATAAGGAGAATGCTGATACTCTAGTTCATTGTAAATAAGAGTCATATTCCTCAAATCTCTAATCTTCTCACCAACATGATGCCAGTACTGTGAATCCAAGTTTCTTTCCACTGGCCAAAGGTGTTCGGGATCAAATATCTCCCTGCTAGAATGACCGTAATTCCAAACAGGTTCGGCTCCATTATTGTAAAAGGTTTCGTTCAAAGGAGTATAGTAAGTATACGAATTAACAATGTCAAATGAATCTGTATCCACTGCATAGAATTTCCAAGCAGGGTTCATACCACCCTGAGGACTAATGGAAGGAGCTGTCAAAGCAAAGTTTATAACATCATCAACCCCTTTGGTATCTCCATTTCTATAATGCACTTGAAATCCTTCCTTACCAGTGTGTCCAAAGAATACGGCAGCTATAACTTTCGGAGAGAACCGCTCAACTATTCTGGCAAATACCTTAGAGGGTATAGCTAATGAGTGAGAATTAGTAGGTAAATGAGCTGTTATCCAGACCCTTTGGTCACATAGTTCACTTTCCAACAACTCATCAATAAGGAATTGCCAAACTCCATAACTATCAATGTTAGTTACGTCCCAGAAATTGTACAAGTTTTTTGTATTCCATACATTCGAGTTTAATGAGATGATCTTAAGTCCTCTGTTTGTTACAAAGGAGTACCCCACTTGTGCATACCTCAATTGACGAACACTCTGTGCGTCCATCCAACCGTATTGTTGCCACAAGTCAGTTTGAAGATCTACTTGCCATTGATAGGAATTACTTGATTCTATCAATTTCTTTTGAGCAAGCTGGTTAGTTGGAAACCCATCTCTTGTACCAATAGTTGGTAGGATTGGGAACCCTTTTAGATAATGATGGAATAAACCGTACGTGTGTTCTAAAGATGCAATAACTGATTCTTTATCCACCAGGATTCGATCCCTAGTAGGGACAACACCTCCATTGAATAGAGCAAATTCAAACGACAAATGGTTCTCATGAAAGAAACTTATGGTTCTCAAAGTATTGTTAAGAAGTAAAGTGGGCGTACCACAAGTATATGCTCCAAATTCATGAGCTGGTTGCCATAAATGCTTATCACTTGACGACATACCGACGAATTGACCCTTTATAAAAGCACCTGATTTGTATGTACTCTCATAGAAGGAATCTCCAAAGTCACCTCCATTCTTTGAAACCATATAGTAATAATCCAGATCGGGCTCCTTACAATTAACGCTATATGGGGCACAACAAATGCTTTGAGAACAATTAGATTCACTTTGTAAGGTATAATCCAACTGAATGTTAGCATCACTGAAATGCAAAACATTAAACGTTTTTCCACTTGATAACGGAGGTCTATAATCTAAAGGTTGTGGAGGCCATAAACTTTCCATATCGATTTCAGGAGTCTCAGATAATATATGACAACTTCTATCATGGTGGTAACAGAAATAATCCCCGTCTAAACTTTCTGGATTCATCAAAGACAACACTTTAGTGAAATCAGCTCCTGTGGATGAGTAATCGATCGACGGGTATCCGAAGTTCATATGACACTGAGTTTGATCAAATCCGCTTTCAAGACACCAAGTAGTGTAAATCTCTGGAACCAAAGATGGTTTGATTAAGGCAATAAACTTACCCACTTGTAATCTTTGTTTACAAGCAAGACATTCATTCAAATCAGAGGCACCAGATATACGATGTAGTTGATCAATAGCTCGAGTGATGATCTCATCTTCAGAAGCACTTGTCGTTAATGGAGGCCAGTAATTATCAGTGAATCGGTAATGATTGTTCAAATCGTACGATTTCACTAAACTCAGAATAAAAGATATTGCAAGAAGCGCTATAGTAAACATATTCATATTGCTGAAAAGAATAATAAAACCATTTACAAAACAAAAGGATCTCATATACAGATATATATATATATATTTACGTATGTATAAGCGCCCACTCGATTGGCTGCGAAAAAAATAGTCACCTTTGAATGGAACCGAATGATGAAGATAACCAGCTTACAAAAGAACAGAAATAGTAATAGTAATAATAATAATAACAACAATAATAATAATGATAATAATAATATAATAGTAGTATCATCACAATAAAACACAATTTTAAAACTAGTAATACAGGAAAGAAAAGCACGATATTATTGTTGACAAACATTAGCGATTTCTTCAAGAGTTGCAACAAGATCAGGAATCTTTTCTTGATCTTCAGGAATCACATCAAGTAACCGTCTAACAAATTGTTCATTTACTTGATTTTGATTAAGTTTTGTCTGTTTGGTTGCCAAAAGAAGAATATCACGCTTTTCTCGAGCAGCTTCAATAGCTTGCTCTGCTTCTCTTTCAATTCTCTCAACTTCTCTCTTGTGTAAATCACGGAATTTTTCCAGGTGTGCTAATACATTCTTAATTATTGGCACTGCTCTTACAAGATATTTCTCTAAATCACTTCCTTCGGAAATCTTCACAAGAATATCTTCAACTCCATGTCTGAAATGGTTTAAATCATTTAATGTCTTTGTTAAAGAGATCTCATCGACTCCAGAGGATTGAGTACCATGTAGTTCAGGTGAAACAATATCAACAGGGACATCCCTATTAGCTGGCTCAACTGAGTTCATAACTTCTTGCACCGCAGTTGAAGCCAATACCGAAGCTGCATCTAAAGTCGATACTTGAGATGATGTCTGTTGACCATTTGATATTTCTGTTGAGCCCTCTTTGGAATATTGTGATAAAGATGGTATCTTTGATGATAATAAGCTTGGAGGTACCGTAGTCCTTTTCAGTATCGATCCATTGGTATCCAATGAGCTATAAGGTTGCACCATTGAAAATTCAACAGGAGCATTCGAATATTCCCCATGTTTGATTTTATCACTTAATAAATTCAACGCTGCCAATACGAATTCCATTTCACTCAACGATGAATAACGATCAAGATCTTTAATAATTTTGGCAGTGTGATTGACAATATATGATACACTCATAGATGTACTTACTCTTTCTTGTCCTCTAGTTACGGCTGATGCCAATTGTCTTTGTAACGTTCTTACTGTGGGAACCAAAACGCTTTTGTTTGTACCAAATTGCTTCTTTTTGATTTGTTCAAATCTTTCTTGAATTATCAGCCATTTTTTGGTTTGACTTAAAGAACGATCTCCCACGTATTTAAATGGTTTAACTTGTACTATTAAAAATAATATAAGTTGAATGTCATCAGTAGTTAACTTAGTCCGACTGTTATGTTTAGCCAACACATGACCAGGAATAAACATGTTTGCAATAGGTTTGTGAGCTGCATTGTAGGCATCCAAATGACTATTGCGTTCCTTTGGAGTGGTAGAGTTAGGTGAATGGTGTTCAAGTACTCCAGAATTGGCAGCTGCAGCTTCCATATAAGACCGATGCACAGTTAACAACAGTGATTTGATAATGGCCTCATTAATATCACCTTTGTCACCAGTATCAGCAAGCAGGGGATCTTCATTCTCACCTGGAGCATTATCATGTTCATTGGCCTCAGCTACATGTACTAAGTCATTAACAGGTTCTTTATCACCTTGAAGATCAATGTCTTCATCCAGTCCATGCTGAGGAGGATGTTCAGACTCATGCAGCTGCTGATGCTCGTGCTGATGTTGAGGATTAGCAATGCTTGGCTCAATATTACTGACATCATGGCTATCACCAAATGAACTACCCATCCCACTTTCACTAGCTGCAATTTCGTTAGCCCTATCACTCATAGCAATTTCCGTGTTAATCTTCTTAACATCTTCATAATCATCAGAAACGTTGTCTTCTGCTATCAGTGGATCGGTCATGATAGTTTAGCGTGTAGTAACAATAACAATAACAGTAAAAATAATAAGAATAATAATAATACTAATAGTAATAACAAACACTACCTAATTTCTTTCCTAGAAACAACAAAAATAATACCCACAATAAAAGAACTAACTAAAGTTTTCTTCAAAATTGCCAGTCCACTGTAATGAACTTTGGTCGGGCTTTTGCCGGAGTTTAGATGTAGTTAATATGGATTTGATGGGTAGCAGCAGATGAACAACAAAGAATGTATTTCCAAACGTTTGATAAGTTTATGACATGTTTTTTATGTCGTGACGCAAATTTTCGACATAACCAAAGTCGTGTCGGAACCGCATATTTTTGTGCTGAAATAGACCCTGGATTCCGTTTCAGGTGAAATGTCATTAATCCTAGAATAGAAAATATACGATACGATTCAACTATTACCGACAATACATACTAACCAAAATTAGACACACCCATTATGATAATGAAAACTGTGACACAAATGAGTTGGTGATGTTTAACATATTCTCATCATAATCAGTGACCTTTTTCCTAGACTGGTGGTGTTGGGGTCTTTCATTACGACTCTCCACTCCATCATGACGATAATTACTCAATTTGGAATAGAAATTAGAACTGAGATTATTGGACTTGGAATAAGTATTGGATGTATCCTCCATTCCAAGCTTGGGCCATTCAGTTTCTGTAGCAACTGTAGCAAACGAAGCAAGACTTTCAGTATCCCCTCCGTCTTTAATGTGCTGCAGTTTTTTAACTGCATCAGCTCTTTTGGCTTTGGGGTTTGATAATTGAACCATAGAAAATTGCAAGTTGTCTAATGGCCCGTCAACGAGACATCCCCTTTCCCGGAAATGTAATAATACATGGTTCCACAAAGCATTTCTGCATAAAGCCCGAGGATTACCCAAAATAATCAAACCATATTTGGCTCTGGTTAAGGCAACATTCAATCTTCTAGGATCACTTAAAAATCCAACTTGTTGTTGGTCATTAGCACGGACACAACTTAAGATGATAAAATCCTTTTCTCTTCCTTGGAAAGCATCAACAGATGCTATCTCCAATTGAAGGTATTTATCCTTAAACTCAGGAATCGAAGAGTTCATTGCCATGTACAGAACAATGTAAGCCCTTTGACCTTCATATGGAGTAATTATACCAATTTGGTCAGGAGAAACCTTATCCTTGAAAAGTTTCGAAACAACTCTTTCAACATTCATAGCTTCCACACGATTCAAATATGAATATCCACTAGATGATATTTCCTCTCTACCATAATTAGCCCAAAACATCATTGGGGTATCACTGACTGGCCAAGGGAAAGTAGATTTTTTCAATAATCTGTGTTCTTTGGTCACACCATTCTGTAATGAACCTTCGTAGAACATATTGGAGGGAAATTCTGAAAGACACGGATGCATACGATATTGGACTTCCAAACGAATAGGTACGTGACCCAATAATACCAACCTTTCAAAGAGTGACTGAGTTAAACCAGCATCACCTGCCTTTCTATTTAAGACAACAGGACCTAATTGTTGGTGATCACCAACTAAAATAACCTGTTTAGCACCTTTAACGATTGGAATTAATACTTCTGGTTCTGATGCTTGGGTACTTTCATCGATCAAAACTGTTCTAAACTTAAGATGCTTTAATCGTTTATCACCCGCACCAACACACGTGGTACAAACAACATGACATTTATCAAGTATTTTCCTTTCTTCAATTCTTGATAATTTAGCCAATGTCTTTGAATCAGCAGCAGATAGCTCACCTAACTCCTTCTTTAGTTTAAACAATTTCCTCAACTTACCTGTACTTCCTCTTTCCACTTGTGAATGTAAAGATAAATGCTCTGCTTGACTTTCCACATCTTCACGAGACCTAGCAGTGAAACGAACTACCCACAAACCCAAATTGTGCAATTTGGTGGCCAAGTGATCAACTGCAACATTGGAAGGTGCACACATAAGAAGTGTAGATTTATGGAGGTGAGACAAATGATAAAGAATTGTAGCAGAAGTCACAGTTTTACCTGTACCAGGAGGACCTTGAATTAAAGATAATGGTCTTTGAAGAGCTAACTTAACTGCATTCAGCTGTGACTGATTCAACTCAGTGATTAAAGGAAGGGCTACCTGAGGAGGTATACGAGTATCAAATTCAATTGGGGCAACATCATGTCCTAACAATTTGTGGTAAATATAACTACTGACCGACTCTTCATCAACAGCAAATTTGTTTAATGCACGCTGCATCCGTTCGTATGAGGTACCTTTCCAAACAAATTCTGCAGTGAAATCAGTGGTTAAATTGGTAGGAGGAGGAGTGGCAGAAGAAATCAACTCCAAAGTGAATTCTTCTTGGTAAGCACTTGGTAACCGAATAATATAACCCCGACCAGACCAAGCTTCATCTTGAGTGCCATTGTTACATCTCAACACAATTTCATCACCAACAGCTATTTTCAAGTTATTACTTTCATAAGTTGATAAAGTAAAGGAAGCCAAATGGTTTTTATTTAAACCTAAAGCCCAAGAAACCAGAATATGTTCTAAAGCTTGAGATTCTTTTAAATTCTTATCAAAATCACTTTCAAGTTTAATTAATGGAGCAAATGCTCGTTGATATTGGAAAGCATCATTATAACGCATCAAAATAGGTAAAACATCTTCTTCTTCATTTTCATTTTTTTCAATATCAAGAATAGTAGCATCACGATTAAGTCTCCATTGAGCTTCTAATTTGGTGATCTGCTTATTTGTAATTAATCTGGCATTAATTAATTCTTCTTCAGTTGGTGGGCCAGCAACCCACGACACAAATTGTCTATCATCTAATAACGCCTGCCATTGTGTTGTATCCCAATTGATATCCTTCAATTGAGCACAGGGTAATCGACAAAGGATAACCATCACCGAATCCTGTTTTGCACTAACAAACCCTAATATAAAGGCATTCTTATTTCCACAATTATAACATTCTAAAGTGGTATCACCCAAATCAGAATCAGGGTGTAAGGACACACAAGTATGCCTTGACATCACCATGTGGGTAACAATGTGAGAACTATTGGAATGGATCTTGGTATTACAGAACCATTTTTGACAGGTTTCACATTTAACTACTGAATCCACATTATGGATCCCACAATAAGCACAAGCATAATCGGGTAAAGAAGTAGTGGCAATGGCATCAGATGGAACAAAGTCATCGGTTTCCAGTTCGATAACTTCGTCAGCAACTTGGGCAGTTACAACCAGATGGATATCATTTATGTCATGGTCATCGTTGGCATCAAGGTTTTGGAATACAAGGTGACTCATTGACACCTTCTCCACAACTCAATTTGGTTTTCTGTTGACACAGAGACTACTGTAGTAGCTTAGCTAGAGAAAATTAATCTAAGGGAAAAAAAAGCCACCAGTAATTTGGCTATCAACACATTCGGAAACGTTCAAAATTTGATTTCAGCACAGACACCAGCAGATATAAATCAAGGGATGATGTTGATGATGATGGTGATTGCGTTTTCGTTGTAGTGGTATGCTTGGTCGGTAAAGATTTATTCAATGCCAGTATAACTTACCGCCAGAAAATTTTCGCCAGTAGTCACGGGATGATCATTTTCGCGACCGACAAAAGCTCATCTGACGTAAATTACAGCACGGTTGAAGCTTTCCAATCTTAGGAACTAAAAGCTTGTAGATTAAAATACAGTGTAAACAATACCAGCCTTAAACTAAAAGGAAATAAAGGTTTGTTAGTGGTAGTTTGATTGTTCCAAATAGTACTGTAATAGCAAATATATAGAGTACAATGATACGCCATTATACTAATAGGGTTTCTACATTATGATAACCTTGACCAATGTCATATCCTGATTGCATAATGCCTAATACTACTTACATCATGTTGCAACCCTCAACCCCATATACGAAATATTCTTATCTTTAGTGAAATCGATGCCTCCCCACAGGACAAAATTAAATAAATTGACGAGTACCTAAACAAGCCATCAAAAGAGCCTTAAGCAGGAGCACCCTTCACTCCATTACAGGGTAGTTTTCTCGAAAGGGAGGACTAATTAGCGATCCGCCGTGCATACAACCTCTCTGTGGCCGATAGTTTCTTTGTACTTCTTCAGCACTTCGCTGCCGTATTCCCTAAGAAACAACCCATAATAGGATTTGTCTTCTCAATTGTCAATCTGCACAAGGGGATTCAATTGTTTCCTTGAGTTGTTGTCCCTTGCATACGCCTAACCCTCAATGGCGACACTCCGGTCGACCTAAGTTGATCAGCGTCTTCGGTCGCGTGGTCGGATATCCTCGCGCAACCTGCTACACAGATTGCTCACAAATAAGGTCGGTTTGGTCGACTAAATCCCGGATTGCGTTAAAATCCTTCTCGGTGTGACGGCTAAAGGTACCTCGGAATACGACCAGTCACTTCCGGCAATATGCCCCCCACTTACTTAACCTTTCCAAAATACTGCATGGTTTGTCACCAAAACTTAATGGTACCACGAAAACGATTTTGACGATGTTAATCATGTCTCGTCCTTGTCTCAGGTCTCAAGTTACAAGCTAAAATCTTATCTTCTTTCGTCGTTCCCACTAAAATATCCCTTATATATATATTTATACACTAACACGGAGGAATTTAAGTCTACTGATTGCTTGCTCATTGATAACCTTTATTTATCCATTCGTTCGATACCTGAATTATACCTTTGAAAATTACGCGTATCATTGTTATAATTACTATTATTATCACACTATTATGATGCCTAGTCTTACAGCATATCATAAAGCCATCATAAAGGGGAAGGGAGAATTCCAGGGATCCAATTTCTTTATTTCCACTGATTCAGTTAATTGGATCCATCTGTACTCTCTTAAGATCTCTTCTCGCGGTCAACTTTGTCAACTTGATGAAGCCAATAATCATTACCTCCTTCTTCAGTCTTTGCAATCGTGCTTTGTACAAATATATCCAAATGGTGCTGCTGCTGGCCAGCAACAAACTACAAAACGTCCAGGTGTTCAACATCCAAACAAGAAACCATCATCAACTAACGATACTGCCCCTGGTCTTGGGTTAACAGATTATGATCCTCATAGTTTTGATGAACCTCCAGTTATATTTATCAAAACTTATGAAAATGAAAAATTGTATATTAGGGTACCCCTGAAGAATAATTTCGGTGGGTTGATAAGTTGTTTGATAATTTGGCAATCTCTAAAACCACAAGGTTTGGCAAAGAAATGGTACTCAGAAAATAAAGTTGATCGGTCATCTGTAAGTGACACTCCTCATGAGTTGTTGGTTTGTCGTTTCAAAGTTTATGGTCCCATACCTAAAGCCAAAAATGTCAATGTTGTGAGTGGTCCAAGAGCTCCAGTTTATCAACTGAATATAGATTCTATGGGCAATGTATCCGATCCACTGACTTCATCCGATTCCACAAATATTCCTCCAGATGGTAAATTAGATCATCTACATGAAGGTTGGTTCTATACCATGGGTGTATTGAAATCCAATGGGATTCTTAATTTCATCACCGAATTAGATGGTACTTTATTATATTCTATCGATGTTAAATCAATCATGTCATCAGAAATCAGAGAAGTACATCATTCCATTTTTGATAATTCTAATATTTTATTTATTGGCCAGATAAAGGAATTGAGGTATAATAACTTGATAAAGACAACTAGCGCATTCAATTTAGAACAGTATATCGGTCCATTTTTAACAAAGGAAGGTAAATCAATTCCCTCTAATAAAAGAATCTTGATTGAATTTCCCTTGCATATTGATCTTGGTGATTGGTTTGTCGGATTGAATTATTTTGCCCAAAGAGAATATATTGGAACATTTACTCCAAGGCTGATGATTAATCCTTCCAATGGGAAAGAGAATAACGATTCTGTTAAACTACAGGATTATGCACGCGAAAACTTCAGAATATCTAAAAGAGTTACCATTGATATTGTGGAGGCCAAATTTGATGAAGAATTTCATACTATGGATCCAAAGGAGAAAGTATATGCTGAAGTAATAATGTGGGGGTTACCGTGGTCACGTACCGCTATGGTAAATCATACCATGAATCCATTTTGGAAGGAAGAATTTCTGACCGATTTACCAATATCAACTCAAATGATTCATATTTTGATCAAACGATGTTCTAGTCAACAAAATGTACATTCTACCAACGACAAAGTCATTGGTACCGTGTATGTCACTCCTGATATTTTTGCAAATCAATTAAAGTATTCATCGACTATGTCAACGGGTTCCAATATTACCACGGCACAAAACATTATGATTAAGACCAACGCAACCCCTACTACGAACAATAAATCTGGTTCAACAGGAACAACTACTGCTAATGGTGTAATTAATGGATCAAGTAACGACATTGTTCGTTTAACTATTTATGATACTTCTAATTTACCGATTGGGAAACTTTTAACTCGAGTACAACTCCGAGAGCACCATATTTTACCACCAAACCATTTCAAACCTTTGGAAAAAATGCTTGTCAATGCTCCATTGAAGGATTTAATTAAATATACTACTGATGTTATTTCAACTCAGGATTTTGAGAATGTTTCACTGATGTTACTAGACATTTTCCAGGGACTAGGCATTGAAGATAAATGGTTCAAGGCACTTATGGAGGTCGAATTAATTAATGTTGATCGTGTAACTCGAAAGAACTATGCCAATAGAGGAAGTATTGAATCAACTCTTGTGAATAATAATTGTTCATCCAATTCAACCACAGCTCCAACTGGATTACAATCAGCAATCGGACCAGGATCCGGTTCACAAAATGGGACTACTAATGGACATGTGAAAAAGCTTTCTACGGCATCAGGAGGTAGTGGGATAGGAACTTCATCTACAAATGTATTCAATACATTATTTAGAGGTTCATCTATTTTTTCAAAATCATTAGAGAAGTATAATTTACGGGTTGGCCAAGAGTACTTGGAGAAGGTATTGGGAGGATTATTTGCTAAAATTGCTAAGGAAAAGAAGAATTGTGAAGTTGATTCCCGTTATGTCAAGTTGCAATATAATGCCATGCGAAAAGGAAAATCCGTTGATGATCCAGATGCCGATTCAGATTTTGATTCAGATGAATACGATTCAGATGAAGAAAGGGAAAAGGACGAAGTTGTCAAGCAAATGGTTGAAGAAAATTTCCAGAATTTGTATGGCTATGCCGAAGAATTTTGGGAAAGAATTTATAAGACTTCAAATGATTTACCACAACAAATTAAGATCCAATTAAAGAATTTCAGAACCAAAGTGGAACTAGCTTGTGATCCTGAAGATAAAATAACAGCATTAAATTGTTTGAGTGCTTTTATATTCTTGCGGTTTTTCTGTCCTGCAATTTTGAATCCAAAGCTCTTTTATTTAACCAAAGATCATCAGGCGGGTACAACACAACGAACATTAACTTTGCTTGCTAAAATTCTTTTGAATTTAGCTAATAGACAACAGTTTTCTCCGCATAAGGAATTACATTTGCTTAAGATGAACTCATTTATTGATAAACATATTCCTGAGGTTTATGATTATTTTGATAAAATCACTGGGAGGAAAAATGATTTTACCGAAAAGATTTTTGATTTAAGCAGTGAAGTGGAAAGATTAGATTTAGGTTTAAGTGGAGATGCAACTTCAGGTGAATTACCAATGACACCATATCTTATTGATAATAATTTACGGTTGACTGAATTAGTTCAATTGTTACATACAGAGAATGCCAATTATCGGTATAGTACATCATTTAGTCCATCCAATGGATTTCAATCGGATTCTTCTGTCAATACATCTCCGTCTCCATATCACAATCGAGAAAGTTCACGTGAAAGCACCAATGATTTCAAAGTTGACAAAGAGAAAAATGTGTATCAAATAGGTTCTTTAGAGTTTGAGAAATCAGAATTCTTAGACCTTGTGGCTGATAATGAAACTGAAGGATTTATTAAATCACTTTGTAAGAGTGATGAGAATATATTCTCTTTCATTACGTCTAATATTACCCTACAAGATTTAAAGAAGCAAGCCAATACTTTAATGATTAAGATCAATGAATTAGAGAATGTTCTTGTTGATTTTGAATATCCTACTAACTTCACGGACCTGCAACTTTGGAGATTATATACTCAAGATATACTAACCAAGAGTTACTTTGACACTTCACGAAGTTGTTTAGTGTTTATTGATTCTTCAGTATCGACTTCCGGAACTTATAAGAAGATATCTGAGAACGCCCTTTCGGTTCTTAAACTCAAGTTTGCAGATCAATCAACGACTGAAGAGTCTACTAGTGAAGTTAGAGGAGGTATTAATCCAAGTTTTTCATCAACAAATTTAGCTGGAGTTCTTAAACCAAAAAAAGGTATATTCAAACGACTTCTTAAGAGAAATGGGCCTTAGATATATAGTTGAATTAATTTAAGGTGAGACTTACAAGAGTACTTTGTATAAATAGACTTGGATAGGTAGTTGCAAGCACCACAAATCACGTGACAATAGTCACGTGAAAATGAATTGGGACTTGTTGATAGTCAGCGGTAACTGACTACTGAGTAAAGCTATCATAATATGGTCTAGACTATAATCCTATTATACGATGGGAGAAATAACTATTGATATTAGTATTTGTTGCATGTGGTTGCAAGTTCATCGTAAATTTTTCGTAATTAGAAGTCAACAAACAATAGTGAGCTTACAACTATAGCAAACGTTTAAAGAAGAATATATCATACGGTTGTAAGCAACTACTCCCTCTAATTACAAATATATTAACAAGCTTTACGAGGAGCAGCTGGTTAAAGTTCGAAAAATGCCCGGATCGCAGAAATCCAACGAAGCCCAGTTCGTATAAAGAATCGTTCAACTGTCTAAGCGATCTGTGGCCTTTTGAATTGCGCTTAACGCTAGAGGAGATAGTTGAGATGCACACGACTTGCATAACATTACGCGAAAGTTAAGAGGTTGTATTAATTGCCCTTATATAATTATATCTTTTACGTATCAAAACTACTTACTCAGCGTTTATTATTTTTTAACTGCGATGACTATTCTATTGTTTTTGATAGGTTCGTTAGTTCTTCTGTCTTCAGACGACTATACCCAAAATCGATAGGTGACAAGGTTTTGTGCACCTATGTAATAAGTTGGATTGTTGGCCAAATATGAGCCTCCAGTGCATTAAGAGATAAACATAGACTCGGGATACTTTTATCCCAGAAAACTTTTAAGTTACAGATCGGTTTAATCATATTTCACTGGTGGTACCAAATTTGTTCATAATCTCCCGCCAAGCTCACTGGTGCACTCTATCTTGATTGAGCTATACCTAATTGGGAAAGGAATCTCGAAACCAACCTTACCTAAAGTATATCATCTATATGCATCATGTCTCTCGTCTCATCAATATACTTACTGGTAAAAGTCAACGAGTATATTGCTAAGTCATACGTCCTAATACGGGCATAGACGAGATGTGAATGAATGGCTGCGAAATCTATATTTATCCGACGTGTGCCTTACAGAATGCCAGCACCTTACAGAAAGGAAGCCTTTGACTGAGACCATGACCGTTATCCCATAGGGTAGACATAGGTTGAATTCAACTAATTGGGTGCATTATTTTATCTGAAACGGTATATGAATTGGAATGCAATAGATTCCAGCAATAACTATTTGGTATATTAATAACTGAAACCAAATAGACCCATGAAAAATAGATCCATGATTTAATGAAGTAAAATACTAAAAAAGCAAGACAATCTCTCGTTATATCAAATCTTTTAATAATCGAATCATCATTAAACAAAACACTAGTATTTTCAATTTGGCTGCTCAAACTACTATCAAGATCTCTGCCTCAAACGGAAAGAAGAACAACGAAAAGAAGAACAACTGTTTCAGTAGCTGTTCTCCTTGTGGTGGAGGCTGCAACACTGGTTGTGAATGATGTGTTATTGCTTAAATTAACTTTTAGAATGGGTATAATTCCACGTCTTACTTAAAAAGATGTATATGTTTATCGTCAGCCAAAGAATACTTTTCAATAATGATAACGCTGTAAGTAACAAATAACCATCAAATACTCATTATACTACTTAACTATTGTACTCTTACATATTCTTGTAACTGAAGCTACCATACTTTATTTATATTAGTTTATAGCATTATTTAGGACAAAGAAGATAAACAGCAGAGGGTCATTGAAGTTGACTTAATTGTTACAATAAAGAATTTTGCAAGTGGTCGACCACCAACTTAATATGGTAAGTTTAACGATTGGAATACGTTAGTAAGCTTTATCCTGGAACATCAACAGATCTTTAAAGAGTACTTAATGATTTTGAGTCTTTAGAGTTTTCAGAGGTAGCCAAAGCCAAAGAACAAGATCGTAGGCCCTAAATGCCCAGATCTGGATTGATTTGTTTCGTGATTACAAGATAATGAAGTGATAAGGTGCTTAGGTCGAAGGGACGTGCTTAATGCTAATACCTGTAAAGTGTATCTCTGGAGTAGTACTAGGAGAGGAGCTACCAAAGCCCGAAGTAGTAGTTTTAATTGGTATAAGTATAAACTTTAATACTAACTTGATCACGTGGTGATAAACACGTTTTGTGCAGGTGGAAATATTTTCCACAACAAAAGAAAATGGAAATCCTTGAGTACAACTAAGCACCAAGGTACAAATCATCTTCGGAAGTTCAATAACACTCTTATTATCAACTTAAAGTGTTGATCCAACAGTAAAGGTTATTGTTGAAAGACTTTATCTGCTATCCCTTCAACCCGGTTACTCCTTTATACTAATAGAATGGCAAAGGCAACAGAAGCTGAAATTTTGGCGTCCTACCCACAAGTCAACGCTCCTTCGGAGGTAACTGGGTATAGTTCCAACTTGACAAAGGAACAAGAAGGAATTTTGGAACAATTCCGTATTGTATTGGATGCATTGGGATACACTGAGAGAACTGATACTGCAACTCTTTTAAGATTTCTTCGTGCTAGAAAGTTTGATTTGGAAAAGGCTAAAGCTATGTATATCAAATGTGAAGAATGGAGAAAACAATTTGGTACCAACACTATATTGGAAGATTTCCATTATGATGAAAAACCATTAGTTGCTAGTATGTATCCTCAATATTATCATAAAACCGATATTGAAGGAAGACCTGTTTATTATGAAGAATTAGGTAAAGTGGATTTAAATAAAATGTTGAAGATTACTACTGAAGATAGAATGTTAAAGAATTTGGTATGGGAATATGAATCCTTTACAAATAATAGATTACCTGCTTGTTCAAGAAAGGCCGGACATTTAGTTGAAACATCTTGTACAATCATGGATTTAAAGGGAATTTCTCCAATGTCTATTTATACCGTAAGTAATTACGTTAGAAGAGCCTCTGAAATTGGTCAAGATTATTACCCTGAAAGAATGGGTAAGTTCTATTGTATCAACGCTCCTTTCGGGTTTGCTACTGCATTCAAGATTATTAAGGCCTTCTTAGATCCGGTTACCGTTAATAAAATCCATATTTTGGGTAGCAGTTACTCAAAGGAATTATTGAAACAAATTCCTGCTGAAAACTTGCCTGTGAAGTTTGGGGGTAAATCTGATATTAGTGATCAAGATTTATACTTGAGTGACATTGGTCCATGGAGAGATCCTGAATATATTGGCCCAGAAGGTGAAGCACCAAAGCAATTTGAAAAGTAAAAAGTTTGGGTAGCTTAGTTTGCGACTAATAATTTTCAATATATACTCTCCTATAAACTATTTATATACCTTTTTTTTTTGCTCTTTCACCTCCTTCCCTCTGGAAGATGCCATTTTTGTTGGTTTGTTTATTGGCAGTAGTGCATCTTACTTGGACATTTCAGCTTAACTATTAGAACAGCTTATAGATAGTATATGGACATAAATAAATTACTTCAACCAAATTAGTAAAGCGGTGATGAATTTCGCTGCAAACTTCTGCAGCCTATACCATTAGAGTAATTGCTGCAAAAAAATATCTGCCTGTGATTATAGAGGGGTCCAACAAATAAATAAACTATTTAAGTCCAACATGGACTGTTAAGCCCTTTTCACTACCCTTAATATCAAATAACATACCTATAATATTACTCTATAAATTAATATTTTGCTTTTACATTGTTAGTATGGCGAATCAAGATACTTCTAGCAGCCTAGTTCCTACTAAGTCATCTTCGCAATCTGATGGTTCCTTAATCAAAGCAAGTAGTATTAGTGAGAAGGATAAAAGTATCACAAGCATCCCGCCCACTTATTATAATAGTCAGTGGTTTTCTAGATTTCCTCAAGTCCATTATAGAGAAGTACCTGAACTTGATTTAGAAAGTTGCTTAACTGCATATACAGATGCACATTCTTCGTTTGACTTACACTCAGAGACCATACCTCCACAATCATCACCCCCTCCAACAGCAGCAAGCAAATTTAAATTGTCATTCCTACAACGCAATTGGAAATTTTATACGATACAACTCGATACATATCCATATGGAAGAATTGCTATTGCCTTTGGCATAATGATTCTACTTGTTATAGCCTTTGTCGCAGGATTAATACACCAAATAGTTAGTGAAGCTCACAATAAACTGAATTAGCTGCCGTTGGTACGAATATATATATGTGGTTTGCTATGCCAAGAAAGACTGTTGTTCCAGGAAAAGGTAAGGGAGTTAAATCAAATTACTCTGCAGTGGTAGAAATGGAAACTGTTAGCCGTTTCTTCTCCAAAGTCGTGCCCGGTACAATGTTTGCTTAAAAAAAGTATGGGGAAGCGAAGTTTTCTTTGACTTGCTATAAATACTAGTCCTTTTGGGGGTCTTGTTCATTTGAATTATACTTAATGAACATATAGGGCTTTGGTAACTTTGTAGAATACAATGCATTCCACTTTAATATGCCTTATATGGCTCTTTTGTACCATGTGTACGGCCAAAGTGCATACTTTCCACTGGGAAATTGCTTGGAAACTTGACAATCCTGATGGGATGAAGGAACGTCAAGTTATAGCCATCAACAACAAGACTCCTTTACCCACAATTCGAGTTAAAACAAACGATAGAGTTATAATACATGCTACCAATAAATTGGGGAATCAAAATACCTCTATTCATTTCCATGGACTTTTCCAAAATGGTTCAAATTCAATGGATGGCCCAGAATTTGTTACGCAATGTCCTATAGCACCAGGATCAACATATATTTATGATTTCAAAGTTCCAAATCAGGAAGGAACCTATTGGTATCATTCTCATAGTGGACCTCAATATGGTGATGGGTTAAGAGGGATGTTTATAATTGAACCTGAAAATGTTGACGCATACCCCTTTAAATTTGATGATAAAATAACCCTTTCACTAACTGATTGGTACCATAAAGAGGCAAAGGAAATCAAAAAGACATTTATGAGTAGATTTAATCCTACAGGCGCTGAACCAATTCCTCAAAATGCATTGTTCAACTATACCAGAAATGCTACTTGGCATGTGGCACCCAATACGAAGTATTTCATACAAATTGCTAATATGGGTATGTTTGTTTCCCAATATCTCTTCATTGAAAACCATAACTTTACCATTGTCGAGGTAGATGGGGTTTATGTTAAACCCCAAATGACAGACTCTATTTACATAGCTGTTGGCCAACGGTATGGTGTGCTTATTGAAACTGGTGATTTCCATGAAAATTTTAGATTTCTTAATGTCATTGATAAACCCATGTTGGATACCAAACCAGCTGAGTTGCAATATATATCAACAAATTGGATTGTTTATGATGATAAGAAACCTTTACCTCCAGCTTTGGAGAATAATGAAGGATCCTTTGACTCATTTCTTCAAAACATTGATCCCTTTGATGACTTCAATTTAAAACCTTTAACTAAATCACCCTTGATGGAGGCAGCAGATTACACTATTAACTTGGATTTTAAGATGGAAAATTTAGGAGATGGAGTTACATATGCGCTTTTCAATAATTTCAGTTATGTTGCTCCAAAGGTTCCAACATTAATGACATTGTTATCAAGTGGAAAGCTTGCATCCAATGACAAAATTTATGGGACCAATACGAATACATTTGTCCTTCAACATAATGAAGTAATCGACATCATACTTAACAATATGGATCCAGGGAAACATCCATTCCATTTACATGGTCACACATTTCAAGTGATTGAACGTTCTCCCCCAAGTTCCGATGACAATCCCATTACATATGATCCTAATAACCACGCTGAATTCCCCTTGAACCCAGTGATTAGAGATACAGTGATGGTTAATGCTAACGGTTACGTCGTGCTTCGTTTCTGTGCAAATAACCCTGGGGTTTGGTTCTTTCATTGTCACGTTGATTGGCATTTGGAACAAGGACTTGCGATTGTATTGGTTGAGGCACCATTTGAGGTTCAAAAGTCTCAATCACTTTCAAGTGCTCAATTGCATGTTTGTAAACAAAGCCGAGTTCCTACTAGCGGTAATGCAGCAGGAAGATATGGTAAATCTGAGAAAGATTGGTTGAATCTTGAAGGTGAAAACATACAACCACAACCATTACCTCCTGGGTTCACTCTTAAGGGATACATTGCTTTCTTTTTGTGTGCAGCTTTTGCTTGTTGGGGTTTACTATCCATCTACAAATATGGCATTGAAGATGTTGCTGCTGATGATGGAGAAGAAATGATTATGAAATTAGAAAGTTTACTTGAAGAGAATGGAGGCCTGGGCCCAGAAGATACGAGACCCTTAACAGGCGAAGACTCGAATGCTTAAAATAAATGAAAATAACGAAACGTAAGTAACGAAAAAAGTACATAGTGTTATGATTCATTATAATGATCATGAAAAGTTATAGTGTGTATGTTTCCGAGTCATTATAGAGTTCCCTTTTTTTGACTCGTTTGAAAATCTGAACCACAACCAGAGTCAACAAAATAAGTCAAGCGAGCCCACATAAACTATTCCGGGGAAAAGAATATGATACGGAAAAAGAATACTATACTAAACATTTTCTTTTACTCGCAATTATACCATGTCCAAATACGTTGTTATAGGGTAAGTAAATAACAAATGTAATCGTATAGGGCTAAGTACTAACGTTAGGGGTTATAAAGGTCAGGGATAGTTGGTTTATACACTGTGTATAATCTAATCGAAAGAAATGTCAATGGCGAAGAGATAACAGTTATTGCGGAGTATTTACCTGGAGATGAATCTATTGATTATACATCGCCTTATGCTGGAGGTAATTTCTCATGTATCACCGATGATCATCCAGATACTTTAAAGTTTGATAAGCACACTTATACTAGGTTACAATCTATTCAAAGGAGATTGGGTGGTCCTCAACATGGATTGGATAAGATACAATCAACTGAATATTTTGATACTAAGCCATCTGATGCTAAAATCAATTCCTTGAAAAGCTATATAGAAAACTATACGGAATTGCCAAAACTGGAAATGCCTCATGGTTGTCAATATGGTATTAGATATACTTCATGGAGTTTCAATTGTCCAAAATTCTTGCTCAATATGAAGAAATATCTTGAAGGGAAAGGAGTTACTTTTGTCCAAAAAAAATTGAGTCATATTTCTCAAGCCTTTGCTTTTGGTACTAAAATTGTATTCAATTGTACTGGTAATGGGTCAAAATACTTGGGTGGAGTCACCGATAACAAAATTTATCCTACAAGGGGACAAGTGGTTGTTATCAAGGCTCCACATATTAAAGAAAATGTAATGAGATGGGGTGATAATTATGCTACTTATATAATTAAAAGACCTTATTCTCATGATCAATTAATTCTTGGAGGTTTTTTACAAAAGGATGATTGGAGATCAGCAACTTCTCATGATGAAACATTGGATATATTGAAGAGAACTACTCAATTATTACCTCTGATTCTTTCTAGAAACACTTATGGATCTTCCATTGAAGATTTGGAAATCCTCAGAGTCGCAGCAGGTTTAAGACCAAGTAGACACGGGGGTCCTAGAATTGAAAGGGAACCAATAGATCATACAAAGTGTGTTATTCATAATTATGGTGCTAGTGGGTATGGATATCAAGCTGGGTTAGGAATGGCATATCGTGCTGTTTCCCTTGCATTAGATGTTAAGCCTAAACTTTAGTCATAATAAATCCTTTTTCTTAGTTGTATTGACGTTAGTAGTTGAGATAAGAAAGTAGATAAGCGGATGAAAAAAACCCAGCGCTACCGATGTTACCGCGCTACCATTGTCATTGATAAAAGAAAGATGATTACTCCTCTCCTTATAAAATGGCTGGAGATTAAGTACCACCACTATATATTTCGATTTGAAAACAATAACTTATCATGAGTGGGCTTTTTGAATGGGCTTTTGGAAAGAAGCTGACGCCACAGGAAAGGCTTCGGAAGAACCAACGAGCTTTAGAGAAAACCCAAAGAGAACTCACAAGAGAAGTGACCAAACTTCAACAACAAGAAAAGAAGCTTACTAGTGAGATTAAGAAACTGGCTAAAGCTGGACAAATAACCAGTGCCAAGATTCAAGCTCGTGATTTAGTTAGAACCAGGAATTATGTTCAAAAGTTTAATTCTGTCAAGACACAATTACAAGCCATTAGTTTAAGAATTCAAAGTGTACGGACCAATGCTCAAATGGCTACATCAATGAGAGATGCCACCAGAGTATTAAATGGGATGAATAGAAGTATGAATTTACCTCAACTTAGTCGGATAGCTCAAGAGTTTTCCAAGGAGAATGATTTAATGGATCAAAAACAAGAGTTTATGGATGATGCTATTGATGATGCTATGGCTGATGATGAAGAAGTCGAAGAGGATGAACAAGTGGATGAGATATTGAACAAAGTATTAGATGAGATTGGAGTTGATTTGAATACAACTTTGAAAGACACTCCTAATGCTATTCATAGTGGAGGAGAGGCTGTTACCAATGGAAGAATTGCTCAAGCAGCCGGAGGTGGATCCTTTGGACAAACTGGTGGAGAAGATTTTGATGAAAATGATTTACAAGCTAGATTAGATAGTTTGAAAAAGTAGAATAAGAACTGAACAATATTTATTACTTTCTATAAACGAGGTTTTTAAATATATTTCTTTGATTCCAAATATTCAATAACTTGTTGAGCAGCTTGTTCAACAGTTAAATCACCATAATTTTTTAAATGGATTTCTGGTTTTTCTGGAGCTTCATATGGTGCACTAATACCAGTGAATTCTTTAATAATACCTTCTCTTGCCTTTTTATATAAACCCTTTGGATCTCTGGTTTCAGCAACATCAATTGGAACATCAACATATACTTCAACAAATGGTAAACCTCCTTGTTCATGTAAAACACGAGCAGAATCTCTATCCTTCTTATATGGAGAAATGAATGAAGTTAAAGCAATAGTACAAGAATCAGCAAATAATTTGGAAACTTCAGCAATTCTTCTAATATTCTCATTTCTATCAGCTTCACTGAAACCTAAATCCTTATTCAACCCAAATCTAACATTATCACCATCTAATCTATAGGAATTGATTCCTCTTTGTAAAAGTGCTTGTTCGAGAGCACAAGCAATTGTAGATTTACCACTGGCACTTAAACCAGTGAACCAAATAGTTGCACCTCCTTGCTTTCTCAAAGCAGCTCTTTCTTCGTGACTTAAGTTGTCGTGCCAGGTGATATTAGTAGCCATTATGATTAGTGATAAAAAAAGATTATGTACAAGTCACAAGATCAGATTTTTTTAAGTCTAAGCAAATAATTAGTTTAACTAAAGGTTCCATGATATATAGTGGTTGAGTTTTTGCAACTCACCATTGCACGTGACTGATATCATATATCTGCGACAAAGGAACGCGACATAACCCAAATAGGACGTTGTGCAATGTGTGACAAAAGACGTTAACCTTGGGAGAAAAACTTTTCTTGCACACATTAAATGGTCTACCAATACAAAGAGATCTTGACTATCATTGTCGTCAATATATAATATAGCTTCGTCATAATGTATTATGAATTAGTGGCTATTGCTCGTATAGCAGATCCTCTTAAATCCAACTTTGAAGCAGTTAAAATCGCCCTGACAGTGGGAAGATTAATTCTCAATAACAGAGGAATTATAAGAGATATTACTTCATTAGGTCCTCGTCCCTTACATAAAATCATATCAAAGGAACAAGAAAGACATTATCAAGGATTTCATTTCATGATGGGATTTGATAGTTCTCTGACAGTCCAACAGGAATTATTGCGTACCTTAAGAAGAGATCCCAGAATATTACGCTGTTCCATAATTAAGCGTGATATAACTGAAAAATTATCTCCAGGTACTTCATTTGAACAGGCATTAAATAGTTTACCAAAGGAATCTTAAAGGGTTATATAATGTTCACCGAAGGAGTCTTAAAAAGGCTATATAATGGATATTTGTACATAGGAAATTAATGAATCGTTATAGAATTATCAAGTGTATTAAGTGTATTATTATTATTATTATTAACAAATTAAGCATTAAATAGCACATCCGTGTGCTTAATTGCAATTAACTAAATTGCATATTTTAATCATTATTCATGTAAATTACATTCGGATTTTATAACCTTTACCTGTTTGAGTTCCATTGGTGGTGGAAACAAAGTCTTCCAAACTAGTAGTTGATTCTAATGTATGAGCATCCATATCAAATACCGATGGAGGTGACAGTTCTGTGGTTGAAGATGCACTATCAACATCATCAGCTATTGGAATATTAGAAGTTAATGAACGAGGTAAAGATGTCATTTCATAATTATCAATACCAACTCTACTTGAGGATCCACTCACTTGAGAATAAAGTCCTCCTCTATTTTCAATATCTGATTCGGAATTTAATGCAGAAACAGAAACAGTCAATGGATTAATCTCATGATAATCAATAAACAGAATCTCAGTGTATGACCAACGGCAAAACTTATTTGGTAAACGAATGGGTAAATGAACATAACTGGTATAGGTAAACACACACAATGAAAGCACTGCACCCCCAATTAAATCAATAAAATAATGATGAGTCAAATACATTGTACACCACCAGAGCCACATAACATATCCACACCATACAAATTTCAATTTTGGAAATAACCAAATTAAAAATAAACATTCCATAACTGCACAACCAGAATGCAAGGAGGGGAAAGCTCCAAATGGTACTGGAGCATTAGTAAAAGTTGAAGTATACATATCAAACCCAACAATATCATCAATTCTTGCTAAACCACCTGGTGATCCACCCATAGAATAATTAGCCGGAGCTAAACCATTGTTTAGTTTATACCATGGAGGAGCAGCCGGGAAAAGTAATTGCATAATAACCCCAAATAAGTTCATATAACCAAATGCAAACCCATAAGCTCTTAAAGATGTAGGAGGTCCAAAAATAAATATAAGAGCTGCCACCACAAATGGTACTGAAAAATGAATTATCCCATAAGGCAACCATGCTAAGATATCCAAAACTGGATGGGTAAAAGCTGCTAAAACACTGGATAAATTATCACCATACATAACGGTTTCAAACGCAGGAAGGAAACGTACACTAATGGGTAAACGCCAAGTGACCGGGATTTTGGCACAAGAAAAGAAAAGTGCCAACCAAGTAAAGATAGGCAATGCAGGAAGAAAGAATTGGCTAGTTAAAGGAATGGCAAACATCAAACCAAAGAGGGCAATGATGGGGAACTTAACCAAAAATGAAGCCGGGAAAATCAAAAAACAAAACAAAAGTATCAGTACTAAGAAACCATAATGTATGATATCACCTGTAGACCATTCATACCTTTTAAGGTAGTTCAAGTTGACAATTATATTTGTATCAAAGTTTAATTCTGATAATCGCGAATTAGGATCCTTTTCCAGGAGGAAATAGTAATGGATAACCTTGTAAACTCTAAGGAAGACAGACGATGACGATGATAATGATGATGGTGATGAAGAAGAAGATGCTGATGACGATGCTGATGTTAATTCTGTTCTTTCTAAGAGGTGGTAATTATTATTCATTGGATTAGACCCACCAGAATACAAATGATCCGAAAGCGAATCGGAACCATTGGAGAATGATGATGGTAATGTAACACCCTTGGGAACATTCAAACCAGTTTCATTTGATTGTAAACCGGTAGCGGTATCCCGAGGAAACGGTCCGGGGAACTTTGAAGTATAAGTAGCAGCAGCCATTAACAGTTCAAAAACAGTAATATGCTATGTATACTTTACTAATAATAAACAACTAATGATTAATGTTCAACTGTTAGAAGAAAATGAAGCAAATGGTTATATGCTAGCAAAAACTTTAATATTATTGATTGGTTTTTCAAATGATCAATATTCAAGATTATTCAGAAAGAAGTAATAAGTTGTTTTGGTATTACGTTTGCCGGTATACCCGTTACTATAATGCGCTTGAGCCGATGGGTATTGTAGAATATTTGCCTTGATTTTCTTTTTGTTGGTCGTGCGTATACCAATGGAAATAAAGACAGATGGTTCTGGACGTCAGCCTATTTAAGAATAGGGGTCGATGATGTTTGAGTCCGGTGACTTGGCACGTGATCAATTTGGCTTGGTGTTGAAAAGTACATTAGTGTAGCAAAATACATGATCTAATAAATGAATGATATGCGGCGTAACATCACAATACAGCGACCGAATTGGGTAGATTTTCAGGGTGCATTAAACTCCTATTTTTCTCTTTGTATGTTTATACTTAAAATTCATTACATCATTGCTGTCTTCACCCCAGTTTATCTTGGTTCTTTTTGTGTCCTTCTCCGGAGTCATCTTTGAAGTTCAAGATATGAGCTTGACCACAGTCACGTGACCACATTCAATGTCAACAAACAATTCTATTGAAATTATACTTCTATGCCATCTAGTAACATCATGTTAATACATTGTAATTCAGTTTATTTTCTGCAGTGAAACCATTTTAATTTGTTAAATCTCTTGTGCTCTTTCTGCTCTCTTGTCTTCTATTCAGTATAGACAACAGCTTATGTGCAGTCCAGAACTTCTCCAGAAGACACGTTAACATAGCTTAATGCAAAGTTTAAAAACATCACATCAACTTAACTTCTAACATTGAATTAACAGGGGTATAAATATCATCATGACCAAAGCCACACAAACAGCAGTCGCAATTTTCTTTTATTCAGCAGTATTAGTTGCACTTTATACTGGAGTTCTTCCCTCTTCCACAAAAATCCAACAGGAAATTATTCCTTATGTTCCCTTTTGGTCCCTTGTTGCATTTGGAGCATATGCATTGGGTACTTTAGGTTATGATTTGGTTTCCTTTAATGATAAGCCTGAAAAGTATAGAGAATTGTTGACTCAAATCGATGAAGCAAAGGCGTTCTACAAGGTCAAGGGTCTTGATTTGGATTGAATAGTAAGATTGTGTAGTTAGTTGAGTCAATACATATATTCGAGAACAATTGATGCAAAATAAATAAACATGAATATTATAAAATGATACGATATGAATGAATATTAATAATAATAATATTAATAATGACCATTCTCTAAGTTTTAGCCTTCTTTTTGGCTTTTAATCTCTTTTCTACTTGAGCGAAAACTTGAATGCTAACAGGAACCTCACCCCAATTATCTTCTTCTTCAAGTAACACTGGACTTCCATCAGCATCACTACTTGTGCCATAATATTTCAGCTCAAGACTATGGGGTAAATTTTCTTGTTTCAACAACCTTATAGGAGCATGAAAGTTCTCTGGCCATCTGCCTCCTCGTTGAACCAATCGTTGAGCAGCTTGTTGCCGTAACAGTTTCCATTCTTTAATATCATCATTGTACATCTCCCATACACAATTAATACACCCAGACATGCAACAATTATCAGGTTCTTGAGGTTTCTCGGGAACTTTGATACCTGCAATAACCTTTGGTTCCCCTCTAACAACACGACTAGATGATTCTCTATCTGCCCCTGTTAATCTTGTACCAAATACTTTAGCTATTCTTTGTTCTGGAGTTAAGGTATCTAATGAATAATTCCCTTCCACTATTCTTCCAGATTTGGTTTCTGTTACATTGAACTTTTTCTTCCTTCCAACTTCCTTTCTAAAGTCACCCAGACTTCCAGAGTTTTTCTTTTTGGGAGAAGACTTGCCCTGCTTTTGTCCTTCAATGAATCTAAAATTCTCAACAGCTAGATCGTAATATTTATAACATGGGCTCCCTGATGGAAGTGAAGTTCCTTTGAACCGAATAAACACTCTTCCCAATGATGCTGCTGTTCGTTGTTGCATTAACTGCATTCTTATCTCTAAATAGGAGTTATGTTCTCCCCATAGCAAGCAAACTTGAACCACTTATGATCGAAAGATTCCGAAAACGTCAAATCAAAATTCGAGATTAAACGTCACTTAATTACGTAAACACACGCATTCAGAGAAGTACAAAGCCAAGTTTTAACATGTATTACTATTATCATCTTTTGTTTCTAGCATTGCTTAAGATTAGTTGCAGCTAAAGTATCTTCAATTGACATGAAGAACCCCTCTCCAAGTCCTGTAGCAAGTGAAACCGGTGACTCTAATTGGGCTGTATTAACTGTTTTCCAATACCTGGCAAAATTCTTATTAACCAATTGAATTAACCCAGAACGAGCTAATTGATCTCGAATATGATAATCTAAGGATATTCTAGTGAAGCAAACAACAATTCCCTCTTCATCATATCTTTGAACAATTTCATATAAAGTTTGTATGGCAATTGCATCAATTGAAGTCATTCCTTTACAATCAAATATAACACAATGAATTGGTGAATTGGTAGAAGGTTGCAGCGGATGCACAAGAAGTGTTCCATACTTTTCCAATCTTGCCAATTTAGATCTTAAATCACCAGAATTTGCAAAGTTAAGAGGCTCTGGAATTTTCACAATTAGAACACCTTCAATTTCTTCAACTGTAGTCACAAGTGATCCCATTTCCGGAGATCCAGGAGTATTCATGGAATTGTTAACTTCTCCTTCTTGAATTCGTGATACCAGAGAAGGTAAATCAGAGGAACTGTTGTTTCGACTAATCCACCCCAAAGTCAATGGTTCCGTTCCTTGGTTAAAATGGTGGAACGATTCTTCAATTAATTCATCGGCATTACGGAAAACGTTAGTAGTATGAGGTACTCTTCCTAAAACGTGAATCCTTGAGTTAGAACTATGTTTGATTAAACGGAAAATCGTCATGAGTACGCCAACAGTAACTCCTGCCTCCAGAGACCAGAAAATAGTAAGCAAACAAATACCAGCAAACGTAATAATCTCTTCATAAGCTCCAATGTCAATAAAGAATTTCAAATCATGAGGAATTTCTTCAAGAACTGCAAGTCCAACAATTGTGGTACTTAAAGATAAAACACACATGGGCAAATAATATAAATAAGGAAGCCAATACTTGATAGCAATAATGGTGACAAATCCCATTATCACAGTAGATATGGGTGAAGATGCACCTGCAATAATATTAATCTTGGACCTTCCAAAGACACCAAATGAAGGTAAACCACCCAAAAGTCCAATAATAGCATTAGTAGAACCTAACGCTATCAATTCACGATTTGACAGCACAGTATAATTATATTTTGCCCCAAGTGATTTCGATGCTGTAGTATGATCAAAATATCCAAGAATTGTCAGTAAGAATGCGGTAGAAAATACCCGCTTAAATAAAGGTAAGGGAATACTGAAAGGGTTTACCCACATGGATTGAGATTTGGTGGTGGTGGTAACATCTGCCTTTGAAACCAAATTTCCAACTATTGCAACCCCTTCCGATTCCCAATTTAACCTTACTGAAAGAATTGTTGAAATAATCACCATTAAAAGTAATTCAGGGAAATAAACCACAAATCTATACTTGGTAATTAATCTCAGTTTCAACAGCCTTGCAGTTAACACTAAAATCAATGTAATAACCAGAATAGTTGTGGTTAAGGCATGGAGTTTAGAATAATGGGTTGCCACAAAGACTATTTTATCCCAAGTTGAAACTGGATGGAAAGCTGGATCCTGAGGGATTCCAAGCTCAAGCGCGATTTGTGAAACAATCATTATGAACCCCATTGCAGCAACAAAACCTTTAAGTAAAGATCGACTGAGTACATTATCAAGGAATCCTAACCTGAACATGCCTCCTACAATCAATAAAATACCCATAATAAGTGAAGATGCAGCAGATATTTGCCATCTAGGAACATCAAAATATTTTGGATCATGATGTAAACTTTCAAATAATTGTCCATATATCATTGCGACTGATGGTGATGGACCTACCACAAGAACAGGAACTGTTCCCAATATTGCATAAGTAAATGAAGCCACAACGATTGAACTTACACCACCTTGAATTGGAGGTAAATTTGCTAAGCCAGTAGCAAGGGACATTACCAAGGGAATTTGAAAACTTGCTAATGAACATCCAGCAAGTGCATCACCTAATAATTTAGTATGGGCATCATATTTCGGAATCCATGAAAGCATAGGAAGATAATACAGTACATAGGATTTCCAATGCCACTGGCGAGGAGCAGACCATTCTAATACTGCCAGAGAAACGTCATCGTTATTAGTACCATAATTAATTTGAGTAGTATTACGATTAGAAATCAATGACTGAGGATTTTGACTTTGTGTTGACGGTGTAACCAGTACACCACCAAATGCTTCATTAAACGATTTAACGCTTCTAAGAGAATGATTAGATGGTACTGAGACCAATACTGGTCTGGAATTAAGCGGCTTCCGCTGTATAGTCAGCGGTGATGATTCTTTCAATCGATGTTGATTTAAAAGGGATACATTTGTTCGAGAATGGGGTCTTAATAATCTCGTATTATCATCTATGGGAGTGGTAGTACCAGAATGTTGAGATGCTGATGTAGGCGGGAACGAATCATTGCTATTGATGTTATTATTTATATTATTAGGTAACATTAATGAGAGTTGTTAAAATTTCATATGCAATCTTCATTATTATAATGTAGTGTGTGTTGAACCTCTTTGAAATCTGGAGATAGGTAGAAACATCTTTGAACACATAATGGTAGCGCCTGAAATCAATATTCAAGATGTCGGTAGCACAATGATTCACGAACTAATGAATGTAGTGACATGATAAATTAAGATGATGTCTAATATTCTGTATTATACTTAAACATGCCATGTGGGGTCATGGATTTTATTTAATTAGAACAAACTCAAGTTTAAGGTTGCGCTAATTGAAAGGTTTTTTCATTTAGCATAATTTGTCACACGAGGGTAAGAAAAGAATGAGGTTTTCCTCTCCAAACACAAATGGTTAGCTTAGTTTACCAATATCAAGTGGATGCGAGCAGTGCTCTCGATTCAACAACTATAACGTATTATTGCTTAGTTGAAATTACTGCTTGATTACCATTATAGCTTGTTGTAAGTCACTTGTAATTATGTGAGGAACATAAGCTAATTGAAACAAGTATTAAAAGCGCCTTTATGACAGTATTGTATCCCAAGATTATAATGTATGGTCTATGCACATATTAAGTATAAGGGGCTGTGTCTATGAGGTATGTGTCTTTTTACATCTTACCGAGGGCTAAACGTAGTCGGTTCAGCCGCCCCTAATATCGTAACCGATGCCGTTCAGTCGCGTGAACTTACTTTGTGTCCTTCTGCATATATTACCCTAATTACTGTAATATTAAGGGACCACGTGGGTGCAAAAAACGTCAAAGGACTTTTGAAATCGTAAATTAGCTACCTTTAATTAATCACCCCCAATATTTACTATTAGGAATAATGTGGGGGTGACTATCTGGTTGCAGCCGTATGAAACCTAATAACGCTATCCAATGCTCTTCATTACAAATTGCATATTTTTACCAGAATACTTACTTCTGAGTTTCCCCATCATTTAATGTAGTAGCTTGACTAACAGTGTACATGGGTCTTCAACCCACGTGTATGTATGGCAATGAACTTAATAAGAAGTGAAGCAGACCAAGCTTTTTTGGTAGAAGATGCCAAGCAGATAATTAAATTCTTGGGTACGATTGAATAAGGCTACACTTTTCTTGGTCCATCAGACAAACAGACAAAAATATTCTCGACAGTTGTTCACTATGAACTATGGTTTTACTAACCATATATTAGCCGACTTTCAATATAACATAAAATAATAATATTTATCTTTCCATCAGTAAAATGATCTCCTTCTATTAACGTCACACTATATTACATGTTATTGTCTGGGACTATAGTCTAAACTTTCTCTAGCACATCCTGCATACAAGGCGGCTGCAAATCAGTTTATGTCTGATCAAACATCACTCTACATACTATGCCCTAGGTTTTCCCTATTTTGCGATGTGGATAAAAGAAACGGCACACTACGACACTTTCTAGGCCCAGGCATAGTTGAGTTGGCTGCAATTCCTATTACCGGCAATCCGAGATTTGTCTGAATCAGACAGAAGAACAACTTTCTACTTTATTGTTAAGTGGAACAATATTTCAGGTTAAGTGACATTTTTACACCATATCCTCTGTCTTGACCCATTACCCCTTTGGCGTATTACTAGATATAAACCCACGAGCTCTTTAATTTAGTGAGATTTAAACTTGCATCATATAAATATAATCCCGTAGCCTTCAACTCAATGTTTTTTTTTATTTCTCTTCTCTTCATCAAGTTGTATAGTTGTCAACATCATCAATACCTGCTTGCCTTAAAGGATTTAGTAGTAGTGAAATATACAAATACATTATAAAAGATGATGAGACTTGCACAATTCGATTATATCTTTGCTATTGCAATGATCTTTGCATTCTTGGATGCTTGGAACATTGGTGCAAATGATGTTGCCAACTCTTTTGCTTCTTCTATTTCTTCAAGATCATTGAAATACTGGCAAGCCATGATCCTTGCTGCTCTTTGTGAATTCCTTGGTGCCGTTCTTGTCGGTAACAGAGTTTCAGATACCATCAGAAACAAGATTTTCGATGTCTCCGTTTTTGCTCAAGAACCAGCTGTTCTTATGTGCACTATGATGTCTGCTCTTGTTGGATCTTCTCTTTGGTTAACATTGGCCACTTCTATTGGTATGCCTGTTTCTACTACCCACTCTATTGTCGGTGGTACTATAGGTGCAGCAATTGGTGCTAAAGGTGGTAGCGTTATTCATTGGGGTTGGGGTGGTGTTGCTCAAATCGTGGCCTCATGGTTTATTGCTCCTGCTATTGCTGGTGGATTTGCCAGTATTATTTTCTTGATCTCCAAGTTTTCTGTTTTAGAGGTCAAAAATTTACAGAGATCCCTTAAGAATGCTTTATTGCTTGTGCCATGCTTGGTTTTCCTTACCTTCTCTGTCTTGACTATGTTAATCGTATGGAAGGGTTCTCCAAAGTTAAAGTTGAATAAATTATCAACTGGTACAACAGTTGGTGCTATTCTTGGCACTGGTGGTGTTGCTTTCGTTGTATTTATGATCTTCTTCTACCCATACTTCAGAAGAAAGTTAATTCACAATGATTGGACTTTACCTTGGTACGGTTTCATCTTTGGTCCAATTTATTACTTCAAGTCCACTGATAGCATCCCACCAATGCCTGAAGGACATGAATTGGTAATTGATTACTATGAAGGTAGACGTTACGATAATGACTCAACTCACTCTGCCAAGTCTGTTTCTTCTGAAGATGATGTTGAAAAGAGCGGGGATATTGTTACCACTTCTCCTGTTGCTGTTGTTTCAGCAGTTGAAGAACCTAAAAAGGAAACCACCAAACAAAAATGGTGGAGAATGTTAAAGGAAGGTCCAAAGTCATGGCCAAGATTGGCTTGGTTGGTTCTCATTCATGGGTTCGACCAAGATATTATTCGTGATCAAGTTCAAAAAAAGGATGTTCTTTCTGGTGATTTGAAGCGATTACATGGTAAGTCCAAGTACTATGATAACAAAATTGAATATTTATTCTCTCTTTTACAAGCCATTACCGCTTGTACCATGTCTTTTGCTCACGGTGCCAACGATATTTCTAATGCAACTGGTCCATTGGCTACTGTGTATTTGGTTTGGACAACTAATACTACTGCTAAGAAGGCAGACGTTCCAATTTGGATTCTTGCATACGCCGCAGCTGCTTTGGTTATTGGTGTTTGGACATTTGGTTACAACATTATGAGAACTTTGGGTAACAAATTGATTTTACAATCTCCTTCAAGAGGGTTTTCAATCGAGTTGGGTGCTGCTTTAACTACAGTTATTGCTACTCAATTGGCTATCCCTGTTTCCACCACTCAATCTGCTGTTGGTGCCACAGTCTTTGTCGGGTTATGTAACAAGGACATAAGATCAGTTAATTGGAGAGTTGTTACCTGGTGTTACTTGGGTTGGATTGTTACCTTGCCATGCGCTGGTTTAGTAGCTGGTTTATTGAACGGTATTCTTGTCCACGCCCCAACCAAGGGGATGACTTACGTTTTGTCTAATTAGGCAGACATTAAAACCAGCATTATTATTATACACATGTTGAGATTCATTTCTTTCTCTTTATTACTTTTAATACATCTTTAATTTGAGTTAACACTGTTGTAATTTAGCGTATGCTTTATATGGGTGCAAACCTTCGATTGAGCCACACACGACCCCTCAGAATTGTATATTCCAACGATGTACACACTTTGACATGCAAGGATACACAGGGAGCTTTATATCCACCCCAAATTCTTATCAATTATTACCAATATGAGTTACGAATCCAAATTCGATGCTGCTCTTGATGCAGTGAGACGTCTTGATCCAAAACAAATAAGTAGCAATCTAAATCACATTATTAGTCTTGTCCAAGCTGACGACTCAGTTGACCAAGATTCCAAAGACGATCTCACTCAAGATCTACTCCTGTCCATTGACCAGCCACTCAAGGTAAATACATGTAAGGAATCAGGAAAGGAGTATTTGTGCTGTGATTACAATCGTGATGGAGACAGCTACCGATCCCATTGGTCCAATAAGTATTATCCTAGTGTTGATGAGGATGCTCCATACCCTCCAGAACACTTGAGACAATTGGAAATCAAGGCGAATGATGCCTTTGATATATATCGTGACTTGTATTATGAAGGTGGACTTTCTTCTGTATATTTATGGGAAAGTGAAGAAGACGAAGACGCTTCACAACTGTTGGACGCCGGATTTGTTGGAGTTGTTCTTTTCCAAAAGAAGAATGAAGGTGGTAAATGGGATAGTATTCATGTAGTTGAGGTCATTCCAGAAACCAAAGCACTGGCATTGTATAAGATAACATCAACGGTGATTTTGGATTTATCTGGAGCTCAATCTACCAAACCTGGTCAATTGAGTCTTTCTGGTAGCTTAATCAGGCAATTAGAAGCCAGTTGTTCATTAACAATTGAAGGAGCTACAAATTTGGAAACTGCTCATTTAATCAACTTGGGTCAATTGGTAGAGAAGCAAGAATATAATATTCGGAACTTATTACAAGAAGTTTATTTCGATAAGTTGAAAGATATCTTCTTAAAGGATGTAAGATCTATCGGTGATGTTGGTGATAAGAAATTAGAAGATGCAAAACACTCTCAAGTCATAAAGGGTTTGCAAGCATTATGATTTGATTATATACATATGTGTATCATCCTAACGTCGCATATTAGAATACATGGAGAAATCGACTGTAGTAACTTCATCTTCTAGTTCCCCATTATCTCCAGTAATATCAAGCAAATTGTCTATACTCTTGGTCAGAGTATCCAGTTTGACACTATTTGGTGTTCCTTCTATCAGTTGTAGATCCCTTTTAGGCTTTTTTATATCATCATCATTTTGAAGTCTTGAAAGCACCAGTGCTAACAGATTTTCTTCGTATCCAGAGAGTACATTAGTTTTAACAAATGACCAAATGGAATTTTGTACTGATTCAAATAGTTCTTCAGCACCATCAAAGCCGGAAAGTTTATAGTTTTCAGTATCTATTGCTGAATTATCTGGTATTAGTTTAACTGGAGATTTAGATTGTGTATTAAATGGTTTCAAAGGTGATCTGGTGGTGGTAGTAGTGGCTTTCTTAGATTTCGAACTAGAATAAGTTCGAGATCGGGACCGAAGTGAATTTCCTTGGAAGTTATTCTTATGCTGAATTGGTGATGTTTTATTATCATTGGGCTTCTTTTGAGGTTGGGCTTCCAATTTTAAAGAGTTTTCAAATTCTGAAAGGAGCTTATCATCAAACTGTTGAACCATATTTATGGTATTTGATAGTTTTGCCCATATTAATGATTGCAGTTCCTTACTTTTATTATTATTTGTAGTGGTGGCAGATTTTGGTGAAGTTAAAGTTGAAGTTGTGCCTTTGACTCTATTAAGATCAGGTCTTGTAACTAATGCATTTTGAGCAGTACTAAGTTCACGATATAGTGACCGTTGAATAATCTTTCTTAACTTCATGACATCTTGCTCTTGCTGTTGTAGTTTCAATTGTAGCTTTCTAATATTATCTTTGACGTCCACAATATTCATTTCTGTCAGTGCCAATAACCTTAATTGATCATCTATTTCCATGGACAGTAGTCTTTCAATAGACGGAAGTATTAGATCAACCCCACCACTAGTATCCTCTTTCGATGGTGACCCTGATGTTGATTTGGAAATACCACCACCACCTGATATATTTGTCACGTTCTTTATCGGGGTGCCTTCTGGGGTAATTGAAAGGTTCAAGTTAAGATTGAATCCTTTATATTGCGTGTCTTTTTTGGATACCCGATTTTTGTTTGCACCTGGCGAACTATTGATATCTATCCCTGCGCCGTTATTTTCATCATCATCATATTCTATTAAGGTGTCCATTTTTGAAACAAATACAGTTGCAAAACCTTTGGTTAAATGTTAGGAGGTGGGTTATAGTCTATTACCGATTTGGATCATTTGGTATATTTTGATTTCGTGTTTTTGTGTAGCAAAGTCACGAGACACAGCACGCGATGCTAGTGTACGACACTAAACACTTGCAGTAACATAGGTATTGATGAAGTAAGACTAGTTTATGCTAACTATATGTCTCCTGTATGATATTAAACCAATCACTGATAATTAAATTCTATAGAATAGTGTAATTTTTTTACTTACAAATAACAGAGAGACCATGACATCAACTATCTTATCTAACACAGTAATAAGAAACAACTTAGTAAATAACAACTTAATAAATAACAACTTACTAAATAACAACTTGATAAAGGCAATTTGATAAAGGCAATTTGATAATAAGCAACCGCCTTATAACACAGCATCCCCTCCTAAGTTTATATTAGAAAGTTTATATTAGGCTACTGCTGTACAGTTGCCTACTGTTCACTGCTCTTAATTATCTCCATCTGGTAAGAACACTTCCATTTTCAATTCTTCGGTTTCATATGCAAATTACCCCATACTTTTAAGGAAAACATTAACCTATAATCACAAATTGATTTATAACTCAACCCCGTTGACTTATCCACTATAAATATGCCAATAGTATCGAGAATAGACCCTAACATCAAAAAAGCTCTCAAGGTTCTTGTGTTGCTTTTAGCTTTTAGAATCCAGAAACCATTAAGTTTAACAGCATTCGTTGCCCTTAATCCAATTATTAAAGAGTATTGCGTTCTTCTACAAGATAAATTTAGAGGGTCGTCACATCTGAAAGCCACTGCATACAAAGTAGCTAATACAATCTCATGTATCTTACTATACCATGGAGCTACAGGCAATACTAAGATTCCCAAGGATTATTTAAGCATTTATCTTTGGATGACTTATTTGGGGATATTGAATAAACCTAGTGATAGCTCAATAATTGTTCATCCTGGTTATTCAAAGTATTTTAAGGTTGATACTTATGAAAGCAAATGGATCCATACCCTTTATGATAATAAACAATTGATAATTTATCCGTTGATATTTGGTCAAATTCTTTCCAATTACTTGACTCCAACGAAATATAAATTGAATCAGAGATACCTCTCGAGTTTTATCAAATCTAGAATACTTAACCCTATTTGGATCAACTATAGTTTAGGTAACCTGGGAGTTAGATTTAATTGGATAGGAGTGTTGAAAACCTACGTTAAACATAATTTGGTATTACTTGGTATCATGCTAATTATGACTTTCAAGAACAGATTCCTTGATTTGTATTATGAATTGAAATTAGGAGTCACTAATACTCATGATGCCAAAACTTCCATGACTGATATTATCAGAAACCATTTAATGTATGCTTTCCATAAGGCAAATGGGATTACCAATTTTATTTATATTCCAAACTTATTAGCTATTGGGTTTTTATCATTCACTTCGCCCATATTGAGGAGCAAGATGTTGCGCTCTATTTATTCTAATAATCCCAAACTTATTTTCAAGAGTTATATCAAATCGATTGGATTTATATCTGCATTAATAGCAGTTTTAGTCAATTTTAATGATCCTATACCTGCGTTTGGCTATGACTATAATTCAAAGCTAGATGATGTTAATACCAAAAATATTCGAATGATTTCAAAATCAGCTATTGATGGGGTTAACTTATATTTAATCAGATTAATTATTCTTTCAAAGTGGAGAATTACGAAGGAAAACCATCCAATATTCACAAAGGTTAAATTGAGTCTTTGGGATAAATTAGAATCAATAACTTTCGCCTTGGGATTCCTTAAAGTAATGAATTTGAATGATTACATTAATCAAAACCCTTCATCACTGGACTATTCAAGACTTAAGAAAGAGTCACTTATAAAGATTGCGGATAGAGTTATGTAATACATATATTTATATATAATAATATTAATATCCATTTGCTCCAGGAGCATTTTCTTTATCCTTTAATTTCTCTAATAAACCCTTTAATCTTGATTTATCTCTTTCATCATCTTCGGGAACATCTCCAACTTCAGAAATCAATTCACCAACTCTATCCCATAAAGTGCCTCTTTTCAAAAACCCTGCCTTCTTTTCCAAGAATGCTTCTTGTTCCTTTTGAACTTCAGCTGATGATTCATCTTTCTTGGTATTATAATTCTCATAGAAATCATCAATAGATGTTTGAGCTTTAGCAATAATGTCTTTCTTCTTTAAGGCATTGGCTTTCTCTCTTTCTTCTATTTCTAATTCACGACGTGCCTTCCATTCGGCAATATGTGGAGATTCACCCTCGAGTTGACTGGCACTTGAAGTATAAGCATCTTGTTGTTCTTGAACATTTCCTTCATCATCATCTTCTTCTTCTTGAACAACTTGATGAGTTCCGCCAACTTCTGGGAATTGTTCCTGGAATTCAGTGAAATCTTCATCTTCAGATTCTTTAAGGACTTCCTTGTCTTGTTCGGTTTGAAATTCATCACCTAAAAGTTCCTTCTCCCTAGAAAGGAAGTCCGATCCGCCAACATCTTCGCTGGCTTGAATATCGTCGTCAATCTCTGTTTCCAATGCTGGATATTTGTCACTCATTGTCTATATTAGGGTTGTGTATGCAGCAATCGAGAAGTCTAACTGATCAAGGTTGTTAAGTTTATGTTGATTTTAGAGGCTCGGTACTTCCGTTGTCATGTCGCACATTTAAATCGCGACATTACTAATTTGTGCGACATTCTTCCATCAAGGTTTTGCACCCAGCTAGTGCTAGTATTGACCAAGACCCCCACATAAGGTGATACGGAGACGTACTGTGATAGCTCTTCTCTAAGTTTCATATTACATAATGTATTACCCAATATCTCTTCTTCTATAATATGACATTATTCTATTCTAGCTTAATACTATACAACCGCACGGAAGAATCTTCGGATGCAGCTCCAAGCAATAGCAAGGAATCATCCTCCTTATTGCTGAATGAAACCTTGGTGACCCGACGTGATGGAGTGATGTGATTGGCTAATTCTGTAATGGTTTCTATGCTGCCATCCTTCAATTCCCCACTATAAAGTGTGATTGAGCCTCCTTCGGATCCAACAGCAAATATGACTTTCTTATTGATTAAATTAGGCTTATATGAAGCAACAGTGGTTGCAGCATCATTAGTCTTGAGTTGACCAACTAAATCCAAATCATTATCAGTTACTTTCCATAACTTAATAGTCTTATCACGAGAAACACTAATTAAAAATGACCCAAGTGTATTAGATGGACACCAAGAACAATCCCAAATAATCTTACTATGTGCCTTGTTGGTCAACTTTAATAAATTGAAAGTTCCCGATACTTTGTCTTCAACTTTCCATATACTTATTTCTCTATCACGAGAAACTGCTGCAAGATACTTACCATCTGGTGAAAATTCTAAACTGGTGATCGTCAAGTTGTGTCCTTCTAACAACTGTACGCATTGTCTGTATTCGTTTGCAGCATTGAAAACTCTAATAGCCGCATGTTTGGCAGAATTAGATTTACAAGCAGTTGCTATTAATGCTCCACCAGGACTTACAGCAGCACAAGAGATTTCGTACCCATGTCCATACAATTTTTCCAATTCAGGAAATAAAGTATAACGTTGCAAGTAATCTTCAGTTGGAGGGATTTCTAAATGAGCCAAAACGTCATCTTGGTCTTCATTAGAAGTTCTTTCACTTTGTTCAGTTTCCTCTTCAGCATCTTGTTGACTTTGTGCTGCTTCTCCTGCTTCTAGTTGCTCATTGGCTGCTTTATTTGATAATCCAAGCACGGGCAACGATGCTGATTCTGCCAATCCACCTGAAATATCAACATCACAAAAGCATTTCAATAATTTGGCAACTGAGTGAGTCATTTCAAATATACGTAGAAGCTTTTCATCTCCAGCTGAAACGAATTTAGATGAGCCCAAGTTATCTAAACAAATCATATCATATCCATGGATTTGTGGTCTTGCAAACTCGTGCCAAGTACAAGTACCTTCACGGTTTGTATTCCAAGGAGCAAATAATCTGGTTGTTTGATCTAAAGAAGTTGCCATGAAATAATTTCCATCACCAGACCACACTAAATCCGTTACTTCCTTATTAGGACCAGTCACACCAAGAACTGATTCAAAAGCCATTGCCTCTTCATCGTTTGCCTTATAACATCTGATAGAACCGGTCTTTCCTACGGCTGCAATATATTGAATGGAACCTTCCATGAACCATAAGCAAGACCAAAACCCACCAGATGCACCCGTTGCAGTTGATGCACCTTTGATGGATAATTCCCCTAATCTGTTACGACATACCCAAATTCCAGAGGTTTCATCCATTTCCCAAATCATTAACGCAGTATCAGCACTTGAACTTAAAAGTTGAAGCTTGGTGGTATCTTTACCCTGTTTTCCATTGCTTAAGGCTGGATGCCATTTCAAGCTAGTGACCCAATCATCGTGACCCATAAGCAATGCCTCAAAACTAATAGCAACTTTAATGTCATCACTTATTCTAAACTTGTATTGTTTGTTTGACAAAAGAACAAGTTTGGTTTCATCTTCATCTGAATTATCAATTTGTTCATTTAATTTAATTCTCCACAAACGAATGTACCTATCTTCAGAACCGCTTGCTAAAACATAATTCTTGCTATGTTCTTCACAAACAAATGATAAACAGTTGATCCAATTTTCATGTCCTGCCAATGTTGCTGCCAATGTTATTGAAGGAGTTTCATTTGAATATTCTTTGTGCATAAAGGAAAAAATATAAACGTTGGTTTTGGTACCAGACACAGCAAGAATAAAAGCATCTTCTTCCACTTTCTGAAGAGCCAAAGAAGTTGGGAAAAATCCTTGCGCAACTGTGAAAGATTGAAGCAAAGTATATTCCGAACTGGTGGCCTTTTTGCAAAATACTTTAACAGAACCATCATTTGCACCCACAAATATCATATCTTTCCATAAGGCCAAACAGTTAAGAACAAGCCCTCCCTCTAAGAAAATGGTTTGAATTGATTCATACTTCCTATTCTTGATTTCCCAAACAATGACTTGAGAATCTTCGCCAATAGATACTAAAGTATCACTTCCAGGAACAAATTGAAGACCAGTTACATCAGCTTTATGTCCCTTTAAAGTATCATACGCTCCATGGTGAGTTGGATCCAATGGTTTCCAAAGTGCTACATTATTTGAAGCACCATATGCAATAGTCAGATTGCAGTAGTTGAAATCAAAGCATCCAGTGCGCTTATTAGCACCAATAAATACTGCTTCCTGTTCAGCCAGTACAGCCATAATGAGTACACAGTTTATGCTTGGAAACTCTATGCTAGACTCTTAGATTGAAAAGGTTACTGAGTCTCATCTCATCAACTTTGACAAAACTGTAAGAAATATGCAGGACCAACAGAGAAGGAATGAACTACTTCAATGTATCAACTAATACGAAGTAAAAGATTGATTGAAAGAAACCAAAATCCACCAAATTATAATTAAGCAATGTTAAGACAAAAGTAAGCACTCCTATTTTTAAATGCTCTCGTTACCAATTACTTGGTTTATTTAGTTGACTTAAATGCAATAAATCACGTGACAAGACATGTGAGTTGGGGGTTATATGAAAATGCAACTAATGGTGGAGAATAGAAACAGTTGTTACTATTAGGGAATAATTACCACCGATTTTCAAAATGGTTTCAGCGTATGTGTAACTGGATTTGTTTATCAGGTTGATAACAATAATACTAACTAAACATTCAGAGTGATATTAGTGCAAAATGCAACCCCCGAGACTATTTTACTGTTTCATGATCAATTATCGAATGAACTTCCAAATATCAAAGGCAAATGGGGATTCAATTTCAAAATCTTTAGAAACAATCATTTTTCAGTACCACCCGAGTTAGCTGATACGCATTCAAGTTCTCCAGAAACTACGTTTCTCCACACGCTTTCACCATCCTACATGGCTCATACGACCATTACACTTATCAATCGTAAAACCAGTGGGGTTTTCTGTACTTCAGTTAAGGAAGAAAATGGTTCTGATGATGCGCTATATGCCATTCCCGATAAGCATTTGAATCTTGGAGCTACTACAGGCTTAAATGATCCCTTTGATTCGTTTGTGCATCAAAAACTCCAAGCAGCTTGGTCTCAAAAACAAATTATTCGAGGTGATGGTGGTCAAATTTATGAACTACAAAATGGTAACTTAATATTCAGAACTTCAAACGTGTTTTTACATGGGATTTTCAAAGGTTTACTTATTCAGATAGAGATATTGGATACCGGGATTCCTCCGGCAAAATTATCAGATATTAATGAAATCCAAGCCCTTTTCAAAACAATCATTCAAAAATATAGAATCCCAGAAGGAACAACATGTTACGATGTTTTAAACGCCAAACATTTGGATACTTGTGGAGATCTTGCACTTCAATATTCTTACATACTTAACTTTTGAACGGTCCTGCATGTGGTGTTCATCTCGCTACTCAATTCCAGAGAAATTTTAGTAGAGGAGCAAACCCATTGCGATGCTCATCGTGGTAAAGCTTGAGACTAAGCACACTACATTTCTCCTTGCTGAAAGGCTCTTGTGTATGTGATCTATAATGGTGAAAAAGGTTAGAAAAGGAAGTCAAAGAAGGCTGAATAAAAAGGAGCATAAGCTTCAAAAGAAGGAACTGGATGAAAAGGAATTGAATAGTTTGATTGAAAGAATCGATGAATATGATCCAAAGGTACATGAAAGTTCACTTTCTCAATTCACTGAATTGCCCATATCTAAGGAGACTCTTGAAGGCTTACAAGAGTCCAGCTTTGTTTCATTGACGGAAATCCAAAAGAAATCCATCCCTATGGCTTTAAAAGGTGATGATATCATGGCTACTGCCAAGACAGGATCGGGGAAAACTTTAGCCTTTCTTATTCCAACCATTGAAGCATTGATTAGAAACAAAATCACAGAATATGATGGGTTAGCTGCATTAATTATTTCTCCAACCAGAGAATTAGCAGTACAGATTTTTGAAGTATTAAAACAAATAGGGAAACACAATTCATTTTCAGCTGGGCTTGTTACTGGTGGTAAAGATGTTCAATTTGAAAAGGATAGAATCAGTAGAATGAATATCTTGGTTGGAACTCCAGGTAGAATTTCACAGCATTTAAATGAAGCCTATGGTATGGAAACTTCAAATTTACAAGTACTAGTTCTTGATGAAGCTGACAGATGTTTGGATATGGGTTTCAAAAAGCAAATTGATAGCATTATAGGACATTTACCAACAACAAGACAAACATTGTTGTTTTCTGCTACTCAATCAGAAAGTGTTAAAGATCTTGCAAGATTGTCTTTAACAAACCCTAAAAGAATTGGTATCTCCACTGATGAAGAGCTTTCCGCTACACCTGATACATTGGACCAATACTATATTCAGATTCCGTTGGAACAAAAATTGGATGTCTTGTGGTCATTTATCAAATCACATTTGAAGTGTAAAATATTGGTATTCTTTTCATCGTCAAAACAAGTTCAATATGCTTATGAGACATTCCGTAAGTTACAACCAGGTATTTCATTGATGAAACTTTATGGTAGAAATAAGCAAACAACAAGACTTGAAACCACTTATAAGTTTTCAAACGCACAACATGTGTGTCTTTTTGCTACGGATATTGTTGCTCGTGGTTTAGATTTTCCAAAGATTGATTGGGTTATCCAAGTAGATTGTCCGGAAGATGCTGCTACCTATGTACATCGAGTTGGACGTGCTGCTCGTTTTGGTAGAAAGGGGAAGTCATTACTTATGTTAATGCCAACGGAAGAAGAAGGATTTTTGAAAAGATTGAATAATAACAAAATTGATGTGAAATTAATGAATATTAAACTGAAGAGCAAAAGAACCATTCGTCCACAATTACAATCCATATGTTTTAAAGATCCTATCATGAAGAATTTGGGTCAAAGAGCCTTTATTGCATATTTCAGATCTGTTTATATTCAAAAGGATAAGGATGTGTTTAAAGTTGAAGAACTTCCTGTTGAAGCATACGCTGAATCCCTTGGATTACCTGGTGCACCTAAAATCAAGATTAAAGGAGGCTCTGACAATAAGGAGAAGAAGAATGCAAGTCGAAGATTGAAAGCTTTATCCAAAACCAATGAAGAAGGTGAAGGTGAAGGTGAAGGTGAAGAAGGCGAAGGAACAAAGACTGATTCTAAAAAAGTCAGAACCAAATATGATCGTATGTTTGAAAGACAAAATCAGACTGTTCTTTCGGAGAATTTCTTAAACCTTACTGGAAACAACAAGGTAGCAGGCGAAGATAGTGAAGATGAAGATGGTGGGTTTATGAGTGTTAAAAGACAAGATCATGATATTAATGAAGAAGAACTTCCAGATTTAACAGCCCCGGCATCAAAGAGACAAATGAAGAAGGCACTTTCTAAAAAGGCTTCCTTGGCTTCTAAGGGTAACCCCACCAAACTTAAATTTGATGAGGATGGTGTTGCTCATGCAATTTATGAACTTGAAGATCTAGATGACTTTGCTAAAGATGGTGATGCCGTGGAACAAAAGAAGGCATATGTTGAGAAAGAAGCTGTACAAATGTCCAAGGCTGATATTGAAGATAAAGATCTTGCACGGGAAAAGAGACAAGAGAAGAAGAGGAAGAGAAAGGAGATTGAAAGAAGAGCCAGAGAAGAAGAACTTGGAGAAGGAGGTTCTGGTGATGAAGAAGTTAGATACATTTTGGGCAATGATGTTGATTTGGACCGGGATATGGAATTTCATAATGACGACGAAGAAGACCAAGAAGATCAACCTTCCACCAAAAAACCTAAATGGTTTGAGAATGATAAGCATATTTCTAAGAAACAAGTTAATGAGATTGAAGAGATTGAAGAGCCTCAAACATTGGAAGACTTGGAAAGCTTAACTGCCAGACTTTTGGGTAAGTAATAATTATATAACGTAATATAGATCTATGAAAAATTGGGGGTTAAGATAACTTTATCAGTTATGGAACCCAAACGAAGCGTTTTCCCAATAACTTTAACTCCATTTTCATCCAACATTTCCACATCTGCCTCACTAGAGGAAGGATCAGGACCAAGTTCTATCATGCATAATTCTTGAAGGAATTGAGATTGAGTACCTTTAGAGACGTTAAACATTATACCATCCCCCATAGTAACGGAAATCTTACCCGACTTATGAATATTTAATTGACCAATTTGCCCAGATAACGTTGAAACATCAGTAGCCAATTTGCCCTTTTGTTTAGACTTCTTCTTGGGCTTTTGATCTTCATGTTGCTGCTGCTTTTCTTCCACATCAGATGGCTTTTCTTCTTGTTTAACAATGACATGTTCATCGTGTGGTGGTTGTGGCTTGGGTTGAGGAGGTTCAAACTGGGGAAGTAGCTTTGGCATTTGTAATAAGATGTAGTCTTCTGAATGTTGGGGGGACTGATGTTCTTCTTCTTCTGTTGATAAGGTTTTAAGCTGCTTTGTAACCAATTTTAAGATCAGATTATGGTCAGAAAGTAATTTACTTGTTTCATCTGAGGGGTCTCTGGATAATGGTATCACGGGTTCAAGAGTACTATATTGGGTACCCAAGAAATTGAATGTATTAATGTCATCTTCTTGCTTGACCTTGATTTCGCCAGATTCTGGTGGTACTGGCGGTGCTGAGGGTTCTCTGGAATATGGGTCCACAGTACTTTCTCTTGAAAGCAGAATAGTTGGAGTGGATTCCTTTCTGGTTGGTCTAACAGGGAAGAGAACGGTTTCTTCATCAGCAAAACGATATTCTCTGTTCATATTTATTCTAGTAACGTCATTTTCGTTTTCATCATCGTCATCAGCTTCTTCACCTTGTGACTCCGGACTATAAGAACGCTGCAGCTGCGAGGGATCTTTAAGTTTCAAATTACTCAAGAACTCTGGTGTTGGTGATACACTTGGACCCGATTCTCGGTGGACTTTGAACCCCATGGAATTAGTAGACACTCCAAGTGAAACTGTACCTTGAGCTAAGGGTCCCGCAGTAACTAAGCTGGTTCCAGCATAGTTAGCACGCCCACCACCACCTCTACCTCTACCTCTTGTAGAGCCTCTACCTCTATTGGAAGAGTTTCTAGAAGTTTCTTGTTTTACCACAGGCGCATCCTTATCTCTTTCTTCCTTGGTCTTTCTAGCCACAACCTTTGGCTTGAACTTTAACGATGGCTTTGAAGGTGTAGATGATGCCTTCTTCCCATTCAATGAATCTAATCTCTGTGACATACTTACAGTCAGACGGCCACTAAATAGACTGCAGCTGATATTATAGTTAACACTGTTGGTGAATACCAATAGCACACTGCCAGTCTCTACTATCCGATGCAATTGTATATGGATCACGTTGTGGGTGGTGGTGAAATTTTCAGAGCGCACCCAAATTTCCGCGATGAGGTTAAGTGATGCTTAAGATCAAAGTACCTTCATCTTCAGTGGAATCTTTGATAGGATAAAATGGCTAAGGGAAGTAGAAGACGTCAGGAGGACGAAGACGTTGGGCTCAACGAAGTGGATGCTTTTTCTGCTAACCGTGAGAAAGTATTGTTGGAAGCAGCAGGTGAATATGGAAGAGTTCGCAGCGATGAGGACGAAGATTCGGAAGAAGAAGTCATGGACATAGGTGATGATGATGGTGAAGAAGAGGAAGATGATGATAACGAAGTCAGCGGTGTTGATGAACATGTTGAAGAAGAAGAGGAAGAAGGGTGGGGAGGAAAGAAGAATTATTATGGTGGTGAAGAAGATTCGGATATCGAAGATCAACGATTAATGACAGAAGAAGCCATAAAACAGCAAAAGAAGCATTTAAAAGACCTTGCAATGGATGATTATGTTGACGAAGACATGTTGGAAGGTTGGAAGAAAACAACTCAAGATTTTGAGTCCTCTGGAGGGTCTGGGGTTGCTCAACTTGTAACCACTGCTGAGGGAGGTCGTTCACTTAATTCACTTGATGATAACGATAGACTCACAATATTGAATACTTCATTCCCAGAATTCATACCACTCTTGAAAGAACTCACACAATTACAAGCTGTGTTGAAACAATTAGATGGAAAAGAACAAACTGAATTTGTGGTAGTGAAAAGGGTTGCCTTGTCTGCTTATTTAGGGGCCATTGCATCTTATTTTGCGCTTTTCTCTGAACAATTGAAGACGGACGAATCATTTGTGACAATGAAAGACAATGCTGTCATGGAAACAATATTGAGTGCTCGTGAAGTATGGAGGCAAGCTGGTGAGTTACCAGATGAGGCCACAACCAAGGTATCTGAGGACGATAAATTTGAAGATGCTGTTGATTCCAATGATGTGGATGCTACATCAGAGAGCGACATAATGGATGCAGAAGTGAACGATGCAACTTCTAGCGAAGAAGAAGTCGAAGACGAGGACGAGGACGAGGACGAGGACGAGGACGAGAATGAAGATTTTGATATTGATGTTTCTGCCAAACGTACCATTAAGACAAACGGTAGAAAAGGTGCTACTAATGATTTTGTTGAAGACGCAGTAGATGAGGTTGATTTGGAAGAGAAGAAGCGTAGAAAGAAGTCATTGCGGTTCTATACCTCAAAGATTGATCAAGCAGCAGCCAAGACCGATCGTTATGAAAGATTCACTGGTGATTTGGACTTGCCATATCAAGAACGACTCTTTGAGAGACAACAACGACTTATTGAAGAAGCTAGAAAGAGAGGGTTGGGTCAAGATAAAGATCAATTTGGTGATAATTTAAGCGATAATGAGCATGGATCTGAAGACGAAGCCACGGCCAATAGGGTTAACGAATCTATGACTGATGATTACTATAACACCATAAAGCATCAGAAACAAGCAAAGAAAGAAGGACGAAAGCAAGCCCATTCCGAAGCTGTTAAAGCCGCACGTGAGGGTAAATTGGCAGAATTACTGGAGAATATGGGTGAAGATGGCAAACGTGCGATCAATTTCCAAATTCTTAAGAACAAGGGTCTTACCCCTAAGAGGAAGAAGGAGAATAGAAACTCAAGAGTTAAAAAGAGAAACAAGTATGAAAAGGCAAAGAAGAAGCTTAGATCTGTCAGACAAGTGTATTCGGAGCCCAAGGGTCCTTATGGAGGAGAAAAGACCGGTATCAAGAAGGGATTATCAAGATCAGTCAAATTGGTTTAGAGAGAAACATAGTTATATATATATATATATGTATACATGTGTACACATTTATATACACTAGTATACATTTGTATACATTTACATACATTTATACACTCTTGTACGCATTGTTCGTAACGGAAGCAGTACCTTTATGTTTAGTGAAATTTTAAGTGCGAATCGATTCTCACTATTCATCTAGAAATAGTTAGCAGAACCCACACATTCAATAGTGACCATAGTTGTGACTGCTAGTTAAGTGTTAGGCCACCGTCACGATGTCCCTGGGGGGTTCTGAAACAGCTAAGAAACCCTATGTTTCGATTGATGATCTATATCGCAAATCCACCCAATTCCAAATGTGGTCCTTCACCAAATCAGCTTTAGAAGAGACTAAAAAGAAGGCTAATGAAAATGGGACCAAGGTAGCAAAACAACGACTTTTAAATGAATATAATAATTTGAAGGAATCAAACCGAACTTTATTTGAACAGTATCCTCAAGAACTAAACATAGATACGATTTTTGATCCGTTAACATTTGAAGAAGAACAAAAGTACTTACATTTCTATTGTGAAAAGATTATCACCACTGCAGATTTCTTCAATATGGCTACTCAAGTTAAAGCAACAGCCATGTCCTTCTTTAAGAAGTTTTATCTTGTTAATTCAGTCATGGAATATCATCCTAAGAATATTTTGTATACTTGTTTATTCCTTGCTGCCAAACTGGAGTACTACTTTATATCCATTGAATCATATTGTAAGATCCTTCCCAAAACTGAACCTAAAGATATATTGGATCTTGAGTTTATAGTGTTGCTGAGTTTGAAGTTTACTTTACTTGTTTATCATCCATTCCGACCACTATACGGGTTCTTTCTTGATTTCCAAGCAGTGTTGTTACATCCTTCACCATTGATGTACGATGTTAATGTTGACAAATTAGGTCATTTGTATAACCAAGCAAAGGAGTGGCTCAATAAATATGCTATCATTAGTTATGTGGGGTTTATGTTTACTCCTCCTCAAATAGCTTTGGCTGCTATGTATGATATCGATAAGAGAATCACCAATAAGTACTTACAACGGAAATATCTTCGAGAACAATTGGATGCTATAAAGGAAGAACAAGATGAAAAAAAGGGCCAAGATGAGCAAAAACACCAAGATGAGCAAAAGCATCAAGATGAGCAAAAGGATGAAGAAGTTACCGATGATAATCAATCATTAGAATCTCAACAAAGAACTCAATATGAAACAATTGTTAGAACTATTGTCAAATGTATTCGAATAGCCAAAGCAGAGACTCAGACTTCTTTACAAGAAAGTAAAGATATAGACAGAAAATGTTTCTTCACTTTGAACCCTGCAAAGATGATGAATAAAAAGATCAAAAAGTTAAGTTCAGGAACAGAATAGATATTACACCAATTAGACTGACAGTATTATATTAATGTACACTAACTAACGTGAAAAGGCAATATCATCAATACGTAATATAGACTTAACACATTCAGAAGCTAAGGAAATGGCACTAGTACAAACCAAAGTGGGTTGCAAGATATTCTCATCAAATGTATTCGAAGTTCCTGATCTTCTAACAGAAATACCAGCATTCTTTTCTCCAGCTTCATGTCGACGTCTCAATTCAGTAACAACATTAACCGGATTCAACCCAGCATTTTCAGCTAAAGTTGTTGGGATCACTTCTAAAGCTTGGGCAAATTCTTGATAAACAAATTGTTCAACTCCAGATAATTGATTTGATTCTCTTGCAAGTACACGAGATACTTCAACTTCTGGGGCTCCACCTCCAGAAATCAAAGCCTTTTCTTTAACTAAACATCTGATAACACATAAGGCATCATGAATAGATCTTTCGGCTTCGTCCAAAACCAATTGATTGGCTCCACGAACAACAATTGAAACGGTAGGTTTAACATTCTTATTAGTTTTGGAGATTCCAGAAATCTTAACAATTCTAGAACCTGAACTTTCAATTTCTTCAACCAAATCAGCTGAACCTAATCTATCTTCTGTGAAAGAATCTATATCTGCAATTGGCTTACAACCTGTAGCCTTTGATAAGAATTCAATTTCATCTCTTTCAATATCTTTAATAACCATTATATTCAATTTACTGAGGAAATGTAATGCCAAATCATTAACAGCATCTCTTAAAATGGATTTTTGAATCAATAATACATTACACTTTGCCTTTTTGATCTTTTTACAAATATTCAACAAATATGCTCTTTCTTCCTTCAAAATCTTATCCATCTGTCTATAATCATTAACAACCACGTTATTTTCCATATCAGGTTTAGGAGGAGAGATTTGAAATTGAACAAGAGCAATTTTGGCCTTATCAACTCTGATTGGACCACCAGCTGATTTAACAACATTTTGAGTCAATACAACTCCATCCACCATTTCAGTATCTTCAATTGTACCACCGACTTTTTTGATGATTCTAATATCATTCAAATCAGCATTATCTTTGGATTCATTGACAACTTTCAAAACAGCATCAGCAGATAAAGGAGCTAAAATATTGGAAAATTGTGAAACAATCTTTGAACTTAAAGATGTCAGAGCTGCTTTGATTAAAATCTTTCTATCATCCAAACTAATCTTATAAGACATATCTAAAAGAACTTGACAAGCTCTAGCGGCTGCTCTTTGAAAAGACTCAGCAATTAACGTTGGATGGATTCCCATATTTAATAGTTTTTCACTGGCACCTAATAATGCACCGGTTATAATGGCAACAGATGTAGTACCATCTCCAGCTTCAGCATCTTGAGCAGCCGACACATCAACTAACATTCTTGCGGCAGGATGAAGCACAGCCATGTGCTTAAGAATAGTAGCACCATCATTTGAAATAATGATTTCTCCTGTTTTGGTCTTAATCATCTTATCCATACCTTTTGGTCCTAAGGAAGTACGAATAGCATCACTGACGGCACGTGCAGCAATGATATTGGACTTACGAACCTCCTGTGGCTTCTCCTTGTCCCTGAACGTGGCATTCGATGGTAACGACATCCTCAATGGTGTTATAAGGTCCTTTTGATGATGATACCTAGTAACAAGTTTGATCTTTATTATGAGAATTTTTCCAACACGATTAGCTGGTCACGTGCTACGATCCAGAAGGTTCGCATCGCGAAAAACATAAAGTATAGCAGTACTAGTAAGATCACTAAAGTATACTCAGCAGAATTACGTACAGCTATACGTTCTTTTACAATAGCGTGAATTGCTATACTGTAAACTACTAGCTGTTAACTACTAGCTGTTAAACTACTATACTGCTGAGCTCCATTCTCAGTTATTGGGTTCGCTACTTAACCACTAACTAAATGACTGCTGATTTCAATCCTGATATCAAAGTCTCACGACAACATGCTATCAACTGTTCATACTCCTCTTGGTCTCGTCACTTCCCAAAAGAAAATCTTATTGAAGCAAAGGTTCTTAGCCCAATTCCTTCTGAATTTCTTGGTTATTTGACTGCAGATGGTATCCGACTAGAAGATAACCCTTATGAATATATTATTAATAATAGTGACAATGATTATAGTGATTGGGAAGATGAACAACAGAATAATGATAGCAATAATAATCAAATTTCTCAAATACATTCATTTCAAGAGTTTCATGAATCAGTGAAATCTACTATACTGGCTCTTGATAACAGTGTTGTACCCAAGTTAAATTGGTCAGCCCCTAAAGATGCTAAATGGATGCTTATTAATAACTCACTTGAATGCAGAGATACTAATGATATTTATCTTTTGCTTAAATCAAGCGATCACATTGTTGATGATATTGATAATGCATTTGATGGGATATCTGAAGAAACAGATTCATTCCCCTTTGAATTGGTATTAAAGAAATTTGTTGATGTTAATCCAGCATTAGAATTCAGAGTTTTCATTAAAGATTCAAATATAGTGGGGATTTCCAGCAGAGATATGAATCATTATCCTTATCTTGCCCTGGAATTACCAACTGTTCGTTCTACTATTGAATTGTTCTTCAATCAATATGGCAGATCTTTTTCTGAATCAAGTTATATATTGGATCTTTATATCCCCAAGCCTTACACTAAGGTTACTATAATTGATGTCAACCCATTTTCACCAAAAGCCGAAAGTTATCTTTATACTTGGGACGAACTTTTAAGTCCTTTGCCACAAGACGAATTTGAATTCCGCATTGTCCCTGAGAATAACACTGGATCTTTTGCTACAAAGGAATTTAGTGAAAGCCAAGTTCCATTTGATGTGGTTGATGCAGCTGTTGATACTAGCAGCATGGTACAATTAATGCGTGAATGGCGTGCATTACAAGAAAAGGATGAATCTTAAAATGGTTATTATATAGATTGAGACATAGGATTGATATGCTTTAAAAAGAAGGTAGGTAAACTAAATCAAGTAAATACAAGCCATTAATTTTAGTCTAATTTACAAAATTGATGTAGTCATTCCATTTTAGGAAGAATCGCCTAGGTTTCCCAATCAGGAACATTTTGTCCATCTTTTTCCTTCTCCTTTACGTGCCTCTACATCAGTAACCCCCACGCTTTTCGTTTGCCTATAAAGTCTTTAATGTTGAACAGTTGAAAGGAGATTGCAATTAGTTTGAATTCCATTCATAATTACTAGTAAAATGGTGACCACTCATTACGCAACTGAAAGAAATGTATGTATTAGTTTATACCTTATTAGAATGATTCTTTCTCTTACTAACCAAAAAGCTTGCTAGATCTTCTTAAATGATTATAGAGGAAGACTCTTGGAATCGATTACTTATAATCCTAATAATAACTCTGTATCATGGGTCGATATCATCTTAGGAGAAGTTCATAGAACCTTCTTGGATGATTTAAATCACCATGATGTGTTGAAAGTTCCAGGAAAGAACGAAAGAGCAGGTGTATATTACTTAACAGATAATGATGATGAGATTTTCATTGCAGCAAGATACGGAATCTTAAAAGCCAATTGGAAAACAGGAGAAATTGGTGATTATTTAGTCAAATATTCTGATCATGGTGCTGAAAAAGATCGTATCAGATCGAATGATGGTCATGTTGATCCTTTTGGCAATGCTTGGATTGGTACTATGACAGATTTTGAACATGGTAAAATCGTCCCCGAAGGTTCCGTATACAGAATTAAGCAAACAAATGATTTGAAATATGAAGTGAAGGAAATGATCCCTAATGTTCTTATCCCCAATGGAATCGCCTGGCAAGATAATAACAAAAGTCTAGTTTGGGTAGATTCATTAAACTTCAAGTTATGGAAATTTGATTATGTTGATGGGAATTTGACTAGCAAACGTGAGTTCTTTGATACATCGAAATACTTTACGGATAACTTAAGTCCTGAACCAGATGGAAATTGTTATACTAAAGATGGGCACATTTATCAATGTGTTTTCCTGACAAATAAGGTCTTGCATTTATCCCCTACTGGAGAAGTTTTGGAGGAGTTTGTATTTCCAGCTTCTAACTTAACCTCTTGTTACATTGGGGGCCCAAATATGGACCAGTTGTTTGTGACTAGTGCTCATCATAAACTAACAGATATGGACTATAAGATTGATAGCTTGGATGTAACTGGAGATTTGGGTGGGTTCTTGTTCAAATTTGATTTAGGTCATTCAGTTAATCTTCAACCCAAATATCATTTGCAATGGAAATAATAAAATAACACTGTCTATATAAGCAGTAATAATCTGTTTATAAATTCTTCAACAATTTCATTGGCTTCTATACCATTTGGGTGACGTAAATTAGTGAGTTTTAAAAGGGCAACTTCTTTAGTTTCCTCCAGATTAGTAGAATTGGTGAATTGTGGCTCCTTTAGAATTTTCATAATAGTCACCAAATGGATTTGTAATGCATCTGATCTCAACATCGATCGTATTATTGGATCTTTGAAAGCTGTCACCCATTTAAGATCTATGGAAGACTCGGAGTTCTGTAGTGAAACAGTGTCCGTTGGTTTACTATTCTTCACTTCTGGTTCATCATTAGATTCGCTCTCTTCGTGTTTATGATTCTCACTTTTGAAACACAGTAGACTACAATATGGAATCAAACATTTCGGACATTTATATTTATCTTTGCTAACTTTGCATATCCCACAAACCATAGTCTTTAGTAAGTTCAATCATATTTTGGCAATGAAGAAGGTTTGAAGATTGGGCTCATCGTATAATATAAATATAAAAGGTCGTGTCAGACACAGTTTTTACAAGTCAGGTAATATAAAACTTTTTGAAATTCAAACTATAATTAAATTTGTAACCTATGCAAATAATAATAAGCTACTTATGGCTCCAGTGCCATATGAATAATGCAGATATAACCTATAAAATTTAAAAAACCGACAATGTTAAAAACCCAAAACATAAAGAAAATGCAGTTGTGTGGAAAAGAGATTCAATACAGTTTTCAAACGTGTGCTTGTTGCAACCTTCTCCTTTTCAATGGTGGCTGCGAAATGTGTGAAAACGTAGAAATCAGAACTGGTCCCCTAAAGGCCGTGCTACTAGTAGTGTGTATGGTATAGTGAGGACTGTTGAGCATCTGTGGCGAAGAACAAATACTTGATAAGGGAGATGAAAAGGATACCGAGTGATGATGAGAAGGATAGAAATTGTTACCACTATTGTTGATATTGTTGAAATTGTTATACTGTCTTGGATAATTATGAACAGGGTAAGAATAAAGTGATCCTTGTAAATGTGGCACGCAGAACGTGGTCTGAGGCAACATCGTCACCGAGCCTGTGACTGTTGAGGAAGGAGTAGCAAATGATGAACCAGGGGTGAAAAGATTTGTCACTTGATGAGGAAATGAAACTGGGGCCTTCATCATAGGCTGGTACAACAGAGGACTTATAGTCAGTGGTTGAGCGACTTCTGGAGTTGTAATCTCTTCTTTTGGAGATAATAAGGATCTCACAAATTCTCTAAACTGGTCATCAGAACCAAAAGTATGGTAAAATTCCTCGTCAATCTTGTTGAATGGTAAGCTAAAGTTCGTGACATTCAAGAAATGTGCTTCCAATTGATTCAATATTGATAAATCCATATCCAATAAGTTTGACCATGTTTTCAAAGTATAACTTTGATCATCGAACGACTTGTTAGACAATACTAATGCAGTTAACATGATTTGATATGTCATGGAAGGGTCGCATTGATTAAGTGTGTTTCTCAGATATCTGTACAAAAAGTACAAAGCAATAGCCATATTAGTATGGGTTAATTGTGACTGACAAATAATCTGATAATACAGTTGCAACTGGGACATATATGCAGAAGGGGAAGGATGTTTCAATAAACTATACGAGTAACGCATAAATGAGTCAGTATAACCAGTTATAGGTGATGATGCTGGAATAGATGCAACTTGTTTTGCAGTAATAGCTTGTGAGGAATCATTAGAATTAAAGGAAGTAGTAAACTGATCATAGGCTGAGGTTACAGGTACTGCGGTAGCGCACGTACCTGTAAATAGATCAACGAATGGAGAATTAGATATCATTGATTCAGTGATAGCTCATCGCAAAGACAGCTATTATTTGATCTTATATAATAAAATGAAGGGTTCAAAGGATAATAAGCAAGTATATTTAGAAGCTTTTCTTGGAGGATATTAGAGGACATTTATAATTGGCATCCAAAAAGACGGTAAAAAAAATACTCAATAATATACTTTATTCAATCTGTGATGCAATGTAGCTTAAAGGAGGCCATTGGGTTACATTTCTGGCTGAGAGTGATTCGGTCATAAACTGAGATGAATAAGGTCCTTCCGCTAACTAGAAATGTACAGGTGGTGTATGGTGTTGCGAACCAATGCACTCCTTTCCTGTCTGCTGCGTAATAGGTACCACCGAAATTGCATGGGTTCCTATTGTTCTATGAGCTGTTCAAGCTTCCTCCCGTGACAAAGCGGACGTAAGCCATGACACAAACTTCATAGGGCAATTTCTTCGCCTATGGCCCGCATAGCATACTGGAATAATATCAATCCTCTCTCTATACACAAAGGGAAAAAAAACGAGAACCAGAACTGAAACAAGCTCGCAGGCAGGCAAGAAAGCAGTCTGGCAGACAACAGTTGAGTCTGGCAGAAAGGAAAAGTTAATGGCGAAAATACACAATAGGTTCAGGATCAGTAGCAATACTAACTCCTACATTGTTTAAGGTGTTGCATTCCTAAAAACTGACTTTTCTAGTAGTGAATTTGATTTGAGTATTCCCATCGCAGAAATGGATTACGAAAATTAAAAGAGAAGGAGCATGGTGTGTCGATTATAGTACAGCTGAGTTGCGACGGCTAACGATCAAAATTAAAAAGCATTAAGAGATCTTGAGTATAAATGCATTTTAGGGTTATATGAGGAGGTAAGAATCTTACTTGAATACTAAGAATTGATTCATTGGAATATGCTTAAAACTAAGTTTGTGCTACAGCTATTATGTAATAGAGTGACAAGCTTCCTAGAAACTTTGGCTAGAACGGTAATACATACTCGGCAGAGGAAAAGATGAAATGTGATGCTTATGATCATTAATAGATAATAACAACAATAATAACATAAAAGAAACAATATCCAAATGGCTCCAAAAACAAAAACAATTAATAATATCCAACAGCCTCCTTTCCTCCTAGAAGGAAAATATCCTTAAAAAAGAAAGAAAAAGCAGTGTATACGATGGTCACAAATTCAAATTGGACCACCAGGCGTGCACAAGCCGACAAATTTCTGGCTCATATCCCTTCTCTGTGGCAACGTCTAAGAGCTTAACCGTAGGGTCATAAGTCCGGTGTTAGAGTGGGCTTGTTTTGGCGGGTACAAAGCTTTGCACGTAATAAAGTTGTTTCTTTTGCTTGCATAACCAGTGCAGGAGTGTCATCAAGAGTGATCTATTTACGTATGCTTTCATTCATCTTTAACTCCCTTTGTGTTGCAAAGCTAAAATTCCTTACTTGGATTCTCCCACCATGAAGGAACAGCTATCCGGCTGTTGAAAGGATACCTACAATAGATCATTATTGCTATTGCAGCTAGAGGAGACGACAATTATCACTGTTTACAATAAAAATAAAATCTACACAGTTTGCAGATGATTAGGCAGGCCTTATTATGTTAACATGAAATACAATCTGGTAAATCAGCCATGGAACTACACTTCTAATAAAAAATAAAACCCACAATATCTATTGGTTCCCTCCTATTGCAATATGTGGGAAGATATCCAATTTCGCCTCTGGCGGTAATTAATTATTGTCCCTGAACTCTTACGTCAACACTAACTTCGTTTTAAGTGACCAAAGTAACAAGTGATAAAAAAATCTATTTTTGTGGTTTGCGTTGCTACAATGAATTTAGGTTTTGCAAACGCTACTACCATCGGCCAAAAGGCTTACATAAGTCTTCTGGTTTATGTTCTGGAGGCTTACCATTATTAAGACGGAAACCGTAAAGGTCAGAAGTTTCTCCAATATAATTAGGAAGCTTGAATTTGATTGCTTTGGCTTTTTGTGGTGTATTTCGTGTCGTCAAAGTCTTTTTATCCGCTGTCACTTTAGTCATGCCCGAGTGTAGCTACTATTTGATTTGTGCAAAAAATCATCTGCAAAGTCAAGAACAAAGCAGCAAACATCACTATGGAAATTCCTTTTCCTAAATGGCTTAATTCTGTGTGCGCGACTCAACGTCTCCAACCTGCAATAGCTTTTCAAAAGTGAAAACCCTAAAGTCGTCGTCTAGACATGGCTTTCAAAAACAACTACGACATTCCTAAAATTGAATAGAGGCGTGTAACAATAACTTTGTTGTTCCAAAGAATTCTACTTAACTCCATCCGTACTAACACCAAAATGTGCTTCACACTTTCCCTCATTAACCCAAATGTTTGGAAAGTAGTGTACTACTACGGAATAGTTAGAATGAAGTTGTTTAATGCGCTTGTTAATGGCCTTTTGCTTTCAAGATTTACAGCTTTCAACACTACTACGTAGAGTCATCAAGGGAGCAACTTGCCAAATAGGTAGCTGTTTGATCACATTGTAAGGAAGTTTGAAAAGCAACAGAGATGATTGAGCTGAACCATCTTCTCTCTGCGGTTAAGCTGAGAATGTATCCTAGAGAATAGTACGCACATAACACAGATCTGTAGGAATTTAACCCACTTTCACTTGGTTTGATATTTCTCTCTGTGTTAAACAATACTTGCAAGAATTGATTTATCACAAAGCCCATTAGTCTGTTTAAAGGTTGCTTTGAAACAAGAGGATTTCGGAAGGAGTTGTTGATCCGCTTTCCAAAATTTTCTGGTTAGGAGTTGTACAAAAACGAAGTCACCTAATAATTGGTCGAATCAGATAACCTAAATTTATCTGCCACTACCAAATAACAGTTTTAAGTTACGAGTTGACAATAAAAGTTCATTAGGGTCAGGAGATCACTTTTTTTTGAAATTACAAATGAAACAAAAGTTAATCTTTCGTAGTGTCGATGGAGGTGTCATTTCCAAGAGAATATTTACTTTGTTTATATCTGATACAAATAATGGATGTGGGTTTACCTCCAAGCCCACATAACTCTTGCTCCTACCAATAATAAGTCGTGTTTTCCTACCATTACTATTACGTCAGCAACAATCTCTGATTGTACTTCTGTGTAAATTATATCTGCCCGGGAATTTAGACCTTCTGAGTAAAATAAACTGCCTTGAAAGGCAATTGGTTGGAGAAAGCAGGCGAGAATCCGAATTATAGTGTGCAAAGCTTATTAATAAGAAGGTGGAGTAGCAGTACTTTGAGTTATTTCGTATTCCAACCATAATTCACACAGTTTACATTTGCTGCAAAGTTAGAAGCTTTGTCATTGGTGTATCATCACGCCCTTATACAAGATTTGTACACTTTGAATTGGCTGTTAAGGCTTAAAAGTTACAAGTGATCATCTCCTTTTTGTTGCCCGAAATGGAATTGTGTAACGGCTGAGAAAGTTTCAATATATAATTAAAGCACTTAATATTTTCGCTTATTGTTCTTCTTCCTCACACTTCAGGAATGATTCATATAAGCAGGAATTTTAAGGATCCACCGAGTATGTTAAGTTAACAAATTATAACAAGATTAGCGATCGACTGAATGTGGTACCAATTTCATACATCATCAATCATTTTCTTTAATTACTAAGGAATGTAATACCCTGAGGTGGTTATTTCATTGGAAGATATTATGGTACCACATTTTGCACATGAATAAGTATGCTTACATAATAAGTATTATTATTAATGTTGACATCAGTGCTTGTTCATGACAAGGCATCTTGTTATTACAATAGAATTATCGTCGTTGCAAAATGATTGCTCCTTCAAGTTTCCAGTGGATCATTGCATAATGCACACAAGTTGACCTTTGGAAAGTATATTTTTCTTCACAAAAAAGTCAAACTATGCCAATCCCAATGATTTACATTCTTGGAATAGCTTTACTTATGAAAGTCACATTAGTAGTAATTATTATCTCGTAACAATTTCATTTTGGAGAATTATTTTGGGGTATCATCAAAAAGTTCTATTGTACTTTTGTTTCTTTTGTTTTCCATACAAAAGCTTTTCTGCCCCACAATACAAATTTTACTGTGCAAGGCACCTTTGATTTAAGGTCCATACAGAAATAACTTTAACGTAAGATTCACGGAAATCTCATATGATCACGTGACTTTCCATGTGAATTATCAAGTGACTAGATCTAAGTTGACCTCAAATTTTTCTCTAAAGGCTAAGTGCTACTTTTTTCTTTCCTAATGTGAAAGCTGCTCTGCACATAATTGTTGCACTTTTCCCAATTGAGGTCTTGTGGCTACCTAAGACGGGTATTGTTGTTGTTCCTGATTTAGATACAAGATGGTTTAAATGTCAGACGACATCTCAAAAAGTCGCAACCTATTGCCTGTTCCTGCGAGGTACAGTAACAAAAATCTATAATAGGTTATCTATTTGCCTAATTGTTCCGTCAAAGTTTATCAGCTCGATTTAGAGTTTACTTAGTGTCTTTTTACATGATACGATTTAAAGAAACGTTGTAGTAAGTGATTTACTTCATGTAGTAAGCAGCACTACTAATGTGAACCAGAGGCGAAGAGTTTACTCTTAAACAATCAAATAAATTGGCGCTTTAATGGGTACATGATCTCATTTATTAATGCTTAAATAAGAGTTAAATTATCCACTACAATGAAGGTCATGCAAGTCAACGACTTTTAACCGATTGTATCGGATCTCGGAGGTATCTAAAACAGTATACTTATCACAACATATATATATATATATATATATATCATAGGCTTGGTTTCCCTCTTGTCAATCTGGGGTACATCATATTAAAATCAAATTACCTTTGGGTGCAAATAAAATACTATTGGAATAAGTTTAAATTTATATAAAACAACTCAAAAGTTAACATATTCATATATTACCATTAACATACCACTATCCTATTCTCGTCCCGATGCCTACTCGTTATGCTTTAATACAAAGACCTTCATGGATCGTTCCATTTGTCCTGGTTATCGTTTGGTGGGGGATGCTTATCGCATTCCTCATCATTTGGTTCATTAACGGTAAGCCACTATATGGAATTAAACAAAAGCATATGAATCCAAATTATATCAGTTATATTGGAGCCCAGAACGATACCCAACCAGTTTTCATTGCTTGTTCAATAATACAGGGCATTTTCTATGTTGCAACTTTGGCATTAATTTTTCGTTTTAGAGTTCATGGAACTTATTTACCAGAATATTCAAGCAAAAGAGCACGGAATTATGCCATAGCTTCAATTGTATCAGGATTTATCAGTCAATTAGGCATAATCCTTGTATCAATATTTGATGTGATAGATCATGGCCAAATACATTTACTTCTGGTTGGAGTATTTGTCATATTTGCATTCTTTTCAGTATTATTTAATTCCTTCACGTATAAGGTGAACTTTAAAAGAAGAGTATTTTGGTCGAAAATTGTATGGATGATATTTGGCTTGGGTTTTGCATTTGTGTTTGGTATTGAATATACAAATGACAAGTCTATTTCTGCTACATTTGAATGGATGTTGGCCTTCTGGTATGGTGTCATCCTTCTTCTTTGGCAATACGAATTGTTACAGGCTAGCAGACGGAAGGAATTAAATCTAGATACAAATAATGATTTGGAAAAGCATTCAATTGATACTGACTCGACTGGTGAAAAATCAGACCCAACTTTAAAGACATCTCTTAAATATCAACTCCATCAACAACAACTAAAACGTCTCAGACTTTATGATGATTACTATCGTCCTCAAATAATGACTCCCAAACCCATTTTTAAGAGATGAGAACTATCATTAATATTATACCCTACTGCTTATTTTGATGACGTTGTATTATAAATCTATATATATTGTTCTGTATGAATTAAATCCTGGTGGTTTTTTTCAACTATTTGAATGTAATTTTAATGGCCATTTTCTCCTTCTTGAGCCAATTGTGCTGCCTTGTCTTTGGCACCCTCAAAGTTCTCTTTGACTCTAAGGTAGTGTTGCAATTCCTCTGCGGAAACTGATGGGATCAATGCATCCTTAGCCTTCACAAAATCTTCTTGTTTAACAACGACGCTAATGTCGTCAGGAGTGGAAACATTATCAAACCACCATCTAATGGAAACAGGTTCAGTTTTACCATTATTATATTGATTAAATTTAGTGTCAACTTCCCCAGCAATTCTGGTCATGGCATTTAGCATTGAATCACTGCATAAGGCATAAAAATCGGCTCCAGTAAACGTAAATGAACATGTTCTGGCGATTTCCATCAAATCAACATCGTCATCAAGTTTAAACTTACGTGTTAAAGCTTCCAAAATCTTAAATTGCTTCTCATCAGTATCACTAATTCCCAAATATAGCATCTTATCAAATCTACCTGGTCTTAATAAAGCTTCGTCTAATAAATCGGGTCTATTGGTTGCTCCAACAACAAACACACCATCTCCTCCACCATTACTTCCCCCTGACATACCATCTAATTCGGCTAACAATTGTGAAACAATACGATCCATTACCCCACCACTATCACCTTGATTCCCTCTTTTTGGTGCAACAGAATCTAATTCATCAAAAAAAATAACACAAGGTTTTGCATCTCTTGCTTTCTGAAATACCCGACGTACATTAGCTTCTGATTCTCCAATATACATGTTTAACAATTCAGGACCCTTCACACTAAAGAAATTCAATGAAAAATTAGTGGCTATAGCTTTTGCTAATAATGTCTTACCAGTCCCTGGAGGTCCATAAAATAGAATCCCACTTCTTTTCTTCAATCCACTACTAAATAATTCAGGATGTTTAAGGGGCATATCAATAGTATCTAAAATTTCACCTTTAACCATATCCAATCCCCCTATATCTTCCCATTTAACATTAGGTATACGGGGCGCACCAATAGAATCACTAAATTGATTTCTAGCTTCATTGATAGCTAATGCAAAATCTTCAGGTGTATAAATCACATACCCACCATTACCAATAGCTACTTGCTTGCTGAAATTACCAAGTTTGGAAAGTCTCTTGATAGCGAACTTCTTAACAGATTTCATTATACTTTGTAAATCTCTTGGTGTTAAACCAGCAGACTGTAAAGCTAAATGGGAAAAGTCAACGTCACTTCTAAGTTTCAATAAAGGATCTGTTGCCTGTTGTATTTCTCTTTCGATAAGATATTTGAATATAGATAATCTTTCAGCTTCAGAAGGGACCCCTATATCGATTTGAAACTTCATCATCAGTTTAAAATTGTTGTTCAATTTATCCAAGTCATTACAACTGAAGACGAACACTATATTGGTATACTTGGTAAAGTATTCTTGTAGCATTTGAACAAACTTCAACAGTTGAGATTCATGAATTGAAAAGTTTTGTTCATTTGCATTGGAAGAAACACAGAGCTTTTCAATATGCTTAAAGTACACAACATGTAATGCCTTCTTACTGTTTTCAATTCCAAGTGTTGGTTGTTGAGATAAAATCTTATCCAATTTCCCACTAATGGTACCTATGGTTTTCAATTCCTTCCCAGGATTGAGCAATTCAACACAATCCAAAGTTATTAAATTCAATCCTAGTTCCAAGCAAACACTTTGAACTAATGTTGATTTCCCAATACCTCTACTCATTGAGTTCAATAATACCGTACTCTTCAAAGGATGCAGGGTTTCCAAATTCGTCTTTAATACCCTTTCAAGATCAATCTTGTATTTGAAGACTGTTTCTGTGGTATCAAACTTGGGATATTTGAAGAACCCCGGTAATTTTAAATAGTCAGCCCACCCAGATGGATCATTAGGAGGTAAACGAATAAACTCATTACCACTCACAACAAGCTTGGTTTTAATAGGATCAATGATATATTGTTGATTATCACCTTCTGAAACTCCGTTAACATTTGTAATCTTAAACCAAGCTACTGCATCTGGTTCTCCTTCAGGCATAATATCAACTTTATTTTCAGGTTCTGTTGCATTATGGATATCTTCAGCGTCTTCCTGGTCGAACACGGTTTTTGCCATTATGGTATCTATTGTGACCGCTATTGCGTCCTCTAATCTAACACACTTATATGACACCTTCAATTGGTTCTTAAGACTGGCTAAAACCGCTGAAAGGTATGTTCTATCCATAGAAATGTTGGATACAATACGGCTTATGGTTATTGAATCTGCAATAGGAATCAATTTTGAAAGTGGCTTCTTACGATCTTCATTGGGAATGGGGGAAATGGAAACTTTTGTAGATGAACCCAAGTTAACCATCAATAAAGGTGAAACGTAGATTTTCCCCTTGGAATATTCATTTGGTTCTGAAAAGACAAATAACTTAACGAATAAACTCTTTTCATCTCCGTTGGTCAACTTAACTGTCTCACCATTGAAAATTGGCAAATTCAAAGAGAATAAGTCTTGTGAACTGATGAATACAAATAATTCCTCATCTTCTCCAGTCCAGGGTAAACTTTCAATCCCAATTCTGGAATTTAACGGCTTGATGTCAAAAGTCTTTGTGGTTTCTGATGTTATAACAGATTGTTCAGAATCATCAAATATTAATTCATCTAAATATTTTGATAAATCCACGGAGTCAGCAACTTTATCAAAATCTTCATCAAGATCAAGATCATCAACCAATTGATTTTTGCTGACCTCATCCTCTTTGATCAAAACGAAATTGGTATTTTCGTTAACCTTCCCCTGATCTAAAGGTTCACACAATTTAACTGTACCATTGATATCTCTAATATGGTCTCCATTATTGACTACACGATTCTTTCCTGCTAGAAAAGTGTTAAGAAATTTAGTACGAATAGAATCAACAGATGACCCATTCAAGATCTCATAGATTGAACCAGGCACCGAAATATAACAGGAAGTTAAAACTGGAATATCTCCAGTTTCAACTGGAAGATATAATGCTTGGTTTAATGTGATATATTCAAATCTTGAAAAATTAGAATCATTTATTATACGGATAGTTTTTTGATCATCAAGTTGATGGTGAACACCATTGACAGTGAATAACTTGAATTGATCAAAGACCGCTGACCCCAAAAGCTTTATTGCACAATAATGATCCTTAAGAGGAACAAATGAAGTATTCGAAACGGAGGTACTAACGTCTCCATTGATTTCAGTTCCATATATATATTGATATAACAGTGGCGATACAGTTATACCATCATATAGGGTATTATTCTGGTCATTGATGATATCAATGTTGCAAACTATGGGGCCATGATTCAAGGAGCTATGGTCCCTAGTGTTACCTTCTTTTTTAGCAACTGAGGGCATCTTTCATTTACCCTACCAGTAGAGTCAAAGTTGAAGATAAGAAAGAAGGAAGTGACAAGTTGTCAAAGGTTTATATTCACTTTTCGGTCGATCTTCCGAGGTAATGAACAGGAAATTGTGGGGGGTGGAAATATATGCAGAGTTGCCTAATATGGTAAGTGAATGTCCGCTAGCCATTATAAAGTGAAAGAATAAGTCGACTTTACATTTGTAGTACACAATGTAGTATAGTAAGACACACTGTAATATATTTTAGTATATAATGTAATTTCTACCACTCTTTATTCATTTACAACTTGCTTTGAGATGATGTAATCGAATCGTAGACAGCAGTCTCAAACTCAATATATGCATTAATGGCAGTAACATCAAAGAATGGAAGCACTTGAGTAGCAAATACTCCGGCAATACCTGATTTTGGATCTATCCAATAGAATAAATTAGCTAATCCTGACCACATGAATGAACCCTCTTTACGACCAGTGGGAAGTGGTACATCAAGCTTATAAAATGATGCAGTCCAACCTTGTTTACCCTTTGGAAGCTCATTAAGAAAAGTCATCAGAAGAGCTTCATGGGGTTGTAACAGTCCCAGATCTGAATCTAATGATATATCTGGGGGCACCAAGTTTGCAAAGGAATATTTGTGTAAAGCTTCCTTTGAGATTATTTGCTTCCCATCTGCTGAACACCCATCATTAAGAAAGACCTGAAGAAACTTTAAAAAGTCACCAATTGTGCCACGGAGTCCTGAACCCCCTTGATACAGATTGGAATCAGGATTTTTAAATTCTGGCCCTTTTTTGAAACCACCATCCACTCTACGATGCACCTTTGCTTTGTTCTGAAGTTTTTCTGGAGTTCTGATAAAGGATGTATGGTTCATTCCTAAGGGTTTGAAAATATGATCTTGGAAGTATTCTTCTAATGTTTGGTTAGATACTCTTTCAATGACTTTCCCTGCAACATCGGTACTTGAACCATAAAGAAATTGAGTACCTGGTTCATGAACGTATGCTGTAGGAATTTCTCCACCTAATGGTCTCTTTATTTTGTTCTTACGAATGTATCTAAACATTTGCAATTCCTTTGTATCAAAGAAAGCATAAGCCAAGCCAGCGGTATGTGTTAACAAATTTCTAATTGTTGGTTTATTAATGGGTTTCGTAAGAATAGGTTTTCCATCATCATCAAAGTCCTTAATCATTTGGAAATCTTTCATCTCGGAAACATATGTCTCCACAAGATCATCAATGCCTACAACTCCAGAATCCAAAAGTTGTACCATAGCTGTTGTAGTTATTGCTTTACTCAACGAATAGAGATCAAATATTGTCTCGGTAGTAGTTTTATTGTCTCTATTGGCGGTATCATTGACACCTTCGGCGTGCAAGTATTCAATGCCTTTCTGACTGACTACTCCACCTACGATCATTGGTATTTGGTCATCTTTTGTCCATTTCTGAAGCACTGGTGTAACTTTGTTTTCAAATGACATCTTCAACTATGAATGATGATATTCAATTGAAAAGATCACAACATAGTTATAAATCTCATCCTCAATTAAACCAGATTACCATGAAGATAAACTATACGAAGTAAAAAATAATGTGGGGAAGCCCCGATGTACAGGAAATGGCATTTTTGTTAGTGGTGCGACATGTGGGAAATGTCTACCACGCAAGTTGACCGAGAAAAGCGATTAGCACCGAGGCTGAAAGAATTTTGCTGTAGCCTTGTTCACTTGGTGCTGTTATTTGCAGTGTTATGATGGTGAATGCCCCTAAGTAATACAATAAGTAGACTTTCCTCAGTACTTAACATTTTGTCCCAAGATTGATGTGGCAGATTTAGTTTTATATTGTTGGACCTTCTATTTCTCCATAATGTCTGTAAAATGTAACAAAACTTGGACTCATTAATGGTTAAAGCCAGATTTCGAATACAGCTAACATAAGTAATCTACAATATGATCAGCATACAGTAAGAAAGAAACATAGACAATGTTATAACTGTAGATGCTTCAAACGGTCTTCAGTAGGTTAATGTCAATAAGAGTCTATCTAAATCATCTGTAACTATAACAAACTACAAAGTAGTGTTGTACTTCATTTTCGGTTACCCGGACTTGGTGCGAATCCATCAGAGGGCACGAAAATTTTTATAACAATTTAAATCAAGTTCTTTTTTATCAATTCATTCTACATTACAGTATGATGGTGCAAAAGGTTTAATTTGTTTAGCAGTATGTTATTTTGGATCAATTCTTCTGATATTCATAAGATGATGATAATTCTTCTTTTCATGCCTTTATTGAGCATTTATTTTGGAATGTGTGGGTCGTCGTTTTGATGACTTTGTTCTATGCTATGATTGGCATTTTTGTCATAGTTACACTGATTTATGAATATCAGAATTTATTTAGCATAAATGTTTGGTATACTAACAATTTAATAAGGAAGGAAAGGAAAGTTGTGATTTCAAGTAGTTTGTGAATGTAGTTAGTAGCTGTTTGAGACTAAGATTGCGTGTGAAGTACCCCATGCTTATACTAGTTCTTCAAAATAGATCCATAGCTCTGTAATAATTTTAATCAGAAATTATTAGCAGTGCTGGACTCTTAAAAATTGTACACCTTAAACTCAGCTAACCTTCAAGATGTAGCTTGACCGCACGCACACAATGTTAAAGCTTTACCTCATCTCATGAACTTTTAGCAAGACTACCACCTATAATATTTTTTGTTTATTAATTACAAATGCCCGTAAATATCTTAATAATATACACTTTTAACTATCCATTAAAAAGACATTATACATTTATTCATCGTCAACAACGACAGTTTGCAAACCCTTGGTGGTTGGGACGTTGACAGCTTCGACGTAAGCGAACAACTTTTCCTTAGCATCTTCTTCGTCGTTTCTCTTTCTAGAGATTCTGACTCTCAATCTGTGTGGGACACCTTGAACACCTCTCTTCCACAACTCAACGTTCAACTTAGGGTCCAATCTGACATCAGAGGTTCTGAAGTGCAAAGTAGCGAACTTCTTGATTTCCTTGACAGCCTTTGGGGCTCTCTTGTGGAAGTGGACACCGTGCAACTAAAAGTAAATGTTAGTAAACTGCTTCCTTATTTGAAATATCAATGTACCAAATTTGTGTGTGTTTCTAAGGGAACTCATTTTTTAACTGGTAAACTGTAAAATTTCTAATGGAACGTCAAAATCTTCAACCATCGTGTCCGATGCATTAGGTTGAATGTGGAGGATACATTAAAGGATTGGTCCAGTTCAATATTATAGGAGTCAACTGCTGATAATCAGTTTCTACAAGTCCACATTAAATAGGATACTGATATCTTGGATAGGAATTTTTCAGTTTCATTCACATAGGATATTTCACATTTCACAAACTTCTGGTCAGACGAAACTATTCAACATACTCTCTTGTGCAAGTTAATGGTGTATTCACGAGTAACAACGTCTTGGACAGCCATCTTTTACTATGTTATTATTGATCACTAAGTGTAAGCTCTAGATGAAAGTGTAACTGATATCTTTAAAGTTGTACTGAGGTGTGGGTGAAAATTTTGCTCCAGTGAGACGAATTGTGAGAGTTGATGAAGTGAAAATTACACAAAAAAAGAACCCTCAAGTTTAATATTACCCGCCTTTTCCAAGGCCCTTTGCGACACTAAATTCCTTAATAAGAAATTATGTGCGACTTCAATATAAAAGAATTTCAGTCATGTGACCTTCTATTCTATGTCACATCTCAGTCATTGGGATTGAGTGATCATTTCACGTGATTATTTAGGTCTTAGTCCTAACACTAGCTTAGATATAATACATAGTGTAGAATAATACCTCTAATAATCATGCGAATATCAAATCAAATACTGGCAGTGTTTCATGGTATAGTTGAATTTATCACTGGATATGTGAATAGAATTCTTATAAGCCGTTATAAAATTTATTTTTAATTTACTAATGCTTCTTCATAGCACATAAGACTAAAAAAATCACTGAACTATAATATGGGAAAATCAGTAAATAGACGATCTGCAGTCAGATTTGGCTACAGCATTAGATATGGTGATTTGTAATATGAGTTTTTCTATCAGAATACATGATATCTTGTTTATGATATATGAGAACTTTATGTAGCAGTTTCTCGTTTTACTTAAAATGGGTGCAAAATTAATAGAAATTAGTAAGTTTATGTGAAGGTACAACGTTGATAAATTAATACGACATCATACAATTGTCTAGTTCTACAAAAAATAATAATCATTATTTGTTGAACTGATATCCTTCATATGATATTTGTCTATACATATCAATATATTAATATTATTTATGTCTTCTTCACCACACTATCCTCTTTTTCAAAGCAGAATACTCTACTACAGTCTTCCCTCCAATGACGGAAAATCAATTGGTAGCAAAGGTCAATTTCAGAAAGAGGTTCTGAAGCGTGTAGAATAAAATCGTTATTTTCAATTTTGGCTCCATAAGTATTTGAAAGTTCCCAAAGTCCCAAGAGTGATATAATATCTTTCTGATCAACTGATTCAATTGTAGCAAGAGATTCTGTTTTGAACAAATATTTAACAGAAGAAACCGTCTCTGGCAATAGAAAAGTATTGAGAACGTCTTCAGTTTTAGAAGGAGAAATTCCCAAAATCTTTTCCACTAGAAATTCAAGTGCAGTGACATTTGAAAGGAACAACTTATCTATTTCATTAATTGATGCATTTTGAGATAATTGGAAAATCAAACTTCCAGTGAAATTCAATAGAGTCCAATTTCCATTTGTTGTTATTAAGATGGACATAACATAATAACTTAAATTCTGAAGCTTCAATTTATCTGGATTTTTAAGTCGTATCTGATACCCTAGTTTGTATACTTCGTTAACTAAGTTCATGTCAACAGTGCTCTTCAAACGTATCATTAATATCAATAAACCGTATTGTATTATACCATCGTTATTCTTTGGGAGTGGGTATACTTCTTGTCGTTCCATGGGCGCTCCAATTGATATACTATTTTCTCTCATGTACAATGCATTAATCAAGTTGACTCCCTCGATCTTTGCACTTTTAAGGTCATAGGTCACAACATGTAGTAGTAATCTGATTTCCCATATTGCAAGTAACTCATTCAATTTGCAATGCTCTGGTTTAGTTAATAAGGCATATGTCAAGTCTATCAGGGTTGTTAGATCCAGTTGCTTCAATAAATCCACCAATTGTGATAGACTACCTTCAGTTACAGTGGTCGAGGGCTTCACAAATAACGTTGGGTTCGTGATGTAAACAGACATGAAGTATACAGTTGAGACTGAGTCAAAATGATAAACTCAATGAGAATCGTTATCATTTTATGTTATCGCATTTTGACCCCACGATTTAGTTCAAATCGTGTACAACATAAATCAAAAATTAATTAGAGAGATACTGCTCCTACACGTATCACGACAATGTCAATCGAAACACACACTAGTCTTATTAGACAAGCCAAACAAGATCAACAACGGAACTTAGCCAAATCGGCACAGCTTTCTGGAGAGTTGGCGCATACGTTAAGATCCATTATCAAGATCAATTCCGATGATCTGAGTTCACTATTAGATAAGATTTCAACCATTCATGAGATTGACAGAGAAATTGATTTACAACTATCGGAAAACGTAATCACCAATTTCGAAGTGTTGATGTCATATAAAGAGCAACTACACAAGACGTTAGCTAAAATCTATAGGAGGTTACAATGGCAAGATTCCGTGACTAATGATATCAGTGGTTTACAGAGACAATGTGAGCTTTTGGATCAAGATATAAGGATTTTAGAACGGACAGTTCACTTACGGAAAAATAAGTGAATTGCCACCATAAACCATCAGTTTACTCAAGTAGACCGAACATTGCTAATTCATTGATGGGACAACATATTTCCGAGTACTTTACACCATTTTTCATCTTCTTAATCTGAGAAATGCCCGACAAAAATAGCCATTAGACCAAGATCCGGAAATACGCGTTTCATTCTACATCAATCGATCGACACCACTACGGCAACTACCATCTTAAAAACATTATTCATTATCTAATAGGATGCATTTGCTTACATTGATATACATACCATATCTACGGTAACCCATTAGCAGCACGCTCATATTTTTCTTCCACAATCCAACCAGCATTAACAATGGCCAACAAATCAGGAAGATTAATGGATTTACCCTTCCGCAAGGGACTATTCTTTCTTACCAAATGATTATATATTTTTGCATACGAATCTTTTGCAACGGGACCTAAGGTATTTTCACTTAAATGGGATTTGATTTCTTGTTCTTTTTTGGTTGGAGTTAACCATTTATTCCTCCTATACTCCCATATGAGTTCTCCTACGTCTATATCCGATGCATCTTTACCTAATCTTTTGATTAGCTCATCTCGTAATAGATTGAAATCAACATCATAAATATCCAACAATGGACCTCCATTATCTGAGACTTCAACCAAGGTTCGTATTCCATCATCTCTTTCTGAATCTTGCCCGGATATAGGCGTTATTCGTTGATACTGCTTAAGAATATCTTCTATGATCGATTCAAGTTCAGCAGATTTACTATTTAAAGTGGTCGTACCCCTACCTGATGATGATCCGGATGAAAGCTTATACATAGGAGGTTTTGCCGTTTTGTTTCCTAATTCCACCGTTGTTGTTTCTGGTGTAAAGGTATCTTTTGTTGTATAACTAGTGGAACAGGAATCACTAAAAAGTTCTTCCAATAATTCGTCGGATGCGAATACCTCGTCAGATATGGCTCTGATCTTAGAGAAAAGTGCTGATACTCGACGGAAAAAACCAACCGAACTAGTTCCACTAGTCTCACTATTGGTATTCGTATTGACTGAGGGAGTTACAGGAGTCTTTAAACCTGTTGAAACCGCCGTTTGATGTTGACGCTGACGATCTTGCGGATGTGAACGGACCCGAAATTTCCCAAATCCGCTAGTAGAACTATTGTTAGTGTTGGAAATACTACTACCGCTATTGCTGCGACTATTAAGTGAAAATAAGGACTTTTTGTGTTTGAGTTTGCTTATTTGTGATGGTGCTGGAGGGGTGGCTGTCTCTGAAGCTGATGACGGTCCAACTGTAGAAGGGATCTGAGATATGGTTGCACGTTCTTCCGGCATACCACCGGATGCTATAATATATCTATGCTTTCACTATGGTGTTTACCTAGCAAAGGCCAGAGATTAAGGGTTATTAAAAGAAGAGCTTGCGGTAAACCTGTAGACTATATGGTCTCGTGGTAAGTTACTGTTGTTAGTCTCTTTGACACTCTCACAACTCTTTACAGTTACCATGGCGTTGTGCGGAGCCCTCGGATATCAATTCGTGGGGTCAGGAAAAACAAACAAAAAACTGAACCGGCAAGTCACCGGAAGAGCCCTCGCAATTAACAGGCAACAGGACGCAACGAATCATGGTGTTGTTCGTTAAATAATACTCATACTCCATACATTATACTTCATTTCACGGGTGCAAATAGTTGAGTGAAGCACTATGATTTGTATGCTGTTCCACTGCTTCCTGTTTCATCACGTGACGCTAATAAAAAAAGACGTAAATATTATAATACATTAATATAAAGTAGTTCGATTTTGTTCAACTGGTTGATCCATACTTCTTTTTTATTTCACTAAACCGTTGGGTATCAAATTTCCATGAATTGTGTTGATATTGTTCACGTAAAATCTCCAAATCATTGTGAAGTTCCAGTTCTGAGATCTTGAAAAGACTTTTATCACGCATATAACTTCCAAAACTTTCCCATTTTATATTACAGATTGCGATAGAAAGCCCATCATGTCGGGAATGGCCAACCCAGGATCTTGAATTGATACCATTCGCAAAGAATCCATGATATTGAGGTAGTGTAGGAAGTAATAGCACTTCTACAGATAAATCTCCGTAAATTCCATCGTTTTCATCGTTTTCATCATTATCTTTTGAACTTGGGTTGATTAGTTGTGGTCTTACGAAATCCGTATGAACATTCCAGTTGCTATTCCAATCAGATAAATCAATTGAATTGGTAAATAAACCCTTATGAACAAGGATACTAAGTATATCTGAATCATCAGTATAAACTCCACTAGCTCCACCCCATAATTCTCTTTTAAAATCATCATGATTATGATCCATAAGTTCTTTGAATATCTTGATATACCTATAAGGGATTTTCATTTCAATTGTAGTATTGATATATTCAAAAGGTAAAGGAGGAATCACAGGGATATACTTTATAGGGCGTTTATCATGACGTACTTGGTCACTGAAGTTAATTTTTATATCAAGAAATCTCTCTTGATGTTCTGGTTTCAAACCCACAAGGGCTTCAGTTTGAAGAGTCAACCAAGTAGTGGTTGGGTTGTAAACAACAGATCCAATATTACGTCGATGAGGAAAAAATTCTTCTATCACATTTATAATTTCTTTCTTGTCTATATTTATATTATCATTGAGATCGTTATGTTTATGAGTAATTGAATTGTTCTCAATTTCAACCAATTCTTTAGCATGCTCTGCCATTTGAGCAAGTTGATGTTGAGGAAATTGATTTTGATGAGAAAGCATGTTACTGTTCCCTTGAGTCGTTGGTGATGGAACATGATGTGAAGCAACCTGGTGAGTTGGACTTACCACACCAATTGACTTCTGTTCACTAATTGGTAGTGGTTGGTGTTCATTCAAATGTTGAGTTGGAAGTATAAGTTGTGGCGATGATTGGGATTGGCCTAATAAAGTGGGATCTTTAGTGATTTCACCATCAAGTTTAGGATTTTCCATTTGTAAGTCTCCCTTATTTCTATCTTCATTCAAGAAGTGAGAGATTCCAAATCCAATGCCTCTTGTAGGTGCACCAGATGAATCTGTTCCATTTGTCGATGTTCCGTCAGACGATTGCACTAATGTAGGTAGTCTAACTCCCTCGACAACAGGATTGGGCTCATTAATTGGACCAGTCATCGTGGAATCTGATAGTGTTGAATGTCTGTTGTTTATAATGGTCGATCGTGGACTGATGAATGATAAATACATCCGCACTCCGCACAAATAATCGGGCACACACACGACTTCAACAAACTACCATCAAACCAAAGTTTTAATCAATAGTACTATGCTAAGGTCCGTTCTTCATACCATTCGTAAATTATGATATCACATGATCCCACTATCTATGGGCTATGAGAATTACAACTATAGTGTACCACGTTATTGTTCTTATCAATAGCGAAAACACTATAGCCTAACCGTTTGTGGCATATTGGACATAGTTGCATACTACTTTCCAAGTAATAACCTTGATCTCGAGCACTAAGTAGCTCATCTTGTAACTTAACCACACCAACTTTGTATAATTGACATTCCATTCTTGAATCTTGAAGTTTGGAGAAATTTTCCCGTAATCCTTGACTCAAATAAGCAGATAGCCTTTTCATTGGGAATGCTTCAGGTAAACTGGCTAATACTTTAGTTAATGACATTTTGGGACCTTGTGATTCTAAAAGTTTTTGAACATGATGGGCATTTTGAAATGGTTGTTCTAATAAATCCTCCAAAAGCTTATGTAATAGTGATCTTCCTAAATCTTCATTATGATGATTGATATACATTTCAACACAATAATCAATGGCAGCATCTAAATCATCCAATTGATTATAAAGAACATCAATGGACTTTTCATGTTCACCTAATTTTTTATGAACGAACACTGTCAACCGCAAAAGTCTATCATCGTCAGAAGAAATATGACGAAGAATTGTCCATGGTTCATAGGAATCGGTGGTTTCCAAAAACCTATACACCTTATCATAATAGTAATCGCTATCTGGTCCATTTCCTATTTGTTTGAGGTAGAAGAGACATAACTTGGTATGGAATTTGGTAGAATCTTTCCTATCCAAAGTTATATCACTTTCAAATAATAACCATTCCAAATATCGGATGGCTAAAGGTTCGCTTTTAATCACTTCAACAAAAAAATCAACAACACGATATTGATCATATCCTTCACATTCAAATGAATCATTCATATATATGAATTGTCCATATTTCAATTGGTCATCTTTGAATTCTGTTAATATCCAAAAAGAAAATTGGAAAATCAATTCTAAATCATCATTGGATAATTTCTGTAAATATTGAATTGTTAAATCTGGCCCTTGCAAATACTCTTCAAAATCATTATGAATATCTTCATCATGACTCAATTTGAATAGCATTTCCAACGCATCTTTATGTAGTCCTCTTCCATAATAAAAATCCAATAATTCTTTAATGAAAATCGATACTGTACCATCATGATCATGGAGATTGCTTAAAAGATTTTGATTGACAACCTTAGCATTACACTTATTATTTGGTAATCTTAACAATGGACCTAATAACATTGGTCGAGTATGGAAATAGCATAAAAATAATGAAGTATCAATGATTTGAGAAACATTATCCAACATATCTTCATTTTTTTGACCTTCATCCGGATAGATATCTTTTGGTGTAATTTCTACACCCTTCCAAGGGAAGTGAGGGTTTTCTTTATCATTCAAAAAATTAGTTAACACTCTTCTTTGCTCTGTAAGATAAACAATTAAATTGTTAACTGCCTTTGTAAATTTAGTCATACTTGTTGAATCGATTCCAAAATTAGATTTTACAGATCTAGAAGATCTTATGGTTTGGGTATCATTTTCAGGTATAGTTTCGATAACCATCTTATTATTATTATTTCTTCCTGCTTTAAGATCTTCCGCTTTGAGTTTCTTAATTGAAGAATACGATGACACATGATTCATTGGAGGAGCAGATTGCTTTTCACCTTTAATTTGAGCTTCTCCATTAATAAAATTAGGAAATAAACAGAGAATATCATGATAAGAAATTAACCATTCAATACTAATGCTAACCAAAGATTCATGGAATTTCCCATAAGATCCGAACAATAACATTGCCTTTGCCTTATATAAATCTCTTAAAATTAATTGCTTTGCCTTTTTGGGATTCTTTTCTATTTCTTCTTCTTGTTGATTATTACTATCAAAATAATGATCATCCTCTGATAACTTAGACACTAAAGTTATAGCTCTTTCTAAACCTAAGACTCTTAAATCACTCATAGGATCTTTAATATTTTTGGTTCTTGTTGTATCTCTTCCACTGATACTTAAGTATTGATCGATTTGCCGTTGAATAGGGTGTTGCTTATACAAGTAAACATCATTTCCATGAACTCGATAAATACATCGATGCTCCTGATTTTCAGTAATAAGATTAGTCCCTGTAGTTTCTAGTCGTTGAACGGGACTTCCACTTGTGTAGTCAATTATTTCAATCTTCTTTTGGAAAACAACCAATAAATACGAAGGATAAATATAACAAGCATAAAGAGGAACTTGAGTAAATCTTATTGGGGATACTTCTAAAACTTGTGATTTCATATCGTATGAGATACATCTGGAATCCTTCAAGATTAGTACCTGGGTTGAATCTTTACCTAGACTTACAATCTTGGTGGAAGGTGTTGAGGAACTGATCCCAAAATAGTTAAAGGACGTTGAATGTGCAAGCAAAGAAAGAGCCTTCTCTTCAGATTGTACCACAGGTATCAATTCATGTGTGAATATGTCAAACAATAGAAAATCATTCAATAACCCAATGAAAAGTTTTGAACCAAATCTTACAGATGAAATAGCTTGAAACCTATCCTTCAAAACAATTTCACCTTGTTTCAATATTTGAAAGATATTTCTAGTTTTGTTAACTATTTTGTAAACCACAATCTTTGCCTTTAAACCAACTATCAAAAGTCTCTCGGTACTTATAAAAACATAATCAACGTAGTTTCGTACTTCATCTAACTCCAGAATTAAATTCAAATGACCTCCAATTCTTTCATAGACCCTAAATGCTCCAACGCATGCAATTATCAAATAAGACTTGCTAGTATCATTGGTAAGCTCAATAGAATCAATTCTAGTAATCGGTGTACCCTCTTTGGATATGTTTTTGAAAGTTATATCGAATGTAAGTGTATCTTCATCAATGGATTCACTTCCTATACTAATGCTTCTTCTTCTACCCAATTTGGAAGTTGGTTGTACAGAAGATGCTTCCTTTCCTTTGGCCGAGGTGACATTGTAGATGCTCAAGTCTCCATTGTTAAACCCAATATACAAGTTACCCTCACCATACTTAATGGCTGAAATCTTGTTGGTGGATCCTACCCGGATATGGCCGGTCTTCTCAACAATATCTATGTTCATTCCATTAACGACAACAATAAGAGTAATATGTATATATGGATTCTACGTTCTTTATACATCGTTATGTACTGGTTTCTAACTTTGGTACCTGAGTCGTGCCCAACACAAATTACTATCGCACTATGCTTAAACACTAGAAAGGAAGTCAAACACTCCACTGCAGTACTTAACATAAGCTTGTAACCTGGATTCAGTTTCAACACTGACCTCCTGCAAACGAGTAAGAGCCAGTTGGAATTCTTCATCGGAAGAATTATTGTAGACGATATCACCGTGGGCCTTGAGGAAGACACCAACAATGGCCTGTGCAAGATCATAGTTTGTGTTTGATAATAAGCCTTGGGTGATAGCACTAATGAATGTCGTCATTTCTGTTAAAGGAGGAATTGATTGTAAACTTCTGATTTCTAAGTCAACAGTTGAAGGCGATGCACCGTACAAATACGACAAGAATTCCAGGTAGTCATTTGCTTCCTTGCCTTGTCTGAGTAACTTGGTAAATTCAGACTCAAATCCTGATTGCAAATGATGGTCTGTTCCATTTGTAGTGGTAAGTTTGAGTAATCTAGAGCCGTTACTAGAATCTTCGTTATTTTCAAGTTGTTCAGCTGATGATGTTTGTTGCTTTTCAGTGGCTTCTTCTGCAACTATAGCACGGTCTCCAACAGCTTCACCTGATAATTGTAAGAAGAAAGGAGCATTCTTAGGTTTGATGGGTGCCTCTTTTGGCTTACTGCGTTGTTTAATAACATCCAAATGTAATATGGTATTATATTTGGATCTTGATCCCAAAGATAAGGTTACCAAAGATTCATCAATCTGATCAATGGAAGCATAATTGGCAAACTCTGCTGCAAAGTCTTCTTCATCGGTGTCTAGAGCACCTTCAATAATAGTAGCACCACCATCACCAGAAACATTGGGCATTAAAATAGTGGAAAACTCTGATTCTTCCACTTGTCTAGTGGAGACTTGTTTGAATTGAGCTCTGTTGGTCCAGAGGAACACTCCATTTCCTGAAACATGAGTAGTAGCCAACATCTCCCCTAATGGAGTAAACTTAACATGGGTAGCCACAACAGGCAATCTTATACCATCAATGCAAAGTCCAGTAGCTAAATCCCAGGTTCTTAATGTTCCATCTAAACTCACAGAAACAATCCACTTACCATCAGGTGAAAAGTCAAGTGACGTTATTCGGTTAGTGTGACCATACAAGATTCTGACAACCTTTTGAGAAATAACATCAACAACAACTATAGACAAGTCATCCAATGCACAGGCAATCAAATCAGAACTTTTTTGGTATATCATCGAAGTGATAGGAGCTTCCAATTGTAATTTGGCCAAGTACTTGTGTTCTGAAAAGTTATAGAACCCAATGATTCCATCCAAACCACAACTTACCATTGATCTATTCATTCCATCAATGGCAATCCCAGTGACAGCCTTGGTATGCAAAACATACTTCTTTCTTAAGGTTCCTGATTGCAAGTTGTAGACTCCAAATCCACCATTGGTTGATCCAACAATTGCAAAGTTACCACATTGAGACACACATACGGTTGACGCATTACCATTATCAATGGTAGCCAACTGGTGTACACCTATACGCTTGCTCTTAGAATCCCAAGTTCTTGCAAATGGCTCATCCTTATGAACAGTAACAATATTATCCCATTGTCCTTCTCTGAGCTGTGAAGAAGAAATAGTAGTGATCTCAGGATGCTTTTCTCTCATTGAAGCAACTTGACCCGCTTGACGTTTGTTATCCTTTGATTTTTGAGGTCTTTGAGAAAGCTCTTGAGCTTGAGCATCCTTTCTTAAAGAGAAGGACCAGAATGATCTATCTTTGGAAGCACTATAGAGGAAATGTGTTTTGTCTTCTTGTGGGAACTCAATTGCTGTTGGAGGAGAAGAATGACCACCTCTTGATCTTAAGTGACGAGGTGGTGACACAATAGATGAGTTAGTAGCCAGAAGAGTTGGATCGAAAACATATTCTTTCAATTGGTTATCACCACCATTGGTAACTAAAATGGGTTGACCGTTAAGAAACTTAACGTTACTAACACCACCACGAACTTCTTTATGGGCATTTCTCAATATATGAACACGAGTCTGCTTTTCTAAATCATAAAAGTATAAATCTCCACTATTCAAACCTACCACTATATGTGGAGCTCCGTCTGTTCTAAACGACAAAGAAGTGACTTTAGCCGAAACATCTTGAGCTGTGACTGAGATTCTCGTTCCTAATATCTTACCTTTCTTTAAGTGATACAAGTAAACCCCTCCTGTGGCAGTACCAATTGCCACAAGATCCAAAACAGGTGCTACTTCAATGGCTGTAATGGAATCAAGCAGAAATTGTTGAACTGGAGACTTGAATAATAATTTCCCTGTACGGATATTGAAAACAAAAATGTGACTGGAGGTGGCGACCACAATTTTATTCAAATAAGTAGGAGGATGAACAATTCCAACAATATCTCCATCAATTTGTGGATTAATTCCATTCAAAGTTGTGTACAATTCAGTGTGCAATTTTGAGCCTTGGAGCTTTCTGAAGACAAAAACCTGACCGTCAGTTGATGAAGCAATAAGGAAGTCTCCAAAGACCAACAAACTTGAAATGTGTTCTTCAGTAGAGCATTTCAACGTAGTTTCGATTTGACCTCTTCTATAGATTCCAATCTCATTATTATATGCGGCATAGACATAGTGGAAATGAGCTGCTAAACAGTTGATCTTGGAAGGAGTTTGAGTCTGAGAAACAAATAATAAGTGCAATGTTGCAGCATCATAGATTTGGAACGATCTACCCACAGATGTAACAATATAAAATGTTGATCCTAAAGTCCCTAAAGCAAATGGTGTTTCATTCGTGACATTTCCAACCACTCGGAAGGGACTGAAAATCTTAGAGGCCTTAAGGTTCTTCTCAATAGGAGAGACCTTTCTTTTCTTCTCCACTGCTTCCACCATTCGTTCAATGTTGATAGAAGTAGTTAACCAAGTCAAGTTCAAACTATGACTTGAAAAATTAAGATGAGATGCCCTATTATTGCGATCGCTACCATATAAAGGCCTGCACATAATACAAGACATAGGTATATGGTTTAGGATGTGCCCTTTAAAAAGACATCAGTAACGATTCAATTATTCATCGAATATAATCAAATGGAGTGTCATTAATTATTAGGAACTCCCTTGCAAGTTAGCTTCTGAATTGATGAATACGAATTTGTACTATTTTGGTGGTGTTTAGTGGAGTTCATATGGAAGTGACTGGTTTTGTGGTCTCATCGCAATTGAAAAGCTTTGATGAGATAAAGGCCCTTCGTAACGTGTGCTACTTTATCAGTTGTTTGAAAGTGAAGAGCGATGACTACCACTACAAGCAAGAGACCCGCTGAAAGCGAAGGGGAACATAGAGATATTAAAAAGTCTCATACCGAAGATTCAGGCTCTGTTTTGGCATCAACTACAGAGGTCAGTAGTGTCCCAGAAGCATTAAAGTCTTCTACTGTTCTTAAAGGTGTGGCTGCAATTAAAGCAGAGTACATTATTTCCAACCCCACAATACCTATTGAAGAAGCCTACATTAATGATGACGAGGCAGAAGGTGGTGATAGAGGCACTGAAGCCGAAAGCGAAAGAGGAGGTAAGAAGGGGAAGAAGAGAAGAGGTCAAAACAAGAAACGTGACAATAGACAACAACACGAAGAAGTAAGATTGTGTACTTCTTTAATTAATCCTCAAGAACCTAAGCCATGCTCCTTTGGCGCAGGTAATTGCAGAAATTGTCATGATATAGAACTTTATCTTGCATCTAAACTGGAAGATATTGAAGGACCTTGTCCAGTGTATAGCGCCATTGGTTATTGTCCTGCTGGGTTGAAGTGTCGGTGGTTACATTCCCATTATAATAAGGAAACCAAAGAATTGTTGAAAGATATGGAATTAATTCAGAAAACAACTGAGGCAAATGATAATTTTGAAGTCAACAAGATCTCTTCCGATCTGAAAACTCAATTACAAAGGAAGAAATATGATTTTACGAGAGCAACCGAAGTAACTGCTTATTTGGATACCCATGTTCAAAATGACACCAAGCAAGATCTTCAAAAGGAAACGCTACAATCATATCATGAATCCGTATTCAAACCAGCTGAAAAGAAGAAGCTTAACTTGAAGAACACTAAAATTGTTTCTCCTTTAACTACTGTTGGGAATTTACCATATAGAAGATTAATGAGAACTTTAGGAGCTGACATTACTTACTCAGAAATGGCATTAACCATTCCACTTCTACAAGGTACCAATTCTGAGTGGGCATTACCCAAAGCCCATAATTCAGAATACCCCGGATTTGGGGTTCAAATAGCTGCTTCTAAGCATTGGGCTGCATCTAAAGCAGCTGAAGCCATTTACAAGGAATGTGGCAATGTTTCTGAATTAAACTTAAATTGTGGTTGTCCTATTGATTTGTTATATAGGCAAGGTCAAGGTTCAGCACTTATGGAACAACCACCCAAGTTGATTCGTATATTAAAGGGTATGAACTTATGTTCTGGAGATATTCCAGTTACAGTGAAACTTAGAACTGGGATCAAAGATGGGAAAAATGTTGCCAAACCTTTAATTGATAGACTTTTGAAAGAAGAAGATGTTGCAGCAATCACATTACATGGTAGAACTAAACAACAAAGATATACCAAGGAAGCCGATTGGAATTATATTGGAGAAGTTGCCCAAGTTGTTCAAAATTGGAATGATATTAAAGCAGACGACAAGGATAGAACAGACATTCAACCTACTGCTTTCGTTGGTAATGGTGATATTTATACGCATGAAGATTGGTATAAGGCTACATCCATTCCTGGAGTTGATTCCGTTATGGTTGCACGTGGAGCATTGATCAAGCCATGGATCTTTGAAGAGGTTGAAGCCCAACAGTATTTGGATAAGAGTGCCCTGGAAAGACTTGAAATCTTGAAGACCTTTTCGCACTTTGCCTTAGAACATTGGGGGTCTGATGAATATGGGGTCGGACAAGCCAGAAGATTTATGTGTGAGTTTATGAGTTTCACTCATAGATATATCCCTGTTGGTATATTAGAGAGATTACCACCAAAGATCAACGAAAGACCTCCAATGTGGAGAGGAAGAAATGAAATGGAGACTTTATTAGGCTCAGGGGATTACCAAGATTGGATTAAGATCACAGAGATGTTTTTGGGTAAAGTTGGAACCAATTTCCAATTTACTCCAAAGCATAAGAGTAATGCTTATGAAAAGGGAACTTAAAATAACTAAAAAATAGATAATACATACATATATAACCTAACAGCTATTTACTTCATTATCACTTTCTATTCTTTAATTCTGAATCATAATCAGACAGCAAATAAGAAGCCTTCTCTCTCAATAATTCCAACTCCTTGTCTTGATCGGCCAACATCTTCTTCAACTCTTTCAATTCAGTGGAATCATTCAATTTGGCAGTACCACGCATATTATCCAACTTGTCCTTTGTTACAAGTAATTCAGCAACTAAACCATATGTTCTTATCAAGATTAATGTTAAAAATAATGAAAATCCACATAAGTACATGTTTCTCTGAGCGTAGAATCTTCTAGCTTGAACTTCACTTCTATCATTCAAAATGCCTGCCGTGGATCCGGCAACAGTCCCAGTAATTCCTTCTTTGGACAGTCTCAATTCAGCTGTCACAGCATATACTCTATTGACAGAATCAACGAAAAGAACGAAAACAAACCCTAAAACACACTTCAAGGCAATTTGGAACTTTTCATTCTCAAAGGGAGCCAGAACAGTTCTTAAAACTTGTCTTCTGACTCTTCTGGGGAAAGGGAGTGAAAGGATTCCAAAGAAGACCATTTCTGAGACCAAAAGGCCAAACACTAAGTTATAGTACAATGCCATACCCAATTGATTTTAATAGATGCTTAATTGTTAGAAAGAAATGGAACTTAACTGCTTAAGTAGTTCGCGGGGGGCAAGAAGTAACATTTAAAGTTGCTTCGGGGTTCCACATGAAACAAGACACTCATATACTATATTTGGACGATCGACCGCCACTGCGCATTCCGAGGGTCATACCGATCAGAGGTACAAAAGAGATTCTTCTGTATTATCCTATATAGTTGATAGAGTGTACAATAATAGTATTATCTTATGCATTATTATTATGGTCCTCTATTAATACTATATATGTGATCGTCACAACCCTAAAGAAACTTTTATAGTAAACAGAACAAGTATTGGTAAAGTGATAAACAATACTGAATACTGACATAAAAGACAAATGGCCAAACAATCCATTTGTAAATGATCCTCTGACTTCGGATCGGTGTAAAATGCTGTGAAGTAAACCAATGCTGTAGCATTTGGAAGTCCAAATTCAAGGACTGATACAAATCTAATCATAGGATCATCACCATACCAACCTCCATGTTGAAAGCCAGTTGTTAAACCTACTCCAATAATTGGTAAGATCACTAGTCGACAACAAGTTATCACAACTGCAGTTTTCCAAAACCCTGAAGGCATTTTCTTAATTTGCAATCTGGAAATTGTAGCTCCTAAAAGAAGTAAACCCATTGGAACACTTGCTGCTCCAACATATGAAGCCACATCCATAATAAATGAAAGCGGTGGCTGGTTATCAGGAGCTGGATGAATGTGAACTTGAGTTGATGGAACGAAAAGTGCCTTCAATGGGGGGGAAAATGCAACAGCAATTGATATGATCAATGCAACAGAGTTAGGTCCGAGAAAGTTCTTTAACATCACCAATGCACGGGCTTTCCATTTTGACCGCAACTTTTTAGAGAAAGATTGAACTATTGAAGGTGAAGTTGTTGCTGAAAGACTGCTTTCATTGTCTTGTGAAATATGACCGGGTAAATTCGACCCCAGGGTGCTAGGTTCAATTGGAGCTGCAGCCACTTCTGTTGTTACTGTAGCCACTCTTCTAACAGTATGTTGTCTCAACCCTTCAATCTCAGAGTACTCGTTAATGACATCATCAACAGTTTGTGAGGGCATCTTCCTAATATCTGTGGCTCTTGAAGCTACTCTTAATAAGTTCTGAGGCACAGAAGAATTCAATGAAGCTTTATTCACACTATTCCTTGAACTGAAAGAACCTCTACCATGACTTGAAGTTACCGATTTTGGCTGACTGTATTCATCATCAAAGTCAGAATTAATGGAAGAAATAGCATTAGAAGTTATTCGTTGAACTTCATGAGCTCTAAGGAAGTCTTCATGCTGTTGTTGCTCTCTTTTCCGAGAAGTTGAGCTCAGCTTTGAGGTTGATCTACGGGAAGCTTTCTCCCGATCAACAGCAGCAAGCGGACGACTACCATCATCACGAAGACGACCATCATCATTTTGTTCGTCGTCTTGTTCAATTATGGATGAGGAAATGGTTTGAGAAACATCTGTACTCGTCAGATGAGATTCCCCAGATTGCTTTCTTGCGCTTGTTCCATCATTTTCTTTAGATTCAACATCACCACCTCTTGAAGCAGCCAACTCCTCTTTGAAATCCCATTCCACAAGTTGATATAATCCAAAGGTAAATTGATACAAAACTTGGGCTGCTAAGAAAAGACACACAAATGCAACTCCTCGATTAACTTCCAGAGTAGTGAAGAGAGTACCTTTGGAAAGTGTCTGTAAATATGCAATAGGTAAATCTGAGATATTCGGAAACAACCCCACAGAAAGTAAACCCCCAAACCACCGTTTAGGAGATTTTGTCACATAATAAGTGACAAATGCTAAAAGGAATCCAAAGGAAAACAATAAAGTGGCCAGAAAGAAAATCACTCCTAAATTTTGTATATCTGAAGATTTCAAATTGGTGACCACTTGATTGAAAATTAAACATGGCATCAATGCAGTAACAACCAAATCACTTATGTCTCTGCATGTTGGCACTGAAAGAATGTTCTTCTTAGCAAGAAAGATACCTATGGTTATAATGAAGTAAATCTTGAAGATTGGTCTCACTGAGGTATAAATCACAGAACCTGTAGAAATAGACATGGTAACGGTTTATAATCCATGAAATCTCACTGTTAGGTGTATGCCAGTTACTCAACTTTCCTAAGATGTCATTTAAGACAAGAAGGAAATTCTAAGGAAATATCTATTGATAATATCAGTGAGAATATCTCGTAATTTAGATTTGGAACTTAAAGGAAGACTGTTCCATAGTTCCGTGATAATTAAGATTGGATACCATATCATGACTCTTCGCATAATGCATATAACATGATGGATCCCCCACCTGATGAGGTTGACTCAAAATGGGGGGGGGGGGGGGTGCACTAAACGAAGTGTCCTGCAACAAAAAAAAGCACCTAAACGTACCTCAACTATTTAGAAAGCTGACTATCATCACTAATGTTAGTCTGTATCTATTACGACATTATTATACCTATTCACATCTATAGGTATTTAAATCCAAAAGAAGTTAAAATATCACTGTTTTATCTTGCCACGAGTTTATCTCCACTGCAACAATGACGGCAGAATTAGTACTATCTGAGCATTAAAACACTTATTCTCCCCATGGGATTGGGTATCCGCACTTTATGGTTATTTACTCTAAATTAAGATAGTAGACAAGCCTGGGAGTTGCCTTGCGCAATTACCTGTGAAAGGCATCCTGTGATATTTAACCTGTGACTTTATTCCCGTGACCTGCCCATGAGTCCAAAAGCTGTAAGTTTGCGAATCTCTATTACACATTTATATGTTAGCAAATTCAATCTACTGATGAAGTAACTATCAACGTACAATTAAGTTTTATTCAAGTATTTGTACTATACCCCTACAGAAATTATGTACATGTTGTTCAACGGATTAAACGCTGTTTGCTTTCATCATCTGTCGGAACAAAAATTCGCAGCTTAATGTGTGAACACATCAAGAGACAACAAATAGATAAAATCAAATAAAAAGTGTACACAGAACAGATGCTCGACCGACAATATACAGAAAACTTGCAGTTGATTTGCATTCAGTTTGAAGATATCAAACGACAAGACTGTGGACAAAAATAGAACAGGGACTAAATGGGAATTAATTGAAAACAGAAACAATATCACTCATCCAACATAAAACTCATCAATGACGCAACCACTACAAATTTCCATGGTACATTATAGTATTATCCACTTCATGAATCATAAATGGCCAAAAATTTCTGCTACTAACCCTCATATCATTAGACTGCTCTTATTGATAGTCCACTAGATAATCCATTCTTTAAGTAGTTGCCGTACCCCCTGTTTTCCTAAGTAAGCAGAACAAGCACTCACTTTGTGGTTTTTAATTGTTTTGGCTCCAGTACGAGCTACATCTATTGGAAGCAGATATTAAGGTTCAATTGTGCTAGAGAGATGCGTACTTGGGTCCTATTCCTTCTTGTAATTTTTTATCGTGCCTATATCAGTAAGCAATACGCAATAATTGAGTAGCCCCGCAACTACGTAGTAGAATTTTAGTAGCCTTTTTAATTTATCGTGGTTTCAGCATTATAGTATTGGGTGCAAAAGTCCGCTACAAGTCATGTTTATATTGCTATTCGGTATGTTCAAACAAACTACAATAGATCATGAATATTTGGAATCTAGGAAATATTACAATATAGCCACTGATATATAATTATGACCATATTGATCTCAATATGAATGGTACACAATTGTATCTAATTCTGTTGATACTTATTTCTCACTACTTGTTTACGACGTAGTCACCTTATACAGTTTAATACTAGAGTTGACATAACTTAAGTATACTAATAGCACCACATGGTGAAAATAATCACGAATATTGCGCTGAATAACATTCAGAAGTGAATTCAATTCGAGACAAGACTTGTATATGTTATATAGCACGGTATGCATTTGTATTGGTGTTACACTACTTCACACTCAAAGAACTTGTGCCATTTTTATTAACGTCGTACAGCACTTCCATATTTGAAATAATAGGAGCCTCCCCTTCATCTTCTCCTCATTACATTCCGTAGCATACATGCATTCTTCCTATTCTTTCTACTGCAGGATATTAATCCTTCTTTTGTAGTTATCAACCAGCAGACTTAATCAGATGGTATGTGTATAAAACCAGAAAACTGTATGCACTCTATCAATTAGATATCCTATTCCGACTTGACGTTGGCCACTAATTAAATCACATCATATTGTTTAACAACAAAGAAGGCTTAATGATCATTCAAGGAGATTGAAACAATAGTACATTTTCCAACTTTTAATTGGTGTAGTATGTATCTTGCTGCATCACTTTCAGACATAGGGTAAAAAGGAGGTACCATAGAGCAGAGTAAAGAGCATAATATTGACCCTTCAATGTGAGAATAAGGATCAACATCATTTAGAGGTTAATCAGAATTATTATATGTATATTGGAAAAGCAATATAACAGGCCCATAAATATAAACAGAATCATAATAGAAAAAGTATTAAAAAATAAATATATTTCTCTGATAGCACCACCGTACGGGATTGTACGAAAAAGGTCAGAAACGTTTCAGTCTTTGCCTCTAAAGAACAAAACTCTATGTCGGCCAACCAAATACCGAACTTGAGTGAATCGGCTCATTTATAGCAGTCACAAAGGGTACCAAACCTTTGAGACAAAAAGAGTCATCAATTCATTCAAGTTCTGAATGCTTTACGCAAAGTTCACTACCCATGGAACTCAAATTGTTTAAGCACAGTGCCAAACCAAAAAAAGGACAATAGCCATCGAAAACCAAACCAGAAAGCTTTCGATGAATTAACAGCAACGTGACTCAAATGCACACCAGCTGTGCACTTGGATGAATACAACGGCAATCCATAGTAGAGAGCACCAATACTCACCAGCCGAGTAAGGTATACTGAAGATGCCAGGGGACATTACTGCGGAAACCAAGTCCACAACGCAACCAGGAACAATAAGAACTAATAGTTAGAACTTAACGGAAAAACAGAAGTTCAGGATTATAGTCAAATAGTCAAATCCAAGCCACAACCCTAACATTTTAAATAGGAAGACGAAATAATTGAAGAAGGAAGTCCGAATAATAAAAAAATTAATAAACGTGAAAAACAAGAATCATAAAAGAATACGCACTATTTCAAGCTGTATCATGGGATACACACAACCCAACTTTACAGCATAATAGAACAGAAATGAAGATAACATTAGAAAATTTTGATGGAAAGTGAACATAATCAACTCAATGAGTTGTATTTACTTCTGCCATCACTGCGCCCATTGAAAACGATACCCTCTCGGTAACATCGGTAATAACACAAGTAGACATTACATCGAGTAAATCAAGCTCATCTGCGTCAAGATCCTCTTCAGAATCATAATATGACCGAGCATCAACTTCTTCGTTTAAAATCTCCATCAATGTAAATTGGCCTAGCCCTGCCAGAGACAGTGGTATCTTTACAGAGCAATTTTTAGTATGGGGGCGGGTGGGTGATTGTGGGTCTGCTGAAAATATTGATTCTTCTGAACAAGACGCATCATCATCATCTGAAAATGAATGATATGCATAGTCCAGTTGTGGAATCAGTATCGGTGATAACGAAGCATTCTTTTTTACTTTAGGGGTCAGTAGTGGAGTTGGAGAATTTCCAAACTGAGCCATAGACTTAATCACGGGTGACTTCCTTAAAGGTGATCTTGCAGGTACTGCAACAGCGTCCACGACGGTCGTATCCAATTGGTACGACATCTTTGTTGAAATAAGGAAGCTAGTATAGAATGCTAAACACTGGAAGCAACAGCCTTGCAAGAAATATAGGATAACTTCTTTGGTTTATATATATATCGGTGGAGACAGAACTGTCGATATATCCAGGATGAAATAGTTTGCAGGTGCATTGTTTGAAGAATACAAGAGCTATTATTATCTTCTGTGGTGTAAGCAGACGTGCGTTTGAGACTTTCTGCACATCAAGGTAAAAGACGTTCGATCTCCGTATCACCAAGCGAGTTGGAAAACTTGGTACGATTTGTAAAAGTGCCAGTTTGGTTTTCAAGACAAATGCAAGACTGCTCGTAGAACACTAATACAACAGTTTCTCAATAATTGACAAAAATATTGGTATACCCTTGTTTAGGAGTTGTATCTTCTTTTCAACAAGATTGTTTAAACAATTAAATGGCGTTATAATATTTCTAATAATACACCAGTGGCTTAGTATGCCTGAAAGCTTCTGCAGAAAGGATAGAACAATTGACTGCACAGACTACTGTGATGGAAAATGGCTATCACCCCTGACTAACCAAACTTACACAAACGGACTGGTTGCTTCTTGCAACTAATCAAAAAATACCACAAAATGCCACAAAATCAGCTTAGTTATAGGGGTTTGATATCCTACCCTTTGCAAGAACGCTGGAGTGCGGAGAACCACTATGTATTGAAAATAGAAACTTTGTGAAGATTATACTTCAACTTCGTTGTATGAAGTGCAAAGGTATTCAATTACCAATCCAATTCAACAATAACAAAATTATTTATCTATTGTGATTATCGTGTTGTGTAAGAAATTTGTTTGACCTATGCGGATAATTATTTAACCGCCTTCGATGGCTGGCTTTGATAGACCAATTGAGAAGGATAGTCCAGTATATTGAAAAAATTGTAATAAGATGGTGTGCTTCAACACACTGCTTCGTAACTTATTGGAAATCTTTTTGGTGCTTTTCAGGGAACGGAAGGTTTAATATAAGGATTTAGGGAGGTGAATTTTGTAACAAATTTTCACTCCAAACGAGTATACTCTTAGGATAAGGGTATGTTTAAGCTGACTTTATTCAAACTAAAAATTGTTGGAAGGCTGGCCGATATCTTTGAAGAAGAATGTTGAGTAGATAATGAGTTTTTTAAACAATAAAATTTTGAAAGATTGGTGCTTCAAATTGTTAGCTGCCCAATGCGAATGAGAACGATAGTTTATTGTTTCAAAGTTTTTAATAATACCTGAAATCTAACTACTATACTAAAATTATTTCTGCTTTTCTTTTTCACTCTCTTACGACCGAACTTATAGTCTACTTGCCTAAAAGTATTACTGTACTGATTTATTGGCTTATTGGCTAGCAAGTGAAATATGAACATTCGTTCTCATCGTCAACGCCCTCAACCCAACTCCTGATTAACGCATAACCAAATTCTTTATATTATAGGTCTTGACATCATGCCTTTATACTGATAACTCCTCTTCCAATTGTAGTATGGTTACCTTCTCCCCAACTTTGCAACAGTTCGTTTTTACTGAATAGGGTAGGGTTTGTGTATTTGGAGAAATATCTCCTTCCACGACCTTCTTGATCTCAGTAAGAAATCGATTCTACATACGAATAACCTTGCACAACGGGCATAAGGATTAAACCCAAGAGGCTATTGGCTTCTATTCTACATTTCAGATTAATGGTTTAAAAGCTTTGCAAGTTTTAGTTTGGCTTTACAATAAACCATCAAAAAAGATAGCCTTGCAGTTAGCTTAGCATAAGTCCAAGTTCACTACGCCACTTGAATCCAACATCTACCCATACCAAATCTCTAATATTCAACTCTATTATCTCCACCCCCAATTAAGTTTTATATATACATTCTGCATTATAATGTATAACTTCCAATCTTTTCTCGTATGTATGCTAAAGAAGGGTACTAGAAAAAACTTGCATATACATACACGAAGAAAATACTTCCCTGCAGTCGACAGGCAGAAAATAGATAAGATTGATTCGCCTCCATTATGAATCTTCAACCATTGCTCTTTATCTTCAGCCTTACAGCTAAGGAACAACCGTATACAGCCCGTGCCAACGTACCTATTATAGTGAAAGTAATTGAATATACTAAATATACATGTGTTAGGCTAAAAATACATCACATGGGGTCTGCCTTGGCGACGGACTACTAACGGTTAAACTTTCAATTTCTCAGCTACAAGGCTTAACAATCGCATATGACGAGATATGCCAAGTTTGAACTGGACCTCAAAAGGACCCGGCACCCCCAAGGTGTTCTACACCTTATGATCTTTATCGCAAACACTGTACATAATGAAGGAAGACACAAAAAACAATCTTACCTTTGAAATGAAACACCGCATGTATGGTTCCACATGTCCTACTATTCGACGTACTATGTCTTGTACATGTTTCCATAGTAAATTTCATCATCATCAATGGAATTTTATTAAGATGTATAGTATTGCATTTAGTCCTTCTTAGCCTTTTTCTTTGGAGGCCTCTCTTCATCTTTTTCATCACCGCTCATGTCATCATCTGATGAACCAGTGTCTGATACATTAGAATCAAATTCTTCTGCGACATCCAGGTCAGAACCTTCTTGGAAGTCCAGGTCTTCAGCCTCATCTTCTCCTGCAGAGCCCATATCAACATCTTCATCATCATCGGCTTCTGCTGCTAGAGCCTTCTTCATCATGGCAGCAGCTATTTTTTCTTCATTTCTGACTCTTAATCCTTTCGATTCACAATAAGCTTCAATTGTTTCTTGTTCTTCACGATCAATACTTCCAAAAACATGGCCTTGATTACTTCCACGAAGACTAATTTCAAGATCGAATGTCCTTGAAGCTCCAACTCCTCCTCCAGTTCTTGACATGGTAACAGTACTGATCTCGCTGAATGGAATATAAATTGTAGGTTTGGTAACAAAAAGGAAACATCTATCAAGAGGATATAGGTAACCTTCACTGGCTTTCAATGAGCAAGAAATACCAGGTTGTAAGAATCTTGATTGGAATGATCCAGGAACAATTAACCTTCTATCGGTCAAACCTTTGAAACAATGAGACATAACCAAATGAGTTTGACTATCATATTTCTTCTTCAATTTTTCTTTGTATTTACTCTCGTATACTTCATCAGATACATTTAATTCCACTTCTGTTTCTTCCTCGGAAACAAATTGAAGAACAAGGAATGGGTATTTTGTTTGACCTTGTCTTAATGGAGGATCAATCTGTAACACAATCAAATGGTGTGCTTCATCTGGTTTAGGGATAGAAAATATTCTTTCAATTTGTTTATATTGAATTTTGTAATCATAAGTTTTCCCTCTTAATCTTAAAGAGCTTGGATACATGTCGATATCATAACGACCTCTTGGGGTTAAGAATAAAACGTCACTGAAAGATACAATTGCTTCACCACTAACTTGCCCGATTTCTGCCTTATCTCTCAAATTTTCATAAAACACAGTGGCTGCACCAACTTCTTCAGTGGTGATGGTACTCTTGGACTCTTCATTTTCTTCCCCTTCTTCTCCTTCACCGCCTTCTTTCTTTACAGTCTCACCATCTTCCTCCTCTTTTTTCTTGGTTTCATTTTCGATGGTTCCAGGAACATAAAATCTCATTTCAATCAATTCATCACCAGCTTTACCGCTATCTAAGTTGAATTCAATGGCAACTTCATTTTTCCCGGTTAAATTGGTATTTCCAATCTCTTTATAAGGAATCTCAAACAGGGGTTTATTACCTACTTGGAAAAGTAACTCATTTCTAGCCCAATCAGGCTTCCCCCAATTCCAGCCTCTCAATGAATGTTCCTTATGATCTAAAGTCAAATCGAAAAATCTTTGCATCTCTTGTTTCAATCTATTGAAATCTTCAACTTCAAACCCATCCATCATGATAACACCTCTTGTACGGGTTTGTACCCTCAATTCATAGCCCCTGGACCCACGAGACCACAGGGTAGCAAGTAAATCTTCTTTCGGTAAAAGAAAAAGCTCTTTACCTGTATTTTTACCGTTGTTGCCAACATTCCCACCAGTAGATGCTTTCCATCCAAGCCCAATGTCAGCAATACGCATCTTACCACTGAGCTTGGACAGATTAAGATAGATTTTATCAAAATCAACGGCTGTTCTCTCCATTATCTTGAGCTTTTTTTAATCAACACAATTACAGCTAGAAAGCTCTTAATATAATCGGTTGATAACCTTCGAAGGGTACGTGATTTGGTAACCAAAACTTTTTTCTCGTACAGAACACCAACACGTCTACAGAGAACGTCGCGCTACCATTAGTTGAAAGGTTGTGGAAACAGTGCGACATATCTAGAGTCAACTTTGTCATACAACATATGTAATCGACAGTAGCATTAATTTATTATACAAACATTATGCAGCTACAAGTTGATCTGATGTCAGAGTAATCAATTTTTATTTCAGATCAGCCAAGTTCAAATTCCATTTTAAATGTGGTAGAGCACATCACATTTCGATAATAATTTCTGATTTCCGGTCAGAATCAGCCGGTATCAGGTCCGGTTTCAGTTTTGTGTCATTTTGGAGTTGAGTCACTCAACTTACATGGAAATAAATTTTCAATTGTAATCATATGGTTTATGAAGAAAGGTTCACCTTCTTCCTTCTCTTCTTCCTTCTCTTTTTTCTTCACTAACTTACTATCCATTAAACAAACGTAATGAGTGTCAAGAAGGCAGGTGTTTTGGGAGCCACTGGCTCTGTGGGTCAAAGGTTCATTCTCTTGTTGGCCAACCATCCTGACTTTGAAATTGCTGCTTTAGGTGCTTCATCTAGATCAGCAGGGAAGAAATATATCGATGCTGTTACCTGGAAACAAACCGAATTGTTACCAGAAATTGCCGAAGATATTATTGTTTCCGAATGTACTGCTGAAAACTTTGCTGATTGTGACATTGTTTTCTCGGGTTTAGATGCCGACTACGCTGGATCAATTGAAAAGGCATTTGTTGAAGCTGGTTTAGCTGTTGTGTCTAATGCCAAAAACTATAGAAGAGAAGTCGATGTTCCTTTGGTTGTTCCTATAGTCAACCCTGAACATTTACTGGTTATTGAGAAGAAGATTGAAATTGCTAAGGCTGCTGGAGAAAAGAAACCTGGTTTTATTATTTGCATTTCCAACTGTTCTACTGCAGGACTTGTTGCTCCCTTAAAGCCATTAGTCGATTCCTTTGGTCCTTTGGATGCCTTAACCACTACTACTTTACAAGCTATCTCTGGAGCTGGGTTTTCTCCTGGTGTTTCCGGAATCGATGTTTTGGATAACATTGTTCCTTACATTGGCGGTGAAGAAGATAAGATGGAATGGGAAACCAAAAAGATTTTGGGTGGTGTTAATGCTGAAGGTACTGAATTTAAACCTTTAACTGATGATGAACTCAAAGTCTCTGCACAATGTAATAGAGTTGCTGTATCTGATGGTCACACCGAATGTATTTCATTCAGATTTGCCAAGAGACCTGCTCCTTCAGTTGAAGAAGTAAAGCAAGTCTTGAGAGATTATGTTTGTGATGCTTCTAAGTTAGGCTGTCACTCTGCTCCAAAGCAAGCCATTCATGTTTTAGAGGCCCAAGATAGACCACAACCAAGATTAGACAGAAATAGAGACCGTGGTTATGGTGTCTCTGTGGGGAGAATAAGGGCTGATCCAGTTTTGGACTTTAAAATGGTAGTGTTGTCTCACAACACTATTATTGGGGCTGCTGGGTCTGGTATCTTGATTGCCGAAATCTTGAAGTCTAAGAACATGATCTAGATCCACTGTAAATTACTAAATTTCAACTGTCATAGACAGAGCAAATAGCAAATAGCAAATTTGAACGTAATATTCTGTAAGAATTATCTATAAACGTAGTAGTAGCTCTAATCTAATCCTTCATGTTAACCCGGCATCCATATCAAGTGCGCATGCAAGAACCTCTTCCCATCTTCTCTTCTTCTCTGTCCTTATGGTGGCCCCTATCAATCTCAATTCCTTGGAGCCAATAGAAGAAGACCTTATATATGAGCATGTCTTTGATCTTTATACTGAAAGAGCACCGCCAGAACATCTTCGATTGGGTTATATAGATAGACAATCGGATAGTATAGAGATAACCTTGAGAAAAGCCGAAATCAGCTTCAACATTAAGCAATCATTGTCTGAGTTAGCTGCTAAGGGAAGTACTACTGGGTTCGTGGTTTGGAAGACATCTCAATGCTTATTAGATTGGATATTGACAACTACAGAGTGTCCCTTGTATGGTATATTCTCTCATAAGAGTGATGCTATAGTTTATGAGCTTGGATCTGGTATAGCAGGAATTTTGGCTGCAGCTTTAGGACCTAGATGTTTGAGATATGTTGCTACAGATCAGAAGCACTTGTTGAAGCTATTGAAATCCAATTTCATTTGTAACGTTCAATCTACAAAATACACTAGTTCAACTCTTGATCAAGAATCAGCTAATTCTGCTAAGGGCTTTCGAAAAGGAAAACAAAACCCTGGATCAAAAAGATCCACGGTTTCTATTACTTCTCGTCAACAGGATCCCGTATCAAACGTGGATGAAAGTACTAACAGGTTTTCTAACATAGACTTCATTGAATACGATTGGGAGTACCCTCAAAAGGGACTTGACCAATTGAAATCATTGTATCCCGGTGAAGTTGGCTTTCTGCCTCCAGATTTTATATTTGCTGTGGATACAATATATAACGAGTATCTTATTCCATATTTCATTACTGCTGCTAAGCAATTAATGGACCCCAACCATACGGTTCTTGTGGTTGGCATGCAATTGAGAGATGAGTCAATTCTCGAGATATTCTTACAAGAACTTAAGAATCAAAAGATGTCGGTGTATCTGATTCCATTCTCCATGTTAAGTGAAGATCTACAGAAAGGTTATGTTATCTATTTCATCACATTACCAGGGTAAATGAATCGATGTTGTAGGGATGCAGTAGATGGTTGGTAGATGTAGGTACGACATTTTATTGTGTCTTAATATAAATGTCGCAATCTTTGCAAAATTGTCAACTGTAGATCACCCATCACCCAATAATCGTACTAACAGTTCAACCTCCTCCCTCTCTCGTATCTGGACAAGCATCTAGACTTGTTCTGGTCAAGATGTCCTTCAATCTAGGGACGGCGACCACAGAGAATCATAAGCGCCAGGGGTTTACAGACAATCGACGGAGTTTCCGAAGGAAGAACCAACAACAGCCTAATAACATTACTACTTCCAACCAATCTACAAATATCAATCGCCCTCGTCAGAATATCAATATTACTAATGGAACTACTAATTTCAATAATAAGCGCCTGAATAACACATCTTCAAATCAACAGCAGCAGCATAACCTATCAGGCAACAAAGGATCTGGAACTAAACGATATCCTAAAACTAGACCACCGAGATCATCCAATTCCAAAAGGAATGCCACAAATGACCCCCATAAAGAATGCGTTAATTCTGTTGGAATTGAGCAGAGTGAATACGAAGATAAAGAAAAGGTCGTGATACCACCCCAACATGCTCAGCAATTGCAGTCGTACACAATAGACGAAATAAACTTAACTGGACCAGTATTTGATCATCCTGAGCTGCTTGGGTTTGTCAGTAAGCAACGACAATCACCAAGAAGACCGATCCCTGCGTATCTTTTACCCCATCCTCGATTACTTGTGACTCCAATTTTCCACATGAATGAATGGGATAAGGCAAACCAAGCGAAAATGCTTCAAATAGAAGCTTCAAACTCTGGTAATGATTTTCAAGGCATTTACGAATTATTTCAAAAGATGAGAGAGGTGGAAAGAACCAAAATGGAGGAATTGGGTTTAGTAGATGCTGAGCACACAGCAAAAGATTTGAATGACGCTATTGCATTTCAAGGTTCATGTTTGGACATGTGTCCTACGTTTGAGCGTGTTAGAAGAGCTTTAGAGAACAACGTTAAGAATTTTGAAAAGAACCCCCAAACAAATCGAATTGATAGATCAAGAGCTGTTAAAGCATTTTCAAGACCAGCTGCGGGCCAGCCACCACCATTACCTTCAGATGTAAGACCTCCTCATATATTAAAGGACACTCTAGATTATTTGGTGGATAATGTGGTAAATCAATTGCCTGATGGCCATTCGTTTCTTTGGGATAGGACAAGATCCATACGACAAGATTTCACATATCAGAATTTCTATGGTCCGGAAGCAATTGATTGTAATGAACGAATAGTTCGAATTCATTTATTATCTCTTCACATCATGGCTGGAAGTGATGTGGAATATTCTCAACAACAAGAGTTGGAGCAGTTCAATAAGGCCCTTCAGACATTAATTGAAATTTATGATGATATTCGCAACCATGGTGGGAAGGCACCTAATGAAGCTGAATTTAGAGCCTATTATTTACTCAGTCATTTAAGAGATCCGGAGATAGAACGTGAAATTCTAAGCTTACCTGAAGATATAATGTTAGATTCGAACGTTCAATTAGCATTATACTTTAGAAGCATTACTTCCCAAAATAATATAGTGGAACGGGGCCACATTAATGCACCGGGAGCAAGCAACTTATTTTATGATTTTTTTAATGTGATCTACAGTGAAAAAACTCCCCTCCTTATGGCATGTTTAATGGAAACCCATTTCAATGAAATTCGTTTTTATGCCTTGAAATCTATGTCCAGAAGTTATCATAGTAAGAGTAAGAAGTATCCTGCTCATCAATTAAAGGATCTTTTGGGGTTTGATACAATTGAAAACTTGATTAAATTTGTAACATATTATGATATTGATGTTGGTTTTGACAATGGAGTTCAAGAAGTTGATTTATTCAATAAAGAAAAGCTCCAAAGCAAATATAAGTTGAATTCATTGAGTGAAAAGGCTCGAATGGCCCAGCCTTATTCTCCTCAGTTAGATTCCAAAATATCCGGTCGCCCAATGTCTTTCTTTATTAATAGTGGTTATCTGAATGTCGATTTAGGTTTGAAACAGCCACAGGAACGGCCAATATTACGTACCGAAATCAAGCTGGCAATAAAGTCGTCGGCGACACCTATTCCTTCTTTAAACACGTTAGAATCTGTTCAACCTGCTGGAGGTTTTGGATCAAATTCTGGTGGCTTCAATACAGCCCCTAGTGCTCTGTTTTTCAAGAACAATAATGTACCAACATCACAGACAACTTCAATATCGTCTACTTTTGCTGGAAACAACCGTATTGTCTCAGATAATAGTTCAACTTTGGGATCCAATAGTTTAGCCAATAATAAGTTTCTGTTTGGTGTGCCTTCACAGAAACCACTTACAAATTTACCTGATAATATTGCCAGAGGAGTATCCGTCAAAGAAAGTACCGTTCCAACCTTTCATAAACCAGAGTCTGGGACATTGAAATCATCCTCAGATAGTGAGAGAATAAGTCTTCCTACCTTCACTCAACTGATTTCTTCTTCTGGTAGAAGCGAACCTTCGATCAGCAAGCTTCTGATTCCAACTACCTCAAATAAATTGGAATTGAACCCCCAGGTTAGCATGAAGGTTAAAGCCATACCGTTGTCTTTTGCAAATTCTGTAAAAGATTCTAAGCAAAACCACAAATTAGTTGACAACCTTCGTTTCAAAGAGGCCACTCTAGCTTTTTTGAATGATCTTATTGAGGATATTGTAACGAAGCTGCTCTCAGAATTAATTCCAAAAATAATTGCTTATGACAACAACAAATGTGAACGAGACTTGATTATCCAAACCTTAAGTAAGGAATTGCTTAGTGCATTCGTTTCAGAGTTCACGTACGAACAATTGCTCAATTCTTTAGCTGACTATCACTACAGCGCCCATGTAAGAAAGAGGGCAATTAGGAAGATAATTGTTGTTGGGCAAAAAGCACGGACTAAACAATTATATCAAAGAAAGAAGCTTGATGAATTATCTTCAGTGTCATTTAGAGGAAGGCTTACAAAACCAACCCGACCATTTTCAGATTCTTCTGCAAATTCATCATTGAGTTCAATTGCTTCTTATTCTACATCTACTCATAATCGCAAACGACAACGGGTAGTGTCAACTTATGACTTAAGTTCTCGGAAGAAGGCTGTTCGAGATCTGTGGGACCCCTTGGACCTTGGAATGTTTCTTGCTGAATGCTCTCATAATGTCAAACTTGGCATAGAAAGGCATGAGATTAGCTTAAAGTATTTGCTCGTTGTTGAAGATTGGTCTACACCGTATTCCAAATGGCTTAAGAACAAGTTACTGTTAAAGCCAAATTTACAAAAGAATATTTATGAGAATTGTTTATCGGACGGTAAATTGGAGATTAATATTGTTAGTCTTCCTGGGAAGGAAAAGTTAACGAACGATTTTTTTATAAATGCTGGATTTATGTTATTTGAATGTGGAATGGTGAGTAATAATGAAGATTCGACAACTTCCATTAAAAAAAAATTAGAGCATGATACTAAAGTATTGGCTAAATTAATTCAAATGATAACCCAATTTGGATACTACAAAGTTCAAATTGTTATATTGTATTGGAACAATTCGAATGAAAACTTGAGCAGTGACGAGGCACGAGAGATATTGAAGCTTAATGATTATTCAGGTGGTGATATTATTAAAGAAATTGTTTTTTGTGATATGACCAAACCAAATGGTAATGTTAATGCTGAATTATGTGAAGCGTTTTCGATTCTTGGGTCAAAATTCAGAGGAGAATTAACCCCTAGAGGTATTAAGAAACGACAAAAGATTAAGCATATTAAAGAGGCTGACTCTGAGTCAACCACTACCATCCCAGCACCATTATCCAATTCACAACCCACCACGACAGATCGATTCAAGGAACGTGAAGAACAAGCACTTAAGCAGGGCAAATTACGGCGCAAGTATGGATATTTACAAGCATATGCAAGGACCAACACGGGAGATGATTCATTTAATCGTAGCATGAACCGAACGGTCAATAATAACTCCACGTCTACATTTATGAATCTACTCAATAGTCGCTACAATACAAGTACATCTATGATCAATGCTCTGGGGATATCCAATACTTCTATATTGAAAGGAATAGGCTATGGAATAGAATTGGAAAGTACACCTGTCTCAAGTCCCAAGCCCGATCATGATAAGAATGTGGGGTTCATTAAGCCTACGGTTCCAAAGCAAATACAACAGCTTCATAGTTTAACAGCAGGGATTTTGGCCAAATATAAAAAACATTGATAGAGTATAAATATTATGTATAATAGCTAAGTTTATGTATATACAGTTACGTCTAAGCAGAATGCAAATACTAGATGACCCTGCGGATTCAACGGCATCTAGTACTGTATTGGGATCAACCATACATTGACTTACTCAATACAAAAATATGCTCACCCTAGGAAAATATCTTCAATGCATATCAATATATGTGGACTATTATTTACCACCGTATACGTACCTATAATTATCACGTCGAATGGATTATTACTCTAGAAGTATATCCAATACCAAAAATCGGGCATACAGAAATAAATTGATTACAACGATCCTGCATATATTCCAAACGTTCCTTAGTTGTTAACTTCAATTGTGAAAAAACAAACGACACCGTAAACCTCTGACTTCCTTTCTACTACCCCTCAATATTGACTATGGATCTTTTCAAGGACGCTGCTAAGAACATTAACCTCTATGAGGTGAAGGCTTATGTCCGTAAGGCTCAAAATGGTATGTTTTTGCTTTGTGGGGGTTGACTGACCAGAAGAAATGGATTGGAGCCAGCGAGCGAACTCACTTCCGGTATTATCATCACATAACATTATGTATTGCTTGAAATAGTAATGGAGCTACAGGAAGGAAAGTTTCCAAAGCTTGGTAATGGCATGTACTCAGTGGCTGTAGATTGGAATGTGTTTGATTTCAACTGGTTTCTTTCTGAGTCAATCCAACTGATTTGAGTAATAGTGGTGACGATTACTAACAATATTTTATAGTGGCTATGAATTTAACAGAAATGGAATCAAAGGTCCGGGAAGCTACCAATAATGAACCATGGGGAGCTTCATCAACTTTGATGGCCCAAATCTCCGCTGGTACTTATAATTATCGGGAAAGACAAGAGATATTGAATTTTATATTCAGACGATTCACTGAAAAGGCTGCTAATGAATGGAGACAAATATACAAATCATTACAATTATTGGAATATTTGATTAAACACGGTAGTATGAGCATGGTTGAAGAAGTTCAAAACAACAAATCATTGATTCAAATGTTAAAGTCTTTCCATTATATTGACTCAAAGGGTAGAGATCAAGGTGTCAATGTTAGAAACAAATCCAAAACTTTACTTGCCTTATTGAACGATGATGCATTGATTAGATCAGAACAAAAGAAAGCTAGACAAAATGCTAAGAAGTTTGGTGGTATGGCTTCATCTGCTTATGGAGGTGCAACTCCAAGTGCTTCCTCTTCAGCAGCTTATGATGATGAAGAATTTGCTAATCGTGTTTTTGGTGATGGTGGAGTTTATGGTGAAAGGTTTGGTGACTCGGCTGCTGAGTTTAGAAATGGTAGCACTGGCCAAAATAATGCTGCTTATGAAGAATATGATGAAACAACCACTTCAAAACCTCAAAGAAAGTCTCAAAGATCTAGACCAACTGCTAGTACTAGCACCGTAACTGCCACTGCTCCAAAGCCAGCTGAGAATGATTTATTGGGAGATTTGCTTTCATTTGATGGTCCATCGACTTCTAATATCACAGCCTCAGGTCCAGCTACAACTAATACAGCTGGGAATGATGATGATGATGATGATGATGATGATGATTTTGATGATTTCCAAGCTGCTCCATCTAGTCCAAGCACTGGTAACATTACTTCCAATTTGAGCAATTTGTACGTTTCCACGCCCCAAACTTCCCAAACCACACAACCCTCATACTCATCTCAACCAAACTCCTCCATATCATTTGGTGCTACTGGGGGTGGTTCATCAAAGACTGCTTCTTCCAACGATGCGTTCTCTTCGTTATTTTCCACTGCCAAATCTAAAACTACTCCTATCAGTGGATCGGCCAAGCCTACTGCTACAAAAACAACAACAACAACGTTAAATGATGATTTCTTTAGCTCTTCTTCTGCCCCAACTGCTTCAAAGCCTGCCTCGACTTCAGCCAGCAACACAAATGGAACTGCCACTGGTGAAATTGATTTGTTGAGTTTTTGAATGATTTTGCTTATTCCCCGTTTTTATTTCATATACATTGATTTTTGACTGAAACAGATTGTAAACTGACAATAACTTGATAAATATTAAGCTTAAATATCTGTATGTTCCTTCTAGGTGCTTCTTAAATATGGGGTATATTTGTACCTGCATATAAACATCTCGATCAAGGTATAAAGACAAGCCAAATTTTCACTCAAAATATCCAATTAAACTGTTTTTTTACACCGATCAGAAAAATGTTCAAACAATTAATTAAACCAAGATACTTCTCTTCCACTTCCAGAGTGTGGGGTACTAAAGTGTTCCTTACCCCCAGCATTGACGGAGTCAAGCAAAACCCCATCAAGATTGAGTTGTATGACGACGTTGTACCTAAGACAGCCGAAAACTTTAGAGCCTTATGTACTGGCGAAAAGGGGTTCGGATACAAGGGATGTCCTATCCACAGAGTGATTCCTAACTTTATGTTGCAAGGTGGTGACTTTGAAACCGGTAGAGGATACGGTGGTAAGTCTATTTATGGAGCCAAGTTCCCAGATGAGAACTTTTCCAAGAAGCACGAGAAGCCTGGGTTATTATCCATGGCTAACTCTGGACCAAACACCAATGGGTCTCAATTTTTCATTACCACTGTTCCATGTCCATGGTTAGATGGAGCTCATGTTGTTTTCGGAGAAGTGATTGAAGGGTATGATGTTGTTGAAAAGATTGAAGCCCAAGGTTCTGGTAGTGGTAAGCCCAAGGTTCAAATTTTCATTGAAGAAAGTGGTGAACTTTAGGAGTGAACTTAAGAGAGTGGATCTGTATTTGAAATGTATATAAAAGAAATCAAGTAACAAGAATAAATATATATATATATGATTATAGTCTTTAAAGAACTAAATGCAATTTAACTAAACGTTATTTTTTCTTTTTCTTAAATGTTATAGTACTTATTCTTTGGTTCCTTTGGAATTAAATCTTCAGGTAATTTCTTCTTCAATTGAGATAATTTATCGTAATCACCAGCTAAGATTCTAGCAATAACCAATTCATCTCTTTCCTTAATTTCTCTTTCAGACTTACCTTGATTACTTAAGAACTCCTTAGCCTTTTCTGTATCACCATGGAAATAAGTTTCCATTGCTCTTAATCTTAATTCCTTTTCAGCCCATTCTGGACCTTCTAAATTCCGTTTCTTCATTTGAGCAGTATATTTAGCATAAGCCACATAAATGAAAATTGGTAATACTAAATAAAAATAAGGAAATTCCCAACCTTCAGCCTTTTCAGTTTCTCTAATGATCTTCCATTTCAATTCACCAGTGGCTTCATCCTTATAAGGAATTTTATCAATGATTTTCCCAGCATCTTTAGAGACAAATTGGAAATTAGTTAAATCTTGAGAATTATCTTTAAATAATTGTAATTGTTCCAGAGGAATCCCTGGTAATATAAAGTTCCATTCCGAATGGTTTCTCTTATAATACAAGTTTTGTAATTCAGAAATGGTTCTAAATTCTTCATCACTTGGAACTCTGGGGGTTCCATCAATATTGGTATAAATTCTGGTAACACTGGGAAGCGTATCTAATTTACTCCGAATGTCTTGTTCTAATTGGTAATTGAACTTACTGGGTTTAAGTTTACCCAAACTCAGAAATGGTAATTTGAATGTGAATTTAACCATAGCTCAATTAGTTGATGTTTTATGTAAGAGTTCTATGGAAGAGGTTTAACGATTGTTTTTGACTAGTGAATTGAGAAAGTCGATTTCAAAATGTTTGGCACTGATTGGGCAGAAAATTTTTAGTGTTGGTGAGTACACGAATACCAATCTAGGGGCGCTACCAGTGAATGTATCTTATACATACCCATTATTTGCAACCATTCATGAAGTAATGTATAACTGCTTTCACTCTTGTTCATGGAAAAGAATAAGAACCTTGATAAAGGTGACTGAGTTTACGTAAAATGAGTTGACATTTTTGTATTAACCTTTTTAGTTTATGCAGATCACGTGCATTAACTCATACTAACCTCCCATACAAATAACGATTAACCCGGTCACAGACATGTATTACATGAGTGTTTTCGTACTTAAAGCAATCTTCTGTCTTCCACTCTAGTTTATTTCAAATATCTTATTATACTACTAATTGTAACTATACTATGCTTCATCAACACAAAAGTTGATTACTTGAGTACTCTACTGTTAGGTCTATACGTTCCTCTGTTATTCGATCCATGATCCATGGTGTACATTCATTCTATTTTATGTCTGTTTCTCTTTATAGATCATTGCATTTTGTATCATCGTGGCATTATTTATCTCCAAATGCCAGGAATCCCATGGTTCTAGCAATTTCATTGTCTGATTCAGAATCCTCACTAAGTTGCTTCTTGTTCTTGAGTTTCTTATTCTTGGCTCTACGTCTCCGTCGTTTCTCCTTCCATTCAAGCTCAAAACGTTTCCGACGCTCGATCCGTTCTTGGATAGAAACTAATTCATCTGGTGTACGGTCTTTAATTTGTTTTTCTACCATTGCTTCCATAGTGTTGATCACATGAGCCAACGTTGCCCGTCGAATACCACCTTCAAGTTCTTCAGTTGTATCTTCGTCGTCGTCATCATCATCATTGTCATGTGATTTGTTTTTTCTAGAGAGGTGCTTCACTTTAGCTAAATGTTGCGGAGAGTTGATATGATCAATAAGTGCAAGGTTATCTTTGAATGAAAAGGAACAAACAGGACATGTGAACCCAAATCTTACATGACCTCCAGTCAGAAGATCTGTAGGATCTATGATACTATGTACTTTAACTTTCCCTATGGCTTCATCGATTATTCGAGTTCGATGTGAAATATATGTTGATGCATGTTCATTATTGATTCGATGGTCTTTATCGAGAACAATATCAACTTTCCGTTTCTTTGACCCCTTCCTTGCTTCTTCTTCGAATGCTTCTACATTCCAAGATTTTCGTCCATATTGATCCGTTGAAGTCTTGGACATCATCAAAAGTTGATGATATTGAAGATAAAGCTGATAATATCCTAGTGACTGTTCTATAAGAATCGATCATTGCGTCGTTGATTTTTCGTGTACTGTTGCACATTCACCCCACACTAAAATCATACAGCAAATTACTTACAATCAGGTACAACAATTGTACCAACAATTTGCTCCATTTCCCATCATGGATATAACCAAATTGTTAGGGTCAAAAGTATCAAAGCATGTGAAAACAGAAAGTCTCTCGGTCAAAAATGTGGAAAAGAGTGGCAAAGTATTACTGGGCTTCAATCTGCAATGGAACATTGTAGGAACACATCTCATCTACAATATCCCCAATAAGAAATTTGAAAGTGCTTCAGACACCACAATTAAGGTTGCAGCTTTTGATCTTGATGGAACTATTGCCCAAACAAAATCTAGTAGTAAGTTTGCAAGAGGACCCAGTGATTGGGTATGGTTTAATGAGCGTACCAAACAGAAGTTAGTTGATTTATTTATTGCAGGTTATCTTATTGTAATATTTACCAATCAAGGTGGAGTGGTGGCCTCCAAATCCAACAAATCGTATATGAATTTTATTAGTAGAGTGAATCAAATAGTTCAAGGGTTGAAGAGCTTGGACTCTAATATTGTGGATAATTTGTATGTGTTTGCATCTCCCAAGAAACCAGCAAAGTCGCAAGTCTCAAGTCCAGATTCACTCCATTCGTTAATGAGGAAGCCAGAGACGGGTATGTGGCAGGAATTTAAGAAAAGGCTTCCAGATACAGTGTTTATAGATGTCAGGAAGAGTTTCTATTGTGGAGATGCAGCTGGAAGACCAAAAGACTTTCTGGATAGTGATAAAGAATTTGCGGGAAACATTGGAATTGACTTTATAGTACCTGAAGATCTATTTACAAGTGACAATTCTATATACACGAAGGAACTGATACATTAATCATCCAATATTGACAATTCTTTAGCCATTTTATTTGGGCTGGAGGTGATCTTGATGGTTCTACCAACTGTTTCGAAATAGCCAGCAACATTAAGAATATTTCTTTCCATTTGAGTATCTTCCTTAGCTAATGAGTCTGTAAAATCCTTTTCCAAGACAATACAGCTTTCCAAGGTGGAAACTTCATTTTCAAACTTCATTGCTTCATCAGTTGTTTGGGGGTAATTCTTTAAGATAAAGTTGGTATTATGTTGACCACGACTAGTGTTCAAGTAAAACTCTACTTCCTTCTTAATTATAGCTGTGATCAACCCTTTAGGATATGACTTCGATTGTTGGTCCAAATCCTTCAATAATAATGAGTATTTTTTCGTTACATCTTCCTTTTCAGCTGCAATCAATTGATCGATGTCCAAGATTTTCACTTCTTGGTCAGAGAGTTTTTCTGTCAACTTTTCAATATATTTTTCAGTTTTCACATAAGGCACAGCAAAGAATCGATATTTATCATTTTGAAGAATCAACTTATGTCTTCTTTTCAACCCAGTCACATTCTCATATTCTTCGTATTCCTTATCAGAAAAGGAGAACTTTGGTCTGGTATTTTTTTCCATTTTCCCTGTGGCAAGGTATAATAACCCTGAAGACATTAAAAACATCAAAAATACACTGGTAAGTCTACCTTTTTCACGTTTGATTACCTCCCTTCTTGGGGTCACACCTGAGTAACATCTGCTAAAGGATGACAATGGCAATCTTCTGAATCCGATTCTTGGAGCAAATCTACTACTAAACATCACAGATACTTTCCAAGTTTCAAATTTGGTACTATTTTTACTCCATCTTTTTGATTTATGGAGTGATAAAAATGTGGGCTGGTTTGTGCAATTTCCGAGGAGGACGTGACGACATTATAGGTTTACACAAATGTCGCACTCTCTGGCTCTCTCGCTACGACATATTTGTATGGGGAAAATCGAAAATTTTTCAACTAACCAAAGTAACAGTACTAACTAACTAAGGACTACAAACTACCACTAATATACCCAGTCTAGCCCAGATTCTTTGCATATAGTACCAGTCACAATGTCATTGGTACATTTATCGAATTTCTCAGCACATTTGAAGAACTGTTTGAGGATAAATCAAACTATTACATCAGTTCCATATTCAAGATTACACCTTCAAATAGCACTTGGTTTATATAAGGAAGGATTCATTTCACTGTTACAAAGAGGTAGTTTAACAGGTCCAGATGAAAGTCCCGTGGATGTAACTCCAGATAATATTGCTACCAGAAGATTATGGTTGGGGTTGAAATATAGAAACAATCAACCAGTGATTAGACAATTTCTGATGATCAGTAAACCAAGCAGAAAAGTTAACTTAACCACCAAAGAAATCAAAGCTCTTGCAAGTGGATTGCCTGTAAGATTTATTCTGCCATTGCAACCGGCTGAATGTATTTTCATGAAGACAAAAGGTGATAAGATTTACGAAATTCAAGAAGCTGCAAAGAAGGAACTTGAAGGTATGGTGTTGTGTAGAATTAGATAGAGATGGGGGTCTCTACTATCCATAATACATCTGTAAATAGAAATAATCAACAAATTATTTAACGTTATTAAAGAGCCACTCTGGGTGAAGAGATATTCCAGTTTATCATATTAACTTGCCAGCCTTTCCATCTCTTTAAGTTATCTCTAAAGTCCGAAGTCTGAGGTATTTCCACTGATCCTCTTGGTAGGTACTCATTCAACGTAATTGGGGGTTTAATTGGTCTATCAGGTGACCGAATTGGTGGTGGTGGGGATAAGATGGGGGTTGAAATAGGCTTACTCTTTATGGAAACAGCATCTGGACTAGAAGCTGGTGTAGTATTAATGGAATCCATAATAGGTGGTTTCAAATTAGATGTGTGACGGTTCAATCCAACAGTGTAAGTTGTAGTGACATCAATGCTAGAAGCTGGTAAGTCTTCTTCTTCGTCCTCACCAGCGGGATCTGTTGATAAAATATCTCTATTTGATTCATTCTTGCTTAAATCATCCTCGGATGAACTCTCAGGTTTATCTGTTTCAGATGGTGGTTCATCAGTAATACTTTCTGTCAATGGTTCAAAAGCGGTTTGTTCATTCACATTATGTTCCACTGGGGAGTCTACTTCAACCTGGACTTCTTCCTTCTCCGCTTCCACGAGGGTCTCTTCAAGAAAAGCATGTGCTTCTGGATTCTCTTCTTCAAGGTTGTTTTCTGTTTTCGTATGCTCTTCAATTGGAGCATCCAGTGCCACGACATCGACCTCCTTAGGAAGTAATTCAGATTCCATAACGTCTTTTAACTGAGTCTCGCCAACATCAACCACAGACATATGTTCTTTGGGCTCCTCGAAATATTGTGAATCTTGATATACAGAATGATCATAAGGTGAATCTTCAGGAACATGTTGATATGGATTGTATGCTGATTCATACAATGGTTGTCTGTCATCTGGTTTGAATTCGGTAGACTTTAATGATTTCAAAAAGTCTGACTCAATCATATCCTCCTTTGGCATATCAGTGTTTGCTGTTGAAGGCAAGGTAACTTGAGTCTTGAAGCTGAGATCTTCGAAGTCATTGCTGATGTCCTTTGCAAGTCCAAGTGCAACTTGTTGACTCTTTGACAGCTCGTTGCCTTCTCTGATTTTGGTAAAACTCTCGATTTCAGTTACTTCTGGCAGAAGATCAGTTTTATCTGTTATTTCCACATCTTCTTGAGAGATTGCAGTAATATGATGATCGTCTTCGTCCACTACATCATTGAGATCAAGTTCATTTACATCATCAATCATTGAATCAGATTCGTGTTCCTTATCATTCACAGTATCATTGAGATCATTCACAGTATCATTGAGATCAATTTCGTGATCAATGGAATCTGATTGTTCATTAGAAGAAGTATCATCAGTTACCTTAGAAACTTCAAATGTGTCTTCTTCAGTATGAACTTCTTCAGTTGTATTTGATTTAGAAAGATCTTTGGGATCTACTTCTTGGTGTTCGTCAATGGCTCCCACTCCCGCATTTAAATCCTCAGCTGGTGGTGTTGTTATTTGGATATCAGCTCCAGTCTTAGCTTTAGAATCATTTTCGTCTTTTGTTTGATTATTATCTTGTACATCAAGCACTCCACTGGAAACATGATTTTCTAGTGCACTCTCTTCTTCCAATAACTCCAAAATTATGGGCTCAGTCACTTCTGGAGCAAGCTCTCCTATTTTCAAACCAGGAGTTGCTATCTCCTCAAATATGTTACTTGAAGAACTTTCGCTATTAGTAATTTCTTGTTTGATATTTCCTTTATCTTCATCCAACTTTAACTCAGGTATTGTCTCTTCTATATCAAGCACTACTTCCATGTTCAGATTGTTATGTTCTTCTGAGGCCCCAGTTTCATCTTGTTCAGTTGTAGGGCGTTCTTTCCGTTCTTTATGAACATCATCCTCTGGGAGCGTTTCTTCGTCATTGATTCCATCCGAATCTAGAAGCTCATCATCCAATAAGTCGCTATCAAGAAGTGGATCGTCCATGAAAAGCTCTAGAAGCTTTTCCCTTTGAACAGTCTGAGTTTGGGGATCGTCCTCCAGTTTACCTCCCTGAGATTCAGATTCAACTGCTTCTTCAATATGCGGCGATTCCATCTCTTTACCATTATCTTCGTTTAATTCTAAAGCATTTTGTATTTCTACTTCTTCGATCAATGGTTTGTTAGACTCGCTAAGTTCAGGTGGTTCACCTATTTCGGTCTCTTGCGAAAACAAAGGTGGAGATGAAGAAGTTACATTATCTGGAACTGAATTTTCTTGCTGTTGATTAACGGAATCATCAACAAACTCATCTTTTAATGATTCCTCTACTTCTTCAACTGCTGTATCAACTTCAACAGGTACAGCTTGGTCTTCAGGTACCACCTTGGAATCTTCAGAATCCTCAATGGGTTTCTTTAGAGTCTTTGACGTCGTCAATTCGGTCTCTAGATCCATTATTCTCTCATCCAATTCCATTTTAACTAAAAGCAAGTCTCTATTGTCATTCTTTAGTTCATTAATGATCGACTCTTGTTTCTTCAATTCCGTCACTTGTTTCAGTATGGTAATTTCATGGGCAACAATAATATCATTAAGTTTGGCAATCTCTTGCTTGAGCATGGATACCATTACGTCATCCGAATTAATAGATGAAGATGTCCTTCTTGATACTGGTTCGATGGGTAATACTGGTGAATGCAAATTGGGAGTTGTATCTCCAGTCGAATGCTTGTGTTCTTGTCTTCGACGTTTCATTTCTTCAATGCGCCTCCGAGCGCCTTCAATTCCTAGAGAACCTTCGTCACCCATGCTGTGTTGTTATTAAGTGTTGCAATGGTGGTGGTGTTCGTGGCAGAAGTTTATGAGTGGAAGCAAAACAAATATATAGGAGCCTCGGAATATATGTTTACCGAGGGTAGACTCGGGATACGCTGGTCGGATTCAAGTAAAGAAGAATAAGGGCAAAGTATATTTAAAATTACCTCTGCTAGGCCTGACACATTGGTAATAATCAGTAAACAGAAGCAGTATTCAATATACTAAAATATTATTTGGTGATTTCTCGTTGACGCTTGGTACAATATTGAACTCAGCATAGTCTACATTTGAACAGCTAGTTGCAATGCTCACAATGTTCTCTGAATTTAGTGAAAGACATCAGTTTCTTAAATTTAATACTGATAAGAGAGTTTTACGTTCCATAAATTCTCATTTCCGTTATAGTATTACTTTGTTATACTTTGTTAGTCCTTCTTAGTAGTATTTGAGTAGAAGAATGTAGTACGATTGGGCAAGTAATTTTCTGCAGCTACTCAACTGCACCAACGCCTTGCCCTTAATTCATAGTTACCTTGTACACTTTAATGTTACTTCCTACTTTTGCCAACTCAAGCACTCTTGTTTGAAATTTATTGTTGACTTCTTCTGGACCATACTTTTTCCACTTCCTGAGACATAATGGATCGAAACTCAATGTCGAAAATTTTCATTGTTCACGACGTTATTTCATTCGGTTAAATAAAACCAGCTACCTAAATACAGCTTTCGAACTGTCTCTGTTGTCGTGATCTATTCTTTAGTGGACAGCTCAGTATATGGGCACTTTCGTCTAGGACGTTGAAAAGCCTTGCAGAAAATTGTTTGGCGTCGCTAAATCGGCTAAACAAAGAAATCAAAGATAATTGATTGAACTTCTTGTATGAGTATTACTACAAGCTTTTGCATTCAAGAAAGTGAATAATTCTGTTATGTTATCTTATCTCTGCAATCATGTTGCAACCATACATGAATAACTGCATACATTGATGTTTCCTCGTAACTCAGATCCGAAAGTCAAACGAGGGTATTTTCTTCTCCACAATTGCAATGCTTCTTCATAACTGAATTTATATTTATACGTTACCAAACAATTAACAATAGTCACAAACGAGAGCAAGACGTTTGCATTTAAGCAATCGGCTTATGGAAGTTTCAAATAATTGCCTGACTGGGGGTAGTTCTATATTTGCTCTTTGTGAGTCATATCGAGTTCCGAGGGTACGATCTTGAGAGATACGAGTAATTTCAAACTGATCTACCACTTCAATACCATTTCTTCACTTCTCCGAGGATTTAAGAGTTTAAGCATATAGTCAGCTAATGTCACAGACGACTACAGAACGCATTTCTTTACAAAGCTTAAGCACAAGCAATGCTTCTAGCCACGATGTGCTGTCTATGACCTCTACAAATGTCTACCATCATCATGGCATTCTGAATTTGCCATCACAAGACTTACATAATTCACAAGATGGTGCATCTCGGTTGACATACAGAGGAGCTGAGCCTGATAGAAGATCGGTAAAGTCAATTGAAAACATCATGTATCAAAATGAAATTACTACTGATTTTCCTGATGGAGGGATCAGAGCTTGGTTGGTGGTATTGGGATGTTTTATAGGATTGATTGCAGTATTTGGTATTCCTAATGCTATGGGTGCTATTGAAGCATATGTTTCCACCAATCAATTACTGGAGATTCTGCACTCAAGTGTTTCTTGGATTTTCTCAATAAATCTAGCTATGCAATGTTTTGGTGGGGTTTTCTTTGGTGAATTGTTTGATCGATATGGCACAACTTGGCCTCTTTTGATAGCTACTTGCATTATGACCACAGGCTTGTTATTAACAGCGGAACTGACACAGTTATATCAATTTGTGCTACTGTTTGGAGTGCTAACAGGTTTGGGTAACTCTGTGGCTCAATCACCATTAATTGGTTCTGTTTCTCATTGGTTCTTGAAGAAAAGAGGGACCGCTCTTAGTATTGCTACTGTGGGAGGTTTAGTTGGTGGTACAATTTTCACTGTTATGTTGCAGAACTTGTATACATCCGTAGGTTTCAAATGGGCTATGAGGATTCTCCTGTTTGTATGTCTTGGATGTATGATATTGGGAACCTTATTAGTCAAAGAAAGGAAACCGGAACCAGTTGTGAAAACAAAATTTGAGTTGATTCCATTTTTGAAAGGAGCTTTGGATTTCACTATTGTTAAAGATATAAGATTTGTTACTTTGACATTGGCTGCTTGTTTAGCAGAAATTATTGCCATGACCATTTTAACGTACTTGGCAAGTTATGCAATTGGAATGAGTATTCCCAGTTCCAAAGCTTATTTGATTCTTACCATAGTTAATTTATGTGGGATTCCTTCTAGATTTTTCAGTGGAATACTAGCTGACAAATATGGAAGATTTAACATGATGATTGCATCTGGTACATTAAGTACCATAGCCATTTTTGCACTATGGTTACCACTGAAACAATCTTTTAGTATACTAACTGCATTTGCTGTCGTTTTCGGTATAAGCTCTTCTGCTGTTATATCACTTATCCCAGTTTGTGCAGGCCAAATCTGTTCTGCTGATCGATTTGGAAAAGTTTATGGAACATTATATTTCTTTTTGGCATTCATGATATTATTGGGGACATATGTTTCTTCCGTAGTTATTGGTGATGCCACTCCTAAAGATTTCAAAAATTTCATCTTCTTTGAAGGTGCTGTGGGCTTTGCAAGTGTGGTTATGTGGGTATACGCTCGTTATACCGTTGTTGGCTTTAGATGGTGTAAATTTTAGAAAATTTTATTGGGAAGAAATTCTATTGGTTTGATTTTGACAGGGAATACTTTGCACAATGCTAAAGTAATTAACGCATAATTATTTTTTGGCATATGTCAAAGTTTTTAAACTTATTAACTTTAATGGTTATGGACAACCACTATGGTGAGATCGACTCTTGAACACTGTTGCAACAAACTGTGTGTATAACTGTCATACCGAATTAGGAAATGCGACACTAGTTATTGTGTCGATTTTTGCATTTTGATTTAGTGGTTATCATGTGACACAAACTGCCACTCATCTTGTGCTTATGCACGGCTACCGTTATTACACATGGCCGTACGTATGTATGTAAGTCTTAAAGACCGAAAATGTATTAGTCATGATACGGGACAATGCCATAGAGAGAGTCATAGAGTGCGCAATTGGTGACAGCAATCGCAAATCGAGACAATGGTCATCGAACGATCGAGCACCAATGCCATATCACTAAGGTACTAACCATCATTCATTACATTGGGTGTAACATTAATTATTCATGGTTAGGCCATTAGGTGATAATTGGTGACGGAATAACCACTAGCGTCTTTTTCGTGCCGGTGTGCATATAAACGAATAATGGTTTTCATTGTTCTCACTACCTTTAGCATCACAACCACCAGGGTACGTTTTTGGTTAGTATAGAATAATGAAAGGTTATATAGCCAAATTAATGAAGATTGGGATTGACAGGTCTTTTCAATCGTATTTATATACCGTGGTGTTGTCTGAATTTAACAGAAAGTCTTGGCTTTTTTAACCAAGTAATCCTTGCAATAACACAAAATGTCTGATATTATATCATCATTTGTTGAATTATACTCTAGAGAAGATGTATGCGAGCCTGATAATCATTACGATGGTAGAATGGGAGCCAGAATCTCTGCTATATTTGTGATTCTTGTGACTTCAGCCTTTGGCTCATTCTTCCCAATGTTGAGTTCAAAGTATTCATTTATTCGTATGCCTTCATGGTGTTTTTTCACTGCCAAATATTTTGGTTCCGGTGTGATTCTTGCAACTGCTTTTGTCCATTTATTAGGACCTGCTGCTGAATCTTTGAGTAGTGAATGTTTGGGTGCACCATTTACCACTTATCCATGGGCATTTGGAATAGCCTTGATGTCTCTTTGTCTTTTGTTCTTCGTTGAATTAATTGCATACCGTTATGTTGAATGGAATACTGCTAAATATAGTGGAGAAGGAGAAGAAAATGGTGTACATTCTCATTCTCATTTTGGTGATCAATCTGTTTACCTCAAAAAGGCAAAGGAAGTTGAAGCTGAAGAAGAAGTAGAAACTTCTTCGGAAAAGCTACAAACCCTGGAAAAATTCAAGGATCAACAACAACAAGAACAAAGATACCCAAGTCATTTCTCTCATGCTGCTGAACATCAAGATCCAGAAGTTATTGGTACTCCTGCAAATGATCTTGAGAAGGAACAATATTTCGGTCAAGTTATTAATGTCTTGGTATTAGAATTTGGTGTTCTTTTCCATTCTGTGTTTATTGGATTGTCCCTTGCAGTTGCCGGTGAAGAATTTGTTTCACTTTACATTGTTCTTGTATTCCATCAAATGTTTGAAGGTTTAGGTATTGGAACTAGAGTTGCTACTACAGCTTGGCCAAAGAGTAAAAGATGGATTGCATGGTCCCTTTGTGTGATGTATAGCTTAACTACACCAATTGCTATTGCTATTGGATTGGGAGTTAGAAAAACATACCCTCCAGGTTCAAGAAGATCTTTAATTGTTAGTGGTGTATTCGATGCTTTATCAGCTGGTGTTCTTCTTTATGCTGGGTTAGTTGAATTAATGGCTCATGAATTCTTATTCTCCAATGAATTTAAAGGACCTGGTGGATTTAAAAAGATGATCTTTGCATTCATTATTTTATGTTTTGGAGCTGGTATCATGGCTCTTTTGGGTAGATGGGCTTAATTTATTTATCTGCTTTATGTATAGACTTCTTTTTATATTATATACATTAATATATTGTATCTTTTCAGCAAGTGTAATTGGACCAAAATGCTAGCTCGCCAACAAAATGTACCAAGGAACTGGTACAACAGATTCTAGAGTCCTTGATGTATATATCGTTGAAGGTCGCAGCATAGATTTTGGTTCCGTCCTGTATATAAATACAATTCTGACGACATTGCTTCACCCAAAATTTGTCTCCTTCGTTGACCAAAACAGTATCCCTTATGATTACGTAGTACTATCATCACACACAACGATATATACCTTCAACCTGTTACAGATATTACATAGTAGCTTTACTCTTTGCAAATTACATTAATCACGCTTCGAAGAACTTTTTTGATAAACATTCCACTTTATAATTACAGCGATGGTTGAAACATTGTCTAATCCTAACGACTTTATATTGTCATTACTGCCAGAACAAATTGCCCATGATCAAAAGATAGGTGTAAAAGCTATACGGTTATTTTTACAATCAAAGACTTCATATGACGTTTTACCTGTTTCCTATCGGTTAATAGTGTTGGATACTTCACTTCTTGTTAAGAAATCCTTAAATATACTTTTACAAAATAACATAGTTAGTGCTCCCTTATGGAATCTGAAAACCAGTCGTTTTGCAGGGTTATTGACTCTGAGTGATTTTATTAATGTTATCCAATATTATTTCCAATTTCCAGAAAAGTTTGAATTTGTCGATCAATTAACATTAGATGGGTTAAGAGATATTGAAAAGGCCATTAGTGTTGATCAAATTGAAACTGTGTCTATTCATCCATTCAAATCCTTATATGAAGCATGTATTAAAATGTTGGAATCAAGAGCAAGAAGAATCCCTCTTATTGATGAAGATGAAAAGACCAAAAGAGAAATTGTTGTTTCTGTTTTAACTCAATATAGAATCTTGAAGTTTGTGGCTTTGAATTGTAAGGAAACAAAGATGTTACTAAAACCAATAAGAGATATCAGTGGGTTTGTTTCTGATAAACAATTATCTACATGTACTATGAGTACTCCTGTCATTGAAGTTATTCACATGTTAACTGAGAAACAAGTTGCTTCCATCCCAATTGTGGATGACGCAGGTAAACTTATCAATGTATATGAAGCCGTTGATGTCTTGGCTTTAGTGAAAGGTGGAATGTATACTGATTTAGATTTAAGTGTGGGAGATGCTTTATTAAGAAGACCAGAAGATTTCGAAGGTGTTCACACTTGTACTATGAATGATAGACTATCAACTATTATGGATACTATAAGGAAATCTCGTTTACATAGATTATTTGTTGTTGATGAGGAGGGGAAATTGGTATCTGTCATTACTCTTAGTGATATTTTGAAGTACATCTTACTTGGTGAGGATTGAACGTAATATATAATGTATGTATGTATGTATGAATGAATATATAGTAGATTTCTGTCAATCTATTTGTCGTATCTGTTTGCCTAATTAGGATAACTATTGCGCGCATTATGACTCTATGATGCCATTCCAAATTTGACATGATCTTCATCATACATTAGTCAGCCCAATACTATAAAGGCCTGGACATAGTCACACTCTTTGGTAGAGACAATTATTAGTATTGTGGTAGTACTCCCTCTAATAGAAGAACTTTTGGAACAAAGACGCTATTAATAAGAGAAGTATCTCTTATGGAGAACGGTTGTGGTAAAAAATACTTTAAATTGTATAGTACTACTATTTCCATTTACTTATTTATTGCACTCCACTCATTTCATCCATTTGCATGAGAGAAATAGCGTTCCGAAGGAAGGCCGATCTTCCTCAGATCACTTTACGTGCAACAATCACGGGTCTTTTAATTGGATCAGTGGTTCTCATATCTAATTTCCAATTTGGTCTTCAAACAGGCTGGGTATCGATGATGTCTCTCCCTAGTGCACTTTTAGGGTTCACCATATTTAAAGCAATTAAGCCCTTTCATAAACATTTTACAGATGTTGAGAATGTATATGTCCAAAGTTTGGCTGTGGCTGTGGGTACAGGCCCATTGGCTTATGGTTTAGTTGGTATTATACCAGCAATTGAAAAGTTCTTAACTCCAGAAGAAGCTGGAGGTCAAATATTCAAATTAACCACGTCACAATTAATGATATGGTCAACTGGTTTGGCATTTTTCGGAGTATTCTTTGCAGTTTTGCTTCGGAAACAAGTTATCATTAAAGAAAAGTTACCCTTTCCTTCTGGAAATGCAACTGCTACCCTTATCAGCGTATTGCATGGTAGTGAGACCTTACAACAAACTAAGAAGTATCTTCATTATCAGCCACAAGAAGAAGAAGAAGAACTGTTAAGTGATGTTAGTTTAGAACATCCTAAGAATGATATTCATGAGGCCCGATATCGTTCAAATATCTTCAATCTATCTATAACCTTCAGTGTGTCTGCCTTGTACACCATAGTATCGCATTTTTATTCCGGGTTAAGAAGTATACCATTATTTGGTTCATATTTATCACTGGAATACATGTGGAATTTCCAACCTCTGCCAGCATACATTGGACAAGGGATCATAATGGGATTACCTACAGTTTCTTATATGTTGTTTGGAGCTATTTTAGGTTGGGGGATATTGGCACCAATGGCTAGACATGAAGGATGGGCACCTGGTGACATAGACAACTGGATTAATGGGGGCCAAGGGTGGATATTGTGGATAAGTTTGAGTGCTATGATTAGTGATTCTATAGTAGCATTTGTGGTTATTACCATAAAGTCTATTTTTTCAGTACTATTCTCTTTGGATGATGAAGAAGAAGAAGTTGAAAGTACTGATGATAATGTTGATTATAATGATAATGTTGATGAAGAAACCACTTTGATAGCATCAGATGAAAATCGTATTATACTGTTTAATTCAGGTGAATCAACATATACTGAACTGAGACCACGGAATTTATTCCGTTCCAAAAGCAGAGAATCGAAATTCGATGATGATTACATAGACCATAAGAAACACTCTATCCCCCCCATTACAGTGATTCTTGGCTTGATTCTATCTTCAGTATTGTGTGTTGTATGTGTCAGAAGTGTGTTTGGACCCATAATCCCATATTATGCCCTTGTATGTGCTATTATACTAGCGTTATTCTTTTCTGTGTTGGGTGTAAGGGCGCTCGGAGAAACAGACTTGAATCCCGTTAGTGGCATAGGGAAGTTATCTCAATTGATATTTGCTGTGATTATACCGGCAAACCACCCGTTTAAAATCCTCATTAACATTGTGGCGGGGGGTATAGCAGAAGCTGGAGCCCAACAAGCAGGTGATTTAATGCAAGATTTGAAAACCGGTCATTTATTAGGGGCCTCACCAAAAGCTCAATTCATCGCACAAATTATTGGAACTTTATACTCCATAATATTGGCTCCTATAATGTATAAGGTGTACAATTCAGTGTATGAAATCCCAGGTTCACTTTTCAGAATCCCAACAGCCGTGGTCTGGATTGACTGCTCAAGATTAGTCACTGGTGATGGCTTACCACCTCATGTATGGGAGTATTGCCTTATATTTGGGATCATTTTCGGAGCCATTTCATTAGTGAAAAATACTATTCCAATTGAGAATAAACTTTCAAAATATCTTGTATTTTTACCCAATGGAGTTGCTGTGGGTGTTGGAATGTACAATACGCCTAACTTCACATTGGCCAGGTTTGTTGGAGGGATTATTCTGCATTTCTGGAACGTTGATGATAAAATCGCCTTGATTATCTTTAGTAGTGGGTTGGTATTGGGTGAAGGTTTATTAAGTGCATTTACAATGTTATTAACTAGTTTTGGATATTGATACATTAATACTATACAGTAATTACTATTAAGCATTAGTTGCTTCAGCATTATTTTTTTTATTGATGATTTCTCTCTTTGTCTGCCATTATCCTTTGATTAATCAAATAAATCGCAGTGTTGATGGAATGTAACGATCCGGTTAATGTCAATTTTCTAACTGAGGTCAACCCCTTACCGCCTCCCAACATAAGGGTTTGGTTATTATCAGGTTCAATCTTAACATATGTACACCGACTATATTCTCGAATATGTCTTATGTTGTTTCCTTTTTTCCCAATAACTGAACCTATGTTCTCATTGGAGACAAACACATCTTGGTTGTACTTATCAGCTGTGGTGGTAGGCATGGGTGGGTGAGTAATCACATCTCCAATCATGTTATTTCCATGTTCATCAGTATACAGATTTTGTGTTTGAAGAGGTACATTGGGATTACCTTGTCCCATTTGATGTGGTGATGGTGCATGCATATTAGGTGGAGCATGATGGTGAGGGTATTGAGGATGCATTGCTGGTTGAAACATCATTTGGAAATTATAGTTTTGAGGTTGCATTTGAGGAGGAGGTTGCTGCTGTTGCTGCTGTTGCTGTTGTTGTTGATGTGGTGGAAGGTGTTGAGAAGGATGCTTATTAATAGCAGCTCCAGGATAGGTGTCTCTAGTTGCAGCAGGGTAAAGAGGTCCATTCCCCATCATGTTGGGAATGATATTATTATTATTATGTTGATAATTTGCAGGATTATAGAAAACAATTTTATTCTTTTTAAGACAATCCTTATGTTCCAACATAACTTGTGAAATATAATATATGGCAATATGAATGGCATCTCCAACACCTGTGATAGAGAGTATTCTATCAGTAGAATATGGTAATGGTTGTTCTGTGGCCTTTAATTTGGCTGCAGAGCTTTCCTCTATTTCTCTAAACTTACTTCCCAGTTTCCCAATAATAAAGCCAACCATTGGATGAGGTACTAAAATCTTCAACATATATGGTCTACTTAAAACTGAGGCTGGTTCATCTTCTGGTTCATCCAAAATGGTTCTGGTTATTAATCCAAAGGCTCTAGCAACATTTTCTGCTGGTCCTTTAACCAGAATGATTCTTTCAGGATTGTTTTTATGATTATCACTAACATAAATTCGAACATTGGCCTTTTCTCGAATATGATGAATCTTCTCTCCACGTTTCCCCACAATCGTACTAGCTTCCTTCACAGGACAAAACATCCGGAATGATACATATGTTGGATCATTCTCTTTTTCTCTATGATTCAGTACCGGTTTGGCCAGTGCAGACGTTTGAGAACCCTCCACCGTTTGTCCTTCTTCAAGCATTTCTCCTCCCATTGGAGTTGTTGAACTTGCTTCCTCTTGAATTCCTCCATTACCACTTGCATCTGTGTCTATAGCATCCACTATTTCTGAATCTTGTGATGGTGATGTTGATGATACTTCAGGAGGGAGTTGTTCTGAAAACTCTACACTCTCTGTAGGTTCAGATATCTTATTTATAATAGGTGCGGTTTGGGCTTCTTCTTGTTCGATATCCTTTAAATCTAATTGCTCACTATCAAGAGCTACCCTTTTATTCAATTGGTCGTCATTAGATGACTCAGGGTCTTCGTTCTTACGTTTTAAGATATTAGTAGACATTTTGACTTATTGCCTTCTGCTTCTTCTTCTATACTTCTGCCTACTCAATTTTTTCGTTTGTAATCAATTCCAACGGACAATTCCGTGCCAATACGCTATACAGCTAACTCCAATCACTCACGTATAGTGTCTCTCGTGTCAATACTATAAAGCTTGGCGTTGATGTATTCTACCTATATTATTTATTTATCGTGTCTCCTTGATCTGTTGTATCGACTGGGTCTCGAAAATTTTTCCGGTTGGGGAACTGACACAAAGAAAAACAGATATTCGGTCAAGCGAGATTATCATGGGATTAAAATGACACGACAACTTAAGTTGACTAATGTGATAAGTCATTCAATAATAGACAATTAGACGTGTAGAAATGAAGCAAATGAATTTCAGTTGGATTGGGATTAGCAATAATTTCGCCGTTGACTTTAACTGAGCTGTCAACTCTAGGTGTTTTTACTAATGTTAAGTAATAGACATTGTTATGATAAAATGAAATGAATATGTAACTACTTCAATCTTGTGGTTATGATTCAAAAAAAGAAGAAAGAGAGAATCATTCTAGATATCGTTCAATGGTTCCCCTTTAATACTTTTTAGCAGCCAAAACAAAAGTATTCGTGTACTGTATACAATTGTTACCTATGCTTACCTAATCATTGGACTTAACTTAATATAAGAATCGTGTTTTACTAACAGGATATATTTTTATATCTCCCGGTCTGCAAAAGATTGAATCATGCCGACTTCAGTTTCTTCATATTCCTTGACAAAAAATTCTCCATTTTCACCCAAGAAAGTATTCCCTTGGATCAATTGTCTTCTAGGTAATTTCTTAGCAAGTACAACGTCACGGAAACGGGAAAATTCAGGTGTAACTTCTGTAATATCGGTGTAATATGCAACCCCTTCAATGACATTCCCTGTGGCTTTGAAAACATGTAAATTTAACAAAAAGTCACCCAAAGCCTCAACACCAGCTGTGGTCAACTTCAGCTTATCAACAACCATTAACAAATCAGAGAAAGTCTCATTATCCGTGTATTTCAATGAAGCAACGCCAGCTTTGAAAAGTGTCTTGAAAATACCAAAACGTGCTTGCATGTGAGGTTGACCCCATTTCTTTGATTCTGGATCCCAAAATTCTAATGCCAACAAGCCAGCTCTACACATTAATACTGTAGCAATGTACATCACGTCATCTTGCTCTTGGGCATCATTTATGCCAAAAATTGGCAATACTTCTAATGGTTTCTTCAAAATAAGATAAAGAGCAACCAATTCGGCTCTACATTCTTCAAAAGAACCAGAAGTTAATCCAAAAAGCGAGCCCCAAGTTTGACTTGGTTTGTAGTAATTGACAATTTCAGGGTGTCCTTCCTTGTCAAAGTTAAATACACCAGGACTAGTTTCTTGTAATAACTTACCAGTTCCATGACCTAACAATTCATGTAAACCAACTTGTACTTCAAAAGCATCATCCCTCCATTTACGGAACAATTCTTGCAATCCTTCTTCCAAAAATGTTATCACTTCTTGCTTCTTGGGCTTTTTGGGGTTCGCTGATAAAACATTGCCAAGAGATACATTTTTAAATCCAACATTGAGTCTAACATCATCATAGTTTGGAATGTTAATACCAGCTGGAATACCTGAACCAGCAAAGGTCAATACTTCTAAAGAAGTGAAATCTGGTGGAGTGAAAGTATCCTTTTCATAAAGCTTATCCCATGGTAAATATTTAATCAAAGTGGTAGCATTTTCAACCAATGATGAGAATTTTGCAGTTCTTTCATGATTAACCATAGCAACGAGTCCTTCCCATTCACCACGAACACCACTGGGATCTCTGTAAGTTTCAATGAATCCAATATTGGTTTCAACTGCTGGTTTTAAATCCTTAACCCATTGTTTTTGAGATTCCTTGTGCGCATTCATTGATCCGGTAGCAAATGATTCAATATAATTATCCAACATTTTTCTTTGGGTATCATTGGAAGCAGAATCACGGGCTTTCTTAAGGTTTTCAACTATTTGAATGAATTCTGGAGCATGATCACCAAATTTGAATTCAATCTTGGCACCCTTAGAGGTAGTAATAGTATCAGGGTAATAACCAGTTTTGTTTGTAGCTTCCGCTGAGGCAACATGCACAATAAAGTCCGTGGGAGAAACCTTTTCAACTCTGGTATTTTCTGGCATTATACCCTTGGACATTAAAGCACTATTGACATCAACAACTTCATCTTCTAAAATAGATGCGCTTTCAGGATAATAAGCTGACACTTGATTCTTTTCTGGCCAGCCGAGTAAAGGTTTATCAGTTGAATAGATAGCATTACTGATACTCTTGTACTTAGCAAGAAGTTCAGAATCTTCCGAAAATACAAAGAGAGCCAACTTGTCAAATTCAGAGTGAGGCAACTTAGGTATAAACTTCTTATCACCAAACAGCTTGTAGTTACCCAAATTAGATAAAAATTGAGAAGCATATTCCAAATACCACAATGTTTTTTCAGGAGTGAAAACATCCTTCAACTTTTCAGTATAAGTTTCTTGTGTGTCAGGAGACCCCAATTTGGAATGAATTCCAAGAATAACATCATAAATTGAATTGCTCTCAGGAGAAACAGACCTCAAAACAGCACGAGAACCCCAATGAGAAGCTTTTGACATGTAATGAGCGTATGCCTTTGCAGTCAGAGCATCGAAGTGAGGTTTAGCACTCAATTGCACAATAGGTGCTTCAGAATCAGCATAGAACGACATTGAGTGTGTAGAGGCAAGCTGATTAAAGATTGGATAGTTTATTCGAATAGCAATCTTTCTATAGAATCTATTTGAAATTGACGTGTCACAATTTAAGCGGAGGAAAACTTACACTGTGACTCTATACAATTGATAAGGAAATGGAGGAGCATACACGATTGTGGGCATAGCCATTAGTATTTATAATAAAACGAAATGGGTGGAAATCCTGGGGTTGGTCGTGCACGAAGATCAAATATTTTATAACTAAATTTGAGCCTTTGCTTTTACGGCATCAAATATATACAAGGGCAACCATATGGCAACCGATAAAGGGTTTATTTGATGCCATTAGGGACATAAGATGGCGGCACGAAAGACAAAATCCGCTGTTAAGTCTGCAGCCACTAAAAAGAGTGCACACAAAAAGGATATCACAGAAGAAGATGGTTCCACAATTGTAGAGCCAGCAAATGGTGAAGTCAACAAGATGAAGAATACTGAAGAACAGAATGAAGAGATCGTGATTGAACGAGAGAATAATGAAGAAAAGGGAGAAAAGGTGGAACAAGAAGCAGAAGAAGACGAGGAAGACTCCGATTACGATCCCAATGCGGTTCAAGAAAGCGATAGTGAAGGGGAATCAGATGAAGATAAAAGTGAGTATTCTAAAATTGAATCAGCAAGTGTTTCGCAAGTCCGAACAAGGTTTCAGAGACAACTTGATGCTGGGGGGTCAGGTGATGGGTCAGGATCATTAGTGGCCAATAACTCCAAACTAGATCTTGACTCTATCTTTGCAACATTGAATGACAAAACCATTAGTGATGAATGGAAACGCATGGTAACAAATGTAGATACAGAAAAATCAAAAGGCATAAGGGGCACACTGTCTAGTTTAACTTCAATAAAGGAACCGCTGCAAGAGCTACAACAACAATCACAAACTTTAGAGAAAGACAAAATTAGAATTGAAACCACTTATACATTTGCAGGAAAGATTATCACAGAATCTAAATTGGTGGATGCTGATTCTGCTGAGGCAAGAGTTTATCAAAATTCTACTGACTTAATAAACAAGTCAAGTAGTGAATCTATGAAAGGCAGACGGTCATTCATACCGGTTATTAGAACTATACCAGGAGAATCAGAGCCTGTGGCATTAAGAATAAAGTTGAAAAGGCCATCATTAATTGATAAGTTTTTGGATACTTATCTGAATAAGAAACTGAAGCTTTCAACACTTGAAAAGTCACGGTTAGATTGGGCAAGTTTTGTTGACAAAAAGCAAATCCAAGATGAATTACGAGTGGCTAATAAAGCAGGGTATTTGGATAAACAAGACTTTTTGCATCGTGTGGAGTGGAAACGAGATGAACAATATAAGAAGGCTAAGGAATTGGATAGACAACAGAAGCTTAAAGAGGAACAGAGTCATTAAGAGGAACACAGTTATTTGAAGTATTATAAATAAGTAAGAACAGGATAAATTTACTAAACATTAATAGTATGATATAATGCAGTATTATGTAGAACAGTGTATTAGAATAATAAAGCAAGGTATGAGATACTAGTATGATGTACTAAATATCTATCCAACACGTGACCATCCCCGGTTCCGAAAAGTCCGTATTCCGACTTTTATCAGTGGACAGAAACCTGTTAGCAGCATCCTACACCACAACTACCCTATACAGATACTGCCTTAAGGATGTTGATACGATCTCTTGGGATAGCTCACTTGACAAGTGCTGCTAGATGCCAGAGTCTTTTATCAATTAGATATTTGAATCTGTTGGGACATCAGCATGGAAGGAGCATGATGACCAGATGCCAGACACTGGATAATCAATTGATCCAATGTCGAACCCAATTCCATACGAGCACGAGGCTTTTAAATGAGACTACTAAGCTGGAACAACTGATCGACGAACAAGCGATTGCGGACAAGGTGCTTTTCCAACCTGTTCGAGAAAGAATTGAAGCAATAAAACGAAAACGAATAGAAGAAGTGGAACAGAAGACAGAAGAACAACAAAGTCAAAAGAAATCATTCAAAGACAATATAAGAACAATTGGGAGAATTATAAGACTCGGTAAACCGGATATTAAGCTATTTTTGTATGCTTTAGGGTTTATTTTATTTGCGGTATTGTATCCAACTACAGCAGTTAAACTTGTTGGTGCATCTATTGATGCCTTCAATAATGGAACCTTAGATGAGGATGGCAATCTTCTGATTTGGGGATATAAATATTCTACTGTTTTTGGTGTTATGGTGCCATTCATGTGTGTTAGTGCTGTTTGCTTCTGGGCAAGAATATGGACATTGAAAGTATTGGGTGAAAGATTAGTTGCTCGATTAAGATTAAGAGTCATGAAGACATTATTAAGACATGATGCTACATTTTATGATCAAGAAAAGAATAAAGTTGGTGATTTAATCTCAAGATTATCAAGCGATGCTTATGTGGTTTCAAGATCTATTACTGGGAATTTACCTGATGGCCTAAAGAATTTACTTTTCGGTATCATCAGTGCTTATATGATGTTTTATATTAATCCTTTATTGTTTGGAGTTATGTTAATGATTTCTCCTCCAATTACTTTTGGTTCAGTATGGTATGGTGAAAAGATTCGAGCTTTATCATCAAGATTACAAAATGCAGCTGCTGGACTTACAAAAGTAAGTGAAGAAACTTTAAATGCCACCAAATTAGTTCAAGCTTACACTGCTGAACAAAAGGAATTGACCAAATATTCAGATAAAATCCGGAAAGTCGTTCAAGTTGCCAGAAAGGAAGCCTTAGCTCAATCAAATTATCTGGTTTCTATTTATCTGTTATACCATTCTGGTTATTTGGCATGTATTACTTTGGGAGTTTACCTTATTATAAATGGTAAAATGAGTACTGGTGATGTTATTGCTTTCACGATGTATTCCGAGTTGTTTAACCTGGCTCTTTATAGTCTTACTACTACGTACATGGAACTTATGAAGGGAGCTGGGGCTGGTACTAGACTCTTTGAATTAATTGATTATAAGAGTGATGTTAATCCAGTTACTGGTAGTGAGAGGATGCCCAATAAAATCAATGGTGATATTGAATTTAAGGATGTTTGGTTTTCTTATCCTACCAGACCAAAGGAATGGGTCTTCCAGGGTGTTTCTTTCCATGTACCAAGTGGATCTTCAACATGTCTTGTAGCCCCCTCCGGAGCAGGGAAGTCGACCATTGCAACATTACTTTTAAGATCATATAACATTCAAAAGGGTGAAATTTTAATTGGAGGTACGGATATTTCTAAGCTTCAAGTGAGAGATTTAAGAAGAGAAATCATTGGAGTTGTTCAACAAGAACCAGTTTTATTAAGTGGGAGTATTTTGGAGAATATTGTTTATGGGTTAAGTCCTGAAGAGATTAACAAATTAACCATGGATGATGTTATTTCTGTTAGCAAGCAAGCCAATTGTCATGATTTTATTTGTGTTTTCCCTGAAGGATATGATACAATTATTGGATCAAGAGGTGCACTGTTATCTGGAGGACAAAAGCAAAGAATCGCCATTGCCAGAGCATTGATTAAGAGACCCAAGATTCTTATATTGGATGAGGCTACTTCGGCACTTGATTCTAAGCTGGAAAGTCTTATAAATGAGACATTAAAGGATTTAACTCTTCAAGGGAAATTAACCATCGTATCAATTGCTCATAGATTATCAACTATTTCCAAATCAGAGAACATTATTGTATTAGGAAAGAATGGGAAGGTGATTGAACAAGGTAAATTTGTTCAATTATTTCTGAATCCTGATTCTGAATTATCCAAGTTATTAGATGAATCGTTGTACATGCAACAAGAAGAGAAGATAAGTGAAGATGAAGTTGAAGAGATTGAACGAGAAGATCGAATTGCTCAACAAGTTGAAAATCATCAGAAAACAGAAAAGCTACAAGCTGTTAGATCGATTATTGATGAATTACCTTATGAATTGAGAAAACAACTTATTGAACAAATTAATAAAGATCTAGAATCAAATCATGAGGAGAATAGTATAACTAAATCAAAGATACTATCTTGATTTATAAACATTAAATATTCCTCTGTAAATAGGAAAGTATATTCACATAATCATAATGTACCATTGAGTATTCTGAATACATTTATTGACGGTAAATACTAAATAAATACTTCTTAATTCATTTATCCTTGTAAAGGCTTAACTTCTCCAGCAGCACCATTCTCAAAGGAAACAACCTTGGCTTCAGACACACCTCTCTTTTCAGCAGCAATCTTGAATTCGGGCTTCAAAGCAGCTCTGACAGCTCTGGCCGCAATGGCCATAGACTTGTTTAAGGAAATACCAGCTTGCTTAGCAATAGCAGCAGAAGACATCGTTAATGATTGGTGGGATGGATGAACTAATTACACTATGGGTTGTAGTTGGTGATATCTTTTCCGGCTTCGCATTTTTTTTCACGGTAGTTTCTGGCAGGCAATTTTGTGTTCTTCCCATCCTGTGTCACCATTGGCTGGATCTCAGTCACGTGAGTTACAGGTAGCACTATGGTAATATGATATATTGTAAGGTTATATACATCTAGTTGTTTCTCTTTGAATTCAACCAATTGATGAAATCAAAAAATAAAGAAGGTTGACCAATGCTCTTTGGACTCTTGGCCCATATTTTCATGGTCTCACTGTAAATATCAATGATGGTATCCAATGAATGAGGATTCAATCTCACCAATGTTTTGCACACAATTAATGATGATTGGTTACATGCTAAAAGATGACTTTGATTAGTGGATTTGGTTGATCTTAATTGTTCATGAATCCATTCAACAAGTTGAACAAGTGAATCCAAATACAAATCTCTTTCCTCTTGTGTAGTAAAGAATAACTTGATATCTTCCTCATCAACTTTGCATTTACCAAGTTTCATCTTGATTAATTTGTGAGCCTTATTCCCCAAATTCTTATCTAATGTTAGCCCAATTAATGTAATTAATGGTTTAATCATGTCTAAATTAAAATGAGAATTGGGATTAACAGTAATGAAAATCTCCAATAGATCCAATACTCTATTCTTAAAAAATATCACTTGTTCTTTGGCTTCAACAACGTCGGCTTTCCTCTTGTTCCCAGTCTCAATACTTGAAAGTGCATCTTGACGTTCTTTGAAAATCTTGGACAATTGATCGTCCATAGCCATCATATCTTCATCATCCATAGAATCCGATTCATAATCCGAGCCTTCATCAGAACTTAAATCTTCAAATTTAATTTCTCCTGATTCTTGTGTAGGCATTCCTAATGCTGCTGCTAATTTCTTGTTAGTTTCAAGGTCTACTTTGGACAATTGATCACCATTAGCTGAATCATCGTTATCGTCGTCTTTTTCCTCTTCTTCGACGTCATTTTCCTCTTCCTCTTCTTCGTCATCACCCTCTTCATCACTGCTCTCAAGGTTACTATCATCATCTTCACTACGAGAACCCGCTTCATTTTCTGAAACAAACTCATCTCCACCTTCAAAAAGTGTTTTCTGACCCTGCTTGTTCTCTCTTGCTATCAAGATATTGTATAGTAATTGAAAGGAATCCGCACCCAAAACAGGCTTACCCAAGCTATCAACCCCACGACATAAATACTTCTCCCATACAATACAAGAGAACTTCTTAAGTAACGTAGACTTTCTTGAAACAAACAGAAGAAGTACTTCCGTCAAAACAACACTGGAATCAACCAACTTCTCGTCATTAGGGTCTTTAACAAAGATATCCTCATAACAAAGCTTCAATTCGTTTAATACTTGAACTGCCTCTTCATCTCCAGTGTAAAGTTGAACTAATACCATAGAGAAAAGCAACTCAAAGCAATAGAATTGGTCTGCTTTCTTAGCATGTAACTTACTCAAGTCCTTAAATGAATCTAATAAGATCATGGTCTCACTCTTCACAGCATTCAATTCTTCATCTAACTCAGTGTAAAGTTCAAGACCTTGTTCCTCAAAGAGTTGGATCTGCTTGCAACAATAGAAAGACCAAGACATGGTCCCTTGTCTTTGAACAGAAATGAATTCGGACAACATTGAGTTCAACTTTTCTATAAAAATAGAGCTTAACTTTTCACCTGTTTCAAGTTCAGTTTTATCAATGGATTTGAATAATGCAAGACGAAGAATGAAGTTCAATATATCATCAAATATTCTGTAATCATCTTCCAACTGTTCTTTATGAGTTCTTACAACCAATAAAAACTTATCAGCAGCCCATTTCAAGACATTCTCATTTTGTTTATTCTTTTCAATAATAGACTTCAAAAGGACAACCACTTGATTCAATTGTAAAGACAGCATTTTCATAGAAAGGAGAGTATCAACTGTTTTTGATTTACTGAGAGCATCAAAGTTCCATCTACCACCTTTAGATTCATCAACTAGTGCAGTCAAAAGTTGGAATCCCTTTTCACTATCAGATTTGGAAACTTCAATGATCGTGGTAATTGTCTTGGACGCAATCTTATTGAGCATTCTATTTTGTTGGGCATTCTGATTGATAAGCGTTCTCATGAAGTTTGGAGTTATAAGACAACAAACAGGCATTTTTGAATTTAAATTCTTACAAAACTTGTTGAAGATATCAAACCCCCAGTACTTTCTTTCATGAGATGACTTTTCTGAGAAAAATGTTTCGTCAACAGCTGCTTTCCAAAATTCACCTATTGAAATATCTGATGACGATGATGATGATGACTCTTGAATCTTCTTTTGTTTCTTCTTTGATTTCTTATTTTCTGATTTTGATCTCTTTTTACCCTTTACTGTTTCTTCTAGTTGTTCGTCGTCTTGATATTTGTTATAATGTTCTAAGATCATGTCCCATACAAATGGAATACGAGGTTGCCATGAACCCTTCTGAGACAGTTTCTTCTTGGGAGATTCTTCAGCATCTATATCTTCTACTACATCAACATCTTTTAATGCCTTGGCTAAGACACTTGTGTTACCCTTTGCGAAAGGATGTCCACTTTTCCAATTTGGTCTAGGGTTAAGTATGTTTTGTGCAAGTGTAGAATCATCAACAACCAAATAAATGGCTACTCCTTCAGTGGATAAGTTTAAGTTGTTGTCATTTACTGCTTGGAGAACTTGGACCTTGATTTCATCGGTTATTTCCAAAGTACTATCATTCACCAACCTTACATATTGACAACAAGTGAACATTGCAGTTTCTCTCAACCATGATTTTGTACCTGCCAATTCCACCAAAATAGATATAAAGCGAGTATGAGGTTCAATATCGGTAGCTGAAAGTAATACTCCCGAGTTGATGAGAGCATGTAAACCGAAGAGTCTTCCAAAGAGTACTGACCTCATTTCCTTTCCCTTCATAGACAGTTTAACTCCAGTAGTATTCACCAATAAATCTAAATATTCCACTATAGTCAACTCGCACTTATCGGTAATTAAAGCTCTGATGATTTCGGTTAATGCTAAGGAAAACCCAAATCGAGCTGATTGTCTTGTAGTGATCAAACCTTTGGTAAGTCTATTCAATGCATAGTCCCAATCTTCCTTTTCATTTTCGTTTGTGAGTTCCTGAACAAGAGCTGTTGCTGCTTCTAGACGTTCCTTAGGCTGCTCCGACGCCAACCGATAGTAGTGGTCTTTCAGTACAGGCATTCTGGCAGTGAAGACTCAGTTCGTTTCGCAGTGAAGACTCAGTTCGTTTCACAGTCAGAATGGTGAACTAGATTTTTCATCTCATCGCACTCATTTGGTATACTGTGGGGAATGCAGTACATCGTTGGGTTTGTTGATAATTCTGTAGCTTACGTAAGGTACATAGCGATGGATGTATGAAAGCTGACATCTGTTCCTCAATATTGGCTTAATTCTTGTAGTATGTTGTACACAGTTAAAACGATAGAGAGCAACCACCCGTAGTTGCTAGGGACATTTCTGGTAAAGCTGTTGACCTATAATGAGGAACAAGCATAAATGGGTGCAAAATCTTTAAACTCAATTTGGTACGTAACATTATGGGGTATACAACGATATGGTTAAATTTGACCCTGAAATGATTCTCATTGGACTGCTTTTCATAACCTCTTTAAATGACTTTCAGTTAGTGCAGGATTAACAAACTGGCAGGTAGAATACGTATAGCTTAAGACAATGGAGTGTACTGGATGTATACATCTTACGAGTTGAATCGTTCTCAATAATGTGAAGCAACCAAATGGCTATATAGTGTTTAATTTTTCTTTAGATGAAAGTATTAAGTGATAAGACCGTCCCAATAATAGTATCAGGTCACATGAGTATGCTGTATTCTCTTGAATAGCAATCCAAGTCTCAGCTCTTCTTTCTACAGCAGGTTTATTTGTTGGTCGTTTACGGATATCTCGTGTACATGTTAACTACCAACAACATCCATGTTGATAGAACGTGATTGTTGGCATAACTACGATGCGAATTAACAGCATACATGATGATGTATAGATTTTATTCTCTAAGCTTTGTTGGGCTCTATTGCATACGTTCCATTAAAATTTTTTGCATACTCATATAAGCTCGGCCGCATAAGCGAATAAAGCTTTGTAGATTTTAAGGAGTATACTTAACGATAACACGACGCACAGTGGGTTAGGTTAAAGTATCGATTCAACATGCAAGATTCTTCAAAGTTAAACAACTAACTAAGTCTACTTGCATTTCTGCGTTTGCTACAAAGTTCGTTTCAAATGTTGAGATTTGTTTTAAGAGTCAAGCTAGTACATCAATAAACATGCAATCTCTAATGACCCAGTTGTAAGTATCTAAAATCCAGCCGAATTAGTCCACCGCATTGTATAATAAAAAGAAGATAATAAAAAGAACAAAGCAAAATATATTAAAACCCATGTTGAATGAAATTAAAAATTGAATACTGTTTAAGCAGAATATTCAACCTTTGGGAAAGGGAATGCTGGTCCAACACATTGAATGGAAACAGAAGCAGCCCATTGACCTCTGGAAACAGCCTTGGAAACATCTTCACCGAGAACCAAAGAAGCCATGAACCCAGAAGCAAATGCATCACCTGCACCGTTGGTGTCAACAACTTGGTCAGCACTCAATTCTCTGATAGCGTATTCCTTGACAACCAATTCACCATCAACAGTAGTGACAACAACAGTTGGTTCAGTACCTTGAGTGAAAACAACGGTTCTTGATCTGGCCGAGTTGACCTTTGGCAATTGAGCAATGTGCTTGGCAATACCAACAACATCAGTAGGAGCAAGGTCCAAGCTATGGGATTCAGCGTAAGCAGCAGCTTCAGACTCATTAGCAATGACAAAGTCAGTGTAAGGAATAGCAGCATCCAATGGGTCTTTAAAGAATTGAGGAATGAAAGGAGCAGAAAAGTTGATGGCGAAAACCTTGTTAGTTTCAGCAGCATGCTTACCTAACAATTGGATGGCTTCAGGAGAAACAGTGAAATGGAACCCACCAATGTAAAAGTACTTAGCATTGGAGACAAATTCCCAGTTTTCAGGCTTTTGCAAATGAGAAGCCTTGAAGTGGTTAGCAGCACCCAAATCAGTAACCAAAGATCTGTGATGGTTGTAGATTAACGCAGCACATTTACCAGTACTTTGTTCTTCCAAAACTTGGTATTGAGTTTTCAAACCGTATTTGGTGTTAGCTTCAGTTAACTTTTCAGCGTACACATCTTTACCAACAGCACCAAAGTACACAACAGAGTTTTCAGGTAAAATGTATTGAGCACCTCTTGCAGTGTTTTGTGCAGCACCACCAGCCAATAATTGCAAAGACTTGTTTTGTAAAACTTCACCATAAATGGGTAAGTGCTTTTCTTCAGCAAGAATAGCATCGTTGTCCTTCAAGTCGTACTTTCTCAAGAAGTCGCTTTCGACATCGACTTGCAAATCCAACAAAGGATTACCTAAACAAACAAGAGGGTATGACATTCTGAAATGGGATGAATGGAAGAGACGATTTCTGGGGAGTAGAGTAGCTCTAAATGGACGAATTATCCGGGAAGAAATCATATATCAAACCAACTGAAAAATTATACGACTTCCGAATTGATCGATGAGATTTCCTGTGTATCGAAAAACGTGTATAAGATAATGATGGTTATATTAAGAGATACCTCTAGTACTTGGGCTCAGGGGATCATAGGATGGAGCACAAGTATATTAAGCATAGTGTGAAAATATACACATGCAGAATATAAGTTAATTCAATCATAAGCAGGTGGGAAGTGACAAGGGATCACGATCCTTGAAAGGTGGTCATACTTTTGGTCGGAAATTGTCCGGTGTATGGCCGGTATATGGCCGGTTTTACTCTCGTATGACCCGATAGGTTTCCCAATTTACGAACGTTTATTCCTCCCCAAATGTGAATTTTGAATTATCGAAATCAAGTCCATATGATAGCACTCCATGCTTATGATGAGTTTCATTCATGAATTCTAAACATCCCCCCCCCCCCAGTGCAAGTCAGTCCACTACATTTCATTTCCCCATGGGCCCAACACTTAGATCCAACAACGTCACAAAATCGCTTCCGCGGTCTCGTGCAAATACAGATAAATGTGTAGCAATCTACTGGGGAAATGAGGCTAACAGACTAAACGTTTAGTACTGTTAGACGTTGAGGTCATTAACTTACGTGTGAATCACACAAGGAAAGACGCAAATTTATAGTACTCGTTCCTCGATGTCATTTCTTCCCGTTTTCGAGAGGGATCCATTCCTTGGATTGAACCCCTATCCATGGGATTCGCCTTTAGGAAGACACTGGCATGAAATAGCTGCATCTACATTGATGTATTTCATATTACAGTCACTTCTGAGTACTTATACTCCTATTTATGTTGGCAAACCATATCTTGATTTGAATCGCAAGACTCGGATTAATTTTGATATTCATGTGGTTTCAATGGTTCAATGTATTCTAAGTTGTGCAATGATTATTCCAATGTGGGGACAATCACATTGGCAAAATAGAACTGAAGATCCAGTTTCTTCTATTTTGGGAACCACTGATTATGGTAACTTGGTTGCTTCCTTAACAATTGGTTACTTTATTTGGGATACTTATGTTTGTCTCAGATATTTCCTGTTATTTGGATTTGGATTCCTTTTCCATGGAATAGCAGCTTTATATGTCTTTGTACTTTGTTTATGGTGGCCATTCTGTCAACCTTGGATCCCTGGATTTCTTATATTTGAAGCAAGTACTCCATTTGTTAATATAAACTGGTTTGCTTCTCGTTTACCAAAAGGTACTATCAGTGGTACTGTAACAGTTATTAATGGCATTCTCTTGATGCTAACTTTCTTCCTGGTACGGATAATATGGGGATTTTATTCTGTTGCTTTAGTGGCTACTGATATGTGGAAAACATGGTCTTATCATGCTTGGTGGATTCCAAGTAGTGTTTTGGCTATCAATGTATTCTTGGATGTATTGAATGTATTTTGGTTTACTCGAATGATTCAAATTGCAAAGAAACAAGCCAGAGCTAAAAGGGATTAATGAGCTGTTTATAAAAGAGTGAATATTTTATAATATTTATAAAGTGTCGTAGACAAAAATAGAACATAAATTAAGTAGTATGTAATTTAGTAATGATTGCTATATATTACTTCTAGACTTCCTATTATGGCAATATATTGTATTCTATTTCTTCTTGATTTTGGTAGCGCTCAAATGTTTTGCTGGAAGAATTTCATTTTGCCCTGTAGGTTCTCACAATCCTAAAAGGAAAGGAAAAGGGATACTCACTACAAACTTTTGTTTCTTATTAGAAGAACCCTCAGTTACAGTTTCAGTTCAACGTTGAGTTTAACCGAGGAGCTTTGTTCATATAGCAGAGTTTTGTTTGTTAACGATAAAAGCTTATCAAGTTTCTTTTGATTACACTGAAGTTGAGAGTTGAGTTGAATAAGTTTAGCTGATCATTTGTTTTGTTTTGTTCTTTCAGTGTCTTCAAAACTTTAAGAACAGTAAATTATTTTGTTTGGTACCTTTATTTGATTGAAGCTAATAGATTCATTTTTATTAGCAGCTATTGTTAAATAACTTATAGTTGTAACTTTTTGTTAGAATTGAGTTTGCCCCTTTTTTTACCCCTTCTATTATTACTATTGATCTATTAACATTGAAGGAAGATGAATAACGAATACGATTATTTGTTCAAGTTGTTGTTGATTGGTGACTCAGGTGTTGGAAAGTCTTGTTTGCTTTTACGATTTGCTGATGACACTTACACTCCTGATTACATTTCAACCATTGGAGTTGATTTCAAGATTAGAACCATTGAATTGGATGGTAAAACCATCAAGTTGCAGATTTGGGATACTGCTGGGCAAGAACGGTTCAGGACCATCACTTCTTCATATTACCGTGGTGCTCATGGAATTATCATTGTTTACGATGTGACTGATCAAGAATCTTTCAACAATGTTAAGCAATGGTTGCAGGAAATTGATAGATACGCTACTGGTGGAGTAATGAAATTATTGGTTGGTAATAAAGCAGATTTAACTGATAAGAAGATTGTTGAATATACAGCTGCTAAGGAGTTTGCTGATGCTTTAGATATTCCCTTTTTAGAAACAAGTGCTTTATCTTCAACTAATGTTGAACAAGCTTTCTACACCATGGCAAGGCAGATTAAAGCACAAATGACTAATAATGCTACTGGCAATGCTGGTGCCAATGCCAATGCTAAGAAGAATGTCAATTTGAGAGGACATCTGTTAACCAATAACCAAAACTCTGGTTGTTGTTAAAGAAAGAGTATGAGGAAAGGTTGATGTATCTTCTTAAAACTTGTAGTAATATAGATGATCTAACAAGTTTATATATATATATATATATGTATGTATGTATCTTTATATATTGTGTGGTGTACGATGTATTATCTACTTGATACTACAGTGTGCTACCTATTTCATTCTCTTGATTCAATATACTGTTTCTATATCCACATTCTATTTCTTCTTCTGAATTATTAACGTAAAACATAAGTGTAGTATTGGACGTAGAGAGCACCATCTTCACCTCTCGCAAATCTACCCTTGCCGATAAAGTTTTCCTTTGCAACCCATTTATATTTCTCTTCAATTGTATCATCAAACTCAAACTTTGGATTGTTGGTAACATAGTTATCTTCAAATGTACATGATGAAGCTTTGCCTCCCAAAACAGCAAGAACATCATCAGTGAAATGAACCACACCGGGATATGTGAAGTGTACTCCGGTTCCGTTTGGAGTCTTTGCATAGAACTTACAGTCTAATCTAGCCATACCAATAGTGTTATTGGTTCTCAAATCATCATAGCCTTTGATATCGGACAATTCAAACTCTAATCCCAAATCATTTGGAACAGTAGTAACGGTACCATTGACAATAGTTGCCAAAGTCAACGAAGAGTTAGTAGCTGACTTTTTAAAGATGGTTTCTGGATCAAGACTAGTCTTGACATTAACAAAGAAAACAGGGACGAGCTTTGGAACAGCAGGAGCGGAAGTTGGGATCACCTTAGGATCTAATTCACCAGAGAAAGACATGTTACAACAGTTTTTGATTGTTAATTGAGTATTGGAAGTTACGATTACGAGTAATTAGGGCCCTATTTATACTTGTCCCACATTTGTGTCCGATTATTCATCCGCGTAATTATCAGTTGACTATCTCCGGAGTGGTAAGAGCATACAATACAGTGGCAACAAACGTGGAATAGAGGATACTGCTTTTTAACCATATGGCCACACAATTAGAGAGATATGCTGTCGATTTATATAGATAGTGATTACCCCACCGCTAAGAAGAGTCGGTTGTCTTAACAGTAGTGACTTACCAATGTGCTCATTAAGAGAATAAGCTGCTAATATCCGAACAGAAAAAGTGGGGGAAGATCCCCAAAAAAATACTACAAACTTGTACGCTAAAACCTTACCCCCCACAATAAGATAAAAATTGTATGTGAATATAATCTAATCAAAAATCACTATGTAGAATAATTGGCTGTTCACAAATAATTGTACTATAAAAGTAGACTTAAGAAGACTTATATACATCGTTTTAACTTTTCTTTGTCACATACTTCCTAATATGGGAGTCTAGCTCAAAGTCGTGTGGTTTTCCCATTTCTTGTGTCCACCTTACTGGAACAGAAGTGGCGATCAATTGGTAGTAATAATAAGCATATCAACACCTTGAAGAATAAGAATAGCTTGCATTATTCCATCATTTTTAGACGACCACCATGGAAATTGACTCTAGTAAAATGAATCCAGAGACTTTGGTAACAGAAATCGAACTGTCATTTGTGTTGTTGAACAAAGCATCGACTTCTTATGACAATAGGTATATATCCAAAGTATTTAGAGAATTGGGACCTTTAAGAAGACAGTTGGCAATTCTGGTTGAACCTTTACGTATAGTGTTGGGGAAATTATATGCTAATACTGAACTGAAAGAATATTTGAATAAATTCATTACTATTGATAAACATGAGGTAACTGTTGATTCAACTGAGTCAATGGAAATTGATGGTGAAAATGCTTCAGAGTTGGTGTTATTACCTGAAGTAGATTTGTATGCTCATTTATTAATCCAAACTTATCTTTTGGATACCGGGAAGTTAGATCTACTTCGGGATTTCAATGTTTATGTGATACAATTGTTGAAACAGTACAATAAAAGATCATTAGATTTGATTCAAGCTAAAATATGGTTTTATATTGCAAGAGCTGCAGAAGTAAATGAAGATTATTTTAGTTTACGTCCAGAATTATTGATGAGTTTAAGAACTGCTGAATTAAGACATGATTGTGAAACCACTGCTTCTATCATTACAATCCTTTTGAGATTCTATTTGTTAAGTCATGATATTAATCAAGCATTAAATTTAGTGGAAAAGACTCAATTCCCTTCTAGTACAGGCAATGCATTGTCTGCCAGATACTACTATTATTTGGCCAAGATCAATGCCATTCAATTGGATTATTCTGCTGCTCATGAATATGTCATTGCAGCTATTCGTAAAGCTCCACAAACTTCTCTTGCTACTGGATTCCTTCAAACAGCAACCAAATTGATGATCATTATTGAATTACTTATGGGGGATATTCCCGAATTGAAGACTTTCACCAAGCAAACAGGTAATTTTGAACCTTATTTACAAGTCACTAAAGCTGTTAGATTAGGTGACTTGAAATTATTTGGTCAAACTTTGGCTAAATATGAAGAATACTTTAAGAAGGAAAACTTGTACACTTTGGTGTTAAGACTTCGTCAAAATGTCATCAAAACTGGTATTCGAATCATATCATTGTCTTATTCTCGTATAAGTTTGAGAGATATTTGTATTAAATTACATTTGGATTCAGAAGATGCTGCTGAGTACATTGTTTCCAAAGCTATTAAAGATGGTGTGATTGAAGCTTCAATTAATCATGAAAAGGGTTATATGAAATCAAAGGAATTGTTGGATGTATATTCAACTAAGTTACCTCAACAAGAATTTGATCAACGAATTAAATTTTGCTTGAGCTTATACAATGATAGTGTGAAGTCAATGAGATACCCTAATGATAATGGTAATGAGAATAACGAAACTCCAGATACATCTGCTTTGGACGAAGAAATGGAGTTTATTCGAGCTATGGAAGATCTCAATGATTATTTGGATTAGGAAATAGATACAGCAGAGATGTATTTTTATTCTTTTCATGTAGATTTTGCATGTATAATTAATATACAATAAAAGATTCTTTTATTCTGGCTCAGGTTAAATTAGGAAGTGCAAAGAAGTCACGTGCATGCTCACGTGTAATGTATAATAAAATCAAAGACTATCTGAAGACTACAATATAATAATTCATTTACACCACTCTCACCAATGGCATTGCCCGAGTCAATCCGATTTCTCGGAGTCACTTTTTCATGGACACTTCGTGCTGGATGTCTTCTTCACGTTCTACATGAGAATGTTTACGAGTTTAGTGAAACACGAGGAGAGTCGATGCTCCCAACTCTTCATAACCAATATGACTATGTTCATGTGTGGAAGATGGGTCATAAGGCAGGAGACAATTTGGATATGGGAGATTTAGTTGTTGCAATAAAGCCAAGTGATCCAGAGCATCGTGTATGCAAACGAATCACAGGAATGCCAGGAGATATCATTGCTATAGATCCAAGTTCATCAAGTGAGCTTACAAATAGTTCAGCTATAGCTACTCAACATGATGGTTATAATAAGTTAATAAAAGTTCCAAAAGGTCATGTGTGGTGTACAGGAGACAATTTGTGTCATTCACTTGATAGTCGTAGTTATAGTGTTATGCCCATGGCCCTAATTAAAGGGAAGATAGTTGCTGCCAATTCCATGAATAAAGGATTCTTTAGTGGGGAATATAGTTTCTGGAGTTTTAGATGGTTAGCCAATAATTTTGTGGTTGAAAGATAAGCCTATTATATATATATATATATATTTATTTATTTATTTATTTCTTTACTGACGGTGTAATTTATTAATGGCATTTAACATAACTTCTGTATTTTATTCCTAAGCTCAAGCACGACCAATTCTTCTGTTCTTAGATAACCATTTCAATGTACGAGAACCAAAGATTACACTCAATAATCCAAAGCCTGCACTATAATATAAGGTAGTGAAGATTGATTGACCCAAGTAATATTTAACAAAAGTCACTTCCATTGATAACAAGGAAACCAAAAAGGTAACGTTAATGAACAATTGAACACCAGCAACTTTTAAAGAGAATAAATCTTTTCCAATAAAAGTGGCCCAACTTCCAACAAGTACAAGGAATAAGCCAATAGCACCTCCAATAAATACTATGGGAATAATAGCATTCACTGTAGTAGGATCAGTTTTAAAGACATGATGTATTTCTGGTTTGATACCAACGGTAGACTTCTTAACATAAGTACTGGAGTTTTTAAGTTCTTCAGAAAGTACAATATGTACACCTAACTTACGAATGAAATTTCTGGATGCGTCATAACTAGCAGCAATAACTTCTAACTCTAAATAGTCTTTGGTCTTTAACACTTGAGGGATCTTGGTGGTTGGAATGGTCAACAGAACACTAGTTCCCCTAAGTTTAGGAACAAAACTGGTATATAAATCACCCAGGCCCAAGTTAATCACAAGCTGGTGAGGACGAGAACTACCAAAATCAGCCAACTCCAATTCAATTTCAATATTATCGTTAACAGATTCCAATGATAATTGTTGAAGTTGAGCAGTGTTGAATTCACCAATGTCTACTTTATCTTCTCCAATGGTGATTGAACCCTCGGAAATTGAGTATGCTTCAGCGGCTAATACGCTAATGGCTGAAACTATGGCCACACATATATTGTTCCACACCTTCATTATGCAATTGACTGATTTAGAAAAAGCGTGTAGAGTTGAAGGGTTTAACGTGTCTGACTAGCTTTGACAGCGGTGATTAATTAGTCGTGGTCGTGTGTGGTCCAAAATGAAAATTTATCGACTACTTGTAGTTGGTATTAAATGTCAATGGACTAATTGCATCATGATTGACCAAGAAGGTGGTATTTTAAATTTAGTGTACCGTATCTCTGGATCTAAGTAAGCTAATGTAGCTTACTGCGTCGCTGTTCTACTTCTCTACAATTACCTTGAGTGAGGAAGAAGAGTATTCTGTAACCAAAATCGTTGATTGTATCGATTGTACACCTTGTACACCAACAGACGTCATCCTTTGAGAATACTTCCTGTGAGCATGAAAGTATTGTACTTCAAGTAATATATTCATGTTACACTGTATTTATGATTTGATGCATATCAGCTGAAGCAAATGCTCTCACTTTGTCTCATCCACAAAAGCATGTATACAAACATTAACAATAGGATGACATAATATGCTAACATCAAAACTACACTCTACATTCGTGGCAGGTTCAAACTAAAACTTCTATTCTGTATATTACAAACGATACACCTAAAACTTACTGTTGTTGGTTGTTATTGTTATCTTCTTCCTTCCTTTCAATGTTTTGTTGCTTACCAGAGTGGTTAGCAGAGATTTCATTGAAAGCTCTTTGTGCCTTTTCTTGGAAAGTACCTTCACCAGAGAAAGCAGTGTAAGCATCCTTAGCATCTTCGGCATAAGCAGCATAGTCGGGATTGCTACCACTACCCCCAGCTTGAGCATTGTTATTGTTATTACCAGACAATTGGTTAAGCATATTGGAAGCTTGAGCCAATTGTTGACCTTCCTTTAATAAATCTCCGAAACCCATATTTGTATGTTAATATTTATTTATGTTTGTAATAGTGTAACTGTTTCTGTTGAACACTTTTTTCCAAAAGTGGATTTGTCGTTGATATTTATAGTTTGTTGGCTATGGATGAAGTAGTTGTGCATGTGGACTCTGTTTGGGGACACGCTACATAACTGAAATTCTGTCAAGGTCGTTTCACGTAATTCACTAGGTAATTTCATTGGCCCCTTGATCCGATCCCCATACCTTATTTTGGGTATACGTGACAGCCTGGAATTATGATTGTGCTTTTATTGGCTTGTGAGGCTTGAATCTTATCATAACCCCACATGCAGAGAAGCTTTCTTTCACTTGCTTATCGTATATTTACTATGTATCTAATCTAAAGCTTCAACTGTTGTAAGATGGCAATGGTTTGTTCGTAACCTTCCTTCTCAGCCTTAAACTTCTCTAACTTCTTATAAGCTGTTTCCTTGGCTTCTTCTTTGGTCTTTTCATTGAATTTACTCACCAAAATATTGGTTTTCTTTTCCAAATCATTAATGGTATCCAATTTCTTTTGAACCTTGGTGATTTCCGCATCCAAATCAACATGTCCCTTAACCAAAACATGAACAGTACATAAGGGACTAATGGATTGGATGGCACATCCGCTTGGAACTTCACCAGCAGATTCAACAACTTGAATTTTTTGAACACCTTTAATCAAAGACACTATGGAATCTTGTTGTTCTTTGGCAATGGCAAATACTTCCTTATCAATAGCTTCAACATAAATTTCTCCATCCTTATTGATATTATATTGAGCCAAAACTGATCTGGCACCTTTGGTAATATCCAAAATCAATTCATAAGCTTCTAATGCCTTAACATCATCCAAGGTTTCATTATATTCAGGGTATGATGCAACAACAATAGATGGGGTCTTATCGTTGGCTCTTCTGGGTAATCTTTGCCACATTTCTTCAGTAACAAATGGCATGAATGGATGAATCAACTTCAATGCTCCTTCAATGGCAGTGTACAAGGTATCCTTGGCGGATTTCACTTGTTCTGGAGTACCATCTTGAATCAAAGACTTGGAGTTCTCAATGTAAACATCACATAAATCATACCAGTACAGATAAATAGCATTAGTAGCCTCACCAAATTCTCTCTTTTCCAAAGCAGTAGTAGCTTCTTGAGTGGCAACGGTGAGTTTATGTAAAATCCACTTTTCAACTAACGATTCCTTACCAGTCTTATTATTGGTAGGTTCAGGAGTGTAATCGTCACCCAATCTACCCAAAACAAACTTAGTGGCTTGGTAAATCTTGTTACAGAACTTACGGTAGCCTTCAACTCTTAAGATATCCAAGTTGATATCTCTACCACCAGTAGAATAAGCACATAATGCAAATCTAAGAGCATCAGTACCACATTCAGGAATACCCTTGGGGTAAGAAGCCTTTTGACCATCAGTAGCTTTCTTCAATTCCCTTGGATCCAAATTACCGGTGGTTAACTTTTCATGCAAAGATTCTAAAGAAATACCAGTAATCACATCCAATGGATCAATAACGTTACCCAATGATTTGGACATTTTTCTACCTTGAGCATCTCTAACCAAAGAATGACAAAACACTTCCTTGAATGGAGCTTGACCAGTTAATTTCAACCCCAATAAGATCATTCTAGTGACCCAGAAGAATAAAATATCCCAACCAGTTTCCAACATGGACATTGGAGCAAACATTTCATAATCCTTGGTCTTATTTGGCCATCCTAAAGTGGAGAATGGCCATAACCCGGAAGAAAACCAAGTATCCAAAACATCTTCATCTTGTTCCAAAGTGAACTTCTTACCAGAAAACTTCTTGTTGGCCTTTTCTTGAGCTTCCGTTTCAGTTCTACCAGAGATCCAGAATTCATTATCCAATTTACTGTTTTCCTCACCTTCAATGTGAACGAAATAAACTGGACATCTGTGACCCCACCATAATTGACGAGAAATACACCAATCTTGAATGTTGTTTAACCAGTGAAAATATTCAGCTTCAGAAGTTGAAGGAGTGATGGTGATTTCACCCTTTTTAACGGCTTCAATGGCAACCTTGGCCATATCTTGTTGGTTAACCCACCATTGAGGCTTCAATAATGGTTCGATAACATCACCAGATCTTGAGCAAGTTGGAATGGTCATTTCATTGTCCTTTTGATCAACATATAAACCCTTGGCCTTCAATTGTTCTATAACCTTAACTCTGGCATCAAATCTCTTCATACCAGCAAATTCAGGTCCACAGTTGTCATTCAATAAACCGTCGTCAGTGAAAATGTTGATGAACTCCAAGTTTTGTCTCTTACCAGTATTGTAATCATTTTGATCGTGGGCTGGGGTAATCTTGACGGCACCGGTACCGAATTCCATATCAACAGCTTCAGAGTCTGTAACAATTGGAATCTTACGGTCCAAGAATGGGTGGAGAACAAATTTACCGTGCAAATGTTTGTATCTAGGATCTTCAGGGTGCACAGCAACACCAGTGTCACCAAATAAGGTTTCTGGTCTGGTGGTAGCCACGGTGATGACTTCGTCAGAACCTTCAACGACATAAGAATAAGAAGTCAAAACACCAAATTCAACCTTCTCATCATAACCAGGAACGGCCAATAAGGTTCTACCAGAGATGTTCTTGTTGTCAACTTCTAAATTGGAAATGGCAGTGTTTAATTTCACAGACCAGTTAACCAATCTCGAAGCTCTATAAATAGTACCATCTTCATGCATTCTAACAAAGGCCTCAGTAACAGCTTCAGATAAATCAGCATCTAAAGTGAACTTTTCTCTTGACCAATCGTAAGAAGCACCCAATCTCTTGAATTGGTTCTTGATTCTGTCATGATATTCATCCTTCCATTCCCAAACCTTTTCAACAAACTTTTCTCTACCGTAGTCATGTCTGGTCTTCTTTTCCTGGGCCCAAACTTGCTTTTCAACAACAGATTGAGTAGCAATACCGGCATGATCAAAACCAGGTAACCATAAAGTAGTCTTGCCCTTCATTCTGTAGTATCTGATCAAAGCATCTTGAATGGAAACAGTTAAAGCATGTCCAATGTGTAAAGCACCAGTAACGTTTGGAGGTGGGGCAGGAATGGTAAAGACACCTTCGGGTTTAATCTTACCATCAACAGTTAATTCAGGCTTAAAGAATCCTTGTTGATCCCACCATTGATACCATGAGCTTTCAACATTCTTTGGGTTGTATGCCTTAAAAGCAGCATCTTCCAAAGAAGCCAAAATCTTCTTGTCACCTGGGGTGGTTTTATCAATCCATTCAGGGACGGCTTCAACTTCCTTCTTTTCCTTCTTGGGTTTCTTGGGTTCAGACAGTTTATTCTTTGCAGCTTCAGCTTGTTGAGCCTTCTTAGCATTGAATTTAGCCAACTTTTCAGCCTTCTTTCTTTCCTTCTCTAATTCTTTAGCTGTCTTCTCCTTCTTGATTGGTGCATCGGTAGGAGAAGAAGCAGCAGCAGCTGGAGCTGCTGCTATACTTTCAGCAGCACTTTCAGAACTCATAAATGCTCTAGCAATTCTAGTACGAGATACGTATCTGGTAGTTGGTTTCAAACACCTCCAGAAAGTGAGCATACACTGATTATATGAGAAGATGACTCACTTGTATAGTGAGTAGATTTTGCAGGTTAATTTTTCACCAAAATTTTCTTTGGGGATTTTTCAGGTAATTTTGTGTCACTTTGCGAATTTGGTTGCAATTATTATGTGCAAAATGGTATAAAGTAGTGGACTACAGGTGGTTTAGTCTTAACTGATTGAATAATTGTTCTATAATGTTCTGTAATAAATATTTTACTTTTCTGTATTCTTTAATTTCTTAGGTTTTACGTTGTGTGCTTGTCCATCATTCTTTCTCTTTCTCGATATTCCATTAACCAATTGTGATTCCTTAAATGAAAGATCCAAATCATTAGCTGATTTCCCCAATAGTTCCAGTTTTTTGAGTCGATTAGCAAGTCCTTTAGACATTACAGCACCTGTATTTGTATTGATACCTTTAACACCTTTGCTCATACCTAACCCAATTTCTTCACCAAAACTATCCATAATAGTATCTTCTTGTTTACCAAAAGCCATTTTATTTTGAGCCTTCCGAAGCTCACTCATTCCCATTCTCTCCTTCATTTTTCTGAATCGCTTTCCTCCTCTCTTTTTGGACTTTTTATCTATAGGTATGGGGAGCGCTTTATCACCAACATTTTCTGGTGGAGTTAATAGTTTTTCTAATTTGGATTGAACGTCTATGGAATACTTTCTTCCAATTGTACCATCAGAAGATCCCTTTGCAAGGTCAATACGAGCTGCAAGTACAATCTTACCGCTCAATATACGCATAGCTTGTTTCACCACATCATTAGGAAGATATTGAACTAATGGTGTATGGTAAAGGTACCCTGTGTTTCTTTTGGTATTGTGGGTGACATTATTTGAAGTTGTAGAGGATGACATCTCCTTCATTCCCAAAGATGGGATGTTACATGAAGGTGTTTGCGCCAATTGTTTTAATGATCCCACAGCTAGTAAAAGTTGCGAAGTAGCAATTGGTCCAATAAGTTCAGTAACATTTGGTGCAAATTTCAGAAGTTTAACAGATATGAAATTATTCAACTGTGCTATAAGATCTTCCAATTCAAGTAAATTATTACATAATACTGATATTTCTTGCCAATTAACATTTGGAATCGTATCATCCAATTCTTCATTCTTCCTTTCCTGTTGTAATGCTGCCATCAATACTAACAATACTTTCTCATTGGGTAGAATGGTCTGTAACTGAACTTCAAAATCCTTAATGTTATTTAAATTGCCTTGAATTAACTTGACAATTCTCACGTAATCAACGGGATTCTTTATAAGTGTTTCTAATTCAGGAAATACAACTTTATATTGGGATTTAATGATTGAATCTAGTTCTTCAACTTCTTCACGTATATTATGGGAAACCTCATTAATATGCAGAATGAATTTGTACTCCTTGTTTTCAGTACCATCATCAATCAACTCTAAATAGTCCATTTCCTCTTCATTAGTGTAATATTTCACTTGCTTTAGTAACAGTGGTACTAAGGGTAATACTCGAGATGAGAAACCAAGAACACCAGTATTGACAATTTCATTCAGTTTATGAGTTTCTGTTTCTGTTTCGTCTTCTGATGATGCAAGATCATTCAAAAGATCGTCTCCATAGTCTTCCATGTGTACAAAGAGTAAAGAGCTATAGCTGTGAAGATATCACAACTAATTGACATCATCTTCAGATAGTGCATAACCCGGAAATTTATTTCAGTCACGTGATTCTCCGACCGGATATAGAAAATGTAAAGAGCAATATAAATAGTTATAAAACCGAAATTCCAGTATATTTACTGGTCTAAGGTAAATCTTGTAAAGTAGAAGACCCATCTTCAATATCCTTTAATAATTTGGATTTGACGTTAGACTTATGGTAATATTATTGAATAAATTGGAGAAAATCAAAAGAATCAAAGTCATGATGACAAAAGTAACACTTTCTTATAAATATTCTCTTAAACACAAACATTTAGCTATTGCTGCTTAATAAACAAGATCCCTGACTGTCCCATCTGCTTTTTTACAATTATATCTAATAAAGAGCTTTAGCTTATAGAAGACCAGTAAAGGACGTGCCCGAACCAAATATTTAGGGTATATACTTTTGGATCCGATGAGACTAACTTAACCTTAGGTTCTTTAAAGGTACTTCACATATATCTTAACCTGCGTATGCAAAGATAAAGTATGAGCTCGTTGGAAGTCCATGCGGGTGTACTAGGCAACTCTGACGGATCTTGTCTGTACGTTGTCAATGGTAATAAAGTGATAACATCAGTAGTTGGTCCCATAGAAGCTAAGGCTCGTCAAGAACTCCCACAAACAGTTAGTCTTGAAGTAGTTGTACGACCGGTAACGGGACTTAGCAACAGTCGAGAGAAGTTGCTAGAAGAAAAGATCAGAAATTTGCTTCAAAACATAATCATTGGGTTTAAATATCCCAGACAAACAATTCAAGTAGTTGTTCAATTTCTAATTGCAGATGGACGTCCAGAATACACTGCCTTAGAATTGAATATGGCTATAAACTCTGCATTCTATGCGTTGGTGGATGCTGGTGTCGCTATGTATAAATCATTTGTGTCCACAGTGGTAGCTGTTCCTCCGGAACAAGGTAGCTCCCTTATATTCGATCCCAGCATGGAACAAATTGTTGCTTCTAAATCACATCACGTAGTGACGTATTCTGTTGAACACGATGAGTGTAAAATTATACTATTGGAGAGTAATGGACTCTTTGAAATGAAGGAGTTAAAGAACATATTAGATGCTGCTAAGATTCAATGTCTCACAGTCCATGAAGATGTCCAACGTGATGTTATAGAGTCAAAATTACAACAAGACTATATTTGGAAGAGCTAATAGATTAAACTAAGAAGTTCACTTCGGTTATATACTAAAATAGTTTTATTCGTTTGTATACTAAATATCAGCAAAAAAATCACATAAAGAAATAAATGTAACTTGTACTAGTATAAGGTAGCCAAAGGATCAAATCGGTTACCTACATTACCACCCATGTTTAAGAGATTGATTTCCCCATTATTGAATTTGTTATTAGGATTCATCTTGTGCTTAAATGTAAATCCAATAAAGTTATTTTCATGATATTTCACAGCAGCAGCTCCTCCCTTCTCCAACAATTGTTCATTATGTTCTTGACGGGCGAAAACATCTTTATATTTGAGCATACTTTCTTCATCTTCAAAATCATCAAAATAGCCAGCATCTTCTTCATTATCTAATTGTGGAGTGAATGGGGGAGTTCTTTCTCTTAACAGATTCCAATCCTTAATATCCGCAAAATAAGACATCTGTTGCACCTGTCTAAAGGTTCTTAATCTTGAAGATGGTGAGGCAATCAACTTGGTGATCAAATGCCAAGTTCTGTCACTGAAAACATATCGACCATCCTTTGTTTGAGGTCTAACTAATGCCGATTTCCAGTGCTTTAAATTATAATAGGTTTCTTCTTGCTTGGAACCTGAAAATGGTGGATATCCACAAAGTGCTTCAAAAAGCATACACCCCAAAGACCAATAATCAATGGTATAATCATAACTCTTACCCTCTAAGACTTCAAGTGCCATATAATCTGGTGATCCAACAATGGAATTGGCTAAATTATGATGACCTTGACTGGCACGGAATATCCGTTGACGTTCAATCATAGATTGTGATGGCAATTGATAATCATCAAAATCTTGTAAATTCTTCAATTTGATTCTCATACTTTCAATTCTGTCATTAGAGACAGTGCCTGCTGCCAAACCAAAATCAGTCAACTTAATATGACCTTTAGAATCTATTAAAAAGTTTTCAGGCTTTAAATCTCTATGTGTAAAACCCAATTCATGTAATGAATTAACGGCAGCAAACATTTCTCCAACGTAAAAACGGGCATGAGGAGGAATCAAATAACCCGTGTTGTTTAAAAGAGTCCGGAAATCACCACCTGGAACAAATTCCATAGCCAAGTAAACCTTTTCAGGATCTTGGAAAGCATAAAGTAATTTAACCAACCATTCACTACGTGTGTTGGTCAAAATATCTCTTTCTGTTAATACGTGTCTAGTTTCATCAAGTTTAACCAAGAGTTTCTTGTTTAGTATCTTAAGTGCACAAATTTCTCTAGTATCTTTCTTTCTTGCAAGGAAAACTTGACCATAACCACCCTGGCCCACTTGGGTGATCATTTCAAAGTCCTTGTGCTTAGGCTTAAGCCGACGCTTACGCAATAATGCCCGCTCACGTCCAACATAGTTCTTCCATTCCAACTGTTGACGTTGGGGGTTTTCCACAAATTGAGCATCCGTAGCCAATCTTTGTTGGACTAACTTAGTACGATCTCTTCTTGAAATAACATAGTCAAACATGTCGCAGTAATAGTCAAGGAAGTAAAGTTGAGCAACTGACGCAAGCCTCTTGGTATTTGGGTTGTTTGACCGACGAGAGAATTCTTCATTACTGAACAGATTATTTGTTGGTTGTAAGAGATCGATGTTTCTACTTATGAGTTGTTGTTGTTGCTGCTGCTGCTGTTGCTGTTGTTGTTGTTGTTGATGAAAGAAATTTGTACCAGGGGATGCCATTGGATGCGCTGGTCTTGTTGGAGACGAATGTAAGATGGATTTGGTTGGTGAAGATTGTGGAGTAACATTCTCTTTGTTGTGATAGGAGTAGTTAGCAGGACCTCTATAGCTCGTATCAATATCCATTTGACTAAGCGATACATTCTCCATTGACTGTGAAATATCGGCGACGTCCATATCGATTGTTGTATTGGCAGTTGTTTGTTGATGTGTGTTGGCGGCTCCTCTACGAGGTGATCTAAGAAAAGCCATCTAGGGGTGTGGGGACTTTCAGGAATTTATACAAAAGGGTAATCGAGTTTTAACTGGGATAATAACACAAGATTCAGATGAAACGAATATTCAAGTTAATTTTGTGAGCAAACCAGTTGAAATATGCTTGCAATGCTTATTATTATTCAAACACTAAGGTAACAGTCACTCAGAATCACAAACAAAACTACCTTATCAAGAGAGAAAATTAAAACTAGTGGAATATAAAGGGTAATTCAAAGTACCATCTATTTCCCCGTTTGCTTTAATGGCCCTATTCTGCTTCTGTTGATGTGCCTGTTTATGTTTTATTTGGTTCAAGCCATTAAAAGAGTAATTCAGATACCAATGATTTTGTGTATGTTGATATTTCGGCTGTATTGGGTTACGCTGATACTGTTGTTGATACACAAAAGAGTGTTATTACGAAGGATAGAAGAATCAAGCCGTCATTGAAAGGAAGAGAAGGAACAATTGTAATAGAGTCGTTCAATGACTTAGAGTAGATATCTATTTACCTTAAATGCCTTGTTAATTTATGGACGGGTCTAAATCTTTGGCTAGCCTCAGTACTAATTTGAGTACGCATTCACATATGCAGTAATATATGGTAACATTCCATATAATATTATGAATATTGCTATGAGGAAAGTCATATATTAAAACACTGATTGCGTTAGAATGAGTGTATGATAAGCACTGATTGTGGTAGAAAGAATGTATGATCATTAGTCTGACGAAAATGGGTAATTAGTCAGTAAAGCACCTATATTTACAGACAATAATTAAAAATAGGTGTGGCTGATATCGTAACCATTTTAACGCCTGTAATAATTAACTCTAATGGTTATCCTGAGGAATATATAAGAACCTTTACCTTTCCAATATATATCCCATTCTAACCATGAGAAGAATTGTACCCCAAACCATTATATAAAAGTAGTGCACGACTCATCACACATAATTTAGAACCTTCACAACTATTTGAGAATTTATCGCCTGCAGCCAGTGGCATTCAATCTGAGACCCAATAGCATAATTTCCTCACCTTTAATCCAATCGCACTATTTCCTCACTCTCGCACAATTCACGCACATGCCCCACATGTGACCAATAGTTTCTCTTTTGGGAATGCGCCTCTCGTAGACCTTTTCGCAGCCAGTAGCGAAATGCCCTCGTTTTTGCAATGTACAGGAAAGTTCTTTGAGATGACTTTCGAAACTTGAGATTTCATGGAGCACTATTCACGCAATCTTTGGTATATAAACTGAGCCAAAGCTCATTGAAACGAATAAAAAAGTTTAATCTTTTCTTTTAATCAGTTCAATTGATACTTATCAAACAAACAATTAAATTTACAATCTTATCTAAAATGTGTGCCTGTTCTACTTGTTCTTGCGGTTCTACCTGTGAATGTGGTTCTTCCACTACTTGCACTTGCAAGAAATAAAAGTGCTCCAACATTATAAAACGTTGCTATTGATTAGAAATGGTTTATATACAAATCGTTATGTTGGGTTTTTAAGTCTTGGTTTATAGTTAATGAATCATATACTTGGTTATTTTATCTTATTGTAGGAATAATTTCTGGTAATGGAATCTTGTAGGTGTTGAAGTAACGTGATGTATTTGTACGCCCACTACTCGTGCACTACCTTTGGAAACCACCAGTCAGAAGTGTAGGAATAATATGTGATTTAATGGTAGCTCAGTAAAAGTTGTGACAGCCGGAGATGGATGAGTTTTGTGGGGTTGAGAAAAACCTCCGAAGTCATTAGAGTCAACGCCGATCGACGCGTGCTTATGTTCTCAGACCCTAGAGAATTGTCTGTCTGAAAGAAGACTCGAGTGTAACCATAACAATACAGAAACGTTATCATGATTCCAGATACACCCGGTACCACCATCCCCATGTATGGACTTGAATAAGTCGTCCCAAAAAGTAGTAGATGCATGTATGTCTGTCTAGTTACCTTCTCATACTGCTTTCTGTTGTCAAATTTGTTTAACTACAATTCGGAAGAAACCAAGGAATCCCGGGAAAATAATATAGCTCTACCATCCCTATAAAAAATTCCTCTTAAATTAATATTATAAGTGGAGACGGAGGGGAAATGATGAGTTAAAGGATGAAAGGATTCTAAGTTATAGGAAGATGATAACACCTTTCAACAATGCAACAATTACCTAAGTCACTGTTTTATACATAATCTAAGGGTTATATGGTCGTGTTGGTACGATGGACCGGGACAAAGCCAGAAATTGCCAAAGATTCTAGGTCACCGTAGTCCAAAAAGTTGCACCACTCCGGCATATTTCTTCAGACTAATTTGATGCCGAAAAAAAGTACCACCAATGATAGTGTGGGGGAAGGCAGTGGGAGGGGGGATTAATGAATATTACTACATCAACAGGTTCAACTTTATTTTCCTTGTCATTCGTACTATCAGGTGACATCACACTAGGTGTAAAAATGGATTGAGATCGACTTGTAGAATAAATTTCAACATTGAACCGGAGATAAGTATAGTTGCTAAAGAAATTGATTTGGCTGGTCTGTTACCGGAGTTACGTGAGTCACGTGAGTCACGTATATACAGTATTTCTTTGTAGGCCGGCATTAAGAACTTAGAATTTCAATTTCCTCCTAAGTCCTTCTTTGAAAGTTTAATTAATCCATCATTTTGTTATCTACAAATTAATATCTATTGATATCTATTAAGCTGAAAAAGCTATCAACTGTAGTTTAGACTCTAAATCCATGTACCAATTAGCTATTGTGATGAAAATAAATTCTTGATCTGTGTGGGGGTTGTAATCGGAGATAATTTGAAGGTCGCATTAGTCGTACCACTCAAACTAGTTTCAGACACGAATAAAATTGATTTGTGGGGTTGCAAAAGTATAAGGTATCCAAATCTGGAGGGGTGAGATGTGCCCGTACCATAAACTTAATTCGATGTTACTAAAATATGGCCCCTCCGAACCTCAGATATTGTTTATATGCAGCCATGGGAGTTGGCTGGAGTGAGCAAAAAGGCAGAAACTCCGAGACAACCATCACTACTCCGAAGACGATTTTTGTTGGAGCTATTGTTTAACTTTTTTGTCTGTCGGAGAGAGCACCCCCGCTAATATACATAAAAGAGACCTTTGTTGCCATTTCAGACACGAAATAGCATCGTACCAGACACAAGGACGTATGACTTGACGGCTTGACTCAGTGCCCGTAGTACTGTCTGACGAAAGGCTTGCATAAGTAATAAATAATCGTAAAAGCGATGACAAAAATTGCCGTAAACGGTTGACCTTCTCAGACATTATCACCTTAAACTGAAAAGACCCCTCATTGTCTGATTTGCAACTATAAAAGTACAAATATCCCCCATCAACATTTTTGTATTCATAGTTAAAATTTAATATCTGCTGAAGTGTCTTAATCTCTAACAGTAAAGGAAATATCAATATGCCTCAAGAGCAGCACTCTGTCCATACATATGACCACCACCCTGAAGGGTTTGAAATCAACAAAGTTGTTGATGATGGTGACTATGTTTTTTTCGGTAATGAAAGATACTTGAAATCCGAATTAGTCGAAGCCTTCGGTGGTACTTTAAACCCCGGTTTAGCTCCTCCTCCTAAACATAACTTTGCTAACCCAGCTCCTTTGGGTTTATCCGCTTTTGCCTTAACCACGTTTGTTCTTTCCTTGATTAATTGTGAAGCCAGAGGTGTTACCATTCCTAATATTGTTATTGGTTTAGCTTACTTTTATGGTGGTGCCGCACAATTAATTGCTGGTATGTTTGAAATCGCTGTTGGTAACACTTTTGGTGGTGTCGCACTTTCATCATACGGTGGTTTCTGGGGTTCATGGGCTGCTATTAACACCAAACAATTTGGTATTAAGGCTGCTTTTACAAGTGCAGATGGTGAATTTGATCAAACATCTTTTGAATATGCTGTTGGTATTTTCCTCGTTGGTTGGTTTATTTTCACTTTTTTCCTTATGTTGATGACCTTGAAATCTACTGTCGCATTCTTTCTGATTTTCTTCTTTTTATCGATTACATTTTTACTTTTGGCCATTGCTGATTTAAAAGCTGGTGACAGAAATGTAAAGAAGGCCGGTGGTGTATTCGGTTTACTTACCGCTTTCGCTGCTTGGTATAATGCTTATGCCGGTTTAGCCAATCCTCAAAACTCTTATTTGGTTCCAAAAGCTATTCCTTTACCAGACTTGCAGGCCAAGCACCAAACGGTTTAAAGTGAATTCTGAGTTTTAAGTTCACCACCACACTAGATGTGGTCCCGACTAATCTAATGTTATTTGATGATGATCTATTTACCTTTCCCCCTTCCCCCTGATGATTTTTTTAATAACTCATTTTTTTATTACATTTCCTATTATTATTTATTATTATTTATTTGTTAATATTATCGAGCACTAATTACAATCTTTGATGTCGATTCGGTTTCAGCCCCTAACGAATTCGCATAATTGCTGTAGCATTACGAAGATTCACATTCTCGTTCTACAGCTATAAACGCCAAACCACTTGTGTAAATCCGAACACATTCGATTTGCCAGTGTTGCGATTAAGGCAACTTAATTGCTTTTATAGGAGTTCCTTTACATGAGAATTTCTCCATTCATCCTGTTTCTGTTTTTACGAGCTTTGGGGTTACACTCAACTTATGAAGCATGAGATAACGACGTAGTTGAATGAAGTTGATGTTCTTTAACCAAAACATGTTGATGGCCGAATGGTTACCTTGTGTAGAAAGTGAAATCAAGAACGAGTAGTGAAGACCGGAAACTACAGAACAGATAAAGAGATACACCACAAAATTAATACGGCAGCCTTTACGATAGTATAACTAACCACTTTGCTATTGTATACTTAAGCAAGTTGATTCTGGACAAATCATACCATTAGGATTACCCTTTATGTAGCATATCACCCTTTCTTACTCCACATATTGCCCTAAAGCCGTCTGTCGCATTATTACATAATCAGAACAATTTCCTGTATATTTGCCTATGAGTATGAAAACAACAACAAGTTAAAAAAGCACAGGTTGGCAATTCTACACTACAATGGAAAGTAGTACTAACAAACGTTGCCAAATAATATTGAAGATCCCTCGCAAGTAGCTGATCCAATAAACCATGGCATCGCAATTGCATTTCCTTGACATCAAAGGGAAGACACTTCTTTCACGAGATTACAAAGGAGATGTTGCCACAGATGCCATTGACCAATTTCCACTTTTACTTTTACAAAGTGAAAACGAAGAAGATGAAAGTCAATTCAAACCTTATTTGTCACACCAAGGAGTTCACTACGTGTATATACAACATAATAATCTTTATTTGTGTGCTTTGACCAAGAAGAATGAGAATATTATGGCAATGATTGTATTTTTAAGTAAATTAATTGAAGTATTAACTCAATATTTCAAATCACTTGAAGAAGAGAGTATTCGGGATAATTTTGTTATAATATATGAATTACTTGATGAAATGATGGATTTTGGAATCCCTCAAACCACTGATACAAAGATTCTTAAGGAATATATTACTCAAGATTATTATAAATTGATTAGAAAGGCTCGTAAGGCTGATCCCAATGCTGATTCTAATACTTTTGTTCAACCGCCTCCTGCAGTCACTAATGCCGTATCATGGCGTAAGGATGGTATTGTTTATAAGAAGAACGAAGCATTTTTGGATGTTGTGGAACTGATCAATATGTTAATCAATGCCAATGGTCAAGTACTTAATAGTGAAATTTTAGGAGAAGTGAAAATGAAATCACATTTAAGTGGGATGCCTGATTTACGACTTGGTTTAAATGATAAAGGTATATTTACCGGTAGTGGTGGAGGATTAGGAGATGCAAGTGCAACAGAGGATGGTAAAAGTATTGAAATGGAAGATATCAAATTTCATCAATGTGTTAGATTATCAAAATTTGAAAATGATCGTATTATAACTTTTATTCCACCAGATGGTGATTTCACACTTATGTCTTACCGGTTATCACTGGCTCAATTTCTTATGAAACCATTAATCTTAGTCACATGCAAAACGAAAATTCATAAACATTCACGTATTGAGATTCTTTGTTCTGTTAAGGCTCAAATAAAGAAAAAATCAACAGCTAATAATGTGGAAATTGTTATTCCTTTACCTGAAGACGCTGATACTCCTAAATTTACACCTGAATATGGTTCAGTGAAATACGTGCCTGAAAAGAGTTGTCTTATATGGAAATTAAAGACATTTGCTGGAGGGAAACAATATCATATGCGAGGTGAAATGGGTCTACCAGCGGTAGAAGATGATACTGATCGTACTCTTGGTAATAAATTTGGTAATGGGTTAGTTTCAAAGAAACCTATCAAGGTTAACTTTTCTATTCCATATTTTACCACTAGTGGAATCCAAGTACGGTATTTACGGATTAACGAGCCTAAATTACAATACCAATCGTATCCTTGGGTCCGCTACATCACTCAATCGGGTGATGATTACACTGTACGGATGAAATAGTTAGCGTAAGAACATAATAGAATATATCATACGATAGTAACCTTGTAATCAGCAGCGTGGTTTCAGGTTTAATAAAATTATTGTCTCAGATCTCACTGTGGAAAATCAACCATCATCTCTTCCCATCAACATTATGGACCCCAAACTAGAAAGAGAAATAGTTACTTATGGAGTTCATCATCTTCTAAAGGACATACTGATCCTGAAGAGTGCATTGAAGAAGTATCCATCTCTCACCAAACATAATGAAGCCAAACTTGTTAAGCTACTTCTTGAGGGCCGCCTGCTACAAAAGAATGCATTCCTAAAGACGTATCAACAGCGGAAGAAGAACACCGATCAACTCTTTGTTATCATGAATGATGTTCTCAAGGGTATTGAACGTGAATATAATACCGATCAGGAATCTACAAATGATCAGGGCCATACTAGTGCTTTAAATTCTCAATACATTAGTCAAAGATATCTTGCGGACAAGTATATCCGAGAAACTATAATGACAAACGAGGATTCTCGACACCGAATCATATCGGTGATAAGAAACCAACTCAAGTTCCAAAAGGAATACGAAGAGAGTAGAAGACGATTAATCGAAGGGGCCACTGGTGAAGGTCCACTGGGGGTCCGACTTTCAAAGCTTGCCAACCATAATAAACTGATCAATGAGACAAAATTGAAAGGAATCATTGATCAATTCGATGCTGAGTTTTACGATAAGTGTACAAGTATGGCACAGGAAACTTGTCAGACCCTTACAAAGTTGGGTATACCCTTCTTTAGTATTCATAAGGAGTATCAGTATCCAACATTAGATCAGGATAAGGCATACATAATGAGCTACTTGATGCACGTATTTAAGGATGAAATCGAGCCAATTAATGAGGATTAAACATGATAATATTTATTAGTATAATAATTTGATGTACTTCTTATGTTGTTGCTTAAAGATCAGTAACACAACCCTTGGAAGCATCAGATACCAACTTAGCATACTTGGATAAAGTACCTCTGGTATATCTTGGAGCAGGAGCAGTCCAACTCTTCTTTCTTTCAGCTAAGACATCTTCACTAACCATTAAGTCAATCTTATTGTTATCAGCATCAATGACAACTTCATCACCATCATAAACCAAAGCGATTGGTCCACCTTCAGCAGCTTCGGGTACAATGTGACCAATCAAGAACCCATGAGATCCACCAGAAAATCTACCATCAGTCAACAAGGCAACATCCTTACCCAAACCGTAACCCATTAATGCTGAAGAAGGCTTCAACATTTCAGGCATACCTGGACCACCCTTTGGACCTTCATATCTGATAATACAAACGGTTTTTTCACCCTTTTTGATTTCACCATTTTCTAAGGCTTTAATGAATAAATGTTCATCATCAAACACCCTTGCCTTACCTTTAAAGTAAGTACCTTCCTTACCGGTAATCTTACCAACAGACCCACCAGGAGCCAAAGTACCCTTTAAGATTTGCAAATGACCATTTGGCTTCAATGGGTTAGACAAAGGCATAACAATGTCTTGGGATTGAGGTAAACCAGGAAGCTTTTCCAAATTTTCTTTGATGGTCTTACCAGTGACAGTGATTTGAGAACCATCAAGTAAACCTTCAGCCAATAATAACTTCATAACAGCTGGAGTACCACCATATTGTTGTAAGTCAGCCATAACATATTTACCAGAAGGTCTGAAATCAGCCAATAAAGGTGTGTTATCAGAGATTCTTTGGAAATCATCAACAGTTAATTCAACACCAACAGAATGAGCAATGGCAATCATATGCAAAACAGCATTAGTTGAACCACCAGTAGCAATAATATAAGTAATGGCATTTTCAAATGCCTTCTTGGTCATAATGTCTCGTGGTTTCAAATCCAAAGCCAATAAGTTTTTGATAGCTTCACCAGATGCAGCACATTCAGCCTTCTTTTCAGCAGAAATAGCAGGAGCAGAAGAAGAGTATGGTAAAGTCATACCCATAACTTCAGAGGCTGAAGCCATCGTGTTAGCAGTATACATACCACCACAAGAACCAGGACCAGGACATGCATGTCTGACGATATCAACTCTTTCATCTTCGGTGATTTCGTTAGCTAAAAATTGACCATATGATTGGAATGCCGAGATGATATCAATGTTCTTGGGAACATTTGAAGATCCACAAGTAGGGGAACCTGGCATAGTTGTACCACCATAGACCATAAGTGAAGGTCTGTTATGTCTTCCCATGGCAATCAAAGTACCAGGCATATTCTTGTCACAAGATGGAATGGCAATCCCACCATCATACATTTGAGCCATCATGATAGTTTCAAAAGAATCTGCAATGATTTCTCTTGATTGTAAGGAATAACGCATACCATCAGTCCCGTTAGAAATACCATCGGAAACACCAATAGAATTGAATTGCATGGCTTTTAAACCTGCATTATTAACTGCGGCAGAACATTGGTTGTTTAATTCCATTAAATGCATATTACAAGGGTTACCAGACCACCACACAGACCCAACACCAATTTGGGCCTTGTTCATATCTTCTTCTTGGAACCCGGTAGCATAAAGCATTGCTTGCGAGGCACCTTGTGATTTGTCTTCAGTAATAAGACTGGAGTATTTGTTCAATTTCTTTTCCAATTGTATGGTGGATTGTGAAAATTGTCTGATTCTTGCCATACGGGCAAAATGGTGCACATGCTGTGCTCTTGAAACTGCGCTCATGTCTGATTTAATGAATTGGTCTCAGGATATCAGTCACTTGCAAAGAATGTATTCATGATAACCGACTTCTTTTAATGTACGAAAATTTTTCAGACATACAAAACGTTCTACGTGAGTCATTACAGGCCTGAATCGGCCCGACTCAAAACCCGATACGGAAAGCGGTGTCTTGAGTTTGTCATCATGCGACATTTCTGGACGAATCAACTATCAGGAATTGGTCATATGTGGGTGTGAGTTATTAACCATCAATGCCAGCCAAAACAATTGGCTTGGAACATAGACATTAAGTTACGTAATAAAAGAGCTCAAGAAAGTGACTAAATAAAATTCTTGAAGGGCTGCTACTGCAAATAGTCAGTAATGACTTAAATTGAATACTTGGCGGATAATATTAGATTTATTGTCATACCTTCCAATTATGACACATTCAGGCTATGATTACTATAATTATCCAGGTTATAAACACTCTTAATCGAGAATCTTGCTATAGTGAACTCCATAATGGCATTAGAATGGTCATTCCAAAAACGTTTATGTTCTACCAAAATGCATAAGAGATGACCATAATAGCCGTGGCCCACAAAAGTTGCCTAATTGGGATTCCCCCCACTACCCAAGTCTCAATTTTCACAAGTCAGTCACAAACTTTAAGGCTCCGAGGAACGGTCGGAGTTACACCTGTATGTCGGATTTTCTATGGAATATGAAACTTGATAGCCTCTGAATCAACATATAAAGATTCAGCATATGCACAGTTATGTAAGTATTTTGGACTGGTGCTTGTTTATTTTTGATTGAACTCATATACTACTTTCCTTACAATATGGCAGAGAAAAGACTTTTACAAGAGCTTAACCTGCTAAACAGAGCAGGTCCATCGAAAACCAACCCTCAGATTATTGAATTGGCCCCCATAGATTCTAATGAAAGTTTATTGGAATGGCATGCAGTTATTGCTAAGCAAACTAAAGAAGATTCCCCTTATTACTATAATGGACAATGGAACCTTTTAATTAGCGTGGGAAGAGATTACCCAATGAAACCTCCAAGTATACGTTTTGATTCTTCTACTCCAATACATCATCCCAATATTAATTTGAACACTGGAGAAATATGCCTTGATATTCTCAAATCCGATGCTTGGTCTCCAGCTTGGAATTTGGTGAATTTGGTTGGTGCAGTTTTACTCTTATTAGACGATCCCGAACCTGATTCACCTTTAAATATTGATCTGGCTAATTTATTTCGGTATGATAAAGTTGCTTTTGAAAGTATAATACAGTTTACTATGTGGAAATATGGAACTTTCTGTGATTCTCGTGCTAAAGATCATTCTGGAATCAAGCTTGTTAAAGGTGTAAGCTTGGAAGATTCATATGTATTTGTGAATCCTTTTGCACAACCAGAACAAGCTCATAAAGTGGAGGAAAGCTCAATTAATATAGAGGTAGCTTCAAATTCAAAAGAGAATAGTGAGATTGTGCTTGAGGAAGAAACTACTTCACAACCACAAGAAGAAGAAGAAGAAGAAGAAGAAGAAGAAGAAGAAGAAGAAGATAAAGAAGAAGTAGTAATACCAAAAGTGAATATTCAACAGCCTGAACAAGAGCATTTCGAAGAAAATGAAGCAGATGATGTGGCTCTAGGAGATACTACAATTGATACTTCAACAGATGTTAGTAGTGCTCTATCACTGACCACAGACCAGGTTTCTGATTTAAATACTACTAAGGATTCTAAAATGAAAAGAACAACTTCCATTAAAAAGTCATTATCCTCAGCTTTGAGGAGAGACAAGAAAAAGAAGAGCAAGAGCAAGAGTAAAACCAAATCTTAAACTTTTAACTTCGAGTAAATCTACTTTATTCATTCCTTTCCCAATAATGCCAAAAACTTATATTAGATGTGTATATTCATGTATAATGATAATGATATAATAGCAATATAGCAAGATTAACGCAATCTTCTGGCTTCTCTCTCGGATTCCATCAAGCACAAGATGTCATTTTCTCTGACTGGACCCTTAACGTTTCTGACGATGGTTCTGGAAGCATCTTCCAAGAACTCAACTCTGACTTGGGTGACACCACCTCTAGAACCGGTTCTACCCAAAACCTTGATGACCTTAGCCAATGTAACAGGAGTCTTAGTATCCTATAGAAAAATATTGTTAGTATCTTCAGTTCATAGCTTTATTCATAGAATTATTCATAGTGGATGAGTTCGTGTGACTTTTAGATAGCTAGGCTATTGGCACAGTATTTCACATTTCACGACATGAACATTTTATAAGTCGTATGTGTTGTAGACGAGTTCCACTATGTTCTAAAATGTTGGTGGGGGGTACATACCATTTTTGCTAGTATTTAATGATATATGTAAATCCTTTCAACTAAGAGTTTTTCAAGTTCCTCTTGTAAAGTCATTTGTAAAAGTGAAAAATTTTTTTCCTTCCTGTTTTTCCAAGCTGCAATGTTTCCTGTGTGTAGCGAGCAAAATCGTGTTATTACCGAGAACAGACCTTCAAAAATTTGTCACTCTGATTTGATCACCTGACTTTGACCGGGTAACTTGTATTGCGAAAGAAGTAGTTTCAGTCACAGTCAGCTTCTACAGTATTATTGTAATGTGGAGTACAATTGTATATTTAAACCATAAAATTGAAGATATAAATGCAATCCTGTGATTGTACGTAATCATGTAATCTTTGATAATGGCGTATAGTTGTTAAGACTTACAGTCATTCCACTGTATCTTCTCCATCAGGTATCAGAGTCGAACCAGGTATCAAATATGTGTTACAAAACCGCTGATGTGACGAAGAAGAGTCTCCGAAGGCTTGTATAAACAAAACAATAACTACGGTGGAAGGTCCATCAAAACACGAATAAAAAACTTAACCAGATATACTTAGGTAACTCAATCAGTCTGATATAGGGTTTGGCATCTCTTTACTACCGCAAGTCCAATTTCCCTTGTCTTTGTTTTATTTTTAACCATGGCATCTAGATCGGAATTGATTCAATGGTTGAACACTACTTTGGAACTTAACTATACCAAGGTTGAGCAATGTGGTAGTGGTGCAGCATATTGTCAATTAATGGATTTGATTTATGGAGGAGTTCCAGTTCATAAGGTGAAATTTGAATCTGCTCATGGCGAGTATGATTATCGTCATAATTTCAAGATCTTACAAGCGTCATTCACTCGTAATCATATTACCAAAGTTATAGATGTGGAAAAGTTGATCAAATGTCGGTTACAAGATAATTTGGAACTTCTTCAATGGTTCCGCAAACATTGGATGGACAATAATCAAGGTGTTAACCCTACCTACGAACCTAAGACTAGAAGAAAAGCACTGACAGGGAATAGTACCAGTGAACTTACCATTCCCAAAACAAGAGGAAGAATCAATCCACTGTTGCATGATACGCCATCAAGAAATGTCAGTACTAGTTCTGTGAATAGTGTAAGATCTTCAGGAAAAGCCTCCACTTCGGGTCCAAATTCTAGAAGAAGTACACTTACAGGTTCTCGTTCCAGTACTAACATCATTGTTAACGGAGGTGAATCAAATGGTTCTAGACGTTCAATAGTACCATCTGGAAGCAATTCAACTCTTCGGAAAGTATCCACAGAAGTCGCAGATGATGGAGCGAAACAATTGATGCAAAGAAAGATTGATACGCTTCAATCTCAAGTGAATCTGTTGACCGAAGAACTAAAGGAAACTACAGTTTCTGCCGAGTCTTTGGAAACTGAACGAAACTTTTATTTCAATAAATTAAGAGATATTGAAATTCTCACTCAAAACATCAAAGATGGTCAAGAAAACGACAAATACCCTGAATTAACAAGATTAACTGTTATGGAATATAATGATAAAATACAGGAAATCCTTTACTACACTGAAGAAGGATTCCATATATCAGAAACAGCTGATAACATGGAGCAAGATGTTGATATTGAAGATGAAATGTTTTAGTACTACTATGGGCCGTCGATGTGCAGGATATTCTTTCAACATTACACAAACTTTAAGTCAGGGGCCTGATTCCATAATAGGCATCTGTTCACGAAGAAGCAAAGCCACCAAAGCCGTTTACGAAGACCTTGGTAATTATCACCAACTTCATACAACGAAGGTACAATAGGGTTAAGCTCTATAATGTTACATGTATTACAGCTTCCATTTTCGTTTCACCTTTCACAGTTATCGTCGTCTTCAAATAAGAGTACAAGGCTTAAACCTTCAAAGGTGATATTTTCTTTTTTTTTTTCCGCTCCCCCCCCACACCGTTTCATTTCGTTGTCACCTACTTTAGAATTAAAGGCATCTCTTGCGATGAGTTGCACGTGACCATCATGACAACAAAATTTTTGAAACTATGATTCCACCTACTAAATATCAAACAGTATGTCACTCATAGGAACAAAAAAATTAGTACCAGCTATAGTGAACTTCATTTGAAAAGGAATTTGTGGGATTTGAAGAAGAACTTGGTTATCTTGAAGATCCTTTGGTTGTTTAGGTGAGAGATAACAGTCACGTATTCTAAAATTTCACAGAGAATAAGAACGTAATATGACAGGAACAGATTACAGAGAGCCGCAGTCTTACATCCCAGCAGCATCAGTGCACCATCATCATCACCATCACATTCATTATAATGATAATAAAAGTCATGCCAATCAGTATAAACCTCGATATAACCATCAGCAACATCAGCAAAATCATTCACTCCAATCCAATGGTATAATTAAAGATAATGAGCGTCATTTAGTTGTGAAGAAGCAATATTACGATGATGGACGGTATTTGCCGCATGAAACTGTGACATCCGATGTATGTAAAATATGTGGGAGCCATTTGACAAGTGAGCATTCGTGTCAACAACACACATGTGAATGGCAGACGACAAAAGACATGTCATTCTCAAAACATCAACAAATTCAACTTTTGGAGGCCGCTGCAATTCTTGTTGATATGATGAAAGCCAATAACCACGACATACCATTGTCACATTCACCTAGACCTTCTCTAGTGTTCAAAGCAGCAACTGTGTCACCTCTGAATAAATCACAGTACTCAGTGAGAAGAACATCGGAATCCGTATCTCCACCCATGAAGAAGGTTAAGAAGGATGTACGATTTCGCAACCGGAGACTTTCATCTTCAGCTACTTACAGGAAAAAGGAACGTAAACTCCCCACGATTTCGGAAGAGGGAGTTGTGCTTTCCGACTCTCCCTTAATGGAAGAATAGAAGGATGTGTTTATCGTTATTTAATATTTATTAATGGGGTTAGCTGAATTATTTATTATGTACATAGTTTCAATTTCAATATTTGATTTGTTGTGCGGGTAACCCAGTGATATTAGTAGTTTGAGAGAGCAAGAGAAAGAAAAAAAAAAGAGCCTTGATTTCAACCAACTTACTACTTTTTTCTGTATCAAACACCCCATAATGTTTTGGCGTGATCTGTTCAAAGATCAGACATCTTCTCTTTGACGAACCGTCTTGGCAAGTCGCTTGAAGCAGGATATTGTGGGCGTAGTCTCGAGCTTTCGCTCGTGATTATGATGTGTTAGTATAAAGAAAACTTAAGTGCATCATAGTACATCTCGTATTGGGACATTAAGTCCCGTACTTCCCACCATGGGGTGTCTCCAAGAACACAAACATGACATAACATAACATTAAATCCATTATTTATTAGACATTGTAGAAGAAATTGTATATACAAGAGCTTATATGGGATAAGACTATTTGATCACGTCTATTTATCACCATCAGTTTATTTATCATCATCAGCAGTAATCACTTTAGATTGCAAAGGTTGAACCAGTTCGAACTTCTCTTTCAATGCTTGCTGTTCAATATGATCTTGTTGGTTGAGGATTTGTTTACGGTTGAGTTCTTTCATTCTCATACGTTCTGCATCTTTGATGGGACCTTGTCTTAAAGCAGCTCTTTCCACTTGTTGAGAGTAGTTGATGAAAGCAAAAGCTCCTACGGCAAAAGCAATAGATGCACCAAAAGTGACTTTAGATGCAGTAGACATATTAACACCTTAGTATTGAATAGTAATCGAACAAGGTGATTTGTTAATGGAATAGTGTGGTGAATTTGTTTGGCCAGTTTTCATTACAGCCAGTTTACGTACATGAACCGTTTGGAAGCGATAATCGGCCTTGAGTTAAACAAACTCACCAGCGATACAGGCCTCGAGAATTAATAAACACGAACATAAAAGTTACAGCTATAATAAGAGGTACGGCTATACATCTATACTCATATATATATTAGTAGTATATAATTCTATTTTACAAGCAGTATATACTAATAAGTGCTTGATAGTGTGCTGTATTGTGTACATTGACTGACTTCTATACCGAACAGCAGCCGTATTCATCTACCACGTGACCAAATCCCCCGCTGTTGTTGGAACAAAAAGTAATCAACGACTCCACCAGTATCTTCGTTACCATAGTTCAACAAGCAATTAGACACCAAGTATAGGTTGCGGTGACGGCATTGGTATACTCGGTATTGTAGCCAGATTTATACACAGCCCTTTACTTGATTGGTCAGAGCCTACATTTTTTTTAGATTTATCCTGGCAGCCTAATTTTATTTATACCACTACTATCCGTAATATTATAAGATCATCTTAAGATTGGTTGAGTGGATCTTTTTAAGTCTTATTGCATTGGGTTATAGCTTTTTCCCCATACGTTATAACGAATATCATAAAAGTATGAGTTCTATTGAAACTGGAAGTTCAAGACAAACAGACACCGGAGCAAAGACAGTGTCAAATTTGACTAAAAACTTGATGTCTTCCTCCAACTCTGGAGCTTCCTCTTATGATGAACTGAATGAAAACCGTCATCATCATCATCATCATCAACTGCAACTTATAATGCAACAAGATGAATACCAGGACCAACAAGAACTGCAAGAACTGCAACAGCATGATCATCCACAACACGGCCAACACCAAGCTGAACAACACTTGTATTCTATTGAGCTGGCATCTCAATTCTCTGCTCAACCTGCTCCTCCCAGCTACTCTGCATCAGTCTACTCCAATAATAACAAGTTCATTCCATCTAAATCAGGCGAATACTATAGGCATACACCTAATGTATCTTCTTTACCAATGCAATCATCGTTTAGTGGCTCTTATCAGCCGAATGATTATATCCCTTCCAGTCACAATACTCCCACGGCAATTTCAACTTCATATTCCTCCAATCATTCATCCTACGCTCCTGTTTTGAATACTCAACAACAACAACAACAACAACAACAACAACAACAATCTTTCCAACCTAATGCTTCTCAAAATCTATTTACTAATGTGTCAGGAGGCTCTGGGTCCGCTAGTTTCAAGCCTGCAACTACAAACTTTATGCCTCAACCTTCAATGGCCACTACCAACATCTCTATGGACTCCGCTAATTCCAACAACTCAATTCTCAGCACCTCAGCGTCATCCAACATGTCTCTGTCGTTTGTTTCGAATCCCCATGTTGTTCATACCCCCGTCAATCCGTATCAGAGATCTTCACTTTCAAGTTCCATACCGTTCACTTCTTCTTTGGGTCAACCCCCTGGTCAAGGAAGACCTTCTATTAACAGAATGCCATCAATTGGGGACCAAACCATTGGAGGAACTTCACTGTCTTTGACTTCAACCCCACCAACATTCAATCATCATAATGCTGCTCATTCCTTACCTACCACTAGTTCCTTCATCCCCCAACATCATCAAACAATACCAGCATTACCACCTCAAGCCACTCATTTAGCCAAGTTGAACAACCACCATCATCACAATCAATCCCCAGACTTAGCATCTAATCTGCCCTATAATCCTTCCCCCGAGGTTCCGCCATTTGTGTACAATCCTGAGCCTGATCATTATATGACTTACAGTGAGTTTTTGGTAAATGTATCACTTAAAGATCAAACTAATAGTGCTACTGGAGAAGGGGAGGAGCACTTAAACATTGTTGAGTATCCAGTGGAAGATTTGATTTTAATGTTATCATGTCTTTTAACCAAGATTATTGAAGCCAACGATAAGTTGCATCCTAATCATTTTGACAAGACTATTGCCCACAGACAACGGTTGAAGGAGGAGAGACGAATAAGACGATTGAACCGGATGAATGGAACTACAACCAATAGAGAATCCGGAAATGAACCAGGAATTGTGGATGAAGACTTTGATTTTGATAACAGCAATAATAACAATTACAATAATAATAATGATTCAGATGATGAAGAAAATGAAATGGAAAATAAGTATTTGGCCAATGTTCTTGCCTTTCATGGAACCAATATCCCCACTATTACATTACATGCATATTTGACCCGAGTTTTAAAGTATTGTCCTGTGACCAATGAGGTGTTTCTTTCCCTTTTAGTTTACTTTGATCGAATTGCTAAGAAGGCCAACAATTTGAAGAAGAAAGACGTCAACAATAATAATAATGGCAATAATAGCGGTGATAAAGATAATAATGAAATGGAACAATTATTTGTTATGGATTCCTATAATATCCATCGATTAATTATTAGTGGGATAACTGTTAGTTCCAAGTTTTTCAGTGATATTTTCTATAAGAATTTACGATATGCTAAAGTTGGTGGATTACCTTTGGAAGAGCTCAATTATTTGGAGTTACAATTTCTTTTACTTTTGGATTTCAAATTGATGATTCTGGTGGAAGATTTACAAAATTATGCTGATTTATTGCTTAGGTTCTGGAAACGGGAACAAATGGCTAAACAGTTGACTCATGTTCAGCAAATGCAAGATCAACTGCAGCAAATGCAACAACTGCAACAAGAAGCGGGCACTCAGTAGTCAATTCTATGCTCAGTAGGGTAGCACCGCTTCTTGAAAAACATACTACTATGTTTGGTGATTTTATTTCTTGATTAGATTTAATGTTAATTTAATAGTTTTATTACGAGACTCATAAGCTATCTTACAAATGTGTATTAGAAAACGTGCTAGAAGTTACCATAATAATTAAAAATACATGATTTTAGTATCATAAAGTTGACCTAGTTTATTTCTTACCAGTCTTCTTGGTAGCAGCCTTCTTTTCCTTGTCTTCTTGTTCCTTCAAGACTCTCTTAACAATCTTTTGTTCTTCAATCAAGAAAGCTCTGACAACTCTTTCCTTGACACAGTTGGCACATCTGGAACCACCGTAAGCTCTGGAAACAGACTTGTGGGTTCTAGAAACAGTGGCAAATTGTCTTGGTCTCATGGTAGAAACACCAGCCAAAGCAGATCCACAGTCACCACACTTGACTCTGGAAGCAGCCTTCTTAACATGTTGGGCAACCAACTTTCCACCTGGGGTCTTGACGACCTTGATCTTGTTAGATCTGGTGTTGTCTAAATCAGTTAGTATAATTGAACTCGATGATAATTTCACATCCATGACAGTCGGTGAAGTGAATATTGTATACGATTTATGGGAATTGGATCTGACATATCATGTCATTTGATAAGGAAATGTGCAAGCCAATCATGGGAACCACTGTAATGTCCACTAAAATAGTACCAGTCATAATACTCATTAAAAGTACCAGTCATAATATGGGATCTTTCTGCTGTGCATCTACTTCCATGTATTTGTCCACTGTTCTGCCATCGATGTGTCTGTTAACATGTTTAAACATACAAGGATTTCTTCTTCTGTAGGTAACACGTTGAGCCATTTTTGAAGATAGTTTCTATGCTGTAGAAGGGAAGATCTTTAGTAAGTGATTTTAGTATATTTCAAGTTTGATAAAAATTTCAATCACCACTCGGTATTGCCAGAGAAGATTGAGACCCCCATCAAGTGCCCATACAAAATCCTGCATTTTGGAGTCGCGCTAGAAAAATTTTCAACAATCTCGACACAGTCACTAGGGTATGGTATAGTCACGTGAAAGCCCTAATGGGACTCTAAGTACTGTATGAAGATGGTTTATCCGATACTGATATGCATACAACAACAGTTACAGTTAGTCTTATCCATGATTATGCTATATATTCGTATACTAAGCTAACTCTATTATAAGTTGGACTTGTCCTTTTCGATGGCAACAACTTCCATTTCCAAGGCAACACCTAAAGGTAATTCTTTAACTGCAACACATGATCTGGCTGGCTTATGTTCACTAAAGTACTTTGCGTACACCAGATTGAATTCACCAAATTGAGTCTTCATATCAGTTAAAAAGATATTGGCCTTAACGATATGCTTCATAGAAGAGTTGGAAGCTTCCAAGATGTTTGCAACATTTTGAAGTACTTGTTCTGCTTGTTCAGCAATGGTTGGATTACCTGGTAATGGTTTATTTTGTGGGGTGTAAGGAATTTGACCAGAAACGTAAATAAACCCTTTAGCTGTTAGTATCTTACTATCATTAACGTTTAGTTTGTAATATCATACATACCATTGACCTTAACAGCTTGCGAATATGAAGCTGCTGGTGGGGGAGCATTAGCTGTCTTGACCTTTGGAAGTGTTAGTAATTAACTCAATTGAAGTTTAAATCAATATAAGCAACATACTGGAGTGATGGTGGAGCTCATTCTTTTAGCACTGATCAAAGTTCTAACCAAAGAGTTACGTCCTTGCATTAGTGAAGATTGGTAATAGAGGGTAAGATTAGTCATAATTGATCTACGATCAACATTTTCTCAACAATTGAGGGGGGAACACAAATGCCCATGTCACGTGATCTCGGCATCTAATATCCGTGGAATTTATACAAGTTTACATAAAATTACATTATTACTGTACTCTGTAATATCTGATTATCTTTATATGACTGTCTTGTATTCTATCCTGTATTATTTATGTTTTGACTTCTTCTTCTTCTTTTTCTTATTCTTCTTGTTCTTTGATGAGGCTGCAGATGAATATTCCATTTCTCCATTGAGAAATTTATCATTGAATTCAGAATCAATGGAATCTTCAATTTGGTTCTGCTTTCCATCCGGCTCTTCATTGATCACTTGAGTCTTGGCTAGTGCGCTGCCAATATACTTGTCCACTTGTATGAATAATAAAACCGGTATGACCTCAATATAGGAAAACACATTGAAATAAGTGAAAAATAGCCTCAACGTTTGCCAATGATCAAGCCCCTTAGGAAAAGGTAGCACATCTTCTGGAACGAACGAAAAGTTTAATCTGATTTGAACTGCTTTTGAAAGGTCTGCAAATCTGTAAAATGTTACTAAATCACTGTGATCTTCTTTGGTGCTTCTAGGTCTTCGTAACCCATATCGTCTATCTGAAGTCAAAATTCTAGTGAGATCTTCAAGATAATTTTCTGGTAACTCTTCCTTAAAATTAGCTAATGCTAATTTTGCTGAAGAAACGTCCAAAGGTTCACCCATTTCAAATTCTAGAACTTCAGTCTCCTGTTCTTCATCATTTTTGTTCAATGCAACATTACCATCAATACCATAAGTATGTCTTCTAATTGAAAAGTATAACTCCCTGGCAGCAGGTATGCTAATCCATCCAACTAACAATGAAAGCAAGTCATGAGCATAGTCATCAAGATAATCTGTATCATCACCTCGTGGTCGAAGATCAATGGTCCCTCTTTCAATAAGACTTCGAATCATTAAGCATAAAACTTCAATAAATCTCTTCTTCAGATTCACTAACCCATTCGAACCATCATCTATATCGTACAAAAATGAATGTACATTGGTGAAAAGCAGATGAAGCAACATCAGCACTTCAACATCACTAAGAATAACATGATCTCCTTCTCTCGTAAACTCCAAATCATCCTCATGATCTTGACCTCTTAAATTGGTCAACAACTCAAAAATATAATTCAACAAAAGTAATGAATAATTGACATTATTCGTTAAAAACCACACAAATGTTCGACGGTATCCTTGGCACATAAACATTTCATCCATTAATTTGCAAGTAAGTTTGGTATGTAATCCCAACATCACTTCAAAATTAGTAATGGGGTATAATTGTATTGGTGATGTCAGCATATTCTCATAAGTACACAGAGTCCAAAACTCATAGATCCTATCAGGAGTTATACCATTGAACTCAATCCCACGCTCTTCTGCTCTTATAGCGAATGCAATTGTATTTATTATACGTTTCCCTTCTTCATGCAAAAGTTCTTCATCACCTCCAACTTTAAGCATCCTTCGAAATACTTGTTCAAGATCACTCCAACTCTGATAAAAATATCTTTTGTCTTCAGGTTTTTGCAGCTCCTTTTCGAATTTAGCAGTTGGTAGACGGTTTAGACCTCTCGCTTCATCTCTCCAATCCCTACCCAAATGATCAGTTTCAATAGCTTCACTATCCAGTACTCTCATTGGTAACGATGAAGCTCTTATAAGGTCATTATTATTAATATTTTCTTTATGTGCTTCTTCTTCTGCTCGCCCAACTTCTTCTCCTTTAACCCCATTTTCCACTTCATCATCGTCCTCATCAACTTCTTCTTCTTCTTCTCCAGTTCCTTCCCCTCCTTCATACTCTATTTCTGAATCTGCATAATCTCTTTCAAGAATATACCGAATGTCTTCATCAAATTGATCATCGTAATCCAAATCAACTAGCAAATCACCCAATTGACCCAAGTTCTTTTCTCTATTCAACCTTCTTACATCTGCACGGGAACTTATATCAAATTCACTCTTATTGTTCTTTTCCCACATTGGTAATGGTAATGAACCAGCAATCAAATAGTATTGAGCCATTATTATCATTCTCATATCTACCAGTAAAGCTCCTCCATTCAGACACTCTCTTGCTAGTGGTTCCATAAAGTTAAGCAAGGTTTCGGCTTTAATATCATGATTAATTAGTACGGTGAGATTGTCTTCGTCTTCGTCTTCGTCTTCTTCTTCACCTTCTTCATCATCTTCTATTTCTTCTTCTATTTCTTTTCCGTAATCTTCTCGTAAGGAGCGGAGGTACCTTTTGGCCACACCTGACCCTTGATCACTATCCCATAAGGTCAGTGATGGGTTCTGGTTAAGGATGTAAGCCAAAGTACATCGTATAGCACTGGTACCTTTCATCAATATTTTAATCAAGTCATATGCATTCTGATATTCATATGAATAAAATTGATAGGTATCAATACCTTCCAAAGTTAAAAGCAATATCAAGGTATGAGTGAGAGACTTCCATAGTCTCACCATATAATTAACATATGGATTCAATGATAAGTTATAACCATCTGGATTATGAGGATCAACAAAGCACTTGAACATTGCCATATGTAAGATACACAGGGCAGTTTGTATTAATCGTATGGTTTCAAAGTCTTGTAATAGTGGCTGTTGCCAATGGTGGAATAGCTTCTTAACCAGTTCCAAAGAGTCAATATCACAATATCGAAGGCCCACTTCATCATTCAACTGTAGAAGTTTATTGAGCTCTTGTACTATTATAAAGAATTTGGTTGAGATGGCAAATTTCATGGTATTGCAATCAACATTTTTGAAATCAGGTTGGTTCTCTGTTTGAGTAGAATAATATTGATACGTTAATGCCATTAACGCATCTGCTAGTAGGTCTAAACTAAGCACCACTTCATCATTCTCTTCTGGTTGAACATAAGGGTCACTCAAATACATCACCATATAAAACACCATCGTGAGCTCTTCATCATGCTTTAATACCCCTATGCTATTGATAAGTTTTTGATGAAGACGAGGCAATTGTGTAGTGGTGAAATGGTCCCAACCCAATTCCTTAGTGGAAGGATAGATTCTGGAATATTCCTCTTCTTCTCCGGGTAACTTATTTGGGTAGTATTCGGTGTTCATTGTATCGTACCATATTTCAAGGTTAAGTTGTATAGATTGTTAGTAGTAGTAGGAGGAGGAGTAGTTAACTTACTTACCAATTGTCTTTTGTTAGGTAAAAATCACAACTTGTAATGGTAACTGCACTACTTTGTTGATGATGGAAGCATAGTATTATTATAACAACTTTCTTATTATGTTTCTATTATTACTGTATGTAAGCTCTATTATTTATAGTAATCAGCATTAAATATTTGTTTGAACCCAAGTCCAAAAATACCTCTAATCTTTTTAGGCGCAAACTTGGAATAAGCAACTAATACTGAAAAACTCATAGCAAACACAATGGCTTCTATTTGTAAGTAAAACTTGGAGTTTTCAGTTGGAACAATGGTTCCCAAAGCTCTGGGTGCCACAAATAACGCAAGTTCCTTCCTTCTTGACTTAGTCTCAACAAAACTACTGAATCCACAAGCAACACAACCACCTAATGTGCAAAGAGTAGTATCATAACGAGTTCTGGGAATTCTTGGAAATAGTTTGGGTCCTAATCTTGTACGTACAAGACAGACAGCATACCAGAATAATCCAATAAATGATCCAAGGAAGCATGAAGACCTTATAGCTGATATAAGAGCACGAATCAATCGGAATTTGAGCTTATTCTTACTGGGGAAGAATAAACCAATGAATTTAATTGGTCCATATATCTTGAATGCGAACTCGAATCCTCTTACAAATCTCCATAAAGCATTCAATTCACAACTTTTTGTCTTGAAGGAATGAACCATTTCACAATCTAATGGTTGCGTTTGCAGAAAATCTCCTAGCTTAGGGTCTCTCCCATATTTAATAGCATACTCTTTAAGAAATGCTCCAGCAGGCAAATCTTCACCATATTTTAATTTCCCCTCTCTAAGATATCTAAGAGCAATCTTCATTTCTGGGTCCATATTAGCAGCAGATGTGATCCATGAGCTATAAGCAGGAGGAAGGGCGTCAGGATTATAAAACCATGCGAACATTATTAATGAGCATGACCCAATAAATAACGCTGGATCTCCGAACGACCTTATGCTAGCTGGAAGAATCTTATTGAAATAAGATGAAAGCACTGTATCCAAGGCTCTACTAAGTACTAAAAGAGTTAAATCCAAGGAATAGTATCTACTCTTCTCAGTCACGTGCAATTGATAAGAAGGGAATGCCACCATTGATGTGATAAAGGATGCAAGAAATGTTGCCAAAAAAAGCCTTCTAATGGGTCTCTTAAGGGGCAAATAACTCTTAACCATACGATACATTGGGATCTCAAGAGCATTAATCCCAGCTATAAGATAAGCAGAAAACATGGGGAATTTCCGGGGATCACATGCCTTGATAAGTGCTTGTAGAACTCGTTCTGCCATCTCCTTGTACTTCTTTCTCTTCATGCCTTTTAATACCAACCCCAATACTCTTGGAACTGTTACATAGAGGTACGCGATCAAGAAGGCTTTAAATGCCGGTCTTCCTACACGTGTCTTAGCAAATGCTAGCAATCCCCGTATCTTAGCGTCTTTAATGGAACTCATCAATAGCTGTCGAACACTGGAATCCAATGGAATGCAATGCATGAAAACTGAAGTGTTGCTTATGATTCTTCAGCCCTAGATTTTTTGACCGATCGGTCCACGACATAGTGGGGTGCATATCGTTTAGTTGGTGCTCGGGTGTCGCGCATACCAACACAGGCCTCAGTGGATTTTACAGTTGATCTTATTGGGACATATACTGGGGCTTTGCTTGGAGCGGAACCGGATTTGAACGATGATTTGGGTGGGAAAGACCCAGAATTAATTCGAAGATGTTTGTTGGGCATTGAGTCGTCTTTGTTCCCTCTGGGTTTAACGTTAGCCACTGCTCGAACTGGGGTGTATGATGGAGCTTTACCCGCTGGAGGTCTTGTAAACAAAATGAAATCATTTGAAAACCTGTTTTTGTTTTTGCTTTTGCAATTTTCTTCTTCGATTTGTTGCGGTAAACCATCCTCATTGTGATAACTAGTTTGGTACTCTTGACATAACAGTAGTGACTCTGATGGGCATGTACTATTGCACATCTCAAACATATGGACCAATCTCTGAGGTTTTATAAGGATCTCGGGATGATATGACACCATATGACTTGGTATAAGATCTCTTATAAACCTTGAAACTTGGGCATTAAACGTACCAAAACTATCCACTGATGATAAATATAATAGCCATTTAGCTCTAGTGAGTGCAACATAGAAACAACGACGTTCTTCATGGATAGCCTCACCTCTTTCGTCTTTAACACTAAAACGAGAGGGAAAGATCCCCTCTGTCAATCCTGGAACAAATACGATTTTCCATTCAAGTCCTTTAGATCCATGGATTGTTGATAACGTGATGGGTTTCAGTGCTTTTTCAGATGAATTTTCTTTTTCATCATCCGATGTTTGATAAAGTCCAATAGAATCAACAAACTGAACAAGAAAGTTCCCATTTAGTTGTGTGTCAGCAATAGCAGCAGCAGCATTATCATCATCGTCGTCATCCTCTATTTCACTTCCAATCCAATTATCCATAGAAATATCCTGCGGTATGAACTCACTGAACACAGTACGAACTTCATCAATATTGGCCTGTTTCTCTTCTTCTTCCTTGAAAACAATATTTAATTCAAATACTTCGATCACAGTATCAAAATAGCTTTGCAATAAGTTCGAACGTTCAGCAGCAGCATCTTCAATTGATTTGATTTGATGTTCTAATTGTTGAAGCTCTCGAGTCAAGAATTTCACTCTATTAATAAACTGTTTAACGGCATCTCTTGCCTTCTTGGTCTTGATGACCTCTAAGGAGATCTGCTCGATCATCTCGAGCATTGTACCTTTGAAAGAGATATTCTGTGCTCTGGTTTGTATGTTTGATATACTGGAATCACCAACACCTTTTAATGAACTTAGACATCGGAAGATGGCTATGGAATCATTGTGATCGGCAATGACTCTTAAAGTGTTGACTACAGTCATCACTTCACTTCTATTCCAGAAAGCTCTTCCCTTCAACATTTTATAGGGTATTGATTTCTTTGTAAGGGCCTTTTCAATTACTCTTGTTTCATTACTTGATCTCACAAGAATGGCAATATCTGTTCCCTGGATGGGTAACTTGAGTAGTAGTTGATCGATTTGAAACGCAATCCATTGAGCTTCCTGATCACTATTTTCACATTGAGCATGGGTAGCTTTGAATGAATGGTTTAGGTGAGATTTAAGAGTCTTTTGATGCCGACCAGAAGCTTGTCTCATAACTTGTTCAGATAAATTAAGAATTGAAGTTGTAGACCGATAATTTTCATTTAAGGTGATGATATCACAATCTAATGATAATGCTGATTTATAATGATCCTTCATTTGTTGAAAGTTAACGGATTGAGCTCCTCGGAAAGCATAGATGCTTTGATCAGGATCTCCAACAACGGTAACGTTATGTAAATGCTTACCCAGACCTTTTGCTAGTTCAAACATGAGCTTCAACTGTATAGAGTTTGTGTCTTGGAACTCATCCACCACCACATGTTGTATAAAGTTCATCACTGGATATTTAACCAATAACTGATAGCAATAAAGTAAGCAATCATCAAAGTCAAACCGTTTATTCCTATTCAACTCGTGGGTGTATTTCTCATAAAGAAACTCAAGTACCTTATTATGGTCCTTTCCCCCTCTTGACGAGTACATGGTGGAGGATATGCCTTGGGCCTTCAATGAAGAGATTTGTTTCCTAACCATTGAAGCATTGACCTTCTGCTTATCGCTGACGAAAGGTAACCAGTCAGGATGGTCACTATCAACTAATTGAATTAACTCGTCGATCACTGCTACATTATTGACTATTTGATTCAACATACCCATTGAATCATTCTCATCAGCTACTCTATAATTTGATAGTCCTATCTTACCACCATGGATACTTAATATTCTATAGCAAATACTATGGAAGGTACCCATGTATAAACCCGAAATATCTATGTCTGAACTTTTCAACATTGACTCGAGACGTTCCTTCATTTCATTCGAAGCCTTCTTGGTGAAGGTTGTAACCAATATGTTGTGCGGCTTAATGCCATGCTTAACGATCATGTAAGCTACCCGAGAACACAACACTTTGGTCTTGCCTGTTCCTGGACCAGCTACCACTTGAAGTCTGCCATTGATAGGAGCGGTAACTGCTTGTGTTTGACGTTCATTGAGTCCGTTTAGTATGGACATGGGTACTATATAAGAATAGTTGTAGTGGGAACAAAATAATCTCACTAATAAATATAACAGTACTACAGTACTTACAATAGTACTATACACCGCTGCTACTGCTACAATACTGCTGCTATACTACACTACTACACTACTATACGCCTTAGTACTGTTATGATATGACACCCTGGATCCTTCTCTTTCTATTGGTACCAGCCTATACACTAGAGAATTGGCCCTCGTTGTCTTCCATATTAACTGTGGTTCAAAGATCTCATAGAGACGTATCCAAAGATGTCCCTAATGATCAAATTGGTACCTTTGGTGTTTCTCTTGGAACCCAGCTCTTTGCTAGAAAAGATTATAGCCCTGATGCTTTGGTCGATTTTAGAAACCTCCTTAATGTTGGTACACAAACTTTAATGGTGGATTTATATTGGAATGGTGCTACTCAGATATGGCAGTTGTGTCCTGCTCCTTACCCGGCTAATACTACCTATACTGATGATACGATTCGCCTTGAATGGAAGGGTAAAACTTATAATTGTGATCCGTCACTTACCATGGCTTTGATGGTGAAATCTATGGTATCTTACTTCGGCGATACAAACAATGTCTTACTGGTGAACATCATCAATTTAATAATCAATTTGAAGGAAATTGACTTCAGTACATCCAATAACGGTACTGTTGCCTCCAAGGGAGATCTTTCGAAATACATACCTCAAACAGGCTCGATAAATACTTATGGTAATTCTACATTGGTTGATACCTTTGCGGAATTCGGAACTTTGGCTTTCACTCCACTTGATCAAGATATCTTCAATGGTCTACGTGATGATAGTTTTTATAATATTTCAGGTACCTCTACACCTTCTGTCTACTACCTAGCTTGGCTTGATCTTAATAGAGTTGCAGTGCGTATCGCAGGTAACGAGGTCAAGGACAATTGGTACAGCTATAACATAACTGAGACAGACAAATCTGTCATCTTCTTCCCGGAAAATCCTAATGCCATGATGGTAGCAAGTGTGACCAATGAAACCGTATTAAACGAATGTACGACGTTATTGAATAATATGGGGAACATTCAAACGTCTCAGCTTGTGGATATGGCTACTAAACAACATTTCAAGTTTATACTTGATGATGATACTGACAGTTTTAATAATGATTCCTATACTCGGTTCATTAGTTGCGGATATAGTCCTATACTTAATGCAAAGGAGTATTCGATTAGTAATTTCACTACTGGTGAAGATGTTCGTTCACAAGATTTAGGGGCTATAATCAACAACTTTTTAGCCCGTACATTTCTCCTCACAGAATTAACTGACGTTGATGATGAAGAATCAATGAAAGCTGCTACAAGATGTGTTGTATTCGTAAGTGATCTGTTGTCCAAAGTGGCCAATTGTTACAATCAATATCCTTACGCTTGTCAGAATATATCCAATCCTGTCGATTGGTTTATAGGAGATGATGAGAGAGAGTATTTCGATGCCTATTCGGATGCTTGTCCTGAAGGTTATCAATTCAGTGTACCTCATCTGTTGGTTGAGTTGATCAGTATGAGAAATGAAATTCATAAAAAGAATATCTCGTATCCAGTATGGGTTGACATCAATGATATCACGGTTAATCTGTGCTTCGTTTCAGGAGGACCATATGCTAATTGTCCTTATCAAGAGACTGTTAGTAAGCAAAAATTGGTTGGACTCATTGCTCCTAGTTTTGTTGTTGGTGCTGTGATTTTGGTGTTGATGTTTTTGGAGAGGTTCTTTAGAACTAATCCTATTCAAACTCGTAGGAAAACTTATTGGAGACGAAGAGTCCTTGAGTTCAATAAACTACATGAATATGAAGGTGTTCCATCGTGATAATACAGCTGGTTAGTATTATAGTAATGATGTACATATGTGTGGCCTGTAAATTTAATTTTCGCGTGTCTCTACCAATTAACAAGGGCAAAAATTAAGAGAGTCAAAAGGACAAAATTGTTGATCACCCAACCAACCTGACTCTTCTTCTTCTTCTTCTTCTTCTTCTTAACCATCTAATCAAAACTACAACATCATGAGTAATCAGAATTGGAGTCGTTTCCAAGAAGAAATGAAGCGTAGAGCTACTCAGGCCGCAAGATCCTCGGGGGGACCCAAAGCTACACCTCCAAGAGGACTTTTAGGAGGAGTTGGAGGGCTTTTCGTTCTTGGTGGTATAGCATTAATTGCACAAAATGCCTTATTTAACGTTGATGGTGGTCAAAGAGCCATTATTTATTCACGTGTTGGAGGTATTCAACCTCAAATCATTTCAGAAGGTACCCATTTCATTATACCATGGTTTCAAAGACCAATCATTTATGATGTACGTGCTAAACCAAGAAATGTGGCCTCATTAACAGGAACAAAAGATTTACAAATGGTTAATATCACTTGTAGAGTATTATTTAAACCGGATATCGCTCAGTTGCCCACCATTTACAGAACCTTGGGTAGAGATTATGATGAGAAAATCTTACCATCAATTGTTAACGAAGTATTGAAATCAGTGGTTGCTCAATTCAATGCCTCTCAATTGATTACTCAAAGAGAGAAAGTCAGTAGATTGGTGAGAGAGAATATGGTTCGTCGTGCTCAAAAATTCAACATTGCTTTAGATGATGTTTCCTTAACTTATATGACATTCTCACCTGAATTCAGTACTGCTGTGGAAGCTAAACAAATTGCTCAACAAGATGCTCAAAGAGCTGCTTTTGTTGTTGACAAGGCCATTCAAGAAAAGCAGCAATTGGTGGTTAAGGCCGCTGGTGAAGCCAAATCAGCTGAATTAATTGGTGAAGCTATTAAAAAGAGTAAAGATTATGTTGAATTGAAAAGATTGGATACCGCAAGAGAAATCGCCGGTATTTTGGCTTCTTCTCCAAACAAAATCTTATTGGACAACGAATCCTTATTACTTAACACTACCTCTGATGCTCGTAAGTGATGATAATAATACTCTAACACTTGTATATAAAATATATTTAATTGAAACGAAAATTGAAACAAATTTTGTTTAGTCAAAAATAGAATTAACGATATTTGAACCAATTGATGCACCAGCACCGAAAATAGCTGCATTTCCAAGTTTACTACCAAACTTCTTGAAATGACCTCCATGATGACTACCACTTTCTTGTTGAACCACAACTTCTTGGTTTTGGGGTTGTGGAGGAGGATAATAATTAGTTGATGGTGGAGGATAAGGTGCATTATTATTGTTAGCATAAGCAACTGGTTGGCCATATTGAGGTTGATACTGAGGTTGATATTGGACTTGATATTGGTCTTGATAGCCTTGATTTGGTCCATAATTTGGAGCTTGCATTTGTGTGTTTGATGCTACCGGTTTCTCGACAGATTCATATTTCGGAGGTGCCGCAATTCTTTCGTTACTGCTTCGTTTAAAGCCTTCTTCATATTCACTTTCCGAAATCTTTTTAACATAATTAGCAGGGAAAATACCAATATGTTCTTTACCATCGTTCTTCTTAAATCCCTTCCACCAGCTATCACTTAAGACTTCAGTAATCTTAATCTTATCTCCTTGTTTCAAATTGATATCACCAGATTCTTCTGATTGGAATTCATATATGGCTTCACAGTACCCCAAGTTATCAGTAGTGGTAGCAGGGGTCTCATTGAGATGAACTTTAGCAACTCGCTTCGACAAATCATCTTCTGTTGCTGAAGATTTCTCCGAAGAAGAAGAAGAAGAAGAAGAAGAATTCACTCCCAACTTCTCAACTCCCCATGGTTGCATATCATTGGTGTATTTGGGAGGCAATGCACCCAAGAGTTTACTATATAATTCTTCGGTGATAACCTCTGAATCCCTCAAGAACTCCAACTCAGTCTTGACTGTAGTAAGAGAACGGTTAATTAATGGACCCGACATTGATTATTGCTTTACTTCTCAAAGATAAGCCCGCTATTAGCCAAACTAAAGTTTCTCACCCTTTTATTCTTTTGATTCGAAATTAAGTGGAATGAATCACAAGGGTGTGGTTAGGACATATCCTGCACATCATTTGTCGGTACTGCTTGTCTAACTCTGGAGTCTATAATTTTATGTGCTCGGATTGAGACGAGGCGAAGCACACAATATTTTCGATGATTTGTCTTATAATTACCTTATTAGATCACCGGTCTCATCTACCCCTTCTACTAATTCAATAATACTGCTTTGATAGGAACCTTTACCAAATATTTGACTTGAGGGGGTAAATTTTAACAGTGAACTCCATATCTTGTAAATGTGAATAGTTTCATCATTGATTGCTGTGCACACAGAACAACCGTCGGGGCTCAGACATGCACTCAATGTCCTGGTGTTAGGAGAAGCTGACACTTCTTTAAGATATTGCATATTGGGATAGGAAAATACTCGAAGCATGACGTCTTCTTTTCCTGTACTGAAACCAAAAGTAACCACTAATTCCTTTCTTATTGTAGACCAGAGTATTGAGGTTATCTGCCAATCAGTTACAATTGTTTGAAGAAGGGTGCCACTTTTAGTATGCCAGAATCTAACATTTCTATCTTTACTTCCACCACCAGAGGCAAGTAATGAGGTTGACCACGGACAATAGGCAAGTGCTTTGACTGCTGCAGTATGAAAAAGTGTATGTTTAAGTTGAGGGTGATCGATTGATTCAATGTCCCAAATAGTACATTTATTATCGTTTCCGCCTACTGCTACCTCCTTGGAATCCATGGAGATTGCTATGCCACATATTTGTTCACCATTGGATTTCATTCTACTCTGTTCATGAAACAGGTATTCGTTTTCTCTCCTATTAATCTGTAATATCAACACTTCGCCCCTTGCATCACCAGCAAATATAATATCCGAGCTTGGTGACCATTGAAGACAATATACACAATTGTTTGGTAGTTTGATTGACGTTAGAATCTGATTGCTTTTAAGATCTCCTAATGCAATGACTCCATTCAATGTAGCGTATGTGAAATAGGAATGATTTGAACAGGCAATGGCAGTTATCATCCCTTGGTGTTCCATGGCAATTTCATTAACTTGATTATTAGCACACCAAACAAATATTCGACTCTTAAGCCCTACAAGGATCTTCCCGGTTGATTTATTCCAGGATATTAAGTTTGAATAGAAGTCATTCCGTAATCCTGGTGCTTGAAGAATAGTACTTGGATTCAATTTTGCAACCACATTCTGACGAGGTTTCCTGAGTGACGTCAGCGACGAAGACGATGGAATCAGACAAACAAATTCTTTCTGGGAATCCTGGTTGAATTTATCAGACATAAGAGGAGATGGCTTCCTTGGAGGACTTCTCTTCTTGGTAGGAGATACTGGCTTTGATTCGTAGTTCAATACCCGTTCTTGTTTTTGAAACCCTAATGCATCAGCAATATATGTACGATGAGTATCAGAACTTTTGGGTGTTCTTAATTCACGACTTGAACTTGAATGAGATGCTTGTTGGGATGACGTGGTGGTGAACATCAACTCTCTGTCGTTACTCTCAGTACTACTATTTGTTCTTACTACAAAGGGGTTGAATGCATCTCCTCTTAGTGACAAGTCAGGTAGAGTATGGTTGTTCACTGTAGAAGAGTCCAATGACAGTTCATGGGATTGTAATGGTAAAAGCGGTTGAGACCAAGATCTTCTGAATATCTGAGGCGAAGTTGATCTTGGTATTAATCTTGATTCATGTTGAACCGAAGTTCGTAGGTTTGGGGTGGTGGGATGATTGGACCCTCTCATGGTTTGGCTGCAAAAAGAGTACTTTATCAAAGAAACAAAGTGAAGAACTAACCAATGTAGCAAAAACAAGATTAGATTAAACAAAACCAAACAAGATTAAATTAATCATTCGAATGAACTATGGGATATTTGTTACACCAAGAATAGAATCAACACCAGTTGGCGCTTTATAAGGTTACTTTGTACTCCCCTCGTCAGATTGTTAAAGTAACCATTTTTTCGCGTTCTGCCCGGACAGACAATTACTTCGACGAAGTATATTATGGTACGCACTATAAACAACAATATGTATAATGTAAATAGTAGCTCACGTTACACTGTACCACCATCATCATAAACTACAAGTGATATGTTAGTGGTGCAAGATAGACAACGATTGCTCAAACAATCGCTTGTCAAAGGCGTATGTACAATTGGATTCATCAGTTGTTCAGTGTACATTCATCATCTCGTTAAACTCAATGTCAAACAGCCCTTCATCGATGAGATCTTCCATTTACGACAAACACATACTTATTGTCAAGGACTATGGAGGGAATGGGATTCCAAAATCACCACTCCACCAGGGTTATACATACTAGGAGTAGCATATGGAAGAACACTCGAGTTCATCAGTGGAGTCCAAGGTTTATGCTCGGATTATAACGTATTACGATCACTTAATCTTTTAGGAGGAGTGGTGGTCTTACCATTGGTGGCCAGAGCCATGAATCTGGGATCTCGGTATTGGAGTATCAACATTGCATCACAACCATTACTATTCACATACTATTATCTATTCTATACGGATATTTGGTCCACGATCTTAATTATGACTTCATTGATGCTAGTCATCAAGCGACCTTTATGGGGTGGGATCACTACAAGTTGTTGGTTGAGTGCGGTGGTAGCATTCGCCAGTTTATGGTTTAGACAAACTAATATCATATGGTTGGCATTCATAGCACTGGTGTTCCTTGATAGTCGCATCCAACCCAGAACTAATGATTTGGTCAAAGTTGCTATAGAATTACCCAAAGTATTGCTATCCAATTGGAAACTGATTCTTCCCTTTATTGGTAACTTTGTTGCCTTTGTTGTATTTCTTAAGATAAACGGAGGCATCACTTTCGGAGATAAGGAAAACCATCAAGTTAATGCTCACTTAGTACAGATCTTCTATTGCTTCACTTTTATTAGTTTCTTTACCTGGCCAGTATGGCTTGATTCAAGAAAATTAAGAAGGTATTTTATATTCTTATGCGGTGGTGGAACCGCACTAGTAATCTTTAATGCTATCACATTATTTGGTATCAAATGGATCATAGAGACCTTCACCATCGTTCATCCCTTCTTGTTGGCTGATAACAGGCACTTTACGTTTTATATCTTTAAGAAGATTCTCAGCAACAAACGGAGTTTTCTTGTCACTATTCCAATATACCATTTCTCTACTTGGAATATCTTTGATTGCTTACGAGGTTCTAGAAGATCGTCATCGTTGGTTATAGTGGTATATTTTGTCGCAACCATTCTCACATTGGTGCCCTCACCTTTGTTCGAACCAAGATACTACATCGTACCACTTGTTGTATTCAGATTTTTGATCCAACCAGTGGATTCCTCCAGACATGTACTTGAATTCATATGGCTCAACTTTATTAATGTCATTACCCAATTGATATTCTTCAATTACGAGTTTACATGGGCCAGTGAACCTGGTCTGGTTCAAAGAATCATTTGGTAACATCATGTCATATTTTGTTTATACTATCATATTAAACTAGTCATCATCATCATCATCATCATCATCATCATCTTCATCGTCTTCATCATGTGCAATGTCGTTATACGTTATTCCAATAGTCAGGGACTTGGAATACTCCAACTTGGGTGACCCTTTACTGGTTACTAGGGTGGTATCATCACCAGTACTCGTTCGTTCCGTAGCATTACTTATTCTTGTTGCACGACGAATGTCTAAGGAACCAGAATTCAAAGGAGTATTCATTCCATCAATTGATGATAAATTTTTTTCAATTTCTGTATCAATAGAATGCAAATTAAGACTCTTCAAAGAATCATAGTTTCTCTTTTTTGATTGTAGGTTTGCAAGTAAATTCTTGGAATCATCATCGAGTTCTTCAACTTTTTTTAAACTCTTGATCCAATTATTTATACTTCGTTCCTTCAACGCTTCCAAATAAGGTATTTCAATACTATTGTTGTGTTGTTTATCCACAAATACCAAATCTCCTTCTTGACCCACAATCATATCCAGATCTACCGATTTCTCAGGACGTTTCAAATCATAATTTCCTATTTCCAAATCATTAGCAAAGATTAACAAGAAATCACCCCAATTGTTAGCTACTTTGAACTTGGTGTCAAATTCTCTACCAAATAATATCACCTGACCCCAATTTCCAGGACCATTAGGAGGTGGGGATAAATCAATACCTATATAGTTCCCTACATCATCAGAAATCATTGGGATCCATTGGGGATGTGCAAAACTTTGATGAATAGCTCCAAGAGGAACAGAATACTGTTTGGGAAGCTTACTGAAATCAACTAACAGAATAGATTGTTGACCTAAACCTTGACCAGTCTCGACTTCTTCCATTGATTTAGAAGATCCAGGAGTTGTAGCTCTTGACTCATTATAGGAAATTAATAAATCTGTAGAACCACTAAGTTTTTTATTCAGGGCTGATTGAAAGGTATGAGTTGAAGATAATTTAGATAACTTGGAGTCAGCAGCAAACAGTTGATTCACAACTTTGGCTACTTTCCTCCAAGTCTCTGTTTGAACCAAGATCTCATCTAATGACAAAAGTTTAAGTCCAAATAATAAACCATAAATCATATTATCAACTCCAAAATTCAGTTGTCCATCAGTTAACTTGTAGAATTCTATAACACAGGGAGGTAATTTGATATTTAAATCCTTCTGGAACTCCTCCAAATCGTTATCTGTACACTTTCCCTGTAATGTTTGTAAAAGATCGGGACATGTCTTCGATAACGAATGACGTATATGACGCCATGCCAATCTTACTTCATGAACACCTTCCATTCCACTACTATCACCAACTTCTCCTTCTCCACCACCGGACCCTAATTCATGAGAAGAACTATTCTCTTGGCTGAATAAAAGACTGGTCTCGGGTTTATTAATTCTATTGAATGATTTCCGAGAATCATACTCGGAGTACTTATCGCTAGTACTTATGGAGTAAAGGAACTCCAGTACTTTATTCTTGAACCCCATAAAACGCGTTTATCTAAACAAGCTGGATAACTTAAGTGTGATGGAATGCAACAGAACACTAAGAAAGGAAAGCAAAGGCAAGGAATAGAAAGCAAATTGACCAGACACGTTGCGGATTAAAAGAAACAAGACCCTGGACTGTTTACATAATATTTCTGTGAAGGCTTTCCAAATGCCGGTTAGTTTTGTGTTTGTTGTTGATGTATGTCTTTATCGGTGTTTCATCCCCATTGGGTTTCAAGGCGGTGCTACCAGATATTAACACGAAGTAATGTACCGACAATTAATTCCATTTGAGTGATAGTGGGTCTCAATGGAGTTATTGGTTGGGATTGAACTTACTTAGACCTACACTCAATCCATTTTATAGTGAAGATACTAAGATCATCATAATAGAAGTTTAAGTCATTTGTGAATTCTTATGGTGACCAAATCTGTGCGTAGTCTCTTAAGTACTTACAAATGCTTTATTTACTTGATAATACAATCTCTAACAATATACTGAATACACTATCAAATGTCATTCTGTATAGATATATCCCGGGCATGAAGTGCACTGACCATTGATGGGCCAACACACGATAAAACCGGGATCATTTATCTGGGAAAGACCTCCAACTTAAAACAAACCATTCCCAAAAACAAAACGATAAAGTAACGACATAAACTAAGCCCAATACAAAAACCATTACGATGTTTGTACTTATAGTATACATCAGAATCGACATAGGGTGCACTTTCCAATGTCTGCCTTGCATAGGTATTCAATCTCAGAACGAGATTGAAACCAACAAAACTGATAATCAACTACAAGAGTCTCAAATCAAGCGACTATGGAAAACGACTAGGAAAGTTTGGTTTATTAAGGCACTCATCCGTGGTAATCAAATATAGAGAGAAAAAGAATCAAAGAGATGAACTGATTAACTATGAGGAATTTTTTTCTTTTCAGTGATGATAAAACGTCCGGGTAACGCCTTCAGTGAAAAATTTAAAGAACCTACAAGTTTATACTTGATTCAATGTTACTATAGGTTGAAAGTTTATTATATAAAATGATACGTGACATTTAATAAGATACAAATATACATATGAGTAGAAGGATACCCCCATCAATCAGAGACAGCAAGTTATATAGTTTTTTTTTGTATTAAATGGCAAAAATACTTTCAGAAAATTGCAAACTCCTTCCCAATAAGCTATTTTTTCTATTTTTGTCGTTGTTTATATGAATGGAGAGGAAACAATTGCTTACCAGTTGGAAGCAGCAGCATCTTCAGCAGCAGGAGTAGCACCAGAGTCAGCCCAGTCGACATCTTCGGTTTCACCGGCCCATTCAGAAGCTTCAGCAGCTGGAGCTTCTTCGGTTTCTTCGTCACCAGTCTTAGCTTCTTCAGCAGTGGCTTGTTCAATTTCTTCAGGGTCTCTGTAGAAGTACAAATCGGGCATAACAGACCATTCGGTGGTTCTGTCTGGGATGATACCTCTCAATCTCAAGACTTCTCTGGACAACAACCACCAGATCAAACCAATAGAGTGCTTACCCTTGTTGTTACATGGAATAGCAACATCAACGTATTCGGAAGGAGAGTCCATGTCAGTCAAAGCAATGACTGGGATGTTGACGTAAGAAGATTCCTTGATAGCTTGGGAGTCAGTTCTTGGGTCAGTAACAACAACCAATCTTGGTTCCTTGAAAGAACGGGTGATGTAGTTAGTGAAGTTACCTGGGGTGAATCTACCAGCGATTGGGGTAGCACCAGTGTGAGCAGCAAACTTCAAGACAGCTCTTTGACCGAAAGTTCTGGTGGAACAGACAGCAACATCAGAAGCGTTAGGAATAGCAGCAATGATTCTGGCAGCCAAAACAATCTTTTCCCAGGTGTGGTGGATGTTGATGATGTTAACACCATCCTTTCTGGTCTTGTAGACATAAGGCTTGTTGTGAACCTAAAACAAAAACTTGTTAGTTAAATGGTCTTCCAATTGATTGAATTGAATTATTAATCATTATGAATACGAATAAGAGAGAATCCACATCATTTATAAGCTTGGGATGAATAGTGATGAATATTTTAAATTTAATGTAATTGGATCATAATTTCGGTAATAAAATCGTTGAACAATTTCAACATATATTACCAATAGCCAATTGCTGGACTATTAAAAGTAACCATTTTAATACTATTAATGATCTCAAGTATTTAACCCACTTATACTCATCTAAATATATTTTTGACTGTGATTCTCTTTATTTGTATTGCAATTCTTTAGTACATACTTGAACGTTCTTGGAACCCAAGTGAACGTTGGCAGCCAACAACAACTTAGCGTCTTCTGGAGTCAAATCGAACAAAGCAGACATCCTTAGTTACCTTCTATGATATGAATATAAGAACTAGCACTAAAAGCTTCTCTTCTTTTCTATGTAAAATAAGAATTTATCAAACTGAAATTTTTGCTGAAAATTTTTCCCACTCACAAGGTGGTCCCTATGCAGAGTGAGTATTAGTGCAAGAGTGTACTAGAGGGTAAACGCGCTACCATACTCATCTAACGATAACTGAATAGGGTCTTTGTGTCTTAAACATAAAGTGTAGCACGTGACACTATATACGATTTTTGTAAATCTGCGATTGGTAGCGTCGGGAAAAGCAAAGGAGGGGAGAGGTGAAGCACGTCACATACTGTAAGAAATTTAGGGCTTTTAAAGCCCTAATTTAGTACACGTGATAATTTAATTGTTTTATGTATTCAAACTTGATTTAAAGTATAAGGCTATATATACCGTATATACAGTAAACAGGAAGCAAACCTGGCTTTGAAAACTCATTTTTAAATGGAAAGAGAATATACTACGACTTGGTGTAATTCCTTTTCTACGTGGGAAACAAGCACGTATGCATTATAGTAATTTCGTAAAGAACTAGTTCAAATTCATTAATTGTTGGTGTGACAGGAAAAGTGAATTCAAAGCTTTATGAGATAGATATTATTACAGAGATATTAATACATAGATATTATACTTCTTAGAGAGTACCACGCAAAAAACAATTCATAGACACTTTAGGAAGATCATTACCCCAGATATAATACAATTAAATAAAGTCGTGCGCATATCAACTATGAGGTTTGTGCGATGAGATAGCTATCATAAAGCACTAGTATGAGTGTTGCTAGACATTCAAACCAACACAATCATAGAGATACTCTCTCATTATAATCATGTTCCGTCAACTATACGCGGGTAAGCTATGCCTTGCACCTATGGTTCGAAGCGGAGAACTCCCCACTCGACTTCTCGCGCTCAAGTATGGGTGTGACTTAGTGTGGTCTCCAGAAATAGTAGATAAGAAAATGATCCAATGTAGACGAGTTGAAAACTCCGAATTGGAGACTGTTGATTTTATAGAACCTAAAGCTGATAGGGTTGTTCTTCGTACCTATCCCAAAATGGAAAGGGACCGATTGATATTTCAAATTGGTACTGCTTCACCCGAATTAGCAGTTGAAGCAGCTAAATTAGTTATTAATGATGTTGCAGGTATTGATTTAAACTGTGGATGTCCTAAGCCATTCCTGACTCATCTGGGTATGGGCCAGAGACTTTTATCCAACCCCGAGCTATTGACGGCTATTTTGAATGCTTTGTATGACAAAGTTGGGAAACCAAATAATAAACCAATCAGTTGTAAAATTCGATTGATGGACTCTGTTACTGAGTCTTTACAGCTAATTGAAACCATTTGTCGAGATACCAAGATTTCCAATTTGACTATTCATTGTAGGGAACGGACAATGAGAAACCGAGAACTTCCAATCAAATCATATTTAAAAGAGATCATTGCAATTGGTGATAAATATGGGATCAACATAATAATTAACGGGGCAGTTCTTAATAGAAATCAATTTGAACAATTACAAAAATATTTGGACAATTATACCATTGGTGCAATGATTGGAGAAGCAGCTGAATCCAATCCTACAGTATTTAGTAAGCTTCCTAAGGGATTTAAACAAGTGACTAAGGAATTTCTTGAGTATTGTGTCAAATTTGATAACCAACCACTGAACTCAAAGTATATATTGTTGAATCAGATCCCACCAAAAGTACCTTCTCACAAGAGTTTTTTGTCGTCCAAATCACATGAGGAAATGCTTACTTTGGTAGAGGGACTTGATGACCAAGAGGGTAGTAAAATCTTAATCAAGACTTTACAAAAGCCTAAACTATTTACACCACAAGAATTTGAGGCTAAAGAGAGTTTCTTGAACATTGACGAATTTGAAAATATTCACAAGGATATCGACAGATCACAGATTCAAGGTAAAGGGAAGAAGAATAATAATAACAAGAAGCAACAAAACAAGGGTAATGAAAATGAATTTAATGTTGATTCAAGGAAAAGAAGTATTGAGACTAATGATCCAACGGTAAAGAAGGTCAGGGCACAATAAAGGCATAGAATTAGATAGAGAAACATATAACCACCCTCCATGTCTAAACCTACATACGTACGCATTAATTAAATCATCAGCATCAACGTGCCAAAACATACAATCGAGTATTGACTATATACAAGTTCGTCATTCATCATCTATAAGTCGCCTGAAATAATACAGAACAGGACTATCAAAAATATATTATTCAAGCTGGAACGACAATGATCCCCTTAATCCTTATTGTAATGGTTGTTCGTGTTGTTGCAGTTGTTGTTTTTGTTGTTGTTGTAATACAGCTTTTATACCACACCACGCAGCAGCACCACCTGCCATCATGGCTGTCGAGTAAAACATTGGTTTGAGACCAGCAGAACTCTTAAATAAAGCACCTGCTAAAGCACCGGCACCAACAGAGTTAACATCATCATGCTTACCTCTAATTGCATCTAAGCTGGAATCAATCAAGTTATAAGTCAAAGCCAAAACACCAGCAGAATTACCCAAGAATGGACCTCTCTTGGTGATATGATTCAAAATAGTATTTAATTGCAACTTTGGAGTAGCATTTGGAGGTAAGTTTCTAACACCTTCCTGGAACCCATAAGCACCTCCAACTCCTAAACCTAACAAATAAACAGCACCTGTACCGTAACACAAATCATCTGTCCAATTTCTGGAAGGAATTAAACCTTGGGCTCCTTCAACAGTGGTTAATTGTTCATCCTCTAAATCCATATACTCTATGCCCTTTTCTAAACCACTCAAGGGGTGTAGAGAGGCCGAACTTAATACACCAGGACTGTTCAAGATTGTGCCAACATCGGCAACTTGAGATGGATCAAATCCAAGTTTCTCTTTCAATGCAACTGCATCTTCTTTTTCCTTTTGTTCAGGTGTCTTGCTACCTCCAAATATCCACGACATATTGATCTATTGGTTGGATGTGTTGTATTTATATATGCAAATGGGAGAATGGGTAAAGGTGGCAAATGTAATCGTTTGATGGCTAATTTAACCCCTTAAATTAGCAATTATCAAAACCAAAAAGTAATGGTAAATAAATAGATAAAACCTAGAGTGTCGGCTACCACTGTTTCTTATACACCTATAGGTCTTAAAGGCGCAAATCAAAGTTGGTAGTCAGTGTTTGCGTTATCACCAATGATTGTGTTCTGAAAAATTTTCATTCAAAAGAGACTAAATTCAGGGTTACCCGGACACAGAATCCATAAAGGTCACACCTGAATTGGTCATAAGAGTACCAATTTAACTTTCAAGATGAGACATAATAGTAGCTATAAGTATGATATGACTTGTCGAATCGTATTGATGAAGTTTGGTTACGATTGTAATAATTTTAAGGGTGAATTCATGGTATTTGTAGTGAAAAACCGTTGAGGATTCAGAGCTGTTTCTTTGTGTAGATTCCTTATAACTAAGCAATGCAACACTACTTATATGCGTACGTTAGTTGTTAATGGTTTTGCCTGTCATATCAATGGTTCCTTAAATTATGAATGAGAACCCTCCGTTGTGTTACTAGTTGGAGTTACTCAAATGCTAAAATTAACTGCTATACATTCATCTTTATGAAATAAGCCATCCCCATACGATAGCAAAGCATTAGGCATGAATGAGTAGCCCTGTAATGCTCTAATTACTTAGTCACTTTCCCCAAAGCTCATATAAGTGGACACCAAGGCTCGAATGGATCTTAAGTTCTAGCTAGACCTTAAGGTTAAAGTCTCGGAGCGTGACTGAGAATTGAATTATATGCCAATCTTTTCTGCTACGTTCCTTAACCTTAAGATTCATCCATTTATAAGAAGACCAGAAAACCACTTCAAAACACATTGAACTTGTTAATACTTTTTATTCAACGCTTCAATCATCCAAAGACCATTGCGTATAATGGGTGGCTCAGTGTACTATGACTGCAACTCATCGTTTGAATCTTTTGCAGCCAAAGAACCAAGCTCGTTAACTACGGCTGCGGCAACAATTCAAACTACAAAACTGAATTATCTATTAGACTTTCCTAAATACATGCCACCACATTTGGATGCGTTGATATTCTTTGATATGCTACAAATGAGTACTAATCATCGAATGGATATAGAGGAACCACAGCTTCCAAAGGTTAGAACCAACACAAATATGGCTACTTATGCTCATAAATTGTTCATGTACAAATTCAGATTATGTAATGCTTACAATGCCGTACGTAGGCCTAGAGACCCCTCAAGTTATGCAATTTTGAAGCATTCGTATGATGAGTGTCTCAGTCAACATGTTGCTGTAAGTTTGGTAAGACAGAACACGACATTGAGGATTAAAAGAAGACAGACAAGAAATACTTAGCATAATTATAATAATTCTTATAAGATGGGCCCTTATAGTTTTGTAGAAGATTTTTAAGGTTAAAAATAATGTTTCATCAATTTTCACGGCTTCATCAATTGTGTGGTAACTTCTTCTACTTGATGCAACTCTTCCCCAAGTTATTACTCTGCGCTACCAACATCTCAATTTAGGTAACGTTGATTTTGGTATGACCAATAAAGAAGTACACCTTCTGGAATCCAACAAGAGGTATTGGTTGATCTGTTAAACCTCTCATTCTAAGCCGCCCCTACCATCATTAATTGCTTAGTTCTGGGTAAATACCAAGAAGAAACAGCGCTTGCAAAATGAATGAACACTCAAGGATAGATGGCAGTCCGCATATCAACCGAAGCATATCTCAAGACAAGCAAGATCAAGTCCAAGATCAAGACCAAGACCAAGACCAAAACCAAAATCAAGGAGTCCCATATGTGCCACCATTGAATTTTTCATTAGTAGAGGATGGTGTATATAGGTCTGGGTTCCCCATGCCAATCAACTATGAGTTCTTGGAACAACTCGGATTGAAGACCATAATATATTTAGGGGACTTGGGATTAGAAAAGAAGAAGAAGAAGAAGAAGAAAGATAAAGAGAAAAGTGAAGATAAAGATAAAGAAAAGAAAAAGAGTGACAAACATGGAAGTCTTGAAATCTTTGAAAATTATAATAAATGGATAGCGACAACAGACATTAAATTCCATCATCTAACTATAGAATCGTTTCAAGAACCTTTTAACAACCCACAACAAATTCTTCAAGCATATGACAGTTATACAAAGGCATTACAATTGATTTCTGATCGAGATAACTTCCCTATATTGATCCATTCCAATAAGGGGAAACATAGAATAGGTGTGTTGGTTGGACTAATGAGAAAGTCTCTTCAAGGTTGGTGTATGAGTGGTATATTTGAAGAATATGAGAAGTTTGCAATGGGGAAGTCAGAATATGATTTAGAATTTATTGAACTATGGCAACCAGAGCTTTACATTAGTCTTGATCGAAAACCTGATTTTGTTAGAATATAAGAATAATCATAAATAGTCGTCATATCTAAAAGGAATTCTTCAATTCTCTTAACTTGGTCATGACTTCCAGTGGCACTGTGGTGCCTGTAGCTTTAGTGATTTGAGGGTCTGTTAATTTCATGAATGGATTAAACTTCAATTCATCTCCAATAGTGAAAATCCCAGTTGTAAACTCATGAGAATTGGCGTATTTCTCTAATTGATCCAATGCTTGATTGTTTAATACGCTTTTAGAGAATTTGACATTTGAACGAGTGTATTCATGACCAGGATACACTTTAGTGGTAGGAGGAAGGGTACCTAGTATAGAATTCAATGCTTTATCCATCTCCGAACCGGTACCTTCAAAAAATCTACCACAACCAGAAGTGAATAAAGTATCACCTGTGAAAACAGCTTCTTCACCAGTTTTTTGATCCTTAATATAATAACAAATAGAATCTTGAGTATGACAAGGAGTGTGCAATGCTGTGATTGACAAGTTATCACCTAAATCAATAATTTCCTTATGAGAAGGAGTATAAGACACCAAAGGAGAATCTTTACCAGCAATCACGGGTAAATCGGGGTGCTTATGATGGAAATACTTATTACCATCAGAATGATCATAATGATGGTGAGTATTGACAATGGCCTTCAATTCAAATTTAGGCTTCTGTTCCGCAAGATAAACTTCAATATCTTTAGGCTCAGCTGGATCAATGATCCAAGCATGATTAGAGGGATTATCAACTACCAAATAACAATAGTTATCACCTTTGCCCCATCTCATGGGAATTGCCTCAATATGCATCTTTCTGGTGATACTGGATATAGGACTTGTTAGTCTTGTGATGGTATTAAACATAAACACCGTGATTTAAAGTGTGTGGAGAGGGCAAATTGAAGGTGAGTCTAAGTGCGAACACTTGCGAAGTTGACATACAAATGAAGTCACGTGATCGGATTTCCTTGGAAGAAATCAGGGATTTAATCATATCATGAGTCACAAGAATACTTGAGTCGTGTGGTTGGTTGATTACGATACAGAAATGATTGTTATAGTGTATTGGCTTTGTGTATTGATCTGTAAAGACTTAATTAACTCCACCTTTTAGCTTCCATACCTTCTGGAGGAGACGTTTCGAAAGTCTTAGCTTTTGCTTCGTCCCAATTGGTAGTTAAAACAGTACCATTAGACTCAACATAAGATTTCATCATAGCTCTACGAGTATCATCATCCACACTATCATAAAGTCTTTGAAAGAATGCATTATCACCTCCAGCAGCTTCTTCCTCTTCGTCATCAACATTGAAGTTTGCCCAATCTATCTTCTTTTTGGAGGACGATGGATATGCTAGACTTGATGCTGCTTGTGTTTGAGTTACAGCGGGTTCGGTGGGTGTTATAAGTACTTGATTGTTATTCTTGGCTCCCTCTAATGAATTCCATTTCCCCCTTGATTGCTTCACTAACGTGATTTCAATCTTGGTTGAATAAACAGTGTAATCTGATTTTTCAGGATCAATACTTGCAAATAAGGGATCCATATTATAATTGTATTCTGATCCATTAGCAGTAGGAAAAGAAACGTGTACTGAGGACAATCCAAAATCTATTTCGATATCTTCTTTTTTGATATTCTTTGCAAATATCGTTACAACTACTGAATCTGATGTCTGGTACCAATCATCACGAATTTTCACCTTTAAGGGAGCATGTTTATTAATGACATCGACATTTGTAGAATCCATCTGTGCTGCTTGTGTAGTTTCTGGCTTGGAATCCAATTGATCTTTTTTGTTTGGAATCTCAACCGCTGGTTTAACATCAGCAATACCTGCCTTCTTTTTATCTGATTCAATCTTCATTTTCCATATGGCTAAAGCTGGTTCCTTGCAATTATATTCCTCAGCTTTGGAGATGTTAGTCTCTGCAAGAGAATACTCTTTCTGTGCATAGTATAACAACCCTAACTTATAGTAGCATTGTCCCATATCTTCTCTTTTGCCTCTTTCTTGGGCAATAGAAAATGCCAGACTGATATCACTGATTGCACTTTCATAGTTGTGCAACGATTGGAAAGCAGTTGCTCGTTTAAAGTATGCTTGGTAAGTCTTGGGTGACTTTGAGATTATCTCCGAAAAGGTTTTGACAGCCAGAAGATAGTCTTTGGCTTGGATTTCGCCATCTCCCTGTAGCAACAAGTTTGTTGTAGACATGATTAAAGTAGTGAAGCAAATGGTGAATTGATTTAGTGAGCGAACGGATTAATTAAAAACTTGGTTGATTCATGACTAAATGTGGGACACTTGCTTACGTAAACAATAGACACATTTGGCCCGATTTGGATTCAAACTTGGACTGCTTCAATTTAGCTGCACCGCTGTATGAACCTATTAACTTCTAAATTTCAATCATGAACAACTTCAAACACAATTGAATCAACAAATTTAAATAAGATTACTTTTGGAATTTACATTAAATTATTAATTATTAATTGAATTGATTATAAATAAAACACTAATAAATATGGCTGCAAATTTGCCGCGCTACCTACTGCTTACCAAAACTTTTGCCAGGTATTTTGGGCTGCAACGGTACGTTCAATGTTAGGTAAAAGAAGCCACAAGACAATCATACTAACATATAATGCAAGAAAAATTGGGAAAACCACAAAAGTACCAGCACTTTGAGCACCTAAACCAACCAAAAATGGAATAAGTGCCCCACCTGAACAACCCAAAGCAGTAATGATTGTCAATGATACTACCTGAATCTTTTTAGGAATAATTTGTGTAGATAAGGTGACCATAAGTGGATAATTGGGTCCAATGGTTACACCTGCCAAACTGACAAATACACCCGTAGCAATAACTGAAGGTATGGCCCAACATAATGTAATAAAAATGATACTGGCCAATGACACAAGTAGTACGCCTCTTCTTGCCCCAATGTACTTATGCAATGGTCTGGTAATCATAAGCCTTCCAATTGTGAGACCTGCCCAGAATCCTGTAGCCACATAACCAGCACTAACGTTTGCTCCTCTTGTTTTCAAGAGGAATGTAACAATCCAACCACCAAGGGCAACTTCAGAACCCTGATAGAAAAACACAAAGAATGCCAAAAACCAAGTCACTCTGCTCAGAAGTGCTTGTACCATCTCTTCCTTTGGGTTCTTTGATTTGCAAACTTGGGCATCTTGTCCTTCAATAATTGGGCCCAACTCGATGTTAACATCTGATTCTTCCGTAGGTGAATGTGGAGGGCGATGAACCACTTCATCATGGTCACCATACCAATAGCTCAAATCTTGTTCTGCTCCCTTAAATGCACAAGTAAGATTAATGCAATTAATGACCATTAATGACACTGAAATTAAATAAAACCGAGACCATTTGATACCTCTTTCAATCATAACAGTGGCAATAGTGGGTGATACTGTTGCTCCAGCACCATACATTGCGTGACAAAGCCCCAAGTATTTCGATTGCTTAGCTAATCTTGATAGAAATATATTCACTTCAGAAGCTAATAATGCCGAACCCATTCCCCCAAGGAAGAAGGCCAAAACCAAAGGAGGAAACTTACCACCTCCAGCTGCTGCTACAATGGAATGCATGATTGCAAACAAAGTGCACCCAATAATATAGGTTTTTTGTTTGGTACCAATCCAGTTTTGGATCTTATGAGATAAGCATGCAACAAGAATGTATCCTGCAGCACCTCCCATCCAGATCAATGAAACCACAGAATATGTAATGTGATATTGTTCTTCGATACTTGGAATTAATGCACCTGGAGCGCCATCATTCATTCCTAAGGAAAACATAAAAGCCATTATAGCAATGACTCTCCATTTGTTCTTTGGAGGGTTTGTGAGGGACATCTCCAACTTTTCACTAACCTGATGTGGAATAACACTTTCGGAAACATCAGCTGTTGAAGGTAACTGACGTTTAAGGGACGTATTTTCACTTGTGATTATTCTTGTATGAGTTATTCCGTCAGAAAGAGTCTTAGAGAAGATATCTTCTTGACTGTAACCATAATTCAAATGGGGACGATGCGGTGTACTGCTTGGGAACAGAAGTTCCATGACTGATAAAGGTTTGCGAGACCCGGAAGGTATACCTTCTGGTAATACAGACATCTGGAAAATTTCTAAGTTGATTCAATACTACAAAGTTTAAGAGTAAGATAATTGATAGAAATTACAGTCTTTATATATCAGAAGCATCTGCCTTGTTTTATCACTGTTGGCAAGAATGCAAGCCACGCGGGAATGACTTTTAGCAAATCAGAGTGACTTATTGGATTTTTTTCAATCTTTCCGATAATTTTGCTTTGCTCCCCTTATAATAAATAAATCTGCATTGAAACAATGGTTAGTAGATGACCCAGTTAATGGCACTTACAGTGGCATTGGGTAGAGGGATTTTTGAAATTGAAACTTTGCGAGGAGTGTTGAAAACTTAGTCTTTCTGGGGGAAGGTTTACAAATTGGGAAATCAAACGCGGCTTAACTTAGGTGAACAATACGAACGATTATTAATATTACTGTAGTGCAGGATAGACGCATCTAAATATACACTGGGGAAATATGCTTAAGATTGGCTGTATTTCACATCAAAATATTAGCACCAATCAGAACCCAATAAGTTGGTCGCCTGAGAGGTATTTATTTCGGAATTGGTCTTATTTCTTTGCTTCACGTTGTACATTTTGTGGGGAAGCAGAGAGGTCATCAGCAAACGTTTTGATTTTGCGAACATGACAAATGAGACTTAGGATTGACCAGCAGCTTGAACCAAATCAAGGAATTTTTCCTTAGAGATTTCAGTCATTAATTCCTCCTTCTTCTTTAAACCAACCTTCTCCTTTGATATTTGCAGGTTTGTACCAACTTGTGTGGCCAAAACAGCATTAAATAATCGAACAACACCCTTTTGAGCAGTCTTTTTCAATTGACGTTCAAACTCAATTGTTTTTCTTACATTCTCCGGCTGATCACTAGCGGGAAGGAGGTTTCTTATTCTATGTTTATCCATCTTCTGCTTCTTTTCAGCTAAAATTGCCCGTTTAGCCTTTTGCTCTAAGGTATCATTTTCTATTTGCTTGAGGGTTGTCTTATTTCTTACCAAAATAGGGTCTTTTCTATCGTATGCCTTCAACTTGGATCCTAAAATGGCATTGAAAGCTGTAGCGAATGATTCTGAACCATCATCAACGTTCTTCTTTCTTTTCTTCTTCAATGGGAACGAATCCTCTTCATCCTCATCCTCAGCTTCTTCGTCCTCTTCTGCTTCTGAAGATGATGTATCTTCTTCTTGTTCTCTGTCTTCGTCGCTCACCTCTACTTCTTTATCTATATCAAATTCATCATTTTCTTCTAAATCATTTGTTCCTTCGTGTTCTGATTCAGAACTGGACCCTTGTGATATTTGCTCTTCCTCCTCTATTCTTACTTGCTTTTGTTCAGAAGCCTCAAAACTAACCTTCTTTTCTTTATTTGTGGAACGTGTCATAGTCTATGTGCTATTAATAATGTGGTTTTGCAATTCAATCACACCCTCTTTAGCGGACTTTATATTGAGATGAGCATCGGCATTTTGATTTTCACTATATTCAAAGTAGTGTCTGATACAAAATAGTAAATAAACTGGTAGCGCGAAATTGTCGGTACAACCTTTTGGATGGTAAGATATGAAGTGTTTTATTTCTTGGAGATGTATATTAGAAAGTGAAATAGCAAGGTAAAGAGCAGGTTCGAGTTATAATAAAACAAATCATAATTGGACTTAAACAATTTTTTTCATATATATATTAGTTATTTATTTACTTTATAAAGATGAAATGCATTATGGGACAATTATTCTCATCAATAATTAAGTAAATCGTGGAAAAGTATGAGCTCCCGTTTTTCTAAATCACTTCAGTTTACACTCACTAATTGCATTATCGCTCTTTTCTTGTTGCATAATTATAGCTCACTTTAATACTGGTATTATCTGGGGTACTAATTTTTGAAATCTTTGGCTGCGAAATTTCACCAGATGTACATTTCCTAATTGGGATTCCTTGTACACTGAAAAGTATATGGAACTCTCCAAATTGCTGCGAAATCTCGGGCTATATAAAGAGGCTTACTCACTGAGATTCCTGGTTATCTTTCCTCGCCTTTTTCTTTTTCTTCTTCTTTAACCAAACACCACCATAGTTCACTGAATTATGAAATTCACCAGAACTAGTACGGGCTCCTTCAGGGCCAAACTCTCCTCCTTAGGCAAGAAGTTCCACTACTTCTTCCACCGTCACCAAGTTACTAACAAAGTTAGCGACCAACAACAAGAAATCCTTGAACTGGCGCTTACTTCAGATGTTATTCCTCTGTCAATGTCCAGTGACAACAAAGCTGGAAGAGCATTGTCTACTTCAAGCAGCCTGCCAATTTCCATTGGCATTGCTGCAAGCACCCTTCCCACTCCCCTTTCCAATTGCGCCACCATTTTGACTCCAGCTACTACCATTGCTGTTGAGACGAATGACAAGGAGAACATTTTAGTTACTCCATCACCACCACCACCACCACCACCACCACCTCAAGTTGCATTACTTGAAAAGGCTCTCCTTGTTATCAATGAAAACCTCGAACCCCATGCTCCTATGCCGAGCAAAGCAAAGTCTATGGCTGTTGAAACAGAAGGCGACAACAACGACTGTTCATTCAAAACTAGCGAATGGAAAGATCTCTTTGAACTTTACCAAGAAGCCGTCAAAGTCTTCTGTCCTTTGATTGAACCCCAAGCTGCTGCTTCTCCTCCTACTGTTGAAACCAAGGAAAGGTATCAAGAAGTCGAAGAGGAAGTCCCCCTCTTTGATCCATCGATTCCCACATTACTGCTTTCTGAGTATCTCCTCGTCTGTAGATTATACAGTGCCGATCAGGAGCGGATCATTAGTGGTGATCTGTACCAATCGGACGCTTGTATTAGTCCAGGATTGAGCGACTACTCCAGCGGTAGTGAGGCTTATTATCGAGGCAAGATTCCAAGAAACTTCCTTCGATTGCACCAACATCCCAAACTGATACGGAAACGTACTCGGGTAGCTGGAAATACCAACTGAAGGGGACTGGAAAGTCCCTAGATATATTATCTAAACACACTTTCTTTGGCTTAGTTAATCATAAATGCCTTATTGAAGGGCTCATAGTATATAGATAACAAAAAAAACATAAAAAAAACCCCAAAAAAAAATATCGCTTCCTTTGTCATCACGTAGTAATATTTATTTAGATAGTGTGTAAGTAAGTGCTTACTTCTTGTAGTTTCTTACCCGAAAGGGTACTAGCAAAGTAAAAAACATGCTTGTTGACTTAAGCCTCATAATTTGTACGAGTTAATGAACACGCCTGGTTTGTTTCACATTTCAGGCATTTGCTAGGAACCGGGTCAGTGTATCCATTACTGGTATTTTGATTTTTCTTTAAACAATAAACAACTGTGTGACTACTAAGTGGATTGTTCTTCGGACGCTATATCCATTGTGTGGGGCCGGGCCCATGCCAATGAAAACATCAAAATACCCAAATCACTGTTTGCTTAAGCTCAACAGGTTGGTCAGACTCCACAGTAACTGTGTTATCCTGTTCTCAACTGTATTCTATATTCTGGTGTCATTCTGAACACTAACCTTGAATTTGGAAGAACTAAATTTGTTGCCACAGACCTTAATTAGTAGTTGCATTACTAATACAAAATAGATAGAATCTATTCTTTGTTGCTATTAATATTTTTTATTGTGTTGGTGCCGTTGACCCAATGATAACAATGTCTAGTATTAGAAGCGCAGGCGAAGATCTATTGTGAAGTTTTTGAACTTAGCACTGGCAACATGACATTTAAAAATCCAATGACAGTTTACCTTTGTCAGTTATTGTACGGTTCGAATACGTGATATCTAACTACCGTTATCAGTATCAAATTGAAGGGGGTTTCCATATTATGATAACGAATCAACATATGTCCTCATAGGCTTTAGAATACGCTAAACAATAAAGGTTAAGGACAACGTCCTTCATACAATTTAATAGAATGCTACAATGTAAGCGAGATTATTTTTAAGGGTTTAAGTATTGAACTGCAATCAAAGACATACGACCTCATAACAAGGTAATCGGTTTGAATATTCATAGCATTGAAGAATTCCGTGATCTTAGACGTAAATATTACCTTTGTGGGACTTCACAACGAAAATAAGACTCTTCGCTAGAAGAAAATCCGGAATTCATTCTCGACTAATACTGCTGTAGTTGATATAGCCCATCTTCGTTGATTATGATGCCAGTGGTAAAAGTATTTTGAAAAATTAGATATTATTTGCTGCTGCTATTTCCCCCTCAAGTGGAGCGATACGAGATTCGAAAATCAATAGGGAATGTATCTGCCTGCATGGAACGGTACTCATTGTTTTAAAAGTGTTCCTTGAGAGGTGAATCAGATTGGATGCAATGCCGTACTTTATGGGATGGTGATGGGAGTTATTTATGAAGGGGGTTCACGCAAAAGGGTACTTTGCATCATCATCATCTGAGCAGCCAGCAAACGCATAATTGTGTCATTCCCGGAACAAATATCAGACAGTGAACTTGTTGTGGATTTTCTAGCCAGCAATGTCGTTTTTAAATGTGTAACTATAGGTTGTTTGATTGCGGCACGTGTCGGTCAACAAAAATATGCGCGACTCTCAGTGCGTTTAAAAATATATTATTTACTAAATTGTTGTTTGTTTATTTTTGGACATAAGACAAAAAATATTATTAGAAGCAAGTTAATCTATGAAGTACTTAAAACAAAAATTATATAGAAATGAAAGGTGGATCGTTTGTTTGAAACTGACCAATTTAATAGCCACATTGGTTTGGATATTGTCTGTCAGTCAATGGTGATGGAATAACTCCATGGTAAGATAATCTTTGGAAATCCCAATCAATGGCACCTTCGGTCTTCCAGCACCAGAAAAACCAGCCACCTGTTTGTTCCCAAGCATCAAATTGAGCTTCAACATATCTTCTGGCGTTTTCCTTTTGACAGTCGGTCCATACATCGTAAGAAGTAAATGTATCACAAGAACCAATGTATCCAACACCATCATAATCTCCAGAATATCTGGCACCTCTTCCGACACCATTCAACCAAAATGCGCAATCAGTTAACGCAGCAGAGAATTCACCAACAACAGTCCACTTGTTTTCCATAGACTTGTGTGTAGCACCTTGCTTACAAGCAAATGAAACATGTTCATCAATTGAACGTGATAATTCACCACCAGAGAAAACTTGGTAGTGATGTTGGTCAATGACAACATTCCAGAAGCCAGCATCAACATTTCCAAAGTTATTCCAGTAGCCATCAGGCATAAATGCATCTTGAAAGACAGCAGCATTAACCGAACCTGTGTTTCTCAATCCTTGGTAACCATCAGCATAAAATTGACGCAACAGGTTCATATCAAGCAGAGGACCTAAAGGTTCATTCAAAAGCTCAATACCAATAATAACATCTTCGTAATCATAGGCACCGTACTTTTCGGAAATATATTGTAAAACTTCTAAGGTAAGTTGGATGTTGTCAGGCTGCTGAAAGTCCAATGAGTCTCTCAAACCAGAGTTATCAAACCCGTTTTGAGATCCAGGGGCACCGTGCAAGTCGATCCAAACCTTCAAACCAGCATTACGAGACCATTCAATTGCCTTATCTAAATACTCTTCTTGACCTTGAACATATGGATCAGAGTCTAACTTCTTGAAAGCCCAATAACCAATAGGTATTCTAACAGCATTTAAGCCAAGAGATGCCATTTGTTTAAAGTCGTTCTCATTGTAGAAAGTGCACCAATGAGCTTGCAAAAGTGACAGAGCTGCATCATAGCCCAATTGTTGGGTGAGATGATATTCATCAACAGGGACATTATGGCCACAAGATTTGAAAAGTGATGGGGTAATGTATGGTTCAAGGACAAGCCACCCACCAAGATTAACTCCTCTTATCTTATCGTTATTGTAGTCCCATTGCAAGCCTCTTTTGATAGGCAGAGCGAAGACAAGTTGTACAAGAAGTACAGCTAGAGCAAAGATCCACAACATGAAACTAGCCACTTGTTAAATTTGGATCGGTGTAACTACTAAAATCCTTTGACTATGTATGCAAAGAACGAAAGTATATTAATAGAAATGAAAAAGAATGAAGTCACAGATGGCGTTCTTTGTTGCGATTTGCATGGCTTGGTTGTGGCGATCCTGATCCTACTTATATAATCTGCCTAGTGTCGGATATTATACGAAATGTGTATCGATGAGTCCTTCTCAAATTTATCACTCAACAGACATAAGTACCGTGTATGAAACACGGTAATTAAAATCAGACAAAAAGCCATTTCTTTAAGGAAAGTTCTTCGGAACAATGCAGGAATCGGAGATAGGAAGGAGAACGCTTTCAGCTAAAGCGGGCTTTGGGAAAGTTATCCTTGTGCCTTACGTCATATGGAAGTATTAGATAATCATTGTCGATTCGATAACAATCTGTGTCTGAATTGCACATTGTAGGCGTACTGCACGTCAACTGAAGCGAAAGAAAGGGGCATGTGGTCAGTGTGCGTTAACCTAAATTCCTTAAGATAGCCATTCCCATTGATAACTAGGCAACCTCACTTCCGCTCTATTTTAATCTTAAGTTTTTACGATGAACTTATTTTAAATACCTAGCGCTAGTGATTGTTTTGAAGGTCATTTGGTGATCGGGAAACAAAATCAGGACGACTTTTCCAGGTTGAAACGACACAATTACCAATTAGGTATGTTTACCGCAGCATTCCTCAAAACCTAGCCCCTGTTACCAGTTTGCTTGTAGTATTTTCAGTTGGAACCAGCCCGCATGTTTCACTGATATAGAAGTCAAAATTTTGAAATTCATGTATGAAATCAGACACGAAACTCTATCATTAATATACAGGGGTAAATAAATATAGAGTCTCCACTTACTTTTGATTTAATTACATTCACTACTGAAAGCACTTTGAAGCAAGTCATCAATCATGAATTCTTAAGCACTTTAACTAAATCAGTCTTTAATTTCCAATAATAGAAATAAAGCCCAGAAGTAGAAGCATGAACTGTCCGCAAACAACTCATTCAAATAGTTCTTGTCTTACATCATAATTCGTAACCTTAGTGTAAATTTGCAGAGAATCACACTGTCGGATCGTTGAACCATCTTCATTTTTTCCGATCGCAGCTACTTGTAGTCCAAATTTTATTTAACCTCAAGTAAAAACGTGTTGTGCACAATCCCATGTATTTAACCTTTTAGTGAATTCCGTCACATGATTATGCAGGTATATTTCCAGTGGCCCTAAAGACAATAGAAAAACTATCCCATCCCTTTGCCTGGCCGCCATTACACGTATTGGGAATAAATAATCAGACACGGTCATGATTAGTAAAAGGAACCCTTGGCGAGTATCCCGAAATATAACATTAACTTCTTAAAAACTAACCAGCTCCACATTTCCCACAAGACTTCTTATACTAGACAGTTTTTAGCTCGTTGCTGTATTGATTCTACCTTGAAACATTAATCTGGCAATGTCCCGAATCGCCAACTTCTGTCAACCAGCAACACAATTAATACTGAACTTAAAACTGAAGTTACCGATTAACACCTGACAGTTTAGTTTTTTGTGTCGCATTTAATTCTTCTGCAAGGTGAATATTAATGTCAGCTCCACGCTTTGCCATAAAGTAACATACCCAATATACGATCGCATCTCTTGATCAAAACGTTCGAAACTGAAACGTCTTACTCAAAATGCATAATACTATGGAAAAGGCATCTCCCTTTTGTTCAAATTGTTTGTCTGTCGAAACCGGGTACTCCTGCTTCATATCTGTAAATAATTGACTCTCCTCACTGACAATTCCTTTTTGAAACTACAAGAAAGATGGTCATTCAACAATGATCTAGCATGACCTGGAGTTACGAGTCAAATCAAGAGTTGTTGCAGTTCGTTTAATATAAACTTCTTCCTACCTCATTTAGTTTACGTTTATTAGTGACCTCAATTGTTTGTAATTTGCTCTGTAATCGCCTAATGATAATAACTACTCCTTTATAGCTGAAATGGTTCTTGTAAAAAAAGCCTTTTAACATAGGTGCCCATGAGCACTTATTTCTTTCTGTTCCTTATTACACTCATCTTTTTTAAACCATTTGCAACTACCGTAAAATCCGGTACCAACTTTCCTCTAAGGTTGCAAAAGACATGATAGGGGTTTCTACCCTAACCCTATGATATTCACATGTTTTTCTCGTGACCAAAGTTGTATAGCGTTTTCTTTTTTCGTTACGAAACACTACCTTCCACAATCACCAAGTCTGAAAAAAAAATGTGAAAATTTAAAGTCTACACGATCGTTGCAGCCCTGGTTCCCTTTCCTCTGTTCACCAAAACTAAGACATAGTCTGCCTCAGCTTAAACTGATTATATCTAGTTTACCCACCATCATAATGTCCACTGAAACTGCTTTGTCCTACGCCTCCTTGATCTTGGCTGATGCTGAAGTCGAAATCACCTCTCAAAAGTTGTTGACTTTAACTGAAAAGGCTAAAATTGAAATCGATGGTATCTGGGCTGACTTGTACGCCAAGGCCTTAGAAGGTAAGGACTTGAAGGAATTCTTCTTCAACTTCTCTTCTGCTCCTGCTGCTGCTGCTGCTCCAGGTGCTGCTGCTGGTGGTGCTGCTGCTGAAGCTGAAGCTGAAGAAGAAGCCGTTGAAGAAAAGGAAGAATCCGATGACGACATGGGTTTCGGTTTGTTTGATTAAACGTGAATAATAATGATACTTTACAATTGAATAGAAATGAACTGGGGTATTATCTTTTGTCATTATAATGTGAATTGTTTTATTTTTCAATTTCAATGGTTAAGTTAATCCCGAACATTTATTGTATATTATTACGGTTTCTTAATTTTATATTCGATATATATGCATAGGTAATTATTATCATAATTTAACAAAACATTAACTTCTATTAAATTTAACACTTGGTTTGTATAAGTATTGATTACTACATAGTAAATCAATACTCACCTGCGCATTATTAATTTTTTACAATGGTAAATCAATTAAGTAGTATTTATGTGTATCCCAAAGTTTATGACAACTTTTTATAATTTTTATATTAAATTATATATAAAAAACCACTTCGAATGTTACATACAAAACTGAACTTCCATTTGAATCATTATGTTAATAATAGAGTATCCAATTTCAGGTAGATTATTTCTTCTTCTTGTCTTCTTCAGCTTCAGCCTTATCCTTGGCTCTCTTTTCTCTGATACCCTTGTATTTCTTGTCAGATCTAGCCAATCTCAAGGTTCTGTAAGCAGTTTGTTCAGTAACTTCAACAGCTCTTGGAGTAGATTCAATAGCAGGTTGAGCAACTGGGAAAGCAGCAGAGGTAGAAACTTGTTCGTAAGCAGCAGCTTCGGAAGCCTTGGTCTTCTTATCAAAGATAACCAACTTAGATTGGTATTCCTTCAAACGAGCAACATTAGCGTCAAAGGTTTCTTGAGACTTGTTTTGTCTTCTGTGGTCAACAGCAACACCAATGGTTCTAGCGTACTTAGCAGTCAAACCAACAGCCTTCAATTCAGCCAAGGTGAAACCTCTACCAGCTCTAACCTTTCTGTTGTACTTGATAGTTGGGGCTCTAACAACTGGTCTCAAAGAGTCGATTGGCTTAGGAGCAACCTTAGCAGCCTTGGTCAATCTAGCGTGTCTTCTAGAAGCCTTCTTACCGGCTTGGTCAAAGTGCACTCTGACTCTTTCTTGCCAGTGCTTTCTGAAGTGGTTCTTCAATAATGGTAAGTTCTTGGAGATAGCCATTGTTGATGATGCTAGTGGAGATTATACACAACAAGTTTCTAAAAGAAAAAGACTTTAAGAACTATCCAAACAAAATTTTCTCTACTGACTCCAAATCTCACCGCTTCGCTAGAAAATTTTTCAGACTGCGAACGACACCCCATCCAATACTGGTTATGGGGGGGCCACACAGTGAACTTGGAAATCATTCTACGCGCTACCTTATTTTCAGTTGTCATATACACACCGAAGATCAGGACACAGGTCGTGCAGTACAATAGGTAGCGCTAGCAAATAGTATGAATAATGTGCGACACAGAGATTACTCACAGTTGTACTGTATGTAGAAATAACAGTCACACTTTAATAGCGAACATTTCAGTCTGTCTAGAGTACATATAGGAACGCACACGAATTGCACTATAATGATATTGAATCTACAAAGTTCCGACTAACTTATAGTCTTTACAATCACCGCCCACGTGATACCCATGCCTGCATCTGGTAGCTCTACACTGTCTTTCTCCTCCAAGAATGTCGCTCCTCTTCCCGACATTCAGGCACATTAGGTAGTGTGTGTGTACACCACTCTTGCCCTTCTCACACAACCACCAAACTCTGGCATTCGGTTTTGGTAACATTTTTTTCGCTGTAATAGTCTTAAAAATTTTTCATTCAAATTTTATTGAAGGCTCACAATCTTTTACAATCTCTCCATAGAGTTAGCAATCAAAGATGTCTACCCAATCTGTTCAAGTATGTTTGAGAATATGAATAGTGATGATAAAGCGATTAACAGATGTGACAAGTGGTGATGTTGTTCCTATTAAGAAATGTTATGATGTTAATGTTTAGAGTAAATTTCATTAATGTTTAAAAGACAAGGTTGAAAACATGTTCAGTATTTTCTTATCTTCCTTTACCAAGCCGTTTGGTCAGTCATTGAAAATACACTGTGTCAGCTTATTATGAAGTTGATCCAACTAGAATTGAAATATAATGTCAGAAACCATCCAATACAAATAGCACAAGGGATACACTTATCCATTTTATTGATAATTACAGTGTTTATTCACATCACATCAATGACCAATATTTTTCCTTCTGTAATTTGCTTCACATTGTTTTCACACTTTAGGAGAAGTTGTTATATACTAACATTATGTTTTAGACTTTTGGTAAGAAGAAGTCCGCTACTGCCGTTGCCCACGTTAAGGCCGGTAAGGGTTTGATCAAGGTCAATGGTTCCCCAATCACCTTGGTTCAACCTGAAATCTTGAGATTTAAAGTGTACGAACCATTGGTCTTGGTTGGTTTAGACAAGTTCCAAAGCATTGACATCAGAGTTAAGGTCACCGGTGGTGGTCACGTTTCTCAAGTCTACGCTATCAGACAAGCTATTGCTAAGGGTTTGATTGCTTACCACCAAAAGTTTGTTGACGAAGCTTCTAAGAACGAATTGAAGAAGATCTTTGCTTCTTACGACAAGACCTTGTTGGTCGCTGACTCCAGAAGAATGGAACCAAAGAAGTTTGGTGGTCGTGGTGCCAGAGCCAGATTCCAAAAGTCTTACCGTTAATCAACTCACACTTACTCACCCCCTCCCATTACTTCAATATCATCAGAAGGAGACAACAAGGAAAGGGTATCGAAGAAGCTGTATTATTGTTTTACTCAGTATCAGACATCCGTTTCTTTTGTATCTTTATTCTACATTGTATATTTAATTGAAAGGTTCTTCATGCGATAATAAACTTATTAGTTGTAGTAAATGCAAATATGATTTATTGTGGGCGCAAAGCAATATAAAAGATCATGTGTGTGTAATAAACCAGTTGTTCTGGTACTATCTAATCTGAGGAGTGGAATCAAAAAATTATGGGGCGAGCTGGGAATTGAACCCAGGGCCTCTCGCATGCTTGCTTCAAAGTTACTAAGTAACTTTCGCCCAAAGCGAGAATCATACCACTAGACCACACGCCCAATTAGGAAAGATGAATTACAAAATTAATTCGGGGCGAGCTGGGAATTGAACCCAGGGCCTCTCGCATACTTGCTTCAAAGTTACTAAGTAACTTTTGCCCAAAGCGAGAATCATACCACTAGACCACACGCCCAATCCTATGATTAGAAATGGGACAATACTTAGATAATCTCCAATGTGTTAAAGATCATATCATCACGTGATAATAAAGCGCCTGGTTTCTATAGTCAACTACCTTAAGTCAATGGTAACTAAGTATGTGCAATAATAGTTGACCAGTGCATACATACATACACATAATGTACTGGATAGATGGTCTACCCCAACGTTCTATTAGTATCTCCCATCTTGAAGGAGAAGACGTGTTGAAGATAGTGTCTGTACCCCATACACCATATTTATGTTGTTTAACATCAACCACAGTTCATTTAGTTGAACAGCACTCTTTGCTTCCAGTTACTTATCATAGAAGAAAGGTTGAGTCTTTAAAGCAATATGGTTTCAACATAAACATCAAGACAAAGATCCATCGAGTGAAAAGTTGTCAATTGGAAACCCTCAAATACACCAATGTAATGGTGTTAACTGACAAGAATTGTATAAAGATATACCAAATTGTACTGAGTAAATCTAAAGGAAATGATGGTATATTTGAAGTGAATTTTGTTGATTCAAACGATATTCTTCAGAATAGCTTACCCATTGTAAGTACATCCAATAATTTAGGAATAATGGATTATGTTAAACAAGCCACCAAACTGATTATGGGTGGAGGAGACCAAGTACCAGTGGAAAATTTAGAGCATTTCAATAACTGTGCCATTGATGATGAAAAGAACAATTATGATATCAATAAAGTAAGAATCTCTCCCTATAGAATGTTCAGACTGACTATGGAAATCGATGACTACTGGTTGAAATCCAATTCCCATGATTTGATATTATACAATGAGAAACCGGCCAACGGTGGACAAGAAGACATGAATAATGACAATAATGTCACCAGTGATACACTGAAAAGAATGCATTATATATTTGAGACTATCAACTTGAAAACTTCTCATGCAGTAACAGTCTCGTTAAAGGATTGTCCCAATTATCCATTCCATGAGGGCACAAGACTTTTATATGTTACTTTTGATGTTAGTCGAGATCAATTCCTTATACTTAATGAAAAGAATGAATTATGGATATTGAGATATGATGAGTCCAAATCCACATTCAACTCAAAGCTAGCCTTCCAGTTTAATAAAGATCATCATAAAGATTCTCAGAGTCGGGTTCATGTTAAATTTGCATTGAATTCAAAATACTCTATATTAATTGTTGCACTTAACAACGAGATTCATCTACTTAAAGGCACAACCAAAGATCATCACCAATTTACACTCCTAAAAAAATTTACCCTAAAGATTATACCGAAATCAATTACATGGTCTCCTAATGATGAGTTCTTCATCACAATTGGTCAACAGTATTTTAGAATCTTTACCAAATTTGGATCTTGCACTTTCAGTTCCAGATACATTAAAAATGAAGTGGATCAAATTCATCATCATAGTAGTGAAGCTCAAGTAGAGGTTTCTGATTGGTTGACTCCTAAATCAATCATTGTTTCGGACAATTCCTTGTTTTTGTATATTCAAACCCAAGAAAGATTATATGAAGTGACTTTACTAACTTCTATTGTCAAAAGTGATTTATTCATCAACTCTCGTTATATCAGTTTGATAAACGGCACTAACAAGTTCCTTCAATTCCCCTTACCTACAAGTTTCCTTCCCGTTATAAGACAACTTGAAACCTACCATCACCCCCATCACATTACACATGTGGGGAACCTTGTTTGCAAACGAAACAGCTACAACCAATTATCGATTTCGTATGGTAATCATTTGGCAGTACTGACTCCGTTTTCAAGTAGAAATGTTATTGAGGAACCCATGCCTCGATTACAACAAACCAACCAAGCCTTGTGGTTAAATTTCAATAGCCATTTCACCACACCGTTCAATATCATTGATCATTTTTGGTTTGAAGACTATTTGGTATTGATTAACCGAGTCTCCATGTTTGAAGAAGATAACGACGACAAAAATGATGATGAGACTGAGTTGATTGTGGATGAGATAATTGTTCTCAACACAACCCATACAAGATTTGCCATTGGAGGAGAACCCGTGGACTTTGATACGGATTTAATACTTTGGAGACACAATTTTGGGAATTGGTTTCAAAGTGTTGAGTTAATGCACAAGCCCAAGAATGACAGTGGGAGTTTGGTGATTCAATCTAACGATAAGAAGGTGATAATCTTAGAATTATCGTTGAACAAGCATCATGGCAGAAGTAGTAGTAGCACCGATCTACAACAACAACAGCAGCAGCAAGAAGATGCTAAAGATTATAAGATCTTTGTTGGACTTAATCGAACCATCCACATCAATAACATTAACTCTAAGATCCCCCTAGACGAAGTTACCCGTCTAAGCTTGATCAAAGAGAGTCATATGCTTTTCCATTTGAACTCAGGAGAATTATATTTCCTCAAGCATAAACTGGCCCAAGTAGGTAATCAGAAGAATATCATGCATGAAATGGTAAAAATTGCCGATTGTGTTGAATCGTTTGAACTAAGTGAATTTCATCTTGGTGATGAGATTGTGGAATATTTATGTATACGAAGTGGAGAAGCTCAAGTCTTGGTTTACGACTTGGACAATGGTACGAACCATCTGATTATACTTAAAGATAAACGTATAGTTGATGATGTAATGTTTTATCCCTTTCGGGTTCACCAAAGACAATTAAGTCTTATAGGGATTGAGACTGCATCTGTTGCCAAGGGTAACTATGTCCTGTTGTGGAACAATATTTTGTATCAACACATACTTTACAAGTTTGTGGAATCTGAGTTGCGCTCTATGGGAGATGAAGATGGTGATGAAGATTTGAAGCATACTTATTCCAGATACAAGGGGTTTCCTAGTTTTGATCATAATTTGGAAATTCTCCTTTATGAGCAATTAACAACAAACAATGATTGTACTATGAAACTGTTGCTACGTAATTTAGTGTCCCTCATTCAACTTTCTCCTAACGGTGATTCTATCTTCATCAACTGTTTGAGAAAGATAGAAATAGACTATTGGTCTGTGTTTTTCAATGTCTTGAACACCACTCCTCATGAGTATATGAAGAAACTTATTACCAATGAGAACGTGGAGCTTTGTTATCGATTCCTTATCGTTTATTTGAACTATAAGAAGGAAGATGGAGAATTCCAGTCATCATTGGATTCTAATGATAGAAATATCATCTTAGCCATCATTACAATGTTAGACAAGTATCACAAGTGGGAATGGTGCTTTGAGTTATGTCGGTTCATCAAGCTTTTGGACCCCACAGACGGTTTTTTACATGAGATACGTCGCAACATGACACTACAGAATAACCACATATTGTAGTATACTACAGCTAACACTATACTCTATTTCATCTCAACCATTAACGGGTAGAGGCTATAGTTGCTTTGTGAAAATTTCATCTAACAATATCATATGTTGCCTGTACTAATATAATCATCGCTATACACCTGTACACCATCGGCATACTGATATACCCAGTACTGCACCAATTAATAGTTTTAGCACTTTATACCACTTTTGATGATAAGATCCACCTACAGATCTCAGTCCTAAAACAGGTAGTTCCGATGATGGCACAAAACCCTCGAGAACCAACCATAGGTCGTTGATTTTCCTGTCTGTTTCTCAAACCCTAAGTGAGATTTTCAAACCCTAAAAAAATTAAATCCAGTGTCGTCAATTGGTGATGTACTACTTAAACCAACCAATTTGCTGTTGCTAAAGGGAGGGTTTAGTCTAGGTATCGAGATAATTAGATCAATCATAATAATACCAGTAATAATAGTGATATAATAGAATCATGACTTTGGCTACTGCATTTGCTGAAACCACCAAACGGTCCCTCACTGCTGCTGATATGAGAAAAAGAGTTCTTCATTTATATCGTAAGTTCATCAGAAACTCCCAAGAGTTTAGCAACTTGTACGAATTGGATATGCCCGTCTCCAACATCAAAACCAAAATCAGACAAGAGTTTGAAAGAAACAGATATGTTAAAAACATTGATATCACCAATGTCTTGTATATGAAGGGACAAATGGAATTTCAAGAGTTGGTTAACTTTTGGAAACAACAATGCCATGTATTGAATTATTTTGATGAACAAACTTCAAAGGATGTGCCCAAGAGTGATTTCGTTAGCGGGTTCTTAAAGGGCAATTAATCTTCTGTACACTACATATTATATATTAAAGCATTAAAAATAGTTAACCTGAAGCAAATGTAGACAAAAATCACACGCATATATGTAAATACTATATGGAGTTATATATGTATATATATATGGAGTACGTATATAAGCAATTAAGAGAACATCAACAAATTATCAGTGATGATCAAAAGGGTGGGTATATGTTTGTTATGATAGTACTTGAACTTATTCCATTCGATCATCCAATGGAACTTCATCTCCATAATCCAATTCCTCATCTTCATCAATAGATGCTTCTTGATATTGTTGATATTCACTAACCAAATCATTCATATTAGATTCAGCTTCAGTGAATTCCATTTCTTCCATACCTTCAGAAGTATACCAATGTAAGAAAGCCTTTCTTCTAAACATAGCAGTAAATTGATCACCAACTCTTCTAAACAAATCTTGAATAGAAGTAGAATTACCAATAAATGTAGCAGACATATCTAAATCAACAGGTGGAACAGAACAGACTGCAGTTTGAACATTATTTGGAATCCATTCAACAAAATAACTGGAGTTCTTGGTTTGCATCTTAAGCATTTCATCTTCAACTTCTTTAACAGAAACTTTACCTCTGAAAAAGGCAGCAACTGTTAAATAACGTCCATTCTTTGGATCAGAAGCTGCCATCATATTCTTAGAGTCAAACATTTGTTGAGTTAATTCTGGAACACTTAAAGCTCTGAAAGATTTAGAACCTATGGAAGTTAATGGAGCATAACCAACCATGAAAAAGTGTAATCTTGGGAATGGAACCAAGTTAACAGCCAATTTTCTTAAATCTGAATTCAATTGACCTGGATAACGTAATGAAGTAGTAACACCAGACATAACAGAACTAACCAAACTGTTCAACTCTTGGTATGATGGTGTAGGTAGTTTCAAAGTTTGTTGACAAATGTTGTATAAAGCTTCATTATCGATACAGAAAGTTTCATCAGAATATTCCACTAATTGATGAACAGATAAGGTTGCATTATAAGGTTCAATAACTGTATCACTAACCTTTGGAGATGGGACAACAGAAAAAGTGGCCATCATTCTACCAGGGAATTCTTCTCTAATCTTACTAATTAATAAAGTACCCATACCAGAACCTGTACCACCACCCAAGGAATGAGTGATTTGGAAACCTTGTAAGGAATCACAACTTTCAGCTTCTCTTCTAACTACGTCAAAGACAGAATCAACTAATTCTGCACCTTCAGTGTAATGACCTTTGGCCCACACATTACCAGCAGAAGATTGACCAAAAATAAAGTTATCAGGTCTAAATAAATTTCCAATATGACTGGTTTTAACATTATCAATGGTACCTGGTTCCAAATCAACAAGAACAGCACGAGGAACGTACTTTCCAGAACTGGCTTCATTAAAATAAACATCTAATTTGGACTTTTGGATATCATCTTGGCCGTGGTAATTACCATGATTATCTAAACCATGTTCCTTACAGATGGTTTCCCAGAAGGCAGCACCGATCTGGTTACCACATTGACCGGTAGATAAGTGGATCTAAAAAAAGCTATGTTAGTAACGATGCAAACTCAAATGGGCCAATCAACCAATAATGATACTTGTATATTAAATCTCTCATTTCCAACTCATCAAACTACAGATAATAAGACACGTCATATTGACTGAAAAATCTGTAATCATACAACTCCTACTATTATTTATAGCTGTCCTCTCACTTGAAAACTGAAATTCAAGATCACTTAATCAACACTCCTGTAAGTAGAAACTTTTTTGTAAATAACAGTGGATAAACTATCTCATGAGACACGGTATCTGGTTGTAAATTTATAGAGGCTTCTGGTAACATACAATTTCTCTCATATTAGTAGTGTACTGGTCCGTTAGAAAGTTGGAGTGCTCTGGCGCTGTTGTCTAAGGACTCAGATGACTTATAATAACCACAATCGTTAGATGAATTGGTAAAGGGTCTCGATTGGTGATTCTTTGATGGGCCGTTTGATTCTTGTTTTGTTTTGGTTTACACGGTTCTTGTCCGCACACTACTTATTTGGCAGTGAGTTAGTGGTTTCCGATTATGGTAGCGCTGTGTTTGTAATTTATCTTGAATGGGAAATGTTATGTTTGGTGTTAGGGTGTGGAAGTAGAATATTTTAGCCGTGTTTTAGGGTGTAGTTTTCAGCTAGTGAAAGTATGTAATATGCTACCTGTTTCTTATCATAATTCGGAACTTCATATGATCACATATATCACCATACAGTAAGCATAGTTATTAACCATTGCATTCATGAAGTATCTGTATTTTGTGAACGGGTAATTAACATCGTTTCTGTGCTTCTCATATGAGGTCTTGTGTCGATCAACCAACACACTAACAAGATTATTTCATTCCCTAACCTGTAAATATATATATATATATATATATATAGCCATCCCGTGTTAAGAGATAGCTTAAATATATTCTTACTTTTGCGCCAATGTTTAACTTTACCAATGACTGCTTTGTGGTGACTATACTGCTTAATTCATCGGACAAGTGCAGTAACGATCCATTAAATTTTCATACTCTACACAGTAACTATCATACCCCATGATCATAGGACATCCTACTCTACCTCACAACACCTGGGATGATGCTATAAGTTTGATCTTACTACTCAAGATCGATCATCGGCAAAAATGTAGAGACTAGCATTAAAGTTTCACACCTACATGTTTATCCCCTTCGTTTACTTCCATCCTTGTAAAAATGAAACACTAAAAAATCTACATTGAGTTTAATCTCGCCTTATACATTTGATCCTTTTGATCTGGTTTATTCTTACCCCCTTTTTGTACTGTATTTCAAATGCACCTAACAGTAAAACCTGAAATTGATCTCTGTCACTTAAAAAATAGTACTTGCACATCGTTTCTGCCCCTTCGAGTCGTGCTGCTTCAATACCTTCTGGGAAATTTAATAGAGTGCAGCTAATGCCTTTACTTAGTTGGTACATGCAATGAAACGAACTACAAGCACTAAAAAAAAAGAGAAGAGTACACTAATTTAAGGGTGGGTCTTTGATTTGGATTTTATGACGCTTGTTTTCAATATGGAGTAGTTAATATGTTATAGGTCAGGTGCAGCGGTGATAACTAACCCTATGATATACTCATTTTGATCCCTTTTGTTAACTATTTTTTTTATTTTTTTACCTTCACACTTACGCCATACTTTACTTTGTTTTATCATTCAAGTATCAACGGTTACACACACATACCAACTCTAGATATAATGATTCGACTCAGTAATAACCCTGTAACCTACAACAGACGAATCCTGTATCTGGTTCGGCTAAAGAGAATAGACCTTTTCCCTTGCAACCCTTTTTCTTCCTAGAAACCGGCCTAAAGACTAGTGTTAGCTAACCACAACCACAACCAATCACAACCAATTCAGCAAGCGCAACCTTGTTCGTGACAATACAATATCGTTCCCTATATTACAGGGTCCTTTTTTATGGGCAAATTAGTAGCACATCGCCACATTCCCTTTTGGAACAAGCTGTTACTTAGTCTGTAAGGTGACGATGATTCTACTTTAGCGACTTAACGTTCTATTAAGTGTCAAGTAAATAACTATAAGCAAGGAGACAGCTTACTCCCAAGATTGGTGTAAAATGTCACGAAACAAGGCATAGTCAACATCTTTCATTCCAACTTGCTACCATTATACTCCTATATTTACAATAAATTAGAGCAACCTGTTTGAAATTTTAATTAAGCTTTAAGTAAGAATTCGCAGCAGCTTAGTCAAATTCCAAGTATGGAAAGAGCGTGTTTGGTCATTCATTATTTCTTGTTTAAAAAAGTTGTAACGTATTAGGAGTGGCATATATTGTATCAGGCTAGCAATTTAAATTGTTTATGGATAGGGAATATCTATACTAGTAGCACAGTTACATACTCTGAAACAGATTTATTTCTTCACACAGGAAACTTGATTAGTGGTAACCAGTTGATAATTCGAGGGAGTCTCTTAAACTTGTCATGATATTCAGGTTTGGTATCGTACCTAGTAGATCTGGTATTTACTAAAAGCTATTCAAGATGCTCCTCGATATGTGAACTGGTTTATTATTTATCGCTAGAAATAGTGTAAGTAACTGTCTTCCTTTCAAGTAAACTAATATAGCAGGCATCCGACATATAATGCAGTAGACGTTGTAGCAAATCAACTAAAACCACATGTACATCAACATGTGGGTTGGACTAGACTGGACTAGACCAGACATAAGTACATATATACATGAGTAAAGGGTGATACAAGTTTGGTGGTGCAGTTGATGTTTTAATAACAATAATAGTATCAGGTATAGTAAGAAGCAAGCAATGTGACCACTATTGGTAATTTTTTCGTCTACAAGCATATCGTTAAAGGATGAGCATCATGTGCAGCTGCCCGTATAACCTGTAACGCAGTAGCGGCAGTTTCCAATTTTTATTAAAGGACTAAAGTGTACCGAGGTTTGAAGGCATTACAATAACCACTTTCTTGACGAGAAATGAAGTGACCCTACTATACATATTGTATATAGAATAGAAATAAAATCCATTCCTACAAATACAATAGTTCAAGTGTAGTTGTCGTGTACTACTCGTGTTTATTTATATTATTATCAGACTGGTGTTATTACGACGAGATTGGCCTAACCACATAACATTTGATCAAGGGAGTGCAGGAGTGAAGTATGTATAGAACAGACCATCAATTATGCAGACGAACCTTCTAATTCAGCGACAACTAAATGTGTGCAAGTATAAAGTCTATTATACTACGATACAATTGAATACAATACAGTACAATACAATGCAACACAATACGATACAATAGTATTGAATGCAATACGATATAAGATTACTATATTGTAAGACATAGTCTCGTACTAAGTATAATGTATAAGTTCCATAGGAAGTAACAGTCCGTAACGAACCAAACTCAGAAGCAATTGCGCTGCACTAGTGGCTGTCTACGTTACCGCACTTCAACTAAAAGCTCGCTAAAAACAGTCATACATGCAGCTGCTCACGTGACCACCCCCTGTCATGCACCTCTCTTGGAATCAAAACGCACATTCCTACGCAACAGCACTCTCCTCTAATTCTTCTCCTTTCTGTCCACATGCACTCCCCAAGTGATTATCTACACAAAGATTACTTATAGTGGCTCTTATCTTCATTTCTCTGCCATCATTTGAGAGTGAGAGTGAGAGTTGCCTCGGAGTGAGTTACCGTACTAAATACTTATATATCATAATATTATTATAGGGACAATATTCCCATCCCATGTTCCACATCATCGACAGTAAGTCGTTCAAATCAGTTAGTGAAGATGCCCACACCTCGCATTCTTCTTCTGCTACTTCAACAGCTCCTCCTTATAGCGTGAGAACCCCGATAGTCACAGATAGAAATATTGTTATAGGTGCCAGTAATCGTTCCCGATCAGGATGTCTTGTTTGTCGACGTCGGAAGAAGAAATGTGATGAAACTTATCCCGTTTGCGACGCTTGTAAACTGCGGAAAGTTGCTTGTGAATGGGGCCCAAATAAACCTTCAGGTCTGAAGTATGATTCAGGTTTGCCATCGAGTAATAACCGTTCTAAAGTTTCGAAACTTAATCGTAATAAAACAAATCCCCCGAAAAACCTAACTTCTATCCCCCCAGCAAGATCGAATAGTCATAATGATGTTGTTGTTCCAACGTTTAATATTGACTCTACAGCAGCTACAACGTCTGCTTCTGCTTCCTCAAGTTTCCCTTCATCAAATGTTTATTCTGATTATCCCTACGATCGTCAAGAGACTGCAGTACCTCACCCAAATTCGCTCCATCGTCAGCATCAACAATCGAATCATTATCACAAGGATGATCTTATCATTAACCAGAAACAGAATCACCTTCAGTGCCCACAAAATCATTCCCTGAGTCAAGATCTGTATTTTGGAAGCTTTGACCAGTTCCCCCCTCATCAATCCCAAACAAATGATTCGGTGTCTACTCCTAGGTCTCAACTATATACCCAGTTAAATACCCAGTTTGATCCTCCGTCAGGGGACCACCAAAACTCCAATGTTCCAGTGCTTGAACCCCTTGTTAAAGCCTCTCCACATCAGCCTCAAGACCAAAAACTGCAATCACAATCTCAACCCCAGGTGATAGAGGAGTTGTATACCCCCAATGCACATCAAATGGTTTCAAAAGCTTTTACCCCTAGCATGGGATCTTTGGCAACATTCTTCAATAATAATAGTAATAATAATAACAACAGCAATAACAATAATGGTTCTATTTCTCCATGGTTGAATTCAGCTCCAGCTCCTTCGTTATTCCCTGCAACTACCACTCCAACATCGTTTGATTTGGAAACAATGCTTTCTTTGTATAGCCAAGACCAAGATAGTTTTGGTGCTATTCCCTTGGATTTGGGAATAGAAGATCAATTTTCATCAATGGCATCCCAACAACTTCTGCATCTGTTAGGTGCAACTTCGTTAGATTCATTTGATTCAAATCATCAAGCAACATTACAAGTGTTCCAATTTCTTCAACGGGTATATTTCCTGTTGTCTCCTTCTAGCATTATAAATCCAACAACTTTTAATAATTTAGATGAGATGGCCATGCATTTTATGCACAGCTTTGTTGAAAAGGTTGCTCGAGAGCTTTGTATTGGTCCGGAATCATCCAACTACTTATTGAGAACCTTTTTCAAACTTGCAGGGAAAGAGCGTTCTATTTCATATGCTCTTTCTTCTTGGGGTGGTGTATTTCTTAATGATGAAGGTTCCAAACGATATGTTGCTCAATATCGTGAAAAGGCCAATGAATTAATGACCCTTAAACGAAGCAGAGGCACTAAACATAATAAGGACGACACTTATGTGTATCTTAATTACAACATGATTCAAATGTCTATTGATGTCTGTGCTGGTGATACCAAAGTATGGCATGATTTTTTTAAGGAGAATGTCAAATTGATTCAGAAAGAAGGTGGTCTTGAAAAAATGTGTGAGAAGTTTGATTATTCTGAAGATATATTATGGTTATTGGCAGATGTTCAATATCATGATATTTTATCTTCAAAGACCTTTTCAGAGGGTACAATTTTCAGAATAAAAGATTACAATAAAATATTCAGTCAGAACAAAGATCAAAACCACAAAAGAAAGAATTCTGACCTGTACGGAATAGATCCCTTACAAGGATGTTTACAACCGATTTTCCTTATCTTAGGAGGGATTTTGAATGATTCTGTCAAGATGAAACGGAAATACGAAATGATTCGACGTGAATTGGATAAAGCCGAAGCTCAATTTGAAAGCACAGGACATATTAAAGATTTGAATCCTATAGTTGATTCACAATCGACCAACATGGATCATTATTCTTGTAACAATAATCCCGAATTATTGAGTTTACGAGCTCAACGAATTAAATTCTTTTCTGAAGTTGAGGAGCTTTATAATGGTCAAAAGTCAAAGATCAAATCTTGTTCTCCAATGCAATTGAATTTGCATGATCTTCAAAATGATACCAAAGTTATGGAATTACATCAAACATTATTTAAGATTTATGTACAAATTGTCACTGCATGTTTGGAGATTCAATTACGTCGTGCACCATCGGGGAGTTATGAATTGCAATGTCTTTTACCTCAAATCTTTGTTTACATTGATATGTTAGTGGATACGAAGATGGCATCGTCATTATGTTTGGCGTTTTTGATTTGTGGGATCATATGTATTGAACCAGGTGATAGACACTACTTGGAACATCAATATGGGAAAATCAAAAAGAACTATCACGTGAAGAACTTTGAAAGAACGTGGGAGATTGTGGAGGAGATCTGGAAACGGAATGATAACGGAAGAAAATATATCGATTGGATCGATATCTGTGAAGAGAAAGGCTGGATCTTGTGTTTGTCATAATAGGGTTGTGTTTAAGTATAATTGCAGGCAATTTATACAACAATGCTGAAACGAGGCTGTTTACTTTTCAGTTTGAATTATGAATTATTAATTTTATTGCTTAGAAATCTGTTTGTCTTTATGTATTTCTTACTATTTATATATATATTCTATAGGTTTATTTACGGTTATATGAAGGTACTTTGTAGTATACTTTAAGAGGATTCAGTTACTTTTACGCCTAATGTGATTCATTGGCTGCGAAACATTGAGTTAGTTAGAATAACTTTTAAAAGGGAAAACACAAGTCATTTCCATTATAGAAACTTCTCTACCATGCACACAATTAACTTTCATTGAGTTTAACAGTAAACAAATAGCTTTTATTACTAGTCTTTATTGCAGTAGTAATAGCAGTTGTACATTAAGTTACTTGGCTGGTTTTCACACAGCTGGATAAATAGACGGTACACACACTACATCCAACGCCCCAGCACCACTAACCTTATATAGGTAGCGCCGATTTTTTTGTGGTTGATGAACACGAAGCTGAAAATACAAACCCCATCAAACAAGTCAAACCAAGCAACTGGTGTTCCCCTATCAGCCCTTAGTATTACTCCGCATCTTCGATAATTTAGACATGTCGGTCAATATACAGAACCGGACCTTTGAGTTCCAACAATGTGTACTGACTTATGACAAGATTCACAAGAAACAGCATCAGGCCATAAGCTCGCCACAGAATCGAAACCCACCGCCCAAATCCAAGGTTAATCAACAAGCCAGTATTATAGCCAAGGACATATCACATGCTACTGATTTGTTGGCGAAATTGGCGTATTTGGCCAAGCAGAAGCCACTTTTCGACGATAAGCCTGTGGAAATCAATGAGTTGACAGTGATTATCAAACAAGAAATTTTCAAGATTGAACAGAACATGCAAAATCTAAGGAAATATATTCTGGGAGAATCATCATCTGCCAATATTGATAAGCAAATATCCAAGAACTCCAATAATATTTTGAATTTATTAAGTTCCAAGATGAAGAATGTTTCTGGTGAATTTAAAAATGTATTAGAGATTAGACAACAGAATGAGTTGATCAACAAACAGAGAACAGAAAACTTTTTGTCGTCTTCGACGTCTGCTTCTAATCGGAATGGCAGTAAGTCTCCTTTATATGAGGTTTTGAATAATGAAAACTCTCTTAATATGCATAATAATTCCAGCTTATCTTCACTAGGAGAGAACCCATATCTTGCAGCTGCGAACTCTTATAATCCAGCACTTGACCGCAATAGAGGTGGTGGTAGTGGTGGTGCTGATCCATATGGTGATGGAGAGTATCTTTCTATTCCTAACCAAACACAACAAATGCTTCTTATGGAAGAACAAAACCAACAATATCTCCAACAACGGGGACGTGCAGTGGAGACCATTGAATCCACCATCAATGAAGTGGGGAATCTCTTTCAACAATTAGCCACAATGGTAAGTGAACAAGGTGAAACTATCCAAAGAATAGACCAAAACGTAGATGACATCAACATGAATATTTCTGGAGCCCAAAGAGAATTATTAAAGTATTATACCAATATTTCCAATAGTAGATGGTTATTCTTGAAGATCTTTGGGGTATTGATTGTGTTTTTCTTATTATGGGTAATGGTTAGTTAAACACTACTTTAATGTATGTGTAATATATTAATGGTATATAGGGTATATATACTATAATGCAGGTACAATGTATGGTATAGTATAGTGTATGGTATAGTGTACTACAATGTAGTGAACAGGTATTATAGGTATGCTTGAATTATCGTGCATCTACCAAAGATATGAGGATCCTATCAGAAAAGATAGTCAAAGGCAAAGGAACAAGGGGCTCTCATCTCGTACCCAATCAGTTACTATCCGTCACTTAAACGGAAGCCAGAACATTAGAGGCTTTTTTGTATTATTGGAGTCTGTTTCAAGTCTTAGAAATCACCAGAGTAAAGTGTACTTTTTATCAATATCAATATCATTATCATTATCATATAAGCAACATCAACATGTGGAGCTACTTATTTGGAGGTAACAAGCAACAGAAGAAGGAGGCACCTAAGAAGGCGATCGTGGAGTTACGTGAGCATATTCAAATGTTGAATAAGAAACGTACTCATTTGGAGCTGCAAATGTCTGATCAAGAATCCATGGCCAAACGGTATCTTGCTGGAGGAGATAAGGGACCCAAGAGTAAAGAGTTAGCTAAGAACGCATTAAAGAAGAAGAAGGGCTTTGAAGTCCAGTTGGTAAAGATAGAAAACCAAATCGACTCATTGGAAACACAATTGAATGCTATAGAAAGTGCCAACTTGAATTTGGAAACCATGAAGGCCATGAAACAAGGTGCCGCTGCCATGAAACAAATCCATGGCGAATACAATGTTGACAAGGTGGAAGATGCCATGGATGAAATCAGAGAACAAGTAGAATTGGCTGATGAAATCAGTGAAGCCATTTCAAGACCAGTGGGCACGGAATTTGTTGATGAAGATGAATTAGATGAAGAATTGGCTGCGTTGGAAGCAGAAGCAAAGGAAGATGCCCAGCAAGTTCCAGTGCAAAAGGTAGAAGCCGCTCCTGCAAAGGTCTTGCCTAATTTCCCTACTGTTTCAAAGACAGAACCTAAGCCAGTGGAGGAAGATGAAGATGAAGAGGCATTAAGAGCATTACAAGCCGAAATGGGATTGTGAAGAGCATATATATATTGTTTAATTATTGTATTGTAACAAGTACTTTGTAGTTGTGTGTCTGTTGTATACTAACGGTATTCCCAAGGCACACCCGAACACCACTCTGCACATAAAATATACCCCATACAAAAACTCATCTTGAAAAAAATTTTAAATACCAGTTTCCTTCCATCACCATATCCATCATGTTAAAGGGTGCTATACGGCGGCAAAGGATTCGTGCCTGTTTGTCAGGATTCCATGGACCGAATGTCCGAGCAGCGGTGTATCGTTCCAAACGATACTCAGCCACGGCTGCTACATCCACAAGTACAAGTACCACACATAGTGGTCCTGGTGCCACCACACTGTTTGGTGGGGGGTCGTCACTGTTTCAGTACCCACTAATAGAGGAGTTGAAATCCAGAAACTTGGCGGAAAGCAAAAGCTCCATACATGAAAAGTCTTTTGATCAAATAGACCCATCAACTGATATTCCAAGTGGTTCATCCACCAATTTGGGATGGTCATCTTCTTATGATCCAGTAGTGAGATCCCCATTTGCCAAAGATGAACTCCATTTAAATTCGTTACTTGAAGCCATGTTAACCAGTAAGAACTTTAATAGAGCCCAGAATGTTCTCCATACGTTATATTCTCTCTTGATGAGTCCCGATACATTTGTATATTCCCTTAACAGATACTTGGAAGCATGGGGTGCAGAAGAAACTGTTAGTTTGGAAGACATGGAAGGACTCCTCAAAGATATGAACAAACGGTACCCTTCATTAAGGAGAAACAATCGTACTTATGCCATCTTGTTGGCTAAAGCCATCGATGAACACGTTCATATGGACTTGATCAGAGCCCTTCCCAGGAAAACAGTTAGAGATATGTTAACTTATGTTGATGTCATTGGTGGTGATGGTTTAAATACCTTATTTTCCACTCAAGAATTCACTCAAGACTATGTTCCAGATGAGTTGATGGAGCTCTTTCATCTTGTACGAAGAGAAACTGTGACTGATGAAGACTTACATTCACCATCAGCATCATCAATAGTATCAGCATCAGCATCAGCATCAGCATCACCATTATCATCCCCATTATCATCATCCCCATTATCATCATCGCCATCATCTGCATCATTATCATCATCCATAACTTCTTCAAAGGAAACCATCCCTACCTTGGACAAAGACAGTGAAGATCTTCTTTCTGTAGACTCTTTCGGGATGCAGGCCATCAGAAGTACTCTCTTGGGGTTGCAAGCTGAATCCTCAGAATCAGCGAAGTTGATGGAATTAATAGAAGAACTCAAATCAGAACCTGATAGTATCATTGACCATCTGCTGGTACAGAAAAGAGATTATTTTGCCATTTATAGATCATTAAAGACCCCAGAACAAAAGAAGAAGTTCAATGAGCTTCTAGAATTGCATAACCGTGAAAGAGAACGGGAATTAGAAATCCGTGGTGTTGATGCCGCAAGAGAAAAGTGGAAACATGAATATGAAGAATTGATCAAACGCGGTGCCATGCAAGTTTCAAGGAACTTGAATCCACTTTTATATCAATGGTATTCCGCATTATTACCATATGTGGTTGAAGAACAAAGACTTTGTATTGATTTGGTCAATGGAGATGTGAATTATGACGAATTGACTGCTGAAGAGGCCACTCAAATGAAGAAGAGAGCACATTATGCACCATACTTTGTTTTAATTAAACCCGAGAATTTGAGTGTCATCACTATTCTTGAACTTTTGAGGTTGAACAGTGTTGGAGGCATTGCTGATGGTATGAGATCCACAAGAGCAATGGTCAGTGTTGGGAAGGCATTGGAATTGGATTATAAGGCACAAGAATTGTGTAAGACCGAAAGAAAGAAGTATAGCAAGCTTACTAAAAATCAACAAGATTGGAAAAGATATTTGGGTACCAGAAAAGATTCAGAAAAGAAGGATTCAATTGTTGATAATGAATGGGGGTCTGTGGTATATTCCAAATTAGGAGGGATCTTATTAGCATTACTTCTTCATGTGGCTAAAGTGCCTGTTTCATATAAGGACGAAGCTACTGGTGAGAAACACAGTATGGAATTGCCGGCCATTAACTTAACATACCAATATTTATCCGGACAAAAGGTTGGAGTGTTAAGATTCCATAAATCATTAGTTCGTATGATGGGTGGTAATGAGATTGCAAACTCTGTTCTGCCTCAGCTATTACCCATGTTGGTGGAACCTCGTCCATGGACAGCTTTCAATGATGGCGGATATTTGTATACCCCGAATCAAGTTATTAGAATTAAGGATTCTCCTGAAACATTTGCTTATTTGAAGGCTGCATCTGATAGAAAGAATTTGGATTTGGTTTATGACGGGTTAAACGTTTTGGGTAGCACTGCTTGGACCGTCAACAAGAGGGTTTTTGAAGTTATTGGTCATTATTGGAATACAGGTGAAGAATTTATAGATATTCCACCAATTGTGGAAGAACCCCAAATGCCTCCTTCAATCCCTCATAATGCTGAACCCATGGAGAAGTTTGAATACCAAAAGCAAGTTCGGAAGATTTTGAATGAAACTGCCGCTTTGAAATCTCAAAGATGTGATATCAATTATAAGTTGGAGATTGCTAGAGGGTTTCTTGGTGAGAAGATGTACTTCCCTCATAATTTAGATTTCAGAGGAAGAGCTTATCCCATCTCACCTCATTTTAATCATTTAGGTAATGATTTAACTCGGTCTTTATTCCTATTTTGGGAAGGTAAGGAATTAGGAGTTGAAGGCTTGAGATGGGTTAAAATCCATTTATCCAATGTGTTTGGTATAGATAAGGTATCCCTTGACGAAAGAGAAGCTTTTATCAATAAGAATTTAGACCATGTCTTTGCATCAGCAAGAGACCCTCTCAACTATGATTGGTGGAAAAAAGCCGATAAGCCCTGGCAAGCATTAGCATGTTGTTTTGAATTGGAAGAAGCGTATCAATTGGAAGATCCAACAAAATACAATTCCCATATTCCAATTCATCAAGACGGTTCATGTAATGGGTTGCAACATTATGCTGCATTAGGAGGTGACATCGAAGGGGCCAAACAAGTGAATTTAACTCCTGCTGATAAACCTCAAGATGTGTATCAATATGTTTGTAACTTGGTTCAAAAGACTGTTGACAAAGATGCTGCTGATGGCAATGAGATTGCCATATTCTTACAAGACAAGCTTACGCGTAAGGTTGTCAAGCAAACCGTCATGACCAATGTTTATGGAGTGACGTTTGTTGGTGCCGTTGCTCAAATCGAGAAGCAATTGGCACAATACTTCAACAAGGATGAAGACGATAAGTTGGCACAACATGCTAGATATTTGACAGGGTTAGTGTTTCAATCTATTCGAGAATTGTTTGAAGGGGCCCATGCCATTCAAGATTGGCTTGGAGAAGCGGCTAAGAGAATCTCTAAGTCAATTCGTATTGACTATGAAGAAAGTACAGCCAACAATTCCAACAAACCAAGTCACATGTCGTCGGTCATATGGACCACCCCCCTAGGGTTACCATGTGTACAACCCTACCGAGTCACTAAGAAACAAATGGTCAACACCAATCTACAGGATGTTGCTATCACCGACCCCTTTGGAGCCGCACCTGTTGATGCTCGGAAACAAATGGCAGCGTTCCCTCCCAACTATGTTCATTCCTTAGATGCCACTCATATGCTTTTGACTGCAAAAGAATGTGGTGAAGAGAAAATGTCGTTTGCGGCAGTGCACGACTCGTACTGGACCCATGCAGTTGATGTCAATCAAATGGGTGAATGCATTCGGAACAAGTTTATCAGTTTACATTCCGACAACTTGATACGGAAAGTCAAGGACGAATTCGAAACAAGATACAAGGGCTTCTTACAAGTTGTGCATATTAAAAACGAATCTCCAGCTGCTAAAGAAGTGAGGAAAGTCAGAAGAGCATTGGTCAAGGAATTGGGTCGAGCACTTACGGTTGCAGATGAAGTGTATATCGAAAAGAAGAGACAAGAATTACTAAACTCTGAGAAACCCAATGAGGTTAAAGCCGGGCAAGAGTTGATAACTCCAGTCAGTGTGATTGAAAATATCAACATAGAACAAGATATTGTTTCCAGTTCCTTCCATAAGGGAGTTCAAGTATTGATACCCTTAAAGTTTCCTCCTATTCCAGATAAAGGTGATTTTGACATTTCCTTAGTGAGAGATTCGGTATATTTTTTCTCCTAATACCATTGCATATTATTATCATTTTTGTTAACATTTTTGTTTATTCTGTTTATTATTTTTATTATCATTATTTGTTTCGGGTATACGGATCTTGTTTATAGGTAGTACCTCATGTACATAGAGTATATTATTACTTTCTTTTATTATGTGATATTTCAGAATATTTCTTTAGATAATCTTCCCCTGTAGTTCAAGATTCTCAATCAAAGGTAACAAAGGATCCATTTCCTTTCTTTCTATCAACGAGAACTCTTTGACAAAACTGACGAAATGGGCAAAGAAAGAGTTCCAATGTGCCTCTAAGGACAAATGTAGGATCCTCTCGAAATGATTGTAGTAGACAAAGGCAAACACTCTAAACATTTGTCTTGATATATTTTTACAGTCTTTGACAAAGTTTGGGGGGAACGCGCCCCCATTTTTTGTGGGGAACACGGCTTGATCATTAAGTTTACTCAGAATCCATGTCATTACCAAATCAATGTATTGATTAGCAGGTAAATCAACCGGTTGACCTGACCCGTCGATCCATAGATAATTTATATTGGGCCCAGCATTCATGGTCGGATATAAGTCCGGCGTGGTATATTCGGCCAAGACTCCATAAAACTGGTTTAAGTTGTTGAACATCTCAAAGATGTTTAAGGCTAACCATTCACCAAAGTCCACGTATTTCGGTAACTGAATAATGGTACGAAATGACCCTTTCACTAACGCAGTTTTGATGAATGGTTCACACATAAATAATGGTGGGGGATATGAAGTTGTGCTTCTTTTATGAACAGCTGGAGGGTTCAGTTGAACACTCAGTCGTTTTTTCGTGGGGGACACTTGATTTGAAAATTGGATTTGGTTGGTTAATCGTTGCTGTTTGGACGGAGAAAGTTTGGTAGGGGAGTTTGATCTTCGACTGGCATTTGATGGCGATGAAGTATAAAACGGATTAGCGGTTTCGAGTTCCTTCTTGGACTTCTTGGAGCTCCGACCGAATCCTCGGATCGAGTTAAAGAACGACATAATGTGTAAAGAGTAAGAAGATGATCTGTCAATTGATAGTTGTTTTCTTGAAACGTATATGTACAAAAGTCGTGCATGGACAAAGTATGACAGTATGACAGTACTACAGTACTAGTACTACTGCTAGACATCCCTCAGTACTCGTGCTACAGTACTACAATACTACTACACTCACAGTTATACTTGTATGCTTCAACTTACTAAACAAATTCCCCTAATGATTGACCCATCTTAACTGTTTGACCAGTATGTAAATTGAACTTGAAATTGTCTGGTGCTTCAAACACCAATACAACTGTTGATCCCAATTTAAATCCCCCAACTTCTTCTCCTTTAGTTAAAGGATACCCTCCAAGCAAACGACTGGCTTTGGTGTATGTTGCTTCATAACAAGTATTTTTCTTCAGTCTCTTGGGAGTAGCCGAGGAGTCATCACTAATGATCGTAAGATCAGTGGTGCTTGATTCAGTATCATCAGATTCAAGTAATGGAGTCTCTTCATTAATAATGGTTTCTTTCAGATAAATCTGATGTTCATATTTGGTATTGGTCTTCAAATACTTATCAAAATTAACAATGATACTTCCAACGTTAGTGGCCCCAACTGGGATCATTGAAAAAAATCCATGTTTCCAATATCCTAAAAGAGCAACTCTTTCATTAAGTACAAAGAGTCCTTGTAAAGTTTTTTGGAAGAATGGAGCCACCGAGAATAATTCTCCGATGAAATGACGTCTTAAAGTAGTTACCCAATTAGTGGGGGAATGATAGCGATGATAATCTCCTGGGGCCAAATAAATAACAGCAAAATATAATTGCTTATTTTGAAGGGATTCTAATGGACTAGGAGTAATATTTTTGGCCATAGATATTTCTTCAGAAAATGAAGACCGCGCCCCCTTAGCAGTACCATCTCCGTTATCTTTATATTGTAAATTCTGTGCATGATACGTATCTTCATTTTCTCCTCCAATTAAATCATCAACAGAATATGAAATTCCATTCAACTTAGCAAATTCTTCATCCCGTTGATAAATGGTTTCTTCATCCATAACTTCTCTATCAATATCAGGTGCATGACTAGGAGCTGCCAATTGAGTTGTTTTTAACCCCAACAATGCATCAACAGAATATGTCATTCCTTTAACTTGTTCAATTTCACCATTTTCAATAACCCCAAATTTCAAAACTGTACCATCAGATGGAGAAACCAATTCAGAATCAGCAATTGGTCTAACTCCAGGTTTTAATTTTCTATAAAAAAAATCACCCAAATTTGGATAGGTGGTTAAATCCGGTTCATCCATCTCTTCAAGATTAACTCCAAATAATGCAGAATAAATCTTATAAGATGGAGATCTTAACCAAACAGGCAAATTAATTGAATTTACTTGACCCCATAAACGACTAATTGATTTTAAAGGTAAAGTAGAATATGCATATAAATGCCATGATTGAGGTTTAATAGCATACTCATTTGGCTCTTCACCTCTTTCTGATCGAATTTTTGCGGCCACACCACCTAAAACAATAGTTAAAGAAGTTAAAGTCCACCATTTAACAAACTTTCTCTTTTGTCTTCTTCTATCCCGAGCCTCAGCAGAAAAGAACCGATTATGAATTGATTTAGTTTTATTTCTAATCTTTTGAGGAGCAGTGGACAACAGTCTCCGAGAGATCCGTGGAAGTCTCGAAACAGGGAACCCAATCCGTTGAGGTTTAGGCCAATTAGAATAATATAAAACGTTTCTTTTTGGTCTAGGAATTGAAGGAAAGGGATAATAATAATAAGACGAATGACTTTTTTGAGTTTTCCCATTAACTGGTTTCAGTTTCAATGATTCCAACAATTGTTGTTGTTGTTGTTGTTGTTGTTCTTGTTGGAAATGGAACTCTGCAACCAGAGTAGCACGCGACAAGGGCTGAGTGATACTCATGGGGGTGCCGCCATAGGTGATGGTTTGTTTGATATACTTTGGAGGTATAGTATATGGTTTAGCCAAAAGAACCATTAGATAAGGGGAGTTTAATAACCAATGGGATTGAAGGCCTTATTAAAACCACCAGACAAAATATACTGAAACGGATGCACAGCAAGTTTTATAAATTAAAACAATTGACAACACGACAATCACAATCACAATCACAGAATCCACTCGCACGATTGGAAAGAAAAAGAATGAACCTTGAGCTCCTGCCTAAACAAGCAAACTACTACTAAATGTGTTTGTGTGGGAGGTGTTGATACTGAAAAAACCTCATCGTGTGCCTTTACTTATTTTCTGCAGGGTCAACAATAAGTATCGTGTCGCGTGAATACCAAAGTTGGTAACTTGTGGCATGTGATTGGGACAGCCAAAATTGGTGGTGGTGATGATGCATGTAATTGAATATGATATCTGGCAGTATCCAGTATCCAGTATCATTGTAATTGTGTACTTCGCAGTGTTGTGCCGTGTTGATCTGTACTGTGTGGCATGGATAGCTTATGGTAATTCATAGACTAATGCTATGCAATGGATGGCCAACAATAGATTTGAGTGTGCATGAGTACAGTAGTGGAATGAACAAAACATCCTACCAGAGGGGATACCATAGCAAAGCATACCATGCTTAACACAACATAACGTGCCTTAACATAAGCCTATCTTAACCTTAGTATGGCTAAACTACGCTGTATTTTATACGACAATAGAATCTTTCATCTCTTGGACAAATTGAGTTCTGCTTCCCTTCATTCCTTTAGTCCGTGTGGATAATTGGTGTTCTTGCATACACCGTACCTAACGCAAAGCAATATCAGATCTGGTTACGACGAACTCTCCAAATCTCTTGTTTGAGTCCCTGCACAAACTCATACAGGATATAATTCATATGACTAGCTCCCAAATGATCGGTGTAAGCAAATAGGAGCTTTAAGTTCCAAAGATCTTCTAAACTCCTTGGGTTTCTAGCTCTATTCTGTAGTTCAACTTTGGTGTCAATGATGTTAAACACCGAAAGCCCATTGATATCACTCCATTCTCCTTGGTTAGTATATTGAACATCATCATGATTCATCACCAGCTTTTCGAAAGCCGAAACTGCTGCAAAATGTGAACCTTTGGAGAACCATTCCATTATACCATCAACTTTAATTTCTCCATTACGGATTTGCATCTGCTTACTCTCATTGGCTAAAAGTCCACTAACTGATTGCTTAAGCATCGCAAAGTTGGTTCTCTTGTAAACATAAACAGTCATAGACTTTCGGAAAAGGTCTCGGAATTGCCCATCTAAATTATTAACAGACACTTTAAAATAATCATTATCAAGAGTTTCAACTCCTGAAATCTCCTCTATATTTGGTAGCAAACAGGGTGCAATTATCAGTTTGGTCGTTCCAGATTTCATTCGAACCTCCACAGCGACTTTCAATGGCTTCTGAGTAACAACATCTCTCACCACAAGACATCTGGGTTCAATTGAAAGAGCCCAAAGATGTCTAAGTGCTTGAAGATGAATGTCATTCTCATTCTCTTGTGATGGGAAAATAGGATAGACGGAAATCACCAAACATGCTATAGCAAAATTGTTATTTGCAAATGCATATTGGCCATCTCCAAGAAATAAAAACCCAAGAGCCATATTTATGGCCATATAACTACCAAAACTCTTTGCCTTTGCATCATGATACATGATCCGAAGGAGTCGAAGTGTCTCCAAATCTCCACTACCAGCCATCACTATTGATACACTTAATGCAAGTAAATTTTGGATATTCCGTCCACACCGAATTACAATTCGCTGATCATAATTTGTAGGTTCAAGTTGAGTATACCTATTCAATTCACCAATAAAATAAAGAATAGTGTCACGAGCAACAATGTCTCCACTAGAAGCATTTCTAATAGCCATTGATAAACATGCACCTCCCAATAAATTCAAATATGCAACTTGATCACTATCAAGTTTTCGAAGTGATGAATGCTTGGCCCATACAGGAGATGGAATTTGACTCTTTACCCAACTTATAGTGTTTTCAATCTCATCCCATAAGATCATATTTCTTGCTAAACACCTCAATAAAAGCAAATCAGGCCGAACATAATCCAAGAATTGTTCTGATTGAGGAACTCGTAGTTTCTCTGCCACTGTAACATTATGAGTTCTCAAATATATGAATGCTAGTGCCAAAATCGACCCACAACAAGATTTATCCAATTCTTGAACTGGTTGATAATCCTTCATAGATGTAGCCAATAATAATAACTTCTCTACAACATGAGTATCATTCAACCCACTTAAATCATCTCCTTTTCCTAAATTCACCAAGCCCAACGATATCCCAGCTGAAAATCGGTATCCTTCATGAATTATTTCACTGTCATTTTGATATACAGAGCTCGTTACTTGTGCCAATAATATCTCACTCATACGTCTATGTTGAGTTTCAAGATATAACAATCCAATACCAACCAAACCGGCTGTTTGAACATCAACAGGAACGTTTAAATCATTGGCACCTTGAGGAAGTAATGCAACAGCATGCACTGATAATACTTTGGTAAGCTTATTATCCATTGTTCCTCTCAGGCTTGCTGCCATACCAATAAGAAGACCAACACTCGTAAGTGGATGTTTGGGTCCAAGATAATTATATATATGCCATTCTTCTAATCGTTTAAGATGACCATTCAAACCGATACCCAAAAGAAATCCAGCATGTTGAGCATTAAGCTCATTCGGCTTATTGAAAATAATCCAACTACCTGAAATTCCATTCGAATCTTTATTAATGCTTAGTCCAGAAGAAACCCCACTATGAAAGTATCCCCATTCAAGTAAGTTTTTATCTAATGACTGTTCTGTTAATACTATATTGGTCATTGAAGGGGCAATCAAACAGTTAAGATTGAATTTAGGTATAGGAAATCTTTCAGTCAATATGGGTTTCCTACTACCATAAAATAATGCTGCTCTACCCATAGGAATAGTCAATGTTCTCGAAGCAATGACCACGGCAAGTTTTCTTTGTTGAAGAAGCAAAGTGTACTCGGAAATGTTGTGTTCTGGAACTAATGTGGCCGTTTGAACTCTTGTTTGATGAAGTAAAGTAGTAATTTCATAAAACCTTCTATCCTTATCAAAGATTAACTTTGTAACATTAATTCTATCAGCTTCAGATTGACCATCCCAAGCTACCATTGAATCGCCTTTATCTGTCAACAAGTTTATTATATTTTGATAATGTTTGGGTTGATGTTTAGTATGAGCCACATATTCAACTGGATCATCAGAGAAGAGCATTTGTAAATCTTTTCTTCCTGTAATGGCCAAAGATTTCTCTGTCCATTCAAAAGAAGTATCCTCCTGACATCTCAGGACAGCATTTTTAAGTGGGATGGAGATCCCCAGGGGATACGTTTCCAAGTTTGACATATCAATGTCAAAAGCACACATCATGTCAACTATGTAACCTGGGCCATAACTCGGAGAAACAAGTATTTCAAACAATTTGAGAGTGTAATGTGTTCTGGGAGTGATTAACTCATCTGCAGATTCTCCTTCTTCAACCAATTGAGAAAACGTCAAGTACTTAACAATTTGATTGGAAAAAAGACTTACCAAAGACTCTAATAAGTTAGGAGGACGTTCTAGCACAAGAACCAGTAGAAACTTTGTTTGCTGATCAATTGACTTGAGATTAATACCATAATAAGATACCCAAGATTCTGGCCAGCCCATCCAGGTAGAAAGTTGGGTCATTAATATATTTAATCTCATTAAATCATTAGCAGCAAAAATATCAAGCCTTGCTTCTTCTCTTATCAAATGTAATGCAAGGGCAATATATGGAATCATATCAGGAATATTATAATCTGCTTTAAAAGCATCACCCATATACTTTGCCTTTTCTAACAACGTGGTAATTTCGTTTGGAACATAAGTGGAGACGGGTATGTTCTCTTGTTTGTCATTGAAGGGAAAAATTAAAGCCAATAAAGTTATGACAAATGCATTCCATTCATTTCTACAATTATCTAACATTAATGCAGTTCTCCACATCATCCAAATAGTTTCTTCTAATCTTGAGCCAGCAAGATATTTAAAACAGCTTAAACATCGGAGCACAAATTCGCTTGACGGTTGCATAATGAAATGCAATAAATGTGACGATCCAGTGGAATCAATTAAAGTAACATTACACTCAGCCGAACTTCCAAATCGTTCTATGACAGGGAAATTGGATGGTAATGTTACTTTTGGTGACATAACATCTAAAAATAGATCAACAAGGCATATTTGGTTTGATTCCTTTAGAACAATGACATGACTTTCTTCCAAGGGTATACAATCCATACACTGGAAACTATAAGAAGCTTGATATAATGGGGCATTCATCAGGTGCTTGAATATGAAAATTTTTGCTTCTTTATGTATTCTGTCAACTAGAATAATTGCTTCTTGATCTTCGAATGAAATAGTATGCAATGAAACATTATTTATATCGGTTTTTAAGTTGAAAGTTTCCAATTTAGCCAAAATCATATCCTTTTGATAAGTGCCATATTCAAACCCGTGATCATGTTTTGTATCATGAGAAACCACACCTGGTTCTGAACGCATTCTAGCCATTGAAGAAACGTCGGAAAGAAGAGTACTTGTACGCTTTTTCTCCATATTAATTGAATTGAGGGTTTGATCACGTTCTGATTCGTCTTCATATCTATTTTGGGGAGCCAAAAGTGAATATTTCCGTATAGATGCATGTCTTGAAGGGCCAGAAACAGTTGTTGCTGGACCTGAGCCTGAACCGGAGGCCGAATTTGATCCTGAGCCATAAGTGCTTGCATTTCTTGTTAGACGAGAAGACAGTCGAACATTATATAGTATAATAGATTTATCATGGGCATTGAACGTAACACATAAAGTTCTGTTCTTGTTGATGGTTCTATCAGGAAATATAACCAATTCTTCATGAGGAGATATCACTGATACTGACAGGGCAGCAATTGCTTTGAATGTACCAATTGGATCGACCACAGTTAAGAATTTTGATAATGCTGCCAAGTTATGACTTCCCCTATCTAGATCTCCAACTGTACCCAGAGGGTCCTTCTCCAACACTAAACCACACTCAAATGGGAGAGCTCTTGCGATGGCAAAGGGGAAGCTTACCACATATGATCTGCCGTCAGGGTAAAATAAATGAGCTGCTTTGCGTAGACATACAGCTAGAACATTGCTCACATCATGGAATGTCGTATAACAAGTGGATACAATGTCTTCATCGAATGAAAGCTTTCGATCTAGAAGATTACCATTATATACATTGATTTGGCGAGGCCCCACAATTAGACGACGATTGGAAGGGTATAACTTAATTTCTGGGTTCGTTCCATCTTTGCCCTTCTGCCAATCAGTATCCACTACCAATACCGGTAGTGTAAGGTTCATGTTCATGTTCATTGATGTAGTTGTAGATGGTGTGATGAAGAAAGTAAACACTCAAATCGCGCTCTGAAAATTGTAATCAGCGGTGACAGTTGGTGATAGTAGTGATTGGACTAAAGTACCAGTAACTACTACTACTATTTCTATTCTGTTCATGTTGCTTATGCTCTACGAGATATTCTTATCGATGAATATTCACATATACAAGATACATCGAAAACAAACACTATGTACAAACGTTCAACACGTTTACTCAATGATTCTGGTGATCATACCAGTACCAACAGTCTTACCACCTTCTCTGATGTTGAATCTTTGGTTGAGTTCCAATGGTACCTTCTTTTGTAATTCAACAACCATTTCAACGTTATCACCAGGGAAGATTTGCTTGGAGTGATCTTCACCTTCAGGGAAAGTAACAACACCAGTAACATCAGTGGTTCTAATAAAGAATTGAGGCTTGTAATTTTCTGAAAATGGTGAATGACGTCCACCTTCTTCCTTACTCAAAATATACATAGAAGCCAAAACCTTCTTATGAGAAGTGACAGATCCAGGTTTAGCAGCAACCATACCTCTTTGAACATCTTCTCTCTTGATACCTCTCAACAAGATACCAGCGTTATCACCAGCCATAGCTGAATCCAATTCCTTCTTGAACATCTCAATACCAGTGACAATGGTCTTGATAGGCTTATCGTTGAAGCCAACAATTTCAATTTCTTCACCCTTCTTCAATGAACCTCTAGAAACTCTACCGGTAATAACAGTACCTCTACCAGAAATAGTGAAAGTTTCTTCAATGGGCATCAAGAAAGGTTGTTCCAAATCTCTTTGAGGAACAGGAATATGTTCATCAACAGCATCCAATAACTTTACAATAGCTTCCTTACCAATTTCAGGTTCTCTACCTTCCAAAGCACACAAAGCAGATCCCATAATAACTGGTGTGTTATCACCATCAAAACCATATTCAGATAACAATTCTCTCATTTCCATTTCAACCAATTCCAACATTTCAGGGTCATCAATAGTATCAACCTTGTTAACGAAAACAACCAAATGTTGAACACCAACTTGTCTAGCCAATAACAAATGCTCTCTGGTTTGAGGCATTTGACCATCAGTAGCAGCAACAACAATAATAGCACCATCCATTTGAGCAGCACCAGTAATCATATTCTTAATGTAATCAGCGTGACCAGGACAATCAACATGGGCATAATGTCTCTTGGCAGTTTCGTATTCAACATGAGCAGTGGAAATGGTAATACCTCTAGCTCTTTCTTCTGGAGCTCTATCAATGGAACCATAGTCCAAAAAGTTAGCACCACCGGCTTCTGACAAAACCTTGGTAATGGCAGCAGTCAAAGTGGTTTTACCATGATCAACGTGACCAATGGTACCCACATTCACGTGGGGCTTCGAACGGTCAAAGGCAGCAGCATAGCTTCTGACTAAGGTAGGACGAACTCTCAAAAAAGAACGTGCGACATTCAAGCGCAATGAGGCAGTCACTGTCTGGATCATCTTTATAATGTTCACTAACTGTGTCTAAACAAACCGGAGGGGTTGTTATAGTTTTGTTCATATTGAAAATTTTTTTTTCAATTTTTCGGTATTGGTGGGATCATTTAGTCACGTGCACAAGCACGTGAAGTCATATACTGTAGTATTGGCTAGTATAAACCCCATCCTTTTTGACAAGACTCCTTTTGTAACTATATGAGTTTATAGTACTCAAGATGTTTGTTCATGTTGAGAATTTAGGAGTCACCATTGAGATGGAACATGGGATCTCAGGTGAGATAGCCGAAGCCGCCTTAGAACAGCAGTTGTTTGATGGTGAAAAACTGTTTCTATATAGTGACATTCGTATCGTGGAGAAGGCCTCTAACAAGCAGTTAAAAGCATTGGAATTTGATCTGTTGGGAGATCATTGTACTGTGAATTTTGTTGTATCTATGCTTGGGGGTAAAGGAGGATTTGGAAGTAATTTGCGGAGTTCTAAAGCGAAAGGCAGCTCATCCAAAACTTATTACCGTGATTTGAAAACTGGGGTTACGGTGGGAGACTTGGAACGACTTAAAAAGGCCAAAGAATTGCTTGAAGAACATGGAAAGATCAGTAAACAAGAAACAGAAATTAAAAAGGAAAAGTTGGCCAAATCTATTGAATATTATCAAGGATTACTTGATAGCAAAAATAAGAATCATTTAACAGAGGAGAACCAAAAACTCTTGGAAGATGTGGATGAGATACTTCAAGAGATGAAAGATAATATGAGTATCGCCTTATTCAGTGACGATGAAATTAGTTCTGAAGAAGATGATTATGACGATGAATATGCCACAGCAGAAGGAAGTAGTAAAGTACCTTCCTACAAACATTTTTTTGATTAATTAAACATGACATACAATTTTATAACTACTTCTAAGATTCACTTTCTTGAAGCAAAGGTTCTGATGCTTCTGAAGTTGTGGTGTTTTCATACACAATACGGTCAATTGCTTCTCGTTCGAGTTGATCGGCCAATTCTCCATGATATTTGAAGTATTGATAGTAAATACACAACGATAACAATGTTCCCTGCAATAAAAATGCAAAGAAATAGGAGATCCAAGAACTCCAATGAGACCCTTTACTGAAATAAAGAGTCGCAGTGAATATAGCACCACCTGGTGTTTGAATGCACATCATTCCTATCGATAAAGTACCTGGATGTTTTAATTTGTAGGTGGTATGAATTTGTGGGACATATTTTATGAATGTTAATAATGTCGACATCAATCCATTCAATTGAGCAAGTCTTAGAAGTACCTTTCCTCCAAACATAAGTCCAACAAACACTTGGATTATAGATACTATAGCATGAATAAGCACAAAATAGCCCACTTTGACAATCCGAGAATATTCATGTTTATCTTGAAGCACAGAATTACCTGTCCATATCAAAACAAACACCAATATGAGTACAGCACATACAGATTGTGTTCCTATTTGAAACAAACTAATTAATGAATTCAAACAATTGAATACACTTAACGCACCAATAAAGCAACAATGACGAGCCTTGGAACTTACCAAGATGATATTTGTCAATGTGAAGAGCGAAGAGCTCGAACCTAAAAGTAAGAAATTGGTAGAAAGACCTTCCGAACTCCGTCTATTCCAAATCCTTATATACTGCGGAATATAACTAACTACTATACCACCGGTTATAGCAATCAGGAAAATGAAGTTTGCCACCGACGTGCCCTCAAACACAGAGCACTGCAGCTCTGACATGTTCCTATAGATCTTTAAGATATCGCTTTTGGAAAGTTCTCCTTGTCCATGGGAATAAACGATTATACAACAAATAGTCTATGTTAGTGCGGTTGTTGGGTCACGAATATAGTAGTATGACCAAAAGTGCCGGGTAACTAGTGCACGATCATTTTATCGAGGGTGTTAATTTTTAGGCGCGAAATTGACCCTCTATGTTTTGGTTTAACACTTTCAACTTTTGATTTGAGGTCTACGCAAACACATTGGGAAGATGCAAGGATGAGTTGGGCTGGACAGGCAATGAGCAAGCGAAATCGAGCGCCAGCAGGTACAGGCATGTACATTGCTGGTGAGCTTGAATATGCATGTGTTGAGAAAGCGATCCAAGGTGAACGTGTGGTACAATTGTATGATCTACAGATAGGAGCTTTGAATGAGACCATGGGATCACTCATGAAGCTGATAAGTGATGGGACCGTGACACAGTTTATGGGGAATATCCAGACACAGAAACGTTCCATTGAACGGGAAATAGAATTGCGTTCGTCAATTTCTGATTTCACTTTTGCATCTCCAAGAGGAGCAGTAGCCCCACAATTAGACCAGCCTGAAATGATTCCTCTGCCACTGAAGATAGTTGCTAATCATAATCATAATCATAACCATAGACAAACTGCTGATCCATTTTTATCTCCACCAAAGGCTTCGGCCACTCTGACACCTAAACAACCTTATAGATCAACATTGTCCGATTCATTTGCCAGTCGATCAATAACGATACCAGTTGACTCTGTTAACAGAGTATCACTATTGACATCTACTAAGCCTGATAGCCTTCCTTCCAGTACATTCCCTAATCCTGATAGTTCTATCGAGGCAATTCAATTGAATATCAGAGAAAGCATGAAACGAAGACTGACAATAAAAGCAAATGACGTCACTAGTAATGTAATTGTTGCACCCAAAGCTTCAAATATGAAGACTCCAAGTAGAAGTTCTCTATTTATGAAGTTACCTTCGAAAACTCCCATATTAGATGGTGTATCATGGAAATCTAACAAAGGGTCCTTAAAATCAAGAAAAGTGGCAGAGAGATTGGAAGCTGAAATTGCTCAGCAAGATTTGAATTTGTCACCTGTGGTTGTGCCTCGTGTTATAAGTAAAACGAATTTAGAAGAAATGAAAGTACCTCCAAAGCTGATAAATGGAGGCGAAAAGAATGTATTTTCCAGTAATAATCCCAAATTACGTCTATCAACCGTTCCCACGTTGAATCCTCAATCATCATCCACTCCAAAAGAATCCAATGGCAATAGTTCATCCTCTCCTGTTTTAATAATGAAATCTGAAAAGGTTGAACATAAGGTTTCCAGGTCTACAACACAGTCTCAATCACTGGCCCTACTATCTGAAAGGACTATCGTAAATGATGATCAAAAACAAAATGCATCAAAAGATGGTGGAAACAATAACATAAGCCATATTTCACCACCAAAGAAATCACCAGGTAGAATCATCAAATCACCTCATAAAACTTCATCTAAGCTTAGTACCTTTACATCGCCAACCAAATCATCAACTCTCAAGACCAAGAAGCCAGAAATCAAACGCCATCCACATATCAAAACAACCAATAGATTACTTAATACTGAGTTGAAGACAGATTTACCACCATCTATTCTGACACTGAAACCCCTTGTTCTTCCTCCACGAGAAGAATATCCTAGTACAGTTAGAAAATCAAGACATGAATTTGAAGTTTTACTTCGAGGAAACTTAGCATTGGAATCTAATGGTGGTATTCCACAACTAACAAAGGAGACTACTACTGATGGTTCAACTCCTCTGAAGATCACTCGACCTCCTTCATATTCCTATAGTTCAGCAAAAGAATATGGACCAAATAAAAAGGTTGAAGATTTATTGCATGCTGGTAGACTACAGCCAGGGCATGGAGATGGTGGAGGTGGCAAAGAACTGAGTAGTAATCGACAGCCACGTCCATTGAAAGGGAATGCTGTACCACTTCCCGAAGCTGCTAGAGGGAGAGTTACGACCATCTCGAGAATTACGAGAACCCCTCATAGACTACTTGGCAATGGTGGTGCTGGTGGCCAAGAAGCTCCTAAGACGCCTCTTCACAAGCGATATAAACGAGAGACCAACACCACTGCAGTGCTTCCAGATTTCGGATCTGATGATGAAGAAGTGCAAAAGAGTGATGTTCTAAAGGAATGGGCAACAGAAAAGAACCTAAAAGCCATGATATCAGAACAACAACTGGTGAACCCCACTACTATATTTGGAGAAATCCCCGAGTTTGATATCGACGAAGTGTTTCAAACCTATGAATCCAGAGCCAGAGCAAGGAAGTCTCCAATGCAATGGTCAACTGTTGAAAGAAGGAAAGATGAGAAACGGTATGCCCGGCAAATGGGATACCAATAATTATTATTATAACTTAATTGTATTATTTATGTATATTATGAGGATTGGAACAGTCTCTTTGAAAGAGCTATTTCCTTATTCCATTTGGAGATCCATAAAGGAGAGTCTTGCTTTGGAATCACATATAACCTTAACCCATTATCGAACAATGGAGCCTTGCTCTTTTCAGACATTAGGGCTTCATTAATGGCCAACTTCTTACCGACTTTAATCAACCCACCCGTGACTGTTTCCATGTAACATTCCAAGTTTTTGAGGTGCCATTCCTTGGGTCTATCCAGAAGAACCATGGTGAGAAGCTCGTTGGGAGTAACCAACTCACTGGTCTCAGCAACATAGTCAAACTCATCAGTAGAGGGATATAAGATCATTGCTGGGAAGATTAGTTGAGATTCATAATCCAATGGGTCTTCTAATCGAATGTGAGCATCTTCCAAGACTTGAGCTGGGCTTTTACTCTTTATGATCTGGTAGTGTCTTAGCTGAATAGCATTGTCCAATATTGATTTCCTTAAGGCCCTTTCCCTTTCTTGTGCTTCCTTCTGTAATTGTTTCTGCTGTATAACTTGCTCTCTTTCTATGATTTTGGCTAGAAGCTCTTTCATTGGCTGGTTATCATCTTCAACCAGAAGTCCATATTGTAAGATCTCCTTGGCTTCTGGTAGTCTTTCCACAGCAAAGAAGGCCTTACCCAGTCTATAACATGCCTTGACGTTCTTATCATCTGTCATCAACACCTTCTTACAGTCTTCTATACATCTTCTGTAGTTTCGTAACTCCAAGTTACAAGCTGCTCTGTTTAGTAAAAGTGCCTTGTTGATCTCTTCAACTTCACATGCAACATCTAGCCCTTTGGTGTAGTACTCAATCGCATTCTTATACTGTTTGGCCTTGAAACAGTCATTCCCTTGGTTCTTGAAATTGGTGGCGATCTCATCGGGTTCCCCGTCATATGCTAAACTTCTTAATGCTTCCAACTCAGCGTTCTCTCCTCCATCTCCGTCAGTTTCATCTAAACTCGTCATGAAAAATGGTAGTCTGTTCAATTCATCCATCACTTCGGCAGTGGACTTGTTGGCCAACTCCGACAATTGCGGGGGAAGAGTCGATTCCCCGGGTTTGGGTACATACTTCCGTCTTTCCCATTCCGATATCACCGCATCGGTAACTTGTTCTTCGTCGGTCATAGTTGTAATAAAGAAGCACAGTACTGAATCAACTTGCCTCATCTCATCTCTGGATAATATTAAGGTTCAAGTCACGTGATCAAAGGCTCGTGACATTTATATCACGAGCCACCCGCCTTTCTTAACACTCCATCTACATCTCATAAATATTCATGTACTTCGTCTATTATACTTTATTTTATGCTAATTGACTTCAGTTCTTCTGAAGCACTACGGGAACTCGAATGACTCCCTTTTCTCCGTTGGTAAATTTAACAATCAATTTTAAATAGTAAAGCCTTGCAATATTGCATGACTGGAAATCAGGCACTAATGTAAACTCACTTTGAGTTCCAGCTCCCGTAGCAGCAGTGGTCCCTTCAAGATTATGCATGTCAATTACCAAGTGGAGTTTCTTGGTATATTTATATTGTCGTTCCTTATTGTTGGTACTTTCAGCAAGTAATTCCGGTTTCCATGGGATTCCGGAAATGGAACCTTCCTTTCCGTCTAATGTTTCAACCTTAAGTTTATTCACTTTCAAATAATCATATTTGGTTACCATACTAGCAATGGAGAGCACGTCATCCGACATTTCTTTGTCAAGATCCATTGCCTCTCCCCCTAATTCCTTAAGTAACTTGTTTAAGTCGTTGGCATATTTCTGGAATGGTCTAATTGTCAAGTGATTGAAATCTTCACCGGTTTTATTGTTGAATACCAAATCTGGATAAATGACAACAGGGATCGGACTTTTAGATTTAACCGTCAACGAAACAAGTTCTGCAGAAATCTTTTTGATTTCAGGCAATGGAGTAGTGCTGGGAGTTTCGGTGAAAATAAACGTGAGATCCATTGGTATAGTAATCGTCGGATCTACCAAATTATTAGACAGACTTGCAAATTTCTGAAGTGGAAGGTAAGGAGCATTATAGAACCTTCTGGGGATTGAAATGGCTGTTAAGCCCATGATTTTAGAACTGAACATAGTCTTCTTTCTATAAGGAACGAAAACTTCATATAAGGTGTCCCTTGATGGTTGTGAGGACGATGATGTAGATGATGCTGAGGGACGTACTTTGCTCATATATGACTGTTGCATTTTATTCAACTCCACGGCACTGGCAGTTGGTCTCAAAGATGTTGGTCCAATTGACGAAGATCTCACCTGAGAATCATCTCGGGTTCTACTGGTATCTCTTGACAGGGATGCAGATGTAGATCTAATAGAAGATCTGCCTCGTGAAGTACCTCTTGACTCTCGAGTCATTCCTCTAGGCTCTCGAGTCATTCCTCTGGATTCTCGAGTGGATGATAGTAGATCATAACCCTGGTTGATCTTGTCTTTGACATTACGTACCAAATTATCAAAAATAAGCTTGGCTTCCTCATCAATCATGAATCTGTTGAGCTCAAAGATCTCATTGGTGATTGGAAGTACTCGAAAGTAACAGTAATCTTCATTGGCAACCACATATTCATCTGCATTGGGAGTTAAATGAGGTAAAGCATGACTCACCAATAAATGCTCATAGTCTGATGCCTTCCCAATGATTCGAGCACTAATACTATAACTAATGGAAGCATCAGGAAAGGCAAAGTCAAGAGCACCAGAAGCGTATTTCAGTCTTCTTTTAGAAACATTGTAGATGTCTGTAAAGGCAGATTTATCACCACTACCGCCACCTCCAACTGAATTCATTGAAGTAAATGTAAAACTGCTTACCAGCAGATTACTTGTCACTGGACTTAGCCCGTTAGAAGGTGATACTATTTCATTACTAGTCTTCCACTTATGTCTCAAAGAGTTGACAATTTCATTTCTAGAAACCCCCAATGTAGGAGGAATTTGAAGATGCTTCACAAGGCCATGGGTTTCACAAGTGACTTCCAAAAGCTTCTCTGGAAGTTTAAAGCTGAAAAACTTTTTATAGGTGATGTTAGGTTTAAATACTCTTCGTTCATTCAAATAAGTATAAGTTCCATCCACTGGATCAACTTGAACAGTGGCCACATAAGGGTTGACCTTTTCTGATTGAAACCTCACCAAATTAGCATCTGTCCAAGATGCATTGAAATCAAACATGGTTAGGAACTTAACTACTTTGGCAACTGGCTGAGCCAATATACTATTGCTTTCTTGATCAATAGTCATACACCCTTCTAAAACCACAGGGAACGCATCAAAGGGAACATCTTCAGAAGTAGTATTGGTAACAAGCACGTATCCAAAGACATTATCGTTCTGTTTTAATTCCAACTGTTGAGGATCAATAATCGTTGGCACCACCCCAACTTTCCCAACCTTTTCTGTAAGGACGATTTGAATCTTGAGTGATTTTGACAACTCTTTGTTGATAGAAGTCAATCTTTTTAACTTGTGAGCATTGGCAAGAATCGAGTCTTCCCACCTGGATGCTGTACTTTCATCGGCTGTATCGGCAGCAGATGCTTCTAAATACAGCAAGGGGGGCATGCCAAAAGGGTCCACTGGGGCTGTTGGTGTTGCAGAAGCAGAAGCAGTTGCTGAGGCTGAAGATGATGACGCAGGGTATAACTCACCTGTTGCTTGCGAGTTGATGGGAGACAACGACAACTCGTTCTCTTGCAGGTCAATGCTGCGGCTGTAATGATTGGCATTAGGCTTAGGAAGAAAGTCATATCCTGGAGGATCGGTTCTTAAATCTTCAGTTGTTGGTGTTAAGTTCTTGGAAATGGTACTTTGGTACATTTGATAGGATGGAAGAATATTTGCAAGTTCATCAAGCTCTTCAGCTGCCGTTGGACGAGTTGTTGTTGTTGGTGGTGTTGGTGTTGGTGATTCTAAATCATCATTTGACGATTTGGCTGAGAACAGTTCACTTTGAATTGGGATTCTACTTGAGCTTCGTCTTCCTGAAGAAGTAGGAGGTCTAAGTAGTTGCTGGAGTTTCCACCCCAAGTCCCGAGCATCATCTTCCCGCATTGAAAAGTATATAGGTTAGACGTATAGAGGAGAAGTGGTGGTGTATCATTTGGTAAGGAGGACTATTAAGGCTTGGTGGTTGGCGGAAACCAAAGATCTCCGAAGGGAAAAGATCGGACACGGGGATCGAACTGGGGTAGAGAGGAAAAAGCCGCTGTGTTTCAGTGAATTCAGGATTGATAGGGGTTGAACAATTCTAAGCCTCATTCATTCTTCCTGCTAATAAAAGGGTACGTGTAAGATAAAGTTAATAAGGATGAAAAGATACGAATAATATATGGGGTGATAAATAAATATGAATTGATTTAAATTGCCGCAGTTATAGGGTCGGACCCAAACCCATTTCTTAATGGGTGAATGATTCGTACACTTTATGATTTGACAGCTTACGTTGAACATATTTTGCATCCAAATAAGCCCCTTTCAAATTGCCGTGTCATTACATTAGTTAAAGCCGAACTGGTGTCAAGTCATGTGGCAGTGCGTGTCGTATGTGTTGTCGTATGTATTGTCGTATGAATTGTCGTACGTATTGTCGTATGTGCTGTCGTATGTATTGTCGTATGTATGTAACAGTGACTATGCACTTTGACTGCAGCACATATGCAGTGTTTGTGATTTCTAGTTCTCAATTGACACAGGAACATGAACCACAAGAGAATCGGAATTAGAAAGCTTCAACTTCACTCGCAAATAATAAAGTCGAGCACAATGACACGTTTGGAACGTTGGAACCAAAGTGAAGTTCTCAAAACTGGAATTTGGCACTGGAGTCGATGATTTCACTTGGGAGTTCTGGATATCCAAATCTAATTCAAACTTCTTGCTGTGCAAAGAGTATTCAGGGTTCACTGTGTCTTCAACATGTTCCCAGGGAATGGCAGTCATGGTTGAATGGTGGCCCTCGGACTTGTTGGAAGTGGACGTAACCGTTATGCTATTGATGGCAAGATTAATGTACTTGGTAACAAGTGTAGCCATACACCGTAGATTTCTATAAAGCTGGACCTCCAAATGGAAAGATTCTCCAAGTTTCTTAATGAGGTCATTAACCTCTCTGAAATATTGTTTCATGGGTTCCACCACTATGGAACTGAAGTTAGCGGGGTCTTTCCGTCTCAGATGATGCATGATCTCTTGCTCTTTGAAAAGCATATCATATGTAAGCTCAACAGGGATGGAATATTTCTCCAGACGAGCACTGAAAACCACCAACTCACAACTGATCCCCTTTATCTCCGGGAAATCCTTTGGCTTGATCCCACTGGCTGCTTCGGAGACAAAGGTAAGCTCAAACGGTACCGTCAACCGAGTTTGTCTTGATCTCCCATTGGAGAATTTGGCCGGGGGAGTATACAAGATCAGATGAATCTTCTTGGGGGTTGATAAGGTGACAACACCTAACGTCTTGGACCATCCAGTAAGAGATTTCTTCCGATATCCCAATAAACACGAATACATATCATTGGCATCTTCCATCTTCTTATTCCGTTGGTAACTGGTCCGTATGCTTGTATCGGCCACATCATACAACTGTCGTATCTTCTCACCATTATCTCTTGAGCTGATGGGGGTCAAATTGGATGATTCCACAGGTCTTAAAGATGGTGGCATACTCATGAGATCGTGACCAAATTCTATCTTCTCTTTGATTTGATTAACAAATGCACGGTAAAATACATCTGCTTCCAGTTCCGATCGATACTTGTTCTCTAACGTTTCAGGATTCAGTTTGGGTATCACTCGTATGGGTTGTAAATAGTCTTTAAGCACAATGTATCTATCCAGTCCCTCTGGAGTTTCAAACCGATACTCCGAAGCTCTTCCAATGATCCGAGCTGCAATGCTATAAGTTATCAGAGCATCAAGAAAGGCAAAGTCTCTAACCTGTTGCTCTCTTGTGGCCAACAACTCAGAGGGGGTCATTGTATGTTTAGGGACACCAAAAGTAGGATATATTTCTGTATGACTAGGGAAATTATTGGGTTCACAAATATCATCAAGTAATTTATTTGGGAGTCTAAATGTAAAGAACCGTTTATAAGTAGTATTAGGTTGTAGCATCCGTTGGACATCAATGGCAAGTAATGACCCATCATAAGGATCTGTTTCACCATAACACCAATCATACATATCTCCATTATCAGTAGCTAATCGGTCAATGTTAGAATATGACCACGAAGCATAAAGATCCACCATGGTTAAAAACCGATAATATACTGTTTGCTTTTGAGGATTAATAAACCCATTCTTGTTGGATAACGTCACGGCAGACCCCTCAAACAGTACATAAACCATATCAAAAGATATTGGCTTGTTGGTAGTGTTTCTCATGGTTACATATCCATGAATATAATCACCTTGTTTGAACTCTATCTCCGAAGCATCATAGAGTTCGGGCTTCTTACCCTTTTCACAAACATCTTTAGTAACTTTAATGTCTATTTCAACATGTTGACTGATTTCATTGTCACTTCTAGTAAGATTAACTAGTTTTTGAACATTAGCCAATAATGTTTCTTCATAGATGGTAGTAGTATTATTATCATTTGTTTCATTGTCAACATCTCCATCCATTCCTTGAGCTTGAGATATCAAGGTAAGATTTTGACCCTCGGGAAACACTCCAAAGTCTTCTTGAGACACCATTGCACTGAGCAAGTTGGGTTGATCGTATTCATTATTGGGAGATACAGTACCACTGTTATACACACTAGTTGGGACTGACGAAATAGGTGTTAATTCATACACTGGAGGGTCCACCTTGAAATTCTCTTCATGAGGTAGCACTGGTTTAGATATGGTACTCTGATACATTTGGTATGAAGGAAGAATATTATTCAAAAGTTGCTCAGCACTTTTATGAGGATGTTGTTCTATCACTCGATTCTTAGAAGAGGATGACGAAGGTTCTGGATCAGAATCGTTATTCTTTTCTTCATAGTTAAGTAGCTGCAACTTCTCGAGATCGTTCGTTACTTTTCGCAATAGACCATCGTCACCCATTTTGATGTGCCTTCGCGTGGAAGCTCTTTTGCCTGTTCCCAACTTCCAATAGACGCTAATCCTATTTTCAAGCTATTGATAACTGAAATAGGCAGAGAATGTCGGTTAATGGCTTGCAGCCTTTACCGATGAGCCTGGGGTAGAAGCATAACTGTGTTTGAGCCAAAGTGCACGACCGTGGTCGTGTATAATTATTATGGTGTATTGTTACTTGTTGTGCGGATTCATGATGTATGTTGATGTACCGTAGGACAGTAGAAAAAGGTTAAAGGCAGTATATGGGACAAAAAAATGAATACAGTAGCTTAGATTGCTGCATAAAACTTTCGCTATCCTTCGTTTAGACCACTTATGCTGATCACCTCGTAGTGTAAAGTTTAAGTACATACAAAGTTCAAAAAGCTAACTTGAATTGGAGGGACTACCTTAAATTCTAGTACGAGGGTTAGGTTCTCTAAGTGTGAAGGATCTAGACGCAGTTGGAGTCACAAGATTACTGCTATGTTTCTACAGACCAACTTATGTAACCAGTGGAATCCATTTTGTAGATGGACATGGCTTCAGTCATTGCGTACACAAGTATTGTATTGTTCGGTTAAGTGACTGCAAGCTGAAGGAATAGCCTTATAAATCTCAAGTAGCAGAAGACTCCATAACTTTGCCATTACTAATTGCTTAACACGAGGCACACCTTAACTCCGCCTCACGATGATTGAGTTTCAGCGGAAGGAACACCTGCTAAATACATGGAGCATTGTAACTTAGAAGAAGGACTCTAAAGAGACACTACCCTGTCACAACAGTAGTGAAGTTAGGTGTATTACGTTGTATTTACAAAGTGATGACGTGTGTGGGGTACACTTGAAAGATGTCATAAGAAAAAAGAAGTCGTGATACCTAATAATACCAAATAAATATAACATTGTAATAACGATTCATATTCTTTCACTAATAGTAAACTAGCAAATCTGTGTTCTGGCGTTATTCCACAGTTACTATACTAGTTTCAAGCATATCAGTTTTATATTTGCTATCTTCTAAATCCGTCGTGTGAGGCTTCCCTCAAACCCACCTTATCTCCGCCGGCGGTACCACAATCGAGATAACAATTGCCCATCATATTTTGACGTTTTGGAACCATAGCTTGACCATATTCCTTTAACTTTGCTACTAGTAAATCGACAGAAGACTATATAGTATTTTCGACGTCCTAGAACCCACCTGCTTCTATCAATATAAAGCACATTCTACTTTAGCTTTATCATTAAGGCCTTGTTTACGTTTTGCAGTTACCCACAATGCCCGTTCTTCAGGAGAAGGCCCGGAATTTAATAACTTGGAGAAAGAAGTTGCTCGTTTCATCCCATGATATGATATTGTTAGTAGTTGGGTTTTTGGTTGTGTATCATCTATTCAGCTACAGAGCTCTATTACATCAATCCACATCAACAACGGCCCCCAAGTGTACTCCACATACTCGACTTAACGAAGCCGTGGTGTTGGCAGACGATCCCTTGCTCGCTCGGAACAATTATCCTACAGTTAATCCAAGTTTTGAACATCAAATCAATGGGTCCCAGGCTATGGTAGCCTCAGATGTTCCTCTCTGTCTGACTTTAGGTAAGCGCATCTTAATAGATGGTGGTAATGCAGCAGATGCCGCCATAACTGTGGCTTTATGTATTGGAGTAGTCAATTCGCATTCAAGTGGTATAGGTGGAGGTGGATATATTATATCTAAATTGGGAGACAAATACGTCTCCATTAATGCTAGGGAATCTGCACCTCAAGCTGCTCATAAATCAATGTATGATTCCAATTATTTATTATCGAAAGTTGGAGGGTTGGCCGTGGCTGTTCCTGGTGAGTTAAAAGGTCTTTCCACATTGTATGAAACTCATGGGAGTAAGAATTTAAGTTGGGCTCGTTTAATCGAGCCTGTTATAGAATTATGTGAACGAGGATTTCAAGTTACTCCTGTTTTACATGATGCTTTGGTTGCCCAGCTGACTCTTATCTTTCCTAGAGCTCCACAATTGCTGTATGATTGGGATTTTATTTTCAAACATAATGGTGATTTGGTTGAAGTAGGTGATTGGGTCAGACGTCCACTTTTGGCAAATACGTTACGGTTGATTGCCAATAATGGCAGTAGTGATGTGTTTTATGATCCAGAGGGTCCTATAGCACCGCATTTAGTACGTCAAATCAAAAAATTAGGTGGGGTTATGGAGGCTGAAGATTTTGCAGCTTATAAAGTTGAAGTAGAAGAACCAATAAAGAAGGAATATCTGTTTAGAGATGGAAAGAAATATACTGTTTATTCTTCCAATGGTAACTCTGGTGGGTTAGTTCTTCATGGTGGATTAAACTTATTTGAAAAGTTATATAAAGGAGATGACCCCTTGGATTTACATTCACATAAAATAGTGGAACTGATGAAATGGATGGCCAGTATTAGATCTCATTTAGGTGATTTCCTGATGAATTCTACTGCCCGTGCAATGAAACAACAATTGATCGATAAATATACAAGCAACCAATGGGCTTATGATGTTATCGAACTGGGAGATTATAAAAACAATCAGACTTTCCCCTGGAAACATTATAAACCTGCTTATGAAGTTGTTGAAGACAAAGGTACCTCTCATTTCACAGTTGTTGATTCTAATGGTAATGCAGTTGGTATGACAACTACGGTCAACTTATATTTTGGATCTAGTGTGTATGATCCAGTTACAGGAATTATTTTGAATGATGAAATGGACGATTTTCTGGTTCCTGGCGAACCTAATGCCTTTAACTTGACTCCCTCAATTTATAATTTCATTAGTCCTGGGAAAAGGCCTTTGAGTTCCACATCACCTACTATAATTGTTGATGATGAAACAAATCACGTCAAGATGCTTATTGGAGCAGCAGGTGGATCTCGGATTACCACGGCTGTATTTCAAGCTATAGTTCGGGTATTATATGATGATAAATCATTACTACAAGCAATCAGCTACCCCAGATTTCACCATCAATTGATACCTGAATTATTTATGGTTGAAAATTTTACTGTTTGGAGAGAAGAGTTGGTGCAGACTTTAGGAACGTGTATTGGAAGTTCACAAGTTATAGATTCTTTGGGTGCAAAGGGTCATGAGTTTTATCAGAGTGGATCTGTTACAGCTATGAACGGGATTTTTTGGGAAGAGGATAAACAAGTTTACCACGGAGTCAGCGATTTCTGGCGGAAAATGGGTCGGGCGGACGGCTTTTGAATGTAGAAAGGTACAGTAGATTTTGATTATAGTAAATGTTAGACAGTTTTTAAGGATAAGAGGAAATGGGAGTGGCCGAGTCAATGAGTGCAGAGAGTTCACATTGTTGGTCAGATTCGAACAAGGGACGATACCACAGTAGTTGAACTAGTTTCTGTCCATGCCAGTATACAGTATACACTCTTGAATATACTGGGGGCTGAATCGACCCAGCTAATGCGGATCAGAAACAGAATCATTTGCATACGCAAACGTTTATATGAAAACAGTTGGTATGTGCGACTGCACACAACTAACACCGAGTGCGAACAGGCAGAGTCAAATTGGGAGCCAAATCTCTCGGGAGTGGGATCCGAGAGAGATAGCAAGACTTACAATGTGGTAGAGAGATAAGACTACTATTATGGTTGAATGGAGCTTATATCCGGAATGGCACGCCAAAAAAAATTGAAACCACTGTTAAGGACGATATCTGCTATATATATATGAAGGAATATTATGTCTACACATATGCATTAAGAAATTGTGGGGTGCAATGGTCATTACCAAGAACCATTGGAAGTGGAACGTGGGGCTAAAAATGAACTACATTCGTTCGGGGTTAGTGTGGGTCATATGGAAACTCCGAGAGGGATATCTTTTATTATGAACTCCGAAATACTGTCCCGCACGAAAGGTAGGTACAAAACAAGCTTCCGGAGAATGGACCAATCATAGCGTAGCAATGTGGACCTCTATTGTGTTTAGCAAGGACATCAGACAATGTGGCGCAAAACCAAAATCCGGGGTAAGGGGTTTGTGTATTGAGCAGTGGGGCAATAACGTGGTAGTAATTCTACTAACTGTGCTGAAGCAAACAGCAATAATTCTTGTTATTGTACGTAATGAAGCCTAAACTACCCACCAGTGTACGATATATGCAAAGGACTCGAAGCTAGCGAGATAATGGTATTAGTACTAACAGCGTTTATACTATTACGACGCTAATACTAACAATACAAATGCTGTATAAGGTTCCTACCCAGAGCGTTAGGAGTCACTCCCACATCCCACTTGGATAAGCAATTTCCGGATCAGTGGGTTTCCGACCACCTTATAGACATAGAACCTCTATAGACATTTTTTGTGGGGCAGATTTGGTATTGTACCATTCAATTCCTATTGTCCGAAAAATTACCTTTGAGCCGCAGAACCTGAAATTTACTATAGCGTTCTCAGATTTACCGTGTATCACTAATTTGCAACCCCCAACTATAAAAAGCATATTGAATCCCTTAAAGTCATCGGACGAAGTTGCAGACTAGATTTTCTAAACTTATCCTCCAACAAGTCAACTTATTTACTTATTTATTGTTTATTTATTACCTATTGAGTTGCTTATTTATTTATTTATTCATTTGTTTTCTCCTCCTTTCTTCCTTCCTTATGCCCTCCACTTACGAATTACAAAGTCAATTGAAAAAACTACCAATTCCCGATCTTCGGGAGACTTGTGAGAATTATCTTAAAGTCTTGAAACCACTTCAAACGGAAATGGAACACCTGAAGACCGTGGAAGCAGTGACGAAGTTTCTAAGTGATGGTCAAGGGTATTATCTTGATCAAGAACTTCGTAAATATGCTCAGAATAGAAACTCATACATTGAACAATTTTGGTATGACGCCTATTTAACTTATGATTCTCCTGTGGTGTTGAATTTGAACCCCTTTTTCCTTTTAGAAGATGACCCATTCCACAATGAATCCATGTCTGTGAACCCTCAAATCAAGAGAGCTTCCCTGTTGGTGATGTCTTCATTGAAGTTTATTCAAGCCTTGAAGAACGAAACTTTGGCTCCAGATATGCAACGGAATGGTACACCTTTGTGTATGTTCCAATATCAAAAGTTATTTGGTGCTTCAAGAATTCCAACGGATGATGGTTGTATTATGCAAAGCGATCCCAATTCCAACCATATCGTTGTGTTATCAAAATCACAATTCTATTGGTTTGATGTATTGGACTCTCAAAATGAAATCATTTTGACAGAACCAGAATTAATGGTTAATTTGACGTCAATTATTCTGGATTCTCTCAAGACTCCTCATCATCAAGTGGCTAAATCTTCATTTGGGGTTTTAACCACTGAAAACAGACGGATTTGGTCCAAAATAAGAAACTCTTCGACTATTCAGAATAATGCAAATAATAGCGAAGTATTGCTGCTTATAGATTCTTCGTTGTTTGTGCTTTGTTTGGACGATATTAAGTTAACAAACTTATCTGATTTGGCCAAAAATATGCTTTGTGGATTATCCATATTGGATAAAGGTATTCAAGTTGGTACTTGTACAAACAGATGGTATGATAAATTACAAATCATTGTGACCCAAAATGGTAAGGCTGGGATTAATTTTGAACATACAGGTGTTGATGGTCATACTGTGCTTAGATTTGTTTCTGACATTTATACGGATTCTATTTTATCATTTGCCCAACTGATTAATTCAAATGCTCCATCATTATGGAAGAAGGCAAATGAAGGAAGTAACAATGGCAGCAGATCTGGTTCAAACTCTTCTTATATTGATGAGAACTTGGTTACGATTCCAAGAAAGTTGGAATGGGATTTGACTCCAGATTTATCACTTGCTTTACGTTTTGGTGAAACCAGATTGTCTGATTTAATTAACCAGAATGAATTTAGACATTTGGAATTCAAAAACTATGGTTCTTCAACCATAAAAAAGATGAAATTCTCCCCAGATGCCTTCGTTCAAATGGCATTCCAAGCAAGTTATTATGCGTTGTATGGTAAGGTTGAATGTACTTATGAACCAGCTATGACCAAACAATTCTTCCATGGTCGTACTGAGGCCATTAGAACAGTTTCACAAGACTCCAACTTGTTCGTTAGAAAGTTCTTTGATGCTAGTGTTCCTAATAAGGACAAGTTGGCATATTTGGACAATGCTTGTAAGGCACACACTGAACAAACTAAACGAAGTTTACAAGGTAAGGGTGTTGATCGTCATTTGTATGCCTTGTTTTGTATTTGGAAACGTTATGTTGATCAAACTTTAGAGGGAGAAGATCATGTTGCCCCACAACCTCATCCTACCCATAAACTTGACAGTAAGGATGGAAGTGACGATGATGAGCATGAAGAAGAAGAAGAACATGTTGTGCAATCATTCCACGGGTTGGACTTGCACACTGGACCTAACGGTGCTTCCCAGAAGAAGACGACTGAAGAAGATTCAAAGACTAGTTCAAGTGAAGTTACTATTGGTAATGATGCTACTACTACCAAGACTCAAGATGATAACAGTAACCAATCGTTCATCACTTTACCTGAAATCTTTGCTGACGGTGGTTGGGATAAGTTGAACACTACCATTATCTCCACTTCCAATTGCGGTAACCCATCACTTCGTCTATTCGGGTTTGGACCAGTTTCTGCTAATGGGTTTGGGATTGGTTATATCATTAAAGATGATCTGATTCTGATTTGTGTATCTTCTAAGCACAGACAAACCCAAAGATTCCTCACTACATTGGAGTCTTATATGAATGAGATTTACCGGATTTGGAAGGATGTTAATGCTTCACCAAAAACTCAATCAACTACTGTTGCTCCTATTGATATTCAAACGTCCATTGCGCAGCCAATTCCAAAGAGTGATTTGTCCACTTTACTCGGTGGATACGGGTACTTTGATATGGGAGAAAACGATATCAAATCCAGAGGTCCATCACCAGAACCTCCGTTCTTACATAAAAGTCAATCTGGGTTCAGTCTCAGGGAAATCGGTAAGAAGTTACGGTTATCAGAATATTGAATTATTATTTATTATTATTTATTATTATTTATTATTATTTATTATTATTTATTATTATTTATTATTATTTATTATTATTTATTATTATTTATTATTATTTATTATTATTTATTATTATTTATTATTATTTATTATTATTTATTATTATTTATTATTATTTATTATTATTTATTATACAAGTACTATGGTTCTACTGTGACATTCTTGCTTTTAGCGGAGTAACTGGTCATCTATTCATATACATGGCTAAATACCAAAGTCCTTCTGGAACGCATTCCGTAATCCAGCCCGGTTAATGGGATTGTTCTTATTGTGTCTACCAGCATTAGGGATACCACTCATAGATACGTCGCTTGCACGTGCCTTTTCTGGTTTCTCTTCTTTTGCAGCCATAGGTGCCACAGGTGCTTGAGAAGGGTACCCATAGGGTGGATACCCGTACGGATATGGATACGGATATTGTTGAGGTATAGGTGGGTATCCATAGGGTTGTCCTGGTTGGGGTGGGGGGTATCCTGCTGGAGGAGGTGGGTATCCTGCTGGAGGAGGTGGATAGTAGTAGTAAGGAGGATATCCAGGGGCAGGGGCACCAGGAGCAGGAGCAGCACCGTTTGATGGTGGCATGTGGCCTGAGGGTTGTTGATGTTGTTGATGTTGTTGATGTTGGTATGGGTTCTGGGGGATAGTTGGTGTGGAACGTTTTGACGATGGTCCAGAAGTATCAGATGCTTGGGATATACGTTGATGAGATCCACGAGCACTGGATCCAGCAGATGGTACAGGTTGGCCAGATTTCCGATGTAAGGGGTTCGATCCTGGCTGCTGATGTTGTTGATGTTGAGTTTGGGGGTATTGTTGTTGAGGTGGGTACCCAGTATATGGAGGATGTTGTGGATATCCATAGTTGGCAGGTGGTGGTGGGTATCCGGGATATCCTGGAGCTTGGGCCGGTGCAGACGGGACACCTGTTTGGCCAGGGTACATTGGGCTCGGATTTGGGTTTGCATGACGAGATGTGGAGATATCGGATGGTCTTGTAGGTGATGTATTTGTAGAGTCAGTTGGTGTTACAACTGGTTGTTGTTCTGTTTGTTTATGGCGTTGCTGTTTTTGATGTGATGCGTGATGTGATGGTGGAATTTGGTATCCTCCGTTAATATTAGCATATTGTGGAGAGTATTGCTTTGAATGATAAGCATTAGCCTTGGAGTCCGGGATCTCCGTGGGGCTCTTTTGAGCACTAGCAGGAATGGTGGACAGGCTAGACGGTGAAGCGTTACGAAGGGACAAATTATTGCTACTTCTTGAATCTGAGACGGAATCTCTTGGGGTAGATGGTAACTCACGATCACGAGAATATTGTGGTGGGATACCATTTCTTCCATCATTGATATTTGTCGTCTCTGGAGCTGATGGAAGCTTTTCAACACTGCTGTTACCGGTACCTATGTTACTGTGTTGACCCGAATGAGGGGGCATCATCACGGGCGAATTAGTATCACTTGGAACATGCAGTTGGAAGTCATCAGTAGTAAACCGTTTCATCTCCTGGAGGGTTGGGGAAGTTGAGTCAGGGAGTAATGAGGAAGAAGTACAGCCCTTTCCTGGCTTCTTTTCGACACTAATTACTGGACTAGATGGGAAGAATGAAGCATGTGGGGCCACGGGAGGACTCATATGACTTGCGCTTCCTTCGAAAGATATTGTAAGTGGTGGTGGAGGTCCTGGAGGAAGATTTGACATATCAAAGCCATGCTGAAAGCTAGAGCTCTTTGTTTTCTTTTTAGAGGAGTTAACTTTATGTGATGATGATTCCATAGCCTCCTGTAATACCTTCATGCCGCTTTCGGGTGAAAACTGGTCGTCCACAGTGGGCGAAGGTATTTTTGAAGCTGGTTGCCTTTGAGGTTGGGGTTGAACTTGAGCTTTGGCATCCAATAATGTCTTATTCTCTTTATTCATTTCGGTATCGTCAATATCAGAGAGACTGCTAGTTGAATCGATCTTTTGATTAAGACCCATGACATGATAATTTTCAGTTGGTCGTTCTCCATCTGGGGGTAACTTTCTGGCCACAAGTTTGTTGTACGGTACTTCATGTGAATCAAAAGGTTCCTGATAGTCTCGCACATTAGAAGACTGGGTCTTGGGGGGATCCAACAAGCTAGAGTATTGATATGGGCGAGCTTGATATCTATCTTTGGAAGGCGGGCTAGCTCCATTTGCTGTATGCCGTTCACCGGCTTTGTTATTATGCTCCATTTCACTTGATGATGGTAATGGTCCAATTATAGATAATGGGGGAGGTTTTCTTCTACCATGGCGTATGGCATTGGGTGACGTGCTTTTGGATTTGCTATAGGCTGAATCGGAAGTATCATCACTGAGATTCTCCAAATAGGCATTGTAATCTTTCAATTCAGATTGTGGTTTTGCTTGTGGTGAAGGTGTGCTATCAGAAACAACGGAATCAACATCCAGAGAGCTTTCAAAGCTTAAGTCTAATTTTGCATCTCCATCATTAAAATTGTATTGTGGTAAGAAGCCTGAGTCTTCAGGTAATGGAGGCATGCTTTTTTTCTTATATGATTTATCAGGTTGTGTTTTTGTTGCTGATGCTGAGGAGATCTTGATCCTTCTCCTTTCTTTTGATTTCTTTCCATCTTTTGTAATAGGAAGTGGAGGTCCAATTATTTCCAGAGTTGGAGAACCCACTTTCTTGAACAATGAAAGGTATTCTTCAGTTGTCATTCGGGATTCAGTTACAATTAACCATTTTTGGAACCCTCGCAAGCCTGCTTCAACTACCAATGATCTCCCAAAGAGTTTCTTCATGGGATCGCTTTGATCCGAGGATAATGTTGATAACCAGGCCCATATGTAATAGTCTTGAAGGGTTACATTTTCTATTGTGATAGTTGAATAGTTTGGAATATCAGGATCAGGCTTGGAAAAGTGTCGAGACCAACCAGGAACCAATTCGAATTGTGAATCAACCGGTTCTTGAGTAATTCTGTTGAGGATTCTTCGTGATTCTTCTGTCAAGGAGTTGACTATTTCTTCTGTTGATTCTTTCTGGAAAATATTCTTTAATATGGTGAAGTTCTCTATGGAAAGGAACTTATCTTTCTTTTCGAATGAGAGCGTTCGATTTACCTTGGATATCAACTCGTATGGGGTTTTAGAAACACGTGTGGAATGAACGCAGATACAAGGAATCGTTATCGAAGCCTTTAACGAGTCTGTGTTCAGTGTGGGTGGATATGAACAAGTTATGAGAAGAGATTGTAATGTTTTCGGAAGTCTAAGTGCTTCCTTCTCGGTATCCGGAAGCATGGCTCGAAGGAAAGATAATATGAGATGGAACAATGCATCCAGATAACCTTTCCATGCGTCTAAACCTTGTAAGAAGTTATTCTCGTTGATATGAGTTGCATCATAGAAGGCACCGTTCTTGTGATCCTTGACATTCAGATGGTTAAAAGCCCACAAACTGGACATTTTTGCAATTTTACGTCCACTCAAATAATTATACTGGGAATTGGAGGCGATACTGATTATCAAATCAAGGAAATCATAAACTATGGAAGCATGGGCCGGAGACAGTAAGCATTTAGGCATGATGGTAAGGAATGCTGATTTCGGATAGCCAGCTTCCTTTTCTCTCCGTTTAAATTCTAGATAGACATTCCACCCCATGATTTCATTATTGGGTAGCCTACTCCAAAAGTATTTGAGTGCTGCTATTAATGTGAACTCATCAGTCTCGGATATTTGACGTTTAAGTTGATCTTCGTGAGCTGCGGCATAGATTAACTCGCCACGAGGAAAGAGAAATTGAAGGAATTTGTTTAACTTTTCATCGCTTACACGAGACCGGAACGGAAGAAAGATGTGTGGAGTTTTTGTTCCTCTCAGTTTTAACTCGCCCGTTATCAAATGGAGGATAGTCCGGAGTTTCTTGCGGCTGAACTGGTCGTTAGAAATGGTTTTCCCATGGGACCTCTGGGGTAATAAAGGTAGTTCAACGGGAGGCATTATAAAGACATGAGAATAATTCTAAAGTCAAACGTGGAAATAAAAGCTAACAGTGGCAGTGATTTGAGAATAATAACGATAACAATATAATAGTGGGAAAAGGGAGATAGTTAATCCTAAATGATGTTCTAGAGCCTGTGGAAAAGAAGTCAAGTCGTTTGTAAAGAAAGATCAACACGAAAAACCTAAACCATGAGTTTGTACCGATCGGTGTTAATGGAATGGTAATTAGGTTACAATACTAAAGGTTTTACCCGTAAGTCGATGGGGTGTGCACAGGAATATACGGAACCATACACGAAACGGCCAATGTTTGTTTATGTTTGTTTCATCGCTTCCTCCACAGGAACGAAACTGGCACAGAAGCATCCTAAAACAAAAATTACACTGTACAAGGAATGCAGAATACGTGGCGAGGTACTTGAGTATCTGAGACTATACAATCTATTACCCCCAGATTTGCAACCCTATCGATTGAGGCGAGAAAATTTAGCCCCTATTAAGAGTTAGCAGTATGTACGTACTTGTTTGTTAACAGGTACGTAATTCTATTGTATTTCTGCAGATGGTAAAGTTATTAAGTGAAGTTTCTAGTTACCCTTCTGTCTGGATTGCATTATTATAGACAGCCTTATCAGAGACTTCTTCTTTGTGAATACTTTTTTGGTGTTTTAAGAGACATAACGGGGATCTTTGGCTCTACTTCTTTCACGTCATGCACCCCTGAAAGGTGCAGCGTGTTTGAAAATACTTTTAGTGATCGCCACATGATAAGACGAACTTTTTGCATATTCTGGGCATGTTATTGCGAAAGTTCCACGTATCGAAATTACAAGTTTCATAATGGAAGATGACGCAGTTTTACCTGATAATACACAAACTGCTAAGTCTATTGGGATGATGGTACATAAAATACAAAATGGCAAAAAGCAAGCAAAAGGAAAATGATTGGATTATTACTATTATAATTATTGGCATAGTGGATTTGTGCAATTACTCCTTTGACCTTTACTTTCTTTAGTTTACTGTATCGTGGTTGGTTCGGTAGCATATTGCTCGTTAGCCTTGTTCGCCCCAACACGGTTTTGGTCATTGACTTCGATCTTGACATCTGGAGGAGGTGGCATTCCCACAGAGGGAGCATATGCTGTAGATAAAGCCTTCATATCTGGTGCTGTTTCTGATCCATTGACCATAACTGGAACGCTGAGGGGCATCATAGCAGAGCTATTTAAGGTGGTAGGGACCGTACTGGGAATAGCACTTGGATCTGTATGGGTACGAGAGCTGATTTGAATGGCATCATTGAGTTGTTGGAAGAAATTATTCAATTGTTGAAATCCTCCAACTCTTTGTACTAACATGGGACAATCCTTATGGCCCACAAGTAAGTTCTTAGCCACCACCAAATTGTCTCGAAGTTGACCAATTTGTACAGACAACTCTCGATATCCGGAGGAATAAAACATCAATTCCTCCTCCATTTTTTGAATCAATTGTTTCTTTCGTTGACGACATTTAGAAGCAGCCACTCTATTTCGTTCCAAAAAGTTCTTACGCTTCTCTTCCTCTGTGACACCTGTTTTCTTACGCGTACTCTTTCCGGATTTGGCTTGGCCACTATCATCATCATCCTTGTCATCGTCATCATCATCTTCATCTCCAACCTCATTCTTCTGGTCACTTCCACTTTCTTCCTTCTCGGATTTCTCGGCCATAGCAGGTTCTGTTTTAGCCTTCTTGGAGTCTCTTTTGGAAGTGCCGGCTTTTCTTTTACTTCTAGAGGCTTTAGTCAGGCCCTGTTCTGAAACGAATGAGAGCTCTTCATCAACAAGACTATTATTATTGTTATTATTGGTATTGTGATTGTTGTTGTTGTCTTGTGATGGCTGCTGGGCTGGTTGGACTGTTGTAAATTGTCTGGCTGAACCTCCATGTAGTGAAGGTAATGGATTGTCGTTATTGTTAGTGGTGCTGATATTATTGACCTGTGACACACTATTATTATTGTTGTTGGTATTGTTGTTGGAATTGTTGTTGTTGTTGTTGTTATTGTTATTGTTATTGTTATTGTTGATGCTATTACTGTTATTGGTGGAGGTCACGTTACTTGAACCCGCCTGGGGTGGTGTAGGACCTGCTGTAGTACCAATTGTGTTTATCATACTTTGACTGTTACCCACGTTCCAGAGTGACGACAAGCCTGGGGTGATAGGACCGGTGATCATGGCACCCGGAGTTGATAAACCGGGGAATTGTGCTATAAAGGGGAACCCTGTGGCCGAGGGAGTTAACCCTGATCGTAGATTGGATTCATTAGGGGTCAAGCCTGTTTTCTTTAACGAGTTCAAAAACAGGTTATAAGTATTATTTGAACCAAACGATCCATTAAGAACCGTGGCTTGATTATTTTGATCAACAACTCCTCCATTGGCACCGCCTCCTCCTCCACCACCTACCGAATGAGACGTGGCATTGCCATTGGCATCAATGTTGTTGGTGGTAGCCGATAATAAACTGTTCCAGAGTCCAGGGGTTTCTGCTGTTTGTAAAGATGGCAGCGTAAGGCCCAAGGGAGGCAATCTTCTACCACCAGGAGTATATAAGGGAGGGGTTATACCCGTTGGTTTCCCGCCACCACCATTGGTATGGTTATTATTGACCAGAGAGATATTGGGAATATGGAGGTTGTGTTTGTTTGATCTCGAGGGACCCTTGATCCCGTTCCCTTGAGATGGTGCAAACGACTTCTCAAAGGGATTGGGTTCCAAGTCGAATGACGTTTTCAGCTACAACTGTTAGTGTCAAATAAGATTAACTGTATTATGATGCTCATGAAGCATGAAGCGTGTTCATGTTTTCTCCGCATTAAAAAAAAGTACATACATCACTTGACATGTTGGCTAAGGAATTGGAATCCGGCTAAAGTAAAAGACAGACGTAATGTTTATGCTCAAGTTTGGGGAAGAAGGTTTGGCTTTGGTTCATGTTGAAATTGATGATGTCAGAGTCGAAAATTTTTCTTTGTGGCATGTGCTTATCGTTTTGTGGTTACGTCATTCCACCTCGGAATTCATATACGGGGTATTGTCGGGGTGTTGTCGGGATGAACTACATGCCATCTCTTTTATACGATATACTCTTTGCCTATACGTATTACTAATCCTTTAAAATCTTGGGATATTGTTTGGCCAATTTTTCAACTTGCTTCTCAAGAGGTTCATTAACCTTTTGGGCTTCAGGCGGATGTTTCTTATCGACTTTAACTTCTGGTTTCTTTGTATCACTACCGTTTGATTCCTTTTCGTGCTTCTTTCTGGTCCATCCGGTCTTTAACGTATCCGTTAAATCAAACTTGGGGAACGCATGTGCTTCGGTGTTAAACACATATTTGTCCAATGGTAACTTATTGGTATCATCAAATAAAAGGTATAAATATTTCAAGGTCTCAGCAAACCAAAAGGATTCTGTGCTATCTTTCAACCCATTCTTACTTGTAACATCCAGTAAACAAGTGTAAGTGGCATCACCATTCTTATTTACATATCTGGTGTATTTCACAAAATTCCGAAAGATCTCATATCCCATCTTTCTATATTTAACATCCCCTGTTAATCTGTACAAGATAAATAAAGACTCCACGGTTTCTGGTCGTTGTAAATTATGTTTGTCGAGGGTTTTGATGTAAAAGTCATCTTTCGATTGTCCGTCAGTGTTGAAAACAACTATTTCTGGAGATAACCCGGTGGGTACAACATCATGGTACATTTTATAACAAGTATAAGTCAACTCTTGTCCTAAATTGAAGTCGTCTTCCAATTCTTCATTCCAAAAATCGCTCTTGCGTGCTTCCTCTAATGGCATCCCATTGGTGGCTCCAAGTGCAAGTAACCCCCCATAGAAACACACCAAATGATCCATTTTATTTGAAAACTGTCCATTTAATCCATTAGGTAGTTCCCCAATGAAGGTTAGCCCATTAGGAGTTGATTTCTTCACCAATCTCTTCTTCACTCCAGCCACAGATTCTCGATACATTTCCCAGTATGCCTTCTCTTGATTATTTGTTTGTAAATATTGCTTCAACAAATACTCATAGTAAGAATCCCCTCTGGAACCTAATCTGATATAATTTCCTTGGAACTTACCGTTATCTGGACGAACGTACACTGGAACCAACCCATCCACGGGGTTTTGAGCATCAAGAACAGCCATGGCTTTCTCCACGTGTTCCCAAAAGGTAGTTTCTCCGGTAAGTTTTGATAAATACTTGAATTCCAATTGAAGAGTAGAAACTTCGGCAGTTGAAGAAGCTCCATTATCCACATGATTCCTAAGACCTTCACCAGTTAGCAAATTCACTGAACTGTAAGCAAGTCCTGTAGGAGAATGGAAACCACCTAAAAGTCCATTACCCAATTGAACGGCTTTATCTAAATATAAATCATCATTGCTTAAACTAAATGCCGCCAAAAGTCCTCCCAACATTCTAATGGTAGTCTCAAACACATTGACTTCAATGTGAAACTTGTAATCCAATTCATCTTTAATCCAGGTCCTGGCCCTGGCCACTTCTTCTTTGGCATCCATAAGCATCAACGTATCGATAGAATCAACTATAATCCACCCCATAGGTTTCTTGCCCATGGTACGGCCCTTTTCTCCGATAGGATGGAATTCATCACTACCCCAGCCATACTTCTCGTAGTAGTGCCACGACTCAAGCATCACATCTTTGACTTCTGTCTGTGCCTTGGACCAGTCCTTGCCATCAAACTCTCCAGGACCCTTGAACTTGAACTGGGTGTCATTTCTTGTCGTGTACCAATAGAAGATGACATATAAGGCAATGGAACATACAAACCCTTTAAAGAGCATCTTGAGTAGTGTTGATCTGTGTGTATTGATATTACTCCGATGAGGACCGTTAGGCTTATCTTTGTATAGCGGCAACAGGCTGGAACCGGAATCTGTTTTCTTTGCTATCCATTTACGAACAGCTCCTACTTCAGAGGAACTCATAGTTTTATATGGTGATGGGAAAGAGATGGCTTTGGAACACCTGTTACGCAGGGACAGGTGTGCAATAAAGTCAATTATAATAAAGTTGGTAGCGCGGATTTGTTACGTGTAAATTTATATCACGTGATTTGGGGATTGCAAGTTGATTTGCATGCTTAAAGTCTAAGGTTGTATTGTAGTAGTATTTGTAGTGGTAGTTGTAGTTATTGTTGTTTTAGTTGTTGTTGTTTCAGTTGTAGTTGTTTCAGTTGTAGTTGTAGTGTATGCTACTAAGTAGTATTAAATAAATTCTATTGTGGTCGGAATTGGTGGGTCGCATTTAAGGCGTCCCCTCGGTATTTCCAAGGAAAACAAATCCCGATTTGATGCAAGGATGACAGCAAAAATAAAGTGCAGTACTCATCGGTCCGATCCCGGTGCGAAAGGCAAACACTCTTGCTCCTGCAGCCTGTCGTGATATCTATTATGAACTGGGGTAACATTAAAGATCAAACACAGAAGGACTGACGGAATTAATCTTTGAACTAGTCTATAAAGCACACTTAAACTAATAGGTAAAATCTGTACCCCAAAGGTAATAACTGTAGTTATATATATAAGCGTTATCGCAATCATACGTTGTATGGCCCAAGATAAGCCGTTCGCGGTCCGGTTCTTAAAGGAGCCGGCATCGTCTTTGGCCGAAAATTCTATCTCCCCGTAGAAAAATTTATTGATTACAGCCGACACTCAGCCGTTGCTTTGCTTCTAGTAGTATCAGCCATACCATTCAATTATCATAAGAAAGAAGAGTCCATTTGCTTCTTTAAACATAAATTCTCCATCTATAACATTCAGACATAAATCCTCATCAATAGCTTTGGACACCTTAAAACTTGATATTTTTCCACAGTATTAGTTTGTATCTGAATAGCTTAATCTTAAACGATGCCTGTCATCACAAGCGACACTGAGACCATGTCGCCTCCGGTGGAGACCCCTCTAGCACGTGATGACGAGTCCAACATGGTTGATAGTCCTGCTAATGCCAAGTTCAAAACCCGACGTTCTGTTGCTTGCAAAAGTTGTCACAATTTAAAGGTCAAATGTACTCCAGCTGATGAGTCTAATCCTAGTGGACCATGTATTCGATGTATGAATGCTAAACGGAAATGTGAGATCGACTTACATCAACCACGGAAACGGAGAAGGAAAGCCGAGGTTTTAGCCGCTGCTGCCAATGGAGTAGGAAAGAGCCACCAAGACGGCACTGGCTATGAGAACGCACCGGCTACTGTTAGCCCTGTGAATACTATTACAACTACTACTACCGGTACTACTCTTACTACTACTAGCAATGGCAATGATAATGGCAATACGACCGGTTCCACAGGTGCTAACTCCGTTCCCGTTGTTGACGAGTACAAGTCAGATAAAGATCATATCAAGGCATTACAAGACCGAGTTCGGCTCCTAGAAGCTCAACTCAACGGTTCAACTTCTACAACGGACTCTCATCCGTTTGTGTGTAAAAAGGACATAGAAAAGGAGCTCATGGCCTTCTCGGAAATCAATTTGGAGGATATCACCAAATATTTACGGTTCTTTGCCGAACAAAGAATAGCCCAGACCCTGGACTCGGTAGTAGACGTGGTCAGTATGGGTATCATCACAATGGAGGAAGCAAAGGTTCGGTATGGAATCTATAAACAAATGTACAACAGTTATCCTATGGTTGATATCCCGGAGAATATGGATTGTGAGGATCTTAGGGCTCGATACCCTATCTTCTTTAACGCGATGATGTCTGTGTCCAATGCGCTTTATCAATCGGATTACAACGATTTAGTCCGGTCTATGCAATTGGATAATGAAGCTACCAAAACTGTGGCCCTCGAATCAATAGTGAAGGGTACCAAATCTCAGGAGCTAGTGAAATCTTTACTTCTCTTGTGTCTTTGGTATAACTCCGCAGAATTGTTCAGACAACGTCGTTACCATTTACTTAACGGAATCTGTGTAACGTTGTTCCATGATTTAGGTGCCACCGGGAAACCTCAATATTCTTTTAAGAATGATCTGGCCACAATGTCAATGTCTTTTGCGCAGGATGCAAGCATAGAATATCGAGGTCTTATCCTTATAGTTTATGTCACCACTGTTTCCATTAGTTTAATATTGAGACGAAACATCTCGGTAAAGTGGACTTCTTATGTTGAAGACTGCTGTGCACATTTGGAAGATTCCGGTAACCCGAGATACACCCGTACGGCTTTAATGGCCAGATTGTGTCGCGAATTAGATCGGATTCATCATAGCATCCATCAATGTGATTCAGCCGCGTCGTCTTCAAGTACAATCAAGTTTCTTAATACGGAGTTTGAAAATAATTTGCGCTCCATATTGCGAAGAATCGGACCAAAGGATCATATCTTATTGTCATACTACTATACCATTGAAGCCTATTTACATGAACCCAAATTGAAGGAGATCTTTAATACCACCGATATCAAAGTTGAATCCGTAAAATTCGATGAATACAAAATGAAGCAAGTTTCAAACTGTACAGTATCCTGTTTGAATGCCATTAACGAATTTATATCCCTAGGTCCGGATCAAGTGGCTTTAGCTCCATTGTTTTCTTCATGTCGAATCGTTTACACGGCAGGAATGCTTTTACGACTCCGGTTTCTAATTTTATCCGTGCCTTCATTGATTGATAAATCTTTGGTTCCAATACAAGCAATTCAATGTGTTCTGCAGTTACTTTGTCTTCTTGATGAAGCGGCCAAGTTGCATCTTAATAATCACTTTCTAAATAAAATTAGGTTGATCCTAAGATTATTCGTTCAAACTTATGTGACCCAGGTAAGAGGTTTACTCAAGAGTAATGGCGAGACTCCTCAAAACTTCAAGTCTACAATCGAAGATACAGATCACATAGCACCTCAATCAATGGAAGGCATGCCGAACACCAATGTTCCATTGGACTTGTTATCCTACGCTGCTTCCTTTAGAAGAGATGACAAGGGAGACGGTCAAAACATATCAAGACATACGCCAATGGATACACATACAACACTTTCTCATGCCCCTTCGGCTCTTCCTACATTGAATGGAGCAGAAGACCAATCTTCCATTGGGAGACCTAGAGGATTGGTCCAAGTATTGCATAAGGATATAGGCAAACTTCAGCCTACTTTGAATCAAAATCAAGGTGGACTTTTACCCCACCGAACCCTGGTTTCTCATTTACCTCCTATTCGGATTCCAACGCCTAATGGTTCTATTTGTCATCAAGGTGGTGAAGTCAATGGAGGTAGTGCAAGTGGTGGAGTTTCTGCTTCGTCAGCTTCGCAAACTCGATATTCTGATCCTTCAACCGTTGGACCATCTACAACGATGTTCTCTAGTGCATCAATGCCTGTTACGGGTGGGTTAGTTGAACCATCCGGTAAGCCAGATTCCAGTTTCTTCAACTTTGATCTCATTAATACTAATCCTCTTGATTCTACAATGTCAATTAATGAAGAATTTTGGGGCGATCTTCTCAGCAGTAATGACGCTAATACATTGAACTTCTCCCGCAGTAATAATGACTACCAAAACCAAGTGGATTTGTTCTTCCGATGATTAATTTCTAAACTATTTATTTATTTTGTATAGTTAATGTATATGTATTTTTATGCAAATGCAAGGGCAAGACACTCCATGCATATGTGTGTTAAAGTTTGCATTAATGAATCCCATCGTATACTTGTATTTACGAGATAATGGTAATATGTGCACACCTAAAATTCACATATACTGCGAAGACATTCTGAAGTCAAATAACAACACCATAATAGTTAGATAATGGGCAAAAAAGGTGGTCAAACCGTCGAGCGAACGGTGTTCTCATTAGTAGATGTTATTCGAATAATAGGAGGCTTGTTGTTTCTCAATGCGTTTGCTTCTTGGTGGTTTACATCAACGTCCACTTGGGGTTACGAGGGTAAATGGGTAGACTCGAGGTATTTGTATTTCCAATTGGCTGGATCATACACCAATTTCACAGAACATCAATTGGCCCAATTCAATGGCTCGGATCCTCAGGCACCCATATATATCGGTATCAACGGTTCAGTATATGATGTAACAGCAGGGAGGAGCATGTATGGACCCAAAGGATCGTATCGTAAATTAGCAGGCAAGGACTGTGCCCGAGTATATGTGACCGGATGTTTAATGAAAGCAGACGAATACACACATGATCTAAGAGGGTTGCAGCCACACGAAGTACAAGAGCAATTGGGGAGCTGGCAGAAATATTATGGGGAGCATCCAAAGTATTGGTATGTAGGACAAGTGGACCATGAACCACTTGAAGGTCGTCGTATCCCCGAACCTTGTGAGCATATGAGACGGCCAGGAAATATATAAATAATAATATATTTACATACGTATGTATGTATATATGTATATGTATGTGTATGCATAAATATGTATGTATATGTATATGTATATGTATGCACATCTATATATATATATATCTATGTATGTTGGGCGGCAGCTTTATCCAAGCCTAGTTGTAGCGTTTCCAACAAAACATCTTTATCCTCCAATCCCACACTTATTCTAATCAAGTTTCTATCCACCCCCCATTGGGCTATTTCGTCTAGCTCTTGATAGTGAGCCAAAATGGCATACGGACAAGCCAAGGTAAAGTTTGTGCCTAAAGAAGGTCCCTTGTGTAATTGAATGGTATTGAAGAAACATATAGCGTCATTAGGGTCGTGGAACAAGATAGAGAAGAGTCCACCGTAGCCACCGTTGGCAGTTTTGATATTATCATAGTAGGACTTTGAAGCACTCAAGGTAGGATAATAAACCTTTGAGATCAAGGGAGATTTGGTGAATAATTCAACTGTTTCCAACGTTGTTTGATCTATTTTTATTGATCTTTCTGTAAAATCTCTGGAGTTTCTCTCTAAATACAAGGCATCTTCAGCCCAAAAAATATCTTCAAACTCTGTGGTGAAGTAGTGTTTTAATTGTGTGTATTTTGAAGATTTGGGGTTTAAAATCAATGAACCAGCCATCACATTGGAGTCTCCAGAAAACACTTTAGTCAATGAAGACACAACCATATCAGCGTAGGGTAAAACATGAATGTTAAGGAAGTTACCTACTGTTTCGTCTACCACCACGACGAAATCATATTTATCTGCTAAACTTCTTATTCTCTTCAAGTTGGGAGTCTTCAATAAGGGGTTGGAGGGGCACTCACAAAATAGCCCGGCAATACTTATGGAATTAGATTGCAATTTCTCTTCTAATTCGTCCAATGATTTATCATCACCGAACCCTAAGAAAAGGACACCCGGACCCCATTTCTTCAAGATATTCAAAGTGTCAACGTAGGGGAACCCGAAACATACAGATTCCCGATTAGGAAATAACTGAAGCAACGCTTGGTGAGCAGTGAAAATGGCATTCATCCCCGAGGGAAGTAAATAAACGTCTGTTTCACTCAAACTCTTTCCTCTTTTGGACTTTTCCAATTCTTCAATCTGATTACGGGATTTGTCTGCCTTCCCACAGATTCTTCTTCTCAAAGCTCTTTTCGCTTCCAGAGCAAACTTCAAGTCCAACACTCTACCGAATTTCTGTTCTATAAAGGCAAAGTATTCGTTATCAACTTCTTCTTGGGTTGAACTGAACGATTTGCTAAGAGAAGGAGACTTCCTTTGAATCCTTTGAACTTGTAGCTCTTGCTTCAAGGTTGCCAACTTCCTGGTGGTCTTCTCCTTTTGAAACAATTCTCTTAAAAGATACTCTCCCATTCTAGAACTGATTCCTTCTCCAGAATGCTGCCAATACTGCTTTGCTATGGGCCATTCCTCTTCATGGAAGAAACACACTCCAATGTTCGACTCAATAATAAAAGATCGTTCATCTTCATTCATTGGTGGTGGAGTACTCAACTGTAAGATACGGACATTGTTACCCGATTGACTGTACCGTTTGATAAAGTCTCGACACCGCTTGGCCACCTTATAACTGGGGAAAATCATGGCCTTTTCTCCCTCTCTTCCGTATTTGGTCTCTATGTTCTTACTGAGCTCTTGAATGATCCCATGGATGAAGAACCGAGGATACCCGGATTTCATCTTGCTAACAACCCATTCCTCTCCTTCTTCGTAGCCAACGGTGGCTTCCCACGTGGGTAGCGTGACAGACACAGCGTGTGCGGTGTCGTTGGGGATGGTGGCTCCGATCTCTTGCGAGGGACTCATGGCGATAAGGTGAGAGAAGATGATTCACTTAATTATTATCAACGATCTGAAAATTTTGAGTCACATCTTCAGTGACACAAAAACGTCTTATATAATGTGCATATACATGGCTTATACATAAGCATGCTTGGTATTTGATGTATGTGCATGCGTGTTCATGTCTGTTTGATATATGGTATGTGTTGATCTGTGATGTATGGAATCTAATGGGATTCATTCGGTACAAAATAAAGAATATTTTTTTATAAGTCGGTTATTTTTCTATATGTATCAATAATCTCTAAAATAAGTATTGTTTTTCACAAAAATCTAACACCAATTTCCTATTGCTCTACATAAGTAATCAGAAATATACGGTATTGAATACTAACCTGCTAGCATATCAAAAGCTTAGACTCCAAATATTGTAGTAAATTTAATTTCAGCAAACTGCTGCAAAAAGGGCTTATACTGTCATTTGCTCACGTAAGCGATAGACACATATAACCTAGGGGGTCAAAACTTAAATTCCGTAATACTAAATGAATATACATTTGTTAATATATACATAATTAATGCTAGAAAACTGATGACTTAGGATTTGATACAAGTGGTTGAACCTTCCTTTAGACGTTTTAATTCCTCGGTTGATGATTCAATAGCACCATTGGGAGTTGCAGCAGGTGTAGCAGCACCTTTCCTATTATGTTGCATATGAGATTGGACTAAATGACCAGCAGCCAAAGCAGAACAAAGAGATAATTCAGCAGCCAAAACTGCAGAAGCAACAATACGAGCTAAAGTTCTGGCATTTTCACCGGGATTAGTGGCATGAGGACCACGAACTCCCAATAAATCCAACATAGCACCTTGAGGTTCCAAAATAGTACCACCACCAATAGTACCCACTTCAATAGAAGGCATTGAAACGGAAATTTGTAAGTTACCATGTTCATCTTTACTCATTAAGGTAATACAATTTGAGGATTCAACATTTTGAGCAGGATCTTGACCACAAGCAAGATAAACAGCAGTAACCAAATTAGCAGCATGAGCATTGAACCCACCAACAGAACCTGCCATAGCAGAACCAATTAAATTCTTATGAATGTTTAACTCAACCAATGCATCAACATCGGATTTAAGAACACGACGAACAGCATCTGCCGGGACTCTAGCTTCAGCAACAATAGACTTCCCTCTTCCTTCAATCCAATTAATGGCAGCAGGTTTTTTATCGGTACAATAGTTACCAGAAACAGAAATGGTTTCCATGTCTTCCCAACCACATTCTTCAACCATAAATTTCAATGAATGCTCAACCCCTTTAGAGATCATATTCATTCCCATGGCATCACCAGTTGTGGTTCTGAATCTAATAAAAAGTGTAGTGCCTGCTAAGGCAGTTTGGATATGTTGCAAACGAGCGAATCTGGATGTAGAGTTGAATGCCTTCTTTATAACTTTTTGACCTTCTTCAGAATCTAACCATATTTTGCAAGCACCGGCCCGTTTCAAAGTAGGAAATCTAACACAAGGACCTCTTGTCATACCATCTTTGGTAAGAACAGTTTGAACACCTCCACCAGCATTAATAGCCTTACAACCACGCATGGTGGAGGCAACCAAACACCCTTCAGTAGTAGCCATGGGGATATGATAAGGAATATCATCAATAATCAATGGACCAGCGACACCTACAGGTAAAGGTATAAACCCAATGACATTTTCACAACAAGCACCAAATACACGGTCATAATCATAGTATTCATAGGGCAATCTGTCAGTTTCCAAAATAGGAGCATTGGCAAGATTAGCAATAGCTTTACGACGAACAACAACGGCTCTAGTGGTATCACCCAATTGCTTCTCCAATGCATAAAGTGGTAGCTTACCGGCGATAACCAACAGACTAACATCACTATCATTCAATTCTTTAACACGGCCCTCTTTCAAGTATTCAGTACATTTTTCAAGAGATAAGGATTTGGGTGTAGTAGGTTGTTTGGACGAGGCATCACCATTTATTGAACCATTAGGTTGATTCTTTGCCTTCTTCTTTTTACCTGCTTTCTTTTCGTGAACTTCAAGTTTGCTAACGGTTTCATCTTTAGTAGTGCATGGAGTTGGAGTATTTGATTTGGAAATTTCTTGATTAATCAAAATACTAGCAGTATTTCTATGACTTCTTGCAGCATTTAAAAAATAGACATTGGAAGAAATGGAAATAGCGAAACCAAATAATAAACATTTGGAAATAAATGAATCTCTAACAGCAGCACTTACTTTTTGTAAAAGACCAAAAGCAATATCTTCAGCTTGAACAAAGAATCCCATAGGCATGAAAACTGTTGGAGAATAGATTAAAGCCACAGTACCCTTTTTACCAATAGAAACGTGTTTAACAGCAGTTGGAGTCAATTTAGGAGACAAGGTTACAAATAATTTGAAAGGTTCGGAGGTTGAAGTACTTGAAGTATACAACCAAGAAGAACCCAACCAAAAAATATGGAATGCAAAGAAAGCAGCAATCATACCAACTTTAAAGGAGATAATTGAAGTAGTGAAAATGGGTTTCTCATTTGGAAATTCTGCTTCAGAAGTTCCGGTGGCTATTTTTTGAGCAGCTAAATTATTAATACCATCTTCTTCTAGAGCTTCTTGTAAAGTTTCTGTACGACGAGCTCTATTGATTTCCACCTTTAGGGCCAAGATGGCTGAATAGAAAGTGTAGGTAAAGATAACATCAAAGGTAAGTAAAACAGATCCAAACACACAGAATTGTTGCAAGCCAATAAGATGAGGAGCATAGATAACACAAGCAAGCAAGGCCCCGATTACCACAAAACTATCTCTTAAGAAACTTAAAGTATGAGAAGACACAGCTTTAGCAACGATAGTAGGGACATCAACGGTTGACGACATTGAAGCGCTCATGACGACATTTGCAATAGAAACCTTATGTTTAAACCCCACGATAGCCACAAGGAATGGGATACCTTCACTTATTGATCTTATGGTGACAGGATCATTTGTAAGAAAGTTATTTGTGACGAACCAACCAATTAAAAAGGCACAAGTTGAACTACAAAGGGCTGAGAACCCTAACCAAAAGTTTGAGCCAGCTTTCTTCATATCCACAAAAACTTTAATCAAAGTATAAAGCATTGCAATGTAAGCCACAGTTATGAGCATAATATCAAAGCTTTCAGCTTCTTGAATAGCAGTCACAAGTCTTGCTATAGCCAGATTCAAATATTCATAATATTTGAACATTCTTTTATCTGATCTTGCCTTCCAATCCACTCCATCGACTTTAATAGATTCAATTGCCCGTAAGGAGTCATCAAGTTTGTCAGGAGCCACTACAAGAACACGTTCATTGGGTACGGGGCCTGGATAAGTTAAGGGAAGCTCAGGGGCCTCAGTAGCAACCAATACACTTTTAAACACCAACGGCTTCACAGCAACCATATGACATCCTTTAAAAGGTGACGAGTCAGATTCCAAATCGATGGAGCCATCAAGTTTCAGCCATTTCGAATAATCAGCAGATTTCGATGGTGGATGATAATAAGCAACATACGAAGAGCTACCACCACGTAAAGATGAAGGTAAATATTCATCAACAATCTTCAAATAAGCAATGGATGCCATCAAAGACACCATGATAATTACATGGATAGGTCTTTGGGCGGACATCCGAGCCACGGCCCGAGTCACATCTGTTACCGTACTTAACATAGAGCCAAAACGATGGTAATGATGATTATGATGATGTTGTGATTGGTGGAGTAGTTGATATGTTACACGTCTCGTCTCGGCAAACTTTTGCTTTTTCACGATTTTTTTGCAGCCCTAAGTCGTGGCAAGACAAGCGGAAGAAGACAGGGGAGACAGCAGCAGACAGGGAAGGAGACAGGCCAGATAATCAGACAGTCAGACAGAAGTCAAACAGTCAGACGTCTATGGATGTATAGACGACAACGACGACGACAAGTATATGTATGTAGATGGTGTCTGAAAAGAGAGTGGTATGGTGAGGTTGGTTCGCGAGGGGAGCGAGCAGACAATGTATGGAATGCAATATGTGCAGAGTAATAAGTTATGTATGTGATAGTACGTAATAGGAGTTACAGAGTAGGGTCATGTAGGTGGTGTACGGGTGCATGGGGGGTACTGTTTATGGGCTACCGCAGTGTATTGAACCTGTTTACCCTGTTCTATAGTGGCACAGTGTATGGTGTTATACGAGCTCGTACCCGTATGCGCATAGCCACCACTGGCCACCATAGTCATACAAATTGTTGTGTCTGACGAAGGGACTGCCATATAAGCAGATGTACTATAACCTAGCCATATGCTACGTACGACATGCACCGCGTATGACCTATACTGCTAGACTCATACTGCTAGACTCATACTGCTAGACTCATACAGCTATACCTACTAGGTACCACAGTAGTACACACTGTTAGGCTTGATTATATATAGACTTTAACTATATGTCTGTTTACTTTAATGAAACTAACTTAATGTCAAAGGTCAATTCGGAGTTAGCAGGAATTCCTGGCAAAGCTTGAGATCCGTAGCCCATCTTAGCAGGAATAACAACTCTTCTTTCACCTCCAACAGCCATACCAGTAACACCTAAATCGAAACCTTTGATACATTCACCCTTACCTAAACCAAAAGTGAATGGCTTACCAGAGGTGTTCTTGTCGAAAACAGTACCATTCTTTAATTTACCAATGTATCTGATACCAACTTTGTTTCCACTCTTAGCAGTAGTACCTTTACCAACCTTTCTGTCTTCGGTGACAACTCCTCCCAACAAGGTCTTGGTGGGGTACTTCTTTTCAGACTGAGAGTCATTCTTAGCGGCTTCTTGCTTCTTGGAGTTTTTGGCTTCTTTCTTGGCTTCTTTCTTGGAGTTCTTAGCATCCTTGACAACAGTAGATCCAGATGGTCCTTGTTCTAAGTTAGAAGAGAATTGAACAGACTTCTTTTCTTCCTTCTTGGACTTCTTCTTTGGTGCTGTCTCTTCAACTTGGTCGTTGCTTCTCTTCTTTGACGACTTCTTTTCGTCTTCTTCAACCAATTCTTCAATCTTGTTTTCAACGTCAGATTCATCATCCAATTCTTCCAAATCATACATCTCTTCCTCATCTGGAGTCAAGTTGTAGTCGTCTTCGTCTTCGTCGGAGTAGTCTTCATCGTCAGAGTCCTCATCAGCTGGGTGCTCAACGTAGTTACCAGTCAAGTGGATGGGGTAAGATCCAGTAACAACAAAGTAAACTTCTTCATCTGGAGTGATGGTCAAGTCAATGGTTTGTTGGAATTGAACCTTTGGTGATAAAGTACAAACAACAAATTCAGAAACATCGTCTTCTTCATCGTCTTCATCGTCTTCTTCATCGTCTTCATCATCGTCTTCATCATCGTCTTCATCATCTTCCTCTTGGGCTGCCTTCTTGCTGACCTTCTTACCTTTCTTGGGCTTCACTTCTTCCTCTTCTTCCTCGTCCTCTTCATCTTCGTCCAATTCGTCAGCTTCTTCGGCCATGTCGTCAAGGAAATCGTCTTCGTCGTCGTCAATGAATGCATTGTTTCTCTTCAACAATCTCAAGGTTGAAGGCTCGGCCTTGTCATCAACAGCTTCAGGATCAACAGCAGCTAAAGTAATTCTGATGGTGATGGGGAACTCATCAGCAATAGCAGGCTGAGGATTGAAGGGCTCTAAAGCCAAGTTGTAAGTGGAGATAGGCAATAATCCAGACATTTTTTGCTTTTATTGTTTACCGTACAGCTTTAAGGAGGAGAAGGAGAAGCAGTTACTGGTTAATTAATTTGCGTATAGTCATTCAAGAATTGAGAGATGAGGTGGTGTGGGTATAATTGTTACACAAAACCATTTTTCGCACAGCGGATGTTTACGTCAGCAAACGACAGATATCACTTGAAGGACTACAGGCAGGTTTTGTATGATTCTAATTTCCTTATATGTGTATTAAATATACAGAGAGATGTACATAGATGTTATCAAAGTTTATAACCATAATCTCATTTTCCCATAATTTTTCTTGTGATTTAAAGTTGAATTAAAAAATTGTAGAAAATGCAATTTCAGTTTAGAACTTCAACAAGTGAGGCTTGTCACCGTTCTTCAAGGAGAAAGAAGCAGCCAAGTATTGCTTCAACAATGGGGTCTTCTTGATTTCAGACAACAAAGCAGAGTCAACAGACTTTTGGTCAGCAATTCTTTCAGCCTTGATTTCCTTCTTTGGTTGAGATTCATTGAAAAAGTCAGCTTCAGACTTCTTACCCTTGGAGGTCTTTTCTCTGGCAAAGTATTCAACGTTAATCTTGGAAACGTCAACGGAGGAAACGTCAACCTTGGTGGAGGTGGCAATAACGTATCTAGCATTGACTCTTCTTAAAGGAACACCATTGATCTTGAATGGACCAGAAACCAACAAGGTGTTGTCTTCCAAGTTCTTCAAGTAAACAACTCTCTTACCTCTGAATCTACCAGCCAATAAGATTAAGACGGTACCAGGGACCAAAGAAGCTCTCAACTTTTGTGGACGAGCAGTCTTTCTGGATTGCTTTGCAGCTGGAACGTCTTGAGCTTGGTACCACTTTGGAGCCTACAAACTGTTAGTATTAAGATCATATAGATAAGCACATAATAAGACATGAATCGGGTACAACATAAGCTAATAGAAGGAATGTACTGGCACACTGGCGATAATGAGGTCATCAGTCACATATGATTTTTCACCTAATCAAAGGTCATTGCGTGCCTAATCTCTTCTCCTGTTCATGTCACGATTCGTAGTCACTTCAATCTCATTATTAACATACAACTTGACTCATTTTTACTTGTTCGTTATGGAGTTGGTAGTAGAAAGAATACAGAGTCTTTAGTAAAAGAAAAATTTTCTACTAAACTCAGTTGGGACTGTGGTGAAAAAAAAAACCGGCCTAGTATGCCGGTGTTGTGTATTAGGTTGAGTGAGGGATGGGGGTAGGGTTTGACTACTGCGAACGGATGACACAAAGAGCTGGTATTACTCACGACATTTCTTCTGTGCGACATTTATGTGTTTTGGTTCCTGTGGATAATCTTGGAAAATGTATTCGTTCAACACACGACCATGCATTGAATCCTGAAATTTTCCGTGACAGTCACAAGAATACAGCCACGTGACAAAATGGCAAAAAGCCCTAATACATTATTGTGGTCACAAGTATAATGATCATGTGCCATTCATTACTACTACATTGATCTACTTTGTAGCCATAAAGTATCAAATATCAATTTACAACAATCAAGCAATTTTGGTTTCATAAGACATTCTTCTATGCTCCGTATCTGACGTTCACAAGTAACTCCCCGTCCCCAATAGGTAACTGAAGATCATCAATTCTACCAGCAATTTCAGTCAATTGAATGGTAGCCGTACCCAATTCATGATCTTTACCTAGAGTATGGTGTTCTTTAACAGTAATCAAAAGTTCCCCAGAAGATGTAGACCTAAAGGGACAACTTTCACTCCACGAATAAGAACCATCTTCTTTGTTCTTCTTAGCAGTTCTGGTCTTACTTATTTCTTTCTCTCTTGATGAGGTCTTCAAATGTGTCTTGACAAATATTGAAGAGGCATCAAAGCCCTTGGCCAGAATAATGGTGATCCGACCAGGAATAGGATCAGAACCATTTATACTGGGTGCAATGGATGAAGCATCGGTTTGGGACGAAGATGATCTGCTGTGACCACGAACATAATCGCCTGAAGATCTCAATTGTCCAATACGTGACTTGGGTGGTGGAGGAAGATACGAAGAATCAGTAGTAACATCTGCTGTTGACTTGGACGGTGATCCAGTGTGCACGCTGCTCTTTTCACTTGTAGTAGTATCAGCAGCAATAGCAGGAGCAGCAATAGCAGCAACAGCTGCTTTACTTTCCAATGCCCCGGAAGATTCACTGCTAGTGTCATTGTCATCATTGGACTTTGACTTCTTACTACGTCCAAACTTAAATGCTGACCCAACCTTATCAACAGCAGACCCCACGGCTTCTACTCCTGATTTGGCAGCATTACCAGCAACTTCAAGGCCTCCGGTCGCAACTTCTCCAACAGCACCAACACCAGCAGCACCAACACCTCCGACAGCACCTGCAAGTTCGAGTGGTTTACCTGCGACCCCCTTAAGATCCAAAGGTAATCCACTCTTATTGTTCAACAGCGGTCTTATGTATTGAGGCTGGAATGTGGCTCTCAAATTCACCGTACCTTGAGTGTTCAAGTTCACCTTGAACTCTGTGGGTTGGTTTGGAGGGAGTGAAGTTAAGTCCAAATTGGCTGAGCCCAATAGTTCTTCATCATGGGTCAAATCCCAATCACAAACTTCTAACAAGACTATATCTCTCGATCTTGATAAAAGTGGGAACACTGCTGATTCATTCCACGTAGGGTTCAAGTTCTTTCTCTTCTTATCAGTACGCAATACTTCAACACCATCTACTTTAATCGTTGCCAATGGGTCAGACTTACCGTTGGAATCAACAGCCTTCAAGTTCTCTGCAGAAATGACTTCCAACTTGACGATTCCAACGTCCAAAACAGTGTCTAGTGGTGCCAACTTAGCTGGGGTAGGAGCAAATTCAAGTCTAATTTGAATTGAATTACCTTTATCCATTTTAACGGTGATGGGCTTGTCATAGGACTCCTTCAAAAGGTTAATGGTCTTGAATTCTCGTTCAGCAACAACTTGCTTGGTATGAGTGACATCCATCTTGTCTGATAATCTGAATATAAGTTTGGAATATTGTAAGTCTCTGATAAAGGCCTTAGCAAACGATGGAGAACTAACATCTTTGGTCAAGTTTCTAGGACTTAGCCCTGCTGGTTGCGTATGATCATCAAAAATGGTATGAATAAGTAACCCCGGTCTGGAGAGATGACCACCAAGAATGTGCACCACCATAGCACCAGCATTATACTGAAGTGCCTTCTCCAAGGGCATATGAACCTTATCACTGGTAGAGACGATCTTAGCATCATCAACCTCAACCAATTCATAAGTGTCAGGGAACTTACGCATCAATTCTTCATTATCTTCTTTCTCCCTTAATTCCTTCATCTTTCTTGTCCGTTCCAAGACGGCCTTATCCTTCAGAATATCTAATTCGGATTGAGACATCACAGGAATAGTAGGAATGAACGATACAGAGTATTTGAGAACCCCCTTTGATTTGCCCTGGTACGAAATTTCTTGTTCAAGCACCTTATCTGAACCATCGTAGCCCAATAAGAAACCTTCCTTGTTCCTCTTGAGGAAATCATTGACGTGAACAGCTGCTGTACCCAACGATCTGTCCTTAGTTTCAACCTCTTGATCCATAATCTCCAACAACACATGTTGGTTCTCGTTGGAAACCGGCAAGAACAAAACAGAGTTGAAAATAGGATTCACAGTATTATCAAGAATGGCAGTCTTACCAACCAACTTACCATCTATCAATACTCTCACATACGGATCGACTTCACCCACAGACTCCAAGTTGATCAAGTCAGTTGCATCTCTCAAATGCAATCTAAGACCTCCAATAGGTAATTGGAATGGAGTATCTATGACACCATCATTCATCATAGGAAGTGACTTCCAAGTGGCCGTCACTCTGATTTCAGGGTTTTCTCCATGTTCAGACTCTTTAGGACATTTAAACCATTTTTGGCCTCTGCTGGTTTCAAAAATAAGATCTTGCAAGTTGGAATTTAATTCCCCGACTCTGATATCTTCAGCAGCGTCTTTAATGACAATTTCCACAAACGTTTCCGATTGCCGGGTGACAAAGGCTTCGATGGTTTGATCCCAGGAAGGTTCATTGGTTTTCCGAAGCATACGGCATTGTTTAACCACCACACCATTAACAACAATCAATGCATAAGGATTCAATAGCCCATAACTGGATCTGGAGGTATCCAACTTTCTGGCTTCGTGTAACGTGATCTTCATGATCCCAATTTCGGAGTCAGTGACTATTTCCTTTGTTCCATCGTCCAAAATCAATGGTGGTACGGCTGGATAGTATCTGACATCCATTTCAACCTTCCCGACAGTTTTCCCCCCTTCAATAAGTGACTTTGTTAAGCCCGTATGGGTAGGGTTTTGTAATAAGGTTTCCAAACCAAAATCTGTAGCACCAATAATCTCGTCGTCCTTCTTATCGGGAAGCAAATTGTATGCTGACAACTTCAAAAAGTTGTTCTCCAATTGATTAACCAACAAGAACTTTGTTTCCAAAAATACGGGGTTGTCTGTGTCTTTCTTAATAAATGTTCTTTGAGTGGCATCTTCGTTTGTGTTGTTCAGAAGATTAAGTTCCAAATACGGATTTATGGTTAGCTTCTTAGAAGCGTCTTCGGAGCTTACTTTCAAATTGGTCATACGTTTAATGGTCACAGCTAAGATCCCATTAGAATCATTTGACTGTTGGGCAACCATATCTTCCACATCAATGTCCAAGGAATTAGGAGCATATAACATGGGCCCCAAATTGGCATGAATAATACTTTTAACCAATGAAGATAATCCGGGAATAAAAGACATAACATCAATACCCAAAGTATCACCACCCACTGGTTTCAATTTATAGTCAATTTGAGGAGCTTCCAAGAATTGAATCGATACCAATTTAACATGGGGGAAAGTATCAGTTAACTTCAACGTCACTCTCATTCTTCCCTTTAAAGACATATCCTCAACCAAAATAGGCATCGACTTGGAGATGAAGGCCTTACCTACAGTGACCCCAAGTGCAACCTTAGGATCAATCTTTCTCTTGATTTCATTCTTAGTCATATCATCAGTATCGTTGGGTGCAAATGAGAACTTCCAAATCATTTCAATATGGTCTTGACCCTTTTTGGTGAAAGATTGAACAGAATCAACTCTGGGGGCCTTGGTACCCAAAGTGAATTCGTCCAATGATAATTTTTCAATCCCAAATCCTGGAGCTTGGTCCTTCAACACTTCATTGGCAATATAAATCACTTGCTCAGATAAAGCAGGCATGTAAATGACCCAAAACTTGGCCAAAAACGAGTTCATCCATTCCATGCTCTCCAAAGAGGTTTCAAGTCTATTACTAGCAGCTACTCTTTGCATATCATCTCTCACGTTACGGTTGAATCTACGGAATTCAACTCTGTAGACGGAATTCGTAACCAACAACACCAAACCCAATGAAAGGAATCCCCCTCCTAATCTGGCCACTAACCAAGCAAAGAAACATGTACCAAACATAAGTGACGTGTTCCAATACAAATCTCCATAGAAATGATCAACAACATAATATTCAATTTGCTTCAAGAGTTTCGTAACCTCGGATTTCACTTCATTGTCGGTGGCACTTGCATCCCAGCCACCAACATCTCGCCAGCTGAAAGTAGCATTATCTCTAAGACTTATCTTCTTCCTTTTGCCTCCTTTAGCAGTGGAGGAGCCTTTTGAACTCTTATCATCGGTCGTTGGTTCTCTATCCAAGCCTTCTGGAACTTCCAGAATCTCTGGTGGCTCTTCATTTTTGGCATGGCCATTGACGTTGCCATTACCTTTTACATTACCATTACTCTTTTGGACAGGCTCTTCACCTTGTTCCGTCTCCACGGGAGGCTTCACGTCATCGGCTTGCTTCTTATTGTGCTCGTTTACTTGAGCCTCATTGGGCTGGAAAGTATTAGGTTGACCCGTCTAAATCACAGTGTGTTTGTTAGTATAACCATATATTAACTTTGTCCAACTCAATTGAATCATCAAGGGTCCCCCCACAAGTTGAGGCACACTTGTATTGTTCTGTTGCTACGTCTGCTGTTTGCTGTAGCTGCTGGCATTTGCTGATACATACTGATGCCATCCTTTACGATAATGTCGTCCACAAACCACCACTTTCAATCTTAAGATCAGTCAATGGCTTATGGGTTAAAAAGTGTATGACAGATTCGTTAGCAAAGAAGGAAGTGAGAACCCTTGACATTAAATTCCTTATGTGTTTTGAAACGACAATGAAATTCCACCATTCGCTTGCGGATTGTCGATGTCTGCAAATGTCTACGCTGAATGCAGGTCATACAGATGTAGTTATGGTAGCGCGCTTTGTTCTCTGGTATTTGTCTGGGATTTTAGTTAGGGTAAAGGAAGAAGAAAAATATCTGCTTGATGTCATGTAATGTAGGTGACACTTATTTCGGCATTTGCCATTGAGTCTGGATGGATAAGTTGCTAGCGATTTATTTGAAATTTACTGTTCAATATGTAAAAGCAACCTTATATAAACGAAACAGGTTCAAATAATTATGCCGGGGAAAATTACTTCACTCCTGATGGTGTTAGGGTGTAACGCAATAATGTATATTTTAGACAATAATAGAAGAGTTGTAGTCTATTCCATGATGTAATTAAAGAAGGAATAAAATGTGTCCATTCGTTGTCGGTGATTGTCTGAGTTGGTGCATCAGTTGGTTTTGTGCGTCTACAAGAATGCGAAATAACACATCATGCATATAGTAAGAAATTCAATTTCCCGACTTATGTCTGACTTAAATCAATGAGAACAGTCTTTAATAACGTTGTAATATTAATTTTATCGTTTTAATAAATGGTGTAGGTTATACATTATATATAATAATGGTACGTCTGTTTAGACAGCTTCCAAGACAACATCCTTGAAACCACCAGCAACCTTCTTACCCTTTTCTTCAGCAACAGATTCACCGTGCAAGGACATCAAAGCACCCAAATCAAACTTAGGTTGCTTCAACAACTTAACCTTTCTGATGTGAACATTTTGCAATGGGAAGATGGTTTGAGTAGACTTTTCAATTTCACGGCCAATGACTTCAGGAATCAACTTACTGGTCAATTGAGCCAAAGTGGAGTTAGAAACTTCTCTTTGCATGATTTCAATCATCTTCTTTCTGACTTCTCTCAACTTGGAGGATTGAGCATAAGAGGTCTTCTTGATTTGGTTTTGTTGTCTCTTGGTGAAGGCAATGGCAAAGATTCTCAAAACGTAATCGTCAGCAGTCTTGACGGTAACGTTGGCTTCAACCAATGATTGCCACTTTCTAACTAAAGATCTCAACTTATCGGAAGTGAAGTCCAAACCGTGGAAGTTGGTCAACAAGTTCTTACCTTGAACTTCATCAACTCTCAACTTAACCTTTCTGTAAGAGTGGTCTTCAGAGCCTTGCAAGTCAGCCAAACAAACTTCAAAGACACGGCCCTTCAAACCATCGGCAGCGTTCTTCAAACCGGTGGATCTGTTGATCAAAGTCTTACCAACATTTCTGTTTTCAAAAGTGGATGGGGCCTTGATGTCAAACCAATCCTTTCTGGTGAAAGGGTCGACGACCTTCTTCTTTAATCCCTTCTTACCCTTGGACAATCTCTTATTCTTACCAACAGCCATGTTTACGGAACGTTAAGGAGATGGAGACAACAGGAAAACAGTACCGTTTAGTTGTTTGTTTCTTAAGCAAAAACTTTTCACCAAACAGGAGGAGGAGGAGGGTAAGAGAGAGTGAGTGAGGCCCCCACCAGAGAGGTGTGAGGGTATGGCCCATCACTATAGAATGTCGCGCGCACTACACCAATTGGGGGAAAATTTTTCACAGTTCTCAGCCATAGTACACGTCCACAAGATAAATATGATTGTTTCACGTGACATCTTAGGTCCAGAAGCCCTAGAATCATGCATCGTGTAATTATCAACAGAGTATATAAATAATCCCATAACCCCCTAACACCAAATACGTCCGTCTGTGTTCTCCCTCAGGGATCACACATGAGGTATGGTATCTTGTGTCCTGTATGCAGCTTGCCCACCTTGTTTTGGTTTACGATTTCAAAACAAGCCAGCAGGTGTCTAAAGCAAACAAATATCATCGTTTAACTACGCTGTTTGGGAGATTAGTGGTTAACCAAGAGGCTAACTACAAGAATACCATGGAAGATCACTCAGAAGATGACCTGGTCAACCACATAGCGCTTAAGATAGGGCTTATTGGGGACTCACAGATAGGTAAAACATCACTCATGGTTAAATATGTGGAAGGGTCGTTTGATGAAGATTATATCCAAACATTAGGAGTCAATTTCATGGATAAGAAGGTCACCATCAGAAACACCACTATAACTTTTTCTATATGGGATTTAGGTGGTCAAAGAGAATTCATTAGCATGTTACCCTTAGTTTCCAATGATGCCATTGCCATTCTATTCATGTTTGATCTTACTAGGAAATCCACCTTGAATAGTATCAAGGAATGGTATAGACAAGTTAGAGGATTTAATAAGACTGCCATCCCATTTCTTGTGGGAACAAAGTACGACAAATTCATTGACTCTTCGTATCAAGATCAATTGGAAATAACTCAGCAAGCAAAGAAGTTTGGAGAAGCAATGAATGCACCCGTGATCTTCTGCTCCACCAGTCACTCAATTAATGTTCAAAAGATCTTCAAGATTATTATTTCCAGAGCTTTTGATTTGAAGCTACATCTAGATGAGATAGTTAATATTGGTGAGCCAATTCTTCTTTATAAACATTGAAGACATCCGTGATGTTATTCTTTACTTCTGTGTGTGCATTTTATACGTTTCTCTACTCTTTGTCAGGGTTGACATAGTTTTATTTAATATATAATCGGTATATCATTTTATCATTTTGTGTAATATTATCACGTGATATTTGAATATCACGTGACTGAGAAGATTATGTAAAGTACTCTTGTTTACCCAAACACTTCACACCTCTTTATCATTATCAGTTCCCCACACATAACGATGGCCAAGTCGAAGAAGGATCTAGAAGGATGGCAATTGGTGTTTGAAGAAGAGAAGGCTGGTGTCGATTCCCCAGTCAGAAGATCAAGGCGAACGGCAGCAGCAACAGCAGCAGCAGTCTCATCTGAACCAGGGATAAGTGTACGGAGAGATGACGACCAATTGGTACTTAAACAAGGCGATGTCGTTCACTTCGAAGACGCAGACGGTGTACCTACGTTAGGACTCATTCGAGATATTAGATTGGACACGGACCAGTTTCTTTCGATCCCTGTGTTTCTCTTTGTTAAGGCGAAGGATATATCAAAGGAGGTAAGCACTACTGTTATTGATAATGAGGTGTTTCTTACAGTTTACCAGGAGCCCATTCAATTGAGTTCTGTGTTGGACAAGGTGAAGGTTGTTTCCAAGGGAGAATTTGATCAAGTGGTGGTTGATATCTCTACTTTGAACGACATTTTTGTATGTAGTAGGGCATCCAATGTAGAAGGCACGATGTTGTCTAGCGAGTTTGACTTTAGGGATATGCTTAAGATGTTTAGAGAGAGTCAACTGGAGTTCATGGAGTATCTTAAGTCCCAGACTGTTACTGCTGCTCGAAAGACTCCTATGCTGAGTCCCGCTAAGAAGAGACCATTACTGGATGTCATTGATGTCACAGGGACCAATAAGAAGGAAAAGAAAGACACCATCAAGTCTGAAGACGGTGATTATCTCAGTGATGATAGCGACAGTTCCAGTTCTTCGGTCATTGAGCCTGAATCTGAATCTGATAATGACGATGATGATAATGATCTACTGGATTCGGAAGAAGAGAAGAAAAAGAAACCAAAGAGAAGAACTGCTAAGGTTCCAGCAGTGAAGAAAGAACGAAAGAGTCCAATAAAATCTTCTCCTAAAAGAGGTAGAAAGCCATTACTGCCCAAGAAACCGGCCAGTACTACCGGATTTAAACCCAAAATCAAGTTATCTCCATTGAAATCGTCATTCCGGTCACCTTCTCGGCCACGGATACCGAAACCGGAGACGTTGGAGTTCAAAGAGATTCGAGAGAAGTTGAGAGCTGGTTCAGAACGGCTTCGAAACTTACCAGCAAGAGAAGACGAATACTTTCACATATTCCATTGGTTATCATCTTCAGTAGAAGAGCAACAAGGTGAATGTTTCTATATTAGTGGGACTCCTGGTGTAGGGAAGACAGCTACTGTTAGGGCAGTAATAGCAGATATGCTTGATATGGCATCTCAGAATGATATAACTCCATTTGACTATTTGGAAATCAATGGGTTAAAGTTAATTTCCCCCAATAATGCCTATGAAATCTTATGGGAGAAGATCAGTGGTAAAAAGGTCACTTCAAATGCTGCCTTGCTTGCTTTAGAGAAACATTTCAAAGATCGAGAAGAAGAAGGGAACCATTCTCATGCCCGACCATTGATTGTGTTAATTGACGAATTGGATCAAATCGTCACCAAAAAACAAAACATCTTGTACAATTTTTTCAATTGGCCCTCCTATAAATTCTCCAAATTAGTGGTGATAGCCATCGGGAATACCATGGACTTGCCCGAACGGGTTCTATCCAATAAAATCAGTTCTCGTTTGGGGGAGAAACGGTATCAATTTGTGGGGTATACTTATGAACAATTGGTCCAGATTGTGCAGAAAAGATTGGATGATATCAAGAAGAACGATAAGAAAGTCCAAATTAACGATACAGCCATCGTTCTTGCGGCTAGGAAAGTTGCCAGTGTTAGTGGTGATGCCAGAAGAGCCCTCAATATATGTCGCAGAGCAGTAGAAATAGCAGAGAAAGAATATACAGACAATAAAGAGGAACAGATAGGGACTTATGAAGTTGCTTTCAAACATATAACGAAGGCCGTGCTTGAAACAGTCAACTCCCCCACAGCACAGTTTCTTCGAAGCTTATCGTTTGCTTCTAAACTTACTCTTGTGGCCATGTTGAATCAAATTAATAGGAAACAAAAGGCAGAGAATGCCTTGGGGGATGTAATAGACGAAATGAAAATCGCTATTCTGAGACTCGTGAGTCCACATGAAGAAGAGCATCATCATGCGACATCCATCTATGATCTTCTTTATAGTTCTGGCCTACTTGATAAGAGTACAAGTACAGCCAATAGAATCCGGGTAAAGAACTTCAATTACATTGTTACGGAGTTAAGAGAGAACGGAATTATCAACGAACAACCAATCCAAAGTGAACGATACAGATCTGTTAATCTTAATGTGTCACATGAAGAGGTCTTATCAGTGCTAAGGGAGGATACTGTCATCTACAGTCTAGTATATGAAGCCAGATAAGATAAAGTACGACATTTTTGTTCATGATAAAAGTACGACATTTGTCCTGTATATAATATCTGACAAGTGGGGGTCCCTGTTAAGCTCATCGCAAGCTCATCATCTCAATGGTGGTGACTGATGTACTTTCACTAAACATGAACCAAATAGACCCTGCAGAATACGTGGAGGCACCTGAAGGTGTGGAGACATTGAGATTCAACGATGCAGTGCAACAAGCCAAGTTCGAGTTGGGTGTTTGTATGGCCGTATACAAATGGGAAGAATTGAACACAGCGGTGGAGAACTCCTGGGGAGGACCCAACTCCAGTGAAAAGAGAGATTGGATATCTGGCATTGTCATTGAGTTGTTCAATGAAAAGATTGTTGATGTGACGTTGATCGAAGAAACACTTTTGTATGCCATGGTTGATGAATTTGACACTGAGATTGATAATGATTCTGCTTTGGAGATTGGTGCCTTGGTGATCAAGTTCTACAAACAAGTGATGCTCCAACAATATGGGGTCATTGAGTCCATGTACCACAGTTGGGTTAATAAGAAGAACACTGGTGATGGTGCTCCTAAGGTTGTGATTGCTGCTGACCCCAATAACCCCGATGTCTCTGATGAAGATGATGATGAAGATGATGATGGCAACATTAATGATGACATGAACGACTCAATGGATATCGAACCAGAGTCTAAACAGGGCCCCATTGTAGACGATGACGGCTTTGAACTTGTTCAAAAAAAGGGAAGAAGACGTTAATAGTTTTAATAGTTTTAAAATATCTTAATTAAATGCACATGGAGTTTCTAGGCGTACTTGCTCTAGATCTATTGAGGGTGTTCAATGAATGCAATGAAGTTAATGAGTTCCTCTGTTGACGACCTAATCTGGTGTCTGTGTCTTCTATTATGGTTGGGTGACTGCCATTTCTCTGTCGAGATTCATTAAGTTTTCGGAATAACGTAGGGGAATCTCCATTCCCATTGACTCCTCCCGTGATGTTGGTCAATTTGCTACTTATGGCCCCAAAGATCCCATCATTAAGTGCTTCATTGACTTTGAATAATTTAATCTCTGTCCCAAACCAATGGTTGATGGTGGTCAAAGACTTTCTTGTCCATTCAAGGGGGACATATTCGTTAGTTACCTTTTGTTTCACTAGTCCCGTCCACTTGCCTAAAGAGGCAAGCCCGGTCGATAAACTGTTCATAATGTTCTGGTTCTGACTAATGTATGTCTTCACATTATGGTTAGTATTATAGATGTTGCTCCAAACGATAGAAATATACCATCCAAGGGAGATGTGACTCCAGAGAAACTCCAATGGTTCCAATGGTGTGTCAGAGAGGTACTCCAAGGGTATCTTGGTCTTGTATTGTAAGATTGCCTTGGAGAATTTAGTCAGATCAAAGTCATTGATCCAAGTGTATCCGTCTATAGGAACTGTAACTGTAGCTGTAGTCGAGGGGGTTTCAAAATATGGTAATATGATTGTGGTGATGATTTTAAGAGGCTCATTCCCTGCCCATACTTTCTTTAACGGAGCATCTATGGGTAATTTCTCTCGTGCATCCTTAGACATCCCAATTGGTAACCTTGGATGTAAGGCTTCGTCAACTACTTCGTCTTCCGATACTACCAACGATTCCAAATCATCATCGAGGAGTTCTCTATTCTCTTCCTGTTGGATGATTGTGGATGAATAAATGGAGTTTGACCGAGTATAATTGGTTTCTTGTCTGTTTAAACTTTGAATAAATAATGCCTCATTGATCTCTGAATCTTGTATGTACTGCGATGAGGTTATAGACATTTGATCCGATCTATGAGATGCTGTTCTTGATAAGGACGGCATGACATCAACTGAGTTTTCCAAATTGTTTAACGTACTGGTGGTCCTAACTGTAGGGGAAGTAGCATCAACAGAAATTGGAGTTCCAACCGTATCGGAAATAATTCGTAACAGATTCCCTTTAAAGTATTCGGAGCTGAAACTGTTCATGGTGGTTTGAATATTAATAAAAGATTTTTGATTTTTCTTCATGGCATATAAATGCATTCTAGATTGTTGAGGATATTTAATCCCCACCACACAAGTTACTCTAACTAATAGGGCAAGCAAATCAATGTGCAGTGGTTTGGCCAATAGGAACTGTCGATTGGAAAGTTTATCCAATAACAGAATCAATTCACAACTGGTGGTGTATGCCAATCCACCATCTTTATTGTAATTAGATAATCGTTTGGTGGGGTCATCTTCTTGATCAAATGCAATGGGAGAAACACAGGGAATAAGGTTGTACAATATTTCAACTATGGTCGTCAAGATTGAGTCTGTCATTGTATTTTTTGTATGATAATGAGTATTAACATTGTTATTAATGCTGGGTGACGAGGTTTGCTGAGGGAATGCACTTGTCAATGTACGACATAAATGAACAATCAAAAAGTCTCTGGTTGATTGCGGATAATAAGGAAGATGGAAACTTCGTGGTAATGATTCATAAAGAGTTCGACTTAATGGTCTGAAAATGCTGGCTATGAGTTTCAATTCAGCAGATAAATATAACATAAAGAACAACGACACCCTGACCAAATTCGAATGATGAGATGCATTCCAAAACGTTATGGTATTATATGTGAGTCCAATAAGCAATTTAGGAGCGTGCTTCTTTGCAATGATGGCTCTAAGTCTTGAATTACATTGAAGTAACTCCCATGTTAGCATTATGACATTTGGAACCCATGGAGCTGGCTGGATGGTTCTTCCTCCCATTTGAAAATTATAATTTGTGGAATCTGCTAATGCCAAAGGTTGTAAGATGATATTCATTAAGCTATTAGCCAAATAAGTCAAGTCTGTTTCGCTCTTGATGTTCCCCAAAAACACTCTGACCATGTTATAAGGTTTGGAGGCTGAATATAAACGGAAATTGGTGATCAATTCAGCACTATCTCTTATCGGGAACACCGTCATTAACGTCAAGAGTTGAGCAGCTTGAACCACACAAATATGACGAGCTTCCAACTGTTCTTGGGTCGAGAAGTCTAAACCATTGGTACTACTTGAGTTGGACCCCGAACGACACACAATGTTGAGCAACGAGGCAGTCAAATCCAACAACTTTTGCTTGGGACAACTGGTGATGAAGAGCAATAAGAAGTTGTTATTTTCAGAAGTGACATCTTCAAGTTTCTGGTACATGGTGGAACTGAACAAAGTAAGAATTAATTTTAGGACCTCTGATCTGTTGCAGTCTACAATGGAATCAATGGGAGCAGTAGAACTGTCACCACTGTTACTGTGGCTGTGACTGCTACTGCTACCACTGATGCCTTTTTCCCATAGGGTATCTGACCTAAACCGCGACATGGTGAACCCCCTAACAAAAAGTAAGTCTACCAAACACCGCACGATGGTAACCCCAAACACCTTTTCAGGGGTATTGTAAGGACCCCCCGTGGTGGAAGCAGAAGCCAACTTGTCCTTGTCGATTAAATCAACAGGGTCATAGTCTTTCTCGTTCCAAAAGAGTTGGAACTCATACACAGAAGCATACTCATGACTCCCATATAAAACGGGTAGGACTCTTGTGACGAGTCGAATGCAATTAAGTAACTTGGTTGAAGCTTGGTTGAGGTTAGGAGCATTGGATAAATTGAACCCCACTATTCGACGGAACAATACTACCAACAAAGTATACACATTAACGGGGTTTTGGTCCCTTATGGTCCGCCACTCGGCGATTGATGCTGCACTAAAGATTTCAGTTGTGGATTCCGGTTGCGTCCAGAAATACAGCCAGAATTCCGTTTGAGAGACCGGAATCGCTCTACCTTGGGCCAACTTGAACACGTGGCTGCGATAGAGAGCTTTGTCTTCGGGGCTTCTCATCCGATTATGCAGTTGAGCGGGAGAAGAAGTCGATGGGGTTTGGTGATGATTCAAGTTTAAGTTAAAGTTAATAGTGGTCGTGTGTTTACCATGAAGAGAAGAAGTATGTACCAAACGGCACAAATCAGCACAGTATAACAAAGTATACATAATGACTGTATATTATACAATATGACGTACAGTGTAGCATGGTATACCATACTGTTATTATTAGTATAGCATAATTCAACTAAAGTGTAGCATAGTATTAGTGTAGCATAGTATATCAAACTGTACCTTACACTTAGAGTCTTATCGCTATCAGCAGAGAATAACGCACCCTTTTATGCAGTACCATATATACTATACTAAATCTATTATGGTTAAATATTTCCCTTTGTCCTTGCCTTCTATTCCCATTAAAGTATACGACGTTGCTTAGTCATTCGATAAGATCCTTCATCTGACCCCAAGCTCCGTACAGTACCTGCGATAGATGCACATTCAACATCTACATCCATTCCTGCCGCATCGTTACTATCTCCACGGTACATTTCACTGGACTCCAAATCATCTGCATCTCCGCCATTAGATAATGCTCCAGCAGGTAACAAAGGAGCTTCATACTGTAAAGGGGCTCCTATTGGAGCTTCTCCCATTATAGGAGCAGCCATTGCATTACTATTATCTTCTTCCTCTGCTTCTGTCACGTGATTGTCTGAACAAACAGTTATAGCCTCATACAATTGAAACACATTATTATCGTTACCGTCTCCAAATATACCATGTCGGACTATGGGGTCACCAGGATCAACTTCTATTACGAGTTCAACGCTAGGAGTGTAATCCAGTGGACTTTTAAATTGAGCTCGTATGATCTCATTGGCCTCCACTTGTAAATACAATTGACTCCCCTCATTACGGACACTGTGGAAGATTATTCTGTCATAGGGTATAGTCAATCCTCGGTGTGATTGGTTGAACCATAGTATAAGGAAAGAGTCAAGAGCAAACACACTCACGTGTCTATGTTCTTCATGGACTCCAGATGTAAACTCAATGGTCACTTGAGGATTACTATTGAATACCTTTAACAAATAGTTGTTACCACCTCCATAGAGTACAAACTTATCACTACTGTGGCTCATCTCAAACCCTTCCGGTGCTGACCGGAGAAAGTCGGCACCGGCGATTGTATTCTCCACATTTGGTACCTCAAAGATAAGTCTGGCACGGTCTATCATTAAACCACGTACTTCTGCTTCTGTTACCTGTAATTCGTTATAAATGGTGTGGTCATCTTAGTTACAATACGATTTGAAAAAAAATGTATATAGCCCTAAAATCACGTGTAAGTTTGAAAATTATATAGTTTATCACGTGATTTGGATATTGGGTATATGTAATAATGTTAAGAACTTGGACGTCTTCTGGCCACATTTTTGTCTTGTGATAAACGTCTAATAAGTCGTTGATAAACAGGACTAGTATGCTGGGAATTGTTAATTTGATTTCTAATCTCTGCATCCTTCTCTTCTTTAATTCTTTGCATTTCTTCCACAGATGGTGGTAAGGCTTCATTACATAAATCAGCCTTACGAGCTTCTTCAAATGAAGAAATTGTACTTTTAAGTCCTTCTGAACCTCCCATTAATGAACCTTTAGGCAAAACACCCTTATTCAAGGCCTTCAAATGAGCAACATTTACAGATTCTTCTCTTAATACTTGAAACATTCTTGATAGTCTTCCAATTGCAATAACCTTATTACGTAAAGCAATCCGTTTAGCTTCCCAAGATTCTGGGTCCAAATCTTCATTGATTTCCGGAGTTTCAGTTATTGTAGTAATGACACCAGAACCAGATGACCCAGAACCATAATTGCTTATTATAGGAGAGCTTTCAATTGAAGGTAAAGTTGGAGGATTAGAATCAGTAGTAGCAAAGCTAAAGCCATCCTTTTGTTCAAGAGGAGACACTGGTTCAATTGCTTCTCTATCAAATGGAACTTCATCTTCCAATTCTTCTTCTGTACAAATGTTCAAGATAGCAACCAACATATCGGTAACCTTTTCCCCAACAAATGGAAGAGACCAAGTAAAGGCGTCCATAAAATGAGGTAACCAATAAGGATGAGGATTTGAATAGAATTGAGCCACATTTAACTTCTCTCCGTATTTCAAAATGGCAGCTCTGTTATTATAAGTATCCAAATAATTTGGTGCACTAAAAATAGTCCAAAGCGAAGGGAATCCAGTTGATTTAGCAACCTTATACATTCTATAACCAGCATCTTGAGCTTCATGTGCTCTAATGATACTAATTAAACCAGTTCTCTTTAAGAAATCGCATGAAGCTTTAAATGTAAAGGAATATGAACATCCTCTAACTGAATTTCGTACAAATCCTCCATTGAAATTATCACCATCGTCATCATCATCATACGTTTCAATTGGATCTGCCCATAATAAATCACACATCAATCCCCTGGTCGGAGGTTCTCTAAATCTGTTGAGCTTACGTAAATCATCCAAAGATTTCAACTCCGGTGATATACCCCCATGAACACAAAAAAATTGTCTATTTGTAACCGCAGCCAAGGGCAATACATTAAAAGATCTCAAACATTCTTCATATAATCCCATGGAATATTTGTGTAAGCATTCAGATTTAAATGTGAAATATTCAGTCAAATGTTTACACTCATGGTTCCCTCGAAGCATCCAGAACGAATTGGGGAAATTGATCTTCAACGAATATAAATAAAGCAAACACTCAATAGAAAACGAGCCTCTATCAACATAATCACCCAAAAATAAATAACTATTGGTTCTTGGGTCTCCTCCAAGCTCAAAAAGTCTCATCAAATCATAATATTGACCATGGATATCTCCACAAATATTTATAGGTGCGGAAAGTTCCAATAACGTAGGCTCCTTATATAAAATGTCCGTTGCTGCTCTCAAGATCCGCAAGGCATGAGACTCATGTAATCTCCCTTCTCTACGGAAATGCTCCTTTAAAAACTGATGATTGGGTAACCCATTTTCATAGAACACTTGTGCCTCGGTCGGCTTGAATGTCGCGGGAGCTTCAACAGACCTGACTACTCGTTCTTTAGTGTTGATTTCCTCTCCCTCCTCCGTCACATATAAACTAAAGTCCTTGCCCCCAGTGCGATCGTCATTGCCCCCGTCCCTGACTTTGATGGCCTGGATGGCGTTCTTGATCCGTTTTGCGTTCTCCTTCCGTGGGTCACTGGCACTCATAATTATTGGTGTCTGTCTGACGTTTGTTGGTGATAGCAGGTTGTGTTCCAGGTTATGTGTTCCTGGGTTTCAGTTGCCATTTTACCCGTTCAAAAGTCGTGTGACGCTCATATTTTGTATAGTAGAAAAATAGTGGGTTAAGAATCTATAAAGTACTATCAACATAAATAACATCAGCTACTGCTTTAAACCCATTGAAAGAAGTAGTAGCTGCAGATGTATAAGCCCCCAAGTTGGGGAAATACAACCAATCACCAACATCGACATCAAAACCCAACTCACTTCTAACAGACACACAATCCAACCCATCACAGGTTGGACCCCAAATCGAGAAACCATGCTTGCCCTTTCCATGAGCATCGTTTCCATTATAGTAGAAGTTGTCCCTGTGTGTCAACACATGAGCAATTGGATGTTGGTGATCAAATAAAATACAGTTCAAATTACCGTAAACTCCATCGTTGATGTAGATCATGGCCTTAACTCCGTTCTCAATATCATCGGTGACAAAGTGTCTTGGTAAATCACGTTTGGCAATAACATGAGTGGCCAATGTAAAGGCATTGGATACCATGAATCTACCTGGTTCGGCAATAAACTTAACTTGTTCATTCTCGTTTGGAAAGAACTTTTCCAAACTCATTCTGACCATGGCAGAAGACTCTTCAAAGGTTTCAACCTCAAACCCTCCTCCAATATCAAGAATGTTCATCTTGAATCCAAGTTGATGGCCAATATCGAAAACCATTCTGGCATCTTGAACAGCTTTGTAGATGGACCCGAAATCCTTAGCTCCGGAGCCAACGTGAAAAGCCACTCCAACAATTGGCAAGCCTAATTCTTGGGCCAAGGGTAACAATTCATCAACGGCACTTTCAACAGTGCATCCAAACTTGGTAGATAATCTGCATTGAGCTGATTCATCATCGGTAGCAAGTCTGATCAAGATCCCACACTCAGGATGGAATTGTTTCATCTTGTGCAACTCATTACAGTTATCAACTGTGGTTAAGTTAACATCAACAGTTTTGGCAAATCTAATGAACGAATTGGTTTTACAAGGATTGGCATAAACAATTCTGTTGGCACTAATACCTTGCAGTAAAACAGATTCAATTTCTGCCTTGGAAGCACAATCAAAGTTACACCCAAGATTAGCCAAAGTACTAATGATTCTAGAATCAGTGTTGCACTTAACTGCGTAATGAGGTTGAACCATTGGAAGCATCTCAGTCCAAATTTGATGTGCTCTCTTGACCAAACCAAGATCGCACACAAAGAAAGAATCTTCGTCACCAGCTTCACAATTAATATGATCAATATCATTGATTTTGGCCTTCAAAGCATTTCCTACAAAACCATGGTTGGTGTTAGGGTTTTGCTGTGGGGCGTCTGTTTTTAATTGACAGCTGAAAGCATTAGAAATCGTGGATACGCCGATATCAGGTGCCATTTAATTCTTTCAAATACAAATGGGATGAGGAATCAAGGAGTATATATACCGAAGCAACTAATATATAAACAGTATATATATTAATCCTCTTTTCGGTTATAAGGGCAAAGGTTTTTAAGAGGGGACTAATTAGGGCTCACAGGAAATGTGAGCTTAGGATGAATGGACGTCAAGCGGCAGCTCTCGTTCGGTAGCAATAGTACTTCTGGATATGAAGATCTTTATGCTTAGTAAAGAAGAAGAAGAAGAAGTAGAGCCCCTATAATTATTTTTTTCAAGTAATATTTTTCTAGAGTTAAATTTTTCACTTTCCTAATTCGGACACACCCCATCGAGCACGGCTAATTACGGGGGGCTTAAGACTTGGGGCTTTGACCCCTTTATGTAATATTTGACACGGGACGTCAATACAAGTGCATGCTGTAATGTACTACAAGCTGTACTATAAAATAAGCAAAAACTACATTGTTACTGTAATGTTATCATTTCATTATTAGATTCAAATAAGTATATTTCTGGTTGGTGGATGACTCGTGCTAATAATAGTGCATTATATTCAAAGATCAATTAATGGCTCAGGCTCATACCTTGATCTATGAGAACTGGTACGACTCAATCGTTCACCCTCACATCCATCAACTTTGCCTGGAGCTTGGTTGGCGTTCTCTTCGTATTCACGTTCTACTGTTTCAAGTGCAGGGAATCGAGATGAGGCTTTCTCCAAACTCTCGTTGTATGTTCCGCCAGATTGTTGAGATTCAACTGGGTTGTCAACTGAAAACAGATTGGATTGCGATGTAGGGAACAGAGTAGGGTATGGTGCAGATTGTTGTTGTGGTGGTGGTTGTTGGCGAGCTTCCGGAGATTCTGACCCATTATCATATGGAAGGTTAGGTGGTAATCCAGAAGGAAGTGGTGGTATCTCCTGGTATTCATCGTAATTCTGTTGATCGGATTCATTTGCAACAGGATATCCCGTATCGTTTCTAGTAACTACTGGAGTCTTTGGACTAGGACTAGAATTAAATGCAATTGAGTCATCTGCATAACCCGTTGAAAGCGGAGGCAAGGAAATAGGATTTTCACCTGCATAAACATTGTGTTGTCCATAATCTGTATTGTTATGAGCTTGTGAATATTCTTCTGGATATGAGTTGATATTCTGCCCCCCTTGCGATTGTCCAGTAAAGTTACTAGGTATGGGGCTATTTGCAGGATAAGCTGGCATTGGAGGCAATACAGTTTGATTTTTGTAATTCATTACTTTGGAAGGGAACCCTTCAACAGGGTAAACAGTACCAGAACTGCTCATCCGATGCTTTCGAACAACATCAGCACTTTGAATTCTACTTCCATTGCTACTCTGTCTTGGTCGTTGTCCCGTTGAGTTTGCTGTTAATGGGTCATTCCGAGGATAGGGTGTGTGTTGGGGTTCAATATTGTCGTTGACTTGTGGTGACATGCCAACAATATTCATATTATTATTTCCCCAGGCAGAATTCAATTGACGGTCAAAGAATTGATCGTAAAGCTTGGTGATAGTGGAAATCTTGTTATGCAATTGTAAAAATAAATCATACTTTTCTTTAGCATCTATCAATGACTTTTTCAATTTGGGTCTTAAGATATTTACTTCGGTGTGAAGTGCAAGCAACTGCCGATCAAATGCAACATTTTGTTTCTTTCTAGCATCATTTTGAATCTGGGATACCATAGTAACAAACAAATTAATAAGATCTTCTTCTTTAGGTGTTATATCTTCCAACTTCAGTGCAGTAACTTGTGATTGAACAGTGCTCTGTGGTTGAGCAGATTTCTGTGGTAATTGTTGACTTGATTGGTAATTCAGTTGTTGAGATGGTGGTTGCAGATAACTTGATCCTGTAGGACATGCCGGAATCTGTGGATAGGTTGGCTCATGAGATGCTTGTTGAGGGTATGAAGGTTGGGTTTGATCATTTGAAGTCTGTTGTGGGTAAACATGTTGTCTATAAAAAGACTGTGAGTTGTGATCATGTTGGGACCCCAATGAATATTGAGGTTCACTTGGTTGTTGTTGTTGTTGTTGAGGCATACCTGAAGAATAATTGGGAGGGACTTCATCTTTTGAAGAATATTGCATATTCAGGCTTTGCTGTTCTCCGGAATAAAAGGGATTGGATGGTGTATGTTGTTGTCTTGTGGGAAGCAAATTTTGGTAAGGGTCAGAAGGTTCGTCTGAATATTGATTGGGAGGAGCATATCCTGACAACGGAGCTTGTGGATTTGACGACTGTTGCAGACTTTGAGTTTGGCCTCCTTGGTGCTGGTTTTGCTTTTCATACCAACCATAAGGATCTCTTGCTTTCTTTTCAAGTTCAAATTCACGAAGACTTGCTTCTATTGCAGCCTTGATTTCCGGATCTTCTTCATCATAAACTTCTTCTCTAGGAGTATCATATGAAGTAGAGATATTATTATTGTTATTATTATTATTATCATTATTATTAGCACGAACACCAGTATCCTGCAAACTCAATTCAAGAGCCTTTTTAATCATTTCATCTTCATCATCATCAACAGCAGCATTTGAAGGTCTGTAATCACCATAATCTTGTTGAGGCATCAGTCTTGAAGTATTTTTGGCTTGAACCTTTTCATAACAGACGTCACACACTCTTACCAGTTCCATGATACCAAGAGAAGGCAAGGGTGTGAATTTTGAAGAGTGCGTGCCACAATAAACTCCGCCACATGAACGACAATGATGTTTTCTATTAGTAAGGGAGAACTTATTGGAGCAGATCATGCATTGATCGGATTCAAGCCAATCAGGGGGGACTTCTGAATCAATAAACTGAGAAGTTATGGCCTCAGTGTCAATATAAGGGAATTGGAAGTTTTTAGTCTCTAACTTACGAACACATTGACTAACATATGACAACAGAGGTCTACCATCAAAATATAAAGACCATTGTTTAAGTAATAACAATACCAATTGGCCAACACTATATCTTGCTTCATTTCTTACGATCTGAGGGTCTTTAGGATTATATCTGACCAATAAGATGTAATCAACCAAATAGTCCATAAACTCTCTAGCAGCTATGGCTTCAAGAAAGTGTTCTCCGCCATTCTTCACACAAAGATCAATCAATTTGAGCGTGGAACGAGTCAAGTTAGGGTTCTGGTGAACTTCCATCAATCTCTTCTTCAATTGTCTCATACAATCGGTTGGAGGGATCTCCTTCCTTCTAATGATATCTGTGACTTCTAACGCAGCTGCAATGTCCACTTCCCCATTGGGGATGGACTCGGATGTCGCCTCCTCGATCTTGGAGTCTAACATGCTGGTGTTAGGACTGTTACCACCAAACCAAGACATCTCTTTTCGGTGTTAAGGTAGCTAAAAGAATTAGTAAGTGATAACCCCTTTGTAGGTTGAAGCTTTGCCCTCGCTCTCAACTTTTTAGTGTGATGACAGATCATGTCTATATGCAGGTTGTGTTGGTGTTCGGGTGTATTGGTATGGATTGTGGCAGTGTTTATGGCAATGGGATGGAAAGACCACTATAAGTAGACGTTAACACGATTTTAAGTTAGCATAATGTAACTAGAGAGACTATAATATATAATGGAATTTGATAAAAACTAACTAAAACTTACTCATAACAAAAAAAAGTATGAAGCTGAAGCCATTGACAATCCACTGACAGCAAACCACCAATACTTGTCATAGTCTCCACCTTTAGAAAGAACAGCATTTGTATTGTACATGTTTTCCAAAGATCTTTTGACCTTTACTCCCAAAGACGTAGCAGTTTCCGAGGCTCTATTGGTAGGGTTCAATGCAGAAGTTGGAAGCATTAAAGGAGGACGATAAGCCAAGTATAAAGGTTGAACTGGAGATCCATCAAAGTTATAGAGTTGCAACTTCCATCTTCCATGGTAATCATCCAAATACTTAATATATTTCAAGAACCAAGTCATTTGAGTATATCTACTGTAAACAGAATGATCAAAACTAGTACCACAGGGGTCACTCAACAACTGTCTACCATCAACAGCTATAGGGTTCAAGATAATCGACCCATTAGCTAAAACTTCATAAGTACCATGTTGCCAAATCAAAACGGCTGTAGGACAACTGTGATTCCGTGCATTTCCCTTGACCCGATACAATGCTTGTTCGAAATGTCCGTCTTCGGTAAACGAATAAGATACCCCAGGCAATTCAGGCTCTATCAAAAGTTCATCAACTGGATCATAAAACCCTGGTCCAGTGAAAACAGTATTTGATTTTGAAACCCATGTTCCGGCAATGTCTTGCATGGCTGCTGTGTCCTCGTTGGCACCGGCCACAGCTCGTATCATGGCCAAACTGGCCAAACATACTCTGCTCACTATTCCTAATAGCATGACGATTAGATGTGGTGAAAATGTCGGTTATTAATTTATAGTAGACTAATTAGAAAGAGACGTTGTAGTTTCATTGTAGTGTACCTTTTGGTCTTCGCTTTTTGTCGTGTATTCTCCTGCGCGCTTCCTTTTTTACGTTATTGCTTATGTAATCGTCACAGGGCGGAGTTCTAAATATAAATAAGTTCCAACTCACATGTTTGCTACATGCAGGTTTGTTTGAATAAGTTCTTACATCGACATTCCCTAGTAGCATACCAGGATTAGCCAATAGAATGTTGCGGCCCTTGTGTCTGTCTGTTTTGTATGTAAATGTGTGAATGTATTAAGATTAAATATCTATGAAGTGAAGATTAAAGCGCACTAATCAGACAAGTTGAGGTTTGAGATTATGAGTTTCTGGGGAACCATTTTCACTCATTGGGGTGAATATTTTCCCGTTCTGGCCAGCAGTGGAATTTATCACCAGTGAAACAATCAGCAGCGTACAACAAGCAGAAGCGTTATCAAAAATGTCTGAAGGCTGATTAGAACTGTCAAGTGATACCAAACTAGCCTGGCTACTGTTTTCGTTCAACTTGTTTATGATCAAGGGGGGTAATTTATGATGATATGAGGAACTTTGTGGTGTTTGCTTTTGAACCCTTTTACTATTTCCCGATGAAGGAGTTGGGTACATTACTTTGAAGACCGGCAGATAATCATCTTTGGTGATTTGATGTGGAGGCGGTATAGATAACGCTCTTCTGGTTGCAGGTATGCCGGCACTTGAGGGTGGTTGAGGTGGCGGTGCGCAAGGTGGGACCCCGGATATGATGGAAGCGACTGTTGTTGCACAAGTGGTAGTGTTATTAACTAATGAAGGTTTCCTCTTATAAGGGGAGTTTCCTGTAGATGAAGCCGCCGTAGTAGATGACATGTTTGTGTAGACTGAACTTGAAGTAGAAGTTGCAGATTCCGGGGAATTCATTGATGATGAACATATGGGTGATGCACTGCCTTTATTGGAACTTTCATAGGCAGTATATGCTGGTGATGGAAGGTAGTAATAGTCGGGAGACGACGAGCTCACTACGTTACCACCATTGGAAGGTGTACCAGCATTTACACCAGCAACGCCGGTAACACCAGAACCATGGTTAGTTGTATCACAAGGAACTCCAAAAGTTTGATGATTCTTGAACTTGTAAAATATTTGCTTGATGAACATTTGAGGACCTTGAGATTCGAATAATTTAACAATATAGTCAGTTGAGTTAATGATTGCTTTTATCAAACCTTTCTTAATGTAGACATAGTTTTGAAACTCAATTTTATGGTTGTATTCGTCATTGGGATCATTGAACTTTTGGTAGCAGGCATCAGATTTATCAAGACAGAAGATTTCATTAACCAAATCCAAGATAACTCTGGACAAATCTATTATATCACAATCCAACAACTCAAACAGATACAATGACACATAACTCAAATACTCTTTAACTTTGAATGCTTCATTATTTATTTGGTCATCCATTGTAGAAAATTCATGAGACAGAGCAATATATTCTTCAATACCAGGCTCATTTACTGACCAATCCAAGGTCTGTAAAATATGCACTTCCATTTGTTTGAACATTCCCAGATCATACTTGCATTTTGCTCCACATAATTTAACCAATTCATGCAATTTCGGTAACCGAAATCTTTCAGTAGGACCAAGAAACTTACCTCCACAACCGTAGCCTAAATCATTAATGGTCTTGATATTATTGGGGTTTGAGTTGGCACCAGCTTCATATTGTTTCAAATTATTCAAATTAACAAAATGATTATTGCCGCCAGTAACCTTCGCGGCAATCCATAGACAGGTTGTTATAATTAATTGTGCTTGGTCTAATAAAACTATGCGTTTGGAACAGTAACGGTCAAACAACTTCACAGCCTTGAAGAAGACAAAGGGTAAAATCTTTAATCGTATAGACATCTTCAATAAAAAGTCAATCAACTTACATCTTATAACGGGCGTCAAATAAGGTTGCTGCTTGTATAATTCCATGTTAGGCTTGCTGCTTTGAACCAAGTCATACATAATATGTGTGAAATCCAGCTTATATTCATTTACGGATACATTATGACAAGCAACCTCCAGTTCATATAACTCAGAAGAGTAAGGCTTTTGACTCAAATTTTGCAAAACCTCCAAATTGGATGGTATTATGTTGCAACTAATCATCTTGAATCTGTTTTTTATGTATGCTGTATTAGGGCAGATCAAATGTCTGCTATGCAAAAGTATCGGAAGACTAAGTCTAATGCAAGGATGACGGAATAAAAGGGAGCCTCTATATATCACTAATCGAGACTCTGTCCTTACTACTTCGAAATGGATATGGTAAAACGTGTATAGTAAGCAAAGTATGCTATCAAAATAACACTCACTTGTTTTTAAGAGGGTTGAATGAGTTGAAAAATGAAGATCCTTCCCAGCATATATAAATCTAAGATACTCTCTTATAGTATATAGCCGAGTAAATGCACTTGCACACCTAGTCAAAATTAGGAAGGACAAAAACACCAGGCAAGCCCTGGATTTACATTCCAACAAACAATATGTTTAACGAAGCATGATTTTAGAGAGTTACATTCACCTTGCAGAAAAGGGTTTTCATGCGTAGACCTATTAACATGCATTTAAAAAAAAAGCAAAGATTGGCTGGGTAATCCTACACCAAATCTATGGAAGTCGCCCAAGAAAGGCTTGATTCGAAGGGTGCCTCGTCTAAAACTCTGTATTGAGCCAAATAGTTCTTTTATGCATGCATTGAATAAAAAAAGACTGCATGCGCAGTTTGCATGCGCATATGCAATGTATATGCAGCCGTTAACTTGTATAACACTAACCTGTATATAGTTGTGTTCTGAACATTTGAAAACTACTTCGTCAGGTACGAAATTTGTCAATTAGTGAACTTCTGAACATGCTACCAGCACCTTAGCAATTGGGGAAATTACATGAATCACTGCCATATGTTGAAGAGTTGGAAGAGCAAATTTTAAAGCGCTATAGTATACTTTTCAAACGCTTTCAAAGTTGTTTCCCTTGAAGTAACAAAATTACAATGCACTAAGAGTAGTTCAAAGCCATCATAAAAAATTTCATGGTACACGTACTAGAAAGGAAGCCTATGATTGAGGGCGGTCTAAATTAGAGATTTCCTACGGTATTACCTTTTCAGCATAGTAGCTGGGTCTTAGCCTGTTTGTATAGGCACAAAAAAAAGAAAGTATGTCGCTGCATGGTTTAACAAAACCACCTAATCACAGAGCTCGTACCCATTTGTTGTATCAAACAAGCGAGAAGGGAAACCGTATTCCCAGTTTTGAAAGCACAATCAATTGTTAGATGTAAAGTAGTACGATTCTTTAGACCCAAGCCACATGTTTATAATTTGACTAAACAACTATGTTGTTAGATAATGTCATAAATAAATGGCTTCTCTCTCTGTTGACACAAAACTGAAACTACGACGATTTGTTTCACTAAGTTGGCGGAAATACACCAACTAAGGTTTGCATAAAGTACTGTTTTCCTGACTAGCCGTCTAAGGATAGCCACATTGGATATGTTTAGGAGCTAGTAATTGTTCACGACCTAATAATACTATTTTAATGCGCCAATCTGGTCTGATAATTAGGTGGTTTCTCAGGTAACTAATGAGGCTTATCCTGCGAGTCCACCTCCCCTTACGCTTACTGCTATTGTGGAAGCATGCTGCAGATTAGCTCCCATCGAGTATTTAGACGATTTTTTAACGACACACTCGGTCCCAGTAGTTCGGCTCACGGTTTTAGTTGACTTTGTTTTTCAGATATTTGACTACTCACAAGATTGAAAAAAATCATAACTACCTAGATGGGATTATTCCCTAATTGGGAATGTAATAGTAGTTACACCCAAAGCAACACGAATTGTTGTAACACAGGCCACGTTTTTTGTTGCTTTGATTATTGTTATTTCACTAATGCTTACTACCACATCAGCATGTAGCTAAACAATACAAACGTCTTTATTATTGACAGTAACACCGTCGTGGGGAAAGCACTAAAAAAAACTACCTCGGTTGGACCTCGCGTAGAACTACGTGCGCATACCGCAGGGGTATGCGGGAAAACAACGGTGACCGATAATTACGATAGCTTGGTTATATTCTCCCGTGTAGAGGATTTTAAGCGGGCTTCTTCTATAGAGTGTGGTGTATAATTTGTACTGAAAAGATGCTAAGGCATGAATTTACTACATATTACACACTTCTTCATAGGAGAAACTAGGCACTAATCAATGACCTCGTAGTTTTAGTGTGTCTTCGTTGACAGGGGTAGTATTTAATGGGATGTGCGCAAATATCGTAAAATTGATTATGGTTATATGCCCAGCACCTGATCCAGATTGGAATATTCCGACGGCAGATCCGAGATTAGTGTTTTGAGTATGACCTCGCTTAATTTTTGCTCTCTAACATACTGAAAACTTAAAGGAGGGTTATCTAGTTTTGTGTCTATGGGATACTATCACATTTATAGTAGCGACTTTCTTACCTTTTATGTCAGGTCGTATGAAGGCATGGTCAAATAGTAATATGTATTTGTTATCGTTGTTCGTGCTTTCCTTCTATCATATAGCTTACCAACATTTTATTCTACTGGCTTATAGTTGATTTCCAAGACGGCCTCAGCCACCAAGTTGTATAAAGCCTATCAAGTATTACTTTTCTTTTTGCTGCATGATGTAGTATATCCATGGAAACTACTTAAGCAATGGATGTGAAACATCCTTTCCTACAGACAACGCAAGAGATACATGAGGTCTTTCAAAACGAAATCGAAATGCACATGGTGTTCTTTTCCACTTTAGGCGTCCTGTACAGCTAAAAGAACCTTTTGTGACTCACTGGCAAGGAAGAAACTACTATTATAATAAGATGTTCTAGCCTATCATGTAATGGAATATAATCTTGAGGGAAATAGCAAGTACAAATGATAGTGTTAATATGATTCAAATGCAATTAAGCATTGCATAGTATACAAAGCAATAGAACAACGTTGTACACAGAAATGATAGAAGTCAGTGCAATTGCTCCAAAGTTGGCTGAGACACTACTAGCTTTATCGACTACAACATCATCGCCTTGTGTGGGATTCATTGTTCATGATTCTCTAGATGTTTCATTGATCTGTGGAGTAGGAAAATAAGTGAATTACATAGAAGACTGTAGGCAATCCTCTGCAAGGAAAGAAAAAAGATGGAGATGGTCAGAAAGCAGCGCTACAATACTTCCAGTGCATTGCAGCGAATAAGATTAGCAGCACTACGAAAGCTTAATGGCAAGTACTGTACCACTCACTCTTTTAGGCTTAAGATATAGTTGCTCGATTGTTAGTTAACTGTGAGTTTTTCGCGGTAGTCTCTGTATATAGATTGTAACGATATTAACAATCGCGCTGGAAGGCGTGTCTTGTTACTGTAACGAATCGCCTGCAAAGTACAACAAACTATTAAATATATCACTGCTTCTTCTTCACTGAAGGGAACACTATGGGGCGTGACGATACTGTTGACTATGACCACACACTTCGTTACGATACCAACATGTATCAAGATGAAGATGACGATGATCTTCGATATCAAGATCTCATGAATAATTTGACGGAATCATCACTTAAATTGCGTCGGCAAAGATCGGCGTTGGAAAATGAACATCCTGCAAAGTCTCTATCTGTTTCAGAGTATCCCGTACGTCCTGGTACCTACATGGAAACTACTTCAGTTGATACCGATACCCCAGATGATGGAAATCTAGTAGAACGTGCAAGAGCGGCTTATAGACAAAACTCTTGTATCGTCAAACAATTAGCGTTTGATGATATAGAAACCCGTAATGCCACCGCCAGTTTAACCAAATTGAATCAGATATTAGAATCCGACCCCATGTCTAATATCAACGTAACGTATCAGGATTATTTGGATCTAAGAGATAAGCACAACCAATTGAAACGTCAGTACATGGCAGAACTTGATAAATCTCATGCAGTGATGAAATCCATCGAAAAAATTATGGATAGGAAACCACCTGTATTGACGTCACCCAATGAAATTAAAGCTAGAGCTTCGAAAGCTAGAGAGTTGATTTGTGACGTTAGCGCTATGGCTACAGATGATAACATTATGCAAAGATGCACTGACGCGGTCAAAGAAATTGAACAGGTCGAATACTTGTTAACAACCACAGTTGCAAATCCGTACCCTCCCTTTGTTTCTTCGTCTGCTGTTACAGATTGAATCTCTAAACAATAGGGTATTAATTTAGTTCGAAGCTGTGGGCACAAGGGGTACTACATACATTTGCAATTACCAATCGTGTACTTTAAGTAAACATTTACTTGTCGCTTGTACCCAAAGCGGATGGTACCAAATATGGACAGCTCTTCCAAGTAAAGCTTGCGATAGGAACTATTTGCTGATATTTATTTACTTGTCTACAAAGTGGTGATTGGTGCCATGCAGTGCATTTGGTGCACAGTTATGCGCTATTCGGCTGCATACTGCAGGGTCGCTTATAAAAGTTATATATAGCACTAAGCGAAGCTTACCACATATTCATCCAGCCAGTGCTACCATGTTTATGAGAACTCTGCGACCCTAGAGGTGTTTCCTGATTGAGAGGCTGAAGGCTGCAAATGGATTAAGTCCTAATCAAGTAATCGTAGTTAGTTTTAAATGAGGCTGGCCAAAAATAGTTAGCTGGGTACAAATTAGGTTATAGGGATCTACGTGGGTGGATGCCCTATACTAATTATTATAATAAATGTTGTAATAATTTCTTACTAGTACAAGAATCCATACAAAAAAGTGTGGATCTTTAGTTTATAATTATGTCAAAAGAAAACTGTGGTTCAGTTTCTTTCTAATTGTCATTTGCAGAAAAGGGAAAGATGAACGGGCTTCTTTATGAGTTTTCCTTCAAAGCTCCAATAGTTCTGCCAGTGGAGCAAACATTTGATATTAAGAATGCATATTTTAACACGAATTTTCCATATTCTCCAGAAGGTTGTCCTCAATACACCTTTGACCTGCGACTAAACTCAAACAAAGGACTAAACGCATATGTACTAGGTAGAAAGTATTTGCATCCACTTTTCCAAAAGAAACTAACGTTACCCGAGTTCTCCAAGATCTCTTGTCAATTATGGTACGAAGATAATGTTATGTTCAAACCATATTTTGAGTACTTGTACTGCGTGGGAGACAGCAAGTCTCGAGATCATTTACTGTGGACCACCAATGGTGTTTCGGAAGTAAAGGTATTTGATAAAAGGAAGATGGAACTTGTGAAACCAAGTCCAAGGTCCTCTTCCTGTAAGACCAAGAAGGCAAGATTGGAAGATTTCTCCTCCTGCTTCTCGGTCTCTCTTGGGTTGGTTACCGAAGATGTTTATCTGAGCACTTCATCTGCAAGATAGTTAATAATCGTTTATAATAGTTAATAGTTACTAATAATAATCATAATAATAATAATAATAATAATAATAGTCACAATAATAGGGATGCTACATGATCTGATTACTACTTTTGGTATGTTCATGTCTAAACATACCAAAATGTTTCAAATTTCTCATCAAACATATCTGCTCAAATACGTGTTCACACATGGGTCATTTTACTCGACATAGATGGTCTGTTGGAAACTGTTTCGATGTTGATATCTTCCTGGATACCGTCGGCAATACATTGACTAATGACCTGATCCCAATCACTAGTTAAAACAAATGCCAATTGGGAAATACTCACAATGAGTAAGGCAATGATCATTCCTATCCATAATCCCATAAGCTTCATGTTGAAATGAATTGCCAATGTAATGGAAATAGGTAAGGCAATCAAATAGTATCCAACAAGGTTTAAATAACCTCCAATCTTTTGTCTTGCTTGACCTCTCAAGATTCCACCAGTACAACATGATACGAAATCGTTAATCTGGTAGATAGCAGCAATGATGATAACTGGAGCTGCTAATTTGATAACTTCAGGGTCATTGGTATATAAACTAGCCAACCAGTATCTGAATCTCCAAAGAATCCAGCAATTGTTCAACCCTAAAAGTAAAGAAAGATACAAGGCAGCTTTGGTTGTGGTCATAACAGATTTCTTAGCTGCAGCTCCAATATACCAAGCAACTCTTGTTGAAATTGAAATGGAAAGGGCAAAGGGGATTTGATAAAGAAGAACAGAAGTTGTGGAAACGATAGATTGGGCAGCCAAATATTCAGTACCAAATTTGGATGCAACAAAGGTAATGATTTCAAATGCTAACCATTCAGCTAAAACCTGAAGAACACCTGGAACAGCTAATTCAATCATTCTTGGCCAATTTTGTAAATAAGCCTTATTGAAAACTAAAATCTTCCCTGAAGAGTCCCTGGGTAGGCATTGTTTACCATCTACAAACCAAATATAACCACAAAGTGAGAAACACATTACCCAATTTGTGATAACCACTGCCAAAGGAGCACCAAGAAAGCCGATTCCAATGGTATTATTCCACACCAAAATGTAATTAAGCACAATATTCAATGGAGCACAAACAAACAAAACATATGTTGGAGCATGGAAGATACCAATACATTGCAAATAATGTTTGCAATTTTCAAAAACAATGAAACCAGGTACACCGAAACTTAATACCTTAAGGTAATCACTTGCCAATTTGACTATTTTAGGGTCATTGCTTTCTATAAGTAAAGTCAAAATAGGCTCACTTCCAAACATCCAAAGGATGAACACAAACACATAAACTATGAACAAGAGAATGGTACATCTAACCAAATATAATCCTACAGTATTGTAATCTTTACGACCATAGGCTTGAGCACATAAGGTATCCAAGCAAGTACACACCCCTTGAATTATGGAATACCCAGTGATATTGGCTGTCATAGTAGACAAACTAACAGCGGCTAACTCTGCTGAACCCAATCTCCCCACCGAGAACACTGAGGCAACGTTCAATGAATACTGAAGTAAAAAGGTAACAATCAATGGTAACGAATATTTGAAAAGCACCCACATTTCAATGATCATTTGTGTATCAGGTTCTGGAGCTAGCTCTGAATGATGTGAAAGCACTGATTGAATGTCATATCGTTTGTTAGAGAGAGTCGGACGAAGACTCCCGTATGTAGATACAGTATCTGGATCATGACGAACCATCCCCAGAGGTATTCTGGTGATCCCCGTTGATGCTATGGAAGCTCTTCTATGTTGCACATAGTTTATAACTTCTTCTTCTTCGTCTGTCTGGAGCAATGGTGCTTCCTCGGAGTTAATACTAGCCATACCAGTTACGACGAACAACTCTACTTATCTATCTACCTGTACTATATGGATATACATATATATGTATTAAGTCCGATAAGATAAGCTCTTCTTGACAGCAACTTCCTGTTTGTGCGTATGAAGGTCTTCTGGTATAGGTAAGAAGAAAAGGCATAGGATGATCCGTGGTCAATGTTTATTACTTAAATCTTAGTTTAGTTATACGCAGTCCGTGATGAGGGCTTATCGGTGATCTCAAAACGTGTCTTATCTGGGAAATGAATCCCAGCACAAGGGGATATTTGCCTATTGGAGTACAAGACTGATTTTGGTGTTAGGGTGTTATGGATTATTAAAAATAATTGAATAGTATAAATAAGTATTTATTACGTTCGATATTAAATATTTGTATCAGAATATCAAAGTCTCTATATGTTTCTAGCTAAATGCGGTAATTATTTCCGCTATACGGAATTCAGCTCTGAATTAAAACTTACCTCTTAATAAATGCTTGACCATATCTCTACCTGTGTAGTAGGTAGTTTCAACCATCGAAGGGAAGTCTAAAGTACTGGTCAAGAATTGTAGGAATCCAAAGGGTAACATAGCAGGAATCCAACCTTGAGCCAATTCTAATGAAAAGCCTCCACTAGGAATCAGATATTGTTTGGCTTGACCTTTCTTCATCCAATGTTGATCACCAGGCAAGTAAACTTCTGGAGTCAAGGCTCCAGGAACAGCAGCAAGCTGTTGACCGGTTAAAATAGTGAAGTAGTCATCAGCAAAATGTAAACCAGTGTGACCTTCAGTACCGGTTGCAGAACCAAAAAAGATCAAGTATTCACTAATGGAGGCATGCAAGATGAACATTGTTCCCATGGCACCTCCAGCGACATTGAACACCCATTCGTCAAAGTTCAACTCGTTGACAAGGCCAGGATATGCTTTCAGGATCTTAGGAGCCAAGTCTATCATAATGGCAGTAGCATTGTTGGGGAAAGCGTTGATCAGCTCTTTAGCCAATGTTTGAAGTACTTGTTTATCAAACTTGTAGTTACTTGGAAGCCAGGTATAGAAGAGATGGTCAAAGGCATAGAAGAGAATAACGGGGATAGCCCAATAGAATAGCTTCATGGTAGAACGGTTTTTTATTTCAGTTTAAGTAGCAGAAAAAGAAATGATGATAAAGATGTCCATTTAACGAGACTATATAGAATGGGAAGATCTATACGAGTGAAAAATATTTGCCGTATGTTTTGGCGAGTTCCGGGGGTTGCAACACTTTTATGGTCGGATAAAACCTCGTAATTCCGAAATGGATATACCACAGAACAAGTAAATGTCATAGTTAAACCCGATTGTAAATAGCCAGTAACTATACGCTTATAATCCTGTTGACCTCCATAACACATTCATTAATATTCTTTGCTGTTGTTAATGAATGAACAATATCAAATTGAATATGCAGCCTTATTGGCCTCTAAAGGTCAACCGCTTCCTTCGGAACACTCCAATAGCACCATAGAATTACTCTATAAACTCTTCGATATAGAGAATAACTACGCCCCAACATCTTTACCGGATTTGAAGCGACTTCCTGGCCATCAATGCTTTCCTAAAGTCATACAAACTCCCATGGATCAATATGTCCATACAAAATACACCGACATCCTTCAGGATTATACTTACCTTCCTAACAACGAGGTAATCGAGTTAGTATCGAGGAAACTGACGCTTATTCCCAAGGACTCGCCTGAGGATTCTATTTCTCAATTGCTCGTCAAAGAATTAGCGCTTAAGGTAGCTACTTTGGCCACGATAGCGGGAGGAGATTATCGTAGAGGAGGACTCATACGAATGATCAGGAAATGGAGAGATCTGCTGCAGTATCTGGTAGAATGGAGCAGTATTGTGTCAAATGAATATATTTGTCAAATTATATCCTTACTTATAGATCACAGTGACGAGATACTAGAGATTGAGGACATTGATGAGACGCGACTTCCAAATTGGAGGTGTTTGATTCCACAAGGTGGCATCACCAATAACTTCCGACAAGTGAAGATCTTAGTGCTTCCCAGATACTACCTGTCTGTTTATTTTGATAGGCTTGTGAAGCTATTGGGTATGGGAGAGGGTGGAGCAGGCTCTGTGGATAATCGATTGGAGCTGTTGATAATGGACATGATCCTACGTAATAGTCTTCCCTTAGGGTCAAAGATTGATCAGAAAAAAGGTGTGCTTATCTTTGGAACTCTGGTAGAACCCCCCACTGGTCAAGCACAAATGAATAATCATATTACACAAGTACAACAGTTGCTTACTGAAGCAGTGTCATTAATACCATAAATAATACGCTAACTAACTTTACTTAGAGCTTTCCATATTCAGTAAGCCAATATTGCCTCACCTTTTTGGTTGAACCCAATTGGCTAATATTGGCTACTTCATCTTCGGACAAAGTAAAGTCAAAGATATCCAAGTACTGCTTCAACCTATCAGCCTTGCTACTAGTGGTGATGGGCAAGATACCATTTTGAAGAACCCATCTTAATAAGATCTGACCGGAGGTCTTGTTATACTTTGAAGCGATCTCTTCAACGTACTTAAGCAATGAATCATTGGAATCTCCCTTATATATAGGAGCCAATGGAGAATAAGCTTCAGTCAAAATCCCATGTTTCTTGTCAAACTCAACAATCCCAGGGGTCTGGTTCTGCAAGTAGGCATTGTACTCAATTTGGTGCACTTGAGGTTTATATTTAGGGTTCAGCTTCAAGATGGTTTCAATATCTTCTACAGTGAAGTTGGAAATACCAATTATACGGGCCTTACCTTCATCCTTAGCCTTTTCCAAGTATCTCCAAGCTTCTACAAGATCAAACCCATGAGTCGCCTTCTTAATGAAGGGAGCATGAAGAAGATACAAATCAACATACTCGATTCCATACCGCGTTAATGAAGCTTCTAATGCAGCATAAGGGTTGGCTTCAATACTATGAGCTTTATAACTCAGATCTCCAGCAAAATACTTATCGGTAATGAATAAAGATGACCTGTCAGCTCCAAACTTCCGTATCCCTTCACCCGTCTCTCTGTCGGTGTTGTATACTTCTGCTCCGTCCAAATGAACAAATCCACTGGCTAATGCAGCTTCCACACCTTCCACTAACTTAGTGTTCAAACTGTTATCTCCGTATTTGAACCATTTGGTTCCTGTTCCAAACCCAATGGCGGGGATACTGGTTCCATCTTGTAATACAAACTTATTTCCTTCGAGTGACATGGTCAATGATAAAGTTTGTAGCTTTAATTGTGTCTTAATTCCGGATATGAACATCGATATTTATAGTCTATGGCTCCGAGACCACGCTGACAAATTCACTATTGTGGGGGAATGATATTGGTTGGGCCACGACCGTGCTTCTCTCCTGTTTATCGAAAGTAATATAACCTTGAACAAGTTAGTCCTTGTATTTTGCTTGAACTTTGAAATATATATATATGTAATGTCTTAGTACATGTGATTACGTTATTTGTTTATATATATTTTAAGTTCGTAGATATTACATCGTGATCTATTAAAGTCGTATTAAGTATGCGTAGTAGTATAAGCGAATGATTAAGCATAATGCAATTTTCATAATTGATAAACCCATAGCGACTTTTCTACTGTGGATTATCAAATTAAAACCGAGGATAAATTTTTGTTTTCTGCTTTCATGTTACATCTTGTAACCTCCAAGTTGCAACAACGATTTGGCAACAGAAAACAGATTGGGAGTACCAAAGTCATCTTTAGAAGCTGGTGATGAGCTTAATAGTACCATAGTCTCATCCCCCCCAGCAGCACCAGCGGTACGTGTCTTCGACGATACTTTTGAAACCTCATCTGGAGAGTTGTTGGTCTCTATTACAGTGTCGTCTTCTTCAATTGTGTCTTCATTGGTTATGAGACTGGATACCAAACTTCTAGTGGAGCTGGAATTCTTGATGGGAGTCTTCAAGATTTTCTGTATGGAAGGAAGAGAAGTGCCTCTTGAAAATGACTGATTGTTAGCAATTCGAGGCAATCTAATGGCCAAAGGAGCTGTAGAAGTTGTTGTTGTGGTGGTGGTATTGTTGCTGTTGCTATTCTTGGAATTAATAGTTAAAGCTGTTGTCCGTTGTGGTTGGTGCATAATTGAATTCTTTTTAATTTGTAAAAGTCTAAGCTTTTGGTTTTGTTTGCGGGTTTTTGTTTGGGGTTGGGATGCCACAAATGATAACGAAGGTCTGATTGATTGGGAACGTCCCCCCACATCACTTAAAAGCTTGGTCTTAGTTTGAAGATTGACATTAGCGGATTTGGCATAATTGGTGGCTGCCACTAATGGAGGAGAAATAGCAGTTGGTGGAGAAGGGGTAGGAAGAAACGATTTTTGATGAACCAAGGGGGGGGTCTTGTAAATTGGTGTTGGCAGAAGTGAAGGGGCCAACAAACTCACACACCTTACTGCTGGTTTGGGTTTAGGTTTCTCAGATAAAACACTATTGGTGGTAATACGTGATATGTTGGTAATGGACGACGATCTCGGAAGAATGGAGATATTTTGAATACTATTGTTTGTCTTGTTTAATTTATTCCTTTTTTGAATCTTGTAGAATGCCAATTGAAGCTTCAACTTCAATTTAGTTGCCGCCAATCCAGCAGTATCGTTGATAGTAGGAGACGTGTTCCCAGCAGCAGCTTTAAGCGCTGCGGTAACAGCAGCCGTCACTGATGATGATGCTGAATCTTTGGTTTCAATAGTTTGTTGTTGTTGTTGTTCTTGTTGTTGTTTTGGGCGTTTATACTTGTATTCAGCCATAGAAACGGATTTGAGTGGCGTCAAATCACGGTGCAGTTTCTTACGTGGATATGGAGAAAGGGTGTTGCCTATGACAATCCCACCGCCGCAACGGGTGGCACTAGCAGAGCCTTTATTTATACCATCGGAGGAGTTGGAGATGTTGAGATGGGAGTCTTTGATTTGAGCTAAGGCAATTCTTCTGGGTGTAGTAGTAGAGGCCATAATAAATGGACAAAATGTATGCTAATAGAATATGACTGATGTGAAGTGATGCTAAGTGGTATGGCGTGGTATGGTGGTATGCTAAAGGTATATCTATGACTATCTATTAATCTATAAGGCGTTTTACGTTCAAGTATATATAGAAATATAATGGACAAGTGATGTTTATATTTATTTATTTGTTTGCCTAAAGTTGGTAAGTGTAACTTAGTCTTTGCTTCTCGGATGCACTCGCTTATATGTCTCACTGTTAGATTGTTGTTATTTCTATTGTTGGCCTTGTTGTTCTTTTACGCTTCCTGCTCGCCTTACGGCACGGTCGCGGTGCCAGGGCTTCGCGACTCCAGACAAAAAGAATCTGTGTGCGACATCAATGGAAACATACGTTATTCGTTACGACTAAAGCCGTTTTTTACTATCAATGTATTCTATAATGTCATAAGATCCCACACACTTATACAATATAGATTACGCCATGATGTTACGTTTACTATATAGTGAGTGTCTCTCGAAGTGTCTCCAATGTCTCCCTCCACTGTCCGATTCTAAATTTTGGTTAGACTTTTTTCGCAGTTAACAGTACGCACCGCGTGTGTTTGTTTGTTATGGCTTCCCAGAAGAGTAACAGTACAAAACACGAATCTGGTAATCAAAACATCCGGTTGCAAGTTGCAAATACAACTCCCTAGATCTATCGTTCAAAATGTACCTGTCACTATGTCTGTATGTATGACTGTATGTCTGAATGTATATGTTTGAACCCTTCTTAGAGTTGATCTGATCCATGGATTGTATCCCTTGAATATGTATTAGATATCGTGTCGACAGAAAAGGTCGCGTGTCTTCAAAACATATGCAGACAAGACTGGAACCTGTAGTAAAGGTACTTTAGGAAATCTTCTTACTCCATATCAGTAACGTTTCTATGAGTCAGTAATGAACATAGAACATACAGCAAAAACTTGTACAGAACCCTGATTGGCCATATCTCGATAATAATGTAGGTGTTAATCATAATAATAATAAGAATGTGTTTGGTGTTGAATCTGTCACCAGGGGAACACTAAGGCTTAGCCATTTTGTGTCGGGATCACATCAAACATCTCGTTCGCGCGTACTATTACACCACACCTGATTGAAGTTCATTCAAATCACCCAACCATTAGTATCAGAACTACCGCTGCAGTGTTCGACAATGAACCCAATGGTTAGTGCCAGACATTCTTTCTCTTCATACCGCTTGGCGCTATGAAAAGTTCGATCCGTATAGGGTCCGTCGCTAGGCATTGTCTTCAAGTACATCTGTTTGTGACTATTGATGAGTTTCCTTTTTGGGCGAACAGTGGGGGAAAGAAAACAAGTTCGGTTGTACCAATGAACAGTACGACAATAGCTGATCATATTTACTGAAATACCACATATTGTAATGTCGCCAAACTGCAATGTCACAGTAACGTCGCCACTTTGTAATATCGTCCAGTAATATCATCCAGCTAAAATCACTATACTGTAGTTACTATAATCACACTGGAGTCACCCTAAAAACACGTTGCAGTCTCTCTGTATTACTAGTGTATTCTTGTCTATAGCGTTATCGTTTATGTCTGACATTTTGCCATAATGTCTCACGTTTGGTCCATAACAACCCTCAACCAATGCATCACAGACTATTTATGTTTCTCCTTTGTTTAGACTAATTTTAGACATTTGGACCAAATACCGTTTGCATCTACGCGTTGTTTATTTTCAATGGCAAATATAATTTCCTTAAACAGATTGGTAAACATTCATATTTTCGGAATACTATACTTCGTAAATCTGTACCAAACCTTTATGTTCCTTGGTGATATAACATCAATACACCCCAACACCACTATCCTACATATAACCGACTATGTATTCTAGTTGTGTATGGTACAGTATGATCGCCAAAAGGTCACGATAAGGAGAAGATACTAATACTATACCAACACCACATACTTACCTATAGTTACAAATTCACATATATATATATATATATATTTATCCAAGATGGCATCAGCTTTAAGATCAAAGTTGTCCTCCTTAAGAGAGTACCTTACACCAATCAATCATAGTTCCAATTTCGCCACAACAGGAGAGATTTCCCCTGAGGAGTTTGTTGCCGCTGGAGATTATCTTGTTTCCAAGTTTCCTACATGGCAATGGGGCAAAGCGCCCAGGGCGTTGGCAAAGTCGTTCTTGCCAGAGGACAAGCAGTTTTTGGTGACCAGGAAAGTACCGCTGTATCAACGAGCCAATGATTATCTTGGGGTTTCGCTGAACACAAAAGGAGAAGGCGAACTTGACGGTGATGAAGATGAGTTGGATGAGGATGGATGGATTAAGAATATTGCCAGTGTTAAGCTTGATGATTCCGAAAGACTTGATAAGAAGAGTTCTACGTCTACTGATATTGAAGAGATTTATGAGGATATAGATGACTTTGCTGATGACACAGCAGAAGGAGATGTTAATGATAATGATAATGATAATGAAGAGGATGAAGAAGATTTAGAGGTTATTGACACCAATTCTACCATAAAGCTTCGGAAATACGATCTATATATCACGTATTCTACATCTTATCGAGTTCCCAAACTTTATTTGGTTGGTTTCAATGCCAATGGGATCCCCTTATTACCCCAACAAATGTTTGAAGACATCAATAACGACTACAAGGACAAAACGGCCACCATTGAAAACCTACCTGTTTCTCACAACACCACTTCAGTATCAATTCATCCTTGCAAGCATGCATCGGTAATGAAAGTACTTATGAAGCATTCAGTTAAGAAAGCACCACCGCCACCACTCAAACAAGATGACGACGAAGACGATAAAGACGATAAGAGCCAAGATTTTGGTGTTCGTGTTGATCAATATCTCATTATATTCCTCAAGTTCATTGCCAGTGTCACTCCTGGTATTGAGTACGACTACACTATGGATGCACTTTGAAATTAAGGTTTAGGGGTGGGTGGTTGTATTATTGCGCGCTACCATAACATCATGTGATACTCAACCTGAACGATCAAACAATAAGACCCCCCGACGTATTGATAAGGGAGTAAACACCACTCTATTGTTTATATTGTAAATACTTTTTCTTCTTTTTCTTCCTCTGCTTCTTCTTTTATTAGGGCCGAAAAGTCATGACAGGGTTGAAACAAAGGAACAAGGTCACTGATCAACAGAGGGAAGACAATGGAGGGGTATCCTCAAGTGTTCGCACTCCGGGGGTTAATGCTAAGGTGAAGGCGAAAGTTGATGAAGATGACACTGAAGGTGGGAGTGAAGAAGAAGAAGAAGGCGATGATAATGATGATGAAGAAGAAGAAGATGATGATGATGGCGATGATGGAACTCCTCCCAACACAATTGAACCTACAACTCCTACGAAGTCAAAGAAAAAACTTCATCATGTTTTCACCAAAGGGTTGGTGAGGGCTCAATCACTTACTAAAAAATCCAAATCAAAGTCGGCGGCTAAATATAAAGAGGGTAAGACTGAAAATTCCAGAAGATTCTATCAAACTCGTAGAGTTGTGTTTGTGTTGGGTGCTGTGATTGGTTTGGCTTTAACTATTATCTTCTCACTGGATGCTCTGTTGCCGGAATTTGCGCCGCTGTTTGTTAGTGAATTGGATAAATACATTAACATTGATTCAGTGAATGATTTCCTTGAAGATTGGAAGGATGTCATCCCCACTTCGATTCAAGGAATTATTGGTGATATGGGCATTGAACATGAAACCGAAGATGCGATTCATGGATCAGCTGAGCTGTTTTCCGTGGGTAGAAGAATGGCAAAGCAATACAATGTCACTAGGAAATTTAACGTGCTTCTTGTTCCTGGTACCACCTCTACTGGTATTGAATCTTGGGGGTTAGACAATACTGATATTAGTTGTCCTTCGCAACCACATTTCCGTAAGAGATTATGGGGTTCTTATTATATGCTTAAAACCATGATTATGGATAAATCTTGTTGGTTGAAACATATTATGTTGGATCCTGTTACGGGCTTGGATCCACCAGGAATTAAATTGAGAGCTTGTCAAGGTTTTGAAGGCGCCGATTTCTTTATGGCTGGATATTGGATTTGGAATAAAGTTTTGCAAAATTTGGCAGTCATTGGATATGATCCAAATACAATGTTAAGTGCTAGTTATGATTGGAGGTTGGCGTTTTTGGATTTAGAACGTCGTGATGCTTATTTCAGTAAATTAAAGGAATCAATAGAACTAAACAAACGTCAAACAGGTGAAAAGACTGTCCTTGTTGGTCATTCTATGGGTGCACAAGTTATTTATTATTTTATGAAATGGGTTGAAGCAGAAGGACCTTTATATGGTAACGGAGGTTCTCAATGGGTCAATGACCATATTGAAGCATTTGTTGATGTTTCAGGTACTTTATTAGGAGCTCCTAAATGTGTTCCAGCTTTAATTTCTGGAGAAATGAAAGATACGGTTCAATTGAATGCTATTGCAATGTATGGATTAGAGAAATTTTTTAGTCGGAAGGAAAGAGTTCAATTATTGAGATCTTTTGGAGGTATACCTTCAATGCTTCCCAAGGGAGGTGATTTGATTTGGGGTACTTTGACTGAAGCACCAGATGATGTGCTTGGATTATTAAATACTAGCATTGCTAGTGAAGAAGCCAAAACAATGAAGGCCAAATCTTATGGTACCTTTATTGAATTAGTTAATAAAACTGATTCTTCTTTATCGCGGAATTTGACTGTTGCTGATAGTCTTGAATATTTATTGGACACTTCTCCTGAATGGTTTGTTAATCGTATAAATGAACAATACTCTTATGGAGTTGCCAAAACCAGAAAAGAATTGGAAGAAAACAACAAACACCATAGCAAATGGTCTAACCCACTTGAAGCTGCATTACCCTATGCCCCTGACATGAAAATATATTGTTTCTATGGAGTTGGAAACCCTACTGAAAGAGCTTACAAGTATGCAGATGCCGGTGGGCTCACTGATTTAGACATTACCATAGATCCTGATTCTCCGGATAGAGTTACCATGGGAGATGGAGATGGAACAGTGTCATTACTAGCCCATAGTATTTGCCATGAATGGCAGAAGGGTTCAGCCCTGAGATACAATCCAGGGAACTCTAAGGTAACCATTGTTGAAATGAAGCATGAACCAGATAGATTTGATATTAGAGGTGGCGCAAAGACTGCAGAGCATGTTGATATTTTAGGTTCTGCAGAATTGAACGAATTGATTTTGAAAGTCGCTGGAGGTCTTGGTGATACGATCCAAAACAGATTTATAAGTAATTTGGGAGAGATTGTTGAAACTCTTGACATTTAATTAATTAATAAATATAGGCATATATATATATATATACGTAAGGGTGTTACAACTCTATCACCAATGGTAGCGCCCAATTTAAGAATCATACAATTTGAACATGAAAAACATACACGTACAATCAACAAAATATCTCTTTATCTCCCTTAAACATAGTAATATAACCAGTAATAATATCACTATGAGGTATGTAACGGAATCAAATGGTTCCATATAATCAACGTATTCTAATTGGAACAATCCAGAACCTCGAAGAACCATAACAATATATACTAACTGTAATCAAGTGGACGCATTGTAAGAGCATCTAAATATAGACACGTGTTTGGCCAACCAGCCAAAAAGGAATTATGCTACGAGAACTTGAAGGTGACCACTAATGCGTGGGACTCCAATATTATCCAATGCAATGGTAAATATTTGAGTGTTAATTGGCAAGCCTCTGGTGGTGGAGCATTTGCAATTATTCCTGTTGGTGAAGTGGGTAAAGCCCCTGACACCCCACCATTATTCCGGGGTCACAAAGCTCCAGTATTAGATACGGCTTTTAACCCATTTAATTTAAATCAAGTGGCCAGTTGTTCTGATGATGGTAAGATTCTTATTTGGAACATCCCAGAAGATTATTCCTTCCACAAGTACTTTGATGATGAAGATAACGTAATTGATATTACGGAACCTTTCAAGGTGTTATCTGGACACTCCAAAAAAGTAGGTCATTTGGAATTCCATCCTTGTGCTGAAAATGTATTAGCTTCATGTTCTTTGGATTATACTGTAAAAGTTTGGAACTTGGACTCAGGTAAAGACGTTGTCACCTTACCCCATAAGGATTTGGTTACTTCATTTGCCTTCAACTATAACGGTACACGTTTGGCTACAACTTCTAGAGATAAGAAATTGAGAGTATGGGATGTACTCACTGGAGAAATCATTTCTGAAGGTCCAGGCCATACTGGTGCGAAGCCCTCAAGAATCATCTGGTTAGGTAATACTGACCGGGTTCTTACTACTGGGTTTTCTCGTTTATCGGATCGTCAGATTGCTATTTGGGATGCGAGTGACATTTCCAAAGGTCCTATTGATGGGTTCCTTGTCCTTGATGCTTCATCCGGTGTTTTAATCCCATCCTTTGATGCTGGTACTAATATTTTATATTTGGCAGGGAAAGGTGATGGAAACATTCGTTATTATGAATATGATAATGATATTTTGTATGAATTATCTCAATACGGTTCAACAGAACCTCAAAGAGGGTTTGCCGTGGCTCCAAAGAGATCCGTCAATGTTAAAGAGAACGAAGTGTTGAGAGCCTATAAGACAGTTAAAGATACTATCATTGAACCCATTTCTTTTATTGTTCCTAGAAGATCAGAATTGTTCCAAGATGACATTTATCCTGATTGTCCTTCTACACAACCAGCTTTAACTGCAGAAGAGTTCTTTAGTGGGAAGAAGGTTAATGGACCTTTATTGATGGATATGAGATCAATTTTTGAAGGTACTGAAGCTACTATTACTCTGTCCGCTGCTGCAGTGGATGTTTCTAAAGCCAAGGAAGAAGCTGCTAAGGAAAAGAAAGAAGCCGCTAAACTAGAAGATGTGAAGGAAAAGGCTGCCTCATCTGCTAAGTCTTCGCCAGCTCCATCACCAGCTCCAGTCTCTGCGTCAAGATCTTCCACTCCAAAGAATGTAGATGATGTTTTGAAGTCTTCAGATAAAGTCGATAGTCTTCTTAATAAGGTCAATGACAAATCTGATGATGATGATGATAAGTTTCTCAAATCTTCTACTGATGATGATTGGGAAGAAGTAAAGAAACCAGAAGAATCTAAACTCCTTGAAACTAAGTCTATTATTGAGAAAGAACCGGTTAAGAAAGAAGAACCAAAGGTCGAAGAACCAAAGGTCGAAGAGCCAAAGGTTGAGCCAAAGAAGGAGGAACCAAAGGAAGAACCAAAGGTTGAAACAAAGAAGGAAGAGCCAAAAGCTGAGCCAAAGAGAGAGATTTCATCTTCATCTACGAAATCTACAGCAGCTCCAACCTTAAAACAAACTGTTGAGCGTCTTGCTGGTTTGGTGGACAGATTAGAATCTCAAGTTACTGTTTTAACAGAAGCAGCATTAAAGAAGGACGACAGGATTAACCAATTAGAAGACAAGTTGGATCAAATACTTAAGAAATAAGACGATTTTTCACTATTAAAAACTATTCCTTTATATCATAAAACTTTCTGAAGATAAAATTGCAAAGATTTTGCGTATTAAAGAGGGCCATTCCTGAGAATATAGTCACAGTTTCCTTCTGATCATATTGCATGTTTAAGAAGTCATCCAATGATATCCTTTCACAAGCTCCTTGAACATTAATTGAACCATTGGCAGCTTCAATGGTAAACTTTCCAACCTCATGACAACTAAACATAAAGTCCAATTTTGAAGAAGAACACATAGCTTTACCTAAGAGTCCCTTGACATCTAAAAGAATATGTTGATCTTGTAACTTCTTTGCAGAATATTTATATGAACCAAACTTTGGGAGTCTATTAGACTTTCTTAACTCTCGATGATAGAAATATTGTTTACTGAAAACTGGTATAATGTTGAATATCTTTTTATCCTTTGGAATCGATTGTAATTGACCAAGCAATTGTTCAATATGGTTATTATAGTCTTCCAATTGTTTGGTCAAGTACTTTTCCTTTTCACTCAATTTGAAGATGGCTCGAGAAACAGTTGTAAGTTGTTGCTTTCTGTTAATTCTTTGGGAATCTTTTGTCTTTATATCCATTGCAATTTGGTTCAACAAGTCCTGGAAAGAATTTCTTCTTGATAGTTGACCCATTTGTTCCAACTTCAATAGTATCTCAAGACATTTTTTCTTCAAATCATGGAACGAAATGGAATTCAACTCACTCAAATAGGTGGCATGAAGTCGATTATTATTATTACTCTCTTGCTTTTGTTCTTCAATGAGTTGTTTGAATTTAAATTCGTGTTCCTTGGATATACCAGCCACCAATGTCTCCAAAAGTGTGGGTTCATCTTGTACCATGATGATATTCAAAAGATACCGTTTTGCTTGGGTGAATAGTGATCTTGATTTTGCATCTATAAGAGATTCCTCCTTTGATGTTGGGTTTAAATTTAACGTCACTAATCCTAGCTCAGCAAATCTAATGTATTGGTCACTGGAATAACTTAGAGATTGAAGTTTCTTCAATACTCCCAATAATTGATCGTCTTCACTGGGGACAACGATGTCCACATTCTCTAAGATCATCTTCTCCAACTTGAACATATCACTGGTCTTCAAACTAAGAACAGGCTTGGAATGCACAACTATATCGTCATAATCGTTCATGTTGTATTCATCATCTAAATCATTAACACTGATCAAGGTCTCAATGATACTTTTGATTAACTCAGTGGTCGAGTCAACATAGTCATTCAAAGGCTTTAAGAAGTTATCAGTGAATTGTTTCATGGAAAACAACTGAAGCATAACCCGACTCAAATGCTTCAAGTTTGCTCTGGTATTGGTATCGTTGTGCACTGGATTTCTGGAGTCCAAGATGCCAAAGTTCTCTGGGTAATGCAAGATTGGCGAGACATAGTGCTTGATGAAAATAACTCCAGCGACTGCAAGATGCTGAGTGTTTGACTTTTCAGGGAAATTCAATTGAGATAACTTGTAAGCCTTTTTAGCCACAAGCTTTACGTGTCTTGGAACAGACGACATAGAGGACTCCAAAATGTTTGTAAGTAAGGAAGCAGCTTCTCTTAGTGATAGCAAGTTTTCAACAAATTGGTTAGAAATTTCGGGATCTTTAATAGCCATATGAGGAGAAATGCCCTTCTTATGAGTACTGGACCCCAAGAGTCTCAAGTCTCTATCGACAATATTGTCGTTTATCAAGGAAGGATCAGATTCATAATCAAGTTCACTTCTTTCCACAATTCCCTGGACAAAGTTTCCAATCATTTTCTTCAAATGGTGTCTTTGGCTGGTATGACGATTGTAAAGTAGGAACAAATCCAACCAATAACACGATTGCATCTTGGTGATGTCTCCAATGTTCTTGCATCTGAACTCAATGTCATCACTGATTATACAGAACATTAGTTTCATGAGATAGTATTCCTCTCTGGTTTGAGCATTAATATTGTTGTTGGTGATGGGGAAAATCATATTCACACAATGGGTTAAATCTGTCACGAGGGTCGTGGTCCGACTCTCTAAGGATAAATTCCTATAGAAATTGGCCAAATATGTTGGTTTTGTTTGAAGAAGAAAGAAAAGAGATTGATATAACTCGATTCTTTCTCTGGAAGATTTGTCCATATTATCAAGATTCAAATTGGAATGAGTGGGTTGAACCATTTTAAACTTATTTCTTTCTTTAATGAATTGTTCAATGGTGATTTTATTTTTATCTAAAAGTGATAATTTCAAATCCAAGTTTTCGATATTCATTTCCAAGTTATCATTCTTTTTGGAAAGTTCAATGACTTTATCTTTTTGTTCGTTCAATGCCATCTCTTCGACATAATCTGCTTCATTCGTAGAGAGCAAATGAGCAAACCGTTTGATAACTGGGAATGGACAATTCTTTTTCGTCATTAATGTCTTATAGGCATCCCTGGTGATCTTAGCCTTGATAATAGCTTGAGCCTTGACAACCTTATCATAATTTTTCTGGTAGTGAAGTCTAAAATCTTCCATCAGTTTTTTAATTGGTCTGGCTCTAATAAGTGCTTGAAGAGAAATGATAGAGTCTATTTCATCATAAACATCTTCCAACATAATGTCTCTTTGGAATCGACAATAAAGACCTCTGAAAAGTGATTGGATGGGAACGATCGATTCCTTTTTGCAACGTTCCAATTGGAATTTTTTGATTTGAATGTCTTTCCTGACTTTGTTACCTCTGATTTTGGAGAATAACCCATTCATTATGAAATCTTCATAGAGCAACGAGACCAACACATTATCAAAGAGTCTTGTTCTGGAAATAGCACCTTTGGCAATACTTTGAAGTTCTTTTATAGTGTTAACTTCACCTTCCACAGCCGTGCGCATCTTTCTCACATTCATTCTGACTTTAAAACCTCTGATATAAGATTGCAATTTGGTGGTGGACTCAATGGCTTCAAACCCGCTTATTTTCAGCGCTGCACCCCGTCTGTAGATAAGCAGACGACTGTGGGATTGCAATCTGATGACAGAGGGTAAGATTTCGTCCATTGAGTGCAACACAGGGACCACTTTACACGATACCGTTTTGGTACGTATTTTGTTTTGCAATTCAATGATAGAAGGTTGTTGCTTCCTAATACTTTCTTTCAATGAAGCCAACTTTCTTCTGACCATGTGTCCACGGATTATACTTTGGAGGTCGTCATGGATAGCGGCTTTGTTCATAATGGTATTTCTTCTTTTGATGGTCAACTTTGCTCTGATTAACGACTGCAACTCTGTGATTTCGTCTTTATAAAGAAGCAAGTGGTCGCGGTGCTTATGGACCGACTTATCTCTGGAAAATTTCCCTCTGATGATCGATTGGAAATGAGTGAACTCTTCGCCATAAGATTTCAAAAGAATACGATCAACAAACATGTTATATCTGAAGTTTGCACCTCTTGCGAGCGATTGAAGTTTAATGATTTTCGCTTCGTGCGACTGAAGTTCGCCCAATGCTGAAGCGTTCGACTTTATGCTCGCACTAACATTTTCCTGTTCCTGCTCTTGTTCCTGTTCAAGATCACTGGTATCAATTGCTATACTTGATTGCTGCTTTGGTCTTCTTATGAAATCAGACCCCAGCGGAGGTTCTAAAAGGGTCTTTCCCCTTAAGATGCTTGTGGTTTCCAAGAAGGGGTTATCTTCTGTTTGCATTGCCTGTTCGACCAAAATTCTGGCTTTCAGTTGAGGCGACGCATTAACAAACGATAGCGTGGGTTTGGGTTCAGGCGACAATTCTGGTCGTTTCAACGGTCTAGGAATGAATTTCAGTTGCGAGTTATATTGTTGGATGGAAGGATCAGCTCCAGAATCCGCACTGGTGAAGTTAGGTAAGCCAACGCCAACTAGTGATCGGTTTGACTGACGAATCTCTTCTTCCAGAAACAGTAATTTCCCTACAAGAACAGCCACCGGAGGATATTCCGGGAACATGTTGTTGATGATGAAACTTAAGGCATGAAGACAAAACCAAACTTTAGGAACGTTTTTGGCATCGTATAAATCTGTCAATTCGAACCGGAAAAGATCAGGAATGTTTAAGTAGTCCAATAACTGGAAGAATATATTTATGTTTTCTGTATGTTTGAATTGAAGTTTTCCGTCCACAAGGAACACTCTTCTTTTCAGTGGTAAAAAAACATTAGATAATTTCGCCAAATGTATACCGTTCTTAATGTACGCAATCATTTCAACAGGCGACAAGTCGATTTGTTCTTGGAGTACAAGCTCCAACCAATCCTTAATGGCTTGAATACGACATAAATATTCGTATCCTGGCAGATCGGTCGACGTACTGTTGCTTGGAGATGTAAGGTAAGGCGACCTTCTTGGAGCTGGAGAAGTTGATGATGGTGTTGATTCTAGGGGGTTCCCTAAGGAAGGGATTTTAGAAGGTGAAAGTCTGGGAGTTTTATTCCGTGACAAAACGTCTTTGTAGTTTGCTGTAGCCCAACTGGGTTTCTCGTCAGAATCATCAAGTTTAATTGGCAGTCTTGGTGTTGGGGTCTTATTATTGTTACTGCTATTGTATTTTGTAGGACTTGAACTGTTGCTGAATGGAGATGTTGAACTTTTGGTGGATGATGACTTGAAAGAAGATACAGTTACTGAAGGAGACTCAAACCTAGATCTTAAAAGCGTAGTGGTGGAAGAAGCAGTGGTTTTAGATGACGGTGTTGTGATGTTCATATCAGCCGCCAACTTATCTAAATCGTTTTTGAATTGTCCAGCATTCAATTTGGAAGATGGTTGTAAAGCATTTTGCTTCCTACTACTGTTGCCACCAACTTCATTGAGGTTCACAAGATACCGCTGTGCGACCCCATTGCTTCGTGTGGGCGAAGCCATGGCTAACGATGATAATGATGATGATGATGATGATGGGAAGAGAGTAAGTACAACTTAGAGTTGACGTATTTTATGGCTATAAATCTAATATCATTGGGTTACATTCCCAAAACAGTCGAAACCAAAACATAAACAATACAATGGCACACCTGTGACGAGAACAGGTAGTGCAAATATCGAGTTCAACTGGGTTGTGTTAAGGTACAACGTGATAGCTGAAGGTTAGTGTCTAATTGTTATTTAGGGTGAAAAGATGGCGTATGGGATTATGTTATATTCGGCACTTACGTTATATTGTTATCATGGGCCAACTCGTCTTCTGTTATCATGTGACCTTCTTAATAAACCTAAGTTGGATTACGTAATCATGGGGCTCAGTGTACCACATAATACATAGTATATATAAATACATAGTATATATAAATACATAGTATATATATTACAATGCCTATTTGCAGTATATCTACTATCCGTTTCCAATTATACAGCCATTCATATGTGACCCATAACATCTTATCCATAACCTTTGCGTAGTCCACCTCATTATAAATATTGCATAGAAACGCACTGAGAACAAGCAAAATGATGTACTCATTAAAACTAGTGAATCAAATAAACTATGTATGTTTAAAAAATGTCTTTCTTCTATTCTCTTTCTCTTTACTGAGAAGTTTGCACAGCTATTCGTTATCAATCGATTATAAACCAGTAGATACCTCAGGTATCTTTTCCTATCTTTTTAATCATGATTCGTTAGACGGTTAATATTTTGTGCCAGCAATACGCTTTGTTGTGCACTACATCAGTTTTACTAAGAGCCACCACTGTTTATTGTTTTCTATTCATTAAACACGGTTTCCAAGTGGTTTTAAACCATAGAATGCTTCTCTTCTTGTCAACTCAGTGATATTGTCACCTAATGTGAGCCTGACACACACGACAAAAGTTTTGCAACCAGTATATAAATTACTAACAATTGTACTACGTAAATTTACAACCTTAATCTTAACCAGTATAATTTAGAATAAGACAGACGCAAATTCTTTATTATTGAAATTATCGACTTATAATGACTTCTGTTCCTACTATTTGTGACAGGTCACAGGGAAACACAAGACCCGAACACCAGCGTAGCCAACTATTGTAGACGGCAATTCACTGAGTTTCGGCCGAAGCACAAGAATGTATGTTTTTGGCAGCTCACTTCATTTACGTCTGTTCGACTTCCCTGCTACACAATGCTTAATTATACCCTTGCAATAAGTGGAGATGGACCTAATTCATTACTAGGTTCTTCGCTCGTGTTGTTTTGAATTTCACCGTGTCTTTGTAAGGCGAAAGGAAGTTAATAACAATTCTCAATATCACTACCCGTACTAGACGAGTTTTATGTTTGTAACAGTAAAAGTTGTTGCTACCTAAGGTTGTGCGGGAGGCAACAGCTCAATGCCTGGAGGTATTTAGCTCTAGGTCGTTGTATTGGTGCTCCTACATACAGCGATATATCATTAAGGTACAGTCTAAGGTACACAGTCGTGCACCAAACAATATTTGGTTGCAAAAAACAAGGTGAAGGATGAACGCAGATGGTAACAACAACAACAAAAGGAATACCTATAATTCTTTACATCAAAAGTATATAAAGTCTACCCATAGTAAGTTAGTTAAAATCAGGTTTTTAAAATATGATCTATCACTTTGTAATATCTCCAGCGGTGTTCAACTGTTGAAGTTTTGGGACATGTACTTTGAATTCGTGTGTTCCTCGTGTCATGACTCATCAAACCAAAACCCCAGAGCTACAGCCATTGCATCAATGGATAGCAATCGTTACTGGAAAAATGGGTAAAGCTTACACCACATAACGGCTTTGAATAATTGTTGATACATTGTTTAGCATGAAGTTATACACATCATATTTAAACAAAATGAAATCAATCACTATAAAGAAAAAACCTCCAATATTCACAGGCTAATTTCACTACCACCAAAGGATGCCTCTCAACCAGGGCTTTCAAATAATCCCAAAACCCCAAAAAGTTTTGGTTTTTGGCGTTAGGGACCATTTCATGGCCACTAATTTAAGCCGGTACTACCATATTTTATTATCAAGCCTATATACCAGTGCACATACCAAGTAACCAACATTTGCTATAACGCTCAAGGACGTTCAAGGTTACTATCGTTGGATTCCTCTGAAGCAGGCGAACAAGTTGATATACAGTTGTCCTATACTTGCACGCGCGCCAAGTTATTAAATACATAAGCGTTCGACTTTCCCACAAAACAGCTTTCAAATGAGCCTACCTGCGAAAGGCAAAAAAGTGTTTTGGCTATTTGACTGAAAAATCCCAGCGCGCATACCAAAAATACTGACGGGGCTACCAAAATAGAATAATCTGGCTCTGATTTACAAGTTGAAGATTGACTACATTTAATTGGAGTTGTTTTTTGTTTGCTGAGTTCATGATACCAAACTAAAAGACACATATTATCTTTTGGGATGTTACTGGTAGCGCTGATTACGTGCTAGCGACAAAGGTAGTAATGGTGAAGATCAAAGACATAATAAATTTACATACAAAGCCTTATATTCATTATCAGAGCATTAGTTATCAATAATGATAAAACCAATAGTCCACCTATTACACAGAGACGAACCAGGTGAGGATGAAGTTGTAGATATTCCCTTTGGACTGGCGATCTTGTGGGTAATAATAACATTTGTGTCATAGTAACCATATGCAATAGAAGAAGCTATTGAATAGCCAATTACAGTATCATGATTATCCAATGTTGTATTGCTTCCTTTGCTGTATACACTTAACCATCCTAGCTACTGATAAGAACTCAAGTATGTATGTATAGCGTTATGGCTTTTGACTGCACAGCTAAACCATCGATTTCCCAATTAGGCAATTTGTGACGTGTTTATAGTAATACGTCTTATACAATTGTGGTCCAGGTTAGTGTCTGCTTTCTAATGTGTCTGGGCCATTTACAGTATGATACAGTAGTAACAGGGTACAGCAACGGTGTATATACGTATAAACGCTTGTCATCATACACTCAATTCATAAATAGTCTAAACCCTCGGATTAATTTGGACGAGTGCTTATCGATGGAAATTCTTCTCACATACAATTGTTTGTTTCATTCGGACAAATAGGTCCGATGTGCCATCTCAACCTTGAAGCATCACCTTCATCTTCATCTCCATCACCATGACACGACAAGATCATCTAGGGAAAGGGAAACAGGTATCACCGTTTGATGCATTGATAGCCGGATCAATCTCCGGTGGAGCAGCTCGTATGCTTTCTGCACCATTAGATACCATCAAGATCAGATTACAACTTCAAACCAACCGATATAAGGAAAGAATAAACCCATGGCAAATGGCCCAGAATATCATTAAAGGAGAAGGAATTACTGCTCTATGGAAAGGTAATGTGCCAGCCGAGGCATTATATGTATTATATGGGGCTATTCAATTTTCATCCTACACTTATTTAAATAATCAATTCAATCGTTTGAACTTGAATCCTTCAGCCCAAACGTTACTCATAGGAACCATATCTGGGGTCATCAGCACAGCTCTAACGTATCCCTTTGACTTATTAAGAACCAGAATGGCTGCCAACTCTCAGCCCGGGTTTGTCTCCGTGTCAAGTGTTAGTCGTACTATCATGAAGGAACATGGGTTGAAAGGGTTCTATTTGGGGTTCGTCCCTGCCACGGTGTCAATAGCATCTTATAGTGGGATCATGTTTTGTACTTATGAATGGGCAAGGGAGTTCTCTCTGCGTTTCCAGAAGGAAGTACCCTTTGTAGAAGGTTTCTGTGGGTTTATTGCCGGAACAGTTTCTAAAGGTGCAACCTTCCCATTAGATACAATTAGAAAGAGAACCCAAGTGCAAAAGATAAAGATTTCTCTGGTGGAAATGGCTAAACGAATTCTAAGAGGTGAAGGTCCTTATGGGTTCTATAAGGGATTCGGAGTTAGTCTTGCAAAATCTGCTCCCAACAGTGCAGTGACGTTGTTCTTGTATGAATATTGTTTAACTCTTATCCTCAAGGCAAAACTACTAGAATAAATATTCTTCCGAATCACTACCTTCTGTAACCGTCCTGCGGTTGGTATCTAAACTACCATTTAAATTGATAAAGTCAACATCGTCTCCATTATCTTCGTCACTATAGGCATAATAATCTTCTTCGTCCTCACCTCCGTTGATAGGCGAATCATTCATTTCCCCGTATATTCGGGTTAACAGTTGAGGCAGTATATATTCGTGATCTTCATCTTCAATGTGAATTTCTTCAGTCGTAGTGCCGTTGTCTTGTGTATCTACTTCATTACTCCTAGCATACATTTGCTTTGAAGTGTCCACTAGACTCTTAATACGTGAATTATGGTTTCGGTTCGTTTTGGCTTGAACATCTTCTGGGTGCTGTCGTTCGATTTCCTCCTCCGAGTCTCTTCTTCCTTGCGGTAATTGTTGAACAATATATGCTGGAAGAGAGTCTCCTACTAGCGAGTGCCTGCGGTTGTTCGTCTGAGTACTTTGTAATGGAGGACCTTGCGGCTTAACATTATTATCACTAATAACATTCTTCTTTCGTCTGTTGATTCGTAGATGGAGTCCACCCATAAGCTTATTCTCCTTTGATGCTTTCTTAGTAGAAGCAGCAGACACGTTAAGTGCCCTAACCTCTGGCTTTGTCAATACATTGATGTTGGTGATACTTGTAGCTGCATTCCCTCTCAATTGTTGAGGCAATTTGGTAATGCTGGGTTTAGGACGCATTAACAGGAGTGAAACCGTCTTCTCTTGACCTGTTAAGCTCGGAAGTTCGCTCTGTAGTGGTTGCGGTGGGGCTGCTTCCTTTGAGAATTGGGGCAAGTTAAGCTCTTGGAGTATTTTTCTGGCATTCAATTGTGCTCTCTGTGTTCCAACCAACAAGACGTTAGTAACATCATACTTGTCCTGAGGGAAGAGGAGTTGGTTAATCGCATCATCAACTTCACATTTAAGGAACTCGATCTCTTCTATTCCAGTTCGTGTACATAACTCCTTGTAGTCAATCATATCATACATTCGACTTGGATTGGATGTCCAATCTAGACTTTGAATGTATGTCTTTAGGGTGGCATTGGTCTGTTCACTCCAGTCTATCTGATATTATGTCTGTTAATTTAAGCTCATTAACAAGTCATGGTAACAATACATACAAATGTCGGAACACCAGTCATTGAGTCCGATATCCAGGTGGTGGTTATTACTAACTATAGTCTGATTTCATATCTTTATGAGTACACTACATAGAGATTATACCTGATGTAGGTAACTTAAGATTACGTAAGCTGTTACATCATCTTCGCATATAAGCACCTCTCCTCTTACATCCCCATACTTAACTTTCAAATACTCCCACCAAATAATCTCTTCCTCTATTCAATATGACTTCAATTGCCCGATTAGACTCATCAGAATGGACTCGAATACAGTCTGGGGTAGTGGCACCGGACTTTGCCACTGGAGTTAAGGGTATCTTTATGAACAGCTTAGAAGGTGGAGCCACTAACATTGATCTAAGAGTTGATTTCTCGTCTCTAAGTCTCTTCTGCAAGGATAACGGTGAAGGCATAACCAAAGCTCGACTAGAACATATAAGTAAGCAATCCATGAATAGACGTACAGGTAACTTAATTCGTTCGTTAAGTACCATGTCTCGACTAACCATCATTAGCCATGTTGAAGGTGTTCCAACCACTTACATCACGGAGGGTTTGCTGCTGGTAAAACCTTATATTGAACATCACCTGTACAACGATGGTGTATTCAATATAGGAGAAGATTCCCTTGTTTCAACTCATGGTACAGTGACCATTGTGTCGAACTTGTTCTATAACGTCCCAGTTAGAAGGACCCAATTGCTTCTGATTCCTCGATATAAACTAGAGAACCAACTACGTGAGGTTATACTTGAAGCATTGATGGAAGCAACTAATTACACTACTGGAGTTTCACTTAACGTATCAGTAGTATCGTCGTTGGGGAAGGAATTAGTTCCCTTGCTACAATCTGATTTAAGTCTTTCTAGGTTTTCATTTGAAGATCTTCTACACGATATTTTTGGGTTCAGCCGTGCTTTCATGAACTTTGACTGTGACGACAAGGACGACTCTATGAGCGTTAGAGGCGTTGTATCCCGTTTCTTCGTTCAAACAACAAGGTACCAATACATTTTCATTAACAACTCCAGGGTGAAGATTCCACGGTCTATTAGTAGAACCTTGAATCGAGTTTTTGAAAGTGTAAGCTTTGAAAATGATCCTACTTCTTTGAATAGTCCAATCAAAGGTGGACAAGGAGTCCAGAAGGCTTCTTGGAGACCGTATCTGAAATATCCGGTGATAATGGTGAAATGCTCAACTAAGTCCAACACAATTCCGAGTCTGGATCAATTGGATAAAATATTTAAAGTCATATGTGAAAGTATGAGAGAATTAATAAGTGTACATGGTGTTCCCACAATTGAGTCTCCCAGGAAACCAACTATCCGAGGAAACAAAGTTTGTCCGAATAAGCGAATGATAACCATCGTTTCTCCACCCATATCAGACCCATGTTTGGAGCTGAGATATTCGAGCTGCAACAAACGCACTATTGATTTAATGAATCGCACGTCGTTGTATCAGATCCCAAAGCATGGTTTCAAAAATTATGATTTACGAGTGGTTCGACAAATTGATAATAAATTCATCATGCTATCCATGGGTCTCGATCGAGTGAGCGATCGTAAACATGTTCCTGTTCTAATGTTGCTAGATCAACATGCTTGTGACGAGAGAATTCGAGTGGAAGAACTCTTTAAAGAGTTTATTGAAAGTATTATTGATACTAACGTAACTCTCGGCACGAGGTTAGATAAGATTGTTGAATTTGATGTTGTTGCGTCTCAAGTTGGAATGTTTGAATGCTTCAAGCATAACTTTATAAAATTTGGTATTCAATATGAAATCAACCATAAGCGTATTCTGGTTACTCATTTACCAAGAATCATATCTACTCGTGACTCTACATTTATTGAACGGTCAATGCTTCAACATTGTTACGACCTAGACATGCATTCTAAACAGGTGAACTTTGACTTTAACAAAAGTGATTGGTTTCATGGCATACCTCATCTACCACAGGTCTTTGTCGATACCATCAACTCCAAGGCCTGTCGATCCTCTATAATGTTTGGTGATGCATTGGATAAACAGGAGATTGAACATTTGGTGCTTTCTCTAACACGATGTCAACTTCCATTCCAATGTGCACATGGGCGTCCATCAATAATACCCTTATTGGAATTATCTAATTCAGATATCACTGGAACTTATGCTACAGACTAAAAATACTGGTTTCAATAAATAAAAAAAGAATGGTCCCTGGCGGGATCGAACCGCCGATCTTGGCGTTATTAGCACCACGCCTTAACCAACTGGGCCAAGGGACCAATCTACAAACTAGTGAGTGCGAATACATAACATGTGGCTCAAAACAGCAAAATTACTGCATGCAACGCTTACTTTTGGAAACAGCGATGCTCATCTCTATTTATGCATATGGTTCTACCTAAACGTCCACCACCTAAGAGACCGATATAAGCAATGAAGGTGGTAGTAGCAGCAAACGATACCGGGGCCATCAAGGAGGTGGTGTTCAATCGTGGAACTGATACGTCGAAACAAGATGGTTTACAGCCTATATCGGTGAAGAACTTTTGTGTGGAAGAGAGTACCCGAACCAGAATACTTCAAATGGTCAATTATGGTAATAGATACTTGATTGCATCACGTCTTGGAGGCAGAGTTTGTGTTTATGATTTGGAGAGCCATTCTGCAGAAGACGTTCCAGATGAAGATAAGTATAAGTTGGTTCACACATATCAAATAGCATTAAATGAGCCTAATGATAAATCCATAGCATTGATACCCTTTGAAGCTGAGGAGTTGGTGGTGATTGCATTTGAATCCGGGAAAGTGGTGTTGATCAACATGATGGACGACTTTTCTAAAGATGATGTCCGCCCTATTGAGATCCAATTAGATGAAAAGGTGCCTATTTCAGTGTTTGTGGCCAATCCTTATGAAACAGGAGTATTTGCTTATGGAGGTAAGGAACTTGATGTCAAGATAGTGAAGTTGTTTGACGATTCTATCAATGTTAAGCAAAATGATGATAATGGAGGGTTCAAACCTGAATGTTTATTCTCAGCTAAGAATGTTAAGAATGACCATCTTGACCTTAGAGTACCCATTTGGATCACTGGAATTCAATTTTTGGAGTCCGAGAGTTCAGGGTCATACAAACTCATCACCACTACAAGATACGGACAATTACGTATATATAATACCTTGGAAGGGAAGAGACCAAGACACGATTATCAATTATGTGAAAAGCCCGTTCTTACGGTCAACTTTGCTAACGAAGACCACACAGAAGTGATAATAACTGATACTCATACGTTAATGGGTAAGTTTTCTCTCACCAATGTGGACTCCAGAGGGTTCCAAATGCATTCTGCTAGTGCTGGCGATATTGTCAAGCCAACTTTAAAGCTTCTTGGGAAATATTTAGGAGGGAACACCGGTGCTACGTTTGGTACAGATGTTGTCGAAGATGAGATGTTTGCTGCTGCAGGATTGGATCGGTATTTTAGACTCTTTGACGTTAGCACCAGAGAAGTTCTTGCAAAGATCTATTTGGGTGTTGAAGCCTCTGCAGTCTTGTTATTAGATATCGAAGATGAGGAAGTGGAACAACAAGCGGAAGAGGAAGATAAACCTAAAAAGAGAGCCAGAAAGGACACAACTGGTGAAGATGAAGTTGATGAAGAAGAGCTTTGGGCTCAACTTGGTGAAGAAGAAGCTACAAAGACCACCAAAAAGGTTAAGACATAATAAACTTAGATAATGTATATTTATGTTATTTTACGCTGGGACATTCTTTTGTTCATTATCAGCAATCCTATTATCTGTTCTGTTACTTGTGTTGATAACACTCATACATTTCCATTCGTTCAAATAGTTACTCTTCCATAATCGAACATTGCCGTCATCACCGGCCGAGCTTAGGATGGTGCCTGTATTATTCCATTTGACTCTCCACACTTCCAGCTTGTGATCCGATAATGCAGCCACGGTTTCTATTTCGAGTTCTCCATTGGGAAGTTCCTTCACTTTGAAGATCCGTACAAACCCATCCTTACATCCGGTGGCAATAAGATGAAACAGTCTTCCCATAGACGGAGCCCAACTCACGGATCTTATAAGACCATTGTGTTCTGGAAGACTTGCAATTCTTAGGTATTTTGTGTCAGAGTCTGGTGGTTTAGAAGCCGCTTCATCGTCACCAGTAGATTCTTGATGATGATGGTGATGGTCTTGATTGGAAGACGATTGCAGTCCTGATTGTCTCCCGGGATTAGCGGTAGAATCCAATTCATCATTATCGGAGTTGGGAAGAGTACTATATATGAATGCTTGATCGATGACCACCACTATAAACTTCAGGGTCTTTGTATATTTAGAAGGACACCATTCAATTGAAAAACTACTTTGTAAGCTTTTCACCGGTAATTGCAGATTGGATAAAGGGATTTCGGTGGTTAATGCCCATTGAGTCAAATCACTAGAATCAATAGAGTCGTAAATCCGAAATATACTATCTGATCCAACACAAGCTAATTTTAAACCCAAATGACTGGGTGCAAATACAACGTCGTAGATAGGACCATAAGATTCAATGGCAAGGGTAGCCAATTTAATCCATCTTCTTCCACTACCATGAAGTTCATCAGGCTGTTCTTGCCATATTTTAACTGTTCTATCGTAAGAACACGATGCTAAGATGGGAGCACTTGAAAACTCGGGATTGGCCCACGAAAGTCGTACCACCAGGGAGTTGTGTGCTTTCCACAGATCATTCAAGATCCACTGTGATGTTGTAGCATCATAATCAAATACTTTAATATGCTGATCTGACGAACATGTTGCTATGTGTGTGCCATAAAAGTCGTATTCGACATCGTGTATAAGTTCTTCGTGGCCAGTGATGAACGGTTGCATAGTACGTGATATTCTTGTAACGATGGTATGATACTGACAAGCACCGATTAGCACTGATAAGCACTGATATAATATATATATATATTAGATAGGTTATACCTTGAACACTATCACGATACAGTCGTGTCAGACACACTATCGCGGAAAAACATAGCTTTTCAAAAACACGTAGATTCAATTAAAGAATGCAGAACATAAACTCTACACACTTCATCACGATACACGTCATATAAGGTCCAGGGACACGTGACACCGGCAACTTAGTTGATAAGATTACCCAATTAATCTTTCTGCTCTTCTCTGTTCCATCATTACTTTAACCAATGAAAGTATCGAGATACATCCGGGCAGCGGTACTCATTGGCTCACTAGCACTAGTAGAGCCTAACAAACCATTACGTACACTGACGGCATTTGCTGGTATAGGGTATGTCATTACTACCACGATGATTCCCCGAGTTAGTGAAGTGTTTATTAAAGTAGGATTGAAAGGCAGAGATATGTCTAAGAAACCACCCGTGGCGGAGATCCCCGAGTCAATGGGAATTGTGGTGGCTGTGACGTATCTTACATTAATGTTGGCGTTGATTCCGTTTGTGTTCTTCAAGTATTTGGTTAACTTTGCCAGTATGTCTAATGACGAAGAGGTGTCTGAAACGTATCTTCAACAATATAACACTTTGTCTCATAATCATTTATTCCCCCATAATAAGTTGGCAGAGTATCTTAGTGCTGTTTTATGTTTGCAAAGTACTACATTATTGGGACTTTTTGATGATTTGTTTGATATTCGGTGGAGAGATAAGTTCTTTCTTCCTTCAATTGCCTCTTTACCCTTGCTTATAGTGTATTATGTTGATTTCAGTGTTACTTCAATTGTGGTGCCTTCATTTATCACCGAATCCCAATGGGGATCTTTACTTCTTGCAAATGTGGAGTTCCTAATTAGGTGGGGGAATATAGTGGTTTCGAGAATTACAGGGTTAACTTTTAGTACTCTTGCTCCAGATTATTATATTAAAACTGCTATTAAAGTCCCCAAAATGCTTGACTTAGGTGTATTCTACTATTTATACATGTCAGCAGTTTCTATATTCTCCCCCAATTCCATAAATATACTTGCTGGCGTCAATGGGCTTGAAGTGGGCCAACTGATTGTGCTTGGGATTATTCTTTTACTTAATGATTCATGTTATTTGTTTTCCAACAGTATATCTCAGGCGGCACGTGACTCCCATTTGTTTTCTGCTCTATTTATAATCCCCTTTATTGGCGTTTCCTTGGGACTATTACAATACAATTGGTTCCCTGCAAAAGTGTTTGTGGGAGATACGTATTGTTATTTCAGTGGGATGGTATTTGCGATTGTTGGTATCTTAGGGCATTTTTCCAAGACCTTGATGATCTTCCTCCTTCCACAGATCATTAACTTTGTGTACTCCGTACCTCAGTTGTTTCATATCGTTCCTTGTCCCCGACACAGGCTACCCAAATTTGATGTTGAAGACGGTTTAATGTATCCAAGTTATGGTGAAGTCACGACTACAGGTGGTTCAGCCTTGCAAAGGATTATGTTTAATACTTTGGAGGTTTTTGGGTTAATCAGTCTTAAAAGGGATAAGAATGGTGACATTACTCATTTCTCCAATATGACAATTATTAACTTGATATTGGTACGGTTGGGACCATTGAGAGAAGATGCGTTATGTATGGTTATTCTCTTGTTACAATTGATCACTGGAATCTCAATGATAGCATTTAGACATACCGTTGGTCCCTGGTTATTTGGGTATGATAATTTAACCTGGGGAGTTAAATAGTACGACATAGGTACGACATTATAGATTAATATTATCACGACATGGTTGTTGCAGATCCCACCCAATTGCTGCAAAAAAAAAAAGTATAAATATGGGTGCGACATTTCACTCTTTTAATTAACCGCTCTACTCTTTACTCTTTACCATGAAGTTAACATTATTTATAGTAACTTGTACTCTCATCAAGCAACTGATGGCAATTTATGTGCCTGAGTTAAATCAAGATTGGACTCTTCTTCGGCCTGAACTGAATCCTCCCAAAGGGTCTGTTATTTCATTACCGTTTAACATTGGGTTTGTTGCCAATTCTTATGTATGGGACAAAGAAAAAGGTGCTATGGTTGAACCAGAACGCCAAGAGGCGACCAGACTGATTACCACTACTGTCACCAAGAGCTATGTCACTGCCGCTCCACAAGCAACGACAACCATTGACCTTGTTCAAATCGATGATGGACAGATCCAACGCAAGACTACCGGAGCCAACGATAACGGTGACTATGAAGAAGATGATAGTGATAGTGAAAGTGATTATGAGGGTTATGTCAAAAGAAGCGTTGAAGCTGATAGTCCTGTCTTTGCCGTTGCTTGTTCAACCAATACGGCCCTCTCTTTGTCTTTAAAGGATGGGATCTTGAAAGATAACCAGGATAGAATTTGCAGTATTGTTAGTGGGCATCAGTTCCAATGTGATGGTCCAGTTCCGCAATATGGAACTTTGTTTGCCGCTGGTTGGTCAGTGACACCTCAAGGCTTATTAGCACTTGGCAACAGTACAAAGTTCTATCAATGTGCACTGGGGGATTTCTACAATATCTACGATACTTCCATTGATCCACTATGCAACCCAGTTGTACTCAATGTCGTTGAGTTGATTGAGTGTTAGTAATAGCTAAGAATTGCTACATATATATATAGGATTATATAATTCCATAGTATTCTATTAATCTATTTGCTCTATAAACTTTCAGTGTACTTAACTATTGTCACCAAGTCACGTGACCGGCTAAAGGTATACCTTTACCACCACAATATGGTATACTTTAGGAGAGGTAGTGGGTATTCCCCACAACTATTAGGCTTCCAGTGACTTTAGAGAAAGAAATCGAAATCGAAATCGAAATGAATGGTATACACGTTTCAAAGAGTTTGTCTATGTCATCTCCGCTATACCATTAATATACAAGAGAGATATTAACCATTGAAGAAATGTCGTACACAGATTTACTTCACATACAAGTTCATAAGGTGTAAATTGGGCTTGAATTTACACCCGCCATACGACTCTACCTCTACTTGTAGGCTGCGGTTTTTATGCTAGACGATTTCACGAGTCCAACGTTCAACATTCTCAGTAAACTGTCGTAAGCATGGTGTATCCAAGTCGCCATTCCTTCCATGCAGTTCATCTTGGACCGTGGACCACGTCAACCCAATTAAGTGGTATTGTTATGCTCGAGTACTTATTATTATCCTTGGGTGTTGTAGGATGTAAACAAATACATCATCAAGAGTAACCCTGAAGCAAAGGGAATTAGAACCGAAAAGTTACCCCACCTAAATACGGTTAGTAAGACAATCGATAGCCAAAGGGCACTTCCAAGTCGTCGTACCAATAATGTAGGAAAGTCTGGTAATAGCCTCTTCAATGATTGAAACAAAACTCCAGTAGCATTTGCCAGTAATGAAATCTCAACTATGGTATCATTCAATAGGCCCATATATTGATGAATAGATGTCATATAACTGACCATCTCATCTTCAAGTTTGGTCTCAAGACTCTCCAACATCTCTTGTGTCCGAGAATCCAAGGTATCAGAGAGCGAAAGCAATGACAGTTCATATTCTGATCTCATGACTCTTAATATATCTGCTAATTGATGCTGGAAGAAATCATTGACCAACTCTTGTTGAAGCTGAAACTCCAATGCCAGCTGTTTAGTCTCTGTAAGTATTCCATCAAGTTCAATTGAAAATTCATACATCATTTCCCGAGAGTCCTTCTGGATAGTCAAACAAGTGTCTTTGCTCTGTGATTCCAACTGTTGAAGACTTTCAATGACATCAACAACTGTACTATTGACAGCAGAATTGATGGAACTAACTATTAATTCTATCATTAAGTCCATTTCACTCCGTGCATTGTCTTGAGCTTTTGATAATGAATCCAATCCCACTTCAATGCTAGTGTTTAATACTTCTTCAAGCTGTACCAAATATGACTCACTGGTTTCAAAAATATCACCCCATTGGTCCAATATCTGGTTCACTATATCAAGCAGGTCTTGTAGTTGATGGCTGATATGGTCATTCATAGTATGAATTTCATCGTTTCTGTTCTTAATTGAACCATGGAATGTAGTATATATCTTGGTAATGTTCTCATACAATTGAAGGATCTGGTCCTTCTCCATAGGTACCAGGAACTCATAACAGTAACTGGCGGTTCTACGGAAGTTCCCGCTATAAGTAGTCCATAACTGATCTGAGCTGTGGATATCCAAAACACAAGTTTCATAGTTGTCACTCAAAAGACAAGTGGATGGATATGCCACGCCGGAAGCTATCCATTCACATTTGGATAACTCTATTGCCACGTTCCGTTTAATTCCAGGACTAACACCATCAACACCATCAATGCAATTGGGATAAAGGATCTCCAATGCTTTCTTCACACAGTCTGACTGTTGTAGTTGAGAAAAGAGTTCCCCTTCGTCGGACCACTGCTCTATGTTGTACGCATTATCACCAAGTGCTTTACAAACTAAACTTATGGCTAAGAATATAAACATGACTTTAAAGCCATGCATCCAACTATACACCAACGGCAAACATTACTGATCTATATACAACTACATGTAGAGTGAAACAATAGTGATACGGTTGCAAAAGTGTATGAGGAGGGGGGTGTAACGTCCTATATATACTCGAAATATGTTAACGGTAGCGCAGAAAGTGAAAAATTTTGGGATCGATTCAAACAAAGTCATAACTGTGGAGGTGTATCTTGCTTATATTAGTACTACTAAACCCAATAATACTAATACTATGAGTTTATCACGACGAGGATTCAGTACTGTGACTGGTCTTCGAAATGGTGGTCTACACATGTTTCTTCCCAATGAAACACAATATGTGTTCAAAGGAGAAAGATTGACCCCACAAGAGAACATTAGGGCTATACCCTCGAAACCACCACTTCAACCCCAAGTTAAGAAGTTTTATAATGATATCACGAGACCGGATCAGACTGGTGATGTTATTAAACGGTTCACATTGACAGATGTCATCACTACTTGTCTTGCTAGCAATAGTTTGGTAGACGTAGTCAAAGGTGACGGTGGTGCTGGCATTGAACTTTATTTCACTCCAGTGGTAACCAAATGGATGAATGATTTCAATAACTTGGTGTTACCCCTCGAAGATATATCAAGTACCGAACCACCTACATTCTATAGATATAAGGCTATAGAGGATTTACAGTTGGAAGTCCCTCCAGAAGGCATAACTAGTCAATGGTTGAATGAGATTATCTCATCCAATAAGATTGTACACAACAGTACACTTATACTACAGGGGAAGCTTTTACCTATGGAAGCAACCAAGTTACCCACGTTTGAACTGTTGATGTTTTGGTTACTTAGTCATGAAACTATAGGAGGTCTGAACAATAATATAACGGTGCTAATGTCTTTCATTGAACAACACTTTGATCTCATTCCACTGGCATCACTTGAGACGATGGTCGATTGTTTGGTTCATTATATCCACGGGTTGGAAATAGTTGACAAAGGCACTTTTGAGCACTTCAATACCATAGTGCAGCATGCCCTTGTAATTAATGCCAGTTTGTACACTAAGATGTCACCCATAATGGCTGATACCCTTGCCTTTGAGTACATTAGAGGGAACAACGTGCAAGCTGCAAGACAAGTCTTGATATCATTGGTCCAAGACGCTAAGCTTGCACCTACACCATCCACTGTCGATGCTTTCTTGAAGACATGTTTTGCGGAGGATGTATCATTCTTGAAACCGGTATTCTTCCATCGGAATAGCATGACTCCGGACGTTATTCTGTTTTTAATAACCCATAGAGTTCATAGCGTATCCGACTTGAATAAGTTAGTGGAGTTATTGGAATCATATCATGGTAAGGAGACCCTTAACCAATATCAATACCAGTTATTCGAGTGTCTTTGTCGATTGCCTATTACGGAAGTGCACTTGACTCAAATGATCAAACGTTTGGTGATAGAAAACTCAGTTAAGTTGAATGATCTGGTGATTGAGTTGATTGATAATCAATACAGTTCATTGAATAGTCATCAGTCCTTAAGTAAAATATTGTAAATAGTATTAATGCACGTATCCATCATTATCTTCGTTATCATTATAATCATCATCATCAAATTCATCTGTATGCTGTTCATGTGTGTGAAGATCCTCAAGAGGAATGTCCATCGTTTGATCAATAGTAGTAGTGCTTCTTCTTCCATGATGTACCCATTGACTATCTTTATCAGAATTGGAATAGAACCCATTTGTATAAACATAGAACCCATCATCACTGCCACTATCATCATCATCGTTGTCGGGATCCGTTACCATACGACGTCGCAAGTACATGTCATCATTCTTATAGTTAGAATCCCCACCCTGAAGATACTTCCGAGTACTCACCTCTCTCTTCATGAAACAGATGGTACTGGCTGTAAACGCCAATAGGATTAAGGGTAAGATTTGGATCCACCCAACGTAAGTTAACCGTGGAATAAAGAGTAAGATATCAGCCAATAAGGCCAATAATGTCGCAATGAAATCACATAAAGAAAACATCAACATAAACGAAAGATACATAGAAATGTCTCTCGGTTGATCTTCGTCATCGTCATCTTCTCCACCATCTTCAACAACTTTATTACTAATACTATTAGTATTATTATTATTATGGCTTCTTCTTTCTTCAAATTCCACTATACGTCTGTGACCTATCCGAGACCTGGAGGATGACCAAACACTGCTATTTCTACTGTGAACTCGACTAATGGTAGGGTCTGCTTCTAAGTCAATAGTGCTACTATCATCATTGATATTGTCAGCACCGATTCTACACCGTTTCCACTGGTGTTGGTCAAACCATAGAAGAACCAATAGAAATACAGTAACCACAAGATGACAACTAGATAAACAAAAGGCAACTATATGAACTACCAACAATCGAGAAATCAGAAGTATAGCTCGAGTGGGTAACGCAAATGATTGTTCATTCTGAGCTCGTTCTAAAAAGAAGGAACTGTTCTTTGATGGATATCCTACACTAATGTCTGAACATTTATTTGTAGTAGTATCACATATACCTAAGATTCCAAACGTGTAGCCTTCTAGTTTGGCAAGATATATGCCGTTAGTGTTGGATGTTACCGGAACGGATAGTATTGGTATCAAATGTAATACGAAGCACACCAAACTAAAACATGCTAGAACTACTAACCCTTTATGCATTTAGTAATGCCATGTACCAGATCCGAGGCAAGCCGGGTGCTAGTTAGTCAAGGGATAATAACAGATGGAACTGGATTAACTGATGAGCCGGATAAACTCGATAAACTAAATAAACTTCTATTCACTACTACTACTTTATGTTATATAATGGAGTGTAGTATACTTTGCCCCGATACACTATTACTTTTCACCACATCCGAGGGCAAAGAATATCCGAAGTATTTCCGAACCCCCGTAAAACGATTTGTATGTACACATCACGTGATCTTGCATCAATATAATTTTGTCAAAGATTAATCCCCGTATAAAGCTAGCGTCATAGTTCCATAGTTTAATGAACTTGAAGTTCATTATATTAGTCGCATTGTTAAGCATATTACTTAGGTGGATCAAAATGAGTCGTGGGTCTGTTCATCTATACGAGAGAGAACTTGAAATCGCCACCTTGGCAGTGAGAAGAGCTTCTATCCTTACTAAGCAATTGAGTGACTCTATTGCCCAACTACAAGCCAATGGAACTCAAATTAAAGAAGATAAATCACCTGTTACTGTTGGAGATTATGCTTCACAGGCCATCATCAACCATGCCATCAAAAAGAACTTCCCTCTGGATGAAATTGTGGGGGAAGAAGACTCAGCTGACTTACAAGGTACATCACCTGAAGCTACTGGTTTATCACAACGGATCTTGGAATTGATCAAACAAATACAACAAAAGACTCCTGAATCAAGTAGTAAGATTGGTGAATTGGATAATTTGCCCGATATCTACAAGAGTATTGATTATGGGAACTCCGAGGGTGGATCGTCGGGTCGGTTCTGGGCTTTAGACCCCATTGATGGTACTAAGGGGTTCTTAAGAGGGGATCAATTTGCTGTTTGTCTTGCACTTATAGTTGATGGTCAAGTTGTATTAGGAGTCATTGGATGTCCCAACTTACCGGAAGTAGTAACTTCTAACACTAATGTTCTGGGACTGAAAGGTGGATTATTCTCTGCCATTAAAGGAGTTGGATCTTACTACACCTCACTCTTTGGACTGAATGGATTCATACCTTTGCAGCAACAAGAACGGATCAACATGAAACAAAATACCGACCCCACTCTTTTGAAGGTAGCTGAAGGTGTGGAAAAGGGTCATCTGTCTCATTCAACTCAATCCCGGATCAAGACTAAATTAGGGTTTAACTCCGAAACGGTTTCCAATCAAACATTGAACTTGGACTCACAAGTGAAATATTGTATTTTGGCCAAGGGTCAGGCGGATATCTACTTGCGGTTGCCTATCAACGATACTTATAGAGAGAAGATCTGGGATCATGCTGCAGGGAACATTTTGATTAGTGAAAGTGGTGGTCAAGTTGGTGATATTCAAGGTAACCCATTGGATTTTGGTCAGGGAAGATTCTTGAATAGTAAAGGGATTATTGCTGCCAATAAGGCTATCTTTAATACGGTTATTACTGCCGTTGATGATGTTCTTAAGAACTAACTATGTACATATGAAGAAGAAGAAGAAGAAGAAGAAGAAGAAGAAGGAGAAGAAATAAAATGATACCTTATTCCTTGAACTCTCCAACATGATAGTTTTGTTTGCCTGTTCTAACCAATAACAACTTACCGTCTATCAAATGATTGTCCTTGTCAAACAAAACCACATCATCTGGGTCTTCAAGTTGTTTCCTTTCTAATCCCAAATAAACTCCTCCAGCCTTGATTAATCTTCGGGTTTCACTTTTGGATTTACCCAATAAATGGCTCAATAAAGTACTCAATTTCAAATCGTCGATACTAGTATCACCAAAATCTTTAGCCGAAAATTGACTAATAATTCCGGATCTTCTAAAGTTCTTAAGTAATGTTTCAGCACTCACATTATCAGTGAATGGTTGATCTGGAGTAGGGAATAAGAAACTGGTGATATAAGCCATTTCTTCACCGTTTCCATGGATCAAATCAACTACTTCTCTTGCCAAAACCCTTTGAGCTATACGTAAACCGGGGTCTTCTAAATGCTTAGGTAATAATTCGTAATCAATGACATTGATTGGTAAAAGAGTAAACAACTTTAAAAGTTTCCCCACCATTTCATCTGGGACGTTAACAAAATATTGATATAATTGATAAGGACTGGTTAATTGGCTATCGATGAAAATTGCATTTCCGGCAGATTTACCAAACTTTTCACCTTTAGGTGTAGTAAGTAATGGAACAGTCATACCATAAACATTTTTTTTTTGAAGAAGATGGTGATGTTGTTGTAATCTACCAATCAAATCAATCCCGGCTGTAATGTTCCCCCATTGGTCATTGCCTCCAATTTGCATATTGACATCTTCTCTTTCAAATAAATGCCAAAAATCAAAAGCTTGTAAGATTTGATACGAAAACTCATTGTATCCAATCCCATTCTGTGACTGCAACCGAGATTGAACCGAGTCTCTTGCAAGCATTTGATTCACACGAATATGTTTACCGTATTTACTCAAGAACTCCAAGAACCCCACATTCTTCCACCATTCAGCATTATTAACACTGGAAATGGTACCCTTTTGGGCAACCGGGAAGTTTCTAGATTTGGCATAAGCAACTCCTTTCTCAAGAAAATCACGTATCTGTTCACTAATCCGTTCAACATTAGTGTTTCTTTCATCACTATCAAGCTGTTGTCTTTCGGTACTTCTACCACTGGGGTCTCCTACCATCCCGGTGGCTCCTCCAACAAGTCCAACTACATCATGGCCTCTCAATCGGAAATGTAAGAGCACCATCAAGGGTAACAAGTTCCCTAAATGCAATGAGACGGCTGAAGGATCAGCTCCACAGTACAATTTAAAGTGTTGACTGGGACTCTTGGAGGGGTCCGTCAATTCATACAATTGATCCGAGGTATACGACTCTACTAAACTCCGCGCTTGTAAATGAGCCAATAATGATCCATTCATATCACCTTCATAACTTTTACCGCCTTCAGTCATTTGATAGATGGTCGGAACAATAGTCACTGTCTCTGGAGGAGGGACTGCACCAGCTGCCTTAGCAGATTGGAACCGGCTAAACGAGAGCAGCCCATGAGTCACGCGTCTGCGCATCGCCAGGCGTATCATCGCCAGGCGTATCATCGTTTAAAGTGTTTATCACTGGTGGGAAGTGAAAGTGTTCACCCATACGGACAACCTCCAGTATGTATATGATGATAATTTTGTCACCTGCATATAAGACTCGGTTTATATTCAATAAGATTTTATATGCGATGTGATGGGTCAGAAGAGATGTGACTGCAAAAGTTACTGTACGGATGAGTGCGGTTCAATCGCCGGTACCAGTGGCCGATGGAGCGTATAAGAAGAGACGTAGAAGAAGAAAGACCGGCAAGAATGTTCATGAAGCTGAGGCCGAGGTTGAGGTTGAGGTTGAGGTGGCCACTAATGGCATCAAGCGTCAGAACAAGAAGACCAAGTTTTGTGATGATGATGAGGAGAGTGAAAAGGAGCATAGGGTGAGCGAAGAGCATACAGACGTGAATGAAGAAGCTGGTGATGTCTTTGGCAACGACCTTGGTAAGGACGTAATCAAAAACGCTAGTGACGGAATTAAAGACAGTAAGGGTAAAAAGGAAAATGTTACAGGTCACATTAAATCTTCATCTAAACGTCACCAGCCAAAAGTGGTTTCTTTAGATTCAGACGATGATGATGAAGGTGACTTCTTCAACCCCAAGAACGTGGTCTCTAAGTCACAACTACAAGCCAGGGCTCAAGCACTTCTCGACATACGACAGGACTTACCTATCTACCAACATAAAGATGAAATCCTCAGACATGTTAATGAGAATAGTGTTACGGTTATTATTGGTGAAACCGGGTCCGGTAAATCCACTCAGATCCCACAGTTTTTAATGGATGGTGTCAGTAACGATAAGAGACAAATAGCAGTCACACAACCTCGTAGAGTCGCTGCTGCTACGTTGGCCAAACGTGTGAGTGAAGAACACGGATGTCAATTGGGCCAAGAAGTGGGTTATCAAGTTCGATTTTCTAATATCACCAGTGCCAAAACCAAGTTGAAATATTTGACTGATGGTATGCTTTTAAGAGAGATAATGATAGATAAAAATTTATCTAAATATTCTACGGTTATTATTGATGAAGCTCATGAAAGAACAGTATTGACTGATCTTGTAATGGGGTTCCTTAAACAATTATTGGCAACCACTCGAAAGAAGGATTTAAAAGTCATAGTCATGTCTGCTACATTGAATGCTAAACTCTTTAGTGAATTCTTCAATAATGCCCCTGTCCTCTTCATTGAAGGTAGGATGTTTGGTGTCGATAATTACTATTTGACTGAATCAACTGATGATATAGTCGATACTATGATTAGGGCTGTTGTTCAAATTAATAATGGTGAACCAAGAGGTGATATCTTATGTTTCTTACCTGGGCAAGAAGAAATCGATAATGCAGTAGCCACATTAACATCTATAAGCTCACAATTACCTCGAGAGGCTCCTTTAATTGTTGCATGTCCTTTATATGCTGCCTTGTCTCCTCAACAACAACTGCGTATCTTTGATAAATTGCCAGAGAACAAGAGGAAAGTTATCTTAGCCACTAACATTGCTGAAACCTCTATTACTGTTAGTGGTGTGAAATATGTGGTAGATTCGGGTTTAAGGAAAGTCAAAGTCTGGAGACATCAATTGGGATTATCCACATTACTTACCACGCCAATTTCTAAAGCTTCGGCTAAACAAAGAGCTGGTAGAGCCGGTAGAGAAGCAGCTGGAGGTAAATGTTTCCGATTATATCTGGAATCAACATTTAATGAATCACTTCCATTACAACAAGAATCGGAAATCTTACGTAATGATGTCATTTACCCGGTTCTAACCCTTAAAAAATTGGGTGTAGATGACTTACTTAATTGGACTTGGTTGGAGTATCCTGGTAAAGAGTCGATTTTACTGGCACTCAATGTTCTTTATTCATTGGGAGCATTAAATGATCAAGGGAAAGTCACTAGTGTGGGGGAGAAGATGGCCATGTTACCTTTACCTCCACAATTATCTGTAGTGTTATTAACAGCCATTGAAAATGGAGTTCTTGCCCCAGTGTTGGAGATCATTGGATGTTTATCTGTTGATAATTTGATTCTCAATGTCAATGGAGAGTTAAGAGACGAAGTTAACTTGAAACGTCGTCAATTTTGTCCCTTGGGTACCCAATGGGGTGATCTTATTCTGATGTGGGAATATTATCAAGTGTTTAAAGAGAATAAGCTGAGAAATTGGTGTAAAGAGATGTTCTTTAGTTATAAAGGGTTCAAGAATGTTGAACGTGTTATCCATCAATTGAAGCAGTATGTTAGAAACATCACCGACAATAACAGTGGAGATAAAACCGATATTGGTGATGATGAAGACAATGAGACTACCCAACTTTCTAACAACACCAAAGATATCCCTATGATTCTTAAGTCGTTTCTCAAAGGATTCATCACCAACGTTGCAGTGGGTATGCCTGATCGATCATATCGTACTCTTAACCATGGTGACTTGATTAGTGTTCATCCGTCATCTACTCTCTTTGGGAAGCCAAATGTTGATGCCATTATGTACATTGAATACGTGTACACTTCCAAAGGGTATGCGCGTACTTGTTCTTCTATAGAACTATCTTGGGTCCAAGAAGTTGCACCTCATATTCTTGGAGCCAGCAGAACCAGTTTACATCAATAATAACGTTGGCCCAAGGTTTATATAGTTTGGTGTTAGGGTCTGTGTGGTGTTAGGGGCTATTGACGCGATGAGAAGGGAGTTCAAAACCAAACACACAAAATATTATCAGTCAACTACTTCCATATTGTTGTTCTTTAAAGCTATGGCTGGTGAACTACCGCCACCATTGATAAGAATTCCTATTGAAGCGGTACAACATGACTATAATCATTTGGCCACCATGGGATACTGCATTTTAGTGTTTACTTGGATGTTGTTTGTGGTTACAGTAGGGAGCATGTTTCAACTTTGGAAGTTTGTGATTCTGCCCTTTTATCCCCTGGAATTGTACTATAAGATGTATAGTATTCTCAGTGTGATTGATGGGTATATTATGACAATATGGAGCGTCTACATTGTGATATGGTTATGGGCAGTTGTATCGTGGATTGGACTTAAGTTATTCCGTCAATCCAAGGGTCTTCTTGTTGAAAGTTAACTATAACCCGTCTTCTCCTCTTTGCTTTGTCCATTCAGCTGATCCGGATTGACGACCTTTAGGGATAGTAGTTGTCATAGCCGGAGTCTGGGTCGTGGTGGAGAGTTGTGATTTAAGTTCTTTATTTTTCCTTACGATAGCTTTGACATACAAGTATTGGAGATTATGACGTGTCAGTTGTTGAAGTAATGTTGTTTGGTTAAGCAATGAAATACACCGTTGGATATCCTTTTGTTTAATCTGAGGCTTGGTTATACGATTCTTGGTGATATATTTTGTACTTAGATCAACCATATAATCCTCGCCACTTCCAACCACTAGACTCATTGCCTTCCCCCAGTTTTCTGAGTAGAGCAGGGGCTCATCCATGACAGCTTCACAAGGGTCCAAATGGATCCACCGTTGTTTATGGGGACTATAGAATTCACACCATACATGATCTTCAACGTTCCAGATGTATCGGAAATCACCACCAATGACACACTTGGCTACCATAAGGAAACAATTGACCCATTCGCCACATCTTCCTGTTTTGGAATAGAGAAGATTTAAAGGATGGTTTAACCTAGGGAATTTGGTGGTATGACCTAAGGGACAGTTGTACACTTCAACACGACACGTTTCAGTTGTCCATCTGCCCTCAAATGGCTCTTGCACATGTGCTACACATTTTGTTTCTTTTGATCCACAATGTTGACATTCAGGAGCATTCATCCACAGAAAGAAGTCATTCTTGAAATAGTGTAATAGATTCCGTAATTGGGTTTCCGTGTAATCTTCTGCTGCAGTTGACTCTTGTTGATGTTGATCTGGGAACACCTTCAGTAGATCCAAACTGTCCAAAACCACGTCTGGATCTATTGAATCGTAGATACTCATATTATTTTGGAGCCCTTTAAGTTGATGAGCCATGGAAACAGTTTCATGGTTAGTTGAAGATAGAAAGGCATTCCATTTATTTTCTGAGACGGACTGTTTAGCTCTTTTGATTTGTGAAACAGTAAAGGCGTCTGTTAGTGCTTGTACGGATGTCTCGTCCATGTTTACTATGATGATACTGTGATGTTTTGAAGGTATGGTTGGCGACATTTGTAAGTGAAGGTTTTGAGGTATTATTTCCGGGGGTGTTTCCGAGGTTCGGAATAGCCAGAGTCCAGAGAATACGAGCTTCCTAAGAGTTTTAATCGAGGTATTATCTATCACATGATAGTAAACAGATAGTTGACGTGTCATATTTAAGACTTAAATCCTACCGTCTAAATCATTATGACATCATGTCAAAGATATTAATTACATATTTCATGGTTAAAGTTGAGGTGACACCATAAGTCCAGTTTCAGTTTACATTTGACAGGTATCAAATGTATGCCCGCTTAATTTTAGAAATACATTTGATATATATATATATATATATATATGTGAGCATATTATCTGATGTATCGGAATAACACTACTAAATGTGATGTGTCATATTCTGTAAATTAAATGTGATAGATCAGATGTGTTTTTAGTATGTGACAGGTCATATAATGTTTATAGAATGTGACTCGTCACATTGTAAATCGCGGTTGTTATTATCATATTTGACACCTATATATTATCTGATTCGTATAGTTTGATTGCATAATATGCTCATAGCTGCAGCAGGCAACCGCCATTCTCATTGCCTTAATGTTGAAACAAGTTGGCCTTTTCGGTGTTGCAATCGGTAATAATAGTGTGCGCCCGACAAATGCGTAATTTGTGCTGTCATACTTAAGACACCACAGTTCCCTTCAATCCTTCCGGGTTACTATCGACAATTGGTATCTGATTCTTGACTTCCATTCCGTTTATCGATCAAAAATATGTCACACTATCAATTCAATGTCGCCATGGCATGCTCTGGGTGCTCCAATGCCATCAATAGAGTGTTAAACAAGTTGGATGGTGTTCAAAAGGTTGATATCTCTTTAGATGAACAAACTGTTGATGTTTACAGTAGTTTAGATTACAATACCGTTGAATCAACTATTGCTAAGACTGGAAAGAAAATTAATAGCGGGAAGGTTGTTGCTTAGAATTTGAACAGTACATACCTTAATAAATACCTTTTGAATTTTTTTTTTTTTTTACCGGATCATTTACAATCAGTCAAATATATATTGTCTGCATTAAATACGATGACTAGACATCAACACATCGGATTAATTCATATTGAAATTACTCTATACCCGGTATCCTATAAACTCTTTACATTCTCCGAAACTCTGTTATCTCTTGGATAGCACGTTCCCTACGTTCACTAGGCGTAAATGTACTTTCAATCAATGCCGTGATTTCTTCTGTATCCAAATCGTATAACTCGCCTCGATAAAATCTGTCGAGAATATCGGCAAGATGTCCTCCAACAATGAACTTAACATTGTCTAACTTATGATAAAGTAATTCCTCTCGTTTGCTTCCCACGAATGCAATTGTGATCTTATTACAGGCATCAACCAAATTACCAATCTTTGTAGCCTGTACTTGTCCTATATCCTCCAAAAGGTAGATACTATGAATGAAATAAGTGTTTATCAACTTAACAATATGACTAGCCAAATCATGATACTTTGCGGTGTTGGTATAATGAAGTTGACTATCGGATAAGCTCTTAAGTTTTTGGTGAAGCTTGGAAAATTTGGCTACTGTGACATCATCTAATGTTCCGTCATCACTTGAATCGGAATCCTCTTCAGTAACATTTGCTAGTCTCTTATTAACCCCAATTTCTCGAAGGATTTCAAGTATCTCGGTGTCGAGCCCAGCTAGTTGTTGTGTCCAATAATTATCAGCAAATCTTGCTAAAGTTGCAGCTTGAATCTGTTCGGCAATATAGTGCAAATCGTTGAACATAACAAAGCTTTCCATGTATGAGGGATACAGAACTGAGGCCAATGCCTTTACAGAATCAAATATATTCGGATTATTGAAATCAATAATTGCTTCCACTATTTTGTGTGCAACTTGTGAAATCATTACTTTTGGTTTATCCGTTTCCAATGATGTCTTATGTTGTTGTTCATCGTCTTCTTCTTCATCCCAAGCTTCATCCCAATTGTCCCAATCGTTGTTGCTGTTTTGAGTATTCGACACTTGATTTGGACTAGAACTTATGTCGTACAATTGGTTGACCCACTCGCCTAGTTCTGGTGACATGAAGATCTTCCGAACACGGTCAATATACTGATCCGTCTGCCAGTTATAATATAACTCGTCCAAGTCAGAGATCTGAATGTTCCACGACCCACATAGCTGTCTGAGCTTTGCAAGATTGGGGAGTTTGGTTATGTGCAAGGAAAGATAGTTGACCATTGAATGGTTAATTTTTGACCGGAATTTATTCTTGTCCGACCTACAAGCATCAATGAACATCATAAATGCAACCAATGAATCAACATATTTGTCTTCCTGCGTCAGAGAAGACGTTAAAACTTGATGCTCGTCATCAAATACTGCTGCTGTCGTCCCACCGATGATCCTACTTAATAACTCATCCCATGCATTGACTATCTTGGAATCCACTGGCTTAAGTACACGGAAAACGCCTTCCAGTGGGAAAAATATCCCGCTAACCTTTTGCTCTATTCTCTTTTCGTAGTCCGTGTGAGTCTGGTGTAGTTCCAGCTTTATCAAACACGGAGGGAGTCCTTGTATTGCTTCTGACATTTTACTCGTAATGTCCTTCACAGCACTATACTGATCAACAGCTTCCTCGACATCAGTCAGAGCCAAATACAACTCTATCTCCGCCAAATATCCTCGGATATACCAAAGCTTGTCTAAAAGTGCCAATTGTGCATCTATTCGAGTGATCTCTTGATGTGTCTTCTGGTACTCATCATCTTCTTCTTCTTCTTCTTCTTCTTCTTTGGTGATTGATACCTCATTTTCCTCAACATGAAGCTCAAACGTATCAATCTTGGAACTGATCGATTGAAGCTCCAGTTGGTTAAGCTCCAAGAGCTGTGCAATTGACATTTGATAATTGAAATAAGCGATTATGTGACGTATCACATTCAGCATATCATTTAAATTGAGCCTGTTCCCGCTTTGGGATGTCCGGGTAACCATCTGGTGATTTTTAGGACATAAAGCCTAATTAAGTAAAAATTTGACATATCTATTCATATATAATATTAAAGAAGATCCTCGGTAATATCATCATCCACATATTCATCATCCTTGTTCATTCTATAAATAGTCATGAACATGCTTCCCATATTCAAGATGGTCATGCACCAATCAGGTACGGCGACTTTGTACAACTCCAACAAGTTGAAAGACAAATCCATAAAGTTCCCTACCAATTCAATGTATAGCATAGACTTGTCAAAACGTAAGTCCTTTAGAACCTTTTCATATCGTGCCCCCAAACGAGTATCATCGATCTTCCCCACCAATTTCAACTCTGTTTCTACCTTGCGTTCTCTACGGAGAACATTAAGCAACTGAGTGATGGTTTTTCGTATCAAAAATACCAATATCACAACCCAGAGCTTATTGGTGTGAGTAAGTACTCTCTGGAGTATTTTGGGGAAGTAAGGCATGTGCAGAATCAAATGCAAGTTATCCAATAGGTTCCCTAATGATTCTAATACGGCAACCACAACACGTTCCAAATGTTTAAACCGAGATGCTGGGACGACAGTAGAAACTCTTTTCCCCTTTGATAGTAGACAAGACTCCGATGTCTGGACACTTGATACTTGAAGCTTGGTGTATAGAGGACTGAACTTGGGCTTCGGAAGTCGTTGGAACTTTCTTATATGTTGTGGTGGTGTTGATAGCTTTTGAGCAAACAGTGAAAGCTTATTAAGTTGTTCCGGAGTGATATTCTGATTTCCCCTCTGTTGTTCCTTGACGGCTAGTTTTAGAATGTCTTCGACAATCTGTTGCTTGGATTTACTCATTAGCCTTAGCTATATCGTAGTCGGTTTAAAGTACCTTTTGCCTTTACACTGACAAAACGTGATATTTGAATTGTCTCCACGGATTAAGGTGATGTGCGACACAAAATGTCGCGTAAATGCGACCAATGTCGTGTTTTACCCCACTCTTATGCCGAGGACTACGCAACAGTTACACCACCATCAACAGCTCAGACTTCTTCAACAGACACTGTAGGGTCCTAGTGGTAACATTACCACATTTTGGATATAATGACTGGAAGCTTACTGCGTTTGAGCGGCTCTTCAATCCCTGTAGGCAACTTTCCCAGGACCAAAGTCACCCTCTCATCATTACCAAGATGCAAAGAGAATAGAGCACTGGAGATCTCAAACCCATCTGCGACCGGGTCAACGGTGATTGAATCTCCAGCCAAATGGTCTTTCAAAAGCTGACAGAGTAATTGGAGTCTTTGGCCTTGACCCTGGAACGGGTTAGCAGATTCATCAAAGTTGGTGGGGAGACCTTGTGACTCCAACCGGTTGTTCTCTTCTGTAATTGTATTGACTCTGTGTTCTAAATCTGCTAGCGTTTCATGAGTATTCTCTGTGCTGTTTAAAATAGTATTGACTTCGCTCAATTGACTGTTCTTGGTGTCCAACTCCTTCTCAAGTTGGTCTGTCTGAAGTAACTGGAAATCTTTCCCGACACTGGTTGACTTCAATTTGGCCTCCATCTCAACTCTTCTGGCCTCCATCTTTGCAAGTACCAGCTTCACGCTCGTCATGCGCTCTTGAAGCTGTTCGTAGATACTTGTTGTCTCTGATGCCAACGCCTCAAATGCCTTCACCCCTTCTTGTAAACGTGAGTTGGCTTGTTCAAGATCAGACTCACGGGTTTCAGTCTCACTACGGGCTTTCCTCATGGTCTCTTCGCTTACTTCGCCTCCATTATCAAAGTCACTGACGCGTCTAAGAAACTTGTCTTTGGTTTCTCGTTCCAAGTACCCAAACTTGAGTCGCTTCAAACGCGTCTCAGCATTGAACACCTCTTCCTCAACTTGTTCCACGGGTCTGGCCCCTTCAAACTCACTCTCATACCCAAGAAACAGATACGTCAATCCCTTCTCGAGGGTCTCGAACTCAGCAACACTATTATTCTGCATATGGGAAGAGTGTGGTGGTATATATCGTAAGAGTATTTTGTTACATATAGTTCGCAATAACTGTTGATGTTTTCAATCACTTTCGGATCATTGTTTTTCCCTTTCTATTGAGTATGTGTTTGATATATTTATCCGATAATATATATACTTACCTTGAATGTCTACATTAATCCGTACAATCGATATGCATTAATATAGTACAACTGAATATAGTCACGTTTGCTCTTTGGGTTGAATCAAACAACTGAGCTTCCATGTTCTGTCTTCTTCATTCTTATTCACCTGATAAACCTTCCAAAGCTCAAGCAAAATCAACTCTTGTAAAGGCATTAGCGGAGTCAACTGGTTCTGGGACCCTTCACTGACATAAGGGATTTGAAGCATCTCTATGTCTGCAATAATCCGAGTTATCTTCAAGTATTTATCGATGTTGATGAGCTTCAGCTTCAAAAATGTATTGGCCTTACGATAATTGGGGTTCCCGTCAGTGACAAATGTCAAGTCTTGAAGGAACAACAGGAAATATGGTACAACTGGCAACCCCACATCATTGGATAAAAGAAAGTTTCTGATCTTGGTTCGGTAGACATTATAGTTCTTATCGGGTTGTATGATCCCACTTAAATAATCATAAAGTTCCTTATATTTTTCACTGACTTGAGTCCAAACCTCGGTAAGTCTAGTAACCAAATGAGATTGTAAACTGGCTATAATGGCTGCTAGGGAGTTGAAATTCCGAAGATATAAACATGAGATGGCTATTTTCAACCAGGTTTTGATAATGTTAACTCTCATTTTAGTAGGGACTTGAGGTTGGAGAACCGACTCTAACACATAACTTGAAAGACAATTGGTAAATAAGAGCAGTCTTCTAACGTTTGGTGCCAAATTCAAATTAGCTCTTCTGGCAGTGAAGTTTTCATTTAATAATTCTTCCGGGCCAACAGAACAGAATATAGCACTTTCAATAATTGTCATTTGTTTAGCCACTTCCAACCCATTATAATCCAATAGATTAGGACGAGAATTGGTCAAGGGGAAAGACCTCTCGCAAATCAGGTACCAATTTTGAATTGTAGAGGATAAACTATTTGATTTGGTCCAATTGGAGCCAAGCACTTGACGAAATCCAAACAATATTTTCTCCACTGAATTCAATTGGTTTCGAGTTAAAAGCAAGGCATTGGACGTTTGGCTGAATGGAACAGGCAAAATGGATGACCGTACAGAACTAGATGTATTAATCCGAGATAAATCATAATCATCAACCAATGAAAACCTTGAATTGGAGTTACTCAACGATCCTCCTAAACTTGAAGTCTTTCTAATCAATTTGGTAGCAGATATCTTACGACAAACCAATTGTGTTGTCTTGCTTGATGATGATGTACCCACGCCAGCGCTGTTCTGATTGCTTGATGCTAACTTTGCTGCTATCTCTATAAGCTTAATTGATTCCAAAGGTAAATGGTTTGAAATTCCTTCATTGAAGAAGTTGATCAAAGTGGTCAATAATACTCTATCAGTTTCCTCGTCCCAATACGATTCCAACCATAATTGGAACATTTTAACAATCAACCTTCTTCTATTTTTCAATTTGATCAGCTGCTCCACTTCTCTGGGTTCAAATTTGATGTCAAACCTACTTATCAACTCTTCCAAAAAGTCAATGCTGGGAGCAAAGCTTCTAAAGCAAATGAAGAATGTAGAAACAAAAAAGTACTCTGGTGGAGAGTTCTCATTAGTTAAAGTGAAGACCAACCCTTTGAATGAAGCCCCTAACAAATTACCATTGCTGTCCACCAATAATTCGTCATCTTGCTTAAAATAACTACTTCCTCCAGTGGATAACACGTTATTATCATCATCATCATCATCATCATCTTTAGTAAATTTCTTAAACTCGTCCAGCTTACTAAACTTGCTTCCTTCGTCTATCAAAATGTCGTTAAGGAAATTCATACCATCTGCTGTTAAAGAAGTTCTACCAGCTCTCATATGATTATATGATTTTAATTGGCTGATTCTCTTGTTGGCTGTAGATGTTTCCTTGCGCATGGCTGGAGTCGTCGTCGTTGAGGTCGTTTCTGATCCAACCTTAAGTGACAGTTCGTTGGTAACAGCAAGGGAACATTTCTTTATGAATTCTTGAGGATTAAATTTCATCTTGGAATAATCAGGATACGATCTTTCGTTACTTAATTTGAAATCTCCAGAAACCTCCAACAATTTCCGAATTCCATTAATAGTAATGCTTATACCCTTCACCAAACGGCATGAAATATCAATCAATTCCGCTCCTTCTTTAGAAAATGTGTAAGTGGTTGCAATGGCAGGAGGATTTAACAAAGATGATGATGTTCCACTAGCATCTGTTGTCTTTGTGGTCAACTCATTACCTCCTTCTTGCTTATTACTAACTAATTGCTTAACTTTAGACACAAGGTTACTAACAAGTGCCAATACGTTATCCAAAGAAGAATCCAAATCTTGAGGCTTATCATTAGTAACAAGAACAGATCCAGATTTACTTATGAATAGCAATTCCCTCAATAGCAAAATTATTTGGTGTGTTAAGTTTTCCAAATATTCAAACCCCACAGGATTATGTTCAATCAAATCCAATCTACCAATAAATAACGCCAAATACAGAATAAGCACACTGTGAATCTCGGTAATTCTTTGCTTTGCCATGGGAGGCTTTGATAAAAGAGGGTAATTGTTGACAGCAACCTTGATAAGAATTTGGCGTGATTCAATGGACCAAACTTTCAAAAAGGTGAATGCTTTCCTTGAAACTTGGTAAATCATTAACGTTAAGATTTCAATCTTGTTGAAGTTAGAAGTACCTTTAAATTCATTGGCTTTCACCATTAATTTGTACCAATCTGCTAATAAGGACTTTCTATGTTTTCTAACAACAGGTTTCTTGGTAACTATCTCATTGGATCTGGATAAACAATCTGTCAGTTGGAGTAAAAGCCTAACTCCATCTCGAATAGAATTAATTACCTTTACACTAAAGGTATATTTGTCGTGTCTATTCTTACGACTCAATGGGTTGATAAGGAACTTACCACATGCATGAAATAATGGCTGCAAATAAGCATTATGTTCTTCATCATCTTCATCGAGAACCGCAATTGTGAAATAATTCATAGGAATCCAACCTCTCTCCAAGGTATCAATTAATGTAACTTCCCCCCATCCACTATCATCGATAGTGTGAACAAATGCCAAATCATCCTTTTCAAAGGATAGACAAATCAGAGCATCTGATTCCAGTTGAAGTGTAGTAGAATCAAAGGAATGTAATGCACGGATAAATAGGGTGGATAAATCATCATCATCACCATCACCGGGATATTCTTCTTCGTTGTCATTATGTTTCAATTCTGATTCTTCATTGGAATGGTATGGCACTTCTTCATCTACAATTGCGGTATTATGGCTTATTCCGGTGGTATTTGCTGGGATATTCAACAATAATTCCTCGTTCTGGTGGATTGGACCCCGAGGAGAATGGCCGGAAACCTCATAATTATGGTACAGTTTCAACCTTGTTATCTCCGATTGGTTTGAAGTTGTTGAAATTGAGCTTAATTCCAGAATCAGATTGGAATCATTATTGGAATGGATTTCTCTGGGAGAAATAAACGAATTGTTATCATGAATTTTGGCGTAGTAGATGGATTTCCTATGACTTTGCAGGTACAATTCTTGTTGTTTGGGATGTTTGGAAGCCAATTCAACATTTTGTTGGAACGACGAAAGAAATTGATAAGAATTATTGGAAGTATGCTGTCTTTCCAAGGTCAATGAAAGTCTTTTGAATTTAGAAGATAAATCTTGTTGAGGTAATAGCAGACTTGAATTACTGCTACTGTTTCTATGATTAAAGTTGTTATCTCCTCCCATTATCGGAGTCTTCTGGTCATCTATTGGATCATCCATATTATTACCTTGTCGTATGAGTGGTGTAGCATCTTCATCCTTGTAAGGGTTGTTGCTGTGGCGGTGGCCATCGCCAACTTCACTACCACTAGTTGTATCTATGTGATTGGAGTCTGTGGAAGAATCGTTGGCAGAATAATGCTCATGGTTGATACTTTTGTTGCTGCTAGTACTGCGGTCATCGTCAGTACCGTTACGTAGTAAGGATTCGTTAATGCTAGTGAAACTCATGTCTGCTCCGATTCTGGCCCCTGATTCAGTGGTGAACTTAAAGGGTTTGGTGGTAGCCACTTTGGGTTGAGAGCTTGTGGCAGAAGACTGGGAATCTGAACCGGTTGTGTTGATCAGAATGTGACTTTTTGCCATTTTGTACTCCTCTTCATCGTCATCATCATCATCGTCGTCGTCGTCATCGTGGACTTCTTCGATACCAAATTCGTCAACCTCCGAGGTGGGAGGTAGACTGGGTCGATGGTGGAATGAGAATTCTGATTCGAGAGGCAGATACACTGACGACGACTGACTGAGATGTTTCGGTTGGTTAAGTTCATCCATCTATACTTGAGCTGAAACCGTTGATATTGTGATGTGTTGATGTTTGATATCTGGTGTGATGTGTCTTTTATGCTGTGGTGTGTTGTGTCTGTTGTGTCTGTTGTGTCCGTTGTGTCTGTTGTGTTGTGCTGATGCTTGTCTGGGTCTTCCGGCTCCATTCGACACGAAGAAGATGAGTTCCTCCTTCAAGGGTCCTCTCAACAAGAAGAACAGCGGGGTGGAGATTCAATAATTCGCGTAGTGGATTGAAGTCGAATTACGTACGGCCAACGCGCTCCGTCCTATACAGTAACGACAAAGATACACCAGAATGAAACCTAATGGTAGCAGTAAGTACTAGCAGTATATACAAGTGGTACCAGTAGTAGGTGCTAGTAGTGTGAGTAGTATGTAGTGGTATTTACTAGTGGTATCTAGTAGTGTGGTTAATGTATGTGGTTAATGTATGTAGCTATTAAACGTAGATATTGTACAACTTATGTGACTTGACATATGTTGATGCTATGGAATTCCTTGAGTAATACCTTCAGGTATCACCACTTTGAATCTCTACCTTTCCTCCATGAGGCGTGTATTGTTTCGGAGGCCACCACCGCCAGATTGGGTATCCCCCCTTTTCTGGAGCACCAGCGTTGCCGTATTGGGTTCAAACAAAATTGCTGGATCTCGTTACATCATCGCCAGTTAGCAAGGATCAGCTACAGAGCTACAGACAGCTATAGTGGGGCACCGGAGAGAGTAGTAGGGTTATACAGATCAGTCGCATTAGCACATATTGTCGAGTCATAGCTCGGTCGACGTTGAGTCTTTCGGTCGACGTTGCACGGCAGTCGCATTTTTACAACTCCGTTCAACCATCGTTCCATCTGATTACTGCCACCAGGCGTGTGGACTTCCTCTTTATACAATACAGTCGTGTTGTTTCTCTCTTGGATATTATTCTTAACCACATTCTTCCCGTTATTACTGCTGTTATTGTTACGCACGATCTATACCATAATCTATCAATCAATCAATCAATCATTGATGCTTGTTGATCACACATCGACCTACGCGGTGAACTTCTAATTGGAATCTACGTCGTGGACTCTTTGGGATTTTTCCATTCCTTCGTTGTCTGCTTTGGGACATCTATTGCCGGTTCCGGCGTTTGTGCAAGTTCCAGACCCCAATGTATGGCTTTTAGAACAGGGCCGGGCTACTCCATAGCCACCTGTGACGTATTACAGTTGTACAGTAATTAAGTCTTAGTATATTTCTTATATTAGTATAGCAAGGTATTAATTAAATATGATGAATCGTTATATATATATCTTGACTTAAGCCTTCTTTTGACGAGTTCCCTTAGGCACACGAGCCAAGTAGTAACATAAAACAGTACCAATGATATTCACAGCAATAAAACAAATGAAGATACCCCAGTTTCTCCATCTTTGAGAGTAAAAGGCAGATAATGAGCCCAAATACGAATTGGTATCGGCAAGACGACAGAACTCACAAGTAGTAGTCGACAGTGGATCGACAAGATATCCTGAATTTGTCTTGATGTATGCAGCCAAATATTCTTGACATGTTTGGCCACTGGGGGCAGGAAACGCAATCAATTCATCCTTGGAACAGACAACGTTGGTATTGGCAAGCGATCCAACTAAAACACCTTGAATCCAATATGTGAATGGGTTGGCTCTGTACATAAAGATCCAGAAACCGGGTAATGAAGCTTTGGGGGCCATGGCACCACAGAATAAAAGACACATAGTGAACAAAAAGTTGGCCAAATTACCAGCATTTTCAATCAACTCGTTGAAAGACATCATCCATTGAGAAATGGTACCAGTGTAAATGTAAAAGGCAACGAAATACATCCAAACCATAGCTCCTCTTTCATTCACAGCATTAGTAGGCTCGGCATTTCTGTAAACCCCAACTGGGTAGTACCAACAGAAGAATGAAAAGGTACCAGAAACAACTTGAAATGGCATTTCAGCAGCAACTTGACCCAAAATGAAAATAGCCCAACTAAAAGTACGTGATGGAGCTTCTCTAACTTCATAAATCTCACGTTGTCTCACGAAATATGGCAACATTTGTTGCACATAAGTACTGTAAGGAATCAAACACATAAAAACGGAGAATAATTGATTCTGTAACCCTTGAACTGAAGTACCAGCCTTGAAGAAAGCAAAACCATTGAAAATCATAGAAGAAACAACCAAAAAGAACTTGGAGTAAACATAAGTAGGTGTTCTCCAGTTCTGGACAATAGCACGCCATGTAACAATTCCAAATTGCTTCCAAAGTGGAGCAGCATATGTCTTTTGAGACTGTTCATCTGCTTCCTTAGGAATAGCTCCTAATTGGGTTTCCATACGGTTTAACTCGGCTTGAACATCTTGGTATTCAGTGGAATTTCTCCAAACTTCATGGTAGTCTTGGTTAGCATGAGACCCAGGTGCAGCTCCGATAACTTCCAACATCCATTCGGCAGGGTTGGCTTCCTTAGGACATGGATGAGCACCATACTTTTCAAAATAGTTGATCAATACCAGAGAGTTTTCACCCAAGTCACCAAAATAAACAGTCTTACCACCTTTTTGCAAGAACAATAAACGGTCAAATTCCTTCATCAAAATAGCTGAAGGTTGATGGATTGTACACAAAATAGCTTGACCGTGATCAGCCAACTTTCTTAACAACTTACAGACGGCCCAAGCAGTTTGAGAGTCCAAACCAGAAGTAGGTTCATCCAAGAAGACCAACAACTTTGGTTTGGCAGCTAATTCAACACCAATAGTCAATCTCTTACGTTGCTCGACATTCAAACCTTCACCAGCAACACCGACTAATGCGTCAGCATATTCGTACATTTCCAACAAGTCAATAACGTACTCAACGTAATCATCCTTTTCCTTCTTAGATACATGAGATGGTTGTCTCAAATAAGCTGAGAATCTCAAGGCTTCTCTAACAGTAGAAGCAGCTAAATGGATATCTTGTTGTTGAGCATAACCAATAGATCTTTGGAAAGAATTGTCCAATGGCTTACCATTGACCAATCTAACACCATCGGTGATAATACCAGAAGTAACACGTTCGGACAAACAGTTCAATAATGTGGTCTTACCGGCACCAGATGCACCCATTAAAGCAGTGACTTGACCAGGCTTAACCCAACCGTCAACATGATTCAAAATGACTCTGTCTTCAGCCTTGATCTTAACTTGGTAAGTCAAATCACGCCAGTGAAAGATTTCTCTTTCACTCTTTCCATTACTAATGGATTCAGATGAAGAACTGTCGCCCTTGGAACTTTCAATCTTTTCCTTGTGTGAAATAGGTTCGTGTGGTGCACCATCTTCAATATCACCCTTTGATCTTAACAACTTTTCTTGCTTCTTTTGCTTCTTCAAAGATCCACTCAAAAACAAAGTGATTTCACCCTTTTGCATAGAGCCCTTATTTGTCTCGGTCAAAATCAAATAAATAGCAAGGAAGAAGATAACGAAACCAACAGCAATACCAAAATTTCTCCATTTGTGGGCATGGTAGTATTTAAACGAGATAGCAATGTAATCAGAACCGTTCACAACGGAGGAACCTGGCTTTGCACCAGCAACCAAACAAACACGTTGATTCATAGGAACATTGGCATATTCTGGACCCAGAGGCAAAAATGTCAGACATTCGAATTCACGATTGTGGAATTCATTAACCATAAGCGATTCGAAAATATAACCAACTGGGTTAATATAGTTAATCCATCTGGACCAGCCCAACATGTAAGGAGTTGGAATGACGAAACCAGTGAAAATAACCATAGCCATAAGTAAAACATTTGCTGGGGTCATAGCACCTGCAAGCGAAGTAGACACAGCACCAATAGCACGGAACAAATGAGACATGACCAAAGTACAAGTGAAACAGAAAAGCAAATAAATGAAAAAGTTACCAGCAGTACGACGTAAATTGGCCATAAAGTACAACGTAATGTTGAACCCCAAGGACATACCAACTTTAACAGGCAATTCAGTAATAATCGACGCTAGAGCATCTGCTGAAGGACGATATAAGGCATATTGCTTTTGCTTCTCAACAATATTACGAGCTTCAAAAAGAGCAATAATTTCCAACAAAGAACTGAAAGCATTGAACAAAAGGCCAAAGAATAAAACAGATCCTCTATAGAAAAAGGAATTGGTATTGGGTTGCAAATTGTAAAAGACGGACGACAACAACAAAGCCATGATAACTTGCGAGGCAACAGAGAAAATGGTGATGGAAGGGTCACCCTTTGTCCTCAACCAATTACGGTGCATAATATAACGCACTTGCATGTAGAAGGAAACAACATAAGGGGATTTGTGTGGTAAATGATCGGCTTGTCTGGCTTTATGGGATTCCTCATAGGCAATAGCATTGGTATTACCATCAGTGTGGTTGATGTGACTATCGATACGACGAATAAGCAGATCATAATCAGCAGATGCCTTCCAATATTCATCAAACTCCTTAGCGGTACGAGGTACCTTGTTTTCATAACCAGGCTTGACAATTCTTTCGGCTGGGTTGGTCAATGAAGTCAAGAAATCAGCTGTGGTTTGACGTTGTGGACAAATGTAACCCATTTCTTCGAAATAAGCTCTAGCTCTGGTAGCCTTACCGAAAAAGATTTGGTAACCTTCGTACAAGACGATAACATTGTCAAACAAGTCATAAGCGTCTTGAGAACATTGATATATGGCAATCAATGGGGTGGCTTCTAAAATGGTAGCAGAAGTCTTCAAAGCTCTGATGAATTCCAATGCAGTGGCAGCATCTAACCCTCTAGTAGCATTATCCCAACATTGAAGGTTAGCACCAGATAAAGAAGCTTCGGCAATGGAAACTCTCTTACGTTCACCACCAGAGACACCTCTGATAAAATCATTACCAACTTGGGTATTACGAGTATGCAGCAAACCGTACATAGCCATGTAGACGGATGCCATGTGTTTAGCATAGGTTTCTCTATCGATTTCCCCTCTGTTCTTTGGGGTTCTCAATCTAGCAGCAAAGTCCAAGGTATCTCCAACGGTCAAGTGGGGAAAATGGACATCTGTTTCTGCAGAATAGATCACATCTCCACGATAGATGGTGTTTATATCTTGAGGCGAAATCCCATCATAAGTGATATGGGATTCTGGGGCCACTTCAAACCCATATGTATGAGAAGCAAGGGTCTTTAAAAGTGTTGTACACCCAGAACCAGGTCTACCTAAAACGACAGTGACTTCACCGGGTCTAACAAACCCATCCATTGGCTTCAAAATGTCGAAATAGGCCAGTTGAGGAGGTTTCTTGATGCTTCTATAAAGAGTTGTCATGGCTTTCCAAATACCATTGGTAACTGTTGGCTGGTAATCTGAATCACTGGCAATACCGCTACATCTCAAGTTCCGGTAAGCCACCCCTAATTTGGAAGGTTTATAGTAGTCAGGATCTGAATCATACAACTTTCTCAAGTTTTTAACCCAATACTTAGCTTCGAAATCAGGCAGACTTGGGTTTAGTTTGGGATCAATTTCTGGTTCATTCTCAGCATTGAATGGCGCGACCCCGGGAACCTGGGACATGTGAGTCAAGTACTTTGCCAAGTCATATTCTGTGGCTTCGGTTGCGTTAGTTTGACGTCTGGAAAGAGTTCTAACAATCTGACCCACTTGTTGTGCCACCTGGGCGTCAAAACCTTGATATTCTAATTCATCTTCTTCTTCTTCGGACTCCTCGTCGTCTTCTCCTTCTCCAAACACTTCAGTTTTGGGTGTATTATCACTAACACCACCACCGGGTGATGATGCTACACCATCTTCACCATAACCTGTTTCAGGAGGAGGTAAAGACATGTTGGACAGATACAGTATACTAACTTTAAACAAACTGAAAGAAAATTCCACTTGCGATTTAACATTAGGGTTGGGGTTGGTCAGGGCATTATATACATTTTTTCAATGATGTGCTCTTTTCTCCGTCTTGTGGAATTATGCTCCGCATCCAGATTGTTAACTGCAATGAGATACACACAACCAAATTGGATAAGGCAAAGCCCAAACAACAACAAAAAAAAATAATAAGTTTGAGTAACAATCAAGCCAAAGAAGGTAACAAGCCCATTAATATCATGGCATATACAAGACGTTAACAACCTTGAGACACAGACTCCGATGGCAAAAACGTTAAGCACATTGAGACAACAAGGCTTTAAGGATTTAAGGATTTTATTTAGTGCCGGCGCACTGTCGTAAATCATAATAATAATAATAATGGTATCTCCGTGTTAGCAGGCATTAGCCGGGCCCGGACATATCTCTAATTTAGATTGTAGAATTTACTTGGTATCGAATTGCCATGTTTGTACACACATGTTGGGGGACTTTGTTGTTGCATTCACTTGCTTTTGGCTAGAACGAGGGGGGGGGTACAATAAGGCTGTAGTCGTTCCAGTTGCCCCGCTTCTTTCTCATATTCTTACTCATTTCGATCTTTTACATGTGTTAGGTCACTACTTTCTTCATTGCTTTCTTCTTTCGAGTGTGTATCGTTTGGATGGCTATGGTATGGTATGATATCTAAATCTGGGTATGTTAATTAATGGATTGCGCATCGTATCAATCTTGTTTCTCACGGGACATGCGTCTGAAGAGTTCCATACATATGCGTCGGGAATTACGCTTATGCATCCGCCCTCCGGATTTTAGGATTTAATCACTCATCGGAATATGACCTTAATCTGGCAATTGTTGCGAACCGTAAAACTAAAGTGCGTCGGACGTAAAGCCATATTTAGAAACAGCGGAAAAACTCACTAAAGCTAATAATAAACCACATGTCTGCAACCATATCTTCCTTTACTCCTACTTACCATCTTTCAACTTATCCGCTTTGTATATGTAGGTTTGTTCAATGCTTAAAGTTCCGTAACCCCTTCCGTATTCGTCACTCTAAGCCATATTGAATTTATATTTGGCGCACAGCCAAATTGTAGTACTATCATCCGTACAACTGCGATAAAGTCATCATGTACGTCAAATATTCATCTGCTTGTATGTTATGATTCGGGACTTTGGTACCTGAAAGGCACGGAGAATAACTGTTTCCGCCGTTCGTTCCTAGTCAAATCGTTTACTGCCTCAAATAAAATCTTTAGCGTAATCGATCATGGTCTAGAGTATATATTCTACACTTTATAGGTGCGTATTACCTGTGATTACTATGGTTTACACGTAATTCGACCTTTTGATCATAGTAATATAGGTTTTCGGATACTAAAAACGCTGTTTAGTTCCCGAAAAGACGGACCCATCTTTCATTCCGTAATTAACTTCCGAAATCATATTAAAATCCGTGTCCGGAGAACAATTGTCTGCCCATGCAGCAAAAAAATAGTAAAATCTTCTACGTCAACCTGCGGCAATTGATCTTAATGTTCGTTCGCGACTTTTGTATTTGAAACATGCGCACGTGATCAAAGTTATGAATTCTTGCAGTTATAACAATGCAAAGGTGAAAGCAACACGACCACATTATGAATGGTTGGATCTAAAAGAACTTCGGTAACTACTCCGTGCAATGTTCTTGTGGCTATGTCTTTAATGGTTAAGGAATATATCGCTCATCAAACACCCAGTTAATTTGTTTAGTTAGAACTATATTTATGCTTAAATAGGTTGAAGGGTCGTTTATATCCAAGCGTTAGGAGCACAGGCTATTACTTCCATAGCTTTTGATTTGGAAATACATCTAGATGAGATTAGTCAATATTGGCAACCAACTCCTTCTTTAAAAACATTAAAGGCATCGGTGATGTCTTGTTTACCTCTGTGTGTGCCTACTTTGTCGTGGCATAGCGTGATCTGCATGCTAATAAACGTAGTGCTTTGTGCTTTATTTTATATCACGTGATCATGTGATAATGAACTACACCCCGTCTTCCTTATCGTCAACACCTTTCCTACACGAAGGCCAAGTCTAAGTAGGATGTAGGAGGATGGCAATTGGTGCTTGAAGAAGAGAGGACCCAAGTAGATTCTCCGGTCAGAAGATCAAGGCAAACAACAGCAGCAGCAGTACCAGTTGCGCTAGGGATACGTGTACGTAGATATGAAGTCCAATTGAAACTTAAGCAAGGAGATGTTGATCAATTCGAAGACGCCAACGATGTGGTAACGGTAGGACACATTCAAGACTTCAGATTCAACACTGTTCAGTTTCTTTCAATGCGTGTGTTTCTCTTTGTTGAAGCGAAGGATGTGAGGGTATCAGAGGAATTTGGTCCACTTAATAAAGAAAAGTATTTTACTTCTTATCAAGAGCCCATTCAATTGGCTTCTGTGTTGGATAAAGGGACGGTTGTTTCCAAGAATGGCTTTGATCAGGAAGTGAATGATATCTCTACTTTGTACGACATCTTTGTAAGTCGAAGAGCATCCACTGTAGATCGCAACATGAAGTTGTCACCGGAATTTAACTTCAATGATATGCTTAAAAGAGAAAGAACTGGAGTTCATGCGGTATCCTTATCGTGGGATGAGTGCACGTAAGAGACCGTTGTCCTCTGGATCAATAAAAAGAAAAATACAGGCTCAATCAAAAACTGATCAAGACGCAGTCAGGCCAGAATACGATGGCGTTATATCAATGATGATAATGACAGTTGCAATTGTTCAGTCATTGATCCTGAATCTTTATCAATAAAAGGTATCAATTATTATCTATGAACATTAAATAAAGTATTATAAACTATCACGAGGCTAATCAAAATCAAAAAAAAAAGAACTCGCACCTAAAACAAATATTACTTCTTCTTTTCTCTGTTACCCTTTGGCACTCTGGCCAACCAGTAAAAAGCAAAAGTACCAATAATGTTAACAGCAATGAAACAAAGGAAAATACCAAGGTTTCTCCACCTCTCACTGTATAATGTACTGACACTTCGTAAGAACTGGTTGGTACTATTTAAAGAACAGAACTCACAATTACTGGTAGCCAGCTCATTAACAAGGTACCCACCATTGGCAGATATATAGTTAGACATGTATTCACCACATGTTTGACCATTTGGAGGAGTAAGCGAAACCAACTCGTTTGACTTACACACGACAGGGGCGTTGGCCAAAGAACCGGCTAAAATACCTTGAACATTGTAAGTAAATGGGTTGCAGCGGTACATGAAGATCCAGAAACCTGGTAAAGCATCAGGACCAGCTAAGACACCACAGAAGTTCAAACACATACTGAACAACAAAACACACAAGTTAGCAGCGTTATCTGCCAACTCTATGAAGGCAATACACATCTGACCCATAGTACTGGTGTAGACATAGAAACCTGTAATAAGCAACCAAACTAATACACCTCTTTCATTAACGGCATTGGTGTATGTAGCATTCTGTTGCAATCCGACAGGGTAGTACCAAGTGAAGAATGATAAGGTACCCACAACGATTTGGAAGGGAATTTCAGCTGTGATTTGAGCTGCAATGAAGGCAACCCAACTGAAAGTACGAGAAGGAGCTTCTCTAACTTCATATAAATCACGAGCACTCACAAAGTATGGCAACATTTGCTGCACCAAAGTATTGAAGGGAATGTATGACATGAAGACGGAAAACATTTGATTCTGTAACCCTTGGATGGAAGTACCTGCTTTGTAGAACGAGAACCCATTGAAAAGGGATGAAGATATACAAAGGAAAAGTTTGGAGTAAATGTAAGTAGGAGTTCTCCAGTAGGAAACTATCACTCTCTTAGATGTGCAATAGTATTGAGTCCACATGTTGGCAGCATATTTCAAGTGAGATTGAGGGTCTTCTTCTTTTGGAATAGCACCTAATTCGATTTCCATACGGTTTAATTCATTTTGAACGTCTTGGTATTCGGTAGAATTCTTCCAAACTTCATGGTAGTCTTGGTTAGCATGAGACCCAGGTGCAGCTCCAATAACTTCTAACATCCATTCGGCAGGGTTGGCCTCCTTAGGACATGGATGAGCACCATACTTTTCAAAGTAACCAGTCAAAGTCTTGAAGTTCTTTCCTAATTCACCAAAGTAAACAGTCTTACCACCTTTTTGCAAGAATAATAAACGGTCAAATTCTTCTAGCAAAATAGCTGAAGGTTGATGGATTGTACACAAAATAGCTTGACCGTGATCAGCCAACTTTCTTAACAACTTACAGACGGCCCAAGCAGTTTGAGAGTCCAAACCAGAAGTAGGTTCATCCAAGAAAAGCAACAACTTTGGTTTGGCAGCTAATTCAACACCAATAGTCAATCTCTTACGTTGCTCGACATTCAAACCTTCACCAGCAACACCGACTAATGCGTCAGCATATTCGTACATTTCCAACAAGTCAATAACGTACTCAACGTAGTCCTCCTTTTCCTTCTTAGATACATGAGATGGTTGTCTCAAATAAGCTGAGAATCTCAAGGCTTCTCTGACGGTTGAGGTTGGCAAGTGTAAATCTTGTTGCTGAGCATAACCAATAGATCTTTGGAAAGAATTGTCCAATGGCTTACCATTGACCAATCTAACACCATCGGTGATAACACCAGTAGTAACACGTTCGGACAAACAGTTCAATAATGTGGTTTTACCGGCACCAGATGCACCCATTAAAGCGGTAATTTGACCAGGCTTAACCCAACCGTCAACATGATTCAAAATGACTCTGTCTTCAGTTTTGATCTTAACTTGGTAAGTCAAATCACGCCAGTGGAAGATTTCTCTATCATTGTTACTTCCATTGACACTTCCAGATGCGGAACTATCACCGGTTGCTTCCTTTGTAGCCTCTATTTGATCACGGTGACTAATTTTCTCTTCAACAGTTGAACTAGCTATCTCTAAATCTTGATCCAAGGCATTCTTTTCAGAATTACCAATAGCACCTTGTTTCTCGGCACTCTTTCTGTGCATCTCCTTTTGCTTCTTTAAAGAACCTCTAAGGAAGAATGTGATTTCACCCTTTTGCATAGAACCTTTGTTACTTTCTGTCAAGTAAATGTAAATAAACAAAAAGAAAAACACATAAGCAACAACAATACCCCAGTTTCTCCATTTGTGAGAGATGTAGTACTTGAAAGAAGTGGCAATATAATCGGAACCATTCACAAAGGCATTCCCTTCTTTAGAACCAGCAACATTACAAACAGTAGCGTCCAGGCCCTCGACATAACCGGGGCCATTAGGAACGTATGAAGCACATTTGAACTCTCTGTTACTAAACTCGTTAACCATAAGTGACTCAAAGACGTAACCGACTGGGTTGATGTAGTTGATCCATCTGGACCAACCCAACATATTAGGAGTTGGAATAACGAAACCAGTGTAAATCACCATCGCCATAAGTAAAACATTTGCTGGGGTCATAGCACCTGCAATAGACGTCGAAACAGCACCAATTGAACGGAATAAATGAGACATGACCAAAGTACATGTGAAACAAATCAACCAATAGAAAAAGAAAGCACCAGCAGTTCTTCTAAAGTTAACCATAAAGTAGAAAATGATATTGAAAGCTGCAGATTGCACAAGTTTCACTGGTAATTCCGTAATAATTGATGCAAGTGCATCAGCAGATGGACGATATAATGCATACTGTTTCTGTTTCTCGACAATTGGTCTAGCTTCAAAAAGTGACATAATTTCCAAAAGAGAACCAAAAGCGTTGAACAAAACAGCAAAGAAAAGGGAAGCACCACGATAATAGAAAGAACCAGTAGTTTGATTTAAATTGTAAAAAACAGACGATAAAATCAAACCCATAACACCTTGACCGACAACAGAAAATAAGGGGATGGAAGGATCTCCTTTCATTCTCTTGAAGTTACGTTGCATAATGTACTTAACTTGCATACTGAATGAAACAGTGTAAGGTGATTTGGAGGAAATGTGATTCGATTGTCTAGCAACGTGGGAATCATGGTAGGCAGCCTTATTTTCTGCAGTTGAGTTTTCTTCAATGTACTTATCAATCTTGCTACACAACTTTTGGTAGTCTGTAGAGCTCTTCCAATATTCATCAAATTCCTTAGCGGTACGAGGTACCTTGCTTTCATAACCAGGCTTGACAATTCTTTCGGCTGGGTTGGTCAATGAAGTCAAGAAATCAGCTGTGGTTTGACGTTGTGGACAAATGTAACCCATCTCTTCAAAATATGCCTTAGCTCTACTGGTTTTACCAAAGTAGATTTGATAACCTTCATACAATACAACAGCATTGTCAAACAAGTCATAAGCGTCTTGAGAACATTGATATATGGCAATCAATGGGGTGGCTTCTAAAATGGTAGCAGAAGTCTTCAAAGCTCTGATGAATTCCAATGCAGTGGCAGCATCTAACCCTCTAGTAGCATTATCCCAACATTGAAGGTTAGCACCAGATAAAGAAGCTTCGGCAATGGAAACTCTCTTACGTTCACCACCAGAGACACCTCTGATAAAATCATTACCAACTTGGGTATTACGGGTATGCAGCAAACCGTACATAGCCATGTAGACGGATGCCATGTGTTGGGCGTATACTTCTCTGTCAATGTCACCTCTATTTTGAGGAGTTCTCAATCTGGCAGCAAAGTCCAAAGTATCACCAACAGACAAGTGAGGGAAATGGATATCAGTTTCTGCAGAATAAATCACCTCACCTCTATAATTAGTATTGATTTCGTGGGGTGTTAAACCATCGTATGAGATAATTGAGTTGGGGTCAACTTCAAAACCATATGTTTGAGAGGCAAGTGTACGCAAAAGTGTGGTACAACCAGAACCAGGTCTACCCAAAACAACTGTAACTTCACCAGGTCTGACAAGACCATCCATTGGCTTTAGAATATCAAAGTAAGCCAGTTGTGGGGGTTTTTTCAAGATTCTTGAGCCGTCCATCATATACTTCCAAAGGCCATTGGTAACGGTAGGTTGATAATCAGAGTCACTTGCAATACCGCTACATCTCAAGTTACGGTAAGCAACACCCAATTTGGAAGGTTTGTAGTAGTCTGGATCAGTGTCTCTTAACTTTCTCATGTTCTTAACCCAAAACTTAGCTTCAAATAAGTCCAGTGCAGGATCCAAGCGGGGATCAACGTCACCATTGTAAGGTGCTTCCCCAGGAACTTGAGACATGTTGGTCAAATAACGAGCCAAATCATAAGTTTTCACCCTGGAAATTGAAGTGCCGCCAACATTCAGACCACTATGAGAAACAGTTCTAGCAAGATTTAGAACTTGGTGTCCTACTCCATTGTCGAATCCCTGGTATTCTGAGAGATTGTCTTCATCTTCATCAGACGTCGATGAGCGTGTTGAATTGTCTTTAACAACACTCATTGGTTGATTGGTAACAAGTCTAAAGTTATTCACTAAGTTTTTCTTTATGTTTTTTCAATCATTTAGGGATTAGCCAACCTTATATATCTATAAAGCATAAGGTGTGATCTGGAATTATATGACACCCGGTTGTTAGTAAAGTGGCACTGGTGTCTGTTTATGGTGTCATCGGAATTATTGCGATGCGGATTTAAGGCTACCAGACAAAATTGGTGTCTGATATTGTACTGTACATACTGTGTTTGAAACCAAGAAATGTCAGGCCTTAAACATTACTATAGGTGTACGGAACATTGCCGTCCTTACGGATACTAGCCACAGCCTTCATTTCAGCTTGACCTTTATTTGCAATAATACGTATTGTATTTTTTGAGCCCAGAATGTTACTTTTGAACTTGCTTTAGATGTATATTACTTTTCTTCCGTCGTCATCCCCCACGAGGTGGAGATAATCTTATATGTAGGAATGTCTGTTTTGCAGCCATGTGTTAGGAAAAGGAGTGGTTAAATACAGGCTGGTGTCTTTGAGGTTGCAAAAATTGTTCTCTGAAGTTACTACTTTTCTTTGTTGATGGTCAAATACCCTTGATTTATTTTGTTTTCTTATGAGCTATACATAGAAACCCAACCCATGTGAAAAAAGAGAAGGCTAATATATATATTTGAAATGTTGGTTTGATGACCTCATACAGACATATTGAAGTACCGAAATTTTTCCGCCTTTTTGTTTTAATTATTATTTAACTATTATAGTATTAGAAGGAACCACTGTATGTCACGATAAGTTTTATCAACGACGGAATCTGATTTTGGAATCCACATTTTTTGGTCTAATTAGCCAGAAGAAAAAAACTCATCTAATGCTGATGAAGTGTAGTTATAAAGCATGTTATGGCTGCCCCACGTTGGTCAACGTTTTTTACCAGACAGCACTTAAACTTTAGCAATATTCCCAAAATCCACGTCAGAGTTTTCAAACAAAAAAGGTACTAATAAATTGATTACGGAACTCTCAAACGTATCCTTTTAGGCTTCCTTCTACTGTTCCTGATGCATTATCCTCGGACCCAAACAACGATGCACGTATAATAATAGGAACATAGATGAAGAACAGTATAGTATGTTTTAGTTCCTAGCACTCTGTAGCAATAACAGACGTATGACATACAATGTGGAAATAAATTTTCTTACAGAATAGGTCTTTCGAACAAAGTCATCCACTATCCAATTTTAACCGTATATTGAAAGTGCACAGCTCAACCAAGTTTTATCGTTGAAGGGGACTTCCTCAACACTGTGACCCCAATCTTTTTAGACAATTGTATATTTCTATTCTTGCAACAAAAAGATCCTTTTGCGCTTAAAAGTGTGTAGAAAAGTGTTAGATTTGTAGTTTTCATTTTATAAAGTTTATGAAAGACTCTCTTTTTGTTTTAACCAAATCCAGGTTGACATTGGCTGGCCTATTTGAGCCAAAACGTGTAAGAAAAGGAAATTCTTCAAAGCTGAGGTCTCTGCTCCCGAAAAAAGGAAACTGTCAAATGAAAATAAAAACCAAGAGTACGGAGACATCGAGATGATATCCAGTTAAAGGTTCGTTTTGAATATAGCTGACATGTGACAATGTCGGCTTAATCATAGATTGATGTATTTTAAATTCTATTGAAACGTTTGCCTTTTCTAAGTCCTCAAATAGTGTGACTTAACTGGCCCATACGTCATTAATAGCACGAACATCATTAGCGATCATACAATTAACAGGTCCCATGGGAGCTTCTTGTCGTGTCACGTGCCATGTAGTTAAAATTTTAAAACTTCAGTGTTCGATTGAAGTTTGGTTATCATTCATTGTCTCAAGCCGAGGGAATGGATTTTAGTGCCTTCTGTGTGCTTGAAGTGGCAGTAAATGTGTTTACCGTAAGTACCATTTGAAGATGATATAATAAGTAATCGTTAGTGTTTCGACAGGTTAAATATCGGAGTGTGAAAACTGTTGTGAAACATTCTATGTGTGTTATAGTATCATGTATACGACAGAATACAAAATTCCGACACGGAGGTTAAATGAGAAGAGTCCAGAAGGAAAGGTTTAACTACTTTGCTATTACATTTCCTCTTCAGGTCATTGTGTACAGTTGACGATTTAGTATTATCGAAGATCAGACATTACATTATACACGAGAGGTTTTGTAAACATAAACATAAGAACAAACCTTCCAAAACCTCAACATTAGTAGGTTTCCATAGTTAAACTTTTCAGACACCACAGAGAATGTACTTCAGACAATTTTCGGAACATATTTTTTTCCGGATTCCGGAACTTAAGCTTACACTCCGTTCCGGGGTTTAACAGCCGTTCCTTCTCCACTTGCTGATGAGTAATACGGAGCCACCTATTCGTACAGATAACGTCCCGGATATTTTTAACTTTGATCCCCTGGCAGTTTAGTAATGTCGTTCACATTACCGTAGTAGGTCCGTATGCATTACGTCATAAATCAGTTTGACGTCTACTTTGATCTATCGATATATACAATATTATTCTTCCAAACTAAATCAGGTGGCATTACCCGGACACAGAGTAAGCCTCGACAAATTATTTTACTCCACAATTAAATAACTAATTCTACACTACTATTTTAGTACTGTATCTTTGATAGTTTCCTAATAACGCTGGCAGGCAACAATCAACATTACAACATTACTTAATGAAGTCGTGTCATGTCGAAGAATTATTAAGCAGTGCAAACATTAGGTGTACGCGCCGTTCATTCTCTCCCCATCCAATTGATAACCACATAGATTTTCACATTTATCATTCTTAGATTTTAAGCACATAGTCACGTGTCAAAGAATGTTTTATGACGTTCTGCACTATAATTTCCATATATTTCATGCGTTCATAATGAAGTTGCACATTACCCTCTTTTTTATGGGTTACCCGGACACATTACAAAATTTGTGGTCTTCGAATTTGGAGATGAAGTAAACGATAAAACAGTCAATGAGGGCAATAAGCCAATCAATCCAATTGCTGTTATACATTGGCTAGATGCTGACATTATTCACGTGCAAAACGTGTAGTCAGACATTTGACTATTCTTCCATTCACTCTCACCTACTGCAAACCAGACACAAGTCAGCATCCATTCAATCTGAAGAAGCAGATGGCGAAAGTGAAGACGTTGCTTGCGAAGAGTGTGGCAATAACAACATCCATCAGTTAGTTCTACAGAGATCTGGACTCTCTGATCTTTCACTTTTATGTACTGATTGTTGTGAGCCTCTGTCTTCTGTTCCTGGTGACAAGGTTGTCAACTACTCTCTTTCCAATGGGTCCTTCTTTGCAAAGTTGCCTATGTATTTGAAATTACGTGATTTAAGTTGTGATATTTGTCAAGCAATAGATGTGACTTTGTATGTTCCCAATAGAGACGGATCTACTCCCAAATCTGCCAGTGGTGTTACTGGTTCTGGTTCTGGTTCTGGTAGTGCTGAGGCTGCTCTCTGTGTTTGTATGAACTGTTTAGGTGACGATGCCGAAGAGTTGATATCAACGGGTAAGTTCATTGGCGATAACAATGACCAGTTCTTGTACCAATTGTTTGGAATCAAGGAGTTCCAAAGCAAGTTCAAAGGTTCGGCAAGAGGTAAAGGTAAGGGAAGGCGTAGCAAAGGAAAAGGCGTTGGTGGACGAGAAAGACGTCCTAGACGTGAGAAACCTGTGGATGCACAGAAATTAAAACAAATAGAATATTATCATACAATGATGGAGAGAAAGAAGCAATTTGACACAGGTAACACTGTGAAAGCAGTTGGAGCTGGTAAGGTTAATTCTCCTGTCGTTAATAATAAGCGGTCTACTTCATCACCAAGTCCAAGAGTCACTCCAAGAGTCACTCCAACATCAAGTGGTAGAAATTCGCCTTTACTGAAGTCGAAATCTGAATCACGATCTACCAAAGCATCCAAATTTTCATCAGACTCACGGCGATCCAGCAACTTCACCTCAGATGCATCCTTAAGTTCAAATAACAAAAAAGTGAATTCTTCAAAGCCAAAAGGAAACTCTGGGGGCTCAGGAAAACCAGAGAGTACAAAGAAATCCAACCCACCAACTGATGCTAGCAAAAAAACGGCCAAAAGTAATGGCAAACCTCAAAAACCTGAGAAACCCACCAGGAGTAATGACAGCCGCAAAAGCATAAAAGAAACAACCAATACGTCTATTCTCAACGGAAAACACAGTAAACCTGAGCAGATTGTTCCCAAACTGAAGGCTGAACAGCCATTTAAGCCTGACAAAGCTGTGCAACAGGGCCGTAAACCAGGTAGAGTGGAAATTCTGATGAATAAGCAACTCAAGTCTACAAAGCCTAGCTCCAACACACCTGTCAAGACTGACAAAGCAGTGATTGTTGAAGATACTTCTGTAGATTCCAAGAAACCCATTCCCGACTTTAAGTATCCTGATGGGATCCGACCATACGTTCCTTCGAAGACACTCAAATTGCAATATGATACGATGGACGATTACTTCAATGAAATCGGACATTATCTTTTTCTTGAGCAGCAAGCTGATTCCGAATCAAAATATATACACCCAAATGAAATGGAAATAGAATGGTATCAGGAACAAGACCAAAAACATAGTCAGTATAAGGTTAATCTTGAAATGACACCCGAATTTACTGAAAGATTTATTCCCAAAAGTCAGCAATTTAAAAAGACTCCCTTCTCCAATGATCAATCCATTTTCTTGGTATTGAATAATGAAGTTGCTTGGTCAGGTCAAGTTGTGGTTTCTGAAGGTGGAGCATCTAAAGGTAAAGGAGGGAAGGGAAAGAGAGGTTCTCCTAAACGTGGCCCATCAAGAGCTCCCAAAAGGAACATGTTTGAGATGATTGTGTCGTTACATCCATGGAATAGCCAACCTTTACCCTTACAGGCGCATATCAAACATCTTACGCTTTTACCAGCATCTGTTCCTATAAGTCGTGTTTTCATGGCTATGAGCAAAGTTGATAACCCACAGTTTATTAAGATGTTATTGGGGCATGAGCCTATTAAGCAGATAGACTTCAAGAACTACTTGAACTTCACCAGGGATTCTTTAAATGCTTCACAGAAGATTGCCATTCAATCCGTGCTTAACAATTCCATTACTGTTCTTCAAGGACCTCCAGGAACAGGTAAAACTTCTACTATCTACGAGATTATATTGCAATTGCTTGATAACTTGAGTACTTACCCCATTTTGGTTGTTGCAGCTTCGAATATTGCAGTTGATAACATTGCTGAGAAGCTTATGAAGGACCATGGAAGACATATACTCAGAATTACATCTGCAGAGAAGGAAACAGAGTACAATCGTGATCATCCCTTGGCATCTATCTGTTTACATCACAGAACTAACAATGATATGCCTGAGCATTTTAAGGAAGTTGCACGTTCCCTAAGAAGCGGGGGACGTGAGCCTGTTTCGGCGAACCAGTATCAGAAGTATATTCAACAGTTGATTCGCTTGAATGATAAGCACATTGCCCAGGCACATGTTATTTTCACCACGACTGTTGTAGCTGGTGGAAACCAATTGAAGGCTATTAGCAAGTTGCCTGTTGTTATTATGGATGAATCGACTCAATCTTCGGAGGCATCGACGTTGATTCCTTTATCGATGCCTGGTGTTCGGAGGTTTGTGATGGTTGGAGATCAAAAGCAATTGAGTGGGTTCTCTCAAGTGTCTAATTTGTCAGTTTCACTTTTTGAAAGAGTAATTCTCAATGGTTCCTACAAGAAGATACACATGTTGGATACTCAATATCGTATGCATCCTGCCATCAGTGATTTCCCGAGAAGAGTGGTGTACAATAATTTATTGAAGGACGGAATTGATGCATCCCATAGGAAAATGGAAGGTATACCGAGCAACCCAGTGTTCTTCTGGAATACTGGAGGGAAATGTAGTGAAGGACGGGTCCGTGTTCGGTATAGAGAAGATGCGGGATTCTCCTTTTCCAACCAAGGGGAAGCTAAACGGATTGTTACAATTTTAACCAAGTTAATATATGAGAAGAACATCCCCCGTTCAAGTATCGGAATTGTCACACCTTATTCCGGCCAAAGAAACTTAATCTCGAGTATTTTAGCAGAGAATGAGTTGATAAATCCAGACAAATTAGACATCCAAGAGGAAATTGACAGAGACGATTTCTTTGAGTCTGCAACAACAATCAACTACAACAACAATAATAATAATGGTAAACAGAATAGAAAAAATGGTACTATTCAAATTGTTAATGGTATAATGGTTGCTTCAATTGATGCGTTCCAAGGTCGTGAAAAGGACTTCATGGTAATGTCGTGCGTAAGATCAAATGACACAAATCAAATTGGGTTCCTTGCAGACGAAAGAAGATTGAATGTTGCATTAACCAGAGCTAAATTCGGGTTGATTCTTGTTGGAGATTACAAGTGCTTATCGAATGGAAGTGCACTTTGGAAACAATATTTGAATGATTTGGAGTCAAAGGGATCGGTGAATGACGCAATTGAATTCACGTACTAGATTAGTCCTCTTGTAAATAGTTTAGCAAAGAGGCTGTATTAAGGTTTCATAGTAACTGTCCTGTATAATGTGATCAAGGCGGTGATGTTGGTAGTCACGTGACACATCCTTTAAATGGTAGTCACATACGGCTTTAGCATTCACTAGAGAGGTATACAAATTGTATTCTTCAAGTAGCTATCTACTAGAAACTTATAGCGTAATCATTGAGCGATTCTAAAACGACGACGAAGTAAAAATGAAGTGAGTTTATCTGTTATGTTTATGCTATTGTTCCCACCTAAAATCTCTTATCATGACTATTTGTCTTTCAAGCTATGAGGAATTGCGTCTATTCAGACTATTTCTACAGAGTGAAGACGGCTCCATATTCTGTTTCTTTTTCTTATACGTCGGTTTTACCATACAAATACGTAAATTCGAAATGTCGTATATTTTTACATCATGTCGTATCTCTTGACGTATCAGGGCCTTTTCTTGTACAACTTTTATATTGGTATGTACGGTCAGGGCCCGTCATTCCATTTAGCATAAACAGGTGGACGTTTTTCCTGTTGACTGAAGGATCTGGCTAGTATTTTACAGCCATAACTGGTCTATAAGTTACAGCAAAATACGCTTTATACCAAATATCAGAGTCATACACTCAACGGAAATTGTAGTAGTTATGGGGAAGCAGAAAGTATCGAACTATTGGTAATTCTCTACGCAAGATAGCTGTTGACAAGCTTATGTACCATGGTCATTAAGGGACTAATAAATGTGATTAGTATATCTTCGTCATATATGATCCATCTCTCACAATGCTTGATAACAACATACGTTTTTAGTAAGTCAGTATGACTGCAGTTTTCGGTGAAAAGTAGAGAAATATGTCCTAAAAGTGCACTCATATTCAACATCACTCCTCTTTGACATAATGTCGTGTTATCAAAACATTGTATCCTCATATATACTTCATTCGATACTAGTGACTATATAGTTCTTTTCTGTACAATCATACTTTGATGATACATTAGGAGGTTCCTCCAACTATGTACTATATTCTCTCTCCTGTGTAATATCTGTCACTGCTGTCTATCCAATAGCACATTGTTGCCTATCATTTGAATATGGAGACTATAAATCTTTTCTACACAATTATAGCTATAATCTTGGAAACTAGCATGTAGCTTGTAGCAATACCATGTTGATGAAGTTCTTTAGCTTCAAATGTGACAGAGTCCCGAACACCAAACATATTGGGATCCCCGAGTTATATGCACAACAGCGAATGTCCTTATTGTTAGTTGCTCATACCATGTCCGATAAACTTTATTCGTTACCACCTGAAACATCTAACTGCCGAGATCATCGGCAAAACAGTTTGTTCCTACAAAGTGTACTAACCGTATTTAATAGAATACTACATGAAAAGTAGTAGTAAAATAGATATAGTCTTGTTTAAAGGTATCTATTAGTCTTACTGCGACAAAAAAAACGACAACTGCAGGATTCGAACCTGCGCGGGCAAAGCCCAAAAGATTTCTAATCTTTCTCCTTAACCACTCGGACAAGTTGCCTTTTCGATACAATAAAAACCCCAAAAACAAAGAGGACACTATTCTGTCCAATATACAGGCTATGAATATAATTACCGAACATGGTAGCGCTGCAAAATTACCATATGAAAAGTTTAGAATTCCCAATTAGACGAGTAGCTCAATAGTGTAAACGAGTCCGGTTATTTATGTATCATAAAGGGACCATTGTTTTCAACTGACAAAATTAGACGATAGAAAATGAATATTGTTTAGTTTAAGATCTAAAATAGACGGTCAAAAGGACACGATGAGGAGGCGTGAATGCTGGATATAAAGTAAATATTTAAAATAAACCGATAATAGCTAAAGATGCAGATGAAGAATTAAACATTAAGGTCTACCAAATTAAAGGACCATATAATAAAGCTTAAATGTAATCTAATAAAGTGTAGTGCTTTTTGTGCCGAATGCGATGAAAAGAATAATAAATGCAATTTGTAAATGGACATGACGACGACAACAACAATATCAACGACTTTGAGGTTCAGTAGGAGGTTCAGCCAATCTTGAAGTGTCTGTGTCATCATCAAGAGTTAAGTCATGGTCGCTTGTATTTTCGTCAGGTGTAGTCAATTTAGATGGGGCACGTGACCCAACGTCGATAGACATACTTTCCAGTTTATGACGTTTATGGTTTCTGTTGGGACCAAGACGGGGACTAGGACCAGGTGTTGAAGTAGAAGTACCAGTAGAAATTATTGGAGTTGCTCCACTTCCCATTACTGTTGGTATATTACTACTACCACTACTACTACCGGGATTTTCGGGTTTCCAATGATGAAACTGTATGATGTGCGACAACGACGTCATAGATTCTTGAGACGGAGGTTGACCAAGCTTCTTTTGTTTGTGAAGAGGTTGGGCAGGTAAGGGGTTTACTTGTATTCGGGCAGTTGTACCCGATAGACTTGAAGATGTGGGACCTACCCCGCCTTGTTGTTGATTCTTCTTCGTACTCGAACTGGCTTTATTTCCTCTTTGAGGGGTTATCGATTGTGTCTGGCCCAATGGTGATTCCGTAGAAGAAGTATCTACAGGCATTGAATAATGACGTTGATGCAGATAAAGGCTTGATGCCGATCTTTTGGAGGGGGTGGTAGGTGGCATATTCAAGTTCGCCACTGCTTGAGCTCCAATCTTAGCAGGTGATAATGGTCTTCGTGAAGTCAGATATGATGGTGATGACATGGTAGATGCAGAGGTTGACGGCATAGAAGGACCTCCAAATCTGTAGTTTAATGGAGGTACAGAACTTGCACTTAAAGTATCAGGACGAGCTAATGAAGTCACAGGATAACCTCTTGCATTCCTTTCTCCTCCAGAATAATGACCAGGGGGTAATAGTCCAGTATTAGGAACCTTTTGTTGTGATGCAAATTGTGGGCCATAACTTTGACTAAAACTACCCTGAGGTTGATGTTGATATCCATGTTGTAGATGATGAGCTTGAGCTTGAGCTTGACCAGGTGGCATTTGATTTACAACCTGGGATGACGATGATGTAGATGTTTGGGAAGCTATCAGCAGCAGTCGTTGTTGATGATGCTGAGGATGTACGGAGGATGCATACATAGTCTGTAATTGTTGTAGTTGATTCTGTTCTGCAATAAGTGAACTAGAAACACACATTTGCGGTATCAACTGGACAGGAACCTGTGCTCTTAATGCTGTTTGAAGAATATCCAAGTTTTTGGAAGCAATTTCGTTTCTATATGCTTCTTGTTGAGTCTTTTCTTGTTCGATACGAAGACGAATTGCTTCTATCAATGCCCCTTCAGAATACAGCACGTCACTCAATTCTGGTCCAAGAATACTACCAAGTGATCCAAGGTTTTGCTTTGGAGTTTCAGATCGGTTAGGAGATGAAGTCAGACTTCGAATCGTCGGAAGAATTGGTTCGGATACCAGAGGTTGAATGGTAGGTTTAGGCTGTGTAGTAGTAAGAGTTTCTTCGGATCCTGAGCCAGACTTCGCCACGGACTCTTCGGCTGCTGCTGCTGCTGCAGCTGCAGCCAAAGTGCCTACTCCACCTGAAGACTGCTGGTCGAACCTATCAATTAGTGAGTGCACACTCATCGATCCTCGTGAATGGTGCCCCGTCATTCCACGGGTAGTGAGCATCAGTTTTATGGTGTGTTAATTTCCTTTCCTTGATCTTAATGATATTCTAAAGATCGTCGTCCCCCAAGACGGCGTTAATTAAATGGTCTTTTTTTCAATTTATCAGGCTCGGGTATAACGTTTGTACTTCCACGGCACTTATAACTAATTCAACCTTCTTCGTCACTTGTTCTCGGTTATGTACAACGGAGAATTTTGTTTTATTTATGCCTTAATAAGGTTTGTGTCGCGCGGCGTCCCAAAATAGGAAGTATGTGTCGCGTATCTCGTTCGAGCTCAGCCAAATATCGTAAGTGATAACAAATTTGAGTTAGCTATCACTAATTACTTTGAGTTATATGCCGTAAAAAAGGTTTCAAAGTCAATCGGTTCACCATTCTCCTTATTGCATTTTCTAATCCCTGAAGTTCGTAAACTTGATTCAGGATTTTGTGGAATTTCATTGTTACTAAATTTAACCTTCTCTTCTCACATTCTTAATTAAAAGTCTTCAATCTTCAATATATACTTTAATGAATCTTGCCGGAGTTTGGCTATCATTTCCATATACGGGTTTCTCCAATCGAGATAGTCGGCAATCTCAAATTGAAGGCTTCCTTCAGTAACAACCTTAAGTCCTTCCCGAACCCAAGACTCCCGAATCCTTAACTCCATCTCTTCAAAATAGTTGTATTTACTAAACCCGTTGGCTAAGGAAGGTAGCGTTCCCCAAATCGACTTACCCCAACCATAGTTTAAACGTTTGTCAACCTCATAGCAAGGTTCATGGATATCAAATCGACATCCCAGAATAAATGTGGAGCCTTGTGATTTGGGCTTGAGAATATTCAATATGAATTCTTCCTTCAGTGGGAAGAGTTGCTTAAATGAACCCGAGAGTCTCTCCTTTGTCCAGTCAACATTGATATCATCAAGTCTATTATAGTTTATAACTCTTTGGAAATATTTCTTTGACCCCACCAAATCCACTATACAGTCCAATTTGCACCCATTAACGTTCCTGGGGTTGATATTCTCTTCATACATAAACATCTTTTCTAAAATTTGCAAAGCAAATAACTCTGGCTTCTTATAATTGATTGGGACCTTCTCTCCGGGTAACACGATATCTTCATTAACAGAATCAAAAGTAACCAAATGAATTTTCCGATTAACATTATCGATTTTACGGCAAAACTTGTCCATAAATGGGAATGAAGCTTCTCTAATAACACCAATAACGTCAATCTCGTCAAAGTCTTCATACACACTTGAGTTCAACAATTGAATAATAGTTAATCCGGTCATAGTGTCTGCACCATTAACTAGTACTTTCAACAGTTTATGTCTTCCATCCAAATGATCCAACATCTGCTTTGCACGACAATAATATAAGGGGATACTAGAAGCCTTTGCAAGTACTGGGAGATTCTCTTCCACGGGGAATGTGTATGTATGTTTCCGTGCAACAGGAGTAGCAGTACTTGAAATAGTGGGTGACTGTTGTTGAGTAACGTCTTCTTCATCACCAACCACAAAATTTGCTTCACTATTATCAATCTTGATATCTATATGGTTCAACTTGTTCAATGCATCTTGGCTAAGAACAACCACACAATCTGACTTTGGGTCGATTAATAGTGTGGATGAAAGTGAACCCTTACGAGCCAGGGGGTTAACGATTCCAAAAACTAAATCACCTTTATTATACTTGCCTTTAAGTGAAGCACCAAGATGGAGTATGATACCAGAAAATTCATACCCTAAACCAATTTTCTCTTCACTAACATTAAGACCAAACTTATTGATCTTGGATAAATCAAACGAATTAAGACTAGCAAACTTAATATTCACCACAAGCTTATCGATAGGAGGAGGTACCTTGAATTCGCCATAATGGAAGTTGATTGCAGTCTCACTATTCTGAGTAGATAATTCCTTGACAGGGACATAACGGAAATTCTCTTCTGATTTGGTTACATTTGATACATTATTGGTTGGAGGAACCACTGATAATGACTCAGTATTACTCTGTTGTTGCTTACCTTTCAGCCGTCTCATGATTTCTGCATATGTGAGTAAAGGTTTAGGAGCCTCCTTTTTGGATTTATCAAGATATGCCAATTCCGGAGGTATTTTATGAAATGGGTTACTCTTTGCCTTCTCGTCGTGGATTTCCTTCAATTTCTGATGATGTTCATAGAGGTCTTCTACCGGAGCTGGAGCAAACCCCACTGATTTCTTCTTCTTCCTCGTCTCTTCCATAACAAAAGGCTCTGGGGTTTTGATATCTTCTGGTTGTTCACTCATTCTGATGGTCACAAGAAAAATTAATACACCTTTAAGGGAAAAAGTACGGTAGTTAAATGAGCTTTGATCCCTGCTCTTTGACTTTGTTAAGTTGATCCGAAATGATCCGTATTTAATTTGCAGCGACTATAACTTTTGAATGACTCCTTGTATTACAAGTCTCAATCGGTCAGTATCAATGAGTCAGTCCCGGTTAACCATGAATGTTTCCTAGTTCAACAATCGAGTACTTGTTAACGTTAAACAGTAACAGTTGAAGGCTTCCCCGACTTTCAAACATTTAATTAGACTCCTACTTTCTGCTTGATGTCGTTTTATTACATAATCAATATTTATTTATGTCTCATGATTACGTAATTTTGGGGCGATGACACTAAAGTGAAACACAATTATACTACTACGGAGTAGTCACATTGAATCCCTTTATTCAATAGTGAAAAGTGAATCTTTCGTTATATTGCCATTGACAGTACAGGATGTTTTCATGGGCTGGAACTCTTGTCATTCTTTACGTTCTACTGCTTGTTGTAGCGGTAGGATGTATTCTGGCGTTTTTCCCTTTAACCCGATATCCACTTCATACCCTGATCTTGATAATACTAGGAGTTTTCCTTCCAGTCAGCGTATGGTTCGTGTTACCAATAGATTATGTGGGCCGTCGTGACACTCTATTTGTTCCTGTAAATGTGATGCTCTCACTATGGAAAGCCACATATTGGACTACTTTTATATTAACATGGTTGTTCTTACCTTTATTAGAATCTTACTATACTTCTGGATACTATCAAGGATGGGAAAGACTTCGAGATGCTGTTAACAAGAATCTTAAGTTTCAATTGGTTATGTTTGTTGTATTGATTGCTTCTGTGATATATCTTTGGCTTGAAGTAGGATTACTGATGGCTCATGTGAAACAATTGGCCATTGCTTTATCTCATATTTATGCCCTTATAATGGCTTTATGGTTAATGGGTCATGGATTAGTTGCCATTCCAAGAAGGTTCTGGCTATCTTCTACCAGTATCAACAATTTGAACAATGTTTATTTACATCTACCTCGACTAGTAGATAACTTAGAAGACTCCAAACTACTGTTAAAGGAAGATTGCTTGAAAGTAATGGTCCTTCAAAGATATTACGCAGATGAATTTATTGAATACAGAGATTGGATTTTAGATTTGTATAATCGAATCCCTCCAGAGTTAACATCACAAACTTTAAGATTCATAACTCTGGAAAATAGTCAAATCAACCAAAGTGAAATCACCAAAGACTTTATGAGGAAACTACGCAGTCTGTTCAACGCAAACTTGAATAGCTACGTAGCTTATAAATCAGAATATACCAAATCCATTGATGAAGCCATCTATTGGGAAGATGTAACTCAGGGGAATGGTCAAGTTCAATTTAGAAATAATCGACGTCTCATGATATCTTCAAGGTTCACCTATATTTATTTCTATTACATAAGACCATGGATTTGTCGTGGGTATGCAGTTGTTTTGATGGCTTTATCCGTTATAATGGTTGAATCTGAAATTTTACATTCTACCAAATTATCACTAGTCAATTTCCTATTGACCAAAACCACAAACAGTGGGGTTACACAATTCTTATATTGTTTCCTTTTCTTTGGATTTATGATCATAGCAGCATTGGATTCTCTTACTCAATTGAAAGTATTCAACATGTACCATTTGGTACGGAGTAAATCCGATGTTGTTTCAGTGTGTTTCTATGCCACATATACTGCTAGATTAACTATCCCCTTATCATATAACTTTCTTAATTTGTTTGTTTCACGCGACTCGGTATTTGAAGATTGGTATGGGAAATCGGTTATGCTTACCGGGTTGTTTAGTATTCTAAACAATTGGCTTCCTCGACTTATCATCATCCCCTTAACACTTACAATGTTCAATATATATGAAAAAATCAAACAACGGTTTGGATTCTCTGCTGATTTACTTCTTGATGATTCAGAGATTGAATATTCAACAGATATTGAACATGGTCAAGCCACCAGAAACAATCTTATGATTGAAGCAAAACGTATAGTCGAAAGAGAACTAATGCGTTCGGAAAGCCGGGATAACCGTGATAATAGCAACCTTTTAAGACCTTATAGTTTTACAGATGCTGCCAATATCAACTATGAGAGGAATAGACTGGAGTTCCATAATTCATTAGTAGGTAGAGGGTATGAAGAAGACGGAGATATGTCGATGGCATTCAGCAACCGTGACCGTATAGATGGTCTAGCACTGGGAGATTTTAATAGCAGTAGTAATGGTAATGGTAATGGTAATGGTATTGGATCATTGTGGAACAGCTTAATGGGAAGAATTGGTTTGAGAAGAAACATAGTCATTGAAGATGACAATGATTTTCTAGACCCTTTAGATGATGTATCATATGACAATGACAATGTCGTATTGTGATAACTGTTTGTTTGGCTGCGAAAAACATATTTGCACCCTACATTAATGCACGGCGACAATCACTTTATCACTGGTCAATTCCAGATAGATAATGAATGAAAGTAGTAGGTATAAGAATGGTATTACCCCCTACCCGTTGCAGATTCCGCTTTTCATAGAGTATGAACCCAATGGAGGTGACTTCCTGGTACCAGGCGCATACCATAAAACAAGCCTACCAGAAAATAAAAAGAAGAACCCATATAAAGGGCCCAATTGCCTCCACAAAGTTAAGGAGCCACCAAACAACAGCAGGAAAGATTATCGCCATTTGTCGTCGTCAACTCCCAATCCCAAAACTAATAAACACAACCAAAAAATTTGGAGTCAAATAAAGCTGAGCGGGACTTGGTTTGGGTTGATTCGAAGCAAATCAATGAGAGAATTATCCAATCTATTTCAGTCATTCACCAAAGACAACAACGCTAAAACAGCAGGAGGACCCGTGAGTGAAAGAAGTATAAGTACACTTCCGTTAGCTCAATCCACAATAAAATCCGAGCCACCTGTTTCGACTCTATCCCCTTTATCTTCGTCATCACAAAGTACTGGCAGTTCTCAAAGAAGTACAAGAACCACAAGCAAAGCACTTAGAGATCATTTTGATACCAATTACAAAAGAGATAAAGGATACACCACCAATATTCATTCTATAGGTAACAAATATGCCTTTTCCAAGAGTCAAGAACAATTGAATGCCTTGGCAGATCACATAACTGTGAATGAACAAGAGGATCAACCATGGATTATGACTCCATCGGGTTTCAAGTTTAGCATTTATGGATGGCCCATCTCTCGAGTGACTCTTATTCAAACACTGCCATTCTGTGCAAGTGCAGTCACCGTACCAAGACAGCAGACACAAAGTTAGATCAGTAATATTGTACGTATTATACATAATATGTATACAAGGTATGTTTATGTATAATCGGTATAGCGTATGGATCGATATGCCCTTCACAATATGTACCATCTTGCCGCGCTACCGCGAAATCACGCTCACACCCCGGACAATAAAATCCGGGGCAAGTTTGATTATTGTTGATAACAAAACCGCACCAAACCTTCACCCGCAACAATACCAAACATACAGTAAGATGCTTAGGAAGCAGTTCCCGCTGGGCCAGAACACAGTAAGACATGTATCGAGTACCATCACATTCACACTGGTCAATCGTGCTCCTACAATCCCCATACTGATGGTAGTTCCCAATGCCCTGACCAAACTTAAGGTACCCCTTCTCAAATCTCCACTGCATTTGGGTCATGCTACATCTCGGGTCAACCGTATGTACAATGAAGATAGATATAGTGCACAGGTATTATCACTTCCGAATGATCGTACGGTATTTAACTTTGGCATATATGATGGTCATGGGGGTGATAACTGCTCCGAATATATTTCTACCCATCTCCCTAGTAAAGTGGAAAGAGTTGACGAGCTTTGTCAAGTTACTGCTCAACAGGATAAGTTATTTGCCGCTTATCGGGATAATGTTGGAGGATATTGGAAAAGATGGTACAAGCAAAAGAAAAACCATGTTAAAACAATGAAAGAACGATGTTTAGATATTAATTTAAGACAGTTCCCTGAATTGGAGAATGATTTACCTTTAAGATTGCCAATGTCATATTTAGAGACTGATTATGACTTTTTACTGCATACTGACAATAATGATGGAGGTTCTACATGTACTTCGGTATATCTTGAGACCATTTTCTCTGAACCTGGAGATTTTAAACCTGTGTTTGAAGACTATTACTTTAATAGAAACACCATAAACGTCTTAACGGTAGCGCACGTGGGGGATACTAAGTGTATATTGGTTGATAGTGAAGGACTAGCACATCCATTAACACAACCACATCATCCATCTAACCCAAATGAAAATGAAAGACTTCGGAGATTTGCACTGGCATTATTTATGATGGATTCCTTTGGAGAAGAACGACTTATCTCTTTGGCCAACACTCGAGCATTTGGTGATGTTAATTTCAAAGAGATCGGAGTTAGTGCGGAGCCTGAAGTTACCCAATTAGTCATTGGTGATAAACTGACTATTCATAAGAAATTAACCAAAAGAGAAATAGACAATTACACTATAGGAGGAGGAGATGAATCGTTCTTAATTCTATGCACAGATGGAGTAACGGATGTACTAACGGATCAAGAAATCGCCGATATAGCAATGGCTAACTTTAACAATCGAGGTCATAAGGTCGCTACTCCACAATTTTGTGCTGGAGAAGTGATTAAGTTTGTAGAATACGTTGGAGGAGATGATAATGCCACTTGCTTGATAGTTAGGCTCAATGGATGGGGAAAATGGCCTACTATAGACCGTACAGGGTCTCTTAGACAAGATAGACTTGATAATTTCCAGCCTAAGGGAAGGTCATAAAGTTGCGTAGATAATATCCTTTCCCATATCATTATTCTATTTATTTATTTAAACTGTTGTGTTAAGAACGATTATAAACTAAAGTTCGTCTTTTACTATGTACAAGGAGGGAAACGGTAGATATGCTGACAAATCATCTCTGGTTAGCTAATCAACCTTAAAATCGAATCTGGTCCAGACCAACGACGCTTTAATGCTCTTCTTGATACTATGCCATACAATACCATCATCAGTTCTTTGTAAATCTATAGTGGAATCTCTTACGAGTGGGTGCAAACTCTCCTAATTTGGAACCGACCATGTCATCTGTAATCTCTATCTCAACGTACTCCTTTCCATTATGAATTTGAAACTTTAATCCCACAAATTGAGGCAACACTGTACAACTTCTGGCGTTGGTACGAATGGGAGTTTTATTCTTCATGGCTTCGGCAATGGGAAGTGGAACAACATTAGGACCTTTCCACACAGCTCTCCGCAATAAACTATTTGCTGCACGCATCTTGGATGAGGTCTCCAGCAATCAACAATATAACTGTTAACTCAACTGTTGTTTGACCTCTCTTATTAAGCAAAATGCAATACGATTACTGCCTGAAAATTTTCATCACCAAAAAAAGACTGCATATAATACATAAAAGGATTATAAATACGTTACGTAAGCACACTGTTTAACCTAAGTATAGCGATGAGTAGTTGATTCAATTACTACATTGATATATTGCTTGCATTGATTAAGCTCTGTTCAAATAGCCAGAATGTTTGCTGGCAGATTTGATCCGTCGGCATTTAGCGGCACGAAACGGAAACGTGACAGTGACAATTATGAGAGTGACGTGAGCGATGACCTGAGCATAAACGAAAGTGGAGTTGACGACAGTGGAAGCGAAGAGGAAGATAGCACGAGCGAGAACACCAAGAAGGAGGAATTTAGCAGTGACAGTGAGAGTGACAGCGAAAGTGATAGTGATCGTGGTAGTGATAATGAAAGTAATAGCAGCATCAGTGACAAAGAGACTGATGTAAATGCAATGGACATAGATAGTGGTAATTCGAAATCTTCTATTGAAGAATTAGCAGGTGAAGGGGATGAGGCATATGTTGATAAGCATCATTCAGTGTTTCTGAAATTTCAAAAGTCCATCGATAAAAGCATTCAATCAACGAATTTAAATGGTGAAGAAGATGTTTCTGACGATAATATCGTTCAACAAGATTTACAACCTCTCCCCCAACCGCCATTACCTCGAGATAGAAGGCTAAAGGCTACTACTACACATTTGAAATCACTTGACTGGCTTGCCGTGCCCACATACACTGCACCTGAGATCACAGAACCGTTTTCTGGGTTCCCTCTTAATCCTAAATTACAAAGTAACCTTAATTCCTTGGGATATACCAGCGCATTTGCTGTTCAGATCAGTGTGCTTCATGTACTTCTTTCAGACATTAGAAAGAATATTTTTCAACCAGATCATCGAGGTGATTTGCTTGTGAATGCTCTGACAGGGTCAGGGAAGACATTAGCATATCTGATACCAATAATCGAAGCATTGCATAAGAGAACCGTGCCAAAAGTTCGTGCAATTATACTTGTACCCACCAAGCCTTTGATCAATCAAGTGAAACAAACGTTAGATACTTTACGGAAAGGTACCAAATTGCATGTTGTAAGTTTAAAGAATGATATCAGCTTGAAGGAGGAAGCAAGAAAGCTTTTGTCCAATGTTCCCGATATCATAGTCACTACTCCTGGTCGTCTTGTGGATCATTTGACCATGGAATCCATTAATTTACAGGACTTGAGATATTTGGTCATTGATGAAGCTGATAGATTGTTGAACCAATCTTTCCAGAATTGGTGTAGTGTTGTTATTTCAAAGTTATGTCCAGTTGGTGCTGTTGATAATAAATGGAATCGTACACCACAGAAGTTAATCTTTTCAGCTACATTAACCACAGACGCAGGGAAGTTAACTCAGTTGAAATTGCATAATCCTCGGTTAATCATTGTTAATAAAGAACATCAATTATTGCAAAATGATGAACTTTTTTCAGTTCCTGCCACATTGAATGAATTCCTGATCCAAGTCGGTACTGCCAAAGCATCAGTGAAACCATTGTTATTGGCCAAATTACTTTTGACCCAAAAGAGACACAGGAATGTGTTGATATTTGCAAAGTCAAACGAAGCAACTATCAGATTAGCCAAATTACTACAATCACTCTTTGATAGGCTTGTTTCTCTCCATGATGAAAAGCCATTGGTTGTGGAGTATTTGAATTCCACCAATAATACATCACAGATAAGAAAACAAATATTGAACAAATTCCATGAGGGTAGCATAAACGTTCTTGTTGCAACTGATTTAATTGCTAGAGGTATTGATATTCTTAGCATTACCACCGTTGTCAACTATGATTTGCCCAATTCCGCTAGAGAATATGTCCATAGAGTCGGTAGAACTGCTAGAGCAAACAAAACTGGTGATGCCATTAGTATTGTCGTTGGGAAAGGTGAACAGAAGTGGTTCAATAAGCTCACCAAAGAAATTGGTCGTTCTCCAGAGCAAAGCATTGGTATAATTGAAGGAGTAATAACCGAACAACTGGAAGAACAAATATACACTCAATGTCTTGAACAATTACAAAAGCAAATAGCCAGGTAACAGAAAGTGAGCTATATATAGTGCAACAGCATGATGAAAGGGTTTGTGTTTAAACTCTCTTTACGTCAATAGAACATTTGAGTAATACGATTCATCAATTATTTATGTCATCATATTAGAAGGCATTCCAAGACTATAGTTTAGTTTCTGGAAGCATCCCCCTACCAGTCGATCTGTAGAGGCATATATTGAGATACTACTAACCTTTATGTTATGTATAATTATTTGTACCAATTGGCCTCTTTGGGGTTCTTTAGTATCCTCCCAAGCTTTTTATGGTTGCTTTAATTTTGTTCTACAGTTGACATATGCGGGGGTTTAACATAAGGAATAAACATGCCCACATAATCCAACGCAGTCTTTAATATCCCGTATACCCTTTTGTTGATGAGTGGAGAGTGGAGGGTAAGATATAGTTTAAGGAGGTAGTGTAACGTAGATCTAGGGGGTGTATTTTTGAATTACCATGATTTTGCTATAGAACTTTCCTACTATACTCTATTGATTGTACTTTAAATTTAACTGAAACGCTGTCTTGCAAGATTTCTTTCATTAACGTCTGTTATATCGAATCTTCCATGTAAAACACTCTCTTCTTGTCTTTTATAACCAACTATGTATATATTATTGTATTCATTTTCTATGTCTGATGTTATATAGAAAATCTATACTCTTATTATCGAAATTCTTTCTAATTCTGTTAATCACTTTAGGTGTTCAAGAATCTTACGATAATTATTTGAATAGATTCTTAATCTGAAAAGCTATTACAGTCCCTTCTTGCCTCCCCCGACAGGATCAATAGGTAATTTTTTTGGATTTAATTCCGTCAAGAGATGGGACTACATCCAAGATGGATACTTAGAACATACCTAAAGTTGAATATATTCTCAAGTGAATTTTTACACTCACTATATTATAATCACTATATAATAATCAGCTTACAATTAGTTAGAGTCGTTCATGTAAATAAATTTTGTAGCATTCGTAATTTTATTACTCTTCCATACTTAATAGTTTCTGTGCTTATGCCATTTTCTAAAGTTTATACGTATTTTATACAGTCTTCTTTATTCTCTAGTTCTATTGAGAAATCTGTATCCAAGGCAGCTGTTTTTATTTCATCACTATATATAAAATAAAAGAAGTGAGCAGTATTAATTCTCATTTGTTTTCTATATGCTTCATATTCAGTACCTTCTTCATATATTAATGTTTCACATACACAATTACGCAATTCCTTTTCAGGTAGCTTAAATACTCACCTTCCTAGATCCTACACCTCTATAATAAGCAATATTTGTGGCTATTTCTCACATTTCTTTGAATTCTAAATATCTATAAATGCTTCTTCTGGTGATGTTTACCTATCAATAAATCTGTAAATCCTGATTTCCTTGATAGTAATCTGTATTGTATAAATCATGGCTGTTGTATGAATTTGGAATTTTCCAAGTACATTTTCGATAACTTCTTAATGTGCATATACAAATACTAACATAAATAGTTTTTACATATTTATAATTACTGAATAATGTATTCCCTATAATCTACTGCTTTTTGAGCTTTTCTTAATTTTATTATTCTTTCATTAGCAGTATTTACTGCATGTATATCTTCTTCCATCTTTTCTATATATTTCATACATTCTTCTTTACTTTTTAATTCTACTGAGAAATCCATATCCAAGACAACTGTTTTTATTTTATCTTTATATATAAAATAAACGTGAGCACTATTAGCTCTCATTTGTTTTCTGTATGCTTCTGATTCAGTACCTTCTTTGTAAATTATTGTTTCAACTATATCGTCTCCTAGTTCTTTTTCAGTATCTGAAAAATATTCTACTTCGTGGAATCCTGCATTTCTACAATACACAATCTTATCAGTTGTTTCCCACATTTCTTCTAATTCCAAATATCTACAAATACTAGTGTATAATTTCATTTCTATACTTTTTTTCGTAATTTCAAAGTATAATACTTCACAGTCATAAACATTTGCTTTTTCTAATTTTTCTAATTTTTCTAAGATTTCTTTACATTTTATAACTTCATTACATTTATATAAGTTTGTTTCTCCACATTCATCCCACAAATCATCTATGGTTATTTTTAAATCGTAATCTAACAAGAAAATTAATATTTTATTCATTTCTTAACAAATTGTTAGTACTTTATGTTATGAATGCTTTCATTTGGTGCAAATCTCGTACGTCAGATATGTTTCTACTATCTATAAAGATTGTATCATCACTAGGTCAGTTGTCCCTATCTTGTAATATCATCATATATAAGTTTTTGCTGTCATAGGTATCATGTGTGGATACATACCATTTAAGGATAGTGTAAAAGAATCGTAGGTGCTAAAAAAAAATTTACTACACAATTAATCAAGTTTTTCATATTTATGAGAAGTTTAATGTCCGGGTAACTCCCAAAAATGAGAACAAAAACTATCTGACACAAAAGACTAAACTCTTTGTATGGGTTGTTCCAACGGATAACAAAGAATAAACATTATCAAGGGAATACGGGAAATAACCGGATTGGATTGTAATAATAAAGCGGGAATCTAGATGTTCCATCTTGCAAGTTCGTTGTATACACAATACACCAAACGTGAACAATATAACGTATTAATATTGGGATTGGACAATGCTGGGAAAACAACCTTCTTAGAGCATATGAAGCTCTTATTCCCAGTAGAGATTACAGGAGGAGGCAGTTCAACAATAAATAGAAAGGAATCAAGTCCCATGTCAGACGATACACGAAGCACCCCGGAGATTTTGAAATCTAAGCGAATATTGCCAACGGTGGGACAAAACACAACTACTATTAGATTCCCCATTGGAGGATTAGGTCATGGATCTAGTAGTGGGACAGGCGGAGTTAGTAATAGAAGATCAAGTGTTGTGGGAGCAGCTAATAATAGGAATAATAATCTTGGAGCAGTCCAGAATAAAGGGAAATCAATCAACCTTAAGTTTTGGGATTTAGGTGGTCAACAACTGTTAAGATCAATGTGGTGTCGATACTATCGAGATTGTCATGGAATCATTTTCTTAATAGACTCAACGGACCAGGAAAGATTTCAAGAGTGCTATGACACGTTAATGGCCATTGCTCATGATGAAAAATGGCACACCAATAACACTACCAATAATATTAACAATAATAATAACGATGAGACACAAGGATTACAAAGTGAGATGGAGGAAGATATGGTCAACGTTCCCATACTTGTTTTAGCCAACAAACAAGATTTACCTCAAGCGGTGGATTTGGTGAGTTTGAAAACCGGAGTTTTCATAAGGTTGGTGAGTGAGTTAGAAGCTACCGATTCCAAACTTTTACCGGTAAGTGTATTAGAAAACGAAGGCTTGGTGGACTCGCTTGAATGGTTAGTAACACGTCTTATGTACAACAAAGGGAATAAGAAACCAGAATATCGGTAAAGACCTTGGTAATCTTGTGCATTTTGCATCAATCTATTCTCTCAGAGTACCTTCTATAAAGTGTTTGGTTAGTGCATATACGGTATGTGTAAATGTATTATAACTGTCAGCGCAATGAGATGATTGACACAGGTATAATCCACTTGATGATGCGTGAAACAATGTCATGTGCAATCATACTAAACACACCTACGACATACGAGGGTAATATGAAGTCTACGAGATGTATACTAATTCCCCACTAAATATAATGAGACAATAATAGAACACAGAGTCGAAATGTGTAAACCACATGTTGAATAGATTTAACCGTTTGGATGACGGCAAGGGGTCAAGTTTCCCTAGTTAGGGCTTCATGCGTAGTGTGTACAGGAGAGTCGCTTATTTCGGCAAAACCTGAAGAATGGAGTGGTTAACAATTACTAGGCTTATAACGGTAGACAAACAAACAAACAAACAAACAAGCAACATGCATAGAGAAAATATGCATGCAAAACAATAAATCCAGCGCTATCTATCATTGCTTCACAGTTTAAATAAGTATAATGAATGTGTAAAGTCTAAAGGAACGAAATAGGAATAGTAATTGAGTGAGATAGCAGCGATCTCATTCGTAAGGCAGAATACACTACCACATAGTGTTGGCTTATCAATGGAACAATTGGATCAAAAGTGTCAATTGGAACCGAAGGAAAAAGGTTACACAAGCACTCGCGAAATGTTCAATGCATTGATGGCTGGCTGATAGCTGAATGAATTTCAGACGACATAAAACTCACATGGATTAACGCCTGTTATACAGAATGACAGTAAATATTAGAATGGTATAGACCAGACATATACCCGAATATAGTAGTAACGGAAATAACAAGGACATTTACAAATATTACAGTAACCGTAACATACAGCTACAGTTACAGAAAGAGTACGTACCAATAACAGTAGTCTCACTAGCGTCACTGTGTATGCTTTACCTGTCGTATTGTAGCGGTCGTCTCGTCTGACTCGACATTCAAGCGGAATTATTGTTTGTCGATCGCCTATTTAGGATTAAATTAAGTGCAGGTGGCACAAACCTTCGTATGCATAAACCCCGTTTTCCAAATTGCTAAAGAAACATTAGTTAAAGGCAGTAAAACCCACATATCTCAACCAGCATAATGTCTACACAATCTGCGCATCTTCAACCGAGCACTCACTTATTTATATACGACTCAAGGATATAAATACATTACATAACTATAACTGCACATCCATACATACGTAAACACGTACTTACGTATACACATACGTATAAAAGTTTGTATTGTCATAATGATGTATAAGCTATTGAACCCCTTTAAGAGTAACCGAAACTCCAAGGTCATCATTGATAATGATGACGACGACGAACTACCAATTGAGAAACCTCCTCCAAGATTGAAGCTCGTACGAAGGTCAAAATCCACTTCGGTATTACGACACCACACTAAGGGGAAAGTCATTGGTCCCGGTAGTAAACAACAACAACAACAACAACAACAACAACAACAACAGCAGCAGCAAACGCAAACTCCCGGTGACACGTATCAATTTGAGGATGATAGCCATACACCACCCCCTTTGTTACTTCTGAACAATTCTACTCAAACATCGCTTTCTTTCGCTGACTTTCTATTAACCTTCAATACCAACACCTCGTTGATCAACCAAACAGACACGTTGAGAGAGCAACAGGAGAAACTCCGCAAAGAACGTGAAGATGAGCTACTCCGTATGAAAAATGGCGGCGAACATCGGAACTGGATTACTTCGAATCAGACTTCTCAAGAACATTATCAACATCAGCTTTTACTTATGAATGCCACCAGAAGGAAGTCAGATGTAGAAAATAATACCATTAACAATATTAATAATCTCAACAAAAGACGGCTTTTAAATAGATATCTGATGGTAGAAACATCTTCATCACTATATCCCACTCCAGACGATTCTCCTGTTCAAATGAGAAACGGAGAAGGAGGAGGAGGAGGAATTGCCCCGAATGTCGACACACTTGGTTTACGGTCTTCTTCCTCAGTGTACTTATCTGATCTTCCTAATCCTCCGGCGAAGAGGAACACAAGCCAACAATCTTCAAAATATCTGAGTGACTTGGAAGCCGTAAAGAAATCTGGCAATACGGCGTATTTTCGAAGAACAAGTGCCAATGCGGCCAAATGGATGTCTCAGATCGATCCGGTTCTTCAGGAAGCTCAATTGAAAGATCAAATAGTTCAAAGGACTGTTAGCGATGGTTCTGATTTTGAAGGTACCAAACCTTTAAGAATAAAAAAGACTCTTGACCCTAAGACTCTGGTTCATCCGTCTTCCGTTTCACCAAAACACTCCATCAAGAGAAGACCACCTCCAGATTTAGTAATGCCAGAAGATGAACAACCGAATACGATTATTCAATCTCCCTCAGTTCCATCTCATTCAGAACGAGACATAGCAAACATGCCACATCCTAATATTACTGATGATGCCACTAATTCTGAACGATCTACTCAAGATGAACTCCTTAATTCTACTACTTATTTTCGTTCTAAAGCCGTATCAGATTCCACTATGAGGTCTTTTCTGGAAGAGAAGACCGACATTGAGAGCCAAGGTGCTGTAGATTCAATACTTAACAAGTATAAAGATGAATCGCCTCAAAATCAAAATCAAGACGACTTCAGGTTTACTACTACTAATACTACTTCAGCATATGACAACATTGAGGAGATTCCTCTTGAAGATATGACTCCGACAACTGGAACCCCAACCATTGTTACTACTGCCGACCAAGTAACCAACAACACCCCAGCATTATCTATGCAGTCAATGAAACTGCCTATTCGGTTGAATTTAGGAGGAGGACATACACCATTGGACAATTTACACCTACAGTCACTTCAATCCAGTCCTTTGAAGCCTCCTAGTGCAATTTATAGCAAGGAAAGTACCGCATCTAATTCAGCAGCGTCTTCAATGGTTGCTGTTAAAGACGGCAAATTGGGTCATTTCCCTCATACTCCTTTGAATTTAGGCTCTCCTTCCACTAGCTCAAGTAAAAGTATTCGAAATCAACAAGATAATAAAGATATCTTCGCTATAGATGATTCTGGTGATGTTACAGAAACAAATATAGGTAACAAAGATTTGCTTTTGGTCGACAAAGCCAATGAACAACCACCTTCCGATAAGAAACAGCTTTCGTTGACTGAACTGAAACTTAGTGACTTAAAAAAACATGTTACTCGAGGTTCGAACTCGTTAGGAATCGAAGGAACATTGTTAAACAAAGACTTGCTTTCCACAGTTCGTCCTGTGCTGTACCTGGAATACTCAAGGTCGGTGTCATCTTCAAAAGAGCAAACCAAACGATCTTCGGCAGATTTCCACCCTAAAATACATCCAAGAGGTGGACTGGACTTTCATCCTTCCAGACCTGCTCCTCCACCGCCAATCACAGGAGGGAGCAGGGTCTATGGCAAAGACCGAGCTCGTCCGCTTTCAATGAGTGCAGCATCAACAAGTAACATAAAGGCAGTGAAGAATAATGAAGCCATAGATCACGACAAAGCAGATGCAACTTTGGTCAAACCAGTGAAGATTCCACAAGCTCCTGTCCAGTCTCCAATTCCAAAGCCTGAAATCTCAAACACTTCTATTCGTGGTATTGCTCCTGAATTAGACATAGATAAACTGTTTCGAACAGACCAAAATAAAGATAATAAGTTATTATTAGATGAAGGTCCGGGTGTTGGTAGACTGAGAAATAATGATACAAGTGATTCCTTTGAACATGATTATTCAACATCACGATTAAGTGCCAAAAGCTTTTTATCTGTTGAAAAGCCTATCTTAGAGGCAGTCGATGATGAAGAAGGTCAACCATTAACCACAGTTTCTACTTCAAGCGAACTGTCTGTGGGGGGCCACGATGATTCAGGCTCGTTAAATCCACGGGATCATAACAATATAGCAGCACAGACTGCTTCAGGTTCAGAGTTTCTTTCTCGATTACCTTCTATAAGAGAAATTCTTTCTGGTAGAGGCAAGGGTGCAGAGAGTTCACCACAATCATTAAGGAGCTCCCACAAACAAGATGATGATTTCGTTGGCGTAAGAGGTGATAAGCAGGCTCAAACATTCTCCACGTTGAATGAAGATGAATTCACTACTCCATTACAAACTCTTCAGTTTGCTGAGAGTGAAATGAGCAAGAGAGCCCAACAGGAAGACGAAAGTAAAGAAATTGATGAACAAGAGTTGGGTAGGAAGTCATCATCAACAATGAAGATTATCACTTCAAAGGCCAGAGAGTTGATGACTGGAAATAATCTGCATAATACTTTTAAAGAATCTTCAATGAATATTGAGCCGGAAAGAGTCGAGCCAACAGACGCTCCAACAGACGCTTTAGCCAATGAACCACGTGATCATCAAGCTGTTGGAGTGGAATCTTCAAATGATAAGTCAGTAAGAAGACATAAAAATCGGATTGTTATACCTGGTGCTTTTGAAGCTACTGATTATGAAACTGACGACTCTCTGAAACAGAATTCAAATACCAGAGACCATGAATTCATAACTCTGACCCCAAGAGTGGAATCCCATGATCTTGATGATGTCATTAAAAGTACCCAAGAGATATCTCCCATTGTGAATACAACTATTGCCGACAATACGTTTTATGAAGATGCAATTGAAGATCCTGGAAACATTCCGCAGGTGAACAATATAACTTCAGCAATAAGTGTATTGCAAGACCAGAGAAAGAGTAGCGCAGAAACTGGAAGCAAGCCAAGTGGTTTGGAATCAATTGATGGTGATAAGTCGGTCGATAAGTCACAATCCACTGATAAAGATAACTCCTTCAGATTCGAAGAGAGCCCTCCATCTCCTTCATTTATCAAGTCATTTGCAGGTGAGAGAACTCCACTGAAGGATTGGCAGAAGCCAGCTACTCCTCAGGAGACATTCTATTCTGATTCCGACTCTGATAATGTTACCCCCAACAACAATAAGAAGGTTCCATCATCACCTACTTATATTAAGTCCAAGGTTGCCAAAAGAAGCACGGCTTTGCCTGATACGAAGGCCGTTCCTGCAATTGAAGTCCGTGGACCAAAGAATAATAAAGATGAAGCTCGAAAAAGCAAAAGTACACCTAATAGTAATGATAATATTAAGATTAACACCCACAAGAATCTACCACTGATTCCTGGCCAGTTATTGGACGCCATATCCGAAGTACTGTCTTTGCAGCAGTCGAACACACGACTTTCCTTAGAAAAGGAGAGTAAAGATGATAATAAAGAAGTTAACGGAACCAAAACTATTTCCAATAAGTCAAGTGTTGTATCAGGTGCTGTTGGAACCGTTGGAGCTGGAGCTGTTGGGACTGGAGCTACTGAAGAAGATTATACTCCTTCATATGCTTCTATGAAAACCAAACAACACACCAATCCCAAACCCGATGGTTCTTTAGTGTCTGAAGTGAATAGATCATCCAATTCCCTCACACCAAAATTAAGGAGCATTCTTACTTTCCCCTCAAGAAGTAAGAGTCAGAGTCAGAGTCAGAACAGCCAGACAATTCAACTGGAAGTATCCAATGATGAATCATCTACCAAAAAGGTAGCTAGGATCAAGATCCATAAAGTACATCCAAGAAAGCGGTATTCTGATTCCTTTGTTCATCTGAAATCTTGGGTAGGAGGTGAACGTGACCATGAACTAACCACCACCACCTTTATATCTCCTTCTTCTACCACAAAGATTCCACACCGATCTGCCAGTTCCAGGAACTCTCTTGAATACGACACCAAAGAACAGGAGAAGAAGAAGAAGATCAAAATCAAGAGAAATTCGTTGAATGAACTTACGACACCCAATCTCAGCAAGTTAAACCTGCGTGAGTTCACCAGGAACACAACTTCTAGAGAAGCAGCTTATGATAATGATTGGAAAACAACACAAGGCCAAGGTCAAGGTCATGGTCAAGATCAAACACAATTCTCACTGTCCCTGGCACTGAATTCTAAACCAAAGGAGTTGTTGTCTAAAGTTGTTGATGTAGCCAAAAGAGTTCCATCCATTTCCAAAAAGAGTACCACAGCTTCTAAACATCATCAAGCTTCAGCTTCAGTTGATGATTGGAATGCTTTAGAAAGAGACCTGAGTAAAACGGCTACTCTTGTCACAGGATCTTTGTACGACCATCTGGATATTATACGGGAAGGTCAACCTCAGATTCCTAGTAGATCTGATACTTGTGATACTTCCAGTGAATCTACAACTTTTGGTATTGCCCATACAATTCCCATGAAGGGGTATTCCAGACCAAAGAATACAAACCACTGGGAAGGTAATCCAAGAGAAGAAGAATTGTACATTGGTTTAAGTAAGAAGGCTAAACCAGATAATAAGACTTCTTCACTGAAAAGTTCTGCTGATTATACTCCAAAGCTTGTTGAAATCAGAGCGAATAAGTATAACAAAAAACCAATTATATCTTCCCATGGCTCTTCGAAAGACGCTTCTGTATCCACTGCTGCAGGTGATAAACTGAACCATAAATGGGCCCATGAGAACTTCTTATCTGGTGAAGAAGATCAACATCAACATCAAGAAATAACCTCAAAAAGTGCAACAGGAAAACCTGCAAAACCTTCCAAAACTTCAAGTGATCCTTCCGTTGACGATTTGCTTGTAACAGTCATCAACATTCGAGATAAAGCTAAATCAAGGATTATCGCCCGATCTGCAGTCGAGAAACTAAAGAAACATCCCAGTGTTCTCTTCCTGGTTAAAGCCATATTTATTGATGCCACCACTGGAGACATTCTTGATGACCAAAGGAATGCCATTGAATTTAATGAAAGAATGATTCCTGCTGCTTAAGTCAATCCGTAGCAAACCATGCCGCACCTTACCACAATCATAACCTTTATATATACATATGAATACTCTATATTAACCAAAAAGTCCTTCTTCAATAGCTACAGGAACCTTCTTGTCTCCGTAGACGCCCTTCCAACTTTTAGGTTTAATAAAGGAATCTTTCTTAGGTAAACCAAGTTGATGAACCAAAAACCGTGCACTTTCTTCGGCATCATTGAAGTTATCACCTTCATAAACAAACGCCAATAAAAGATTCAACTCAGTCTGAGATCCCAACATCAGCTCAATTAGTAAATTGGCATAGATGGAATCATAAGAGTACTTTTCCCGGGTTTCATCAAGACTAAGTTGAGCGATGGGTAACAATTCATTACTTTCAAACCATTCAAACTTACAATTGCCAACCCCATTATGAACGTTTGTAGCGGCATAATCAGCTTGAATACTAAAGTCAGAAGAACTTAAAATCACTGCTCGTTTAAATTGTATACCAAAGGGTACCAATACTTTCTCCACAAATGGCTTGGTATATGAAGCTATTATGGGTGATCGTTGTTGGATAAGCACTACTTTAAGTTCATCACAACGATACGCTTCAATTGGAGTACAAACACCGTTATTATTTTTATCGTCCTTAGTACTGATATTGTTACCGGAATCTAAAGGGCCTGAAAACGGATACAAGTAGGTACTATCGAGTCTTGCCATTGGCACAAAGTCATACGTATAGAGCATCAAGTCAATAGTCAATTGAGGGATGTTCCCCGTAGTGATTGTGGGTACAATCAAAGTGTAATCCTTAAGATCAATTGAAGACATTTATATATTTATATGTGTATATACAGTAATGAATAAAAAGGGTGTACTTAAGCTTACATTTTATGTTGGTATACTTTTTCCCTATATATGTGCGCGCGCTACCAAAATGACTTGTTACACAAAAATGTGTCAAAAGTATAGTCTCATTATCATACTCTGATCAATCTATTATAAGCATTATTACTACACTATCATAACACACTCAATGACTGATAGACTTCAACATCTACACAGTATGGTAGAAGCCCTGAGCGCACTCAGACAATCACAACGAACGGCGCTTTTAGATACCATTCGATGCATCAACTCACTCTTCCAAGATAGAAACGTGTACTCTAACAAACTCACCATGGAATCTTTAACGGCCATAGTGGGCAATCTTCAAGATATAGTATTGGCTACTAATATGGTCAATAGCGGTATGTCACGTGATCGACATCATAATCAGTTAGTATATGATTCTGGTAGTGAGTTCGAAGATGATACTGAACTAATTGATAAAAGATCACCATACAACAATAGAAAAGCATTATATATGAAATGAAATAGATTATATTATAATATATATATACAAGATATGGAGGAAAGAAAGCTGTTTATTGTTGGTTATAGTTTACTCCAATACAACCTTAGCTCCTAAACCTTCCAAAGTAGCCTTAATCTTTTCAGCATCTTCCTTAGTGACATTTTCCTTCAATACCTTTGGAGCAGCTTCCACAAACTTCTTAGAATCAACTAAAGATAAGCCTAATAATCCCTTGACTTCTTTAATAATCTTAGGCTTGGATTTAGCATCGAAAGATTCCAATTTGATCAGGAAAATGGTTTTCTCTTCAACTTCTTCCTTTGGAGCTTCTTCAACTGCAGCTGGGGCTGCAGCTGGGGCAGCACCTCCAGCGGGGAAAGAAATGTCGGAAATGTTTAAACGAGTCTTCAATTCGCTGATTAAACTAGATGTTTCTAATAAAGTCAATTTGGAGATTTGGTCCACAATAACTGAGATCTTGGGATCAATTGGAGCAGATGATGATTCTGAAGCGGCTGCTTCAGTGGAGTTGAAACGAACACAATTGACGCGAGCAATCATGGCAGCTCTACGGCTGGCAACACCGCACAATGGCCTCACGGCAACACGCATGGACGACATTATATTTGTATATGATAGTAGCACCGTATTGTATGTACGTACTGCTAGGCAGTTTCTGTAGAAAAAATTTTCCAGCTATGAATTTTTCAATGCCAACTTAACACCGGTATCTGCACGACTTGCTATATCCGTTTTTGTGAGTGTGGAAATTGGAGAAACCATCAAAAGAATATAATTATCAAGTACTTAACATATTAACTATTACGGACGCTAATCACCGGAAGAAAGGAACTTCCAGTCATTTTGTTTCCTTCCTATATCAAATAGCATCTTATTCTGTTCCATTCCGATCTGCTACATTCATTCATTCATTCATTCATTCATTCCTTCAATAGACATAAATAATGGCTTCATTCAGATTCTGTGCTGAATGCAACAACATGTTGTATCCAAAGGAAGACAAAGACAACCTCCGACTCTTATACTCGTGTCGGAACTGCGACTATACGGAGCTCGCCGAGAACCCCAAGGTTTACCGTCATGAGTTGATCACCAACATAGGTGAGACTGCTGGTGTGGTGGAAGACATTGGTAGTGATCCAACATTACCTCGTTCAAATAAGGAGTGCCCTAATTGTGGGAACCATGATTGTGTTTTCTTCCAATCACAGCAGAAACGTAAAGATACCTCTATGATTTTATTCTATGTGTGTCTAGAATGTAAAAAGGTCTTTAGAGGATGAAAAAAATGGTGACTTAGAATTTATATTGTATAGATACAACGTTATAATTATAGTAATAGTAAAGTAATGATAATAATAGTGATGATGATAATGATGATGATGTTCTAAAAATCTTCAAAGTATTTGGAGAATTGATCATCTCCATTAACCCCATAATCTAATTGTTCCTCGGGGTAATGATCAAATAAGGATGAATCCCCGACCCCAGCAGTGATTGGAGGTTCATAAGGAGTTTCAATGTCTTTGGCAAGTAATTTCTCCCATACTACTTCAGAGAACCAAGGATGGTTTCTGATATCAGCAGGCCCATTCATCAAATTACCCAATCTTCTAGTCAAATCAGCAGTAATCAATTTACATAACAAATCAATTACATCTGGGGTAAAGAAACTGGGATAATGCACTTTCCCCAGTAAAATCTTTTCATAAGTCTTCATAGGGGTCAGATCATAAAATGGTGTATAACCTGCCAACATTTCAAAGATCAATACTCCTAAAGACCACCAATCAACAGATTTATTATAAGGTTTTGAAGTAATTACTTCCGGAGCAATATAATCTGGAGTACCACATAATGTCCAAGTAACAGTTTGAACTTCCTTTGCAAATCCAAAATCAGTAATCTTAATATGTCCATTCCGGTCCAATAAAAGATTTTCGGGTTTTAAATCCCGATATATGATATCATGACTATGCAAATACTCCAATGCCAACGTCACTTCAGCAGCATAGAACTTGGCCACAGGGTTAGGGAATCGTTGTGATTTACGTAAAAGTGAAAACAATTCTCCGCCTTCGATATAATCCATAACCATAAACAAATTTTTGGCGTCTTGGAAGGTCCCCCACATCCGAATGATAAAGGGGTGTTCTACCAATTTCAACATCCTTCTTTCATCATTGGTGTGTTCCACTTGTTTCATCTTCACCACTTGGGCCTTCTTCAACACTTTTATGGCGTAGTACCGACCGTTATGAACTGAACGAACCAAATGAACTCTTCCAAACGAACCAGTTCCCAATGTTCTCATGATATGGAAGTCGCCCAAGGAATACTTTCCCTTTGATACTGTCGACTTCTGGGGAAGTAAGGATTGGTTTATATCATCTTGAGTAAGTACAGGCTGCACTTGTTGTTGTTGTTGTTGTTGTTGTTGCACTGGAACTTGTTGTTGTACTGGAACTTGTTGCTGTTGTTGCTGTTGGGTCAGAGGAAATGCATTCATTGAGGAGGAATTCGATGTCGATTGGTCAGAACTAGTGCTACTGTCGGTATTCAGCTTGGTGATATGAAGCTTTTTCAAAATATTGGTGTGCATTAGCTTAGCTTGGTGGTAGTAGTCTTAAACTGAATCCAAACAACCTGGCAATGGTGTGGAGAGAATCAAGACTGTAGTATGACAGCTAGATAATAATAGAAAAGATGATAAACTGGTAGACTCAATTGTGCGTTTAAATCACCCGGGAAAAAGATTGATTGTTTCTATTTATCGTAATATGGCAATGATCTACTATAAAATGTATAGAAATGTGCTGGTTAGTGTGGAAGGAAGCTATAGTTTATAGGGTAATCCCTTAAACGGAGTCAACAATTCGGTCGACAAAGCGGGTCAAGGGAATTGGTGCGTGCACGAAGATTATCAATCTACTCATATCTAATCTGGTCATGTGATTCAGAATGGAGTCTAATACAATATACTATTGTTAGGGTCTACAGTTATACTGTTCGTCCCATGTTATCTAGAGTAAATGCAACATAATAAGTAAATAATAATATTATTATTATTACAGTTACATCCCAGCAATACCGTTTGCAGCCATCTCATATATCGTGTACACATTCAAAGTACTAATAAGAACCCAAACCAATATCAAAAGAATGGTCGTACTCCAGTTATTATGCATGTACTTGTATCTTTTATCTTCCGGTTCATTTTCGTCATCAACATAACCAAAGAAATACATTATATTACCTTTAGCTTGAAAATACCATTGAACAAGTTTATTAGCATTGTTTGGTGGTTGGGGTAAGGTGTACGAAACTTTTGCGTCGGCGATTTCCTCGTTAGGAACTTCAATTCGCATAATCTTCCGATGACAAGTAAAGTAAATCAATGGAGCAGTTAATGGAGGTAATAAGATTGAAATAACCACTTGAGAGATATTCAATGCCTTCCCGAGTCCCTGTTGTCCGATCCCAATCGATATTGCAAGACATGGTACTATCAGAATCATACGGGTAACCAATCTTCTTACCCATGGTTTTAATTTCCAATTGATATGTCCTTCACTAACAACTTGACCAGCAATAGTACATACAATCCCAGCAGATTGACCAGAAAATAGAAGGGCAACCATAAAGATAGTACCCACGGCAGGAGCTAACGAGGTCAGTAAAAGATGGTGTATGGAGTATAAATCCGCATCAACTGCAGCAGGTGTTCCGTATAATGTTGAACCTGCCACGATTAATATGGCAACATTAACAAAGAGTGCAAAGGTGAATAAAGATATCATTAGTTCCACGATGGAGTACTTTAAGCAGTAATTAATGGCAAAATATGAAGGACGATATTTCCGATAAAAGTAATCAGAAATATCATTACTTGTTTCTTCAACAACCAGGGTGGTTTCAGTCTTTTCCATTGCATGTTGCTTTATAGAACGAGTTCTGTGGATGCCATCAGTTATAGTTTCTTCAAATTGAGCAGTCGATGATCCAACTGACATTGGTGGTGGTGCGGGGCTCTTGTGTTCCTTTTCATCATTAAACTCTTTAAGAGCGAGACTAACGTATCCATTCTGTACATCGTACTCTCTTAAACGGGGTTGTACCAAACTTGACCCTAAGAATAGACTGTGGATCATAACTGTAGCTCCTAAAATACCACAACCCAAGGTCAACCCGCCATTTTGTAGCATTTCAGAACTAGGGACAAAGCCTCTAAACACTTGTCCCACGTCAGCATTGATATGACTCAACTCAACCGCAAAGCATACCACGACACCAAGGACTAGCACGGCCACAAGCATTTCAAACACACGTACAAACTTGGCAGAGGCTGTGTCGTTACGATAAGCAATCATCACCACCAAGACATCGACCACTGTAATAGCCACACCTGCTGGAAGCGGGATCTTAAGCAAAATGTTTAGGGCAATAGCAGATCCTATGACTTCAGCAACATCAGTAGCAACAATGGCACATTCAGCAAGGACCCAAAGTATCCAGTTTAACCATTTGGGAAGATATTCACGACAACACCGCGCCAAATCGTAGCCCGTAACTGAACCTAATTTGATACAGATGGTTTGAAGAAATATGGCAATAATATTCGATAAGAGCACAACAAACAAAAGTGAATATCTGTTATTGGCACCAGCAGAAACGTTGGTAGCGTAGTTACCAGGATCCATATATGCAACAGAGACAAGAATCCCTGGTCCCACGAACAGAAGGTACTTTCTTAGTATGCTCTTGACGTTAATATACGAGATCATCTTGCAATATGGAGTAAAGCAATACAGATCTTGTGATTTATGGAATGAGGAAATGAGGGAGTGACTTACACTATTTGTATATCGGCATATGTGAAAATTTGGTAATTATGGTTACAATAGGAGGAACCTTGCACAAGATGCGGTCCTTGTAGAAGAAGTAGTGTAGTTGTTGTAGTTGAGAAAATGGATGTTCAATAAGAAAAGAGTGGCTTTTCCGGAAGTGTCCGAGGCGTTTCTCGTAGTTGATTTCCGAGGATAAGCGACCAAAGACAGACGCTTTTAGAATTACAAGGCATATACATAACTACAATCCATTTATAGTGTAATTCATTCATATTTTATAGCTCTATAATGTCTATTTCCCTAAGAACTCCTCAACACTAGCACCTTGTAAGATGTTGTCGAGCTTTGAGTGAATATCACCAAAGTCCTTGAACTCGGTATAAGGAATGCTTTCTCTAATACAATACTTGATAAGATCACGGCCATGTTTGGCGAAAAGAAGGTTTGTTTCCTTGGCCGCACTCAAATCAGAAACCCCATCCCCACAGTAGAACAATGGGACGGATGGTGAGCCGTTCTCTTGAAGATATTGTTTAATTGATTGAGCTTTATCATGGCCAAATCCAGATTCTGGATGCTTGAATAAAATGTTCCATTTACCTGTGGCAGGATCTACTTCCACGTCATTGGAAATGATCTCAATCTTAGTGGCAGCTTCTTCACCTACAAGCTTGCATAACAAGGCATGGATGATTGGTCTCATACCAGAAGAAACAACAACTACTGGAATATCTTTAGTAGCACAATAATCATAGAAAGTCTTGAACCCAGGATCCAATCTAATGTCCTTTAAAAGAATGTCAATACACTCATTAAATTTGGTGGGGACAGATTCAAGCATTTCTCTAAATCCATCTCTAAAAGTAACCGTACCGTCTAAAATGTCATCATTAATCTTTAATCTGTTGGTGAGTCCCATACCGAGGTTATCGGTGAGGTAATCGTTGGAGTCTTGAAGGGTAACGGTTCCGTCCCAATCTGTGAAGACGATAGCTGGAGAAGGAGTGGACATAATAATAATAATAATAATAATAGAGAAAAAGTTGATATAAACTGTATTACTTAATCGGAATTGTGGTTCCAGAAAAGAGATAGTAATATATTCTTAAGTCGATTCCGCCTTGGGTACTCCCCACTCCCCTTTAATGTTGGTATGAAGGCGAAACACGTTTCCCAATACGGAATATAAGAGAGCAATGTGTGTTAAGTCGTGTGTTTACGTAATCAAGAACAAGAAGATGAATTTCACACTGTATACACCACCCCAATAATAGTTAATAATAATAATGATAATCTATGGGAATGGAGGGGATTTCTTCTATTGTGTTATGTTTGGAGACACCATTAGTAGGCTTATCATGCACACCAGCTTTTATTGTTACCTAATTAATAGATCCTACTTTAATCATTTGACCCTAAGTAACACGCAAATGATATCACATTAAGTCTGCAGTTAGATAAAAGAAAATTAGGTCAAACGGCTGAACAACCTAACCTTGAATAATTTGGGGGATTATCATTGTGAACATCTCATTCTAAACTGTTCATCTTATTATCAACACTTTTAGTTGAAAAATATTTCATCTCATGGTTATACAGCTTATTATGGTCAATGGGGTTTGTGAATAATGTAACGCTGTACAAATACTGTAAGTTGTTCACGTTTTGTTGTGATATTTGATGAAGAATACCCATGCGTTGAATCACATACCATCCCTCATGTTTGACGGGTTAATTTTACTATGCGACGCATACACCTGAACAAATTAGAATGTCTTGTCTTCATTGCTGTGTACCAAAGGAATGCATTGTTGTATTGACATTGCTACTACTTGGAGACGACTAGTGTAGTCATGCGAGCGCGGGTCGTGTACTCTGGATGGAGAAACTCCATTGGCAAATCCCATCTTCTTCTCCTTTCCAAACTTCCACCATCACTTCAATTCATTTGATTTGACGTCGTTCTATTTGATTTTAATCCCATCGGAATACGAATACATCATCCACTTCAATCCGGCTCTTTTCTTTTGTAGTCTCCGATCTTCTACCATTTTTTAGAAAAAAGAAAAAAGCTTTCATACAAAGATTGTGGCGCTAGGAAAAAGATAAACTTTACCCACGATTGCTAACTACTTGAGTTCACATAACATTCAAAGTAACGTCTGAATTAGTGGTGGTCGGCTTCTACGGTTCACTATGTTTGAGAACTTTAAGGCTTTTATTCGGCACGGGAAACAAGCAAATGTTCGAAAGCAAAGGCTTCCTTACGATGATTATCACCAAGATGATCACCAGGCTTACATGTCTCCGAGAGTAGGAAGCGGTGAAGCGTTAACTCCTCAGCCCACTAACTCTGCCACAGGGTCTGATCCATCTGTTCCACTTCATCATGACGACATCACAGGTTGCTCCTCCTTTGATGCTGATCCAGTATCTACGATCAAAGTATCTCAGACTCTGGTTCCGCAATCTAATGCCGAGCAATTAGAACAGTATCAAAATCAAATCACAAATCACGACTACCAATATCATTCCACTGTTAATGACAATAATAAGATTAATAATAATAATAATAATACCTATAATAATCACCACAATCATAATGGAAAACACGATTACGAGATATTGGCTCATAAAATCGTTGAGGAAGAACGGATGATGCGTGAGAAACGTCAATCCCATAAATATCCAAACTTAGATGCCTACGAAGTGCTTGAGAAAATGGGTGAAGGTGCTTTTTCCATCGTCTACAAAGCACGTCACATTGATACAGACAAGTTCGTTGCCATCAAGATCCTTAGAAAGTTTCAAATGGACCTGGCACAGAAACAATCAGTACTCAAGGAAGTGACTATTATGCGGCAATTGAACCACCCTAATATCGTCAGGTTCATTGAATTCATTGACCTGGACAAATACTATTATATTGTCCAAGAATTGGCTGTCGGGGGAGAAGTGTTTACAGCCATTGTTAATTATACATATTTCTCTGAAGATGTGGCTCGGCACGTTATTACTCAAGTTGCTCATGCCATTCGTTATCTTCACGAAGAAGTTGGTGTTGTTCATCGTGATATAAAACCAGAGAACCTCTTATTTTACCCTATTCCTTTCCAACCTTCACCAAATCCATATTCGAAACTTAGAAGATCAGACGATCCTAATTCAAAAAAAGACGAAGGTATATTCATTCCCGGTGTTGGTGGGGCTACTATTGGAGTTGTCAAGTTGGCTGATTTTGGACTTTCCAAACAAATTTGGGAACATAATACCAAAACTCCTTGTGGTACAGTCGGTTACACAGCTCCAGAGATTGTTCGTGATCAAAGATATTCTTGTGAAGTTGATATGTGGGCTATTGGTTGTGTTCTCTATACTTTCTTATGTGGGTTCCCACCATTCTACGATGAACGTATTGAGATGTTAACTGAAAAGGTGGCCAAAGGAGAATACACCTTTTTGAAACCTTGGTGGGATGAAATATCTCCAGAAGCAAAGTATTGCGTTTCTAGATTGTTGACTGTTGATCCTAATCAACGTTATGGTATTGATGAGTTCTTAAATGACCCTTGGATGCAAAAGTGTTCTTTAGTACCAACTATGCCTCAAGAGATACAAACTGGACGTTCGCGAACTCAAGTTGAAGCTCAAAAGCAAGTTCATGTTGAAGCTCAGGGTCAGGGTCAGGTTCATTCTCTGGGCCACTCACACGCACATCGCCATGGTGAAAGGCATCGCAAGGACAAAGATTCGGACATTGACCTTGCACCAGAAGAGATGCTTCCAGTTAAGGAACCGCAACAACCTACAGAGCATCCCGTCCAGAGTCAAAACTCAAAGTTCAAGAACTACATGGAAAGTGGCATGTATTCTCCAGCAGCTGTTGCGCTCAGGGACATGTTTGATATTTCTGCTGCTGTGCATCGTATGGGTGAAGAAAAGAAACTTGCCCGTAACAACAACCTTGTGAATGATATAGTGGAAGAAGACGAGGAAATGGAAGAGGATGTAGATCTCAGCGGTACGGTTGAACACCTGCATCCTCGTCGTTGTGAACCCGAAGTTACCAAAAGTGGAATGTTTGACTTATCTTTGAACGGAGCTTCCATTTTAGAAAGGCGTCGTCAAAACAAAATAAACGTTAGCCCTATGACAATTACTGTTCCTGGAAGTTAACTTTAGAAACTGATGTTTCTCTTTCCACTTGTCATCACTATGCCTATTACTCTATATTATGATTTTTTAATTTATTTCTTTCAAGTTTGGTTTTATTTCATACACATCCTATTTTTGTATTTAGTATGAAGCCGTATTGATCACGTGTTTCAATTATTGTCTTAATTAGCATTTTGTATTATCATTTTAGATTGTTTTCGAGCCAGCCATACTGTGATTATTTTTGCCACAATGTATTCATTTTTACGCGAAATTGTAACAATTTTTCTTTTTTTGGTGGCAAAACAAAAGTCCTTTATTTTTCAATTTAAGGTCGTTTTTCAGAGGCAAATCGAGTATTGAAGTTATCACCACTTTTTTTATGCTTTTCCTCTTGGACAGCACAGCACATGTCACCAACTCTATTGGAATTTGATGTTGGTCACATCGTAGCGGCTGCATCGTCACCTAATGCTAAGGGCATTCAACGGACTAATAAGAGACTGTTTGAACATATCGAATCCCCCTATGTGTACGATGTTGCAAACACTGAGACAGGTATCACTGAGTGGATCACGATCTTAGACAGATCCATTTCTTTCGTCACGGATACCCCTGCATCGTTGATGACAACAACAACGACAAATGAAGTTGACGCTGACGAAGATAATAACGAGATGATAGATGTAGAGTTTGTTCTATCCAACTGCAAAATGGCCTTGGAGGCCACGGGGTTGCTTACTTTGAAGTCTCAACTACCAGGTGCAAAGTCTACCACCCCCAAAAAGTTCCTCTCGTTGCATACAGACATGCCCGAGGAAGATATTACAGCTCTACAGCTGTTGATTGAATCCTATAATTATCTTGGGGGGAGGAAACTTGGGAATCGACTTCGCTTCCAAGGTTACGATGTCACTATCAGAATGGACTATAGTGTCAATCTTGTTTCCATCAACATTAACTTCCAGTTAGCTTCATTATCGTCATTAGTTCCTTATCCTAGTGCTAAGATTGTTGCGTACATGCACAAGCTTATCGATCCGTATCTGGTGTCACTTGGACCCCATTCATCAGCTATAGGAATAGAGACTTTCTATGAAGCAATAACAGACCACACGGCGAAGTTGCCTCCAGTGGAGCACGTTCTACCCATCTCTGAATTGTGTGCTGACTTGTTCCCTTTCCAACGGAAATCAGTGAAATGGATGCTACAACAAGAACATATGGCTATAACACCGGTCAATAGTATTGAGCCCATGGCATTCATACATCCAGAGATCTTGGACCGACTCAAACGTTTGCTGCTGCTACAATTAAGCATTCATGGTGATCATGAAATTGATGAATGCTTGCTAACTTTATTGGGTAAGTTATGTTTTGGCTGGAGTCGTTTTAAAGAAGATCTCTTCTATAACCCTTTCACAGGAGCTCTTGCAAAGAGATCTACTGTAGTAGGCTATTTTATCCGATTACCTAAGGACGAATACGAAGGTCTCCCTGGTGGTGGGTTGCTCTCAGAAGAAATGGGGCTTGGGAAAACTGTGGAGATTGCATCGTTACTAATTGCAAATAAACGCCCAGAATCAGATGTTGGGACACCATTGGAAGTCCAAATGCAGCAATTTGGTGATATCAAAGTCATTGAAAGGGCTAGAACAACTCTCATAGTGGCGCCTTCTTCTATCCTTCTGCAATGGGTAGGTGAATTAAAGCGTTTGGCTCCTTCATTGGCAATTACTACATATAAAGGTGTTTCAAGCCACGAATACAAGGGTCTATTGAATACTCCTAAGTTAGTTGCCAAATACTTGTCTCAATTTGATGTTGTGTTTGCTACTTACGATGTCATTGCCAATGAATTGGACTATGCTTTATATTCCTCTCGAAATCGAAGAACAAGAAATGCAACTAAAAGGGTTAAATACGATGAACAGAAGGATGAAATCGAAGTTTTAGGAGTAGTTGATCCTAATCATGAAAGGTTCTTTGAGTTTAAAGTAAAGCTGATAAAACCTCCAACTCCTAATACTTGTACCTTAGCAGAAGGTTCGGAAGAATATGATGATCAAAAGAGCGATTACGAACGAATGTTACTACTGGAATTTAAAGATATTGTCATGGTACGTACCTCAAATGCCAAATTATTACCTCGCCCTGATTATCTGTCTCCATTAATGATGCTCCAGTTTTGGAGAGTTGTTCTAGATGAAGTTCAAATGGTTTCATCAACAATATCTCGAGCTTTCCAAACAGCTTCTCTTATTCCAAAACACCACGGCTGGGGCGTTAGTGGAACTCCTATTAAGAGAAAGTTTAATGATTTACATTCAGTTCTCAAATACCTCAAGTATGTTCCCTTTTATGGGGAATTGGGGGATTATAATTGGGAGCTTGTAGCTCACTCTGATGCATTATTTAGAAAACTATGGACTCAAATTGCTATTCGTCATACAAAATCAATGGTTGAGAGTGATTTAAAACTACCTCCTCAGCATCGAGTGTTAATGACAATCCCGTTTTCTGCTGTGGAGCAGGAATATTATAATCAAATGTTTGCGGAATGTGTTTATCTGGTTGGACTTGATCTTAATGGCCAGCCAAAGTCTGACTCCTGGCTGCCAACTCCAGGTAACTTGGCTACGCTAAGAAGTTGGCTAGTAAAGCTAAGACAAGCATGTTGTAACATGCAAGTGGGGAAGTTATCCAAAATGTCGTTGGTGGCTTCCAAAAAGCTGGTGAATGTTATGGGACTCAAATCATTAAACGATCTTCTTCTTGATATGCTTGATAAGTCTGAGGATTCTCTTATAGATGTGGAAAGAGAGATTGTTCAACAGTATAGTGACTTGGGTGAGTTGTTTGAATTCATCTATGAGCCTGAAACAGCATTAAGCTTCCTTAAAGTTGGGTCTTATAAAGTTGATTGTATGATTGTGGCTTTGAGATCTCTCATACTGCGTGACGTTCAAACGATATCAAAGATCATTGGACAGACAATCAAACAAGAATATCAAGAAGAAGTAGAAGAAGAAGAACCAGAATTGGACGAGAAAATCATAAGTCAACTTGATGCCAACATCAAAAAGGAAGTGCTCAGATTACGGAGCAATACAAAGATCAATATACTTCGAGTAAGGAATTGGCTCTTGATGCAACATAGATTTTACTTTTTAATTGGTTCATCTTTCTTTCAGCTTCATGATGAAGAGTACCAAAAGCTCATTAGTTACCGTCGCTTACCTAATTTTTCATTATCAAAAAGTTTAACGAAGTTCAAGTCCCCTTCAGCAACAGCCTTATTGTCTACCCTTGTATGCGATATTCTGTTAGGGGATTTGGAATTCAGTCATCCTACACCTGAGGTGAAGGCAGAAGATACTTTCCAAGAAGAATACTACAAGAAAATGGAACTGCAGTATTATAGCTTAGCTGAGGATTCCCGTAACCGCATATTGAAGTCATCTACCAACGCATTTACTAAGAGTATAGATGTCAAGATTAAGTCAAGAGAAGAGTTTGATTTTTTTTTCAAAGGGACTCAACGTGATGATGATGAAGGTTTGACTTCACTTCCTAAGGCAACAAAGAAGATTTTCAGGCGTCTTCCCAAAGTCAATTTGACTATTCTTGATAATGTTAGTTTACATATGTCTGTGGATCTATTCATTAATCGTTTGAAAGGGATGTTGATTGCTTTGAATACTCAAGCAGAGACAATCAATTTGTGGATGAACGATCTATTTGAAGTTATAGTATCACCGCTATTAACACAAGATCAAGATCCTGATGGAGAAGAATATGAAAAGTCATTTAGAGACCAAGATAAAGCTTCATGTCTTCTACACATTGTGATGAGAGCATTGACTGACCGTGAAAAGGCTCTACAAAGTAGCACAGACAAGATCATTGCATCGGCTTCAGATTCAGCCATGGAGCCTCCAAGCATTAACAATAAGGAGATGCTTGAAGCTTATGAATTGGAAAGGAAGAATGTTATGCCAACACTGAAGCTGAAAGCATCGCTTGATGGGTACATGACTGAGTTCAAAGAGCTTATAGGAGAGATGGAGTTTGAACGAGGTATCAGCTCCGAGACCCGAGAACTTCAACTACAATTACTTGAGCTGGTCATAACGAAGTTGGCTGTTATACTGAAGAATCAAATCAGTAGCATAAGTTTATTAAGAAGGGAGTTGAGCAACTCGTGTAATTCCGTTTTCAATACAAGAGTAGCTTACTTCAAGCAACTTCAACAGCTTTCAGATAGTGTTCAAAAGAAGGAATATGGTCTTGATCAAGATTCATTGGATGGTCAAAAAATTGATGTTCTTCAAGCAAGTCTTGTGGGGAAGTTGCAGCAGATAGCTGAACGAAGTAGTAAAGCTATTTCAAAGTTGAGGTATGTACGCGCATTAGCTGTGGACAGAGATGGGGAAGATAAGGAGGGAACAAACGGAAATGACGATGAAGATGATGATGGTTGTTGTATTATTTGCAGCAATGTTATCACTATAGGATCTTTGACTCCATGTGGCCATAGTTACTGTCGAGATTGTTTATTAGAGTGGTTGAGATCACACCACACCTGTCCCGTTTGTAAGTCGTTTGTTTCTGTTGGCACGATTCATGATTTCATCAAGTATAAACCAGACTTAAAGGTGAAACAAGTTGTTCCAGAGACGGAGAGCATGGAGCATTCGAGACCCGAGAACTTATTCACCATATACAAGGCATTAGGAGAAGAGAGCATTAGTCGTATACAAAATATGGAGATCAACAGTTATTTTGGGTCTAAAGTTGATTTGATAGTGAAACAAGTGTTGTTTCTTAAGAGTGAAGACCCCGACGTTCAGATTGTTGTGTTCAGTCAATGGAGAGACCTTCTTTATATATTAGGGACGGCCTTCAACACTGTGGGGGTTTCATATATAGCGTCGCAAGGACTGTGGCTGCCCAAATGTGAACTGCTTCCCATGGACATCAAGAAGGGTCGGAAACGGGGGGATGAAGTTGATTTGTTCAAGAACAAAAGTAAAGGTATTACGTGTTTTTTACTTGATGCCAGAGCACAAGCCAGTGGATTGACTTTGGTCAATGCAAAGCATATGTTTCTATGTGATCCACTTGTTAATACTTCTTTGGAGCTTCAAGCGATATCAAGAATCCATCGTATTGGACAACGTGACGAAACTACGGTGTGGATGTTTGCTATAGACAACTCTGTGGAGGAGAACATTGTGCTTATGTCCACCCAGAACCGGTTGAAGTATCTTGGAGAGAATGACGATAAGAAGATCACCATGGCCGAGTCACTTGCCCTTATGAGCAGTGGAGGCAATGATACCATGATATCGAGTCATGACGGAGAAGTTGTTAGCAATGATGACACATGGACAGCACTATTCAGTCGGCGATAAAATACAGAGTATACCAACTTTACATAAAGTATATCATATTTATTCTTATTTGTACTCAACTCATATAGGCAAGTAGTTGTCGTCACCAGACCCATTGAAAACACGGCCTGAGTGCATCAACGACTGGAGAACCTCTACGACCTCGTCATTAGATATCCCGAGCTTGGTGGAGATCAATTGACAGGGCACACCTTCAGGCAACGAAGGACTGAATTCAGTGATGATATTAAATACATCATCTTCCAAGCCTCCTCCACTCAGTTTCACAAACAACGAAGAGTCCTGTGCAACATTATTAGTATTATCCTTGGGAAGCGACATTTTGTTATTATCAAATACACCATTGGCCTTCAAATGACAATTGATGGCTCCAAGATAATGATAAAGGATCTGATTCGAATCCTCAACAGCACGAATGATTGGGTTTTGAATGTTCTTCTTTTGTCCAAACTCCTTAATGGTTCCATATATGTAAACATATTTATTGAGATGTTTCTTGAGCAACTCTTCTTGTTCTGCTGGAGATGATTTCTGTTCATTAACCCATTGTCTTACTTCACATTCGCCTGTACCATCTTCAACTCCAACGGCAATGGAGGAGTTCAAGTTTTCCACCTTGCGAACTACAGCCACGATGGAGACAAAGTTCAATTCCAAGCTATTGACAACGAAATCTCCATCGGGCACTTCTTGAGTGGCTTCTACCAACTGCTTGATGGTGATGGGAGTAATGGTGCGTCGCGTCCCGGGGTTTCGCAGTTGTGATGTTCCATCTTGTGAGGATCCTGTGAATCCTCCTTGACCGTCCAAGTCGTATCTAAACTTGTCCATAGTGTGTGGTATGTGTATTAGGATAGGTAACTGTAACGGTAACTGTAGTGGTAACTGTAGTGGTAACTGTAGTGGTAACGGTAGTAGCAACAGTAGTTATATGGTTCTTCTTCTTGATGGCCACACGGAACGCGTAATTCTAATATGTGATCCTGTATTTAGTGTTCTCGCTAGTCAAAAGCTTACGTAATAAATATTACTTCAGTTTATACTTTATTTATTCTGGTGATAGAATATATATGCATATGTACCCCATTCATCAACAAATGGAGAATATTAGTCCTGCGCTCTACGAAAGCGACGTATCATCTCTGCGACAGTCTCATTTGGACGAAGACTTGGAAAACCCACTGCTTTCTAACGTCCTACACGCATACATCAACACCACCCAACATAGTGATGAAGATGATGAAGACAATCAACAACAACAACAACACTATGTAGCAGCTGTCGTGGCTAAGGCGGCCGCTGAATACCCACAACAGACCCAATGGGACAATGACGACCATGATGATCCACAACCACAGTCCCAATCGGGTATAATTAAGTTGGTCCAATACGATCCAGACAAAAAGACTAAACGGTTAGGACGACCAAGAAAGAACATCAAACATAATTTAAGTGCGCCTGAGAATTCTTCGTCTGATAACTTCAATGAGGCGCGTTATGCCAAGTTCCGGTTTGATAACAAGCCGATTTTAGGTCCTGGTTCTCGTGGGGGTAAAACAGGTACCAAACGATCGACCGCTAAGGGGAAACTAACTATCAATAAAGTCCGGGAACGACAACTGCAAACGACTCTTTCCTTTGATAATAAAATTGGTCTTGTATTGAGCCCTCCTAACGACGATGCAATGGATCCCAATCTTATAGATCACATTGATAATAGCGCCCGTGTGGCTGATGCTGCTACTACTACTGCTGCCACTGTGACTGCTCATAAACAGGTCACGTCTACGGTGACACCCATTTATAAAAGATCAATGGTCGCTGGTGCAAGCAGAACATCGTTTATACGGTCACGAAGGAATGCTAAAACAAACTCCACACTTCTTTCACCATTACACTATGAACTTTATGACGATCGTTTGATAGAGTCGTCAACGTATGCTACCAACGAAAGTAAGCTTCCCCTAGCCTTCGGGTTCCCCTTGTTTCCTTCGCCCTATGCCAAAGACATTTTATATCTACAAATGTTTCTAACCAAGTTTAAAGACATTATCCACGTGGGGTACTTGGGTCCTCAAGACTTTGAAGATGGCTTGGGTCTTGCCAACGTTAAACCCCAACATGTACCTGAATCTGAACCATCGATAAACGTTTGCATACGACCTCCTAGTGAAGATCTGTCTGAAGAACTGGCCTTTAATGATACTGCTGTGAAGAAAATGGAGCTCTTGCTTTTTAAACTCTTGTCATTGATACTCAATAGAAAGAAAGAAGTAACATCTCTTCTGAGAGCATCGGCTGAATTGAAATCAAGATTCGACTCAATTGCTGGTCTACCGTTTAATCCTTTCCTTCTTCCACAGTTCGATACCCTTGGCTTAACTGCAATCCCTAATCAACAAGATAGGTTGGTCTTTTTAAGGATACTTGCTCAATGGTCATTGACTTCTTCAGAGTTGATCAGAACATACATTGCTGATTCCTACGAAGGATATGGTGATAGCGAGTATGTTTCTCGGTACGTTCAATCATTTGGATTGTTATCACCACACGATTCCAACTATTCAAGTGCGCATATCACCAAGGAGATTTATCAAGACCAAAGTTCATTACGAATTTTGGATTTCTTTGCTGGTGATTGTGGGTTACATGTGGGTAGGTTTTTCCTAAGTAGAATGGCAGATGCCAAAGCTGGTGGACTATCATCAATTAGAAATATGGAATCGGCTATTCATAGAAAGGGTATAGACATTGGTGAGTCCTCGTCATTCAAACTCTATGTTCAAGATGTGCATAAAATGTTAACTGAGAGTTTGACTTCCTTTGGAGTGGAATTTGATGAACATGGTAACGAAATAGTTGACGATAAAACTGTACAAACCGTTAATGATAATTATTGGTATGAGGTTGCTTCTAATACAAAGGAGTTGACTGTGTTTCTTGAGTTTCTTTCAAAGCAATTAAGATTCCCAGATCATCCTATTCCAATTCGTTCTAGTAGTAAGTTTTACGATAGCGGAACAAATTTATGGTCCTATTTGTCTGCGATGCTTCCATTGCTTCTGTGTCATGAAGAGCTTCAAGGTAATAACCTTAACAGACGAAAAAGGAAGGATGTCAATTATAACGAACTCTCAAGCGTACGAAAGACATACGATAGTGGAGAATCAGACTTTGAAATGGACCTTCGTATGGCAGACAATGGTGGTTCAGATTATTCAGGTGGTGAAGAAGACGAAGACGAAGATGACGACAATTGAATTGATAAAAAATATTAATAATAAATCACAATCTGGTTGATCCCAAAAGCAAGTCGATCTTCTCCTTCAAAAGCAGTTCATTTTCAATAAAGTAGTCAGCGCGTCTTACTACTTCTTCATCATATCCTTCGTCACTCTTAAGTCCTCTAAAGGTATCCAGCTGTGTCTGTACCCAATTCTTAACGAAGGTCACTGGATCATTGGACAATTCTCTATAAAACCTTTCTCTAAGGTTAGCATTCTGCAAAGCAACGATTCCAAGAGAAATCCTATTATTTATCTGTTGAATCGTCATATCTGTTCTGGCCATATTCTCAAAGGCTGATTTATTGAATTCAACCACTTCTTTTTGGATCTTGGATATAGATATTGGCAACTCCACAGGAATATCCAATACAACTTCTCCCAACGTGGTGGACTTTCTGGTGTTGACTTCATAATCTATTATCAAAGGTTGTAAGGGTCTTAAATGAGCCAGGGTTAATTTGTATAGTTCATAGATCTTGAACAGTTCCACACCTAATAAATCCTTTAATAAGTCATCGCAGATAACAGTAGAAACATCTGTCTCTACTTCAGGGTTGACATTAGCAAGCATTTCCTCGGCTATAGCAGGAACTTTGTTATACATTTGCTGTTGATCAAACAAATCATTGTACATAATATATCTCCAGATCATATACACCACTTCTTGTTGGTTGGCAGTGGTTCTACTCAAGAATTGGGCCATCTTTGGAGTTAAAGAAAAGGAATTGGAGTGGTTTTTAAGCATCAATGTTATTTTAGCCTTGATGTTGAAAATACCTAATCTTTTGACATCAAGACCATCAAACTCTTTCTGGTGTTGTTGTTGCTGTTGCTGTTGTTGCTGTTGGTGCATGGGTTGCAGGGGGTCTCTCCATTCAATAATACTTCCCTGTGTGTTAGTCAAATTAGGATAGTCCTCGTTAGGGATCAAATCTATTGTAATACCGGACAAAAAGGAGCTAAACTTCAATTGATCTTCAACATCATTACCGTCTTGTACAAACCGTCCCTCGACTCTCAAGGTCCATGACGCCTCGGAAGACGCAGGGTCTGGCAATGGCATCCCTTGTTCCTGAAGCAATTGATTTTGCCAGGGCTGGTTCTCACAAGTATTGTAGATAAAGACTCTCAAGAGTCCCTTCTCTGGTTTCAAATTGGAAGGGTGCATTGAGTTCTGTTGGATCAGCTGGAAGTCTAAGGCATCTCGAGAAATAAGCAAATCCAAATCCTTTTCTGCTGCCTTTAACCGTTTGTATAATTCCAACGAGGGTACTTTCTCATACAAGTATTCGGGTATGGTAATATCTGTGGGTGTATACGACACAGCAGGATGCGAAGATGGATTTGCCCGAGGACGGTTTGATGGGGCTGCTTGGACTTGTGGAGGATGGGGAGCCGATCCATCGTGTGGGGGAGGAACGCGTATTATCCCTGACATTTTTTGCTCTATGTTTGTATGGAGTTGAGTTAAGTATGGTGGTTGTTTTCATTATCGTTCAAGAAAAAAATAGAGAGTTGGAAATTTTCGATAGTCGTTTGCTTAGGTAATATTTTGCCTCCATTGTTTGCTTATGTAATCATTATTTTATGTTTGCTTACGTAATGTTTAAATCCTGGGGTTTTAGCACACCAGTACGAAGGCTACACATCATGTAATTAACTTACACTTACCATCATCACATATACATATAAGTCTTCAAACGGTGTGTAATTATAGTTTCATAACATGAGTGAAGGTGCCACAAGATCTATTAGGGTTCGAAGGGCTAAAGGAAGTAATAACGACGGTGGCACTCATAGCAAATTACTCAGTCAAGCTCAGCATCTAAAGAAAACTCAACTTAATGAAATAAGAAAACGGAAACGTGATTTTTTAACAAGAATCCATTATACCAACTTTGCAACGGTAGTTGTATTTCCAGGTCTAGTCTTGTTATATGTGTTATATAATCAGATGTCCATATCACCACAGAATACCAAGACTTTGATATTTACTGTGGTTTACTTTAACATCACTTTGCTCAGCTTTACTGCTGGTTATCATAAGTGTTTTGCTCACAATACCTTCAAATTGCGGTCTAGACCACTCATGTTTTCCTTTGGAATATTTGGTGCAAGTTTGGGTCTTGGAAGTATTCGTAATTGGGCAGCTTTGCATAGAGCTCATCATCAATTTACAGATGATACCGTCAAGGACCCTCATCTGATAAAAAGAGGGTTTCTTTGGGCACATTGGGGCTGGCTAATTAAAAAACCTAAGATCCTTACTTTCTATAAGGAATTCATTGAACAAGAATTCCCACAAGATTATCATTGTGCTCGGAATATTGTCAATGAAGTAAATGTTGATGTTCCTCAAGAATATACCGAGTTTGAACTTCTTCGTAGTGATTATGAGTATAAAATCAACCAGTTTGTTCTTTGGCAAAGACGGTGGTATTTCCCATTGCTGATGGTGACAACTTTGGTGATTCCTGGTTTGGTGGCTAAATATATTTGCCATGATACTTTTATTAATGGGATTATTTATCCTGGAGTTCTTCGTATGCTTCTTTGCCAACAAGCTATTCTTATAACTGAATCTGTTTGTCATATGTCTAATATTGGATTTCTGTTTCCAACACAAGTGTTCAGTGAGAAGAACTCATCCCAGAATTGTAACAACCCTTTGATATCCTTTTTAACTTATGGACAACTGCGACAGAACTTTCATCATGAGTTCCCTCATGACTACAGATGTGGACACTCTGCATTTGATTATGACCCTACAAAGTGGTTTATATGGGGACTTTCATGTCTAGGATTGGTAGAAGAATTGTCAAAGACTCCACTTGAATTGATAACTCAATTACAAATTCAACAGCAACAACAAGTGATCAACAGAGTAAAGAGTCAATTGAATTGGGGTACTCCACTTTCCAAACTTCCATTGATCACTCCAAGAGAATTGAATAGAATCGTTAATGCCAACGCTCTGGATCGTATCTACATCATCATCCAAAACATTATTCACGACATTACCCCATTTATGGACCAACATCCTGGTGGTGTTGCATTGCTAAAGGCATCTCACGGGAAGGACGCAACAAAAGCGTTCTACGGTGGTGTTTATGGACATCTGACTGCTGCTGTTAACTTATTAGCTACTATGCGAATTGGAGTGCTTGATGTGGGTAACGATGAAGAAGTATGGAAACGTGTCGTGACTGAAGAGGGCTCTGTTAAAGAAGCTGTTTCAAGTAGAGGTGACTCCAAGCAATACAGAACAGCGGAAGCTGCTTAAATAACTTATGTACGTAGTTATCCTATATTTCACCATTTGTCACGTGAATCCATACCACGAAATATCGGCCCAATTAACCCGATTATATGCAGATGTCGATTTCCACTTTTATATGCCGTATATTTCACGGGGAAAAAAATAAGCTCCGACTTGAAAAGATGGAGCAAAGATCCAATACTACCTCTATCAGTATTACAAATCGTCCATATTCAAACACATGTCACAGGGCCCTATATTATTTAATTTCCGCGACTATCGTGGAGCCACGATCGAGGACTTGGATATCCGGCCTGCGTTGTCGATCACTCCTCTCACCAAAGTGGAAGAAGCTCTTGAACTACTGTATGAGAACGACTTCACTTATCTACCAGTAGTACATCAGGATAACAAGCGCTTGCTCGGTGTTCTACATGTGGAGGAGTTACGTAAGGGCACGGTCCAAGCTGTATCTGGTGCGGCTGTTCACGAATATATGATCTGGTTCCACCAACGATCAAGAGCTCGGTTTAACCAGGAAATAAACGGTGAAAGGATGGAAAAAAGTGGAGATAACAAAAGTGAAAGCGACTTGACAGATAGGAAAAGATTTTCTACCAAGATTGTTAGACCAACAGCATCATCTGGTAAGAAATATCATGTTCTCACACCTTTAAGTCCTTTGGAAGATCTTGCTTCGTTTTTCAATGATGGTAACTACTTTGCAATTATTACAAACAAGAGTGGGAACTTTGTTTATGGAGTCGCTACACCCGATGATTTGTTACGTTACGAACAGTCAAGACCTCGGCTATAATAATCATAACAAATTTGATTACATCCATAGATTTGCACCTATATACTACTACAGAGACCTCTATCACTGAGGAATGTCCAATAGTAACTTACCGGAAGTTTTTCTGCTCTCCAAATCAGCAGCTGCTTCAGCATACTTTTCTAGGGGGTATACCTTGTAAATGTCAATGACCAACTTCTTGTTGTCCAACAATTCTGCAACTTGGCTAGCATAGAAGTTCCACTCTTCGTCGGTGCTGATGTAAGCAAATACTTGAGGGCGAACAAACTTGATATTCTTAGGACTTAAAATGGTTACCGGAAATGGCTCCACTGGTCCTGAACTATTCCCAAAACTGACAAACGTACCCTTTCTTCTTAAACTCTTCAAGGACGTCTCAAAGGATGTCTTACCAACAGAATCAAACGAGGCATGAACACCCTCGCCATTTGTGATTTTAAGTACTTGTTCAGTGATATCTGAATCTTTAGAATTAATAACATAATCTGCACCTAATGCAAGCACTTCCTTTTGCTTCTCTTTAGACGAAGCAAGAGCAATCACTTTAGCACCTCTTGATTTAATTAATTGTACCAAAATCTTACCAACGCCACCAGCCGCTGCCCACACCAAAACTATATCATCCTTCTTGACATTGTAAGCTTCAGTAATGAATGTCAAAGCGGTTAAAGATTGCATGATCGCTGCCCCATATTCCTTCAAGTGACTTCCATCCTTCAATTTGTAAACTTGGACCTTGTCTTCTGTGATTTTGTTAAATTGGGCAAAAGTGTTGGGGTTGACATAAGCAACAAAATCCCCCACCTTGTACTTGGTAACGTCCTTTCCAACTGCTACAACTTCACCCAGTGCTTCTCTTCCCATGACATAAGGGAACTTTTCAATGGGGTAGATCCCCTTTCTGAAATACGATTCAATATAGTTGACTCCCGCATATCTATTCTTAATAATCATTTCCGTTGGACCATCAATTGTAGGAACTGGGAAGTCAAATACTGGCTTGATAGTGTCATATCCTTCACTAGTACCATCCAAATATACCACCTGTTGTGTTTTAGGAAGGGTCATGGCTGAGTTTGATTTAATTGACTTATACGGAATGAATTGAGTAGTATAATAATTAGCCCGTGGTGTTATGGGGGCGGAACCTTTATAGAATGTTTGGAATTACTAATTGATTTGTAAGCCTGCACTTAACAAGAGAGCAACAGTATGCAAAACGTAACAAACCTACACAATTGATCTTGAATTATTCACAGCAACGAAAGGCTTTTGGTTATAACTAAAATATGGCACCGACCTCAATGCACAAACTTATCGGCAATATCCAGCAGTTGGCGATTGCACTTTATGTCTTCCCCGGAATTTTTTATGGGCCTGCATATACTTTGATACGAAAAAGTTATAGATCTTATTCTCCTTTAGAACTAGAGCGACTATGAAAGGTGTAATCTCTGGGAGTTTTCTTTGAGCTAGATGTTGGTAGTAGCATTGCAACAATAAGTAGATGTCATGGGTTTTTCAGGCGACCACAAGTGACTCTTGCAGTGTGGAGGTGAGGGGTATGCACTAAGATCAGCGAGAGTTGAGATAATACTCACACTTGTTTCCATGCCTGTATGGGGAACTTTGAATTGAGCAGGCTTTATTGAAGGTAAAGAAAGAAACTTTTGCGCCATACGATATCATTTTGTGTCATGTGGATGAGACACTACATTTAATGCCTTACTGATAGGTATGTTTGCTAAAAATAATTAGTGAGATCATTGCATTGATAGAAAAGTGCTCAGTTATAAAAGAAATAGAACATTTTGCTCAAAGAAATACTATCATGGTGAATACAATTTTAACTAAAAAAAGTCAAACTTCTCTGCAAACTAAATAGACAAAGGAGAATAGCTATTCTTTCACCCTACAGTTAGATTTATAAAATGGGACACATTCTAATTAACGAGATGGAGCGGAGAATCTACTTAGCTAAAGGGCATGCGTAAGTCTTGAGGTCAAGCTCTGAATGATTTCGGGATCACATTTTCATATATTGCCTATTGTGATCAATGGATCATTCGTGTGCAGATGAAAAGTATGTGGATGTAAAAGCTTTTTATGAAAATAACATCCTCAAGCTCGCTTTAGATTTTATGTTTCCTTGTTGATAAAGTGACCTGAGGATAGGGGCTTTTGTGTAACCACCTCATCCTTCCTCCAAATATCCCTGTTCCTGGTGGCTGATACCCAAATTATCCTCATTTACCTAACCAGTACCCATAAATAATGTTCAACAAATGGATAACTGTCTCTTCCATGTCTTAAACGGTCCACTCCCTTCTTAGAAGTACATCGTTTCATTTACCAGAACCGAAACCCGATAATAACTATCATCTATCAATCTAATAAGTTTCTCAGTTTCTCAAAAATAAAGTTCACAACATTGTTTCTTCATTCCAAGTTTCACAAGCTTTCCTTGAATTGCAAAGGACTCGCAGGAAGTCACTCTTGTCGCAATCATTACCCACTTACGAAGCACACTCGTAACTAACTCCAAGCAACCTCACACGGCGGAGGCTGACCCAACTTCTTCCTGTTATGCTGAGACTACTATCGATACCCCTTAACTTGAATCTACGACCAAGAATGTGAACTCTCCATTAATGACGATGCAAAAGATGTAACTATATCTGCATCAACTGATTGTCAAATCAATACCCCTATTACTCTTATTCAAATCCCTTTTTCAAATCATTCCAAAAAGTACAAAAGATCTGCTGGTCTTTCTACAAGAAAAGTCAACACTAAAATTTCAGGCCTCCAACGTCAATTAAAAAGTTCAAGACCCACTAGTACAGTGGTTCTATTTAATGTTCATACTTTTTGTGTATTCAGATGTAGTAGAAAGTACGTTACCAGTGCCAAGAAATGTTGGAACCTATCAAATTATTTGTAATAATATTTTTATTACTTCGTTTCAAAGATATAATTTATCGTAATGAAAAGCTAGTATTAAAATTTTTAGGTTCAATTCAAAAGTTCAAGATCCACTGTGCATATGTACCCAAAACTACTAGCTTGTATTCAAGTAAGTGTACGTTTGGACAAGATTAGCAATGTTTGAGTAAGGACACCTAAAATCCTTCTAATAATTTTATAAAAATAAGTAATCGTAAAATCACAGCGACATTTCAGCATTTCAACTTACAATCACACATAAAATAATAATATCAGATACTTCATATAGAAAATAAAAAAAAAGATCGAAAAATTCGCAATGAAGGTACTTATTACTGGGTGATCTCTTTGCTTATCACAACCGAAGAAAAGAGCATGATTGTTTAATCCGTTTTCTATTAGCTCTTCTTCCGAGGGAACAAAGGGAAATACTGCTTGCCGTAGGTCGTTGCTTTTATTCTCAGGTAAGGAGAACCATGGTATCACATAACTGCTATTTGCACTATGGTATCTTCTCTGAGATTGGTTTAGAATGGTTCCATTGGGATACCCATTCCAATCTGCCGTCATATCGTAAGCAAGTATCACATCCACTGGCCTCTCTGGTACAAGGAACGGTTGGAATGGAATGTTTTGTCCGTCATCGCCTCCGTCATTAAGAAACATATCTCTATTCTGGGTGAGCAGCAAATCTCTGTTATCTTTTGCACCTTTATGGTGTTGACGTATTGTGTCAGAAGCGTGCAGGATCGTATATGACACAATTATGTAATCTGTTGGTTGCAAACAAATAGCTGAGAGAATATTCTAGAAATCCTAAATTGAGTTATTTAAAATATCCCGTATAGGTAAGTCAGGATATTTTAAATGATAGCTAGCCACGTGGAATGACGAACAATGATAAATTGTTCTTAGCAAGCTTGCTAATCCTATATTAGCAGTAGGCTATAAATACGCCACCATAATGTTGAAGTATTGTGTCAGAAGCATGCAGGATCGTATAAGACACAATTATGTAATCTGTTGGTTGCAAACAAATAGCTGAGAGAATATTGTAGAAATCCTAAATTGAGTTATTTAAAATATCCCGTATAGGT